ACGGCACTCAAAAATGCAAATATGTGCTACTATGGTCAGGCGATTACGGAATAGACTTATTTAACACTTGGTCGCTAACCGAAGACCAACAAAAAGACCTGAAAGAATACTGGAAAAGATTCGAAGACCATGTTAAACCACAAGCAAACCATATCTTGAACAGATATTATCTACGAGGTCTGAAACAGAATAATCGTCCCCTAGCCACCTTCCTGACTGAAGCAAGGCTACTCATACAGAGCTCAGGTTACCCACCTGACTTACATGACGAACTCATGCGTGACACATTAGTTTTCGGCACCGATTCGGAAGAGGTCAGACGAAAATGCATTGCCCGCGGTAATGAATTAACCTTTGCAAGGGCAAAAGAAATTGCACGAACTGATGAGGCTACCCAGATGCAATTAAAAGCAATGAGTGACACTACAAACCCAAAGCAAGAAGAAGGGGAAGTCAATGCAATCAGCAGAGGAAACAAGCCCAGAAACCAGCCCCACCAAAGGTACACCAGTGGTAGAGGAAACAGACGACGTGACAACAACCTAAGACAGTGCTACAGATGTGGAGACACACCACACACCAAAGACCAGCAGTGCCCAGCCACTGGAGTAGAATGCTTCAACTGCAACAAACGCGGTCATTTTAGCAAAGTTTGCAAGTCTAAAACAAGGTCAGATGTGATGACCCTACAAAAAGAACAACCTGATGGTGTAACAAGTGAATGCACAAGCTACGACAAAGTCTTCCTGGGAACACTAGAAGCCCGAGACAGCCCCAGTACCTCAATGATCGCAAGCATTGAACAAAAAGAAAAACAACGCACCAAAGTCACGACTGAAATACAAGTCACGGTAGACCCCCATGATACACACCTGATACCTATTATCTGCAAGGTCGACACTGGTGCAGAAGTTAATGTCATCTCCAAAGACGACTATGACAGACTCAACCGCAGTTCCCAGCAGATACCCCTTGGCCCAACACACCACAGGATTACTGCGTATGGAGGCCACGCCATCAAGACCCTTGGAACCTGTCCACTATACGTCCATCAAAATGGCAGCATTAAAGAAGTCGTTTTCAATGTTACTGACGTACCAGGACCTACAATGCTTGGCTGTAAAACCTGCGAGGAACTTGAGCTGGTAAAATTTAATTGCAGCCTAGAAACCTCCAAAGAAGACAAAGAGACCCGCCTTAAAGAACACAGACCATGCAAACCGCACCAAAGGACCAGCAGATACCCTAGCCGTCTAGACACTGAAACATACCCCCACTGGACAGGATAACCTTCTTCAACAACTTCGGAGACTGCTTTGAAGGCCTGGGAACCTTCAATATGAAACCTTATCACATCACCCTAGACTCCAATGCTGAACCTGTCATCCACGCACCACGTACCGTACCAGTACACCTTCGAGACATGTTTAGAAAGGAAATCAACACCATGGTAGAACTTGGAGTGCTCATACCCGTAAGCGAACCCACAGACTGGGTTAATAGCATCGTCCTCTCTGAAACAACCAACGGCAAAGGAGAAGTCACCAAAATCAGAGTCTGCCTCGATCCACGTGACCTAAATAAGGCAATAAAACGCGAACACTACTACACCAAAACAATTGATGAGGTAGTCACACAGCTTAGTGGTGCCAAATTCTTTAGTGTAGTTGATGCCAAAAAGGGCTACTGGCATGTACCATTAGACGAAGCCAGCTCCTACCTGACTACTTTCAACACCCCGTTCGGGAGATACCGTTTCACCCGGCTCCCCTTTGGCCTTATTGTTGTATCACAAGATGTGTTCCAGAAACACTTAGATTCAGCACTGGAGGGCCTGAAAGGAGTCACCGGCATTGCAGACGATACATTCATATACGGAGCTACAGAGGAAGAGCACGATGCGAACATGGTAAACCTCATGATCAGATCCAGGGAAAGGGGAATCAAATTCAACAAAGACAAAGTACAGCTCAAATGTCAGGAAGTCAGCTTTTTCGGCCACAAATGGACCCAGGATGGAATCAAACCAGATGACAGTAAGATATCTGCAATCCAGAAGATGACCCCACCTGAGAACCGCAAAGACCTCCAAAGCTTCTTAGGCCTCGTAAACTACCTTACAAGATACTCAGGGCGATTGGCTAGCCTCACAGCACCACTGCGAGAACTTACCAAGAAGGACACCGCATATGTATGGGGACCTGAACACGACGACTCATTCAACCAAGTCAAACAGGAAATCACATCAATGGGAGTCCTCAGATACTTTGACCCAAACATCGAGTCTGTCATTCAAACTGACGCTTCCCAGAAGGGAGTAGGCGCCGTCCTTTTGCAGCAGGGGCAACCTGTATGCTATGCCTCCAAAGCACTTACAGACACAGAAAAACTACAGCAACATTGAGAGAGAAACACTTGGTGTAGTATGGGGCCTAGAGAGATTTAACTACTACATTTTTGGGAAGCACTGTACAGTAAACACTGACCATAAACCTCTTGAGGCGATTTTCAAGAAGCGACTGTCCAGTTGCCCACCTAGATTACAGAGGTTCTTGATGAGAGCCCTGAAATACGACGTTACGGTCAACTACGTAAAAGGTCCTGATGTACCAATAGCCGACGCTCTCTCAAGAGTCAGCCCCAGCCTACCCCTAGCAGCAGTCAACTTTCAGAGATATATGTCCACCACGTCACACAACATCTCCCTGCAACTCCAACAAAGCTACAACAGATCCGTGACGAAACAGGGAGGGATCCTGTGTTGTCTCTGTTAAAAGAAATGGTCTTTGAAGGATGGCCACAGAAAAGAGAAGAGTGCCCCCAACTGCTACATGGCTATTGGAATTTCAGAGAAGAGCTGACCATCGAGGACGGCTTAGTACTAAAAGGAGACCGCATCGTGATACCTCCTACTCTCAGACCTGAAATCCTGAACATCATACACCAAGGCCACCTAGGGCAAGAGAAATGCCTTTTACGAGCACGTACATCCGTTTTCTGGCCTGGAATTACAAAGGAAATCATCAACCAAGTTAACCAGTGCGAACCCTGCCAGAAATACCAAAATAAAGCAAGGAAAGAGCCAATACTACAGCCAGAACCGCCACACCGACCATGGGAAAGACTCAGTTCGGACTTGTTCGAATTTAGAGGGCAACAATACCTCCTGTTGACAGATCAATACAGCAGATTTCCTGTCATCAGGAGACTAACAAGCACCACGTCATCTGCAGTTATCAACCATCTGAAGAGCATCTTTGCAGAACACGGCATCCCTACGCAGTTGACGACCGACAACGGACCGCAGTACAGTTCGGCAGAATTCAAGCATTTTATGAACGTCTACGGGGTAGAACACATTACTAGCTCCCCTATACCCCCAATCCAACGGGTTTGCTGAGCGAATGGTCCAGACCGTGGAAAACATTCTCCAAAAGTGCGATGAAAATAAAGAGGACCCGTACCTTGCTCTCCTATCATACCGGGCCACTCCCTTGGATCACCAGCTGAAATCCCCAGCAGAACTGCTCACCAACAGAAAATTTAAAACTAGATTACCAGCATGCCATAGAGTCCTCCTCAACCACTCTCACCATGAGGTCATGAAAAGTAAGCTCATAGCCCGTCAGGAGAAACAAGCCCACTATTACAACCAGCATTCAGGACCACCCAAAAAGCCATTCGAAGCTGACCAACCCATCCGCACGTACAACCACCACTCACAAACCTGGGAACCTGGCATTATTGTAAAACCCGCCAAACAGCCAAGATCTTATATCATCAGATCCAGCAGTACAGGTACCACCTATCGAAGAACACGGGCCCAACTGAAACCAGACACAACTGCAGTGAGGGGAACACAATGCCAGCGGGTGGAAACCCCAGTATACCAAGGTTCTGAGATACCTCAGCAGACAACTAGTCTTGCCCCAGTCAGTCACACACAGACATCGCACAAAAACGGTGCAGCCCCCAGACCAGGATCTGGCGAAACAGTGCCACTGAACAACATCCCCCCAGGGACCCTCAGACATAGCTGGAGGATATGTGACCAGATCTGGGAGGACTGTGACACCTGCACAAAGGCTGGATCTATAACAGTAGAGACACTAAAGAATAGACTTATAAGTATAAGCACAGGAGGGATATCCTTTCAACCAGTATTGTAATGTTCTGGAGATATGATAAGTTCCATTTTTTTTTTTTTTTTGTCGTTATTATTATTATTACATCGGTAGAAAGGGGGATGTCATATTACGTCATACCACGCGCTCCCATCGGACCTGTGGGAAAAAACGTGGTATCGGACCCGCCATTTTGATTTCGCCCATGTTGTCATGTAGTAGCTGTTGCGTTATTGAATAAAGAGTTTAAATGGAAAAATTGTGACAGAAAGGACTCAACTTTTATTTGAAAATAATATTCATTCTCTAAGCCATTTTTGGCCATGATTCCTTGTGATTTACTCAAACCATCACCAATTTCTCAGATAGATCCAAAGTCAGGGATGTTTTGTCAGCAATCATGGAGTGCACTCTATATCTATGCAAAATCAACATCATGTTTGAACGAAATGTCTCAGAAATTTCCATGAAACATAGTGCACATATGAAGAAGGACTGCCTTAATGGTGGGTGTAGCTAAAGGAAACAAAAATGAAGAAAAAAGTCTGCCATTGTACTTTGTTTGTCTACCTCATGATGTCATTTGAGTTCACCCACTTCATAACACATTTCAGTTTGGATGCTCATGAAATATAATCTTGTGGATTCAACATTTTAACCAACCTTTAACCGAGTTAAGGTATTTGGAAATTTTAACCAGGCTTCTAAAAAATAAACCCAGGTAACTCTCTTAGTGTGGCAACCTCCATATTCTTATTAAACACCTACTGCAAAAGGGTAAATACCTGTAGCAATACCTTCTTCAGTCTCAGACACATCTCTCAAAGATCTGTCTGGTACACTCTCAGCATTGCTGGGTGGGAATTCTGGTGTATCTTATAGCTTAGGTGATGGATCCGCAATTGCTTTTTGATCACCACCCTGATCAGGCACGGTCAGGTTCTGCAATGCATTTGCCACCACATATTCACTAACCTCACCTTTGTATTCAACAGATTTAAGTTTTGCTGGTTTTTCCTCTTGCTTGTCAACCTTTCTCTTCCTTTCTCCCTCATCTGCAAATAGCAATTTACCAGTTAAAGTAAATAACTCCTGGGATGATTACATTTCAGATTTTTGCTTTTGTTTTTTTTTCAATCATGACTTCTTATAGTTTTAAATAAAAATAGGCAGCCTAAGACTGCATGTGGTTACTGATAAAGCACAATTTTTATAACATTGAAAAGAACTAGAGGTTGCATGATGATGCTAGAAGGTATGGTGGCAAAAGATGTATTCACATGCAAAACAGAAAACCTGCTGCAACATCCCACATATTTATGAGTACCCTGTACCACAAGAGAAAGAGGATTCAAGAATAGAGTGACTAAATGACATTCCACCAATAATTAAATGGTAACATATAATCATATTGACACCAGTAATAATAACGATAACAACAGTAACAGCAATAATAAATCATCATGTTTGATAAGAAAGGGCTAGCCCAAGAACCTCACTGTTCCTCTATCCTCTAGGCTCCAATAATGATAAAACTTATCTGCCTCTTTTAATTTTGACTGTTGATAATAAATTATTTTAATTTTTCATTACAATTCCATTGTTGTGAGACTTTTGTTTCATCCAACAGGACATCACCCATTTCATTACCATATCTGGCTTTGCCTCCTGTAGGAGGCAATTAATTCACCAAAAAATTTCAAAGAAATGAATAGTTGATTATATGAGCTAATGCCAAGAATTTCCAAGTGGCCAAGCCCACAATTTGGAAGGACATGCCAAAATCAGTTAGAAGCAGAAATAATTAAAGCACTTTAGCTTTAGGAGAGCTAAAAAGTTTAATTTCACTCTATCAGGCTTACAAAAAAAAGAACCAAAAGTAGAAATAAAATTAATGGTCAGCCCCAAATCTGCCTGCAGGAAGTCAGATCTTGAGTCATTAAGTGTTTCAAAGGATGCCAGTAGCAAATAGCTGCTACAATCTATATGTAGCCTCATTAGATAAAACAGTTAACAAATGTCTCTTCTCCATGAGTGTGCTGAGTGTCTGCATGGTCTACTATTATATCAATAAATGATAATAAACCATTCAATTGATTTACTGTCAAGCAATACATCAACTGGCCTGCCTGGCAGGTGCTCATTTCAACTAAGCACACACAAGTTTATCAGATTTGCAAAAGCAAACAAGAGTCCATACACACTAGAGCCATTTATTAGGTCCAGACATTTGGAGATCTTGCATAGCCATTAAACCTGTTAGCATGTTCAAGTACAGGCTGTTTTGTAGTTCACTAGGGTGTACATCTTCCCACAAGACCCATCCCATCTTTCAAAGCAGTTGCATGTAATTAATTCTTGCTTGGTAACCATTTTTTTCTTATCTCTGATTCTGGTAATTTTTCATACAGTTAATGTCTCTTTTAATCATGTCATCGTAGATTAACAAGGACCTGCAAGGGCATGTAAATTTCAATGTGTCTCAGGAGAACGTAAAATCAAATGAGATAAAATCTTACAAAATTTAAATTATCTGTCTGCCCTACACATCTGCTGCAAATTTTCAAAGTTTGATATCTTCAATTCCATGACTGAAAATGTGGAAGTACCACCCCTACAATTTAACTAAAGGTTTCGTTGCCCATCTGTCAATTACCGGTCGACAAACCTAAAGTTGATTGAATGTCTAATTTAACTCACTCGGATCGGAAGCATGAACAGATGATTTTGCTCTAACCGTATTCCCCTATTATAATTTGACGCTTTCTATAACACATTATAACAAATGTTATTGTCAGTAGACGCAGGTGAAGAACTTAAGACAGACAAGCTCTCCTTACCAGGAGAAAGATTTGATTTGTCGTCGACTTCCATGTTCGCCGCCGCTTGCGACAACTCCTTTGCAGCTACCGTCACTTTGCTACCATCGATGGATACTTTACCTTCATCTGGCTTTAATCCATTCCGACCTTCAGAGCAGACGTCATCTCTGTCAGAATAAGTCTTCTTACATTTAGGACATCTGATTATTTGCGCATTACAACAAGTTTAAGACACTGCGCAAGTGTAAAAGATGAAATATGTTTCCGTGTCTGTTCTTGGAAAGACGGAAGTAGATTCCGGGAAACTACACCGTACTCACTAAGGAATATCCGAAAGACCCTGGGAACGGGAGTCACGGACGGTCAAACTTTTTTCCAACCCAACCCTATTTGGCATCATATCCTGGTCTTTTCAGACATTTCTCCCAGTGTGTCGGAATTTCAAAACAAACTCTATTAATGAAAACCAGTCGGAAATCTGACCTGAAAAAGCACTCTCAACTTAAAATTTTCAAAACCAAAGAAAACCACAGGTTCTTGAAGTCAGCTTCATTTTCCGGAAAAACTTTTTTCTTCTTGGGCGTTAAATACAGCTGGTGTTATACATAGAGGAACTTTACAAAAAGGAATGAGTAAACTCCCTCCCCCCTCCCCAACGCACACACGCGCGCGCGCGCGCGCGAACACTTTCCTGATAGTGGCATGATGCGCCTTAAAACTGTTCCAAAGGAAAATTAAGTTCAAAGACGCAACTTTTAATATCCCAGATGACATTACCGCCTACAACGACTACACCAACTTCATCAGCGAAGCAAATTTGGCCATTTCAGGGCGTGATTTACTCTTGAACATCCACGGCCAAGCACCCACACCTCAGAGGACAGAGCTCGGCTATCTCATCTCCAAATCTCAGCTCGTAGACAGATCCTATAAAATAGCGAGTACCTCTACCAGAAGCGTTGGGGAATACTGAAAAAATGGTTACCGGTTACCTCGCCACCAGGGAGACTCGCCACCAGCGAACTCGCCACCAAGGAACGATCTCGCCACCAACGTACTCGCCACCAAGCGAAGTCTTCTCGCCACCAACCACCAATAAAGAGATAAACTAGAATAAAGAAGTCGAGGAGAGAAGGATGTTCGAACGAGCACAATTCAAATCGGCCGATACGTTTGTGCGCTTGTCTGTATTTAAATTATGACCTTCAGCGACGTGTTAGATGTATTCCGTTCCTAACTCATTGACATCGAAACGTATCGTGTTTGTCTTTTGCACGTAAGCGAGGAGAAATTGCAAAACTCGATGCGAGGAATAAAAACTTACTTGAGAGAAAATGAAACTTCATGGGAAGAAATAAGTGATGAAATGAAACTCGATAGCAGTTGTATTAAAACTAGATGCGAGAAATTGTCAAGTCGGTGCGAGAAATTGTAAGCGTCGATGGACTGAAGCTTTCCTAAGGCAACTACAGTTGTTTCCCAAGGAGAGTTAACAGTTCGAACCAGTCGATTCCTGAGTTTGTTTGCTTATTTGTATGAAAATTTCGACGTCTGTGATGTTATAAGTTCGAACGAATCGACTCACGAGTTTGTTTAATTATCTGTATGGAAATTTCGACGTCTGTGATGTTGTCAAGGGAACTTATTCAATATTCGGTCGAATTATATTACCCAGTTTCCCCGCGGCAAAATAACAACAACCTTTATTGAATATTAAATCTAGATGAAATAGTTTGCCTTTACACTACGAGATACGAACGAAATGTTGTTGCACAACACCTTCAGTTTTGAACGTGCTATCGACAACATACGTTTATAAAGTTTGAGTACAGACAAGCGAACAAACTTATCGGTTTCGAACGTGCTTTCGACAACATACGTTTATAAAGTTTGAGTACAGACAAGCGAACAAACTTATCAGCCGAGCATCCTACTCTCCTCGACTAATCTCTTTATTGGTGGTTGGTGGCGAGAAGACTTCGCTTGGTGGCGAGTACGTTGGTGGCGAGATCGTTCCTTGGTGGCGAGTTCGCTGGTGGCGAGTCTGCTTGGTGGCGAGGTAACTGGATACCGAAAAAATATGTTAACAAGAATGGTTATGGCAAACGCTGCTTCGACTTCTGATTACACCGCAGAGGAATTCATATTTTTTCCTATAAAGTCAGGTTTTATCAATTGTTTTGAAGGACATTTAGGCTGTCCAACGCATTCAACTTCCGCACCCTTATCTGTCCTCGCCGCTAGCCTTTTCTCTCCGACCATTACGGTTTCCTTCTCACCCGTTTAAACTTTCAGGAGCGCTTGATTTTCGCCATTAAGGATAATTTTAGGTGTGGTGATTGACCAGTACGTTTTGCTACCATTATAAAATAAAACAAGCGCGAAAACAATTACTCTTGGTTCGAAAAGAGGATCCTCTTCAATTTATCAACTACCTATACTTACGATATGTAGCTTTTTCTTTTAAAAAAAGAATCGGGTCACTTTCGTTTAGCTGCAGGTATTTTGCATCTTGTTACCGCAGTAATCATCCCCAAACTTTACACGTTTAAGGCTGTTGATACAAACTGTCAGTGTCGATGCGTAAAACAAATTGTAAGTAAATGTTAAGAATCAGTACGGCTGTTCGCCTACGAACTGAATTTTCGGAATAAATAAACGTATTTCGAGCCAGTAAAGTAAGCCTCCTTATCGCCAACCTTCGTGTGGTTCTTGCATCCGTCTATCAAAACTTCCCGCGCTTAACCACAAACAGAAACGCTATTAGATGCATTTATGCTAGAGACGTTAAAGTTGTTTAAGACGTTAAAGTCGTCTCGAGACGACTTTAACGTCTTAGACAACTTTAACGTCTCTCGCATAAAAACGGCCATTAAGACCATCTAGTTTGTGTTATTTTCTCTCGTCGTGAGAGCGGGTAACGAAAAATTCATTTTAAGTAAGCATGAACTGCAGTGAGTCGTGCATTGTTTCGAATTGTTGTCTCTAACTGTTTCTGCGGAATGATGTGTTGACAGCAACAGAAACTCTGTCGTACCACTTTTCTTTGTAGGCAGTTGAAAGAAGTCATGGAGAGAGCTGTCAATGACTTACACGGCAAAAAAACTAGCGTTTACCGTATGGAAAACGAAGATTGAATTCACGGAAAACGCGGCATTTTACTAACATTTACCCGTGTTTGCGTACGGAAAATCCGACATTTTCTGTGCGTTAAAATAATAATAATAATAATGATAATAATCTTTATTTCTTAAGATAAAATCACATATCCTAAGTTACAATATAAACTCAAAAAACTATTTACATATCATATCTAAAAATTATTCTGTTACTAAAAACGTTCTTAAACCTGCATCGCATCGGTGAATCCCAGTATTCGTTCCATTATTCGGAAGTTTTCCTTCGCGGTAAATGCAGGTAAACAAATCATTTTCCGGCATTAACCGCTCGGTTAACGCACGACAAACAGCTTGTTTTCCTTTTGTTCATTGGCATTTTCCGGGAAGATTAATGCGTGTAAATGCAGGAAAACGTAATGGCGTTCTTATAACGCATAAAAAAAGGCCTTTTTTTTTCTTCTGTTCGGAACCATTTTTGGCAAAGTTGACGAAATATTCACAAGAGTTTTCCAGTCGAAAGCATACATTTTCCAGCATTGCTTCGCAATGGTGAATTCGAGCAAATTCGTTGGAACGCATTTTCTGGCGTTTTACCGTTTATTACTGCTCGGTTCGCGCATGGAATATAACAGGTATTCTGCCATTCACAGCCGTTTTGCGCATTCCAACTACATGTTCACTTGAGTTAACAAGTGGAAAACATGCATTTTCCGTTATTTTCTCTGCAACGGTGAATTCGAATTAATTCGTGCAAGGCATGCATTTTCTCGCGTTTAACGCCGCTCGGTTAATCACTGTTCAACAAATTTGATCCAATGGATTTCACCTCCTAGACTCAACCATACTGACATACTGAAGGTTCTAAAAGAATTTTGTCCCATTTCCCTCTCCCAAACAGGATAAGCACTCTTTCAATCATTCTCAACGAGTTTATTGATGCAGTGATGATAGCGGTACAATTTATTCAGAGCCCACAATGGAACCTGATAACAATCATGTTTTTCAGCCTTTGCGTCTTACACTATTATTTTACATAACACATTTTTTTCTCTCTAAAGCCAAAAAGAAGCAAAACTTAAACCCTTAGAACAGTTTAATTTACTTTGAATTGGTAGGATGATTGTCTGAAAAAATTATGTGTAAGTCTATAAACACAAACTAACCAGAAAACTGATCTCTAGATGCATATTTAAATGTCTAAACTTCTATATCAAGCATTTTGCAAAAATGAGTGTAAAGTTTTGAAGAACAAATGATTATGTGAACTTCATGAACCTAGGGAATCTGAGAATGCCACCTTACTTTAAATCTTACGCTGGCATCAGATCTATTTGAAACACTTCTGATATTTGAAATTGCAACTGAAGAACAAATTCAATTAACTAAAAGTACCACTGGCTGCACTTCAAACACAAACGAGTGCATTTTTCATATAACATGAGTGCAAAGTTGTAACACAGGTGCAGCTAAAAAAAAAAAGTGCGCGTGCTGTCAAAATTACGTCTGTCTTGACTTTCTGTGAAGCTTTTTTAATACAATGTTTTCAAAGACTACAAATTGCACGGGCCCGTAGTGCTTATTTTCACTAAATTGCAATCGAAATCATGTTATTACCTATACAAATAAAAAATGCAAATGATTTTGGAGTTTTAAACATGGACGAAGAACAAAGTTTTCTTGCAATTTGTCTTTTTTCGTTTTCTTTTTATATGGAGATATCCTCGCTTTACGCTCAGTTAACCTAATTTCATTGTGGGGAAAAATAGCGATATTGTAGCGATAAAGCTACTATTAAAAACTCCAATATTTTTTTAAAATTGTTTTTTATTGTTTGCAATTTTTTAACAACCATACTCACAAAGCTTTATTACCTATACCTATAACATGTACCAACATACACATTTTACATTTCTACATTTTTTAATATTGTTTTTTACTTTTCTATGCTAATATTAAGCTACCCAAGTTGAACAATATGATGTATGGTAATTATCAGATTGAGTCGCTGAATAATCAATAAAGCAAGCCAACTCGTGCTATCGAGAAATAAAATTTAAGAAGTCGAAAGCCAAAATTATTCTAAATGTCTAAACGTAGACGAAGCAATTGAAAAAAGATACCATAGTAATTGTTTCATAAAATGACCAACCTCCCTCTTCAGATACTTTCATGTTATTTCAGCCGTTCCCGCTAAGTTTTTTCATTTAATTTTTCATGCTGCAATCTAAAAGGGAACTTCAAATACTACTGGAGGAAAATTCAAATTAAGGGAAAAAGCGACGTAAAGTCTGGGGACTTTGAACAAAAAAGAAAAAAAATGTAGGACAAAACACATAGCAGCAGTTTTATGCTGAAGCAGCATCCCTCTTGTCCAGATAGCTGTCCCACAGTTCAACAGAAGTTCCCCATGCGTTGATCACGTGCTTCAGCTTCACGTCTGTTGGTAGTTCGTCCAGTCCAGTAACTGGCTCATGTCCCTTGTTGTCAAGATGCCATTCGATAAAGTCTTTCAAGCTAAAGGAAGGGATAAACGGCTGTAATGTATCACAATACTGGAAAGTACTCGACCGCACCATATTCCTTCCCACTTAATGACCCGAGCGGGATGTTGGAAGAACCAGAGAAGACCTTTACACGTTTTTCAAGCCGTCTCCCAAAGTCCCAAGTTAGTTATTTTAGCGCGAAAATGGTAAAAAGTGCAACTTACAGTCGTTTTTAAAATCAACCTCGACATCTTTATTAATCTGCTGTCTAACCGGTAAGAAAACACCAATGAACAACGAAGAACGCAGACCGACTTTTGAGTCAAAATTACAGTACTCTTAAAAATTCTATATTTGGGAAAGTGTTTAACAAAGGCGGGACATACACTGTACACAAATAGCTAGAAACGAGTCGTGTAGGGGGCCGACAAGATTTACTTGAATTCGCGGTCATCCTGGTGTTTTCCGATAGCTATGAAATGACGTACTTTTGAGGTGTGAAGAACACTTGTGGAGTTAAAGACCTATTTCAACTACACGTCATTTTTTGGTGATACAGTGTTTCAAAACTGAGGGGTAAAAATCTTACTTTCCAACACCATCCTGAATTTGATATCCTCAGAGAAGAAAATATCTGAGAGCAGCTTCAGAAAGACACATGTTATAAGGTAACCTACATTTTGTATTCCAGGCGTTCAGTTAGTGAACGTATGCGATAATTGCAACGGAGCGAAAGGAGAACGGAGGTTTTTCACGAGTCACGCCCGGTTAAAAGGCTAAAACAAGTGAATTTCAAGCAAAGAATTCCTGAAATCTGAGATCTAGAAATCTTACCTCATGTCTTCTTCGCCTGGTACCGCCTCTCCCCTGAGGTTGAGTAAGATTAATTCTAATACCTCGGGGACGAATAGATCCGAGTCAATCCTCCTCATGCTATTGCTAAACTTCATCATTAGTCTTTGTGGCATGGCCTGCTTGTACGTGTCTGCGATCTGTTCGAACGGATCCTACGTAAAACACGAAGACGGTTCAAGTATAAAGTGATCGGGGGATCTACGCTATTCTCGATGAATTCAAAACCGAAAATGTGATTTTAGTTGACCTACTAGTTCAACACTACACGATAGTTCTTGGGCAGAGAGAGAGAGAGAGAGAGAGAGAGAGAGAGGGAAACACTCAGAGCAACGCCTCCGCGAATAATGTATCAAAATGACTCATACAAGGGAACGAGATTGGAGATCAATGCCAATTCTAACTCCGAGCCTAGCCTTTTTTCTATATGACAGACTCCTCTTTTTTAAAATCTTGAAGTTCTTCGCTCCTATGCGCTTTCTTTTTTATTTTGATGAGATATTACCCGCTTGGGCAAAGTTCCTTACCTCTCCCCGCCTCATTAAAATCCTTGCTCTCTCTAAAGTCAACAATCGCCAGAAGGAGAGAACATGTCGCAACTGACAACACTGCTGCGCCTAAACAGAAGCAGAGCAGAAAACAAGCTGTTCTTATTACGCACAATTTAATTAGAGCGTAATGTACTGACATGAAAAGGTGATCGCGTCGACTTTTATATAGTAACAGACTGTCTGCAGAACTAATAGACTATAAAATCTGTTAGAAATAGCTATGGGCAGTTGTCTATTTCTAGGTCTGTACACGACTCTATTTACAATATTTAAGATATTTTCAATTTGGAAGACAATTTTCGATTCCTGACACAAAATGAGACATTTGCACATTTCCGTATTTTTACAAGAGTTCCACTCTCTCTACTCTACCTTTTCTTGTTTTAAAGTTTTATCGTTCTTATTATCTCGCTTTTTGTAAGGTACTGAACTCGTGGCAAGAAACATAGCACAAGGTACATAACTTTTCGTTAGCCATTGGGTCTAAAAGGTCTGTGGGTAAACATCTATCCATCAAAACAGTTCAATTTGCACGGTTAAATTGAATGCTTACCTTGAGACTGCGAAGACTATTTTGTTGAGGCATGCGTAGTACATGTTGAAGGTAGTCATTTAGCGGCATTTCAGGTGATCCACCGGTCGAGGAAAGAAAACCGATTGCAATGTCGAGCGACGTCAGCACGTCACAGACGTCTGTCAGTGAGCGAAACTCGCCTAGAATTTGACTGCTTACTGCTGAACTCAAAGGAACCTAACAAGACGAATAATTTTTTTGAGTCCTTTAAAATATACACTTTACTACACGATCACAAATAGCATGATAGCATCTTTATTACTAATAGCATCATCATTATCTTCATCATATTAACTTCTCTCACTACCATTTTTTTTATTAGTAATAGCATCATCATTATCTTCATCATATTAACTTCTCTCACTACCAATTTTTTTTATTACTAAAAGCATCATCATTATCTTCATCATAGTAACTTCTCTCACTACCATTTTTTTTATTACTAATAGCATCATCATTATCTTTATCATAGTAACTTCTCTCATTACCATTTTTTTTATTACTAATAGCATCATCATTATCTTCATCATAGTAACCTCTCTCATTACCATTTTTTTTATTACTAATAGCATCATCATTATCTTCATCATAGTAACCTCTCTCATTACCATTTTTTTTATTACTAATAGCATCATCATTATCTTCATCATAGTAACTTCTCTCACTACCATTTTTTTATTACTAATAGCATCATCATTATCTTCATCATAGTAACTTCTCTCATTACCATTTTTTTTATTACTAATAGCATCATCATTATCTTCATCATAGTAACCTCTCTCATTACCATTTTTTTATTACTAATAGCATCATCATTATCTTCATCATAGTAACCTCTCTCATTACCATTTTTTTATTACTAATAGCATCATCATTATCCTCATCATAGTAACCTCTCTCACTACCATTTTTTTTATTACTAATAGCATCATCATTATCTTCATCATAGTAACTTCTCTCACTACCATTTTTTTTATTACTAATAGCATCATCATTATCTTCATCATAGTAACCTCTCTCATTACCATTTTTTGTATTAGTAATAGCATCATCATTATCTTCATCATATTAACTTCTCTCACTACCAATTTTTTTTATTACTAATAGCATCATCATCTTCATCATAGTAACTTCTCTAACTACCATTTTTTTTATTACTAATAGCATCATCATTATCTTCATCATAGTAACCTCTCTCATTACCATTTTTTTTATTACTAATAGCATCATCATTATCTTCATCATATTAACCTCTCTCATTACCATTTTTTTTATTACTAATAGCATCATCATTATCTTCATCATAGTAACCTCTCTCATTACCATTTTTTTATTACTAATAGCATCATCATTATCTTCATCATAGTAACCTCTCTCATTACCATTTTTTTTATTACTAATAGCATCATCATTATCTTCATCATATTAACTTCTCTCACTACCATTTTTTTTATTACTAATAGCATCATCATCTTCATCATAGTAACTTCTCTCATTACCATTTTTTTATTACTAATAGCATCATCATTATCTTCATCATAGTAACCTCTCTCATTACCATTTTTTTTATTAGTAATAGCATCATCATTATCTTCATCATAGTAACTTCTCTCATTACCATTTTTTTTATTACTAATAGCATCATCATTATCTTCATCATATTAACTTCTCTCATTACCATTTTTTTTATTACTAATAGCATCATCATTATCTTCATCATATTAACTTCTCTCATTACCATTTTTTTTATTACTTATAGCATCATCATTATCTTCATCATAGTAACCTCTCTCATTACCATTTTTTTTATTACTAATAGCATCATCATTATCTTCATCATAGTAACTTCTCTCACTACCATTTTTTTTATTACTAATAGCATCATCATTATCTTCATCATATTAACTTCTCTCATTACCATTTTTTTTATTACTAATAGCATCATCATTATCTTCATCATAGTAACCTCTCTCACTACCATTTTTTTTATTACTAATAGCATCATCATTATCTTCATCATAGTAACCTCTCTCATTACCATTTTTTTTATTACTAATAGCATCATCATTATCTTCATCATATTAACCACTCTCATTACCATTTTTTTTATTACTAATAGCATCATCATCTTCATCATATTAACCTCTCTCATTACCATTTTTTTTATTACTATTAGCATCATCGTTATCTTCATCATATTAACTTCTCTCACTACCATTTTTTTTATTACTAATAGCATCATCATTATCTTCATCATAGTAACCTCTCTCACTACCATTTTTTTTATTACTAATAGCATCATCATTATCTTCATCATATTAACTTCTGTCATTACCATTTTTTTTATTACTAATAGCATCATCATTATCTTCATCATAGTAACCTCTCTCACTACCATTTTTTTTATTACTAATAGCATCATCATTATCTTCATCATAGTAACCTCTTTCGTTACCATTTTTTTTAATTACTAATAGCATCATCATTATCTTCATCATATTAACTTCTCTCATTACCATTTTTTTATTATTAATAGCATCATCATTATCTTCATCATACTAACCTCTCTCATTACCATTTTTTTATTACTAATAGCATCATCATTATTTTCATCATAGTAACTTCTCTCACTACCATTTTTTTTATTACTAATAGCATCATCATTATTTTCATCATAGTAACTTCTCTCACTACCATTTTTTTATTACTAATAGCGTCATCATTATTTTCATCATAGTAACTTCTCTCATTACCATTTTTTTTATTAGTAATAGCATCATCATTATCTTCATCATAGTAACCTCTCTCACTACCATTTTTTTTATTACTAATAGCATCATCATTATTTTCATCATAGTAACCTCTCTCACTACCATTTTTTTTATTACTAATAGCATCATCATTATCTTCATCATAGTAACCTCTCTCACTACCATTTTTTTTATTACTCATAGCATCATCATTATTTTCATCATAGTAACTTCTCTCATTACCATTTTTTTTATTACTAATAGCATCATCATTATCTTCATCATAGTAACCTCTCTCACTACCATTTTTTTATTACTAATAGCATCATCATTATTTTCATCATAGTAACTTCTCTCATTACCATTTTTTATTACTAATAGCATCATCATTATTTTCATCATAGTAACTTCTCTCATTACCTTTTTTTATTAGTAATAGCATCATCATTATCTTCATCATAGTAACTTCTCTTACTACCATTTTTTTTTATTACTAATAGCATCATCATTATCTTCATCATAGTAACTTCTCTCATTACCATTTTTTTATTACTAATAGCATCATCATTATCTTCATCATATTAACTTCTCTCATTACCATTTTTTTATTACTAATAGCATCATCATTATCTTCATCACAGTAACTTCTCTCATTACCATTTTTTTTATTACTAATAGCATCATCATTATTTTCATCATAGTAACTTCTCTCTACCATTTTTTTTATTACTAATAGCATCATCATTATCTTCATCATATTAACTTCCCTCATTACCATTTTTTTATTACTAATAGCATCATCATTATTTTCATCATAGTAACTTCTCTCATTACCATTTTTTTTATTTCTAATAGCATCATCATTATCTTCATCATAGTAACCTCTCTTATTACCATTTTTTTTATTACTAATAGTATCATTATTTTCATCATAGTAACTTCTCCCACTACCATTTTTTTTATTACTAATAGCATCATCATTATCTTCATCATAGTAACCTCTCTCACTACCATTTTTTTTATTACTAATAGCATCATCATTATCTTCATCATAGTAACCTCTCTCATTACCATTTTTTTATTACTAATAGCATCATCATTATCTTCATCATATTAACCTCTCTCATTACCATTTATGTTATTACTAATTGCATCATCATTATCTTCATCATAGTAACTTCTCTCATTACCATTTTATTTATTACTAATAGCATCATCATTATCTTCATCATAGTAACTTCTCTCATTACCATTTTTTTATTACTAATAGCATCATCATTATCTTCATCATATTAACCTCTCTCACTACCATTTTTTTATTCCTAATAGCATCATCATTATCTTCATCATATTAACTTCTCTCACTACCATTTTTTTTATTACTAATAGCATCATCATTATCTTCATCATATTAACTTCTCTCACTACCATTTTTTTTATTACTAATAGCATCATCATTATCTTCATCATAGTAACTTCTCTCACTACCATTTTTTTTATTACTAATAGCATCATCATTATCTTCATCATATTAACTTCTCTCACTACCATTTTTTTTATTACTAATAGCATCATCATTATCTTCATCATACTAACTTCTCTCACTACCATTTTTTTTATTACTAATAGCATCATCATTATCTTCATCATATTAACTTCTCTCACTACCATTTTTTTTTATTAGCATCAATTATCTTCATCATTATCTTCATCATTTTAACCTAGCTCATCATTATCTTCATCATAGTAACCTCTTTTTTTTTTTTTTACTAATAGCATCATCATTATCTTCATCATAGTAACTTCTCTCATTACCATTTTTTTTTTTTACTAATAGCATCATCATTATCTTCATCATAGTAACTTCTCTCATTACCATTTTTTTTTATTACTAATAGCATCATCATTATCTTCATCATAGTAACCTCTCTCATTACCATTTTTTTTTTGTTACTAATAGCATCATCATTATCTTCATCATAGTAACCTCTCTCATTACCATTTTTTTTATTACTAATAGCATCATCATTATCTTCATCATAGTAACCTCTCTCATTACCATTTTTTTTATTACTAATAGCATCATCATTATCTTCATCATAGTAACCTCTCTCATTACCATTTTTTTTATTACTAATAGCATCATCATTATCTTCATCATAGTAACCTCTCTCATTACCATTTTTTTTATTACTAATAGCATCATCATTATCTTCATCATATTATTAACCATTTTTTTTTATTACTCTCACTACCATTTTTTTATTACTAATAGCATCATCATTATCTTCATCATATTAACTTCTCTCACTACCATTTTTTTTATTACTAATAGCATCATCATTATCTTCATCATATTAACTTCTCTCACTACCATTTTTTTTATTACTAATAGCATCATCATTATCTTCATCATATTAACTTCTCTCACTACAATTTTTTTTATTACTAATAGCATCATCATTATCTTCATCATATTAACTTCTCTCACTACCATTTTTTTTATTACTAATAGCATCATCATTATCTTCATCATAGTAACTTCTCTCATTACAATTTTTTTATTACCAATAGCATCATCATTATCTTCATCATAGTAACCTCTCTCATTACCATTTTTTTTATTACTAATAGCATCATCATTATCTTCATCATAGTAACCTCTCTCATTACCATTTTTTTATTACTAATAGCATCATCATTATCTTCATCATATTAACTTCTCTCACTACCATTTTTTTTATTACTAATAGCATCATCATTATCTTCATCATAGTAACTTCTCTCACTACCATTTTTTTTATTACTAATAGCATCATCATTATCTTCATCATATTAACTTCTCTCACTACCATTTTTTTTATTACTAATAGCATCATCATTATCTTCATCATAGTAACTTCTCTCATTACCATTTTTTTTATTACTAATAACATCATCATTATCTTCATCATATTAACTTCTCTCACTACCATTTTTTTTATTACTAATAGCATCATCATTATCTTCATCATAGTAACTTCTCTCACTACCATTTTTTTTATTACTAATAGCATCATCATTATCTTCATCATAGTAACCTCCCTCACTACCATTTTTTTTATTACTAATAGCATCATCATTATCTTCATCATAGTAACTTCTCTCATTACCATTTTTTTATTACTAATAGCATCATCATTATCTTCATCATATTAACTTCTCTCATTACCATTTTTTTATTACTAATAGCATCATCATTATCTTCATCATAGTAACCTCTCTCATTACCATTTTTATATTACTAATAGCATCATCATTATCTTCATCATAGTAACCTCTTTCGTTACCATTTTTTTTTACTACTAATAGCATCATCATTATCTTCATCATAGTAACTTCTCTTACTACCATTTTTTTATTACTAATAGCATCATCATTATCTTCATCATATTAACTTCTCTCACTACCATTTTTTTTATTACTAATAGCATCATCATTATCTTCATCATAGTAACTTCTCTCACTACCATTTTTTTTATTACTAATAGCATCATCATTATCTTCATCATAGTAACTTCTCTCACTACCATTTTTTTTATTACTAATAGCATCATCATTATCTTCATCATATTAACTTCTCTCACTACCATTTTTTTTATTACTAATAGCATCATCATTATCTTCATCATAGTAACTTCTCTCACTACCATTTTTTTTATTACTAATAGCATCATCATTATCTTCATCATAGTAACTTCTCTCACTACCATTTTTTTATTACTAATAGCATCATCATTATCTTCATTATAGTAACTCCTCTCACTACCATTTTTTTCTTGCTAATCATTGGCAACTCTAGGAGGAGCTGGTGAGTCACATATTGAATAGGAATCGAGCGCAAAAAACGAAATGTTTTACCTGTGGCCGGACCTTGTTTTTCACGGAAGTGAAAACCGAGTCTAACTGGGCGTCTTTGCTGAATGCAAACCTCTCGTCCTATGAAATAAATACGATATATTGCTCAAAACCTCTCCTTTAGGAGTGAGTAAATAACTCTGGTAAAGACTTTGGACAGAAATTTCAGGAAATATTTTACAGACGTTGGACATCATTATATATATTTAAAGCTACTTCGTACCTTGAAATCAATAAGTGGTCTTCCCCTTATGAACCTGTCAATCAGCTGTCTTTCAAGGGCTTCCCAGTTGTACTGAACCAATGTTCCCTGACCCACCTCTAGAGAGTAATTACACTGCGCCAAGACAAGGGGTAGAAGATCTCGTTCGGTGTCGTATGAAATCAGATGTGACCTTGTCACGTCTTGCAGCTGTATGTGGGGCAGGTCTCTAGTAATCACAAGGAACAATGACATCGAACATTTGCAATGAATTCCAAGCGGCTGCAAGGATACCCAAAGGTTACACAGAGAGGTTCATTCTTAAAATCAGTTATTCTTATTTCGTGTCTATATCTACTTGTGGCTAGTTCACAGAGAACATGATGTCGATTGCTGATCAGTTGTGATCATAAAATATTCGCATTCATAATTTTTCTTTAAAACGTGAACTGACGGCTCCCAGCCTTCAGCCAAACTAACAAAATTGTGAAAGCGCGAGATGAAAAAATAATTGCCAAATGAAATTGTAAAAAGAAATTGTTAACACGTTAAAATTGGCAAATTAATCGTTGTACGTTCAGCACATTGGCAATATAGAGCGGGAGCGATGTTTGAAGCTACTAAAGGAAATTTACTTCATTGTCGACGCAGCATATCGTCTCACTGAAACTTAGAATAGGACTGAAAGCGTTGTGAGGTCATTTACGGTACTACTAGGAAAGTAACTCTTGGGGTGGGTGGCATGGGGAAAAGGTTCCGTCATCGCACTTACTTGACTTTACCGCCCATCAAGTTTTGATATCTTTCGTTGAACTCGTTGTGAAGCATGGTGAGGAAAAATACCAGAGCCGTGGAACAGATACCCATGCCGGAGGTACTTGGCAGGAGTACAGCAAGTGGACGTGAATTATCCATGGACTGGTCACACAAGTCCTTTGGAGGACGTAGACGCCCTGTTTAGGACAATGAATGGTTGAGAAGAGATATACTACATACGTAGATAAATCATAGTCAGTGGTCTGGGACAGTAGCACTTTTAACCTTTCTTTTGCTCCTCTATACACCCCGTGGCTCTATGCTGTGCGGACGAGGGGGGAGGAGGGGGGGAAGGAATGAAAAAGAACATGAACTTGAACTTAGTGAATCGTTTGTAAAAGGCGGGTAAAATTATGTCCTGAGTACCTTATGCATGTTTGGTTTGTGCCGTTTAATAACTTGATAATACCGTAAAATCTAATAGGTTTACGACCTGCTTCATTCGTGAATACTCGTTTACAAATGTTGCCAATCTAGGCATACCTTGCTGATCAAGACTAAGCCGCACAAGGTTCCATGCCACGTTAAAGCTCGCTATCAGTGACGCAAGTTCATCTTTCTCTGTTTCTGTGAAGGAAGACAAAAAGTCAAGGGATTTGATATAACAGAAAAAATTAAGGAAAAAATCACTCGACAGTCAACTTACTTGAAGGAATATTCCGCAGGAATTCTCTTATATTCATGCGCTGTGCTTCAGTTCTGTCAATTCGACGATGGAATTTGTCCATCAGAAGACGCTGTAGTTTTATAATGTCGGGCAGAAAACGGAGAGCGCGGAGTTTGTGTTCCTATAGATAAACAACAAATAAATGTAAACGGCAAAAGGACTGACAATTGATGGATGACATCTATCCGTTCATCATCATCATTCGTTGATGCTGCTCATTACCCAATAGCTCGTACCTTATGTTTTAAGAAATTTTTCAGTTCAACATGTAAAAATGTAAAAATTGGTAAGTGAAAGTAGTTTAATATGGTTTACCTGCCGTAAAAACTCCGCTAATACTTTGTTCCTCTCAGGATCAGTGGAAAATACCTCTTGTTGAAATGTGTGCGCAAAGTGATCAAGAGTCACTTGAGTCCGGTATCTCCATAGGGCAGGGCAAGTGGGAGGGATACCACCAGTCAGAGCTTCAGTAGAGACGTCTATCTCAAACAGCTGACGCAGTAGGGGATTGTTACCTGCGGAAACAATCAAGAGCCATCAATTTGATATTTTTTCTTGAAAAAAAAAGCGAGAATTGTATTTCCACCCTCTAAACACGGACTTGTCGATTCTCCATCTGGTTCACAATAATTTTATTGAAGATGAGTTGTAATAACTGGCATAGGCCTACAGCAAGAGATTATAAACTCTCAGCAGCTTATAATCTCTTGCCTTAAGTATAAAAATCCCGGAAAATGGCCTAAAAACCAGTAAAGAAATTCTCCAAAAAAAGGAACGTAACTTTTAATTTTATCCCGCAATTTTTTTCCTTAAATACCGATTCATTTCAATTTTTCCCAAATAATCACATACAAAAACACGAGATTCCTGTGGTGAAATTGCATGGAAGCACCTTCAAATTGATTTAAAATGATCATTTATTTACAGAACAACGTAAGTGGTTCGTCTCCTTCCATATTTCACTTTCAAACAAACAATAACGATGACATCAAACAGTTAGCAGAGTATGTTCTACGAACCACGTGAATTCTTTTTAATTTATCGACTGTATGTTTCCAAACATTTTCATCTAAATATCCTTATATGTTCTAAAAATCCTGTTTGTCTCTAAATATCCTAAAAATATCTAGTCCTAAATTGCCAGCACTTTAAGCCCATAATTAAACGAGTTGATGGCTTTTCTTACTGGAAGGGTACCAACGTCCAAGGTCACATATTGTTATTGTTTCATGAGGAAATGAACTCACCGAGCCGCTTGTCACTAACCAACATTTGTAAGCACCGTTGAATTTTCTCTTCAAGGTTCTAAAAGATAGGAAAAGAAAATCAGTGACTCGACAGATAACAAAAGTAAAACCTGAGCTATTACAAAAATCTGACATACCGTTAACAATGGAGTCACAACAGTGGCACTGAAAGCTGCTTCCCATGCTCTCCGAGACTCCTTCGATCTCATGTCATAAGCAAAGTCTGCGGCCTGTTGCGCTAAAACGTTTCAAATCTCATTAGATTGCAAATGAAACTGCTTCAATGGGTTTCTATCTATCCGTCTAATAAGATCAAATATTTGAACCCATGGCGCAAACATACGTTTGAACATATATAACTAAAAATGTGCAGGATCTAAAATGTAACAGAATAAACTTTCCTACCGCATTAGGCCATGATATGCACTTTGTAATTTTTCCTATTCATTTGATATTTATGCGGAAAAGTCCTATTATGAGGACTGGTGCGAAAAGCAAAGAGACTTTAATTACGATTGGCAAATTTCCGAGTTTTTTTCGTCATTCTTCGAAAACGAGAAGCACGTGGTATTCTTAAAAGCCTACCACTATTGACATGGGCGGTCATCTGTGCAAGGACCATGTGGATACAAAGCACCGTGTCGTCCACACTCCTCCCCAGGCTTTTGGCGAGAACTTCAAAGTCCAACCGCAGGTGATCCCACAAAAAACGTGTCAATGCCGCTGGTGGAATTGTCGGATTGATGAGGTTGGAAATATTCTAGACAAAGTAAAATAATCAAGACGAAGTTTTACAGGTGTTTTAAAACTTACCCACATAAGAATTCGTTAATGTTTACTTAATAATTTAATTCGCGGGCCATCAAATGTATAGAAAGGCAGAACTTAATTCATACTTTTTTGGTTTAAGTATATATAATTGCCGTTTTATCTAAGTACATAAAGCACCAAGACACCTTCTCTAAACATTTCTCCGACTAATTTAAAGTATAATACCTCCTACCTAATCCCTCTGAGTGATCCATTTATGATCACAACAAAACTGAGGTCAAAAGCAGAAGGAGCACAAAAGCAAGAACAACCATATCTTCAAAAACAATGACAAATGAGGTGAAGGACACTAAGAAAAGATACAACTTCCTTTAGTCTTCTCAGATAATTCCTGATACCTAAAGAATGAACCAAAGGAAGAGAAGGAGTTGTGATGACTCCAAGAGTAACATACTGACAAGTTCTAGATTCACATTTTCACCTCTACTAGTTTTTTCTGTATGAGAAGGGTTACTTATTGAACAAGAAATAATTAACCCTTTTCAAGATATAGTCGAAGGGATAAGGGCCAGCTCACCTGTGGATGCCGGTGGGCTCCTTCAATCATGGCACAGTGCATAAGAATCCGTGTAATGCCGACAAGAACAGGCGACAAGTTCCTTTCAGGAGCAAGACTTCTGGACCTGGTATTAGCATGGCCAAGCACGTGGCCCGTCATTGTTCGATCCCCCCTGGAGACAAAAGATAACACAATCAAAGTTTATATTTTTAAACTTCGGGGTCATTTAATGTATTAAGTAAAAAATGTTCAATTAAAATTACTTCCGGGAAAGTAAACGGTCACCAATAAGCAAAAGAAATGGGTTAAACAGCTCATCCAACACCAAATGAGATTACTCATGTACACCTAAGCCATCAGAGGTTACACGAGTAAGTTAAGCATAATTTGGGCACCATTAAAGAAATCGACAAAAACCATTAGTGTCTGGGAAGTTGCGAAAATGTTTTCAAACCAACGCTCTATAGGGCATACGGCACTTAATGTATTTACCCATGTAACGGAACGGTTAATGTAATCAAATAAAGCGCTATTCCATACCTCTGAGCCGCAGTATTCCCTTGTGAGAGACGATACCCGGCTCCCCCTATTTGGACCTTGCACTCAGGGCAAACCTTCACCTCGACGGGGCGACCACACTGTAAAAATAGAAAAATAACAATCTAAGGACGATACTACCAGCCATACGGGATAGAAGACGCGATTGCTGCAGTGTCTACTTGAGTTTTGAATACACTAAGCGGCGAAATTTCCTTGCCCACAGTCCTTTCAGTGGAAAAAACTTGATATTAAAGTATAGGTGGGGTACTATATCATCAATGTTTATCGCCACCTATCTATGACTAGTGCCTTAGACCAACGTGCTCACGTTTCCTTGGTTAAAGTTCGTTTCTTACCAAATGATACTGTCTACAATGATTTAAGCTGAATTACGCAAGCAGAGGCCACTCTTGTGTTAAAAGGTGATACTCACATCTCCGATGTAGTAGGGATGTCCTTTTGGGCATTCTGCGAAAAGATAAGTATGTCTCCCGTTGACATAAAAACTTACATTCCACCATCTAACCAAAATTAAATTTTTTTAAATATCTTGAGCTACTTACGATACCAGCTCCCACCCTCACGCATTCCCGCTCTTGCTTCCTCAAGGTTGTCGTCTGGCATTGTGGGTAAATAGGCATTCTGAGATACAAACGAAAGAAACTTTATCAAAAGGATATCACTTCGTAAAACTATTATCAATTTAGCAACTACTAGCATTTAGTGAATATAAGCAAGGCTTAGTTTGGCTTTCTTATTAATCTTAAGCGTACCATCAAAGCTACAGGATTGTCCATAAGTTGACGCAATGGCTCGCAAATAGTCATTTGATTTGTGCACTGTAGCACAGCAGTGGTATGAACAACAATTTCCGCCAAACTTTGGTCCAAAGCTGATCGACCGGGAGCTACTCGGACGCCAGGAAACCCTGCATCACCTTGGGTGTTGTTTAGAAGCTGAATGGCGAATTGTTGGGCCTGCGGAAAACAAAAGTTGTTAAAGCGGAGAAACTGGTGACCAAGGGGAGTTAAAGAGTCCACATGAAAAGGTAAAATTGCAGATGTCACCCAGAAATAACATGCTCCGTTTTAACTCACCCCAGCAGAAAGCTGAGCACCTTCACTTATAAATTCTTGAAAACACTGGTGAGCCTGAAAAAGCAAAGCATTTAATAAGCTATCAGGGACTACCGCTTGATCTCATCGAGGTGAAAAATCTAAAACTGCAGCTAAAAACCCTACAACGAGGAAAACCAATCACGATTTTCCCCTATGTTTCTTGATCAAGTACTGAGATTTTAACCTTCATCGAAAGAAAGGACACGGCGCATGTATTCATTTCCTTGTTGTTTACATGTATATACACTTCTTTCCTAACAAAATCAGGCTTGCCAATAATATTCTGTTTATCGACGTGTATGACTGTGAACTACCTGTGTAATACGATATGAAGGTATGTTGATGTTTGGTCAGCTTATTGACATCATAAGTGCACCTTTACGAATAGCAACAGACCTCCTTTCAGTGGTTTATTAGAGTCAGCTAAGCATGTATCACGGTTACATAAAAAATACTGTTAGTTTCTTACTCTTGGGGAGAGTTGTCGTTGAGTGGAGGTGAAACCATAGCAAGTGGTCACTTCACGATATTCAGACAACAAAATCATGACATCCCTCACGACAGGCGGCAAGACAATGCTCTATAAACAATACAGGAAAGATAAATTTCATCGCCAATAAAAGACAGCATTTACTTCTACACTATAATATCTTTTAAAACAACTCGATGCACGCGCTTTGGAAACTGCCTTTCTCTGTCACGTAGTTGAGTAGTTTTCGTTTTCTTCGCAGCATTACATTTCGCTTTTCCAGTATTTTATTATCATATTCTGAGAGTATGCCTCGTGGTAGAAAAATGCGATCGAAAACCAACCATTAAGTTTTAACTACACGGCCTCGTTTAAGACAACGAGACAATCAAAACTATTTCGAATTTGAGACTAAAGCGATCAACAGTGTGGATGTAAACAGCTATAGGCTGTCTCTTACGGTTTCGTACCTGGAGCGCGCTATTCAACTCCTTCGGTGTACCACTTAGCACAGTCTCTGCCATAGCTTCTCTGATATTCTTGTACTCCTCTCCGTATATAATAAACCTATCAGGACCAATATCTCCTTGCTGGAGAAGACAAAAAGGGAAAATAAATGAAGGGTATTAAGTTTACTACAAAGGGTTAAAATAGAAAAGAAGCTTGTAATTTAAAAGAGATTTATAACTGAAATAAGAGGCGAAGGTATTGACCTAATCTACTTCTTCACGCATTTTACCTGTTTGTCTCTACTCTCTGGTGGCAAAATCCACTCAGACTCCTTTTTATCACACAAGATATTGATCGACTCCACACCAAACCTCCTCGCTAGCTGTCTCAGAAGGTACAGTCGGGGAATCTGGCTCAGACTCTTGTAGCACATTCTCCTTGCTCCTTCAAAAAGGCTTTGTAATTCGTTTTGTACAACCCGATCATTCCACGGACCGTCTTTTTCTGTGACACTTTCGTACATAAACTTAGCAACTAATGCTAAAGCATAGCGCGCTTTAGCAACGGCTTCTAAAACATCTACATCGAGGTCTCGAGTGTGTTGCTGTGGCGAGTTGGAGGTAAGCAAAGGAGAACATTCATCGCAAAGTTGCTGAGCAAGTTTAATCATAACAAGCAAATTGTCCGAGGCTTTAGAATACAAGCTGATCAGGGAGTCCTGCAAACAGAGTGAACGACAAAGTAGTGAGAAACTTCTTCAGATTATCTTTTGTGTGCAGCAATGGACAGAGTATCACGCTATCTTTGAAAAGATAGTTATTTCTAGAGAGATATTAATACAGTGTAGTTATTCACAACAAGGAAAGCATTTTCATAATTAAGTTAGGTTGATCAATGTGATTCCTTGTGATGATAAATTGCCAACACAAAAAGAAAATAACTAAAGGATAAATAGAGTACTGAATCTCTTGTGGGTCAGAACTAGATCAAAGGCGAGTGCTGAATAAAGAGCCTGTTCCGTAAACAATAGCAGTACTGCGTATTTCAAATAAATTGTAATTCCAAAGCTCACCTCCCAACAGTGCACAAAAAGTTGACAGACTTGTAACAAATGACCTGTTTCTGGTCTAAGCTCTCGAGCGCTGGCCAAGTAGTGTGTTAAATGCTCTTTTACTTCCTTGTCACTGGAAAAAATAGTGATAAAAATGAGCAACGATAAAGAAAAGGGAAATCACGATGGTAGAAAGAGACTATGACCTGATATAACATTCATAGTAGGAAAATAAAGAATTTGATTGATACAAATAGTGAAAATAATTGCCCTAAAGACAAAAGGTTTCGAACCCTGAGGTTAAAAAAAACGAAGGAGTGATTTTCGGCTGGTGCCGCACCATTATCTAAGGAATTTGTCAACCTTGGTCGGATGGCAGAGCATTGGTTTTTCTACTTTAAGCCCCACAAATAAAAAACGTATTACCGCCATTAACAGCTGTACATACCCTGCTCTCAGGAGTTGTTGTAGCAGAAACGATCTAACTACAGGTGTTGCATCAATGCCATGTTCCGGAAAAGGAGAAAAATCCTTAGTCTTTGAACTGGCTTCTATCACATAACTCATGAACATTTTAAACAGTTCAGGATCCATAACACCTTCATCGTCCTTTGTGCCAAAACAGAACAATGAGACAAGCTCCATGAAGAAGGAGTTGCACCGACGACGGAAATCGAAGTGTTCTCGAACAGCTTTCCTGTAAATATAATTGCACACCCAACTCGGTCAATGAATGGTTCTTAAAATAAGGGAATAACATTATGCGAAGCGGTTATATCTATCTCCAAAGACTTTTATGTCATTACTACAGTGTATAGCAAATGATGATAAGTTTACAAAGAGGAAAGCGCAACTTTTCGTTTGATTCTCCATTATCAATCTCATCCAAAACGCCTTGTGCGAGGAACTTAGACTTATGCTCAAGTTCAAAATTCTTTACGAAACTGAAAACACTTAATGTATTTTTCATTAGTTCATTTTTTCGTTGATTGATGGGGAACTTTTCAATTGAGTGTTGAAAGTACTATGGAATGGCCTGATTTCGCTTTGCTGAGCTTTACAATGGATCTAGAAATTTGCCCCATTCTCCCAGTCAATCAGATGAAATTCCGACTTGATCACGCGTGTTTACCCCTTGAATATGGTTGTTTCCATGTGGGCGAAACTGATCTGCAGGCCAGTTGACTTGGGGCGAACCGACCTATGGGCGATATGAACTGTAGGCGAAACAAATCTGCAGGCTACCTGACTTGGGGGCGTATCGATCCGTAGGTAAGATGACTTGTGGGCAAAACTAACCTGTTATTCGAGATGACTTCTAGCGCATCTGTGTTTTCTTCATTAATTCTTTAGAGCACTTGTTTTCTGATTGGCCGTTGTTTGATTGCTTTAGTTTTGGTTTTTAGAACAATTAAATTTAACGCGCTTTAAAACATAGGTAACCGTTATTTCCACACATAGTCCTACTATATAGGGCCTCTTGCACAAAATACAGGTATTTACGATGGCTCCCTGTGCGAGCTTGGGCTACCTAGGCTACAATAAATACATTATACCTTACAAGTTTGGTGGGTAAGATCTTGAAATCATCCGGTACGTCTCTCTTGCAGCACGGACATTTTCTCTCCCTTTCAATCCAGCTAGTGATGCACGCAAGGCAAATTACGTGACCACAAGGCATTTTGACAGGATCCTTCTGAGCCAGACCATCCAGACACACAGGACAGGTGTTCACACCATAACTGTGGGACAGAAGAAATGCTGCTTAAGGGCAACGAAACCTATCTGTGTAAGTTTTAGACGCACGCACGGGAAGCACGATGAACGTTGGAAGGAGAGGTCACTCTCATCGAGGCGAATCGAGGGCAAGAAAATTATCAAAAAAGATTTTGAAAAACATCAGTAATACTAGCGCCTTTTTAAAAGCACAATGACAGAGGTCCAATTCATGACCAACTATCCTAACATTTTTACTGCCATCTCCTTACCTGGTATAACGTTTACTAACAGCTTCGCTGCAATCCACAAGAAACTTTTCAATAACTCGCATTGTTTGCGGCTTTGTAAAGTCTGTCTCATCACCCAACGCCTGTTAGAAAGATTGTTTTGGAAACAGAGGAAACAGAAAGTGAAATCTAAAGTCAAAGCACTAAGAACCACAACACACTCTTAAGCTATTCAAATACAAGCATAGATATTTCGACCCACCTTCCACAGTTTAAAAACATTCCTCACATCTGCTGGGTGGCATGCAACTGTGCCAGGGCAGGTATGTTCAATAAACAATCGCACAGCACTTACTCTCTGCCAAGTTGACCTGACACAGAAAGTTCACGAAAGAAAAAAAAAGTAGTGATATCAGATACAATAATATCCTTACCTATTAAGTTTAGGTACAAGCTCTAAAAAGTAATCTTGACTGCGGTTATTATTTCTTTTGAGTGTACTTCAGGTAAGAGGTTAAGAGCCAAAAGCAAAGCGAATTCCACCGAAAAAAACTGAAATGTGATTAGTCGATCTAGAATTTTAAAAAGTGCAATACCTGCAATTAAGTAGAATGTGGTTTACTTTCCGGCCATACTGTGAAAGATTACTGATCATGTTCTCAGCACTTGTTCTGATACTCAACACTCTGTTACACCATACTAAGCGAGTCTGTGGATCGTCAAACTCTTCAGCACCAGGTTCAAGTTTGGACAAGCAAATCTCTAGAGCGACGGCATCCAGGACCTTGAAGGTATTATTGCATCATATCAATCTTACTGCTACACTGTTTTTATTCATAATTCAAAAATATAAGTGCGTGAAACGTCCTAAAGCGTAAAAGGCTAAAAATAAGAAGGCTAAATTTAATCTCATGAAATTTTCGATTGAAGGATTACTTTTCAAAACAAGCAATAAGCTTACCATCTCCGTTTCGCTTGGAGGAATAACTTCCCGAAGGCTGGTGACAATATCTGGTTGAGCCTGTACTAGTTGGCAGAAGTTCGTCAAACGTTTCTCGATGCGATCATAAGCCACGTGGATGAAAGAGATGGTGAGGGTGAATTCCTCATCCGAACATGTCTCATCATGCAACTTGCGAGCGGCTGTGACAATGGCTTGACTAATTAGCTGTTGAGTAACAAACAAGAATGAATATACTACCAGGCTTCTGAAAAAAATTAATACAAAATGAAAATTTTTTACATTCTTGGTAAGTTCCAAGGTGGCAATTTGGCGATAGCTCGAAAACATAAAATTCAAATTGCCACAGATTCAAGATAATATAGAAGCAGCTGGGTCGATAGTCTCAAGTTCACCCCAGGTTCTCGGTCCACATGTCATTCAGCTAGTAAATTTTATCACCATCTACAGAATAGCAGGTTGGCTTCGTCTCTGCTAATGTGTGACAAACGACAGATTATTTCCCAACATAAGTCAAACCAGGCGAGAAAGGCTATACCCTAGGTTCACATGTGCTTCACACTATGAGGTGAACAGAAAGGTGACGTGAAAAACTATATACAAATGGTCTAGGTAGAGGATCTTTCAGGCTCGTGGGTGAAACTGGTTTACATTCCTGTACGAATTTGCATTTCTTTTTCAACTAAAACAGCAGCCCCTTTCTGCCACTGATTCGATGCATGTCGTGCATAATTCATATGCGCTTGCTACGACAAAAGCGGATCTAGATTTCGTAGAAAAGAGATAGGAGAATCCAATCAGCACTCTTTATGATGTCCTACCTCTTCCTCTCCAGGAACTGTTGGTTTGTGGACCGTGTGAACGAAGTCGTGAAGGTAGCGCATCACTGCGGCTTCCTCGTAGCCTTCATATTCAGTTTCTTCGAGCAGTCGTCCGATTTCCGAAGTAGTCACTAGGTCGCACAAACACCGCTGAACTGGGGTGTTTGTTCTCGCTTATAAAAGAATGAAACAGCAATGACTTCAAGAACCTTCTACTTTCGTTTATATAGCGAACGAAATATATTTATTTTTGACTTCGTCAAAAATTTTTTTTTTCAATGTTAGCTAAATCAAGACGCATACGCAATACTGTTTGGAAAAGAAATGGAAAGACTCGAGGAACTTATGCTATAAACTCAGTGAGTCCCACATGTGAAGTCTACCGAAATTAAAACTAAATAAACAATTAAAACTCGCCGGTTCTTTTTATCCGTGCGTGCAGATTTTGTTTTGAGTTCTGTACTAAACAATCCTTAAAGTTTAGCGTGTTATGAAAGTATAACGCACATTGTTGTGCTTTATTGGCCGAATTTATACTAGAGACGAGTTATCCGTCAGAGACGAATCATCCGTCTCAGACGGATAACTCGTCTAAATATAAATTCAGTACTAAGACGAATTATGGAGCAAAATCCGTCTCAGGCTGATCCGTCTGTCAGCACGTCTTCAAGACGTGCTAACAGACGGATAGCTCGTCTTAGACGGATCATCCGTCTCTAAATTTTTATCTAGACGGAAAACGAGGACGGTTTTTGACGAAGTTTCCTTATGAAAGAGACTGGTTTCTATAGTTTTGCAAGGTTTCCTGGGATGCCTATTTCAAGATGGCGTCCGGTAAAGTAATCGTGCCCTCGAAAGCAATCACAAAAAAGAAGAAGAAAGGAAACAAGAAGTTGACTTGGACAGATCAAGACACGGACGTCTTCGCAGAAGTTATATATGACCCACAATACAGAGGAAGTGATTTCTTGTTTCTTATCTCATCTCTACTTCTTGTCTTCCTATCTTGAGCAAGATTAGCGAGAGAAAAGGGTAACATGAAGTTCATTAAGCTATTTTCCGGCTCAAACATGCGCTTGACAGAGGATATTCTTCTCTGATATACCGCCATATCCAATGCTGTTCTTCTCGATTTCATCAACAAGGCTACGAGAGCCGCCATATTTAAGCTCTTGCCAGGCTTCCACTCGGCTCAACACCGAGACACCCGTCGTGAAACTCGCGAACGATTTATATCTAGACAGATAATTCGTCAAAATTCGTCTTCAGATTTATACTTGGACGGATTATCCGTATGACGGATGATCCGTCTAGACGGACGATCCGTCTCTAGTATAAATCGGGCCATTGTTGAAACTAGAATGAAACTATTTCATGGGTACGCTGAATATTTAAAAAAGTGTTTACCTGCAATACTACAGGCCTCTTTCCACATAGCATCAATTCTCTCTTTGATCAGCCATGAGAAAGGAAACTGCAAGTCAAAATTTTGTCTTTCACACGCAGAAGTCATTACTGGCACGCGCTCCCTTATGATGCCATTCTCAAGGGACAAAAAGCTATCGTACTGAAGTTCAACTATATCTTGGCTTTGGAAAAGTGATATCCAAAGGCGTGACAACCAGGTACCTTCACCCGTCACAAGTTCCAAGTTAGAATCGCGGTCCACAAGGGCAATAACTTCAGAGAGAATTGGTATTACTGACGTATATACTTTCTGCCACAGTGCTTTTCTGAATGTTCCATTTTCTTGGATCCCGGTACCACTCAAAGCTTCTGAGCGTAACCAGTCAATGGCTTTCATCCCAGCCCGCTCATCCTTTTCTTGAAGTAGTTTGTGGATTCGCCGAGACAAAACCGTAGCAAATGACAAATCTGGCAGAAAAAAGATAAACTCTAGTTAGATAACCTTTAAAAACTGGCGAAACCTTATAAAATTCGAGCATGTTTCATTTAAATGGCAAATAATCAATTCTCGCCTTATACCGTAAAAGTTGACTTAGTGCCCAGTCGGTCTTTTCCGAAGTTTACTTAAGCAGGGATCCTGCTTAAGTGAACTCCAAGGCTTGGAGCCTATCTATTGGTAGAAAATGGATTATCTGAAGCTAAACCGATCAGCCGCGTCATCTCAACTAAATGCTAGAAAAAATAATCTAGAAGTCCAGGCACGTTAAATCAAACATCATTTGAGAAAGAAAAGGAGGATCTTAAACGTTCAGACAGATCGGAGACACTTATACGAAAAAAGTGCTGCTTACATTTAGGAGCTTAGATAATGGAGGCACCTATAACAATAACACGTTCGAGTTGGGACACTCGGCATATCGTTAAAGTAAAGAGCAAAGAGTCCTGTTATAATTACCAGTCCCACTAGATCTGCAGTCCGGGAGAAGACTTAACATCAGTTCAATCCGGCGTGTCGATCGTGACGGACGCCAGGACTCTTCGTCAAGTCTTGCAACGGCAGCTTGAATACAGCTTCTCACAAGACTGACAATATCTACTTTATCCAAAATGGCATTAGTCCCGGAAACATCATTCGACGCCTCCATGTCGATATCAGCCTCTGTTTCCTCTTCCTCTTCAACTTCCATATCATCAGCCCGTGTGATGGTCGGTGCTACGTCAAACAAGTTACTGATTGGCCGGTCCACCATAAACTGGATGGCTGGTATTTGACCTGTCGGTGGGCGAAGTTCATCGATGTGGACAGATATCCAGCGTCCTCCTTGAAAACCAGCAAAAGTTGGACAACCTCCAACAAGACGAGGCAGTTGAATGATGAGAACAATATGCACGAATGACGAGGGAGCACACCCAACGCTTTCTAGAAAATCTTGCTCTGCTGTGGTTCTTTGTTCCACTAGCAAGTGACGAGCACAGGGGATCAGTTTGCTATTAAGATCTCCAGCATCACACTGGACCATGAGCAATCCCTCTCTTCCACCAAGTTTCGCAAAAAAATCCCTGTGAACACGAATTAATATTCATGGAATTTACAAACGATATGAAAGTTGTTTACTAAGTTTTACTACTTTTTACTACTTCATTATAGACAAGAAGTTTCATTAAATTATCGACATAAATAGTTATCAAACAAATACCTAGCATTTGATCTACCACTTACAAAACGTCCTCACCTTACAGATGAGCAGAACTGTTGCTCTGTGTGGAACTGCTGCAGACTTAGACATGAGACGTTTGACAATGGCAAAGAGGTAGCAGATGAAATATCTTTCAAATCATTCGACGACAGCAACCTAGCATGAGTCGTCACCTACAAATAGTTAGGAACATACGCATAAGTATAGCTTCCCTCAGAAGTAATAAGTATATGTCACCAGATTTGCAACTACATACTCTGAAAATATCCATGTACAAGTACAGATTTTCACAGCAGATACACAAAGCAGGAACATAATACATAATAGCGGAGCTCGCAGAGCGTAGGCCCATAATTATGCAAAATAGTAGAAACCCATCAAGCCGAAAAAATTTGGATGTACGACTGTACGAATGTGCGACCGTACGACCGTACGACCGTACGACCGTACAACCATACAAGGTGCTACTTTTAATATGCGTGGTCGACTGTACCGCGGGCACGCCAACGCCACAGCTTTGTTCAGTAGTCCAGTGGTCAGTGCACTGGGCTCCGAGTCGGACGACCCGGGTTCTAGTCCTGGCCGGGGCAAGGCGTTGTGCCCTTGAGACGTGCGGGCAAAAAAATATGCGAGCTCCGCTTTTAGGCTTGGCTAAATCTATATATTAACTTAATTAAGACGTAAAAGCAAGTGTATGGAACTTCTGTAGTACTTAAGTAAATATGCCAAAGCACCCTCACCTGAATCAAAGTTCCCTCGGGCTGGCCCAATTTCGTTTCTTCTGATGTTAACACATTTCGAAGGAAAGCTGTTAAACTTGAATGTTCCTGGCCTGTAAAGTAAATCTCCCATAGTTGGTCTGCCCGTGTAGCAAGCTTTGTATGAACCAACCTTGCCACAGCATCAGGTGTGGCGCACTGCAACAGCAATTCCTGGGATTCCTTCAGGACCTACAACGTCAAATGTAATGAAAAATTCAGGATTTAAATTAAAAGACCATTTGAAAGAGCAAAGATACCCTACAAAACAGAAATACACGTGCTTCTTACTTCAGCTCTTACAGGTAGGAACTGAAAAAGTGATGATAACCAAAGAGTATATTTATGCCTTTAGGATTACTTCAAGACATTACTAGCAATGTTGATAACTACATTCTAAATAACGTACCCTTTCCGAAAAATTCTTGTCGTTGAAACGACTGTACAGTTCATCCTCGTCTAAGTCACTGCATACTTGTAGCACTACTGATGCTGCAGTATCGTCGTGGTAACCGACAAATGCATCACCAGGCAAATATTTCCTTTATGGCATGAAGTCAAATTTTTTACATTCAGTGATCTAGGTAAACTCAAACAGCATGATAATAATGCGTTAACATGAGTTTTAGCCAAAAAAATTATTGAACTAAAAAAAATCCCCGTTCTGAATACAACAAACGCCCTAAAATAAAATTTTTAAAAGAGCGAAAAACCATCGTTGAAGCCCTCTGTGATGAAAACCTGAATCTAAATTTTTTCAAAATTTTACTGACCATTTTCCGTCACTATTTCTTATTCTTTACTAGAAATCGGTCGTTACCTGATCAAACAAGAGAAAGAAATAATGGGTCATACGGAATTCGTTTAAGGGTAAATGATGCCAACGCCTCTGGCGCAATAGCAATAGGACAAAGTGACCTAATCACGCATGAAAATTGTGCTGCCAGGCTTTCTGAAACGACATTACAATCTACTATGAAGTAAGCATAATTCTATGAGAAATGAGAGTGTTCTAACTTAAATCCAAGAAATGCTTAGAAATGAAAGAGTTGAAATTTTAGCTGTGGCCAGATTCAATACATACCTCATCTGTTGATGTCGCGGAATGTTGACGTGGGAAAATCCGTTGACCCAATCATTGAGTTGATCTACAACGACTTTTTGAGCAGGACTGAGACTGGCTGACGTCACAAGATAATGTTTCTCCAGGCGATTGATGAGGGGTATTGGAAACTTACTGTAAACGACGTCTTTTTCGGCAATCACAACGAGTCTGTCCATGAAGATTTATTGTATAAAAAGATGTATTAAAATACACACAAACATACAGCTTCGTAGAGAGGACAAATGGGATTTACTTCCCAGACTTCTTCTTGGATGTATTGTAAAGAACCAGGAGAAAGTGCTCTACAATGAATACTTCAAAGAAGAGTACGATCAGTTTCGTTGCGTATTGAAGCAGGTCTTGCAGTTTACTATAGAAGGGATTCCGTCTGTATCCTAAGTGAAATACAAACCGCCGTTATACTTACCTGAAATCATTGTGTACACGGCACTTGACGCGGTGACTTCCTAGTCCAAGGTCAACAAATTTCTGATCTCCACAATACACATAGTACTGAGTGATAAGATTAGAAAACAGTAAGAAAAACATGCACTGCATGACAACGAGAGACAATGAATAACACCGATGCTCGAAGAACGAAAAAGAAGAGAGAAAATGGAACATTACGAAGCTACTGATGCGTGCATTTTCTGGTGAAAATAAAACGAAACGGACAAACAGACCGAGAAAGAATTAATGATAACGAATGATCCATTTTGAAAAGATGTAAACCAGACAGGATTTCTCAGTGCTTGCTTCAGTTTAAAATGTACAATTCGTTACCAAGCTTTCTTTAACATCATTAGAATGTGCTGTACTTTAACGAGAAAAATTATTTTTTTCCTCCCATCCATACCTGATTCAAAGCATCGTAGAGACTCTCGTAGAGGCTCTCTAAATTCAGAAGGATTACAGTCCGTCCTGTCTCCATGCATACCTTAATTCGATTAATGTCTCGGCAAACCTGTAAATATGTGCAACAGAAAAGGGTCGCAAATTCAAACCACTACTCAATCGCCAATAATCCACAATTTATGCCCCAACAGAACAGCGTGTCCACTATGGTTTTAGTTGGACGGTCTAATCGACCAGTTTCTGTGTCAATTCAGCAGTTCTACTATAAGGCTTTATGGGCCATAGGTTTAATTGATCGTTGACTACTCGTACGAAACATAATGATATCAGTAACTCCAGTTGGTCCTATAACCAACGTTAAAACGATCAAAATGACTAACTTTAACGAATATTTTCGTTTTTATTCGTTGTTATCTAAACATACTAAATGGGACGAGTAGCTCCTCTTTCACTTTGATATTACAAGTTTGGTCAATTTGTTCAAGTTGCGATTCTAGCCATTATAGACGCCAAAGATTACAGCCGTATCCTCTGAAGATTATTTCAAACGTTTCAAAGGAGCATCCTATTTACAAGTTGAAATCAACACTTTGACTTGTCAACCATCAAGGTGAGTTCCCTAAATAATGTGGAATAACTGCAATTAGTTATGCCACCTTATTCAGAAGTCAAATTTAGTGTGAATTACATTATTTAATACGAGTGTTACAAAGTGTAAGTACCTGTGTGTACTCCTGATCTTTCGGAAAGCTGCTCCCAAAAATTACGACAGGTTCGTCACCAGGTCGAGTTTCATCACCGGTTCGAAGTAACTCTTTCAAAACAATCGGCAGAGCGGCATAATTCTCTGTCAATACCAGTAGGTATCGACTCTCTCTGTTTAAACCAAAAGAACCAAAAGAAAAACACCTTTTAACAAGAACTGCTCCACTTATTAGATTTTGAATTCTTAATGCATGGATCTGATTTCGCGTAAAAGATTATTAAAGTGTTATCGTTTTATTTGACATGAACAAACCGCTAAAACTTTGTCTTGACAGTTTATCTAATGATAGATAGCAGAGCCGAGCAACTGAGCCCTGCGCAGTGATGAATTAGACAATATTGAACGTCTTCCTTACCCTTTCGTTTTCTTTTGATCTTTAAGGCTGGCCTTGATCAGATTCACAGCAGACAACGGATCTTCATTTTGCTCCATCTTCAAGAGACAAGAGCCGAGTAGATATGCATTGAAGTGAAAATGACAGTGACCTGCTTCAACGGTGATAACATCAATAGCTTGATACGTTCAATGCACATGCGACAAATGCATTCGAGTTAATATCTTTGACCTCTTTTCTAACTATGACAATTTATTTTCATTCATTTCTTTTAAAAGTATTTTTAACAAATGCACAGATCATTAATATTACAAAAACAAAAGGTATGGGTAAACTAGAAATAAAAAAATACCGATAAAACACATACCATGCGGCTTCCACCGAAAGCGAATTGTTTGAAGATTTCCACAGGTTCAATCTCATCCAGTCCCCCAAAGTTTCTTCTTATGGCATGTTCTACCTCAGGCCAACGTGGCTCGCGACCTTGCTCCTCAGCAATTTTGTACACCATTTTCACAAGGCTTGGGGTAAAAAGAAAAATAATTTAAATCCGTTCACTGCCAAAATTTGATAGACGTCAGCTGCAACGGAATTTAATTTGGCTACGAGCCTAAAAGTTTGTACCACATTTAAAGGCGACGTAAGAAGAAGTTACACGCTAATTACTGCTAAGAAGTAGAGTTGAATCCCATCATCCTGATGATAAATCTAAGCTTCCAATAGTTCCTAAAAATATTTACCGACTGAGGGATCTTCCTTGCCAACTAATTTTATTACAAATGGAGAACTTGAAACCTGAAATATTCGTTAACATAGCAGCCAGATGGTGAACGAAAATATTTAAAAAATGCGTCAACTTAAACGATTAATACAAGACATAATTGCAGTACAAAAGCAAGGATTACAAAGTATGTCAAGGGTCTTATTGTGAACTAACCCATCTATTGTAAAGAAAAAGGGACAAAATAGGCTCGCATGTAAGACGCTACAGTTTTAGAGCCCGTATCTGGTCAGTTCTGCCCATAGAACTGCTACATTTCTACATGAGCGTAACCTCAGAGTGGCTAGTAATGACGTATGGTCAACCAAAGATGACCAGGGTTCAGCTACAACACATAAGCAGCTAATCAGTAATAATGAGAGAACTATCAGAATTAACATTTCAATCATACTGCTACCTGTAAAAATCCCGAAGGCCAAAAAATTCATCTTTTTTGGACTCCTGGAGGGTCTCAGACTCTCTTTGATTATCGTACAATTTTTTGTAACCGAGTGCCAGGGGATTCATTAGTGGTGCAACAAAGCTTTGTATGCGTTTATTGGTGGAACAAATGCCCCTACAGAGAAAGAAAATTTATGTTGTGAACGTTTCCTGCATGATAACAAGTTAAAAATCAGTATAAAATATTACATTCCCAAACCGTACTTTAAATTCCTGTTTACAAATTTCATCTGTCACAAGTTTCTATTTCACTACTGAAAGTAGGAAAATAAGGATGCTGTCACGGTTTTAAGTCTGTAGATCGCAGGCTGTCATTATCAAAAATTAACCGAGGGAAAATCTTACATTGCACTTTCCACAAGTTCTTCAGAATCAGGCAGACCACGTGATAACATAATTCCACGGTTCATTTTGGCGGGGTCTAGAGCCCAGTTAGAGATCCCAATGAACGCCACTCTATCTGGAAGTTGCTCTTCATTGGCAATGATGTCATCGGTTGAGTTCACCCCATCTTCAAGTAGCGGATGAAGAGTTTTCAGGGGCATCAAAGGTGAGTCTTCAGCAAGGCCAACCTCGTCCAAGACCACAACTGATACATACTTGTCTGGGTTGTTGGCTTTCTGTAAGTTACTGCAATTGCGAAAGGTTGCCATGATCCCTTCAGCAGTTGAGAGCGGACTGCACTGATAAGAAATCATCTGGACCTGGTCAAAAGTAGAATCAGTAAAGCCGTTCCATCAACTGAGGGAACTTAGTGAGTATACTAATTTCCCCTAATGATTATTGCTTCGAGACATTCTTTTTCAATTATGAATACACCCAGGGCATGCATCATTTTGTTTCAAAATGAGCTTTCAATTTCCTCCAGAACGCGCCATTGCATCATTTTTGAAAAGGGCAGCTTGTACATACATCAACTACCTACCTGCTTGAACGTCTTGAAAAGATCAGACCTTGAGGCATCTCCAAGCATGTTGTCAGTTACAACAGTCTTGGCAAGTGACTTGGAGCTACCCGGTTTACCGACGACAAACAGTGGAATCCTCAGCTCAATACATACCACCATCATGAACACATTTTCGCTCAATGCTGTATTGCGAGCAATGTTTTCCCCAAGTTCCAGTTCATTCAACACTGCCTTCTGACAGCTGGGGAACGATAAAGCACGAAACAACCTCACAAGGTAAGTCCAATCATAAACAGAAATGAAAAAATGCTCGCCCTATCTCGACCACAGGGTACACGATAGATGTTTGTTAACATTACCTTGTGATTTCCTTCAGAATACGTTCTTGTCCGCCGGGCAATTGACAGGGGTTTGCAAAGCTTTGAGCGACGGCTTGACGATATGGCTTTCTGTCCTGAAGGCGTGCGTGATAACAAACCCCAAGGGAGAGCACAACTGCTCGAGTAACATCATCAAGGGGCTAATAAAAACAGAAGAATAAGAGTGGAGTTATAATAGTTGCATCTCTTAGGTTATTGATTCATGGTCTTTCTGAACGTCAGACCTATGTGTGCATGCTTGTTATAAAAATTCGCTTATTTCGATTTATAAAAAGTACATTTAGATGACCTTTCAACTAATTGTCAGGACAATGGTGTCATTCCATGAGTTAGACCCTGACCTTGGTTGCTTAAGCTAAACCAAAGAAAAAATAGACCATCATTGCCCTTTACGAAGAAAAACCAGAAATTCACCATAAGCGAAAAGCCAGATTGAGGATGAGTAGTGCAATACAAACGAATAATCACATCAGTCTACAGTGTGAAGCGATCGCGAGAACAACATCAATGCTGCTCTTACATGATGCTGGAAAGTCATTAAAACTGCGTTACCTGATCCAATTCATCCTCGTCATACTCGACATCGCTGTCGTCATCGTCGTCATCACTGTCTTCATCGGTGTCATCATCCATTAATGGATTGAGAGCATTACGGTGATTGTAAAACCAAACCATCACATTCATTGCACGTTCAACATCGCGAAGACTCACAAAGCTGCACTCATCCTGTTCGGTTCGGTTCAGTGTAATTATTTGAGTAAAGTCAGAAAAGAGTTGCGTTACAATAGAATTCCTACATTTCCTATTTATCTACGATAAGTCTTCGAGCCACGCCAACAAATTTTTTTAGAAAGCTTGACCTACCGTTTGGTCCCTCATGTAGCGCTGAGAAGCAGTAAGTATGGTTGTCAAGGCTTTCACGAGCGAGGCATCTCCTGGAATTTTCTCTTCTTGCAAAACCTTGTTTGAAAAAGGTAAATAATGTTTCCTAAATTGACAGGTCTCTAGGTGTCTCTTAAGTTTTACTCTTCTTCCAAATGAAATCAAGGTCTGGAATTTTGGTCTTCCATCTTCTACAGATCGAACAACGAAAATAGACTCACAAATCTGGTGACGATTTGACGAATGTAAAGCTCCTCAATTTCAGGCTTAAGCTGACCAAAGTCCCATACCAACGGACGCATGCTTTCTGGTAGTGCATGCACTCTGTACACCAGATGCCGAAGAGGAATGTGACCTTTAAGATAAAAAAAAGAAAGATCTGTAGGGCGGAGTCTTTCTCGGAAAAAATGAGAAAGTTAGCATCAAAAAAAATTAAGTGCTACAGGCACATGACTTTAAGACATGGGAAGACTCAATTTAAATCGTTGGCGTTTATTTTATACAGTGCATAGACGCTAAAGGTCACAGCAGTAAGCCCCCGTGCAATGAGCCACTCCTGTCCCGAGGAAGCATCCGTGCCCAAAAATTCACTCTAAGTGAGCTGCATGTCGTTCTCTACATATGTTTATCACTTAGTCAACAATGCTATAGATCAGATATTAATTCACAAAAATTTTATACCAAGGCGATCCTGTGTCTGTTGCGTGGTGACATGGTACCCCAGGCCAGCTGACTCCAACTTATGAATCATTTCATTTGTATGTCTAAGAAACAAAAGTAAAAGAGCTGTTTTGAAATGACACTTAAAGAAAAAAAAAACCTAATATATATATGTAATACTCGAAATTCGCCCAAGGTGTTCAACGTACTTTCTGTAAGGATTGCACGCTGCTATGAACTGTAATCTTTTAAGCCCTACTCCTATCTTTCTGCCATTGACTCGGCGATCGACCATAACCTCTTTGATCATTCCCAAAGCATCAGTTGTGTTAGCTTCGTCAAAGAATAACACCGTATCGATATTCAACGTTTCGTTCACAATAGCCATTGCCTCAGCCTCCTCCACTTTCTTCTCTATGTCTTTGTAGGTAGTACCTCCATGAACCTGTCATTTAGATTAGGTAGGTGTTAATGTTATGACGATCACCTGGAGAAATGTTCAAATAGCAGATGAGAAAATCTCCCTGTGTTACTGCGTAATCTGCGATCATTTCGCGTATTCTTTCACCATTTCATAAAAGTTAAAGCGGGAAAAAATGAGCTATTATCGTTATTATGTAATTTCAAGACAAATATTGGCTTACGAAAAAATAAAGGATTTGGGGAAAGTCAAGGTTTAGGACTGCACGAGATAAATCGTTGAGTGCACGAGCAAGTAACGCTGATTATGGCGGTAATCGGACAAAAAATTTTCAAATCATAATACTAGTTAGGAACTTGGTTACAATAGACTGCAAAAGTGTATTCAGAGATAGCCATAAAAATATATAAAACAACAACCTGTTAAATTCTTACCTTCATTAGAAGCATGTTTTTAGGTCCACCAGGCCCAGACTGTAAGCCACACATGTATCGAATAAGGCATGTTTTACCACAGCCAGTCTCACCCATGATGACCACAGGGATGCCACACCTTGGATTTATTAATTTTAAGATTGAGAGAGCCATATTAGAAACCAAAAATTCGTCTTGTTTTTTATGTAAAATTCCACAATTTCCATCTGCTCAATTACCATTAATTGTCTAACAGTTTTTAAAGATATTCCAACGTACAGTTACTGGAAATTGCGTTCACTGTCATACCTAAAACGCATGTGAATAGCTAAGATTTTCTTCAAGTTGTCTGTGGTGAGCTCGTACGAGTCATCTGGATCACAAGGCCATTCGACACCCATTACTCCGCAAAGTTTTTCGATTTTCTGTCCCCTATAACGAGCAAAATAGCAAGAATATATAAATAAAGCACCCAAGGACTCTTCATTGCAGGGAAAAACACAGGGAAAATCATTCATTATTTGTCCACTGGCTTAATCAAACAACTGTGATCAAAGCAAAGCTATCGAAACCCTACAAAATTTAAGGCCTAGGATATGCTACTGTCGCATACGCAAACGCTAGATCAGCTTCACACTTACTTGCTCCAAGATTCATAGTTAGTTTGCATGTCAACCCTTTGAACGTGAAGGCCGGTACGCAAGTGCCTGGACATCAAGTTTGGCTGAATGGTAACTTGACGGTACGGATCGATTAAGTTCCCATTTGGGTCAATGTGAAAGCCAACAAACGTCATTGTAATACGATCTTGGTTGAAGAATATGTAGGGATGCGAACTGCCAATAAAAAGGGAAAGTATATTACCACTTAAAACCTATGACTGTTGCTTTCAGTGTACATTCGCAAGCCATTCCCTTGTTACCAAAAGCTGTTCCCTGAACAGTTTTCAAAAGCATCACAGTAATTCAATCGGTCCCACCTATACAAAACAGACACACACGTAAAGTATGCACTTTGAAATCAAACAATTTCTAGCATTTGCGCAGATCTTATGTATATAGTCACTGTGCAGACGCAGTGTTACTCATACCTAGTCTCCCAGTGTCTCCTTAGACTAAACTGTGAGACTTCAACTGCTGCAGGTTCCATATCTTCAACAACAGTATCGTCATCAAGGCCTGGAGTTTGAGTGGTTTCTTCACATGTTTTCAGAGATGGTGTGGCAAAATCCTTTTAAGTAACACAAGAAGAATATTTTCAGCAGGTTCTTCTGCCATGATAAACTAGGCCTCTTTGAAATCGGTTTTAGGCATTTTCTTGATAAGGAAAAAGATAGCATGTCTCTGTCTTTCTGATTGACTGGCAGGCAAACAAATGCCTTGAAGAACGGATGAATGATACATGGATAACTTAAGAAACGCAAGATCACGAAGGGAAAAATAAGGATAGTTGTTAGTTCGTGAATGAATAGCAATCTAGACAGAGGGAAGACAAAATAGCGAGCGAGAAGAACAGGATGCAAAGATAGATGGACCAAAAAACTGTACAAGGGCGATCTTGATGACCGTTTGATGGAATTACTTTTAAAAATTGTGTAACGCGTGTAATGAATATATATCTTACCCGTGACATTAAGATCATAAAACGAACCACAAAACTTCTAAAACCCTCAAGAGTGTCCCCCACCAATTCCATGTTGCAGAACGAACTTTCTTCGCAGGCTTGTAGTTGGGAGTCGAGAAAATTCACAAAGTGCCGTATCTCGGCCCATGAAGGGTTCTCGATACCACAATGTCTGTGATTGGATTTGATTGGAAAAAACATGAGTATTTGAGTGTTTAACCACTGATAAATGAGCACATCATAATCTCACACCTGGAATGTTCCTAAAAATACACTGGAATGTTATACACTTACGTTACATATGAAGGAAAAAAATTGACGATACAAAGTCTTACAACTTCGTCAGTAGAGAGTTAAAGGTTTTGTAAATGTAATATTTCCGCTTCGTAGATGAACGGCGGTAACGAAATCATATACAAATAAATCTTTCTCGCAAACTAAAAGGAAGAAGCAAGGTTAACTATTCTCTCTCAATGGTGTCATGTAAGTAACCATCAGTTAATTTCCTATGGTCCAAAACTTAACTTTGGTTGATTTCATTGAGAAAGTACGACTAATTCAAACAGAAATTCAAAATTGCATCAATTATATGCAAAATGTTGGTTGAATACAAGCGTTCATTTACATACTGCCTTAGCAACTTTTTTTGACCTCCGCTTACATGCACGTACATCAACACTCAAATGGCACAAAGACAGAACCTGACTGAAAGAACTAAGGTACAATATGCAAGGACCCTCTACATATTTATCAGACGATTCTTCACCTGGTGAGTATATCAATACACTCTGTATGGTCGCCCATAACTTGACCGGGTACAAACCAAAAATGATCAAGAGTCTGACCGCCCGCTTCATACAGCTTAAGGTACTGAAAGGCCCGCTGAACATAGGAGCTTTTGAATTCAGCGTTGTCAAACAAAGGGTTCAAACTGCTGTCAGCTACATAGGATATGAAGAAGAAAAAAATAATTGTACTACCTTCTGTTCTCCAGTAGATCCGGCAGATGTGGGTCAAATACCTTAAAATATGTTAAAACACAACCGTACGGCATGTAAAATCAATTGAGCCCGACTCTTGACACAATAAAAATACCGTTTTTTTTACCTGCTAGATTAGTTCTCAGTTGATGTAATGTTTGTATCGGTGTTCCACACTGGATCGTAGGAAGAAGCCTGTAAAAGGGCTCCGCCGTGTCTTTCTTGGAGACCTGTTAAGAAAAAAGAATAGTATTCAAACTTATCCTAGAGATCTTATTTGATGTATTGCATAGTGTCTTTTTTCTCACTATGCCACTGACCTTAGTAGACGTTTGTCGTCTCTCCACTGTTTCGCATACATTCGGAGATACGCCTGAAGTAATTTCAATGACATAAAGATCTGAGGATCGCCGCCTCCAGATCTGACCACTACTATTCTTCAAGGCACCAAGGATTAAGAGGTTGAAGAGAAGCGTGTCCAGACCACCTCTTACCTGTGGAAAAAATCGTCCATCATTAATAGTGCTAAGAGTAACAATAATAAATCATCTAACATCTTTCGACGATAGGGAACCAAAATAGATTACCGAAGGATGTACATCAAAATGGAAAATGCGGGAAAGGGGCAAATCTGGAACAATAATGTGAGGCAATAAAGACTCGACCACAACACGTTGGTGAACGATTGGTCCATAGATCGGTACACTGATGCAAAGTGGCACATCTGTACTCATGTCCTTGAGGTAATCCATCACTGCATCATTGTTTTGAAGTTCACTAAGGCGCTGACTGAGTCGACAGACTGCCAAACTTTTCCCAGATCCAGCTCTTTCAGATGAAATAACTCTAACAGCAAGTCTGTGCAGAGAAAACATATTTTGTCAGATGGCGGTAGAGCATTAGGTTCAATTCACTTTCACTAACATGTAGCATTACTACTCTACCCTACTTGGACGTTATTGCGTAGTTATCTCAGTGCAATAGATATGCGTTCATTGCCATTATCGAAACCACAAAACCACTGAAAAGGTATTGATCACTCTGTCCCGGCCCAAATGTCTATTTGATTTGTATACCTCAGCTTCATGTTCACGAACCACTATACTGCACTAATTAGGATTTTCTATTTCTAATAACGTGATGTACAAAAAGGCTCTTACTCTTCTCTGTCCAATGCAGCTGCAGGAATCCAAGGCAAGACTTGATCTCTGAAAGTTGCCCGTTGTTGAGAGCGTGGCTTAAGCTGTAATTTCAGGTACTGCCTGATCTCTCTTGATGAGCAACAGTGAGGAATAGTTCCAAGCCTATACTGATCTAGAGCTGCAGCCATGTGAGCTCTGTTTTCATTTTCGGAGCTACAGATAACTATAAGAGACAGGCCTGAAAAAGAATTGACAATAAGTAATGCAGATGAGTGTCTAGAGTAAAAACAATTCAAGGGATACAATATCAAGACAGAAAAACAAATGATTAAATAGACAAAAGAGGACCACCCTGGGAATCTTCAAATTTTTACTCTGTGATGGAATCTACATTGGGATTTTAATCAATCTTCACTAAAAAACTTGAAGTTTAAAAGAAAAACGAGGGACTTCCATACACGTTTAGAAAGAGCAGCAACTTGTACAACATGGCTAAATCACAAGTGCTTTGTCTATTTACGTTGCTGAAGATGATATGTCATTCTGTACTGGGAACTGATATATCTCATTTTAGAAAAAAAAAACATTTGTGGCTCAGTTCAAAGTAAGAGACAAAATGATGGGCTATTGATTCGCTTGCAAACAAATGACGCTTTTATATGGTGAGATCTTAAAATCTCTCACCTCAATGCGAAGCCACCAATAGGGCGTCAAATCATACTCAGGAAGGATACAATGCGTTTTGGGCACGATTTAGTGGTGAAAGAAGCACAACTAGACAGCAAACTGTACCTATTACCTTCATTTCGACTGTATTGAGGCTCATGCAATAGAACTTCTAGAACGTCAGAAGCTTGTTGAGAAACACCGTAGTCAAGAAGGTCAACATTTACCAAACAAAACAACCTGCCATTGTGGTCTGCAAGGGATCTACGCCACAGTAGTTCAATCTAAAAGCAAAGGGGAATTGTTGAACGGCACATAGGGCTTAAGACAGTTACTTAATCAAACTTGACTTATGATTGGATGACCTGTAAACAGCAACATTCCATTACGTTTTACAGTTTCCATCATTCACAACTTCACCTTGCGTCATAATTTGCTTAACCTTGCTTTACCGCTAACACTGGTTCAGACTGCATTGCAACATTATGAAATTCCTGCAATATTTCAGCCGATAACCTACCTCTTCTGCGGTTGTATCGGAAGAGCAGATCAAAACTTCCTCTGTTGTTGGTAGAGACTGCGAACTGTCATGCATGTATAAAGACAGTAAAGTTCCCAAAACATCATCTTTGTGAGGATGAGGAAAAAGAAACATATAACTTTAAGGTCAATAACAAAACGACGAAATAGGAATCATTTCAGTTTAAAGAGATGACAAATGATTACAACATCGGTCAACATTAAACCGCAAAATAGCACGAAGTGACGATATATTACCAAAGAAATAATGAAGGAGAAGCTGACTTACAACTTAAAAAAAAAAAAAAGAACGAACAAATCGTCCTCTTACCTTTCGGAACGACAACAAAATTTGGCTTTCCACGTTTTAGGTATCTTGGAATACACCTCCTTTCCCTTTTTGATCCTACAATTAACGATGAAATTTAGATTTTTAAATAATCATAATGATAATAAGGATAATTTGTGCAAATTAACATGTGTATATGATCAAATGCGCATTTCATTAATCCAAGGCCCATAAACGAAAATAGGTTATCAAATTAATGCCTTATAAAAGTGTGAAAAATTTTTCTTAAAGACAGTACGTTCAAAGTGGAAGCTTACTGTCGATTCTGTAAGCCTTGAAATTATGCCATAGGTGTAAAAAATCTGATCATTTCTAAAAGTTCGTTTGTATAATGTTTTATCTGGTTTGTATCAATAGCAATTTTTTGTTTTCAATTTTTGGTGCACATTAATTGGTAAAAAGGACACTAGAGTAAGACTTAATATGCGCTTTGAAAACTTAGAAAAGCATTGACCTTGGGATGCTAGATGAAGCAAAAGCTTCCCCAATTCATCAAGACTCAAAAACGTTCCTCCTGCTGTTTGATCAAGAGTGTTACTAGCTTCCATGGGTTCTGAAAAATCTTCTGCTTCCGACGTCATTTCCTTTTCTTGTTGGCTACATGAAATAGAAATATCAGTTGCATATTACCGTGCACAAAACCAAGTATTATGCAATAGTTTAGGATCGTTAGTCACAAAAAATTATTAATGAAACTAAGAAGTAATACTTACTTCTTCTTACAAAGGAGCGGATATTGAACTTTTTCCAAAATTATATCACAGAAACATGTTTAAAACTTTTTGTTAAGTCTAATCCTGACTAACCAATGATTTCTCAGAGGAATCTCGTTTGCTTCCAGCTACTATCAACTTAAACTCGAGTGGCCGCATTACATACAGCGCTAGATTCGCACAACTCAAGTCTCACCTTTCGAGCTCAGAGAATGTAGTGCTTTCTCTTTCTATAAGTCGCAAATAACTTGGATCACTCAAGGCCTCAGAGTACTTAGTCGCGATGAGATCTTTTTTTGCACCGTTTTTCACACACCAAACGATGAGATCTGCCTCACTGGCATCTTTGCATGTGACCATCGCGGCCAAGGCAACTTCTTCAGAATAACCAAGCGACTCTAGCTTAACCACAAGTGACTGGAACATTTCTTGGTTTGAAGAAGGAACTGTCTTCACCATAGGGGGTCTTTCCATTTCTTTATCACGATAGCGACTTATGCTGCTTGCACCATACGATCTGAGCATCTGTTGTCCACTTTCTTGAGCACAAATGCCACAAAATAAAAGGGTAGACTTTAAAATGGAAGGGTCGATGCCAGGTAACACACTCTCCAAAAGGTTATACACCTCAAGAGGAATTCCAGCAACAGCTTTGGGACCTCTTCCCTTTACTTCTGCCAATTTGTTTCGAAGAAAGAGCAACTGGCTCGTGGTGAAGTGATTTAATTCTCCATAAAGCAATCGCTTGGCATGCAATTCTTGTTTCCAGTCTCGAAGACTCTGTTCCATGAGTTTACTCTCATCCATCAGATCATTTGTAAGAGAGCGGCTATTAGAAAGTTTTGGCGAACAATCAAATTTACGTTGCCACTTGAGATGACTTACTTCTCCAGCTTTGCAAAGAGAAATGTATACTGAGGCAAGACGATGAACACATTGTAGAATCTGTCAATTGTTAATATAAAAACAAAATTAGGAATCACAATTCAATTTCAATTTTAATAAATGTAACTCTACAACACCTTTTCTCCAGAACTTAAAAGAGTCTCCCCAAGATACTGGCAAAGCATAAAATCACCCGTTAATCTAAGATTACTTTCAAATAACACTCCAGTATCTAAAATAAAATAAACAATTCTAGAAAAAAACATATTAAGATACGTCAGAATAAACAAACCAGGAAAAAGATAGGTAAGGGTGAACAAAAGTAACTTGGATAAAAGATAATGATGCAAAACCTTTTTAAGCAGCACAAACCTCAACGGGGCCTCCTGAGACGTTTTCAGAAACCAGCCCGAAGATTATCAACAGATGAAAGCTCACGAGGAGGTGTACGATAAAAAAAATGGAAGTCGCCCATATGTTTTGTTTATGAATACATTCTAGGTTTCAAATATCGTCAATAAAAACTTACATCCAAAAATCTGTCTACTTCTTCTTTCCCTTGTGACGCCTTCGCTGCAATAAGCATCAGTTTGCTCTGCAAATCCTTTAGATCGTTCAGGCTGTAAATCTTGCGGTCAACGTTGTCTTCAGCAGGCATCTGAAGTTGAATCACTTTGTCAGGTGTCAGTTGTTCCATTGCTGGTAATGCTGAGGCATCTCTATCTTGACATCCTACGCAGTATACGCCCTGTGCATTTATCTTCTCAGCTTCCATTAAGGAAGACATAGCCACAGACCCATGAGACTTTCTGACACTTTTAATCCACTCAATCTGACGGCTACTTTCTAGCTATAAAGAGTGCAAAGTAAAATCGATCAAGATATTACATTGTCTGTATCATCGATCAGCTAGGAATGTAAAATCACACCAGTGTGTCTCGATTGTGATACACAATCTCTCACAATCCTTTCCCACCAAGTGAGAGATGAGTCAGTGAAAATTGGATATGATGCTCAATTTTAGAAAAAATGCTAAAAAATAAAAAAGTCATCACCATTCACCACTATTCCAACAACCTCTCTTTCTACAATAACATCCAAAGGAAACAAAACGAATATGTGCCTAAGTTCAGTACACTCACATCTCATGCAATTAGTTAGTTGAGCGGATTCATGTTTGAAAGAAAACTGCGACGGAATAACAGTTTTGGATTGAAGGATTGGCGGATTTGCAGACCCGATTCATATCCTTCCCTTGCCCTTTTTTGTGTAGCGAAAGGGAAATACTTCTTATATGCGCCGATAACAAGATTCAGCAACGGGTTTAGCCAAGGAAAAGATTGGTTAAAGCTCTCTCTATAGAGTCAAGCTCTCCGATTTTTGTAGTACCCACTATTACCAGTTTTTCAGGGAGCTTAGGGTCAGCATCCACTGCATTCCACACTGGCTCACAAATCCTCATCAAGAGCCTAAAGCTAAACGAAGTCTTCAAGTCAAAAATGAGGGGGGCAAATCCAAGGCAACTGGCATGTAAACATGTTATTCGGGCAGTTTCCATGTCCGTCTCCCCAGCTGAAATGATTGCCAAATCCACGAGCACCTTAAGTTCTTGAGGCCCTGCAAAAAATAAAGATATTAACATTTTAAAAGTTTTAAATGGACATACTTCTATTTTAGATTTCATGTCCTTTGCAATTTTCGATTTATTTCTTCTACTTTCTATGACGATAACTTTCACATTTATAGTAACAACTCCAGAATTATTTCTCTTTATCGATGTTATAACAAAGCTAGTTTTTCGCAAGACAGAAATTACTGACCTTACCGATGTAGAGATATTGTGAGAGATTTAAGAATTTTGTCGCATTTTGGGCGAGTGCGCTTCATCTGTGCGGTATTTACACCGGAAAATGGAGGTGTAATAAAGAACATGCGAATGTTATATCTCACCTTTGATAGTATTCTTCAGCCATGAAACGAAGGGTTGACATTTCGACACAACATCGAGACAACGCGCACGGTCACAGGTTATACCTGATAGTAGCTTGCCAGTCTTCTCTAAGTCTTTGTTCATGCTTTTCAATGGGCGCTGTTTAAATTCATCGTTCATCTATGGAGAGAAACGTGTTTCAAGAAGACAATGTGAAGAAAAACCTCAACAAATTCTTCTCAGCCCTTGAGGAAACACAGAACATCTCCTTTGCTTATGTTTCCAACATGAGACAGTTTGCTGCTGGTGCGACTTAGTTAATTTCCAGACCAGTGACGGGAATAATGAAGTGGTTTAGAAATTTCACTAACCACCCCTTATCATAAGTGGTTTGAAGAGGAGAAGTTCGGTCTGGTCACCACGTGGAGAAAAAAAAGGAATTGTTACATCACTGGCTTGGTCCCTGAGCAAAACTTAAAATGGCGCCGGGGCTGGTCGAATTTTTTTCAAAGTTGATAGACAATTTTCAAAGGGTCAGCTTATTCTTTGAAGTGTCAGGAGACGATCAATTCCCCAAGTGGTTTCAGGCTCGAGAACAAACGAAAAAGATTAAAGATAAGAGGGTAAAATGAATTTTCAGTGTGATGGAACAACGTCTACCTCGATTGATGTCATATGTTTTTAATTAAGAGTTACTTCTCACTTGTTTAAATGTTTTAATCAAACTGTCGTTAAGCTAATGGTATACCTCCACTATCACATTTCGCAGTGTTGAGTGACAGGAAGAAAGGAGGGCCGTCTGTGTCATGGTAAGCACACAAACACTCAAAAGCATTTGATGGTCTTTTTTTTTTTTTCGGGGGTGCAGGAAGGAGGACTAATGTACTTCAACTTACGTTGAGCATACCTGGTTGTACAGAACTTCCACGTCTCGAAAATCACCATTAAGGCCAAGAGCGTTCTTGAAATTTAGGATAATTTCAGCAGCCTTGATGCAATTATGCAACTTGTTGTACTTCTGTATCTTCTCAATGTGCTCGTTGATTTTTTCATCTAGAGCATGGACTTGGGCCCCATTTTGACTTGAGGTAACGAGTCTCATTTCTTTGCCAAGATCTTCGTACCTTTGATTGAAAACCTTAAGCAATCTGTCTACCTCCCTAAAAGAAATGTCACCACTGAGGAAACTTTGTTTCAAACGTAGCAGCTCCTCTTTTGAAGGTTTCCAAACAAACTCCACAATATCTTCAATACTAAGGAACTTCTTTAGTTCTTCTCTTTGTCCAATCTTTGTGAGTGCTTTGCGCCCGTTTTCAACCCAAAATTGCCTCAGAAGAACACTATCTGCAAGCCGAGTAAAAGAAGTGATCATCGACTTGGCTTCTGAAGAAAGACCAAAGAACTTGACCGAGGGGAAATTCCTGTCGCCAGCAGTCACTGATTCTACAAGATCTTTGATGGGACGACGAGACACATCTTCCATTGCCCTCCGTGACAATTTATGAACATCAACTACAACGTCAGAAATATAACAATAACTTATTTATTCCTTGTAAATAGGGGTGATTTTTTAAAAAGTCAAATGAACCTCTTTCGTTACCTTGCTTAATAAGAGAGCACATCCTAACGAAGGAATTTATTTTATCTCGCTCGTCCTGAAAAGCTCCCAGCTCCTCACAACGCTGACACAAAATTTGCCTCAGCAGAAATATCTTGCTTTCTTCCTTGTTAATCAGCTCATAAAGCTCGACAAATCTTTCTGAATTGTCCCAAATTACAAACAACATCTGAAATTCCACAGATCCATCTTTCAGGGTATTCACTGCAGCTTCAAAGGATGAAATGGCTAACATCAAAATTTCTTGTCCGTCTTCTTTTAACACACTTCGACAGTTGGATTCCACACCTGAGAAATAGCCGAAAAAGAAACGTAACTTGTGTCATTTTATTCAAATCTTAAACGCTTCGCAGTCGATATGAATATACGTTATAAACTGTCAGTTGAATTTTAAAATTGTACATACTTCAGCAGGTAGAAGAAAATTTCGATAGAAGTTCAACATGTTTAAAACGCAAGACGCGAACATTTAGGTACCCAGGCTGTTGGGAAGCTAGAACGCGACCGCACTTATATGGCTTGATTTCGTTCGCGGAATATTATTTCAAATATGAAGTAAGCCCCGTAGCATTGCAAAATTCAAATTGAATCAACAACATGAAAAAGACCCATTACCAAATCTCTGAAAAAAGCCTGGCCATAATTTCCATGTCAACACGTGCTTGAGTATGGCTTTAGGTGAGCATGGAACACCTCCTTGTTCCTTTGGCCAACTCCTTTTAAGCATCAGAGTAAGGAGATCGCCGCATTCCGAGGCCTGAGAGGACTGAAGTCCATTAGAAAGGTTTTCAAAAACGTCTTCCCCCTCGCTTCCTATCTAAAATACAGAAAAAACGTGTGCTTCTCGGTAAAAGACAAACATAAGGAACAAACTGACATAAAAATTGACCCAAAATGCTTATCAAACGGTATTTCAGAAAATATCATCACCATAAATTGATGTTTCTCCATACCTGAAGCATACTTTCAACTTTCCGGAAGGTTACTCCAGAAACCAAGTCTTGAACATGGTTATGTTGGCTTTTCACGTTAGCTTTGGTTAAAATTTCAACCAAACCATTACAATCAACCTACAGAAAAAATAAAAGGCGTTCAGTGTCAATTTCTTTCAATCTAGCATAGTGATCTATTGGAAGACAGACGCATAGATGACGTCAATATTAACAACTTCTTGCCTCTCATTATACAAAAAGAAGAATAGGTTCCATGTTACCGCAAGTGTATACAGTACTAGACCACAGAAGACGTAAAAACGTCGTGAGAGTATCAGTGACATACTCGGCTGAGCCTTGTATGTCACTTGTTCTTACCACGAGAGACCGACTGAGCACAAACGAGTGATGACAAATAGTGACGTCAACTTTCGCGTTGCTGAACATCATCGACTTGCGAACCGCGCGCGATGCCTGACTACAACAGTAAATACTTTCGATAACTGTTTCTGGAAAGCTAGTTCACCTACTTAGAAGAGACTTCGCTCAAAAATTTCCAACGACTACCGCCACCGTGAAAGCAACTTACTCACGATATCTACTCAACTACTAGAGCCTTCCAGACAACAACATCACGACCGGTATAAAAAAATCAGAGTTGTAACACTCGATCGACAACAACTTTTCAATCGAATCTGATGATGAATTCCGCGAGGGTTGTTGAAAATTTCCGTCACTACCACAAATAACTTCCTAAGACTACTCTCACTCGCTCGATCAGACTCGCGATCAGGTGTCACGCCTTGGTTCAACTATTTTACTGAACCACCATGCATTATGCAATCTTCCAAAACAAATACATCGAAAGAATTCCTTTTAAAAAAATGCACTGAATCAGTCGAACGGTTATAAAAGATAAAGGAAGAATAAAACTTGCGTCTCCTTACCAGTTCCAAACGCCTCTCCAATTCTGCAGACACTCGTCCTCTCCAAGTCTCTGAACACTCTTTGTTTGCCCACTCGATACACAGCAACTTTGTCCAAATCTAGGAAATTAAAGAATTGTAAGTACTTAATTCCGTCGACATCAACCGTAATAGGTACGATTTCCAACGGCAAAATTATTTATGTTAATATTCTGGTTATATTCCTGTTGTAGAAAATTACAACCTTTGAATTAATCTGTTTGTGTTACTCTACCACAGAGCGAGTTATATAAATAAAGGATATCAATAGAAGGGCAACGGATGAGACCAATAGGACGCCTAGTTAATTAAGTATTTTGTGCTTGTAAAGTTAAACTTAAGAACAAATATAAGGCCATTTCCTGAGACGAAAGCCGACAGAAGATTTCCAGAGACGTTTCCTCATTTTTTCTATGATAAGGATGATTTGAAATGTGCAAGAATAACGTTACACAAACATAGAAAATCCTTTATGAATTGAAGAAGTAAAAGAAAAGTACAAAGACAATGAATGATAAACAAAAATTACAGGAACGAATTACAACGAACCGAAGCTATTTATTCTATTCCGTGCAATGACTGTGATAACGAGTGTATCGGACAGAACAGACGTTCGTTGAGTACACGTTTGAAAGAGCATCAAAAAGAGCTTTATCAGAGCACACACGCCTAACCAACCATACAATTGGGTGGGATAAGTCTAAAAATTATCCCTACTAATCGGTGTTACCACCAGCGCCTTTGTTTGGAAGCCTAGTATATCAACTCCGCCCACGCTCCTTTAAATCGTGATGATGGCGGCTTCCTGACGTTTATTTACACCTCGTCAGAAAAAAAGGCAGCTAATTAGTGAGCGTATAAAAGGACCTCTTGTTGCAGCGTTTAGATCAACCTTGATGAAGGCACTAGAAGGGAGTGTCGAAACGTTGGGTCTATGAATTGTGACTTCTCGGTTACATTCATTAAATATTTAAATCAGAGTAGCATCAAACCACGTCTGATTGTCCACCTGGTTGCCATGTGAACTTTAATATGTTTATGTGAGAAGAAACTCGTTGTGCTCATTGAAAGAGAAAAGAGCCATTTCTTCCTCTTTTAAAAGCTCAGCACATTAATGATCACGACTAAGCCCCTCCCTCAGTGATGGACCTCATAACGCACAGAACAGGATGCTTAATGCATTACGAGGAAAGACCTAACTTAAATACCTCCAACTCTTCGTTTGTCTTAGCTATATAGTACCGTGGAATCGTACTCATAAGCTTTTTCTTCAACCATTTCTTGACAACATCAAAACTCTCAACCACAACTCGCGTGATGTCTTTTGTCATATGGCTCTCTCCCTGCTCAGTTCTCCTGCATGATACAGAGACCCAGGTTTCGATGCTACGCAAACAGCCACATAGCAGATTAAAATCACAGGCAGAAGATACAGCTGCCAAAATCTTTAAGCAAGACAAGACAGAGAGACTGGCTTCTTGCTTCAACGTGGCTTGGTCATCACAGTCAGCAGATCTAATCAAAAGGTAAAAAGGGAAAAATCATTTGAGGAAAAATTCATTAAAAGAAGCCTACACGAATGGTGCATGTTCTAATAAGACAGGGAAAGGAAAGATACACCACAGAAATCGACCTGGCCGACAGATCAAAGTTATTTTACGAACTACCATTAATTTAATCATCACAAATGCAAGCAAAAGCGGTTTTAGAAACGTGTTTAAATAAGAAATATTTGCCTTATTCCGATAAAAAGGTTATTACAAAGCGAAACAAGCAAGTTTCGATCTTTCAAACGCTCTAGTGAAAGAAATCATGTTAATTACAAAGTGAGAAGCTATTCTCTTCATCAGGTACTCAGGTAAATTTGATGACAAAGGCAATTTAAAAAAGCTCACTTGCAAGATTGTTAATCCCAATAAGCCCGATACAGCCCACTCAGTGGGATTGGGGATAATTGGGGCATACAAGGAACAAATTTGATATTGAGACCTGTTCACTTACGGTTTTGTTTTAATGTCAGAAGTTGTCTTGATATTCTTCTCAATGATATTCAAGCTGAGCGCAACAGCATTCCTCTAGATATAAAAAAGTCAACAGAATTGTAAAATTCAGAACTCAATTGCGATAAAGGAGTAGTATGCTACAAAAACCATAAAAATATTATCTCTACAAAAAAAAAAGTAGCAATGACCAATGAACTTACTTGTTTGAAAATTTTCTTCAAATCTACTAAAAACTCGACTATGTAAGTTGTATGCCTGTGATGTGATTAAGTGTTACTCCCCCTCTTCCCATGGTCTGTTGGCACAATTAAGGAGTTAATCGAAAACACATTCCTGGGGTATATTTCTTCTCTTTCTCCTAAGTAGACTTACTTCAGGTACGTTTTAAATCGGTGTTGTTGTAGTGAGGAGGAAACTATTTCAACTGACGTCATTCAAGATGTTAATATGACAAGAAAAAGAAAACTAAACTAAGGTTCTTTATTGAATTACTTTGTACTTTTGAAATGCAAAAGTTTCGCATTTTTCCTAGTAATTAACAGTCAGGACAAGAAGTTTAAGAGAAGTTAAAAACACAGATATATATATATATAATATACATTAGTTAAAGAATTAAAGAGGACGCATCGATTCTCTGTGACTCTGAGTTTCGTGCCTAAGCGCTCGTCAGACAAAACTTTCTTAGACAGAACTTTCTAAGAACTTTTCTGAGCGCTTAGGCGCGAAACTCAGAGTCACAGAGAATCGATGCGTCCTCGTTAATTCTTTAGCTTATGTATACTTAGCTCTGCTATCACAGCATTGAGCACTTTATGCCAAGGTAGACTCAACCCCCACATTCATATATATTAAATATATACGTGTGTGTGTGTGTGTGTGTGTGTATAGATGTACCTCTTCTTCATTAACGGAGTTTTTCTCTGACAAAATTCTTGCTAGGGTGGTGCAGATCTCAAATGGTGCAAATATTTTAGAGGACGCTACTCTCCCAAATTCACTACAAGGCACCACGAGGAGAAAAGTCCTTCTGAACAGAGGATCCAGTACAAACAGAGGACTCAGCAAATCTATCCAATTCGAGGGGCACCTGCGACAATTAAACAGAGAAATAACATAAAGCCATGTACCAATACTTTTGTGGGCTGACACATTTTAAGATCTAGTTTTCAAATACACTGTTGTTATGAGCAGGCTCTTCTATCTTTGAAAATTTAATTCCTCAAAGATACATCTACAACACTCCTTAAAAATTTTGATCGCTGTCAACTTCGCCATTAAATTGCGATCATTATGTTAAAAACACTTCAATTAACTTCGACAACCAACACAGCTTTTAAAGAGTATAGTTTTAGTTCACTAGCTTACTTGCTTGATCATAACAAAATCATTCTGTACAACTTACAACTCGTGCTGCTTTAAGAGTATTTTCTGCAAGTTGGAACCGCATCAGCCACAGCAAATATAGTCCGACGATTCAATTACAACAGCAACAAAAACAACTCCGATTTTGTATCTCGCATTTACTTTTTCTTGCTCATTTTATAATTACTGGAAGAGAGGAGAGTTCTAACTGCCTTAAATAGCTATCGGGAACTAGTAAAAACAGTGTCGTTTTTTCTTACGTAAGAAATACAATAATTTTATTTCACAAACTAAGACATAGAAGGACAAACCGCAAACAAAAAGGGGAAAAACAGCATTTTGACGGTATACAAGGTAGGAGGATGTAGAAGAGTGTTGCTTATCGAAACTCAATTTTATGCCAACGATCATATCCCGAAATAGTCCACAATCCGCAAGTCGTCAGAAAAAGTTACTCTTCGATGAAAAAGGATGAAAATACCTGTCCCTTGTAAAAGACCTTTCTCTCACAGCTTTTGTTTCAAATCCATTAGCTCCCCACCAAGTTTCATCTTTTTCCTTAGGTTTTTCCGTAAGCAATACAGAGCTGTCAAAAGGTGCGCATACTTGAGTGAGAAAGTGGACCAGTGGTACAGCAAACAACCAGTCATGGAGATCACGATGACTCTTGCTCACATGTCTGCAAATACCTTGAATGGCTTCACCGATATTCCTACACACACATACACAAAAAGACCACCGTTATTACAGTTTGGCATATTCGTCGTTGATGCAGAGATGCTTGCAGAAAAAAAATTATATGTCTTAACACAGAAAGTTTTCAAGTGAGAAAACTCAACAAGATGGAATATCAAGATATATAGGTTTTTTAAAAGAACATAAATTCAAACTAAACAGCACTTACTGCCAATGTTCACTGGGAAAGTGTTTGAGAAGCCTGTCATATTCTGAACAAGTTCCTTCATTTTGGTCTGCATGAAGAGTCAAGGAGGAGAACAGCTTTTCATATTCCTCAGGATTTAAAGGGACTTTTTGTACAGATATAAGGTAAGCAATTGCTACTGATGATACTAGGGTAGAAATTTTCCCCGCGTCTTCTGCTACTGATTTACACGTAGCGTTCTTTTCAATCTTCTTGATCAGAAAGTCCCTCAAAATCTAGAATGTAAAAAAGATAAGTAGAGTACCATTAATTCACTATTCCCTATCGTAAATATCAGTAATAAATATTATTATTCAACTGCACAAAGTAGAGTACATATAACGTGCGAATAGAGTACAAATATTCTGCGATAATGTACGGTTATTTGGACAGTTGGTTATTTTGCACTTTTAAAAAAAAACCTGTTTAAGCAGTCGGCTGCGCGCGCTACACTTCTCTATCCGTTTTGCTTTTCCCGCCTTATGAGAAAAGAATGTAAGACTCAGCAGAAAAAAAAGCTGTTGGATAATAAATAACGTATTAGACGTTTTGGTATGTAGTATCGCTGAGTAGATTTACTCGTTGTTTGTATGGCATAACTCGCCAGGATGTTGAAGGGCTAATTAACACATCACACTTCTAATAGATTTAACCTCAAATAAAATAAATACTATCCAGGAAATGTAGAAAAGTGCATTATTGATTGCATACTCTCTTAAAGTTATATCCTGATGGAACATTTCCTTTGATGCTACGATGCTCTTCAATCTTCGTTTGTGTCATGCAGTAAGCTAAATCATTCACAACCCCTATTGCCTCCCACGCAGTCATAGTTGTTTCCACTTCATGCTCTTTGAAGCCTTCCCAACGAGGCAGCATCGCTTCCGTTGCAATGATTCTGCCTTCCACAGGACCTGTGCTTTTCACGAATGGCACATATTTTAGGATACTTTGAATCCGCCCTGGCTGACAAAAAATTGTGTCGTCGTACTGGTGCCAGATGGCTGTTAAGAAAATAAAAGTTAAACGATAGTAATTCGAGAGGTCTTGATAAAGGCCGGCAAAGACCTATTATCCAAAAGTAAATACGAAATTCAGCTCAAAACTAGCTATGTTTCGAACAGTTTCGATATTCCAACGATTGTAGTCAGTGGTTAATTTGTTAATAAGTACTACTTAAATTCATTCATTGAGGTCAAAGAAGCTGCGAGCCACTGTACTCGGAAAATTAATTAAGATGGGTGAGATATCAAGGCCAATGAAGTGACTTCGTATTTTAAAACTGTTGGCTAGGGACGATCATGGTTCTCTATATGGCCTACTCCTGTCTAGTTGCAGAAAGCACGTAATAATTTCGAAGTTCGTTCTGCTTTCTTGGCGCAATAATGCTTCTCTTCTCAAGCAAGAGGTCTGGGGATTGATTTCAAGCAGGAGCAATTTTTGTCTTGTCTTTCTTTCTCTTTTCTTTTTCCCTTTTTTAGTAACAAAAAAGTAAAAGCTAAGAAAATAAATACACAAACATACCTTCAGTCTGACACCTTTCCTTCGGAATTTGAAGGCATCGGTTCTTAAAAACTCCTCCTGACAGGTAATCCCAAACATACGGCTCTTCCTTTTCGTTTCTGTCTGCTTTAAAGACAATATACTTGTAGGAAATGTTGTGAGTAGCGTCAGTAACTGGTACAGAGAGTACTGCCTTAACCAAGATAAAATCGTTTTCAAGCAACCTACGTGTGGATAAAAATGACATGATAGGAGTCAGTGTATGCTAACATGAACAAGAGATTTTCTATCATATCTGTTAGAGCTGTTGTTGTCGTCCATTCCACTTTTGTCCAACGAGGTAGTTAAGAAAAACTTGTAACCCGTAACCTGTTAAAGAGTTAAAAACAAACAAAAAACACGAAAAAAAACCACCTAGCAAGTCACAATTGGTTTTACTTTTGCATCTCATTGGTCTATAGGGGTAGCGCAAGTTTTGCAGACGAATTAAGTGCAATGTCAGAAATAAACTTAAGACTTAAACTTAAGTCGTTTCATTTCAAGAGACTTTTCAACGTTTTTGATGGCGACAACTTTCGTACCTTTAAAATAATTTGTCCTAAATGTCGCCGGTAAATACCCTTGTTGCGTGCACTTGTTAAGCAGCCTATTTAGTCTATTTATATTATTAAGTTATTTTAGGAAGGGGTTGGGTTGGAGCTTAAACCTAGTGGGGGACTTATGTCCTATTGTTTTTGCTCCGGTACTGCTTTGTACAAATCTTTAAGTAAAACTAATGCACTTTAGAATAATTATCAATCCTAAATTACCATTACTGTAACGTACTAATTTAACAAAACACATGCGAAAAACCTATTCAGGTTACCATATTAGCACGAATAGGAAAACTAATGGGGTTTTCGGGAATAAACGCTTCACGGCTCGAGAATGTACATGTAACTACAAAAATGGAAGTTACAATACAGGCGGCTTCTGAGAAATTTTCAAGTAGCATCAACGCATGAAAGTGACATAATGAAATATGGGCCTACCTTTCTGGATGGACTTCTACAACATTCTCATTGAAATTCCCAAAACGAACGCCACCAAACCTCATAAAAATTCTGTCACCTTTTCTTGCATCAAAATTAAAATTGGGTGAAAGAACGGCATGAAATACAACAGTCATTTTGCTTCCTTTGTGTTTGGCAAGATACTCTTTATTCTCTTCTGGTTCTTTCTTGTTGTCACGGCTTGCATTACGTTTATCAAGTTCTTTATCACCCAAGGTATTAGAGTCTCTGGTCTTGTCGTTCTTTTGCCTCTTTAGCTCCTGGTCGAGCTGTGACCCTACTTGTTGTCTTTTCTCGCTGCCATACAATAATAAAATTAGGCAGCATTAAACAACTGTGCTATCTTTTATTAGCCTGATGATATACTTTTCTTAATAAAATATTTTCTGACAGACGCAACAACTCGTGTGAAAACACCTTGGATAATTATAACATGAAAGTTTCCTTAATTTAATACCGACTTCAAGATAAGCTTTTAAGAAAGCAATTTTAGTAAGACTTAAGAAAAGATTTGTGCAGGGCTTCCACTCCGAGCCAGCCTAAATCTTTCACTTTCATTATCACATATGTCAGAGTGAATTCAGTACTATTTAAGTCATAACATCGCGTGAAAGAATATGTTTTTGATGTGAGTTAGTGCCATTGTTATAGTCATGACTTGTGTCATTATGATTGGGCATTTCTTTACATCCGACAACAATATCTTACCATCAGCTGATACATAATACATGTAGTAAACTTTTTTCAAGAATCTCGACCCCACTTGTCTTTCAAAATTGATGTTCAAAGACCATACATACTTGATTTTCACGCGTGCTTCCTCTTCCTTTTGCTTTTTCTTTTCTCTCTTTTTATCCCTTTTCCTTTTAGCCTTGCTCTTTCGTTTAGTCATTTTTGAACCTGGCTTTGCTTTTTGAACGTTGTGAGATGGATCTTCTTCCTGAAATTACAAACAATATGAATATGATAGTGTTATTCAATACCAAAAATTAAGAGATGCCAGACTACATCTTCATTCTTAGAACACTTACTTACAATTTTAATCGTCTTGAAGCACTATTTACACACAACAGATGACAAGATTTACCTCTGACTGTGTATCACTTTCATCTCCACCGCTTTCATTTTCATGATTGCTGTCCTCGTCCTTCGTGGGCTGACCATCAGCTTCAGATGGCTGAGACGTACTGTTCGTACCAGACTGGCTACTGCCGCCTCCTTGGTTTTGATCACTTCCGATCCCTACTGGTGTCTCCCCTGTTTGTAACGAAGTATTACAAGGGTTAGAGGAGTCCGCAGTTCTCAGTAGCTTTGGCAATAACTCTATTTCCTACATGTATCTATCAATGAATTATGAGATGCGTAATGCAATGTTCATAATTCTTTATATTTTTCACATCTAGGGGAATTCTAAATACTTGAACTGTTTTAAAACTACTTACGCAGTAATTGTCCATATCTTTAGGCATACTTTAATAGGGTTTTCTGTATAACCTTTGTAAGCTGCCCAAAATCAAGGAATTTGATTCGTTGACCAGATATTGCCAACAAAATTTTCTCTTCCAGTCACTCCCATACTTTAGCTGGTGGCATGTATATTAGATCTAGTGTTAAACGCAACAGCTAGCATGACACATAGGAGGGAGGTGATTTAAATGCTTAGAGGTCTAACATGTTTTACAGTAACTTCTATGCTGCAGCTTGGATGGGGCAGGAGGGGGGGGAATGGATGGAATTACGGTCAACTCGCCGACGGTCCAACTCACCGACGCCAACTCGCCGACGTATAAAATCGAGTAGAGACGTCGGCGAGTTGGTCCTTAATCCAATACAACTTATTAGAAGTTAAACATACAGAAAAGTAAACGATATTTAGTAAAAAAAACACTGGTGAAAATTGGTGAACATCAAACAGAAGCTTAAACATTGGTGAACATCACGAATGCCTATAACAGCTTAAGACGCGAACTAGATAATTATTGGGCGACAACAACACCGTAAAGACTCATCATGTCAATCGCTCAGATTTTTTAAAGAAAACTTGGCTTTCTAGACCAGATCTTTAGTAAAAAGCAATTCTTTTTATTTGCAGCAAAGTTTATAAGGATCTCAAGGCGAATAAAGCGAAGTAAACATCACCAATGACTCTAACAGCTTCAGACGCGAACGAGTTATTGTGTGACAACAACGCCGTAAAGACTCATCATGTCAATCGCTCAGATTTTTTAAAGAAAACTTGGCTTTCTAGACAAGATCTTTAGCAAAAAGCAATTATTTTTATTTGCAACAAAGTTTATAAGGATCTCAAGGCGAATAAAGCAAAGTAAACATCGCTAATGACTATATCCGCTTTAGACGCGAACGAGATAATTATTGTGACAACAACACCGTAAAGACTCATTATGTCAATCGCTCAGATTTTTTAAAGAAAACTTGGCTTTCTAAACAAGATCTTTAGTAAAAAGCAATTATTTTTATTTGCAACAAAGATTATAAGGATCTCAAGGCGAATAAAAGGAAGTAAACATCACCAATTGTATTTTTATTAATGATTATCTTTGTTTAATTGTATCGGTATGTGATCCTTAGCAGAGACAGCACTTGTTTAAGAAGGGTGGCCCGCCTAGAATAGCTTGCTAATTGCGGGTCACCTAGGTCTGTGATAATATTGTATTGCTAACAAATAAAATTGAATTGAATTGAATTGAAATTGAATTGAAATTGGCTGTAGACGCGAATGAGTTGTGTGACAACAACACCGTAAAGACTCATCATGTCAATCGCTCAGATTTTTTAAAGAAAACTTAGCTTTCTAGACAAGATCTTTAGTAAAAAGCAATTATTTTTATTGCAACAAAGTTTATAAGGATCTCAAGGCGAATAAAGCAAAGTAAACATCGGCAATGACTATATCCGCTTCAGACGCGAACGAGTTATTGTGTGACAACAACACCGTTTGTGCGTTGACTTTTTACCAAGCGACTTGACTTAAATAAATAAGACCGATTGACATTAGATCCTTATAAACTTTGTTGCAAATAAAAAGAATTACTTTTTAGATCTTATCTAGAAAGCCAAGTTTTCTTAAAAAATCTGACCGACTGTCATGATGAGTCTCTACAGTGTACTAGAAAAGAAATAGAGAAAAAGATGTGATTTAGAGCAAAAAATAGTGCAATTGATAAATAATTTGCTGATTCAGATGGTAAAATGTTCTCTCTTCAAAGGGAAAAATTTTCATGATGCACAAATCACACCTATGTAAGACATTTCTGCAGGGAATTTGTTTTTCATCACATTGCTAGAGACCATTTTAAAATGTTGGCAAGGTATTTATTATCCTGTGTCACTGCAATAACTGAAACAAGGACAACATCATTAAATGGGCTAGTGGCTATTGAGCTAAAGATATTCTGAAAAAAACAAAAACAATAGGTACATGTAGCACCAGAAAACATCACATCAAAAGTGGGTCGATTCTACTGTTACTTACCATCACTCACTCAATCATCTCCATAACATAGTGGCTTTGCCTTCTATTATATAAGAGGCAATAGCCACAAAAATAGGCCCTCACGCTTTTGTTCCTCGCTGTTCAGTCAAGGTTGGGTCTAGATTTCACAGAAGTTTGCCACCTCTACACATAACCCTCTTAGTTTGTTTAAACAGCAGGATAGTGGGCCTAATTACTACAGTTCACATCTTTCATGTGCCAATTAAAGACAGCTACAGAAGGGTCTCAGTCTGAGCCTGCAGGTATACATCAGAGTGGTTGGTAGTGATCTACTAACTGGTGCATTTAGTGGTTTTTTTGGCTGACTGATTTCATTTAGTGAATTTGTGGCTTCACCCAGAGTATGGAATTTCTAAGGGATAATTAACAAAGCTTTGCAAACTCTTTGAAAGAACTGAGACCAGTTTGTCTGAGTCATAATTACTAGTATCCAAGGAAATAGTTGACCTGTGGTGCTGGCCAAGTAAAATAATTGGTTTGTCTGATACAAACAATGATTTGAAAAAGGTGGTTCAGCTGGGGCTGTTGTAAAATTCCATGAAGATGAGAGAACTGAAATAATCTACCTTGAAGGACTTACATTTGATTTTTTTAACTTAGCATGCATTCATCCTATGTCCTCCAGAGTCTCCTACTACTCATTTTACTTTAATCTTGAATTTGCCAATACCTGTGGCATCTGTAGGTTCACAACTATCTGTAGTCTCCGGCACACCTCCTGTGGAACTTTCTGTTGCACTGGTATTGGTGGTTGAGCATTCTTCTGTATCTGTTATTACAGAATTTGGAGCGGGAACACCCTTCTGTTCCTCCACTTGATCCAACACAGTGAGGCTCTCTAAAGCTGCAGTGTCAATATCACCAGCTTCACTTTCTAATTCAACAACAGATTTCCGTTTTGCTGGTTTTTCTTCTTGTGTATTAATCTCTCTTTTTCTTTTTCCCTCGTCTGCAAAAAATGATAAGGATTATTAGTATTGAGGTAATATATTCATTCTTTAAAGATAAACAAAACATTGACTCTAACAAAATATAACAGAGAACCACAATGAAATAGCATTAGAGCAAGGATTTTATACTGCATTGGGATTCCAAGATCTACATCCTTAAGGTCATTCTTGCAAACAACAGAAAACTGAACATAATAGCTACATGGTGCACATAACAATATAAGGAGTTTTGCTATATCTAATTACTTAATTGGTGATGGCCAAATTTGTTTACAACCTGTTTAAATTTAAATTATGCATTCATGATTCATACTACACTTTTTGCTCTCCATTACCAGAAAATTTTCATCAGAGTTCAATAATCAGTCTAATTACAGTGAATGTGCAATCATGCTTGGAAAATAAACAAGCATGTTAATTTTGGAGTTATCAATGATGATTTTACATAGAGATGAACATTCATTAAGGCAAATGTAGTCTCACTTCAATGGAAATAGTGGTTGTTGAAGATGATGTAGCAACAATTTCTTCCTCTTAATATACACCAGCTCATTTGGGTTAAGTAACTGTTGAGCTTGAGCCAGGAAGTTCATCACTGAATCCTCATCCCACCAACTATACAAGTGTAATGGACCAAGCCAGCAGCTGGAGACACAGCCATCATCACATTTCTTCCACACTGACAAAGGACTTGTCTGTATGCTCTTTCACCAACTTTGGTTGGCCCATTGCTTCTAGTAGTCCATATACTGTATCCGCATTCATCAATAAATATGCAGTGATGAATAATTCTGTTCATCATGAAAAAGTTCTGCAATCAGCCTGACTTTGGATGACATCTGGCCTGTTTCGATCAGCTAGTAATAGCCTCACAAGTTTAACATGTATTGTCATACAGCCAAGAGCTTTTCCAACAGTCCTGTTTTGTACATGGCTTAGCTTGAAGTCTTATTCAAAGCTCTTGGTTAATCTAATGCAAAGTAAGTACGCAGTTCTCATCCACTATCTCACTGAGGCACTCCTTCATTCCCTCATCCAACTTCACATTATTCCAGCCACCACGTTGTTTCTCATGTGTACATCCCTCTTGGATGTATGTTACTACATTAATGTTTCTAGCCATGTTATACTTTGCACCAAATGCATATTCTTTCCTGTTGCTCATTTGGGACATGATTTTCAAGCTGTCATTCAACCCTATGCTCCATTCTATGAGACTACTTTCCTGATGTAAACATACAATCTAAAGTTTTTCACTGCAAACTAATATTTGTTTCCTATGTCATGCAGCCTATCACTTGTGCATAATTTCCATCTGTAATTAGTGCTAATGAGTTCAGTTTTAAATGGGTGTAATCTGGAATGATAATAGGCTTCAGATCCCAAGAATGAAGGTGGAGTTTCCAGTGTGTTGTGAAAATGAGACCACTGTATGTAAGAATATTCAATGTTCTCTCTGCTCTGAGCTGATTCAGTTTCAATCTGTGCTAAATATTGCACCACAAACCACCACAAACGTATTACTAACACAAAATGAAAGCTAGGAAAAAAATGGTTTTGGAGACATGCATATAAAATCTAAAACATTGTTACACTTGCTACAATAGAAAATCAATAAATTAATTCAACGGAATATCGATGGTAGCGAATTAGCTAAATTCAGACAAAATCAATTCTGTGTTGCTTTCGACCTACTTTGAGGAGTCTAATATCTTAACCTGACGTCAGTGGAGAGGTGAAATTATCATTTAATCGTGGTGATTTTAACAACGTAAAAGAAAACTAAAGAATGAATTGTCCAGCACTGAAGAAGTTTAGAGATGTGAAAGTGAAAGTAACATATTTAAGTCATAAAAGAGAACTTCATGACATAATTTTTGTCTATGTAAATTTCTCTTCACAAAACGAACGCTTTGGTCGACAATCGGGTTTGCCTGATTTGGTAGGTAGGTAAAGGAGAAAAGAGCGATAAGATCTTACCAAGTGGAGCGTCTGAATTGTTGTCGACTTTGGATTTCTGTGCCTCCCGCGATAACTCTTTCGCATCTTCCGTCACGTTATGAACAGGAGGCGACGATGTTTCTTCGTTTGTCTCCAATTTTGTGCCACATTTAAAGCAGAAGGCATGCTCTGCTACGGAAGTTGTGTTTTTGCACTTAGGACATTGCATTGTTCGGACCTCACAATCAATTTAGGTCGCTAACGAACAGAAATGTTCTCCTGTGTTCAGCATCTCACTATCTCCGTGGCAAATAGCGTTCTTGGAAAGACGGAAGTGGATTCCTGGAAACGAATCCACTTAGAAAAACATGGGGAAGACCCTGGGAACGGCACTGTCATAAATATTTGCCGCCTCCTCTTATCAAAAACGAATAGACACGCCGTTCTTGTCCTCTTCGTCATTGTGTTCCTTACTTCAAGCGTTAAATTTAAGTTTTAAAAGAATTAGTCCTCTTAAATCTGAGTTTTAAAAACATTCCCAACGTTCTCCTGTGGCAACTCCGTGAAAACACCTGGGTCGGGTTGTTCAAAGCTGGGTTAAGATAACTCAGGGTTAGTGTGAAATCTGATTTCAGATCTGATAGCTTTAAAAGAAAATTCAGTCGAATTCTTTTTGTCTGGAATATGATTATTTGATGCTCTAAAAATAAGACAGGAAATTATCCCAAAAAGGCTTTTGAATAAAGGAATAAAGAAACCCAGGTTAAAATTTAACATTGGATTAGCGTTAAACGGCCTTCGAACAACTGGGCTCTGTTCTGCAGGTCATCCAGGTAAACTTCTTGTACATCCTAAAGTTACACACTCCAGGTGTGATCGACAGAAAGCAGGAAGATTAACAGAAATTATTTAAAGTGAAAAAGTTGATACTGTCCCACTCCCCCATCCCATAATAACGTGTTATGATCTGGTATATAGGAGTCACGTTTCACTGAATTAGCGGTTTTTTAATGCATCACGTGACCTATCTAGTCGCTTAACTTAATTTAGAAGAATTGTTTGGGCTTAGAAAACAAGCGAACCCTGATGACAATGGCGCGTGTACGAGACACTCCATTCCAAGGACAGTCCTTGAAAATCGCATTTGCTGTCGCATAGCTTGAATCTACCTTGAAGATACAAAGGATATGGGAGATATTTCGGCACAACATTCGCCGCAAAGGAGACGAAGGAAAATTTCGCAGTATGTTCGCGAACTTTATACTACATTAACCAATATACTCGACGACCAAGATCGAACCTTACTAATTCAATCACTGAATCAATATCAGAGAGATAGAAATGTAAACAATCTTGTTTCAACTCTAAAGTCGATCCTCGATACTTCAACGAAAAGAGAAGTGTATCCGTTATTACGGCAGGTAGTTCCACACAATGACCAAGAGAAATTCAATATACTTTGGTACAGTCACGAGCATCCTAAACCTCGCCAGCGTTCCAAATCGCCCGCTCGATCGCCGGCAAATCTTCACAGGATTCCTGCCTCATCGAGTCTACCAGATAACCTTCATAGGCACGTATCGGACTCGGGAATCGATCTGTCAAACATGACACAGTTCAGTTCTTCACGGGATGCTAAACATCCCATCAAGCGATTGTCTATTAAGCGACCTTCAAACTCTGGATTTGGGTTTTATATTCGTGGAGGATCTGAACATGGCGTTGGTTTGTATGTTTCCTCTGTGGATACAAATTCTGTTGCCGAAGCCGCCGGCATGTTACCTGGAGATCATATTATTCAAGTCAATGGCACGAAATTTGACGGACTGACACACGCGCAAGCTGTCAAGGTAACAACAAAAAATTGTTAGTGGCCAGCTTTAAGTTAAAATGTGATTTCAATAATCTTTGATGTGACGAATTGCCTCTCTAAAAACCAATGTAAAAGCCATTTATTCATGGTGTTAAAAGGATTTAAGGTTTCCTTTCTGAAACTCGATGGGAAGTTATAGAAATGTGATCATTTCTCAAGAGGTAAGCAGAAGAATTCGAAGATATGTTTTGTTTGTGTTCGATGAAGTGTGTCTTAACCTCCTTGGGTGGGTTTTGTATTCATCACCAACGAGTGTAGTTAGTATGACTGAGGACTTTTTCTTTCGAAGTATATCAGTAGTTAAACTATAGTTACGGACCTACAATGTATTCGAAACTTGAAGAAAACTTCATGCATGTTCTTCTAATGAGAGTCGTACTAGATGTTAATTACTATGGTACTGTCTGTAGTGAGAGATGTTTGTTTTGATGTTCAGAAGTGCTATAAATTACAGGAGTTTCTAAACAATTTAAAAATTTCAAGTTCCTACTCGATCTAAAACGTATGACCTTTTCGATTTGATTGTCATGGTTTCCGCATAGTACAAGTTATTGGGTTGCTTCATTGTGTTACTTGATCACGCTATACAACTTGTTGATGACTACTCGGGACTGCACATCAAAACGCTCCCTAGAAGTTAAACGAATTATTTAACCTTTTTCCTATAAATAGTCAAAGAACCTTTGCAAAAAGTGGCTTCTAAATATGTCAACATAAACAATATATGCAGGTATTTTACCACAGATAAGAAATATACCTAATATCAAAGTGCATTTACACTGAAAGTGAGAAATATTTCATTTCTCTTTAGATTATTCAACATAGCAAGAAGCTTAATCTGACAGTCCGGTCAGTTGGTCGTATTCCTGATAGTTTTCTTGCTGAGTCAACTTGCAAATGGGTGGACATGAGGGGTCGTAGAGCCTCACCTCCACCTGGAGTTGACTCAAATGGGCGTATCTTAACAACTGATGGCATCCATAAAAGTGATTTAAGACTTCTAGGAGATGATGATGAACGGAAGGTCAGTTTTGTCTCTCTCTCTAGGTGATAATACTTGTCAGTTTGAATTGATGTACATCTAATTTGGTATTATATATACCACAATGGTGAATAGTGCTTTTCACATGTGCTGATGGGCTAGTTCAGAAGTGGTGACTCAGTACCATTCACCTCCATATATGTTAACAGAAAAGAAAAAATTTTGGTTTTTGGGTGGTATCTACTAAAAAATTTCAACCTTGGTGTCCTTGTGAGTGATAGATATTTACTCCACTTGGCTGAATAATTGTGAAATTTCTAAACCATAACTGTTTATAGATAAGAGCATAAAAAGTACTGAGTTGGAGTTCAAAATTTGGACCCCACAATTAACTCAATTACATCCACAAAGCTTTGACATATAAGATCTTTTTTTTTTCAGTGTGTGTCAGCTAATAAATGTACAGGTCTCAATGATATGTTTGAATAGAAGAATGCCCCTAGACTCTCAATGAACTTTGTTACCAATACATTTATTAGGTGTGTGTAAATGTTATTATCAGTATATTATAACTGGTCAGTTTGTGTGTATGTTTTCTTTCGCAGGTGAACATATTTGTGGAGGATGGTACAAAGTTGGGGTTAATGATTCGGGGGGGTGCTGAGTATGGATTAGGAATTTATATAGCTGGCATAGACCCTTACTGTATTGCTGAACAAGCTGGACTCAAGGTCAGGCAATATGAATTTTTTTTGTTGGCTTAAAATCTGAAGCAACATTAAGGTTTCAATTGTTTATAACTGAGAGGCATGGAATGCTGTCTGAAAGAAAAAGCTTTCTTTCTAAGGAAATTGTGCTCTGATTCAAGGTATTTTCCTTGTTTTGAAATAACCCTTAGTAATTTGATTTTCAGTTACATTTACTTAAAATTATGAGCACAAATATGTTTTGATCCTACTTCAGTATGGTTTCAAAATTTTCAGACCTGCATCAGATCAATCTTGTGCAAAGACAAGTTGAACCAAAGCATACATTCATTTGTACGTGTATGATTCAGAACCAGTATCTTGAAGAGGAACCTTTTTAGGTTTTAGGCTGTTGGGAAATATCTCAGAATTTTTAAAATTTGAAATTGTGAACCAGTTTCTGCATATTGGCAAGATTCAATTGTTATCTAAAGGTGGACTTTTTAATTTCTTTGGAAGGCTGGAGATCAAATCCTTGATGTAAATGGACAGAGTTTTCTAAACATCACTCACAAAAAGGCGGTGAAGGTTCTAAAATCAACCAGAAACATGATAATAACTTTGAAAGACATTGGCAGGTTACCATTCACCAGGGTAACTCATGACAAAACAAGATGGATAACACAACCTACTAAAAATGGCCAGATTCAACGGTATGTGTCATGTACACATCATGTACACATCTTGGCTCACGTTGGTTTTTTCTTGCTCCTTATTCATAGCTACTTATGCCTGCATGATAAATGTATTAAAGCAATAAATCAAAGCAAAACCATTACATAATGATATATTATCAGCTGGAAAGAGGCTGGAAATGAATAGGAGATGTTAGTTATTCAATGTTATTGATATTAATTTCAAAATGCAAGCACTCCAAAAACATTTTGCCCTTTACGCAAGGTAGTTATTACATGGTAAATTACTTAAGACTCTTAAAATGTTGACAAAATAGTTTTGCAAACAACACATCACTAACAGAGTATAAAGTTAGTTTCAATTTTTTTTCACACCAACTTAAATGCTTGGGGAAATAAGTGAAAAATTATAAATTTGAAGTGCTCTTTAATCAGGATTTCTTTATTTCAATATATTAAGGAATTGGGAAGAACTTTTTTTAATACTTTCCCTGTTTAAATATCTTGTTAAATGCTTTTTTTGTCTCTTTTAGATAGTTTGTATCTACAGCATGTGTAATAGAGTATAGGCCAATCATAAATTCTTGAAGCAGTTTGTCTATAATTTTCCCTTAAAGCAATAAAGCTGCAACATAAATTTATGGAGGAGAAGACTCAATTTGAATATACAATGTAAACATGCATCACAACTATCATTTGAATATTCTCTCTACACAAGGAAATTAATATAAAACTGTACAACTCTGATATAAAACTGCCATAAATAATCACTATTCTCTTTAAGCTTCACTGTTCTTTTTTTCATTATCTTTCCTAAGTCTTTCATGACAGTTATTTTGACTGTTTTGTATGGTCAGTGATAATTTACATGACATATTCATCTATCTGATGTCCTGCTAAAAATTAACATCCATCTCTCCTAATTATTTCACTGACATTATGACTTTCTCTTTGGTGTGAAATATAACTCACAAAATGTCTTCTTTGTTTCACTTCTTGCACATGTTAATTTGCCATTATTATGCAGTGTTCCTGAGGTCACTCACATTACAGAGGTTGAGGTTCATGCACCTTCCGGCTCTGCCCTTGAAGGCCAACCACCTCAATCTTCTAGGTAGTTTACTCTAACTTTATTCTCAGATTGTATTTTTCTCTCAGAGTAATATGGCATAGTCAACACTTTTAGCTATTTGTGAGTTAAATTGAAGTTTAGTCAATGGTGAATTTACCAGTACCTGACTGAAAATGATCTAACAAAATTTCTTTAGCCTGTCACATTTCTCATTTTACATTTGATTCAATGGGTTTTGTTTAAGTTTTGTTTTATTAAGAGGGTATTTATTGCAAAATTGTTTTTAAGGAGATTTCATTACCACCTTAATGCACATGTATATTGTAACAAAATTAACTTGCCCAGGAGATTCCCATTCTTTGTTAGTTGGTTACATGTATGTCTGAGGACCCATAATGTCTTTAAACCAGTTAAGTATTACTACTGGTTCATGTACATGTAAATGCAATAATGAAAATCTTAAGAAGTTCTGCATTTTGAAGAAGAGGTTGTGAGACACCCACCTAGTGGAACAGGAGACATCAGCTAAAACAAAGTAATGTGATCATTATAATGGTAACTTGGTGAGCTGGAATACACACTGCCTTAAGAGCTTGATTTACAAATGTCATGCAAGTAATGTAATTGTAAGATTGGGTGCAAAATGTTATGAGAATATGTATTCTCTATTTGTGATCTAATAGTATGCTTCTTTTGCTTTTATTTCATAAAAAGACGACATACAGCACATGGAAGAATGACTGGTGATGGTGACACTGAGGTGTATAATTTTTTTCATGACTATATGATGGAAACACACTATGAGATGATTTGTATAGTATGTACATGGAAATATTTCATAAATGAATTGAAATGAATTGTACCTTATCATCAATAGTTGGGTTACAAAATGTATGTAAACTACAGTAATGAACCAAACTTACATGAAGATCATAATTGTACAGACACCACATAAGGCATCTTCAAAAAGCCTCTTCTGTTAAGCTGAAAATGACAGTAGTACCTAGTACTTAGATACATTGGGTACATGTAAATTAACAAAATTGTGTAAGTCATGTATTATATGCACTGTACATGTGGCTGTTATACACTTTGCCAGTAGGATGAAGAAATTGTAGAAACAATATATTTTACACTTCCTGAAGGGTCACCTTAATTAATAATTATTTTGTAGTCTTATTCAATGACACATAAACTTGTAGAGTCACTTTCATGGTTAATTCTTTGGTAGTCTTATTAGGTGACACATGAATTTGCAAAATTTATTTCATTTTGGTCTTCTTTAGCCTTCGATGTTTCATCATGGGATTGCAGGATCTCAAGTCCTTTATAGTGGGGGACTTCCATTACAGAAGAACCTAATAACAGAACAAGCTAGGCAAATCCTTAGTGATAATGAGTTAGAAACCTTGACTTATTACTTGGAGGAGTACTGCAAGGGTTTCATCAACATCAATGCTTTTGTTCTTGCCATGTTTCATCTGCTTGACACTCCAGCTAAGGCAGGTTTTTGAGTTTTCTTAGAAATGTATATGTAAATTATTGTTTGTTTTCAAAGTATCTAAATTTTAAATTGATTAGGAGGTGTAGTGGCTTCATATTGGATTTAATGGTCTTGTTTGAAGCCCTTATGTGCACCAGTGTCTTGTGATTTTGGCAACCTATTTTACTCCCACAGTGACCCTATCCAGTAGCAAACTTGTAGGGAAACCTAATGAAATGGTGGGGTTATACACCCAGGATGAATCAGTACTAATTTTGGAGGATTAGCAACACTCTATATGAAATAATGCTTGGTTGGGCTTTGGCAGCTGTCTGTGCAGTCATGTATGCAGACACTGTCTTTAATACATATTGTAGTAGATTATTTTGAAAACTCGCATAACTCAAGTGTTTGGATATGCAGTGACCATGTTTCAATAAAAGTGAAAAATGTTTATGAAACCCTCCACATTTGTGGCATGTAGTTTTTCTTCCTTTTATGCATAAGCTGTTTGTAAAATTTTTCCTTTTGTGGCCCTTGTAGTGATTTAGGACACTGAAGTTGAGCAAGTAATATTTGATATCATGTATTGTATTTTGGTTTTAGTTTTACCGAAAATCAGTGTTTTTCAATCGGTAGATGTCATTGATGGGGGAAATACGAGGCTCTGTGGCACCAAGAGATATTGATCGATTTGATGACTTATTACTCAAAAAAGAAATTGAAATGATGAAGGTAAATAACACATTTTTTCACAATATTAGTTATAAATTTTATAACTGAATTTTAAATATCCCTATAATTTAATCTATTTTATGTTCTTCATTTACTTATGCTGAGGGATAACAACCTTTTCATTTTGATGAAATTAACAGAGTCGCCAGTTTTTTGGAAACCACATGTCAGATGACAGACACTCCATTCACTCATATGCAAGCAGTGTGTCAAGCTTCTCTGGAAAGGGATCATCGTCAAGCCGCAGCTCGTTCAAAGTAAGATTGGAATTGTTCATGTATTTACATTCTTTCCCTGAGTTTCCATAGAAAGAAAATATGCGGTGCATGTAAATACATATGCAGTTTAAATTGGAAAATACGAGTCTCTTAGAGATATCGAGCTACTTGAACCCGTGAGGATTTCAAATGAATTAGCTTTGCCAAATGATAGCCATTAGAAATGCCATCGATATTATTCAATCAAGTGAGAAAAAGGTATTTTAAAACCCTGATTAGTAACGCATTGTCTTTTTAGTATCTTAGTGACACGGAAGCTTTTTTTTTTTTCGTTTTTAGGGTTCCGTGAACGGTTCTGACTCGCGTCCCATCACCCCTCCACAAGTGCCTGAAGTTTTGCCTCCAAATGTGAAAGTAAGCTCGCAAATAGCGAAGACTTTTTTTACATCGGAGATTTCCGTGCCTTACAATATTAATATTTGGTCGGCTGAATTGAAATACACCAATACGTTTGCCAAAAGTTAATGAATAATAAACTACAGTCGGGTAACCTCAAATATAAAACTTCACAATTTGAAGTGAGACAGTCAAGAAAGTTATTTTTCTCAGACAGTCAAGCTATTTATTTTTTCACATGCTTCCTTTTTATTTTTCATTCATATATTTTTCATTCTTATTTATGTATTTATGTATTTATCTATATATTGAGTAAATTCCTCAATACTGGGATTGTTGAAGCGTTACCCAACATCAAGCCAGTCAGTTTAAAAGGTTTTCTCTCAACTTGCCACTAAGTTAGTTTTAAATTGCAAGCCATTAAACCGAAGAGATTGCAAACTTTAAGCTTTACTTACCCGCCCAAAATGGGTTGAACGTCATGGTCATGACGAAGGACTGTTTGCACGGATCGGTCTTCTTGCAAAGTCAAATTGTAAGTTACGTATCATAACAGAAAATCAACAAAAATTAGAGCATTTTCACAATCCTTTCTTTGTGAACCTATACTTAACATATTCCCTTACCTTGCCCGGATGAGAAAATGTTTCTTTCACAATAATTTGAGGAAACGTAACGAGATTTTTCTTTGGACAACACAACTCAAAACGTAGGTCATTTTTTTTTCCTCCACGCCTTTAACGCGGTGTTCCCAACTTGAAATGGGCAGAAATAGGCGGGAAAACAACTCGTCACTAGTCCTGCGCTTACATTTAACTGCGTCTGCAGATGTTCCATACAAGCTGTGGAATGGCTGGTGTAAACGACGGTGTTAACAGGCAGTTCTCTAGAAATTTATTTATTTTCTTCAGTTTTGCCTGACACTACGTCACAACTCCACAAAACGTTAGCACTGCAACACTCGATTTTCTACAAGAGAAACTAAAGCCATAGTTAAATTTTATTCAAGACCAAGCTCTTACCACCAAGCACTAGTCTTTTTGAAGAACAGATCCTTAGAGTAGAAAGTTGATTTCAAACGCCTGAAATAATGTCCAGCATGGACGAATACCTAACCGGTTGGTTGCATGGAAAGGTGTTTAGCGTTACTTGTATATAGGTCTGACATTAATTTTCTTCTTTATTGTTCGGTAGATTGCCTATGACGAAACATCCTCAACTTACGATGTTTATGAGGCCACACTGACATTCAACGAAGACCAGGAAGAGGTTGGTTCAAATCCCCTCGTTTAACACATCGGCAGATGTCTTGACAGCACGCACATAATAACTTTGCCATTATTATGACAATAACAGATTCAAGATTCTTCATAGTCTTCAAGTCCAAAAGAACGGAAAATTCTAATAGACATATGCACTCATTTCGACGCTTTCCTTTTTAGACTTTTGACGATGGAGAAATGGAAGGACTTCCATCTTTACTGAACATCAATCCGATGTCACTGGATATTCCTTTCTCTGAGGTAATGACCATTTTTGGTATCCTTCTTAGTGTTCATGTCGAGTCGCCATCGTTCAAAGGTTAGGCAGGAGCTACGTCCACGTCATAGTCCGCCATGTTGAAATTGTAACAACAAATTGATGTCAATGGACGATGAAATGACAGAATTTTTTTACTTGCATGTAAATTTTACGAATTGTTCTTCCATGAAATAGTTTAACCCTTCAACTCTCAGAAGTGTTTAACATGTAACTTCTCCCTAAAATATCCATTCATTATCCAACAAACAGTTAATAAGGACACACAAATTAAGCAAAAGATGTTATCTTGCTCTAACACAAAATTCTCATAACTAATTAACAGGGTAATGTGTAGTAGCAAGAGAGGAGAATTAACAATCAGATCTTGGCTGTCAAAGGGGTTAAAGCGTTTGCTCCCTTCAGTTAGGAGTAGCCTTAAAACGACTTCCATGTCGCATAAAGTTCAGCTTTCAGTTCTGTGGTTGATTGTGTAGAGAATCAACAATGCTTTTAAAAGACTTGCCACAATCGTATAATGCCGTTTTAGTATTTACTATTTCGATAGCGAAAAGAAAGCTTATACTATCTCCTAATCTTCCTCTTTCTTAGAGTACTTCATTTCCTTCTCCTGACATTAATTTCTCCTCACCAATGGTGACCTCTTCGCCTACGAATGAGAGAGAACAAGAAACTCCAACGAGAACAAGAGGAGAAGCAACATCCAGTGAGAAAGTGGGTGACAACACTAGAAAAGTGAAAGAAGCTAAAGATTCCCCTCCCTATGAAGATATGAATCTTCATCCGCATGACTTACCTGGGAAAAGAACATCGAAGCCACAGGATCACCCCAGCAGTCATGATTACATAAACGCGGATTTGCAACCCGCTGGGAAACCTCAGACACCTTCAAATCCTTTTATTTTTCCAAGCTCGTTCCAAGGCAACGGCACGAACACAGAGTTCAAGGCATTTGAGTGTTCGCCATTGTGTACGTCGTCCACAATTGAAGCGACCATTTCAGAATCGACGTTGCAGAATCAAATTAGTGACGCTAAAACCCAAGACAGCGACAAAGCGGATAAAACACAAAGTGTTGCCGCTGAAGTACCTGATGATGACCTGAGACCAGAAGTGGCGAAACTCCCTGGAAGGAAGAGATTGGCATCCTGGGGTACACCCCCAGACGATGAGGGTGCACCGAACGATGAACCAAACAGAGATACACCGGCTAACGGACACTATACCGATCGCCTGACAGGCTCTGGACAGACGACTTACGGTAACAACACGGTGGCTCAAACCAATGTGCACAATCAGCTTTCTGATACCGGCATTGAGACGTCTTCACCGAGAGAAAGTCGTCAAGGTTCTGTTTCCACGAACAGGAAGAGCTGGGACGGAGTGCGACATCCTGGCGAGTCTGGAGATAACCAAAAGGTGTCCATTCTGGAGAAACCGAAGGACAGTAAGGAACGAAGTTGCAGTGATAGCAATTTGATGGTAAGAAACATACGATTGGGAGAGTAAACTCAGCTTTCGGGGGCTAAATAAAACTTGAGACCTGCTAGAATTTTTTATGGAATTTGTTTATCTTTTTTTTCTTTAAATTGATTTGGTAAACAATGTTATGGATCATTTAATGGTAGTCGACCGAGTAATGAACATCTGGTGGTCTATCGATTGCATTTGCAAGCCCAGTTTGAGCCTTTTTTTTTGACAAAACTAAGCCCTGAAAACAAGTATCTCAAATTATATTTGGGTGTATAATAATTTAATTGATGTTTTTAATGGACAGAAGAGGAAATGACAATTAAGGACAAACCAGATTCGTAAAATAAAGAAAACTGGCTTTCAAAACCAATGACAAATGGACTTAATGCTTGATTTTTGCTCCAAGAACCTCCCTAAGGAGCAGCAGAAGGTTATACAAGCAAAACATAGAGCAAGTCAAGAACTCTACGAGCTTCGCCAACACACCAAAACTAAGGTACAACTAACAAACTAACTCGGTTTTTTTTTTTTTTTTTAAATAGAAAAGTGGGCGGAAAAGCTCTTGACAATTGACTAAAATGCCAGTTATTGGGAGTTGATAGTAGCCTGCCCTTGTAAACTGCTTACTCATATCATGTTCTCTTATCATTATTAGAGCGTTACAAGCCAAAACAAGACTATTTCATCAGAAGTGAGCATGTTCCCAGAGTTGAATGGAGTTCGAGAGCCTGAGTTTGTCGTGGAAGTTGATAAATCAGTAGGGAGCTTGGGTCTGTCCTTGGAAGGCGGGTGCGATGCGGAAAGTGACGTGAAGATCAAGTCAGTCAAGGTGAGACTACAGCTTTTAAGAACGAGAATGAACTGTCGATGAGCATGGGAGTTGTAGACCTTCACGGCTGAGCTAACTCTTGAATGTGCTAATGCTTAAGTTCAATGTAGTTTTTTTTTTAACTTTGATGATCAATTTAATTGTGGAATGAAATCATAGCGTAAATTAAACGCTGTAAATCTATTCTGTTTGACAAAATGAATGGTTTTTACATCGATTGAATGTCGCAGAAGCAAAGAGCATAGTAATAGCAATCAAGGTAAATGTCACAAGAGACCACGGGGAACTCAGAATAAATAAACCGCAAGAAAAAGCGGGTAAAAGTTCGCGATGGAGTGACGTTTCGCTTCTGAATGGGTAGGTAATGGATGTGATATTCTTACCCAGTGGCCAAGCAAAGTAAATCAAACACTTTTCGAGGTTCCCTCCTACATTATATCGGAAATTGTCGCGTACCTTCGTCGAGCATCACATCAAGTTGACAAGACATCAAGTAGACAAGTTTCAGCGAGAGAATTTCTTCTTCATACTAGAAGCGGTTGTGCTGCATGCGTGAAAATCAATTGTTTTTTTTTGTAACACTTGATTCGTTCACATTTTTGAAACTTGATGTCAGATGTCCACATTCCCATTTCGACTCAACGAGTGTTCAAATTTTTGGTGGAGTTAATTAATTGCATGCTTTCGTTGCAGCCCATCAGGAAAATGTGGAAACCACTCTTTGCTGGAAATTTAACTACGTCATCTTAATGTTTTCAATCCGGTCAACCAACAATTCTTGTTAGTAGCTCATTCTCACAATGCATTGACAGCGTACCAATTAGCAAGGCTGTCGAGATGTTGTTAAATAGAAACGAGTTTTCAAAATTGGCTTGGTTTATTTGTACTGATATGTAACGCACTACGTGATAGAAACTGTTGAGTGACAATAATAGAAAGAGTTATCAATTGAAGTGCCGTAAACTCTTGAAACTGCCCTGGAACGCCACAATTCATTTTCTTAATTAAAGCTTCCACCTCTTTCTCTCCTTCCGGTCACTTCTTTCGATCATTGGTTAATTTCATGAACAGTGCTGTTACTAAGGCCATCTGGCCAGTACGCAAGCTTTCATTGGCCATGCGGGCCAAAGTCGATCTCGCGGGCTTCGCCGATTGTGCCGCAGCGCTGATGAGAGTGTGCTCCTTGCTCTCTTCCTGATAATTACGCACAATACGTTTGTCGGGTATCCATATCTAACAAATATTTTGCATTTGCCCTGCAAATTGGCAAGGCATTTACAATACTGAGAAATACGATTTACCTTGTTTTGGCAATACTGGGCACAATATTTGCACTTTCTTGAAAATGTTTTGGAACTTCATGATTACTGTATGGGCTCTTCGTTGTCACTTTTTTCTCCGAATTTCAATTGAAAATTTAAATCTTTTTTTGTTTTTAGGAGGGTAATTTCGCAGCATGGAAATCTGGAGGGTTAAAACCGGGTCAAGTTCTTCTCCAAGTGGACGACACGCCGATACGAGGAATGACTAGCGGCGTGGCAGTACTCACCTTAAGAAAGGCTTATTCGAACCCAGACTCGGCCGTACTCAAGCTTCTTGTTCGAGATATTTAGTGTAGTCACTCACTGATATAAACGTTTTCTGAATTTTTGTGTGAATTATTTGTTATTGTATAGCTAAGCTTAATGAAAAAAATCAGCAAGTGATGCTTACAAAGACGACTTGTATTTATCGAGATTTATAAAGTGTTTTAAGGATGCATAAAGTTTTCCAATCGCAAAATGTACACCCCAGTATTGTTCACACCCTTTAACTTAAACACACCTTAGTTAAAGGAATTCTAATAAATTTTATCAATGGCTTGGCTTATCTCCTCAGAGTTATACAATCAAGTTTTCCAGTCTTGTTCATTAAGGTTGCAAGTTCTAGAAAATCTCCCAAGGGGCGAAGTGCGCCTTCAGGTCGTTTATCATTTAAGCCGCAATAATGTACTTGAAAAATTTACGCGCTTCTGATTGGCTGAAAACGAGTGCATTCTCATAAAACACGAGTGCAAGGTTTGAACATGAGCGCAAATTTCAAATAGCGCGCGCACGCTTTCAAAATTTCGCCTGTCTTGACTTCTGTGATGTTTTTTCATGTACATTATTAACTTGTAAATTTTTCAAAGACTACATATTGCACTTTCCGTACGGGCTCGAGCAGTTTTGTTGTCTTCATAAGATTCGCGCTTATTGAGACCAAATTGCACTCGAAATCATGTTATTGCGTATACCAAATTGTAACAGTTTGATACTGAAATTGTTCTGTCGATATCAAATTCACGAAAGGGACGGTTAAAAAACGAAAAAAAGAACTCGTTGCCTGGGGTTTGGGAAGAGGATTAAGAAACCTCTATAGGGTGTATGGGACTATGTTTCTCCGGAAAATGTATTTGAGGGGTTTTCCATCGACCCGCAAAGGATTTGCGAAACTGCACATGCAAATGAAAATAAGTAAAATCGAAAATGAAAATGCGTTCCCATCTATATTAAATTTTTTGGCTATAACATTATCAAAATAGTTTATGCAGATATAATTACAAAACAGTTTCCCTTTCTGTTACCAGCAAGACAGTTAAAGAAGAATCCTTTTTGCCAGTCAGGATTTTTCTCTCCGAGAATTCGATTCTCCTCATGCAAATGGATGTCAGTAATGTCAGTAATATAAAGACTTCAACAGCTTTGATTCCACCCGCATATAAGGAAGCTGTAGGATATGAGTTTGTTTTGTTAGCCGGCAAAACTGGAGATATGATATAAAGAAGAAAAAATTCATATTTTTGCCACGTTCCTTACTTCATTTAGCAATATTTTTTTCACGTTCATTCATTTGTCGTCTCTTTCTTTCCTTTTTAGTTTCTTAATATTTCTCTCTTTTCTGCTCTAATTTTCCCTTTTTATACGAACGTTTTACACTTATCTCCGATGGATGCACCAAACAAAAATATAGAATAGGTTCACCTTTGGAAAGAGCCAAAACCCTGAGCCCTTTGTCTCTGTGTGAGAACTTGCAAGCAAGAAAGGTTTAATCAAATGGCTATGCGAACAGTAATGTATTTAATTAGGTATATCCAGGGCGTTAAGCGCGTAAGATCCGCATGATAATTGTCAAGTAAACCCATATTTGATGGAAACGAGTGCCCTCGACTCGTTGTGAAACGTGAGCGAGTCTTGAATCCTACGCGGAATTGCGTATCTGAGTGTGGATTTCCTTAGCTGATAAATGTAGCAGTTTTTGTAACCTCAAGTCAGATTGGTATATAATAGATAGATCGTAGAACGGAACATATAATACTGCATTGTCGATAATGAAGTCACTATCACTGAACCAGCGTATGCGGAGTTCTCAGTAACTTAGAGGGAAATTCTGCGAAACCCACGCGCAGAAAGCGGGACCACTGAAATAAAACTAAGAATAACCTTTCAAGTAAAAGTTATCCAGATTTGTCTCGCGAAATCAATGTTAGTAGTGTTTTTGAGCAAGTGTTAGTACTTTACGTGGTCAGTTATAGCATAAATGGCGTTTTTAAGGTCCTTTATCTGTGGAACCTGTATTGATTGGTCACTCCGCCACTCCCCGAGATTGACCGCTTAGTACAGGTGCGACTGTAGCTATTTCCGATTTAGCATGTACCCATATCCAGCCTTTACCAGCCTCTTGGTGAGCGAATAAGACAGATAATTAGACATGTGAGGGCGGGCGCAAAAGATCGCAGTGGCTGTCGTTCGATCCTTGCTTTTTAGTCTTCTTCAACACCAGCCTGGGAGAGGGGGGTGTTTAGAGGATTTTAGGTGGGGTCATATGGTTTCATAGGGAACGGGGAGGGGGATCGGACGCGAAAAAAATCCTCCAACCTCCCCCAACGATGATAATGACCAGTCCCTCGATCATCTCGTTATGTAAGAGCCGTAAAACCGTAAATAATTGGTATCCCCCTTGATTAAGGTACTTCGTTCCTTTAAAGGACAGAAAAAGTAGGAAATAATTCTCGCAGCGGTGTTTCCTCGATTACGTGCAAGCTGAATTCCAGCATTGCAGTAGTGAATTTTTTACGGTTGCGGTTTTTAAGCATTGCCTATTAAGGACCTTAAGATCCGAGGACGGCGGATGTCTACGACGGCTGTCATCACCGAGGGGGACTGGGAAGAGGTTGCCGTCGCAAGGCGCGAAAAATCCTTAAGAGACCAAGTGAGTCGAAGGCCCGGGCGGAATTGTTTACATATTTTCGATTTTTATCACAAAGTACTTTAGTCATGGCTTCCTTTAGAGAGATTCGTAGCATTCTTCTGCAAAGTTTTGATGATGGCGATATATCAGAGGACGAGTTCCTTATTCTTTATGACGTTAACACATCCAAAAACCCCGATTTTCCTAATGATAATTATGGGAAATTTGACCTTAATGATATGGATGACAGTGCGTGTTTATCCGAGTTTCGTTTTCGTAAGGGTGACCTGTCTGCTTTTTGGACTGCTCCTCCTTCTTACTTTCAGCCTCTGGTCGCTGCTTCCGTAGCTGCATTTCTTCCATTTTCCATTTCTGCATGAGGTCGTTCTTTTCGCGCAAATATGCCATTGTGTCACTACCACTTCTTCGACGTTTTGCTCTTGCTGCTGTTTCATTCTCTACCTCATCTTTCCTTTGTCTTTTCTGTGTCCCGCCAAGGTTCTTTAGAGCTCTGTATCTCATTTCCGCTGCTTTGGCACTGTCCATTTACTTTTCGTCATTTTGCGCTGTTTCTTCAACCACAGTTTCTTTTTCTACTATCTCCTCAAGTGCTTTTTCAACGTCACTCAAATCTGCATCTATTCCACTTGCCTTTTTTTTATCTCGCATCTTTGCTATAAATTTGTCGCTCGAAAGCGTATATCGTTCTCTGACAGATCGCTTCGTCACTCTGAACTGGGGACGTTGAAGGCTGTTCAGATTGTTCGCTATTTTATCCCAAATTTGGCCCCTTGCAATGCTTCCTTTCTTTGCCTTGAATGGTTCAAGAACGAGAATCTTCTGACAAATAATATTGTTATGTTGTTCAGTCCACTCCGTGTTGGTTCTAAAGATAAAAATAAAATGTTAACGCTTATTTTCTTTTTGTTTGTGTTGCACGTTGTTTGTTTGTTTGTTTTTTTTTTTTACTGCAAGCAGAACCCTTTTTTGTTCACCAAATATGCAAGACACTTTAACAAACAGAAATAATGGAGAGATTATCATTTACCTAGCGTAATTCGTGTTGAGTTTCACGACATTCATTGTTAAAAGCGTGAAAAAAAGAGAATAAGAAAACTTACTGAGCAATCTTCTTGGCACTCGTACCGGCTGCAGCCATGACCTGTTTAGTGGAGGAGGAAAAAAACATGTTTTTTCTCGAAAATCAGGTCCCAGAAGAGTAGGCAAACGAATTGAAAATATTATTGACTCCATAATATTCGAATATTCGCAGAATATTGGAAAATTGTAAAAAATAGTTTATAAAAACACTGTAATCAACTTACGTTTTGTACGTAACGGCAAACTAGTTGGTTTGACATCGCAGACAACACTGCAGCTACGGCGGGAATTTACGGGGAACGGCTACCGGTAGTAGGTAAACACGCATTCAAACTTTCGCCCGCCGTCGTTGGCATCCACCATCCTCGGATCTTAAGGTCCCTATTGTCTCGACTTAGGACAGAACCACCTGCATCAGTCCGACTTTTACCCAAGGGAGGGATTTTAACCAATAGAATAGGAATTGGCGAGATTAGATTAATTTCAGCCCTTGTGTCCCCATAGGTCTGTAGACTAAGAGGGTTGTCATGGTATCCCCTTGTCGGGTCAAAAGCCATATTCCTTTAACCTCCTGCATTTTACGCAAAATTTTATTTTATTTCATTTTCTTTCATTCAAAACCACCCGCCAAACCCCTGCCGATGGGTGCCTGCCTAACAGAAGCCTTGTGACAACAGTAGTCACACGCACCCAAGAGAGCGCCGACCCAAGGATTCTTCCACACACGAACACGACTCACTATCGTGCACCTGAAGTTAAAGTGCCCTTACAGTTGTAGATGAGCTAACTTCACTGACTACAGATCCTGGAAAATAGATTTCCATGAGACCCATAAAGCTCGCTGAGATAGAGGGTAGGTTGCATAAAAAGGTTGGAGATATTTTTCTAACGCTAAGAATAAACTGGTTTAAAGCTTAAAAAATAATTAGCCGTGAATGTTTCACTGACTCTCTAAACATGCAGGCTTGAAATGCGTTCTTATGTGTATATACATTTTTCGCTTTTATGTTATCAAAACAGTTGTACACACTGATATGTTTACAAAACAGTTTCCTTTTCTGTTACCAGCAGGACAACTGGTTAAGAATCTTCTTAACCAATTAGGATTTTGCTTCGCGAGAATTTGACCCTCCTCGCGCAAATGAATATTAGTAAAATGAATACTCCAACAGCCTCGATTCCACCCGCAAACAAGAAAGCTATGGGATATGACCTGGTCTTGTCAGCCACCAAACCTGAAAATATGATATAAAGAAGAAACCAATAGTGCAGTGTTAAGTCAAGGCTGAGGCAATAAGTATTAGCTTTACTTAGCCCATCTATTTTTCCGCGACTACAGCAAAGCTTTTTCTGTCCCTATACTGTTCTGAAACGAGTGAGAAGTGGTTACGGGGAGAGGATAAAATTCTAATGAACCTGTAATCATACCTGTTGACGAAGCCTCTATTCTATAAGTGGAAAGACGAGTTTGTCAGTAACGCTAACGAAGTAGACATGGGTGAGGAGCTGTTTTCCCATTCTAGTCCATGTAACCCTTGCCCACGAAGATTTCAGTACCGTCGTCCAGTTTTCTCATCGAAAAAAAAGAAGGCAAAACATTAATTTACGAAGGACTTTGTTTTTCCCACGATCAGATTTCATAAAAACGACAAATTCTTTTACATTTTCCTTCGTTCCTAATAATTCAATCACTATTCTGCGTGGACATTCTTTCATTTACTCATTTACTCTATCTTTCCTTCCATCTTAATTATTATTTTTTTACTCTTTTCTTATCCATTTTCGTTTTTGTAAGAATATTTTTCACAAACCTCCGATGGGTGCACCAAACAAAATTGCCGAAGTAAGGCACAATTGGTAAAAGCCAAACCCCTGCGCTCTTTGTTTCTGTGTGAGAACTTGCAAACAAGAAAGATTTACTCCAATAGTTATCAAACCATCAACGAGGCCATATGAAATAGAAAAAAAGAGAAGCCACGTCCAGTTGATTGCCAGGGGCAGCAAAACAGAAGTCACGATTGCGCCGCACATACCGAATGCAAGTACCACACTTTGCGAACCGATGACGTCACACAGCTTAGAGCCCAGTATTCTTGTAAGTAGAGATGTGATTCCAATGCAGGAATAAAGCCAAGCCACTAAATCAGTGTCGACACCGAGTTCCTCAGAGTACCGAGCCTAGAAAATACGACACAGTTTAGTAACCATATGTGTAAAATTATCTACAACCTTTAGCTCAATATTTCTCCCAGTCTTTCTTTCCAAGATTTCTCAACCCTGAAAGTATAACTTAATCAATGAATTGCTTCTATTTTTCTTTCCTGAGTCTTTGTTTCTTTTTTTGGGTTGTTGACTTTTTTTTTTCGGTTAAGTTAATTTATTTTTTTTATTCCTGTTTTACTCCAGTGACGAGACGCCTCAATTAAAGGGGACACTTGTGCTCTACAGATGCTTATTTGGTCCCGACTGAAAATATCCTCACTGATCTTGCCTATAGTTGGGACAGGTGTCCCTTGAAAGCCAAATATATCTGAAGCCATTATTGGGAATTTTAGTATTAAGCTCCCGTATGTATAACATAAAAATCAGCACTAAGTTACTTACTAAATGGACGATAGGGATAGTATGGCCAATAAAGACGAAAAAGCTTGAAATGGCAAGTACTACAAATGTGATATTTCTCCACATAGACAGATCCAGAATTTTACTTGTTTCCTTCGTTTTGGATGGTTTAGTTTCTTCAACACTTTCTCCGGCTTCTTCACAGGCCACATTGGGGTCCAGCGTCCAACCCATGACGAAAATTACCAAAGCGCAACCGCTCATGCCTCTGAAAGCGCCCCTCCAACCATATGCATCTATGAGTGCCTGACATACGGGGCTCATAACAACTAATGAAGCCCCCGTACTCATTGTTATTAAGCCTGTGGCAAGCGAACGATGTTTGATGAAACATCGTGGGACAATCTCGAAGATTGAGATGTAAATAAGGCTGGAACCAAATCCAAATATTCCTCCGTAGGTGAGAAGCATAAGATAAAGATTGGGGACTAGCGACGTCAATAAGAGTCCGGCTGCGCTCATCAGTGATCCACATACAACCACTGCACGTGCGCCAAAACAGTCTGTCAGTCTTCCAGCGATAGGACCAAAGAGACCAGAGGACGCCATGGCAAAAGAACCCATCCATGCTGAAGGACGAAAGAGATATCTTTGAAAATATTCGTATACTACCACATTCTACATCATCTACATCTACGTTACTGAACTAAATCTTGAAGTTTCGTCGCTTGGAAAAAAGTTGTCAGCTTAGAAGAAAATCACTTAAAATCAGATGACTATAAAGTGACTTTATTTGTGCATGTTACCAGTTTAAAGATTCTTCAAGATCTAAATCTGCACGTGACAAGCGGCGGAAACAGGGAGATCTGAAAGACCTTTACACCGTTTGTAGATTTACTGCTTTTTCGATGGTTAACGATAAAAAAATTCATACATTCCTACTCACCAGTATCAGATTTTCCTTCTTTAAAGTCATCAAGAAGAAAAGGAAATATTACTCCAAAACAGTAGGCGCATCCTAAAACTATGATATTGGAAGCTGCTCCGACTGCACACACAACCCAAGCCCACTTTGTATCCGGCTGACGAAGTTTTCTCTCTTTGAACGTTTGGGTTTCATCGCCATTCACGGTTGATTGGGACACTGCCTTATTTTCCATTGTAATATCAACAGAAATCATTGACATTAAACAAGCGTCAAGCAAGGTGATAGGCTTAACTGAAAAGAGTACGGAGAAGTTCAGTAAAAACTGAGAAATTTTCTCACTTTGTTCTCATGCAAAGAATTAAGGCCGTCCTTTGATATGTCACGCAACACTTGACTTAACGGGAAGCATTACGTGACATTAAAGAAAATGGCCCAAAAGGAGAATTCTCACTCTCGTTTCAGCTCTGTGGTAGGAAGATGAGAGATCCTGGGAACGAGGGTGTGTGACCCTGATTAACTTTTACAGCCACATCTTCTAAAATGTTTTACAGGTGCTACCTATCCTGAGGGTAATATTTCCAGATTAAGAACCAAAGATTTTATCCGACTGTACGATCTAATCTGCGATTCAGTAGACTTACAGGAGAAGCCTCCGAACAAACCGACGACGCTGGCACCGATCGGACGAATCTCCTAATCTACGACTAAGTTTAGTAGAGGAATCCTTCTCCAAAATTGGCTACATAAAATTTATCAACAGCCACTTTACACATGCTTTAGAACGAGGCATTAATGCATACAAATTTACACAAACTTTCGTGGCATACGCGTTACATCGAGGAATATTCACAACTTCCGAAGCATGGAAAGCATTCTATAATTGGAGATTCGAAGGGATTGCATATCAAAATACTTTTATAGCTATTTGCGATTCAGCATTTACCAACATGCAACAGACCGTGACTGACTTTCGTTTTATTTTACTAAATAATTTCGTCACATGTGTTTCCAGGAGCCTGGCGCACTACCTTAAATTGGTATCATACTTTACTGTTATATGTTATGCTCTTGACATGTTTGAGGGACATTAAATCATGAAATAATTCTCGCAGCGATGTTTCCCGACTTCTGTACAAGTTGAAATAATAGGCTTTATTTTGCAACGTGAGGTACATTTTTTGCGCCGATCATGGTATTGCTGTCCAGCCCCCTCTCTTGTCCATTCCCGAAGCTCATATGAAGCATTTCAAAGCCATAATTTTCCGGCTTCAGTTCGAGACGTTCATCTCCTGTTCACTCATAAAACATTACAACTGAAGGCAAAAAATGTCATAAAAAGGTTTGAAATTATTTGAGGGGGTTTTCGGCCAGGATAAATTGATTACGTAATGTTTTCAAAAATGGTATGTCTGGGTTTTCGGCTAGGACAGGTCGATTACGTAATCTTTTCAAGTAAGACCGGATGTACAACCCTGATGTACAACCCAACTGGAGTACCTGCTTTTCGAAGCTGATCTTGAGATGAAACCTTTCTTGTATACGTACCTCGTGCAAAACTGGGGTGGTTAGATTTTTTGGAACCTCTTTCAAGCAGACTCCCTCGAGAACTTACTCGCGTAGTGTTCAGTCAAAAGAACAGGGTGCTGCTTATGGTTTGTAAACATTATGTATTGTTTAGGCTTGGGACAGAACTCATCTGCATCGCAAATGCAGTCCACCTTTTATTCAACAAATATTTTAAACAATGTAAAGGGGAATTAGCGAGATTTCAGGCTTAGTTTGGGTATCCTAGGTTTGCCTGCAGACGGAGGGGTTGTTACGTAAGTATCACTAACTGGTACACAACATTTTTCCTTGTTTACTAGCTCATTGCTTACATTACCATCTTCTCGGGCGGCATAAAATGACACTAAAACTCTAACGTCTTTTACCGTTTCAGCCGTTTGGGTCGACATTCTTTCAGATCTTTCATTCGATGGATTCGAATACTTTCTGGTCTTTCTGGATACGATCTGAAGCGCTACCACGACCAGGCGGTATACAAAAATAACACTAAAGGTCATGGTCCATGTGCAAATGTTAACTATTTCAACTTATGCCTATTGTGTTACCATTGTTTGGACCTACTACGAAGATCAAAGACATCAAAGGTCAAGCAAAGATCAGCAAAGGAAGGAAAAGACCAGAAAACAGTGTCACGGCTGCCAAGGTTTATTGATCTTTGTTGAGAACTCTGGAATATCTTACGTTCAAATCCCGTACGGCCCAGAACTTTTTTCAGGCCTTATTTTCACTACTAGTTCACCAGTATTCATAACTGCGAGGATCGCTTCTATATTTGTTTCTTCAAAGCAGTGCACACACACGATTTTCATATATTTACAGTCATGTATCTTCAGTTCCGGATCTATACAAAGTGCAAAGTTGAATTTAAATGTATAACAAAATGCTAATTGGACAAACAAACAATAGAAACAGAACAATGAATGCAATTACAAGGAAAGTTTCAAATTAACATGATAAAGTTGATGATCAAGTAGATCTTGTTTAGTGTTAATGAACCAGGATAATACAATAGGCCAATAAGGAACATGATTAGGTGCATATATTACGTAAGGTATGTTACGTACTACACGTACCAAAGCGGTACTTTAAATAGCCAAGTTGCATACATGTTTGTCAATTGTAGCTTTAAGATTTGGTCGTGAATATTAAAGTTTTGGTCAGCCGTTTTAAATCCACAGTGTACTGATGTTATTCCGCGCTTGGATACAATAGATCTCTTGTTAAATCTAGCTTGCTGGAGATGGTGTCGCCTTTTTCAATGCAAACATCATGCAAAACTATACTCGCAAGAGTTGTTGTCTTCACTCGAGTCGGTCCACTCATTCATCCTTAAAAGAACACTCCACCGTCCTTTCAGTTGTCCATAGGTGCCTTCTGTGACCATCCTAGTTCGACTTAACCAGTAATTGAAGTATCTGCGTTTCTCTGTTAATACTGCATTTCTGTGGGGTTTTAGGAGCTACGGCTGGAACGGAAAAGCGGAATCCCCGAAATAAGTGGACGCACAATCACATCAGCTATCTTAAGTCCAATATCTGGGAGAAAATTCTGTTCTTTTAACTTTTCCCAGAGATCGTAGCCTGAAGATGATGGCATCATGAGAGTTAGCCGGAAAGCCGCAGCTGCCCCAAATAAACCTATATCTTAAATCTACCATGGCCATCAACACCACAGAATAACAGTTTTTAAAATTATGGTATTCTTTACATGAGGCGGCTCCTCCTGGTGGGCATTTAATCGGAATGTGGCAACCATCAATTGCAGCCCAACAGAAAGGAAACTGCCACCTGTCATTCATTTCCTTCATCTGATCTTTAAGTCCTGCTCGATAGATGGCATGTGCTTTATAACACATTTTTGTCAAATACAATCAACGATTAGTTCACAAACCTGAGTCACAATTTCGCGTACAGTTGAAATGCCCAGTCCAACCATTTTCGCTCTAGTGTAATGATAGTCCAGACTATCGTCTGGAAAGAGGGGACGTCTGCCATTCAGGGGATATTGGGTCTTCATTTTTTTATTGTCTGGCGCTCCAGGTCATTTCAGATTCGACTCAGAATGAAATTAAAATAATCCTTCGAAATCCTGAAATTTTTCTTAAATCTTTCATGAGTATACGTGTTCCATTCTGTCTCCCGATAGCCGTTGTTTCTCGCCAAATGTCGGCAAGGTCGTTGATAAACTCTATCGGTAGCCATAGATTGCTTACGTGAGAGCAATAAAAGCCCAACCGAAGGAAATAAAAGAATCATCCGCTTCCTTCGTAATGCAACATACATGAGGGCACTTTCTGAAGACATCCTTATGCGGTGGTTTCCCTGAAAAAGCGTCCTAATGAAAGCTATCCTTTCTTTCAACCTACCATCTTGAAAGTTGAATTTTGGCGCGAAAATTGTTATCACCCCCAGTCCCTTGCGTATGTGCTATTAGGTGCAACACACGATACACCAATGTCACCAATGTCGCTCCACAGTCGAGCCTGATTAAATTAGTTTCGGCGCATGAGTGGAGCGGCTTTTGAACTAGGCCTTAGTCTTGTAAATCACCGTCACGCGCTTGTTAAATAGAAAATCACGCATCACATTGTGATGTCCGGTCCCGCGTCACGCGGATATTAATTTGGGTTCAATCACTTGTCACCCTGCAAATTTTGGGGTCATCACGCATCACGCAAAAAGCCTTTGCCACTCGTCTAAGGCCTCATCCGTATAAATGAAACACATACTCTTCGAAACATTTTCGGCTGCAGAAGGAATGCAATTCAATTGATATTCTATTGTAGCGTAGTTGGTTTATCAGCCCTTTTTGTTGGAAACACCTTGTTTCTTTGATTTTACCCAAATTTAATTTTAACCTCATTAAGTTCAACCACCAATAAATTTTTGTAGAAAGACTAAATGAAACTTGTAGCTACAGAATTGGTTGTAAACAAAAATAATTTTGAATGATTTCTTTAAGATTACGCTCATAGTGAGTACACTGAACACGCACAAGTGTAATGGAAATAGTTGTACGTATTAATATAATTACAAGACAGTTTCCTTTTCTATCACTAGCAGCGCAGTTGAAGATGAGTTCTCTGAGTCAGTCTGGATTTTCGTCTGCGAGAATTCGACTCTCCTCACACAAATAAATATAAGCATAATCAAGACTCCTACAGCCTCGATTCCACCTGCACACAAGAAAGCAGTAGGATACGAGTTGGTCTTGTCAGCCACTAAACCTGGAAATACAATCAAGAGAATAAATAGTCTATTAAGAACATTTAGAATCGGTCGTTTTAATGTTCCTGAGGGGCTTATTTCTGTGTGCATTTAAAAACAAACTAAAGTAGACGTTTTCAAAAACAACAAGATTTAGAACTGCAATGCTACCTAGCTCAAACGTACAACGGAACAACGCCGTCTCTTTTTGCCTTTAGGATTATTTTGTTTCCTTATTCCTTCAGTTTGGAGTTTTCATTAGGAAGGATACCAGAGATACACGAGCAACACCAACAACCAATTTTATTTTTAATATTCTGTTCTCTCTCTTCACGTTTTAACGATTGAGTCAAAAAATTTTATTATTATCATTTTCTATCCCTATGAGAGGACGTTCAGCCTGGATTTCGTAAATCTTTTAATCTCTTACTGTGGCCGTGGGACAAGGACAAGAATCTAAGTCCATGTGGAGATTTAGCAAATGGTGGAATCACTCAGTCGAGTGCTTTCTTTTGTTCGGTTTTTTGTAACTTCGTCCGCACGTTTGTTCGTTCGTTTTCAATTAACTTCGTTTGCCCCCTTGTTCGTTCGTTTGTACCTTCGTTCGCTCGTTTGTACCTTCGTTCGCTCGTTTGTACCTTCGTTCGCTCGTTTTAACTTCGTTCGCTCGTTTGTTCGTCGGTTCATAAGTTCGTTTGTTTGTGAATTCGTTCCTTCATTCATTTCTTTCTTTCTTCATTCATTCTTTCGGTTAACGTCATTTCCTTCTTTTCTTTATTTTTCTCTTCTTTATTTCATTCATTTTTTTTCATTCTCAGTTTTTTTGCCCTAACAACTTACACATTCGAATTTTTTAGACTTACCTCCAATTGGTGCACCAAACAAAAGCGCCGTACAAACACACAATTGATAAAAGCCAAATCCCTGAGCTTTCTGTCTCTGTGTTAGAATTTGCAAGGATGAAAAAACTGCCCCAACGGCTATCAGACCATCAGCAAGGCCATAGACTATAGTGAAACAAAGTAGCCACGTCCAGTTAGTAGCTAGGGGTAGCAAAACAGAATTAGCCACTGCACCAACTGTTCCAAATACGAGCAGCACTCTATGAGGACCGATGATGTCACAAAGCTTGGACCCCAGTATTCTGGTTAGAAGAGATGAGAGTCCAATGCAAGAGTAAAGCCATGTCATTAAATTTTTGGTGACACCGAGGTCCTCACTGTACCTGCCCTGAGAAATTCAAAGAAATAGTTTAGCAGTCGTTAGGTGGTGGTGTAAGACTATTTTTTCTAGCATATTTCCCTGGCTTAACAGCAATGGAATCTTTCTACCGGGACAATCAAATTATGCAGGCTCACACTGTGTCATTAGGCTTGTCCCGATTGTGCCCGGAAACTTTTAGCACTTGGAGCAATTTTTGCGGTTCTAGTAACTTCGAGCAATTTTTGCCTTTCTAAATAATTCTTGGGTAAATCATTGCTTTCAAAGGCATATCAAGCTTGAAAAAGTCAACAATTTCATGAAAAACTAACCGATAACCTGTCACTTGTCAACGTTTCGCAAGCCTTTTGCGATCTGTATCTAATATCATAACGGATAATTGGCTAAATTGACGTTCGACAAGACGTCAAGTGAACCTTTTGATTTGTTCCTTTAGTGTTAAGTATCTTTAAATTTCGCTCATATTTGCGAGCGAGCGACTCTTTAAAGGAAAATTTCAAGCTATTTTTATTCACAGATGTTTAGCAATTATTGTGGACAACCAAAAAATTTCAACTGTACGCGAGGTTGTGACTAATTAACGTTTATATAAAGATATCAAGAAATTTAGGTAGCAACTTTTTAAATTCAGGAAATAATCTTTTGGATTTTTGGCAATTTTTCAGCAAGTTTTTGGCATTCAAGTGAGCAACTTTCCAGCATTTTACGAGTAAAATCGGTACAGGTCTAACGTCATTAAAGAAGATCTATAGTTCAGACTGATTTTGTTTTAGAGATACTGTTAAACGATAAAAATACAACTGTATTTAATCTGAAATATCATAAGGGTTTCCCTATATTGGTGTTGGGGAAAGGAATGGAAATATTATATTACTTTAAACCATTCCTGCAAAAAAATTATAAAAAGGCAGGTTGATTACTTCTTATTCCTTTTGGGAGTCTTATCTTAAAGGTAGAGTTTGGTCACGTTTTCCTCATTATGATCGTGAGGTTGACATGGAAACAGTTGTTCAGTTTCTACGGTAATTAAACTCATGATAGTGTCTTGGGAAAGCTATGTTATTAATTAAGTTAATTTGTTAATCCAGGAAGAGTGAATCTCTCTGGTAAAAGGTCACGTTCGACACCTCTCGTTCTTAAAGGTGTAAACATGTGATACCCTTCATGTTTCGCAATTAGATAGTTATTATGACTAGCACGTAGCAACTTGGGGGCGGTACTTGTGAACGCCCCCTCTTCTCCAACTTTTGTAATCATGATGTTGCTATGTAACGGTCTTCTAGAGCAATTTTCTCTTAAGATACCTCTTCAGATGTGAATAATATTCTGTCAATAGGTCAGTTATGATTTTTATATTACCAATCTCGTTTCTGTTCTGGCCGATCTCAACTGTAAGAATAAGAAATTTAATGTGGAAATTGATTTTGTAACTGCGCAAATGACTCGAAGGCGCATACTAAGCTGTCAATCTTCTTGTATCGTCATCGTTCCATTTCGGCCAGCGAATCATGTTAGATTACGTATGACAGTTCCTGCTTACTACATTAAATTTCTTATTCCTACAGTTGAGATCGGCCGTAACAGAAACGAGATTGGTAATATAAAAATCATAACTAATCTATTGACAGAATATTATTCACATCTGGAGGGGTATCTTAAGAGAAAATTGCCTTAGAAGACCGTTACATAGCAACATCATGATTACAAAAGTTGGAGAAGAAGGGGCGTTCACACTATCTAATTGCGAGATAGTGCCTTTTCTAATTGCGAGATAGTGCCTTTTCATAATTTTTTTGCAGGAATGGTTTAAAGAAATATAATATTTCCATTCCTTTCCCGAACACCAATATAAGGAAACTCTTACGATATTTCAGATTAAATATAGTTGTATTTTTATCGTTTAACAATACGCATTTACCCTCATCAGTGGAACATCTCTTTTCGAGAAACACTAATTTTGGTTCCGAAGGAATCCCATTAAAGTTTCCACAACCTCGTTTCCAGCCCTTTTCACCCTTGTTTGACCGCCTTCAAGCGAGGGGAAAAAGAGCCTGGAGACGAAGTTGACGTCTCCACGGCGTTGCTATGTGTCCAGAGCTCTTCTAAAACGCAAATGGAAAACTCCAAGCCAGCGTTGAGTGAAGTTTAGGCCTGTCTCGGCCCCCTATTGCAGCTAATGAACGATTTCGATAAAACAAGAATAATCTGTGAACTACTTACGAAATGTACTGTAGGGATGGTATGGCCGATAAAGACAAAAAAACTCGTGACATTAAGCACTATATATGTAACATTTCCCCACATCGAAAAATCCAGAATTCTGCATGTTTGCCGCGATTTGAATGGTTGAGTTTCCTCGACTGCTACTTCGGCTTCTTCATTGGCAACGTTGGGATCCAGAGTCCAAGCAATAAAAAAAATTATGGAAACAAAACAACTCATGCCTCTAAATGCACCCCTCCAACCGAAGAGATCAACAAGTGCTTGACACACAGGGCCCATAACAACTAATGAAGCCCCCGTACTCATTGTTATTAAGCCTGTAGCTAGCGAACGATGTTTGATGAAATATCGAGGGACGATCTCGAAGATTGAGATGTAAATAAGGCTTGAACCAAATCCAGATATTCCACCGTACGTAAGAAGCATTAGATAAAGATTGGGAACTAGCGACGTCAGCATGAGTCCAGCTGCGCTCATCAGTGATCCACAAATAACCACTGCACGTGCGCCAAAACAGTCTGTCAGCCTTCCAGCAACAGGACCGAAGAGGCCAGTGGCTGCCATCGCTAATGATCCTACCCATGCTGAAATAAGATATATTTTACATTCTTAATTCGTCGTATACTAGCACTTTATGCACTGGACCACCGCGTGAAATGCACGAGGGAAGAATTTAACTTTCATAATTAGGCTGCCTTTGTCATTTCATTCCCTCTGCCACAAACAAGCATGCTTTGACTTTTTATCTTCTTGGGAAATTTGTGAATGCTCTCAAGAGGGCCTCATTGCATGGGGATGGTTCATGGACGGGGATGGTTAATTTTTTTCCATGGTGAAAAGGGAAAATTTTTACGGTTAACTCTTTTTACGACTAACGGTTAAAATTTTTCGTTTGCAGTTTTACAGCTAACGGTCAACCTTACTGACCCCCTCTCAAAAAATTAATATGCTTACTTAACAATTTTATTTCTGCGTTTGGCTTATCAACTCGAAGCTCCGACGGAGGAGCCTATCAAAGTGCATGTGGAGAGCGCATGAGAGACCCAGTTCTCACCGGAGCGTTTTATGGTTTTATACTCAGTCCTAAACTCGAAGCGCATCAACTATGTATCCACCCTTCGCGGTTCCCAATTTTAACCATTAACTCAGGATTCAATATCAGCCTTATTGAGCCCAATGAGCTTCCTTAATAAGGAACAGCTTTCTCCTAGTTCACTGTATCAACTAGGGCCTCTTTTTCAATTTTAGTGGTTCACCCTTCGCTAGGTCGCGGCGTGGGGGAAGGGGGGGGGGGCCTCCAGCTCCGGGCGCTTTTTCCCTTTGTACGACTCAATCAATGTGTACTAGAGGAATAGTGTTTATGAAAGCTGACCCTATACTACTCACCAGTATTTGATTTTCCTTCGTTAAACTCGTCGAGGAGAAAAGGAAATATAATACCAAAGCAGTACGAACACCCTAAAACAATGATCAAAGAAACCACTCCAACTACGCACACAATCCAAGACCAGTATGTATCTGGTTGACGTGATTTTCTTTCATTCTCCGTCCTTGTTTCTTTCACAGTCTCTTTGACACGAAAGCCGGAGACTGAGGCTTCTACTTTCATTTGTATAGTATCCGTCGGGAAGCTGTGTATGAAATAAATGTTTCCATTTAATTGATTGAGCGTGTATTGAAAGGAGAATTAATTGATATCAATTGCAGACTATGTGCTGTAATAATTTAGGTTCAATCCAGGTGATTCAATTCGTCCATGTTCGTTCTCTAGTAATCATTGAGAATGCAGGTGCGCCTTAAGTATCCCAATATTACTCAGAAATGTCTTTTCAACCGGTTCGAACACCTTTGGTAAATTCAAGAACACCTACAGCCCCTTTAAGCAGATTGGGGACAAGGTGGAAGAACGAAAAAGGCCACGTACGAATGTGTTACTTTTCCCCAGTCTTACTCTGTTACTCATCACGTCCGTAATTAGAGACGCGCGTGGACACGTCTATCAACTAAAATGTATTAAACTTGATTTACAGCATTATCCAAGTTAATAATCCGGCATCGACTCAGTAATAATTAATATCACAGCTTAGTTAAAGCTTGGCAACGGCAGCCGCAGCATTGTGAAAACGAAACTTGAAATATAGTTTATTTTATTTATGTTTTTAGAGGTGCTTGTGTCAATGGGCGCGGCGTCTATCTTCGCGTTTTTACCAGTTGGCGAGTGCTTTTGTCGAAGATACAAATCGACGTTTTAACGTTGGAACTCGCGTAGTCAGCTGGAGAGCTCAGGGCACACTTGCTGCCGAATCTTTTTTGAAACAATCCTAACTGCCTTAAATGAGGCGGAGAAATCTCTTAAGGCTAAAAAGTTAACACGATAAAGAATTCCCAACCCTGTTGAGTTAATCACATAGCTATTGGAGGTATTGATGGCAAAAATCATTGAGACGCATGCCTTGGTAGTGCTGTTTTAAGTTTAAACCACCGACGGCTTTTACTTAATTTCCAAATGATAATTCTGTTTAATGTACCTGTTTAAGGGTGTTCCAGTGGTCAATGAATGGAAAGCATTGTGTTCTTGTCAGTTAAGCACCTGGTGTTTTTATGTAAATGAACGAATGTTATCGGTTAATTTGCCCCAAGTTTTTTTTAGGTAAAGTTTTCGGTAATGGCAAGTAACTCGGTATTACTTCATTACTTGCCTCTGCATCTAAACTTGCAAGCTCCAAGCATTTATATCACCAATGAGGAGCTTTAGTTCCGACTTCCAGATGCCGACAACTGCCAGGAATTAAGATGCTTTTCCTTGGAGCTGACTGAAGATCTCCTGAATGCAACGTTTAGTTTGAATGCGAAAAACGAGAGCAAAATTTTGAAACCCTGCGTTCCTCTAAGCAGATATCTGGTTTGGCATACTTGGTGAATAAGATTACTTGTCAGCCTACCTTACCTTTTTGGCCGCCCGAAAGGATGCCTTTATGATTACCACTAATTGTTTTGCGTATTTCTTTCGGATGGAAAATTTACAAGCATAATAATCAAAACACCTGTAGCTCCCGCTGACCAAATATCACACCTCGTTTTCTTGATTATCGATTTTAACTGACTGACTGAAATAGGACGAAGTGAAAAATTTTAAAGAGCACCGTTTTGCTTCTTCATTTCTAAACTTCTTTTCATTTTATTTTGTCTTCTTTTGCCAGTTATTCCGTTGACTTATTTATCAGAATGTTCTGCATCTTTCTGGAAGAAGAAGAAACATCAACCCCTTGAAATAGATCCCTCTTATCGCATACAAGCTAGAGATCAGGGTAGGCCATTCATAGCGTGGTATGTCCTGTAGCTAATTTTTGACTTAGCGCAATTAAAACCCGTCTAGATATCAGCATATTAAACTCATTAAGGTATGGAGTCTCGGGAAACTTCGTTGAGTCTAGAAGGAATTCAGTGTTTCAATACTAACAGTGTATTATTGCAAATAACAGGCTAGCAGTCAATCGGAAGGGGTATGTTTAACGCTATATTTTTTTTTTTTACTTTGTAGGTTTATTTTTATTGTTATTCATTTATTTCATTTTGTAAACCTTTTTCACCGCCGTAAACCGCTAAGGGGGAAGCATGTGGAGTCGAACGAAAACCTGGACCGTGTGGTTAACAAAAAAATTGAAGAATTCGTCGTTACTGCTTCTCGCTTTTTAAAGGTGCAGAATATCGTTTCCGGGCAACGGAAATGAGACGCTCCATTCCTCGGTAAACTTCGTCAACTCTCGGAGCGTGTCGGAATTTGACTACGTCATCTAGCGTACAATTCTTCGTGAACGAGCAGTGTATAAAATTTTAATTTGCTGCTGTCTTTGACGTTGTCGCTCTTTTCCACCATCTTGGCTTTGAGATATCAATTCAAACCATCCCAAGTAATCTACAAAGTTCAAGGTCTCTGGCAGATTTACAGATATAAACAAAAACCTTGAGAACAAATTTATTTCAGTATTTGTTGGAAATAACTCGTTGGACACAAGGATAACTCCGTCAAACGTCACCGAGCTTTTTGCCCTTCCGCCATATTGAGTTTGCAAGGAAATTTTTGACGTCGAAAGAATCTGCAAGTTGGGGCATTTTTCACCGCTTCTTATCTTCATGACTGCCTATCCAGAATGTCCGACAGGTTTGGGCTTAAAGTAAAGGAAAATGCTGGGAAGACGAAGTATTCTTCACTTAACTTAAATCAGACATACAAAGGAACTAAGGTTGAAACGAAAACATCCTCAGGTTTGTATTTCTTCGCTATCGTGGGGATTTTGCTATTTATTTTAAAGTGCTATCAGCCTCTAACATCCAAGTTGCGACATTGCATCGAAGTAAACCGTGAAAGGTTGTCTTTTTTACTTTGGTTTTGATCTGCGAGCCTTTCAAATGCGGCTTCCGGTTTTGTGGACGCTACGATGTTGCTCTCGTGTGGCGTAAGATCGGGTACATGAAAACTCATAAATTTTGTTTTGGTTCTAAGATGGACGCTATTTTTTCGCAGGGACCGCTCGCCATGGGCTACAGAGCCTTGGAAAAGTCGGTGCAAGTCGTCGAATTCCTCCTCCCGCCAATCTCCCTTCTTTAAAAAGCGAAAACTCCGGCAACGATCCTACAGTATCTTTAGTTCCTAGTGGAGGTGGAGGATGGGGCAGTGCGAAGGAGAAGCCTTCGGAAACTACGCCAGCAGCTGCATCTCAGGCAGCACCTCCGAGTTCAACGCCATCGCAAACAAATGCGCCATCTTCTCAGCAGCCGCTATTGCAGCCGCAGCGGCCTATACCACCGCCGTCTCATCCACAACCAGTTCAACCGCAATCGCAAAGTTCGGGGCAGACACAAAATCAACCAGCCAAACAGCAAGAATCTCAAGTAAAGACATGGGGCACTGTATCATCAAACGAGGCTGGTGGTCAAGGTAAGGAAAGAAGAAAGAATTTTTGCTATCTGCGTGACTAATTGTCGTTGTTTAGCGAAAGAGTCGGGATTTTGACACACGCATTTCATCCTGTGGTAATTAAAAATATTTTACTTGTGCTTTTATGTTCTTCAAGTATGTTAGACATGGTGTTTGATGGGAAGGTGAAATCTTTATCTTCGGAAAGTTTGTTATTACCTCTATAATGTCAAAACTAAGTTCCGTTCATGCTATACAGCTCAGTTTAGGCGTCGGGTAGCTGATTACGATAATCAAGTATTTATGATTAGTCGAACCTTTTGTTTTCCCCTAATAAGATACAGGTTTATCTTTGCACATATAGCGTTGTTGGATCTTGTGGTAACATGATTTTTTGAATAGTTAGAAATGTTATTTTGTTGCATGTTTTTATGCAATGTATATTTCCCTTGGCCATCATAAGGATGAAATTCTGTGTAGATTCAAAGCCAAGATAGCAAATGACACAAGGTCGAAAATTTGCCGTGAAAATTCTATTATTGCTTTGACTCATCCAGTCTCACCTATGTAATTCTTGCATGAAACTAAAGACATATTCTTCAAAAGTGCACTACTTTCACAGGCTACTATAGTGCCAAAATTGAAAATCTTGTTTAAGAGAAAATTACTTAAGTTACAGACACCAAAAGTTAAAAATAGCAATTGGAAAACAGGTTTTTTCATCTGTGGTGACTGTCAGAGCTAACTTACTCAATGCAAGACACATAACATCAAGAAATAACTTGTTGTAATCTTGCAATATTTCAACCTGTAGGGAGGTCCTACTCTCACCAGGAGATGCCATATTTCAATCGGGAATTCCCAGTATTGGGTGGTGGAAACTCTGGGGAAAGGCCCCCGCTGCCCTCAGAAATAAAGGAACAACCTCCTACACAGTATGGTCAGAAACAAATAATGCGCAATACACGTAAGTGTAATTGAATCATTTTACTCTTCCATGAAAAATAGATTTACACTGCTTGTTTAACTTCTACAAGTAAGTATCATTTTCCTCTGATATATTCAAAATCATCAATATAACCTGGACATTTGCCTCCTCACTCTTGGCTCATGATTGTTAGTAACTGAAATCTACTGGCAAGTATAATCATCTCTCCTAGGAGCATGACTTATTGTAGCAAGACTTGAAGTGAAGTGCAGTGTACATAGAATTGAATATCTGTATCATTGGGCTCTTGCCAGTTGAAAAGGCAGTTGAAAATGTGATGTGTTTCATGGTATACTATACAGTACTATACTGCACCACTATATTGCACCACAGTATTCTTCTGACATTTAAACTTGTCTGTTCTGGGACTAGAATTTATACATTAAAAACTTCTGTGGTCTACCATGATTTATTTAGTAAAGTATAAAAGTGTAACAAAGGTGTATTTTCACTATTTTATTTTAGACGAACCACCATGGATGGAGCGCAGTGGTCCAGGTAATGCTCTCGTGTCATAATTTGTGTTTTCATAGCTTTTTCCTGTACATGGAGTTACTATTCACTCAACTTTTATAATTTAGTAGCAAAGTGGATGAAAGTTTTTTTAAAAAAAAGATGTTCTTTTGACTGTTTCTAAACAATGAAGTTAATCTTGAGCTCAAATGAATAAATCAGTGTAAATTTAGAAGTATATATTTTTCCCAATCCAATTTTTCTAGAGAACCACACAAATGTTCTTTTCCACACTTTGTGAGAAGTCTTGCTCTAGGCATATGATTAATTTTTCCTTGTGAACTGATGAAATATAATCTAGGATGGTTACACACATCATCGATTTATGGGTTGAAGCATAAACCTAGAGTTCTGTGTTAAATACTTGTGGAACATTCAAAATGAATCCATTTATATCTCCGACATGACAAGGGTGTCATATTCCTCTGTCATCACAAATTACAGTATGCTATACTCCTTAATTTCTTTAATACATGTAAACAAAGTTTAATTGAATAAATGGATAAGAGGGCTTAACCCTTTAATTTTCAGAAATGATTAACCCTTCAACTCCCATAATTGACCAAGATCTAATTTTTTCATAAAATATCGATACACTATTAAGCTGTAAAGTAATGGGCCAAAAAAAAAATCAACTCAGCAATTATTGTTTGATCCAAATAACAATTTACCCAAACTAACATCAAAAGGGCTGTATGGCAGATAGTAAGAATTTACCTATGTGATCTTGGGAGTGAATTGGTTAACTTATTATTTCTTGTTACAATATTAATAAGTAATCAGGTCATGAGAATAGCCAAATTTGTTGGTCATTGGATGTTGCCTCCATATACATGCAACTCTAAATCCCTTAACATACAGTATATTTACAAGGTAATGTGTATGAGAGATTTGATTGTGGGATTGAATGCAAGAGGACTGTTTAATGCATTGTTGTAAAAAGGAAGAAATACGATGCCACTCAGAAATTTAACAATCACCACCATGTTTTTATTACCAATGCAAGATTTTAAAGGCCCAAGTTTCCCAAAATCTTCTTGTGTTTCTGATGTGAAAGCAGTGTTTTCAAAAATCTTGTAACATGGTCATAACTGTGGAAGGAAACTAAACTTGTAGCAATGGTAATGTCATTATTTCTGTCAGGTCCTCCACCATCTGATTATGGAACAGTAAGAGAAAGAACAGATGCATATAATGGGGGACCAGGACATGGTGGAGGACATCAGTATAGACGACCACCAGACTACCCAGTAAGAAGTCTGCTTTACTGTTTATGTATTAAGCTCAGGATTTAATGCTCTTTGCACATACCACTTCAGTTTAAACTGCCTCTTGACATTCCTCAAAGTTTGACAGCTGGGTTACATAGGTCTGTTAGGTTTTGGGACAGAGAAATTATTGTACATCAGCAGCTATAGGGAAATTGAATATGTCTTGAAACTTTACCTGAAAATCCTTAATACAACTTTTTCAACTATCAAGTTGAGCATTTCAAGGTTTGTGCTTATCTCTACCCCTTTTCCTTATCTGGAAGTACATTAAGGCTTTTTACCGCTATGAAGAAGCCTCTTACTTAATGATAAAAGGTGATAGGGTTTAACTTGAATTGTATCTCTCCTTTATTAATGCTTTATGGATGTGTAAGCTTTTTTGAAATTGAAATGTACTCAATAGAAAATTACACTTATTATATGTTACAGTATTTTAGTATCCCAAGCTTCCTTAAGTTTTAATTTTGGATATCTTTGGTTTTTTCTTTTAACATTTGTTTCTCAATTTTGAACAATTGGAAAACTGATACATTAATAGTATGTACATATACATCTCCTAAATGTTTTTGTCCATTTTAACTGTGAACTCCATCTGAACCACTGGATACACCATTTGCAACTCTGAAGCAATTTTTTTCTGCAGAGGGTCTAACACCATTTGCCTTGGGAATTCACTTGGAAAAATTTTGGGGGGATGTTGTGAAAAGGAAAAAAGGCATTCTCAGTAAATTTTTTGTTTTTGTTGTTTTTTTACTATGAAAACTACAAATGCTGTGACATTCTCGCTTGTTTTAAGCACCTTTGGAAGGTACGGGGGTATCTCTTGAGAGGCAATTGTGATTTACAAATCATTGTACCAGCACATATGGAATATCAGCTTGCTGTTTTAGAAAGTTTACCCAATTAACATGTACTGTATGTACTGGTATGTTTTTAAAGTGAAAATTGTTGGTCATGGAGTGCCCTCAAAGAGAAACAGGCATTATATTGTAGCTCACTGATTTAGTTTTGTTTGTGTCTGGTAGCATGGGTCACATGGGAGGAATGTTCCTCAGGGGCATCTCCACCATCATGGTAATGGACCACAAAGTCATGGACCAGGAAGGCATCCTCATGGGTATCCCCCAGATCATTTTTCTAGGTACTTTCTGTGTTATTTATGCAATTTTAGGCACTGTAACCCTTTATCTACTTCTTATCACTTCACCACATGGTCAATTTACTCACTAGAAGTGCCTCAACATGTTTCTTAGCTTTCAAACCCATAACACTTGTACTCAAGAGTTATCAGAGTACACAGTATCTACATAATGTCAATGCATAATTAATCAGTAAACATAATTGTATTGAGTCAAATATTTTTTCATGTATGGGAAGTTGTTTGAACATACCAAAATCTTTTTATTGACTTGCAAATAAATATATGATCATCAGTGTGCAGTTCTCTCCAGATACCTTGATAGTTAAAAAAAAAAAAAAAAAAAAAAAAAAAAGAACACACACAAGAGGTTGTGATTTTCAAGCTACTATTGGCCAACCTCCATCTTAAATTACTTATGCTGTCTCGAAGTGTAACATCCAACCAGGTTCCAAATGTTCATCATATTTAATATCCAAATGGGTTCAAATTCTCAGAAAAATTTTGCAATGTGCCATGTAATCAATTTCAGTAAAAGGAAATATCAAGTTAAAACTTCACATGACAACACCTTAATGATTTTACAGGGGACCAGGCCAAAGACCCAGTGCCCCTTCAGGACCTAATTCTGGAGGTAAACTGGGAGACAAGACCCGAGGTGAAGGATATGGAAGGCCAAGTATCCTCAAACCAGAAGATATACAAGCAATGACTGACAATGATGAAGAGGAGGAGGGTGGATGGGCTGGTGCACAAGATGAAGTTGATTATGCAGCAAAATTGGATTTTGAGGACTTTGAAGATGATGATAAACCTTCACTAGAACAACCAGTGAAACCTGAAATAGAAACCCCAAGTGGTGAACCTGAAACAAGATGGCAAGGCAATGAAAGCAGACCTGTAAGTAAAGTCATTTGTCATGTTGTAGGTGAAAATTTTTCTTCAATTTTGGTACAGAAAAATAATTTTGATGCAGGCTTGGCAAATGTGTGAAGGGTTTTCTCTATCCTTTATGTGATATAGGGCTCAGAACTGTCGAATTGTAACAGTTAAAACTGTTTGTTATTATAATTTAGTGTTACTGTATTTGAGTGTGTGTGATTAAAGTTCTTAGAAAACAGCAGCTCTTGAGTGTAACTCAAATTAAACAGGAAAAACTCCATTTCTGCGTGAACTGTCAAAGTGTTTCACCCTTTCCTGTTTTGATCCTAGGCTAAGGGGATGGGACCACCTCCAACAAGACCTGCATGGACCAAATCATCAGGGCCAGTATACTCTGAGAACAGACAAATGCCCCCAAGTCCAGGAATGAGGCCATTTGATAGCAGAGGTTCTCCTCCTAATCCTGGTTGGCCTATGCCATACCCTCAGCTTCTAGCCGGACAGCCAAGAGGGGGACACCCACCTGGACATCCACCTCCTTCCCTGGTTAGCTCTGATCAAGTGAAGCCAGCATCCAAGTCAGAAGAACCAGTGACAAATGATTGGCAGAAACGCAGAGTCAAACAACAAGAGGAAATGCGTGCTGCAGTAGAAAGGGCCAGGAAGAGGCGTGAGGAAGAGGAAATGAGAAGGCAGGCTGAACAGAAAGCAGGAGCAACAGCTAAGTTAAAAGAACTGGAATTAAAAAAAGTCAGGAGGGAGAGTGCTAAAGAAGGAGACGATGCTTGGGCAGAGGAACTGGACTCAATTGAAAAAGATTCTTATGGTAAAGGGCCTTACCCTGAACAACGAATGCCAGAAACGCCCGAACGAGAGGTGGAACCACAGAATCTTGCACTTAACCAACAAGATGACTTGCATGGTCGAAATGATTTTCCTGAGCATGTCAGTCATAGACAGAGAAATGACAGCGAGTCCAGTGATGCCTCAAGATCGAGTGCAAGGGGTGCTTCACGCCCTCATCATCATCCACCCCGGGACATCCCACCCCGTTTTCAACAGCAGCAACTTAGGCAGCAACACTTTCAGCAACAACAGCATTACCAGCAGCAGCAACCTTATCCACCACAACATCCATATCACCAGCAACAGATGGCTAGATCCCCACAACTCAGGGATTTTCCTGAAGGATCACTGTCAGTTGCCAATCATCCCATCGTTGATTCAGGTGGGGTAGCATTCTTCAATGAGTAACCTTCAAATGGTATTGTAGGTTTTTTCAAGTTGAGACATTTGCTGTCTAAATTGAAAATGCTGACTCGTGATTCTGTGATTCTTACATTTGAAAAGGATAGGTGTAACAAGTTTGCGTTTCATTGTTTATGAATGAACATTTAACAATCGGCTAACGTCTCTACTCTTCACCATTTGCTTGGGAAGAGATAACACGACCAGAAGGATCAACTTAAAGACGTACATACATACATACATACATACATGCATACATGCATACATGCATACATGCATACATGCATACATACATACGTTTATTGCAACTCCCAAGCTGGGTTTTTCAGTTACAAGGCCTACATTAAAATTAATGTAATATTATAGTAACATTGTATTGGCCTAAAAATACATATAAGTGAAAACTAAGGCTAGTACAATATAAATACAAAAGGCCAGTGCACGTTAAAAACACTAGTGAACTAAAACAAAAATTAGACGAGAATAGAAGATTGAAATGATTCATCTGTGTGTGACATTTCCACTAAGGAGCGCATTCAGTAGGCGGAGCCTAAAGGCGTTTACATTCTCAGCTGCTTTTAAGTCATTTGGGAGGTTATTCCACAATTTGCATCCGCGATACGTGCAATTTTAAGTTGATCGGGACTGTGAGGTACTACTTTATTAATGATTTTGTACTGTTTTTAGGCCCAGTGTCACCATCACAACCTACCAAACCCGATGTATCTGTAAAGAGGATAATGAAACGTTCCGATAGCAGCAGCACAGCTGGTGACGATATAGCAAGTGTCAAGTCTCTTGAAAGTGCAAGTGGTGAGCCAAGCAGAGAGGTGGAAAAGAAACCACATGCTGCTCCATCAGATAAGGCTATAAAGACAGACCCAAGGGAGGAAAAGACGAAAGAAGGGTCCTCAGAGGCAACGCGAAAAGAATCTAACAGGACGGATAGGAAACCAGATGACCAAGACTTGCCCGTGTTTGATGACAGTGGCAGTGGTGGTTCAGGCGATACAAGTCAGAAACGAACACCTGATTCTGTCCTACCGCAGGGTTCTGGAAAACAAGATCTGACCAACAAAGAAAACGATGTGTCCAAGGAAAGGGTGCATGATAAGCGTGAAAGGAAAGACGATGAGAGCATATCAAAAGCTGTTCCCGAGAAAGGCTCCCGATTTAGAGACAGACGAGACGAAAGGCGAAGTAGTTCAAAGCGTGATTCAAGAACACAGGATAACAGACGTAGTGATGATTCGAAAGACTCTGGAAAACGAAAGAGAGAGGACAGTGAAGACGCTGAACGCTTTACGGAGAGAAGGGGAAGATTCGCCGGCCGCGGTGGAGATCCAAAAAGGGAGCGATTTTCGGAATCTCATAGTCGCGGTAGAGTTAGTTTTCCAGTGCGGGGCCGGGGAATGGCTGGTACAGCTACGAGTTATCGAGGTCGTGGAAGAGGAGATAGAGGAAATAGAGATACCAGGGATTACAAGGAGCACAAACCGACGAGATCGCGTGAACCTAGACCTTCTTCAGCCTGGAAAACGACCAAGGATGAACAGAAACGGAACGAAGAAGACAAGGAAAATGTAGTGGCGAAAGAGAACGCTAACGCAATTGCCAGTGAGAGTGACAAAAAAGTAACTCGTGATTCTACCGAGGTAAAACAAGATAAGCGGATAGAAAGTGTCCCTTCAACAGATGAGAAAGAGGCTAACAAACAGGAAAAGAGAAATGAAGAGACAGTTACTGAGGTGAAGAAAAACAAAGAAGACGATTCTGTGACTCGTGAAAGCAAATTTGAGGAAGAAGTTAGGTTACCCAACAAGGACTTAGAAAAAGTAAAAGAATCAGATGATGTAAGTAAAAAACCTGAGAGCCCCAAAGATGTAAATAATTTGAAACCTAAAGCCCGTGGCGGTTTTGGAAGACCTCCACAATCTTCACAGGAGTCAAGAAATGTAAATAATCAGGACAGACGCGAAGGCGGCAAGAAGTTTAATGATAGGAGGCGACCGATACAGGAGGCTGGCAGAGATCGTAAGACAGATTCTGATGACAAACGCACGGGACGCAATTACAGCAGAGACAATACCAATCAAAGGCAAACTGGAAGGGACAACAGATATAGGGAAAGAGGTCAGGAAAGGGATCAGAAATTCCAGTATCAGCGCGACGAAAGAGACACTGGCAACAAGCGCTACTCTCAGGATGATAGGAAGAAGAGGTTTGACGACAAAGACGATGACCAGCAAAATTCCAGGCGTAAAGGGGATGAGAGGAACCAGAGGGGTGGCACGCGATCATATTCATCTCGTGGTCGTGTTAGTACGACCCCTGTGCGTACTAATATTAGGGGTGGTAGATCCAGTCAGCCAGTCGGAAGTGGACGTTTTGGAAACAACTACCGACGTGTAAAATCCTCAGAGGAGGAGCTATCTGATGATGACTACGAGAGTGATTCAAGCAGTTACACGACCGCTACATCTGCTTCTGAGGAAAGGAGGGATGAGAAACCCAGCAATGCAGATAATGAGAATGACGTAAAGAGAGAAAAAGAGAGTAGTTCAACTTTTGACAAATCGAGAGCTAGTTCACGATCGGCAAGATCTCCGATTAGGGGGAAGATGTCTTCACGGGCGGGAAGGCGAGGTACTGGTGGTGGGTTTGGAAGGACTAGGAGAGAAGTGGAGCGTCCACCTCGCTTCCAGAAACAACAAGAAAAGGAAAGAGCAAGCATGGGCAGAGGCGCACCTCAGGGTGTCAGAACGAATGAAAGTAGAGAAAGTGGACCCGGTAGAGGCAGGGGGAGAGGAAGAGGTAAAAGGGAACAACCTCAAAGAGATGAAGGTCCAGGTATACCGGTTACAGAGGACTGGGATGAAGAGCTTAATGAAGCTCAAAAAGGAACAGAGTCCTCAAAAAGTGATAAATCAGGAGGACGAAGAGAGTCTACTCCAAGAAGAGGATTCTCTGGCCCACGATCCTCTTCAGAAAGAGGAAGGAAAGATAAGAGCCGAGACGCTGGCGGAACACGCGGTAATTCATCTAGGCGAGAGCCTTTTTTAGCGGAAAGGCAGCAGGCAAAAGTTGATGGTTCCAAACTTGTCGGTGGGGAACCTCGAGGACCTTTGCCTGCTGCTAGAAATGGTTTTAGCAAAGATGGTAATCGGAGATCTGATATGCACAGCACTGGGCTGGATAGCATAAATACTGGTGTCACCGATACTAAAACACCTAAAAAGCAGGAAACCCCTGTGAGGAAGACTGACATTCAACAGTTTGACTTGCACAATATTGCTGGAGTTATCTGTATCGATGATATGACTGATGATGAGTCCGACAAATCGTCAACTCATAGTGGGTTTGTTGAAGTGACATCCCGTCGTACACAGAAAGAGAACAAAGATAGACAGCGTGAAGAGGAAGAGAGAAGAAAAAAAATGGACGAACAAAACAGGCAACGTGGCAGTCAATTGGGAAACAAGAAGAACCAATCTTCCAAGCCTCCTAGGTTCAGTAAGCAGCATACATCACAAGTTAATACACAGAGCAAATCTCCGGGAGTAATTGGCAAAGCGACATCTACAGCTGTGTCAGAAACAGCCATTGGAACTGCTATCACAGGATCCAACAGCAATCCGTCAAGTGCAAATTCTACCAAGCGTAATAGCCCAGTTAATGTTGAGAGGCCAGTATCACCTCCTCCTCCTCCTCCAGTTTTCAATGCATGGGACAAACCTCTACTTCTCACTCCAGCTAAACCACCAAGCGCTTCACCACCAGTGACCTCTTCGATTCCCGATCCTCTGGCAGTTGGAAGTGGAAAGCCTTCCTCTACACGAGTTGTCCAACCAGTGAGCGCAACTTTCTTTTCTATTTGTCTATTAGTTTCGTGTTTTGTTGTATAGTTCAGTGCTGTGGATGCTCAGCTAAAGCGTCTTAAATGTCATACAGCAAAAAAACAAAGCTACGGTTTGCAATGACCTTTGTGTTTTTTCCTTTTTTGTTTACAGCAGGGAACAGTCATTTCTTCGGCTGCCTCGTTGATTGAAGACATCAGTGTAGATGACGACTACCTAGCCATGACCAAAGAGATTGCTTTACTGGCACCTCCAGAGGAACCAGAAGAGAGTGAAGAACCAGCCCACATTACTCAAAACACAAAGCTCGAAAAACGAGATCAGACAACGGAAAAGGGTGCAAAAGTTGCTGGTCCCTCAGAGAAACGATCGCAGGCTAAACCTCAGCGAGACAAGCCTCCAAGATTTGACCGTAGTGGCAAGCGAAAAGGTGCCTCGGGCGCAGAGGACGCAAAGAAAGAATGGTCTAGTAATACTAAGGGTAGGAAAAGCAGTCGTGACGACACAGTTCCTCAGAAACTTACGAAGGGATCAGCGGTGAGAACAGTTTTTGTAACGGCAAATTCTATCATTCCAACGTTCTAGTTTACATGCTTGATCATTTACTCTATTCTCTTGTTTTCGTTTTGCTTCTTCAGGACAACACTGCGAAAGGAAAAACTGGCACTCTATCGAGTAAAAAGCAGCAGCCAGCTTCAGCTGGAGATGAAGTTACAAATGATAGGGACACTTCAAAAGGGGAGCAAGAATCTGCAGAATATATTTCTGCAGGCAGGAATGTTGGAACGACTGTTTCAGATGAAGGCAGCGATGGAAAAGATGATATAAAGGTACATGAGAAGGCGTATATGATGGCTGCCATTCACTCTATTTATTATTATTTTAGTGTGCAATTGAACGAAAGACAATTATATCTTTTTTCCAACGCTGGTTGATTGCTGACTGAACCATAAAATTCAACATGTCAGTTAAATACAGACTTTTCGATCATCAAATAGCTAAGTGTAAGATGACATGCCTTGATATAAATATCTATAGAACTGCCTATACACTCTCTACACAATGCCCCATCTGTAGTGGCTGTTTTCGTTTACTTATGAGCGCTTTAACACTTACTCGAGGTTCGTTCTGGCTCTCTTATCTTTCAGCTTATTCAATTGTTTTGTTTCTTAAAAGGAGGAAGAAGCGAAAAATGACTCTGGAAGTGAATCAAGTAGAAAGGATTCCGAACTTGACCTGAATGTTGATTCAGGCGACAGAAACGATGACAATGAACACCTCTTTGGTACAGAAACCCTATCAGTGGACATTCACGAAAGACCAACGGCCGAAAGACCAGACAGGGAGCCATCTCCAGTATCACCCGCTATTTTTGAAATGAGTAAAAAAATGGAAGCATCAAGAAAACTTTGGGATAGCGGAATCGCTATCGGGCGCTCAAGCAATCATGGGGGTGCGTGGGAGGAGACCTTGCGCACTCCAGCAAGCGTTGGTTCTTCAATTGTGGGCATGTCAGTCGTAGAGTCAGCCGAGTCGAGGTTAAGTGATGACCAAGTCGCAGTTAAGAAACCACAAGTTGAATTGGAAGCTAATACTAGTAAGAACGACTCAAAGTCACCTGATGGTTTAAACTTCGCAAAGAAATCAGGATCTGGAGAACAGCAAAATGTTTGTAAGGTTAAGCCCCAGCAGCAGCAACAGCAGCCTGTGAAAACACAACAGTCATCATCTATTGTCTCTCAGCCTGCGGAAGAGAACCACCAAACAGAATTAAATACAGTTTCTTTAGTTCCCCCTTTACTCTCACAAGAACTATTGACTCAACAAGCAATGCAACACCGCTACGCAATTCCTCTTGTCGGTGCCTTCGTGGATGCGCCTCAGAGACAGCCATTCCTGCAGCAACAGCAGCTTCAGCAGCTTCAACAAACTAATCAACAGGTGACACCTACCTTTTCCCTTACACATGTGCAGCAGGTCAATCAGGCACGTTCATCTTCTTCGCCATTGTCCCAGGCTACTCAGGACATGTATCAGTCGCCATTCCTCCCTGGCGGTGTTTATTCAACAGGAAATTTCCAGGGTTCGCAGCCGTATGTATCTATTGGCCTGTTACCCTCTACTGCAACTCAGTCATTTGTGACCTCTTCTCCGAGGACCCAGACGACGTCTCTGATTGGAATTCAGGCTCAACAGCCAAAGCCTGGAACTGGATCCGTCTTTGCCCAGAATGTCACTCAGCAAGGCACGCAGACCATGTTTATGCAGTACGATCCGAAAACGTTACGAGGAGGAACTCCTTTGTTCAATATAGCTCAGCATCCCCAGTCTGCTCAGAGACAGCTGTTAGGAACTCAGCCGGGGGTCGTTGGAGAAAATTTGTCACGACAGAGTGGCTTTCCAGCAGGACAACCGACACCTCAACCATTCCAAGGAACGTACCCTTTTCAGCAGAAACAAGGGACATACGATGTTTCACAGGATATGCAAATGAAGAAAACAGCTGAACAAAGTACAGATTTCACGCGGCAATCAGAGCTAGTCAAACACGTAAACGCAAAACCTTTTGAACCTCCAAAGAGATCAACCCCTGGTTCTGTGCCACCCAGCAGTGCTTCAATAGGTCCTTTGATGTCATCAACATTTGCCCGAAATCCGAACTTGATGACAATCACTCCGAACCCTACAGACATTGGGGGATCATCTCAGAGTCCTCCTGTGTCAACAACATTGTTGTCGGGAAGGCAGGTGTCCATGTCACCCGTTGAACCAGGTATTCCCTTCCATGGTGCCGTCGGAACTTTTCCGAAGCACACTATAAACCAGTTTCAGTTGCAACAGCAGCCTCAAGGTGTACAGCCTCAGCAGTTCACGCCATTCCAACAACAGCCCGTCAGTTTGCAGCAGACTATTCAGGTTAGAGCACAAGGCCAGCAACAGCAGCAAGGCGGAAATCCGTTACAAGGTGCTGGAACTGCCATCCTGCCAAACCCTGCTGTCATAGCTGCAGCCATGCCAAGGCAACTTATTCGGGCTCCAAGCCTTGGTCCTATAGGCATAGGTGGAGCACAGCCAAGTGCTACGAACACTCAGCGCTTCCCTGCTCCGATCCAGCGCCCTGTGACAGCGTCTTTAATGCATGGTGTGTCTCACATACAAGCCCCGCGAGGACCCCGGGCGCAAACTGCACCGCCGCCACCACCTCAAATGATGTCTGCAAAGCAACAGATTGTGACAAATAGACCTCATTTGCCCCCACAATCTATACCTCACCCGGAAGTAGTGGCGGCTGCCTTTAAGATAGAACAGCATCACAAGATGTTGGAACAAACCAAAATGTTCTTTGCTCAACAACAAGGACCACAGCAACGAGTCCCTTTGCTGAGCAATCAAGTTGATCCGCAAGTTAAACCTATCGGCAGTTTTCAAGGAGACAAACCAATTGTGAAGGGACCAGTACCCAGAGAAAATCTAAAATTTCAAGAGAAAAAGGAAGAGGCGAAGTCCCATATTTCGGAAACCAACCAAAGAAACAGAAAACCCAATTTAGAGCAGCCTAGCAAGACGTCAAAGACAACCAAAGTAGATTCAAAGCCAGAAGAAAGCAGCAAAGACAAAACTAACACATCAAAACAGGATGGTAAAGGCCCTGGTAACAAGAGCAGCAGCCTCGTTCGTATTCCGCCCCTACCTATGGCACCCAGAAACGTGCCGAAGAGGGCCCGTGGTCCCCCACGAATGCCAGGTTCTCAGCCAGTTTCCAAACCAAGAATCTCTGGACGTTCAGAGAAAGAAATCAAAGATACAGTTCAGGACCAGCCTTCTGAAACTCCAAGCCGCAAGAGTTCAGATCAGGCTAAACCATCGGAGGCACAACCCGTGGCCCCACTAAGCGTCAACAAGTAACTAATTTGAACTTTTAAAATACCGAATTTCCGGTGATTTTATTTGTCTGTCCACAAGAAACTTGCTTTTGTGGTGCCAACCACAAACTAGGGAGAAAGTATACTATCATACGCATGATTTTTCATTTCAAGTGTATGTAGTCTTAGTGTCGCGAAAAGTTTTCAGTCGGAAATGCTTTCCTTGTCATTTATTCGTAATTATTATTCCTTTCATTGCCGCAACACTGTAAATTAGTCCCAGGAATGTTTGTACAGAGGTTTGCGACGAGTTAATTTATTATTGTTAGGCTTCTTTGCGTAAAGGAGGTGAGATAATTCACCACTGAAGTTTCAGCATTTTTGTGATAATCATAAGAATAAAACAATTCAAGGAGGTACTACTGTGGCATGGTTGATGCGTATGTACTAACGTGTTCGGTTTCGTTTGTTTGTGCTTTTGTAAAGCCTGAACATTCAAGCTAAAGGCCAAAGAAATTCGGCAATAGCTAAATGACAAATTGTGACAATTAGCACACAACGACCTATTTACAAAACAAAGAGATTATCTGCTGCCATTCGTAAGGTTCTTTTCAAAAGTCTAGAGGATAACCCAGCGTTTTAGAATACGGGTAGAGCTCAAAATAAGGGAATCTGCTTTTGAGATTAGGAAGAAATCTGGGGTTCACTTTTCTCGCGCCTGAGTGTAACTTCTTTTTTATGCCGTGAGTCTTTATCGGTGCCTTGCCATACCTAAGGGTTATTGATCTATGAGAGTGCCGGTATCCCAGCGGATTTGGACCCCCCGGTCCAAATCCGCTAGCGGATATGGACCCCCCTCCGCGGATTTGGACCCCCCAACAAAACTGAGTGAAAACATCATCCTCAACGTTCTAGTAAAAATGGATGATACTTTACGTTCCATTGCGTACTGAAGTATGTTTTTAATTCAAAACATGTTTATCGTTAATGCGTACGAACTGGCATCCTGTCGGATGTTTATTTGAACCAAGGGAAATGGGTAAGAATTTAGTTTAATGCCTGGAGAGAGGTCGTTTTGAACCTTTTCCGCGATAATGGAACACCGCTAGATTCAATAAGAGACAAACTTGTGGCACTAATTTATTTTGTCATTGTTCAATGCTCAAGTGTTGGGACGACATGGTACAGTGCGAGTTGTGCGGGGAAAGGTTACATATGAGCTGCGAGGGATTTAAGACTGCCCCGGGGGACGAGTGGCTTTGCATTGTCTGCAGATTGCCAGACTCTAGACGTCTTCATAATTGTTTAAGTGTTATTTCGGTCCCTCAACAGTTAATAATCGTTAAAATTAGAAAATAAGATTGAGTTCGATATAATTGTCTCCACTTTTGTTAAGACGTTGACATTAATGTTGATTTGCATCTGAAAATAAGCTGAGAGTTCCAATAGTTCAGAATAGAAACATTTTTACTTATCATAGGCTTTACGAACGACTTGTAATACGAGTAGTTTCTTCGTTATTGTTCAAAAACTGTTTAATGTTATTATTTTTAGAAAATCAGACTGAGTTATTTCTGTGACTGGACGCATTAGTCTCCACTATTGTTATGACGTTTCGTACCAATGTTGATTCGCATCAGAAGAAGCAAAGATTTATTGTAACAATTTCAATAGTTCGAATGCAGTAGTTTGTTCACATCTAATTCTTGCGTATACTGTACGACTCGCTATAATTAATGCGGTAGAATTGGAACGGAATGGCTGGTTTTTTTTTACCTTTATTGAGGAAATGTTGTGTTGTGATTGAAAAGAACATCGACAAAAAAGCTTGCAAATAGAATTAGTTACCAAATATGATACAAAGGATGCTTAAAAGGAAAGTTTGGACCGGGGGGGGGTTCCAAATCCGCTGTGACACCGGTCTTCAATTAAAAGGAAAAGGAAATTTAAAACCAAACGCATTGCATGCACTTGTGATATGGATTTTTCCTCTATTTGAGAATTGGAAGGTGATGTCGACATTTTTATCTTTTAATGTAATTCTGTTCATATGTTTGTACCTTGGACATATTTACTTACGACTGCGGTAACGAAAAAAGAAAATGAAAAGTAAGAACTAAAAAAGGACGAAAAATCGACCACGATGGGAGTCGAACCCACAATCTTCCGATCCGAAGTCGGACGCCTTATCCATTAGGCCACGCGGCCACCCACGAGGTTGAGGAGTGATAAATAGTTTTTTATTTATCAGCAAGTTTGATGGTCAGCGGTAGTTTTTAATATCGTCCACCTCAAATTTATTTCAATTACGTTAATTTTAGCCTCTGATGATAATGAACCTCTTGAATACTTTTACATTTCGAGTGTCCTGTTATATATATATATATATTTTTGCTTTGATTTCACAGGATTACGGCAAAATTAATCGTCTTAACGGGTGGGATACAAGACGTGAATTAAATAACATAGAATTCTCTTCACTGAGCTTAAGAGACTCGAGAGGTCATGAAGTTTTCCGTGCGCCAGAAGTCTAGGGGAACCAGATTTGGTGTTCTTAACATAGAGAATCACGAAATCCAGACTCCTTGCTGTTCACTGTACTCTCGTGGAGGCGTAGTACCTCACCTTACCACGGATGTTTTAGACTCAATGGGAAGTGTACCATCCATTTTCCATTTATCTCTTCAAACCACGTGAGTACGGTAAGCTCAGTGTAAGCTCCCTAATTGGATCGAACCTATTATATGCGTTGAAGATAGGGTTGTGATGAATTTTACACTCGAATAAAGTTACCACATTGCTTTATTTGGACAACAAGGTCAGTTTGTCGAGATGAAATCAAGCTCCGTTTTGAAAACCTGACTGCTTTTTTACATGAGCTTGGTCAAGCTTGCAAGATTTCACCTCATGCCTCTATGCTGTTCTCTTTCCTCTTCTACAAATTCGGTGTATTCACCTCACATCGTGGGCCATCCTTGCAACCCAGTTAGAGCTCGAAAATACTCCATTGAATGCTTTGTGACCCCTAACACCCTAACATCAGTCATCAGTATCCATATTTTCCATACTTTTCTCTCTACATTAAGTTTTTCTTTGGTGCTGATCAGGAGAATTTGTTCAACATACAAAGCTTCTTAGGTTTGTGATCATTCCCTTAATTCTCGTGATCTTAATGAATGATTCAGAAGTATTACTGTAAGGAGAAACTATTTGCTGGTCACTCTTAGAGTATAAAGTGTTAAGCATGGTAATTAAGAGGCATGGTAAATACACTGAGTTTGCAATGTGGGTGATGATTTAAGATTTGGTTTGGATCTTTTATAGGATTGATCAACCAGGTATTGAGACCATTAACCAGTCTAACTACAATGGAATAAAACCATTCTTAGGATTGGAAGTGAGTGAAATAACATTACAGTCAACTCTCTCATAAGCAGACACCTTTGGGAATTGGAAAAAGTGTCCATTAGTAAAACTGTCAACCTACAGGAGTTATTCTCAGAAGCAGACCCCAGAAAAAAAATAGTCAGATCTCAGAACTGGAAGTCAGAACCTTGTCAATATCAAATGATCAGAAAACTTGTTCTCCCATGGATAAATGGCAATTTGATAAAACCAATCCCACTGTTCTGTTGCTCTTTCAAAGATCATATCTTTGTTCATTTGCAAGCACTAGCCAAATTTTATTGCCAATGGTCAATTATTGTACAAAGGAGTGTCTGCTTACAACTTACAAGAGCACATAAACTGAAGAAAACTCCAATTTCCTCTTTAAAAAGTGTCAGCATCCACTTAAAGATATTGTCCACCTACAGGAATGAATAAATGTAGAGTAGGACTATGAGGCAAAAATTAGAATTGGAAAAAGTGTTTGTAGGAAGAACTGTCATCTTATGAGACTGAATCTTTTATGACCAGTGCCTTTGAGGTGACAAACCAACAAAAGTGGGAAAAAAATGAACAAAATTTTAGTTTTGGTTGAGCTTCATCTATGTGATTTATTTTTCTTGACACCCACTCCCAATATTTCATCAGTGTCTTACTGTCTTCTATGCAATTTTTATGAAGTTTAGTTAGTATAGAGAATTTGGTTTTGGATCAATTAATTGATGCTTTTCTTTATTCTTATTACTTGTCTACTTGATATGGTATCAGTACTGTAAAGAGAAATTCTATCTTGATCACTTATGGGAGTTAAAAAGTGATGATTCTTCAAGGAAGATTTTTTAATTCAGTGGAACTTATGATCAGCTGTCAAAGTAGATAAGATTTCCTGATTTGCCTCTTAGTTTTTTCTCCTAAGGAGTATGCTTTGACTCCATGTACTCAACTTAACCTGATATTCAAACATATCATAATGCACCAGTGACACCATTGTTCTTTTCCTTTTTTTAATTTTTTTAATTGTTATATTTTATTTATAGAAAACACTTTACTATAAAATAGAACATACAGTACAGTAGATACCATGTAAGAGGAAAATTACAGCTCTTTTGAGACTACAATCGATAAACAAACAATTTAATTCTAAGTGATACTGATTAGAAATTTTAAAATCATGAGAACATCAACATCAAGTAGATTCATGAATTTGTCCTATTGAGACAGTGGTGGCAATATTTCTGGGACAAAATCTTTTCACATAAGGTGTTTCCCTTTGTTGTTAAAGAGCTTAGCAGTTTTGTTTTTCATTGCAATGTATCTTTCAGTCATTATGTTTTCTCGTAGTTGTATCTTAAACAGTGAAAAGAGTAAAGATATTTCATCCAAATTACATTTGTAAATGAAGTACATTGTCCTTTTCAGGGATTCATTACTTACTTATCAATTCAAGATCCTGGCCAAGAAGTGCGTCAAGGCTACAATGAGGAAAAGTCTGTGTCAGTGTGGACACCAGGTGGCCGCAAAAAGGTGCTTAACCCTTTACACCCTAACATCAGAATGCATATTCTCAATACTTTTCTCAGTACATTTCTTACAGTTCTGACAAGGAGAATTTGTGTAACAATCTAGAGCTTCTATCATTGGTGATCATTTCCTTTTTTCTTGTGACCTTTGTCTGATTTTGGGGGTGATATTGTAAGGAGAAATTACATGCTAGTCACTCTTAGGTGTTAAAGGGTTAATCAGACATTATCAATTCAGAATTTTTTAATACAGTGATGCACATCATGAACTGTCAAGCCAAAAACTGTCAAGATAAATAGAGGATGTTACATGGCCGCACGGGGATACAAATTTTATCTTCAAGTGCTCAAAGTATCTCTCACTCATGAGAGATACTTTCAGCACAAGAAGATAAAATTCATATGCCCAAGTGGCCATGTAATGTTCTGTTTATTTTATAGATACTGATGAAATTCCTACATAAAAGACAACTTTTTTTAAATTCATTTTTGAAATGGCAAAATAGTACAATTAAAGTGATCACCTATCGCAAAATGCCTGTCACAAAAATGTTATGAAGCTCGGAAAAAGTATCAATGTGAAAATTTGGCAGCTCATTGAGAAAGTCAGCAGTAACTGTACCATCCTTACACCTTGAAGCCATTTTGTGAATGAAATTTCAAAAGAATCAGCCGCACGCCAGAGCAGGAAGCTCTCTTGTAATTACATGGTAACCATGGCAACACCAATATCCTCACATGTGAAAGATAAAAATAGTATCTTCACTGCACACAATGAAGATATGATTTTTTAGTAAAAGGAAAAATCCTGGTATTTCATAAATATCTAAAAGTATATAATAAAACCAAATCTTAAACCCAGGAATACCAGATAAATTATTTAATGTAAGGAAGAATAATGGCCAAATTTTCCACTCCTCTCGTCATACTTATGTTCAGTATTGAATGTTAATCAGTGTTTGGCAGGCACTTTCCAACTGGGTGGTCCTATATTTCAGCATTCTCCCATCTTTAACCCTTTACACCCTAACATCATTATGCATATTCTCCATACTGTTCTATATACATTTCCTAATGTGCTGGCAAGGAGAATTTGTTTAACAATCAAGAGGTTCTTCAGTTGATTATCATTTTCTTTATTCTCATGACCTTAATGTGTGATTCAGGGATGATATTGAAAGGAGAAATTAGATGCTAGTCACTCTCATGGATCAAAGGGTTTAGGCATTTCTTCCAGGTCAAGTCACATGTAGCTGAGTTTTCAGAGTATCATGACAAGCTGATTTTGAGGCAGAGATGCACCCGGCAGACTTCAAAAATTTTAAGTTACTGTTAAATGAGAATGTTGATGGAGCAAGATATTTTTTTTCTTATTCTTGTGACACCCAAAGAACTGCTTCTCTTCAATACACTCCTCAGTGTTGACACACATGGCAAAGTTGAAGGTTTTTTCTGTCTGTACACCATGCTACTGAGAGCATTTGGTAAAAACTTGATTTGAGCCAATTAAAGGAAAGGAATTCATTATGATCCCTTACTGATGATATTATAGTCCAGAATTGAATTAAGCTGGTGAAACCTTGTGATGCTTGTAAATGGAAATTTCCATCAACTCATATGAGCAGTTGTGGTTACCGCCATAAATTATCTGGAAAATGCATGTTCCATTTATATGTAAGTTGTACAACAACTTTTTTTTGCAATGATTTTTAGGTGGATGTGAATCAGTTCAAGGCAGTGCTTGAATCATTCAAACCCAACATGGCTGAGTGTCTTTGTGATACAATTCCTGCATCAGGACAGACTGAAAAGAGAATTCGTAAATCTGTTGACCGAACTTTAAAATTTCTCGACCAATGCATTGAGGAAAGAGAAAAAACTAAGGTTGGTGAACTCTCTGTATTTTCCTTTTATGTGGCTTTTTCTTTAAATCCTGTGCCTTCTTTTAAATTATGAACTCAAATCATATTATTTTTGAGTTCTTTTACATTTTTTTTTATGCAGAGCTTGATATCATGCAATTTACTGGGAGTAATTGAAGGATCAAGCTCAGAGACACAGAGAATACGATCTGCTAAAGAGACATCACAGAGACCAGTTCCAGGTACAAAAAAAAAATTGTTACTGCCTATAATTATCCATACAGTAAATAAATATAGACAGTAGGTTGATTCACCTGCCATCTTCTCCATTACACCAAAGGTAGTAAATTTTGGTGGTGATTTGTTTTGAGGGATTCATTTTTGGAGGAACTTCATTTCCAAATTGAGGACTATCTACAAAATCTAAAAAAAATTGAAACCAGTAAAACTTCCATACTCCATTGTATTTGAATAGTCAAATTTACCAATAGTCTTAACCCTATAACTCCCATGAGTGACCAAGACATAATTTCTCCTTACAATATCGATACACTATCAACCAAATAAGTGATGAGAATAAAGAAAAATATCAATTTGGGGATAATTAGTTGATCCAACTCTAAATTCTCTGAACTAACATTATATGAATTGTATGGTTGACAGCAAGGTGAATTACAATTTTGATCTGGAAGTTAAAGGGTTAAAGAAAAGGGTTAGGGCAGATCCCAAGGTGATTCTGGTGGTTTGGGTGGTCAAACCCTTAAGACTCAAACAAAGTCATTTAAAAGCATGTGTGGTTTCTGATGAAAACCTTTAGTGGACATAATGGATTTTAAAACAGCTAATATCAGCAATTGTCTCTAGGCATGAAACAGCCTACAATTATCCCTTAAAATCTAGATTTCAACATTTCCCAGGGAGAGGATGCTCCCTGACCTTCTAAGATAGTCTGCCTTTGGTGAAAGTTTACCCAAACCCCCTTACTAAATCCTGGATCTGCCTTGGAAGGAGTCACACTAAATAAAATATTATTTGTAAAGATTGAAAAATAAATTTCATTATCAGTTGAACTGCTTGTTTGTAAAACAGTATTTTTGTGTCACAGAGTTATAGTCTATTAGTTGAGTAAAGAACCATTAGAGAATGTATTCCTAAGCCAGCTATATATATACTGTCAACAAATTATATAACTTAGGAGATGATGATAATCTCTCTTTGTAGGTTTTGTTCTTGAAGGATTCAATTCTAGTGTGTATAATTGGTGTTCTTTGTTGCAGAAGACATTGGTCAGTACTCATTCATAGTTGTAACAATTATTTTTCATAAAGACAGTAAGAAAGTTTTTTTTTCAAGTTTAATGTTTTTCATAATTCCCAAGTTTGGTATGGTCCTTGGTTTAAGTTGAGGTCTTAAACTAATTATGGATTAATTTTTTTCTTTTTATTAGACTGACAACCAAGAGTAGATTTGTTATAATATCAGTTTTGTGTTTATACTAGGAATTTTTACCTGATGATAAGCCACGACTGATCCATGGTATAGGATCTCCAGGTGAACATCATTAATTTACTTTCTGCTTTCATCGGTGATATTGCTTTTAATCATAAGCACCCTGTGATAATCTCTTTCCTATTTCCTATCTAACTTTAACATAATTTTTGAGAAAAATTCAATGGACTATTTCAACTTATGCAAAATAACAGTCAGGGAATGTAGCAGCTATGTATTCCATTTTGAATTCATTCAGGGACTTTGGTTGGTGTTTCTATGAGATAACACTTTCCAGTTTATTCTGATAATGTGTTTGATGCGCATACACATTGAGATGAGATTGTCAGTTGAAAGTACACGTCAGTCAAGTCTGGAAGTTAAAGGTTAACTAAGTATATATTGTGAAATATTTCATAAAGTTTCCCTTAATTTTCTGAAATACTCTTTTAAATAATGGATACTAAGTGCTTGGATTCTGAGTCAGAAACTCAATAACATGTTAAAAATACTGTTTGGGTAAAAAAACTATGACTGTCATATTTTGTTTCTTCCACTTACTCCTCTTTTTTTGGTTTTTTGCAGAAGAGGTAGTGTTGGCAGTGGAATGTGGAGTTGATATCTTTGATTCATCATATCCTTAATTCATTAAGAAAAAAAGGAAAAATGAGGCTGCTGTTTGCAGCCTCCATATTCAAATTTCTTTAATGGCACAAATTACTTGGCTTTTGTAAAGTTCCTTTGAAATGTCACAGTGGTGAATTTGAGCATCTGTGTTTGGTTTAATGTAAGAAGCAGAGGCCAAGGGGTCAGATGGCAAGATTCTGGATTAAGAGTTCCAGTCTAGGTTCTAGTCTTGGCTGGGGACACTACATGTTGTGTTCATGGGCAAAATGCTGTATTTTCACAGGAGTAGCCTGAAGATCAAGCTTAATTTGATTATGCTTTATTTTAGGTTTGGTGGTGCACACAGGTGGATCACATAGGTGGCTCATTTGTGCCCTATGCCTGTCCAAGTAGTCTGTAAACTATTTGGGAACCCAGCAGGGTGTCAATGACCCGTCAGGGAAACCTGACACTAATGCAAATGAATCTGGTATGCAGACCTTCATGTACTCACTTCCCCCACATGACAGGTGTCCCCATGTAGTACATATAGCTCTAGTTTTTGTCTTTTTTGTTTTTGTCACAAAATGGGAAAATAAGCAAATGACCTGTTTTTTCTTTGAGACTTCCCAATTTGTCACAAGACCCCTACTTTGTGGGAGTAAGGAAAACATATTTTAGCATTTTATTGAATATTTTGTCCTTAATTATGGTACCTATCCTTGTCAAGTAGCAGAGAGAGGATGTGCTTTGGATATTAAATGGAGCAGAAAAAGATTCAAACCAGAGCTCACATATTTACCCTCAACTTCAGAGAGATTAGAAGGAGAACTAAAAAATTCAGAGGACAGTTTGAATGAATTAAGTACAAGTTCACATCAAAAAGAAATAGTGGGTGGTGGAACATCGTTTGAAATAAATCTCAATCATACAAGGTGTGTCTTCTATTTAAAGTTGAATTAATGTAAGATGTGATGTTGCCTTGCAAAGACTGATGATTCAGTTCATTTAGTCAGTGCTTTCCTTTCTATTCATGTCTTTAATTTGCTTATAATTTTTATTGACAATAGTAACAATAATGATATTAATGATAATGATAATAATTACAATAATAGTTAAACCACCAGCTGCCCTTCAGTTTCTTACTTTGGGTTTTCAGGAAGGTCTTTTAAAAATACAAAATAAATGCAATAAATTAACAAACAAAACTAATTAGAAAATAAAAACTATTCAAAACATGAAAAAACTCTGGAATGGATATTGAGTTGTACCATTATTTATTCATAAATTCATTTAGGTACAGCTCAGACTTCACCTCTCTTGTTAGTGGTTGTACATGTTACTGCTGTACAAATCATACACGGGCTTATGTTCATCATCTGCTTGTCACCAAAGAGATGCTTTCCAAAGTTCTTCTTATGATGTAAGTATTCAGTCATTGCATTTCCTTGTTACCATCCATGTCATAGAACACGCTGCTCTATAACATAGGTTACATATTTTTAAGTTGGTGGCAATAGTGGGAAAAGGAAAACAAGGGAAAAAGGACAAATATATAAGCACAACTCTAAAAGTAAAGTCAATAAATAGTACATGAACCATTTATTGCTTGGTGTTGAGGACACTTTGGCCTAAAGACTTAGGGTTTAGGGTTATGCAAGGACTCGGTTCAACCCTTGTCAAGATCAGAATACTGTCAAGGAAACCAGTCCATATCAATGAGTGGAGGGATATAGAGTTACCATTAATGGACTAGTATCCCATTTTGGAGAAACAGTAGTATACTCACAGAAATAATGTACATGAAAAAATGAAGCGCTTCTGATTGGCTGAAAACAAGTGCAAACTACAAATAGCATGCATGCTGTCAAAATTTCATCTGTCTTGACTTTTTGTGGTGTTTTTTTGAGTTATTATTGATAGGTAATTACACGATTAATTGTTCTTATGAAATTTGCCTTAAAACTTATGAGCTTATGCAAGTTTATTGTCTTTGAAAAATGAATTCATGCTCATTTATACCAAGTTGCACTCAAAATCATGTTGTTATCCATACTAATTGGAAACAGTGTCACTGTTACGTCTGTGGTCCATTACAGTGACTTCAAGACCATTAAAATTTAATTAATATTTTTTATTATTATTTCAGCCATAATCTATATGAATATTGTCAGTTTTTCACTGGCATTCGTTTGTCAATAGAGGAGGATAACTTTGAAGAGTTTAAAAGGAACTTTACCGAAAGCCACCTTCTGTAGCAGTGAATTGGTTTCCTGTATTTCATGGAATCTACATCCCTAGCTTATCTTCATTTCTTTTTAACAAATTTTAGTTTTTACCAGTATGTAGTGGACTTCCTATAAACTCTCAGAGAGAAGTGTGCTAGAGGTAGAGTCAGTCTAGTTTTACACAAGGTTTGTTGTTTAGATCACAAAGAAGACCTTTATCTGTTTCCCTCCTGACTGTGTGTTTGCCTTAAATGATCTGTATAATCCAGTTTCTTTGATATTGTTGTGACAGTGTGACTATCCTTGTTGTTCTTTTTGTCTTTCTGTCTGTATGTTTGTGTCTCCATCTCTGTTTGTGTCAATCTGTCTGTCTATGTGTCTAATTGGCTGGCAAGCTGTTTCTCTGAATTAGAAGTTTTTACCAGTCATTATTTATTGCCAGGGGGGAATCACACCGCTAATATCACAGAGCCTAATGGGGGGATCAGGCAAATTTTATCATGAAACCACCAGAAGCCTCCAAACCCCCCCTCCCCCCCTTCCCTTTAACTACTTCACAAGATGCGGTACAAACTGGAGTCAATGGGTGGGGACGACAGCTATAAGACTTCAATTTTGTTAGTGCTGCTACTCATGAGAACCAAGGAGAGAGCTACACCAGTTTTCAATTGTGATAACTAAGAAACTTTTATCTAACTATTTATTGATAAATTGTCTACATAAATTCCTATAGAAAAATAAAACATTTTAAAATTCTCAGATATTTCTCTAGATATTTAATTTTTTCTGTGCGGAAAACACTGCAAACTATGACAGGAGCTCGATTTGGGGCATGAAAATAGCTATAGAATCACGAATTTCTTTCAATAATCTTGATACATTCTGTAAGCATTGACCTTCCTCTTGAACTTCATAACAAAGTGTGAAAAGTGATTCTGGAATCGCGTTACTGGCACCAAATCAACTATTTAACGCAAAACCATACCCGAAAGCGACGATCGTTTCTAGTATGCTACGCTGAGTTGAAAATTACAACATAACATAACACCGGCAATGAACTAGCTTCGTCCTTAAGGCGACAGAACACCATCAAAACCTTGCATTACTCTTTGAACGTAAATTATACGTAAACATATAACCCTTGCTTAAAAATTATACTTCAAGTTAACATTCAAAGTATTACTCTTCTTTTTTTTTCTTCATTTCTTGGGAGGAATTTTACTCAAATATGTTTATTTACAGTTAATATCAAAGTTCAACTTTTCCTTTAAGCGTGTCGGTTTGTTGAAGCTCCGGTGGAATCAAGCCTGTGGTTTCCGTATCACTGAAGTATCCTTCATCTCCTACGTAATGAGTCGGGTACAGAAGTAAGGGCTCTGCTGTCATGGCAACAAGGTTACGGGGATAAAAGTGATTGGCCCACTCCGGACTGCAGAAGAAATTAAAGGCGAAAAATAAATAAAATTCAATTGAAGGTAGACAAAGGAAGATAACTAGGGCGTGAGGAAACGACAAGAAATGAAATAGGAAATGTAATTTTTGAAGCCTACTTTCTTCAAAAATCCATCATTTGCTAGAAGGTCCCCATAAACCGTCGTTTGAGTGTTTACTGAGAAGGGAAGGTTTGGATTTTCTCTAGGTCTAATCCCATAGTGTAAATCACGTCGTTTTTCTAAAAATAATGTGAGTGTATTTACTATTACTCCGACCAAAATTCAAATTGTAAGATTTTCATCACCAAGTTGGTCTGCTTCTGAAAATGTCCTATTTATTGACCTTTCTACCCAAAAATATGTGGTATCTTGGGTTGAGAGGGGAGGCCATGTTGGCAGTGATACATTGCAGGAATGAATTGACCACATTACGTCCAAAAGTGGCGCCTATACCATCGTACTTACTTTAAATGTTTGTTAAACATAATGGGTAAAAACTCGTCCACGGCGACCATTTTCTCCAGCGGTTTCGCAGACACAAGTTTCCGGGCGCCTCGTAAGGAGATGGCATACCCCAGCGTCCAATAGGTATATTCAGCCCAAGCTATAGCCGAGGCCCCTGGAACCATTGTAACAGGATTACTGTGGAATCGCTTGCGCCCTATATAACTGAGTGAGAAAAGGCAACATTGTTAGCAAATGATCCTACGAAGGCTTACGATCCGTCAGCTTTGCCAAGCCAGCAAAGGCGCTTGAGTTACTTGACTCTTTAACCCCTGAAAAGGACTAACTACATAATGATGTAGACCTCCTTCCCACTTCTACCAAGATTGTTTCTACCTTCTACCTTCTTGGGAATTGAGTGAAAACACTCGGAAAGTTTACACTCACATTAGTTCCCATGGATACTCGCTTGAAAGGGCGTTTGCCTCTTGAAGTAGATGTTGTAGCTGATTTCGAAAATCGGGTTCAAACCGAACATCATCTTCTAACACCAAAACTTTATCCAAGCCATTATTGATCATCTGAGGATTAAAAAGGGAACATTATTACAAACGGTGGCGGTAGTTTTCGCACGAGACTAATGAAAGGACAACGAACAAAAGTTGACAGCATATGAACGCAAGTAGCAACAGTAATAACACCAATTGGAGTCCAACGAGGTCTGTAATCATACGGAACGAATTAATTTACCTTGTAGGACAACCGGAAACAAGAAGCCCGATTCGATTTCGTTAATTAAGAATCTTGTTGCAGACAGAATTTAACAATTCTTTATCCTGTTAACATTTAGTAAAAACTATGACAAACATTGGATAAACAAAAAGCACAAAAGTCACACGTGTTAACTTCATGTCGCACGCGCCGACGAGACGAAAAAGTAATACAGCTTTCTTTACTTCACTATTGAGCTCAATATTAACCATCTTTCTCATTCTAGCCACTAACGCGACGCTTTCGACAAAGCTTATCCTAGCAGTATGCAGGATAAGAATCACATGAAATCCTCACAATGGCCTCATGATGGCCTAATAATCTCATAACCAGACCTTTCAGTTACAGTTGCACGGTAGGAATGGCTCAACTCACCACGGAATTTTCTTTAGCTCTGTGGTAAAAGTATCAGTACGTAGAATCCGAGAATCTGAAGTTCGGTTCCTCCCTGAGATTCAGATTTTTCCTCGCTCCCATTCTCGTGAAAAGACGAAAAAAACGTCTTTCTCTAAGAATACACATTTTAACTTTATTATAAATTTTGTCCTTATCCATTTTCTTGCTCTGCCTGGATCGAGCCCGTGTTGTCTAAGTGACCATGAAACTTGCGCAAAGCGAAAGAAGGTAGAATTTCGAAGCGTTTATACTTTTGGGATGCTTCCCTCTACAAGTAACTTACCTCCTCCCAAATAAGGTAATGACTCAAGAAGCATCCGATTTCTCCCATGGTAAGCGGCCTAAGGGACAAAAATGATCGCCGCGTAAAAATTACTGTGAATGATTGTAACCATAATACCAAGAAAAAATAAGGGGACAGAGGAGAACAATCAGGATTCCCACTGACTCTACTTATTTTCTTATGTCGAACAGGTGGGAATGAATGAACTGATGACCTTCAGTAATTGGAGACCTCGAATGATATTAGGGACCTTAAGCAAACCACGATGGGGACGGCAACGAGGGCATGGAAAAACAAAAGATCTAATTGGCAGAACAATAGCTCAGCTCGTGCGTTTTAAAACTTTGTACATTTCTTAGCCGTCCTATGCAAAACAACGTGAAATCACAATTTGCGTCGTCTGCGCATCGAAACCGCGACGGCAAATTGTTTTAATTTCCATTGGAACGCAGCTCTTCTTTTATACGTTATGCTGAAGTTGAGGTGTGGCGCCATATGAGACGGTAAACACATGCAGTCATTTTTTAAATTCTAATTAAAGGCAGAAATTCATTTTTTAATCGAGGTCTTCCTCGGCGTTGCCGTCCTGACTGCTTAAGGTCCCTATTAACAGGCCTTCGGCGGAACGTCATATCACTCCCTCAGGGTGATATTCTTCCACCTCAAACTCATGAACATGGTGGCAGGTATTCGATGTACCATATTCCTTCCCTTTCACCCAGCAAAACGCGTTTTTTTACTGCTGATTTTAATAGCAGACTGCTTCGAGGGGATCGGCTGTCTCGTACTCACGCATCGTGAAGGAGAGGCTCGCACTGACATTGGTGAAAAGAACTCACCGGACCGTCTCTCCCCCATGCTGTCAACGAATGGACCGGATAGGAACAATTTCTATGTGCGTTAGTTTATGGTTTTGTTTTGACAGAGAGTAACGTTTCACATGCTCAATTATTGATAGGAAAACTATATAAATAGGGAAACATTATCAACTGCTGACCAATCATTTTTCTTTTGATTTCAGCTCAGTTATACGGGGAACTGAAGTTAGCGAAGACGCCCTGATTCACCTTTTTCCATATGGATCTTTGTAACCTGGTAACATCTTTATCCCCATGTCTTTAACCTGCTGGTCAGTTAATGACCTGGCAAAATGGAAAAAGGTGATAATGACAAAAAAGGCAAAAACCAAACAGACAAACAAAAGTTCTAAATACATTGTCAACAACTTTGAACCATGCCACAGGATAATTGAAAGAAAACAAATTGTAGGCAGCAGTTCACTGGACATGAGAAATTGGACTATTTATTTTTCCAGTCTGTCGTCCTTAATTAAGTAATTTGTAGTATGATCTGTTAAAAACAAAGTGTAGAAATTTAAAATCTTTCAAAACCCAAGGCCTTACAATTTCTTTAATTACAAAAAAATTAATCAATTAATTAATTGATCACAAAAACATGGGAATGGAATTGAATTTTGCATCCTTCTTTGATGTAACCACCTTTATTTTAAGTGGATTAGAAAGATTTATCAGAGCAATATCCTAAAAAGGAGTACATACTTGCCATCAACTGCATCAAACATCTTCACTTTAATTCCCAGCTCTTTGAGAGATGCAAGCATCCTTTTTCGACGTACAGGCCTCCTTTTAAGATTGATGAGATAGATCTTTAGGGAAAAAAGATGGTAATTAATTCACCCACTAGATTTCACATTTTGTTGGAATATATGCATCAATTATGTCAAATAGAAGTTCTAGGACACTGTCTTCAAAATAGGGCTTAATTTTGTTGTTCAACCCCTTAACTCCCAGAAGTTATTAATACACATACGTTATCCAGCAAACAGGTAATGAGAATACTCAAACTTATCTGGTAGAAGTTATCTTAGTCTAAAAGCAAATTAATTCATGAAGAAATAGGCAGCATTTAGAGAGGAGAATGAACAAGCAGATCTTAGGAGTGAATTAAGCATACAATCCCAATTTGGTCTGTAATGTTTTGTACTGTACCTCATCAAAACCCAGCTTTCCAGGAGGGGTGTATTCAACAGTAATGTGTGAACTAACAGGCATCAATTCCTCTGGATGATCAACTACAAAAAAAATGAGACCATTTACACTTTGCCCTGGAAGGAGTTACCACTTGAGTCTCCTGCGCACTCACCAACCCACAACATGAATCAAACTGCAAAATGCCTTAGTTATATAGCAAGTAATACTGTGTATTAGAATATGTAACAAATTACATACCAAACCACTCAAGCTTCACATGAGTAAAATGAACCTTCATGTCTTCCAAAGTGCTATTGCCGTTTGAAGGGCTTAACATGTAGCCATACACCTCTTTATTTAAGAGGTTCAACTTTATTCCTGTGAATATAATAAAAAAAAAACACTTATGAAAAAAGTTAACAATTAAGACCACTAAAAAAACCTACATATTTTACATTTGATGGGACATCAAACTACAGTATTCTCCTTTTCAGACCGTAACCACTCAAATTAACTGCCTATAATACCTCTTGTTACTGCCTAAAATTGCTTGGAATTCTTGAGAATTCAACAGGTAAAAGGATATATTGCTCTAGAGGTTGAAAAATTGCTTTTATACCCATTGTGCATAAAACAAGGGAGAATACTGTAATCATTCAAAAGTGGCAATCACTTTCACAAACAACCTTACCATTATCACAAACTTTGAAGGTAGGTAGAAGGTGGTGATTTATAGATGGTTGTGAATATTAGGTTCATTGAACATTGTCTTCTTGAACAAATCTTCAAGGTGTTGATCTAGCATCAGAGATCAGAGAAGTCTCCAGCAAAGACAACAAGTTTCTCTAGCAAAATTCTTAAAGCCTGTTCAGAGTGTCTATCATCTTATTTCTCTTTACAATATCACCACTGAATCATACATCATCATGAGATGAAAGGATATGATTACCAGCTTAAGAAGTTCTTGACCATGAAAGATTCTCCTTGTCATTATCATGGAAAATGTATGGAAAACAGTGAGGAGAATATGTACACTGATGTTCGGGAGTAAAGGGTTAATTTTAGATGTGGGGAATATTCTTATATAACTTTGCAGAATACTCATGCTGCTACATTAATTGATGACTGAAGTAGTATAAAACCTTGCAGGTAATATACCAGTAACAAAGTTTTCTGGCTTTCAAATGGTATCTGGTGAGCTGCCAGCTCTTAAAAACAGCCTTGGTAATCCTTTGGGGTTAGAAGGTAAAAGGAAAATATATGCTTTATACCATGGTGATATATGATAATGTATACCATTGCTAACCTGCTTCCCTCGCTGAATGTGCAAACACAAGAATATCATCTTCTTCCCCATGGTAACTTGGTAAAGGGGGGTTATACCTCAACTGATCACTTATAGTCTTCCTTAAATCTATCAGCATGGTGGAGTGAATCATTGGCACTTCAAAGCAACCCTTTTCTTCTCGTTGAAGCATTGGGAAGTAGTTGTCAGACCTAGCATAGTATCCCTACAATATTAAATCATTATTAAGAGTTAGGTACATTCACTCACATCTGGTACATACACCTGCATTTAGACTCATTATTGCACATAGATTAAAAAAAAATATTTCAATTTGGCTGACCAGGGGTAAAAATAACATTATCAGATAGTGCTCTTTGTGCATGTGTGTGGGTTTTTTTGTTATTGTTGTTGTTGGTTTTTTTTTTTGGTCTTTTTATTTATCATTTTTTGGGGGGGTGTGTGTGTGTGTATGGAGAAAGCCCTTGAAAAAGTTTCAAATCATCTAGGAAAATACTACATGGCTTAGTGGTGGTTCACTGTTGCTTGAATAAAGTTTTCATTGCGTAAACTTAGTGAAAGGAGATAGATTCAACATGCACAATCATAGAATCTCATTTCCTCAGGGAAGACGAGCTTAAACATCAAGAAAATAACAGCAAAAAAAAACATATGCAAACATGTGCATGTGCTTCTCTCTCTTTGTGACTTACATCTTCATCCATTCCACCCCAGAAGTTAGAATATGCAGCCTTTCCTCCAAAAACTTCAATCATTGGAGTAATAACAGTCCTTTGAAAGAAACAATTTTCAAAGGTATTACATCAATGACTACTTTTGTATCTCCATGAATATAAAAGACAAGAAACAGAAGGGATAGGTAAGCTAGCTAAGGTGGAAGCCATTGATGAGGAATGAGTAACCAAAAAAAAAATGACCTTTCATTTTAAGGTCATTCCTTAGTGGTGTTCTTGACAAGCCCTTGCAGCTATGGGTTTTCATTGGCTTCTTTTTCTGAAGCCAGGACTTTTTTAATTAGACAGAACATATTACTATCTGTCTTGATCTGAAATGAATTTCAACCTTCTGCCAGCAACTGTTACTAGAAAATAAACCTGTAAAAAATGTATTTAGCACAGTTCACATTCACCTCTCCTATGATTAGGGTATACACACTAAGAAAATGGTAGTTTTTCCCTTGTGCCTGAAGAATGTGTGAGAAAGAACAGTCATTCTTCCAGAAACAATTATAGTGTTGTATCATTGTTTTTCTTTACTCTGCAATGGATAAGATGTATAATTTTTTTTTTACAGTTACTGTAATACAATGATCAAAGTGTTCTTGTATCAAACATGATGCACTCATCTCAAACATGAATTCAGTAAGTATTCATAATATAAAATAATATATCCTCAGGTATCCCATATCCTTACAATTTTTCACCCAAATATCCTTTTTCCAGATACCAGTAATAGGGCCCCCTTGGCACTGTGAATCCTCTTCAAGTATGAACTAAAATATATTTCATATTTTAAGTTTCTTCAACAAGCAAATATAGTTAAACAAAACTCTTATAACAAGGTCAGTTTCAGAGGGATGGAAGTGTTGAAAACTTGGCTTCATCAATTTACACAGCATTATTTATTCACAACTTTTTTTACATCTTACCTTTTTTCTTCCATGAGAAGTCTCAATGTTTTAGGATTCATTAAGAAGTTGTCACAATCTACAAACTAAAAAACACAAGGAACATTCATTAGTATGACAAATATTATAGCATTTATCCATGTTTAGCATTGAACAAAGTGTTTCAGATGAAATGGAGTCTGCAAAAAAAGATATAAAAAAGATATCCACCATCTTATCTTTCCAAAAATAACACAAAAAAAAAATTATGAGAAAACAATTCAAAGGATTGCCAAAGAAACATGCATTTATTGCTTCTTGATATTTCTTAAGAGTACTTCAACAGGATTCTTCTATCTCTTTCAGGAGAAGCTGGTGAGTACATATCTAAGAAGACAATTGTTTTGTAGATGGTTAGGCCATGTAACAATGTACCAGTAATAGCCAACTTGGTATAGTTTACAAGCCTGGTTTTAATGCAAGTTATGTCACAGATACAGCAGTAAGTTATTAAAATTTAATGTCTCTTGTATGCTTACAAATAGGTAGTCAGCCCACTGTTTTCTTGCGCTATCCAAAGCCTTCTGTCTGAGATACATCATCTGTTGATATCTGCTGTCTGGCCACTCTGCTGGGCCCACTGCATCATCATACTTATGAGGTGTATCAGACACATTTACCAAAACTCTGTGGTATAAATGTTTCACATTTTGAGACCACTCTTGTAGTATCTTTGATGTCTTATCTTCATTATGGTCTGATCTGATCCTGGATAAAACCAAAAAGACAGGTACTTATCCTTGAAAACAACTTTTTGCACCCAATCCAACACCAGGGAAAATGTTTTATGAGGCATTTAAAGAGAAAAAAATTGCAAAAATTTCCTAAGGCCACACTTGAGAATAGACCCTGCAGTACAAAGGCCTCAACACAACTCCAACACCCCACAGTTCAAGCATGTTGCCATCCATTACCCAGGGACAACCCTATGAGTAACAAATTCTCCAAAAAAAGGACTTTGCCCAGTCCAGCCACTGTTTGACTGTTCAATTCCCACGAGTGATTAACATTTAACTTCTCGCTATCACATCCTTACAATTTCCAGCAAACAGGAAATGAGAATTCTCAAACCTATCACGTAGAAGTTGTTATCTTGATCTAGCATCAAATTCTCATAAATTGATTTACAACAAAATGCGTTGCATCTAAAGAAGAATAATTAACAATGAGGTCTTGGGAGTTGAAGGGTTAAAAAGAAGTTTATTTTTGTCAGTCAGAAAAGTGCCTAAACACAAAAATTTTTCTCTAAGGAATTATTGTCATTAATTTCAAAACCTTAAAAGCTTAGTTTGCAGGTATGCTTTTCACTCATGCATAAAACAAAATTGTGCAGAAATCTTCAAATTATCAAAGGAAATACTCCATGAAGTTGAAATTCGCACTCAGTCCCTCACGAAATGTAAAGGAATTCAAAAAATGACATGACACGTTGGCAATTTTCCCACAAGCTTGTCGGACATCAAAATAGTGCCAAGAACAAGTTTCGACTACACAAAGCTTTCCACGGTTCGATTAACCTCTCTGTTACTGTGAAAGCAAGAACTATTCAGGGCAACTAGTGGCAATGACACAGATTTAAGATTTACATGGGAAGTTTAATAATTTGAATCTCTTACTTAATTCACAATGAATGAGCTCTTGTAGGCAGGCTACAATTTGAACGTAATTATGATTTTCTTACGTTACTCATGAATATGGTTCAAAGCTGTACGAGTCTCTGACATGAAACAACACAAGAAAAAAAAATACTCACCAAACAGACATTCGATTCTTCGGGTAATCCAAATTCTCGATGTATGCGAGCCAATTGGGCAGAAGATGAGCGGCGTTACGAGCTATGATCGCTAAAAACACGCTGGGATCTCTTACTGCGGACTCCTTTGAACGATTATAAACAACATCCGAGATCTTTGAGTCCGCTGATGAGATCTTTAAACTTGTAAATATAAGAGTAATCAAGAATAAATAACTACAACGAGCCATCATTAATTGATTTTCCGGAGATTTGCGAGGAATTACTCCTTGTTCAGACCATCGTCCTTTGCAGATAGAAGACCGGAAGTACAACTGATTGCTTAACTGTCACGCAAGGAAATTCAGCTTATCAAAGGGTTTTTTTGTCCCATTGAATTTCCAGAGGAAACGTGTGTCAGTTGAAGAGTGAAGTAAAGACAAGAGACAAGAAGAAATAAAACTAGATGCGTGTCAGAATTTTCAAATAGGCTACGACCTGCTTGAGCTGAAAACCTTAAAAAAAGTAAGCAGCTCCTTTCCTCGACTCCTTGCACGCAAATGCGAGACATGCCCAAAGTTCTCGGCGCGCGGATCGTGACAGCCTCACACAGGTGCAGTATGGCTAACAATGGTTACTAATTAGACATGACTTATGGAAATTCAATTGCTTCCTCTTTGAAAAGTTGGGATAGGAATGGAAAAGGGGGTGGGGTTGATTATCCCTTCTGTTTCATTCTTTACTTGTTCCTCTATCCATTTATTTATACCTTCGATCCAAGGTTGGTAATTTCATGCTTGAGTTAAATTGACAAAAGAGGGAAGCAGTTTCATTTCGATCATTTCACGGAGTGAAGCAGTACGTCTATTCTGGTGAAAATAACCTTTTTACCTTCCTTTCTTTTTCCTCATCGGAACATTCCCTAATACACTGACCATTTCGTTAATAATTTCACATTTCACCGTTGTTCATAAAGATCTGATCACCCGATACCGAGAAATCAGACGATAAATTTTGGTAAATTATATTTCCTTTCTTCCTGATAGCACTTCGAAGTGCAGAGACAGAAGAACTGGGTATCATCACACATGATGTCTTGTATCGGAAGGCTCATATTTATTTATTTGTCACTGATAGCATTTAACTTTATCTTTGTTTTATCCTCGTCTATAGCAGGCTCGTAATATCAAGTTAGGTTTTACGGTTTGACGGATCTCATTCACCTGCTCCATGCGAAAGACGTGTACCCTGTCTGTATTAGAAGGCAGTTGCTTTAACCCGCTTAAATACAGCACACAAATTTTTCAAAACACAATTTCAATTTCTGCGTCTCTCTTCTTTTATTTTCTTTCATTTTAAACATGAACATGATCACACGGTATGATGATTGGAATGTTGTAAAGTTCTTCTTAATTGAATACTATGATGAAGAAAAGTAACTGGAAACGCACCACTCACTGTTCCATCTCGCATGTCACATCTTGATCAGTTGCTCTATACAGATCTGTAAGTCAATCCTAAGTGACCTTTTGGAAAGTTCTGTGAAACTCGTGAATGGCCATTATCAGCTGGGTTTGCCTTGGAAGTTCAAGTCAGTAAGCCTCCCAAACAACCGTGACCTATAACTTGGAAAATATTAAACCAACAAAACAACCTGTCGTCGTTATAAGTCCTTTCAAGAAGAGAATTTTTATCTCCTTGTTGGTTTTCTGTATTAGTCTTTGATAGAGAGTACGGGAGTTGTGCCTCAGTGGCGCTACTTATAAAAGGTGTGGAGAATCAAAGAAGTTGTGCCTCTATGGCGCTATACTTGTACAAAGTTGGTGAGAATAGGGAGAGATATTTCAGACACAGAAGTAAAAGGCTCTTCCTTGGAGCATAGGAACTCTTAAAGTAGGAAAGGAATAACCGGTATTTGATCTACGCATGTTTCGTCATATGCTTTCAGTCTTCATCCGGCTTACCGACTTAGTTTTAACCTTTTTCTTTTGGTTTGGTCAAAAAATGATGTCTTTTTTCTGCCTTGTATTACCACAAGATATTTTTAAATTTGACGAGGTTTCTTTCAGAGAGAAAACAATGGGTAATTTCTTCCCTAAGCCACCCCTTTTATGAGGTTAGCCTTCGTTTCTGCCTCTTCGATTTATAGCGTATTTCCAGTCGTGATAATATCTTCGCAGCTCTGTGAGCTGAATGAAGTCCATTCGATTTTCTTCTTGGCTTTTCCTGATAGGATTTCTGGTCAGTCAATCTGCTGTTTCGTGGTAAGTTTCTAATCGTCGTTCTCTCTTGGGGAATGGACACAGAATGACGTCGTTTCTCCATTTCATCCATATTGCTCATTTCGTCGTCATCGTCGTCATCGTCATCATCTGGGCCCTCATCGTCCTCTCGGCCAATACCCATCATTTTTCGTTGAGCCATAAGCATCATCTCTTCTTGAATTCTCTCCTTTTCATTACGGTTCTCTTTTTCTCTATCCTCCATATGATTTAGAACACTTTTCAGCTGAGTGGCAAGCGTGTGAGCTAGACTTTTCCAGTCCTTTGAATCGCTCATGCTAACAACGGCATAGTTTGGCGGCGGTGACCCAGGACCCGTCTTACTAGAACTTAGATAAGGAACATTTTGTTGCGAAAGGGCCTCGGCGCTAGCTCGAGCGCGGTCCAGATTTTGTGCATGTGCAACTTCCGCGTGATATTCGCTTGCACCCATATCTGCCGCCAACTCGCGACTGTCCTCCATAGACTTGGCATCGGCTGGAAAATCCTGAGTGGCCTCTTGAACAAGTTTGGTATGGCTGTGATGAGTGCTGTCTCGATCAAACAACTTAATCACATTTTTAATGGCGCTCGTGGCCGCTCTGATTTTAGCTTCCTCTTCCTCTGCCTTAGCTCGGGCCTCTTCGTTTTCAGTCTGGAGTAGATAAGTGGGCGAGGGCAAGCCTCCCGGACGGTCCTCTGTAGTGTAACTCACTCCGGTAGCATGACGGGAGTTTTTCACCTTGAAAATAGCTTTACCAGTTCCTGGCCGCTCGTTGATGGTAAGTGTGACTTGTTTCCCCGATGATTCCGAGACACGAGGCTTGTTGCGAAACGATAAATTCATCTGTTAAAGAAAAAAAGGACCTGTTTTGTCAACTATTCGTAGTGTTTCTCGCTGGTTTCTAGGGGTCATTACCATTAAGTTCGAACAAAACAGAAGCAGCACCTTAAATGTTGGAGTACTTATCGTGGCAGGTAAAAAAAATTATTGGCGCACCGATAAAGTGATTCATCTCTCTATCAGTAATCAAGAGCTTACTCCTTCAGCAAACGTATAGATGGCTGGCCTTGGAGGCATGGGGGTGCTTCAGTATAGTTTTATGCGATAAGCATGTGAGGGACAACTCCAAGATCGAAAAAAGGGGCTTAACTGAGGAAGAGTCTGAAATGGGTTTTACAATGTCGTTCTCAGAGCTACTGACATAAACGACTTTATGACTAAAGGAAAGGTGGGCCCTGAGGCACGATTTGTCCACACTGTTGTTTTGCGTGTCGCACACAGTTGGGGGCATTTTACAAGACTGCTTTCGACTGACTGTCGTAAGAACAAAACCAAAATAAACGCAACGGCTAATCAGGACGGCGGAGAATTCCATAAAGAAACACTAGAGACAGAGTAAATACATGAAAACTTTGTTAAGGGCGAGAAAACGCGAGTGATCAGGGAGCGATTGGGTTTAGTTCAGTTTTCTTGTGTTTTGTTGAGGTAATGCGAGTCTTGCAGACTGAATAACAGAGCATAGAAAACTAACACTAAAGCAATTCTGAATTATTTTCGACCCGTGGTTGAAGTGGTTCTAACGTGCACTAACCTGTAAAACAGGATTGTTTTTATTGCCATGCTTGTTACCTGCAAACATCAAGTCTATTGGCATGCTTCCCTCTGAACGATCGAGTTTAACAAAGTTTTCAGCCATGCTTGTTGAATTAACCACGGAAGTGTTAGGATGTACATGCACGGCTATGTGTTCAAACGCTTGCTGACCTTTTGTGTCATCAGAGCTAATAGGCAAGATGGAGTCTGTGTTTTTTACTCCGTCTCTGTGCGTCACTCTGCTTTGTAAAGTGCTCATCTCATGAGAGTCTAGACTCTGTGCAGCCAAGTTTAATTTCAAAGTATTTGTATCTGTGTTACCTTCTTTCATTTCTTCATGCATGTATTGATTACCAACACCTGGCAGGAGGCGCTCGTTTACGGAGGCTGCATTATCTAATAACCCTTCAATCTCCTTTAAGTCCGACTCAGGGACGTTATTTTCTGTGGGAATCCTGCTGCTGGGCGATTTACGTTCCTGGGCGGCCTTAGTATGAGAGCTACTATTGTCTCTCAGTGCTAACAGCTTATCATAAATTAGCGCGTCATGGGGACCTAAATCATTCTTTGTTCCTGGATCAGAGGCCAGGAAATTGGTAGAGTTGTTCAGAACATCATACACCCTTCGACTTGACTTTTCTCCGAGTTCATATCCCAATAGCAGCAGAACAGGATTCGTTCCTTTACCAGGCTGTTCACTTACCTGTGTTTTTCCGCTAATAATAGGACCATCCGGCGAATGTGTTTTTTGTTCACGTTCTACTGAGGAAACGTTTGAAGAGAATGACATTTTTCCCTTTGTTTCATTATTCGTGGGTACCGTTGCACTTTGAATACCAATGCGAGCCTTATTAAGCAGACCAAGAGCGTTTGAAGAGGCTAAATAAATCAAGCGAAGAACGAAAAATATATCTGAGTTGGATAAAAATACATAGAAAAATACACTATAGGCTCAGTTCTATGAAGCAGCCAGGAACCTTTGTGTAACCTAAAATGAACCGATGTAGCTTAACATCAATTTATAATGGTAGTCTTTGTGGGGCTGTGACTTCCTACATGCGAGTTACAGTTAGGAAACTTTTTGTTATCCAGGTATATTTTACCACTTGCTGGTTAATTGACAACTATCCTTTCATAACATAATAGCTGCCAGCAAAAACTACAGATTTTTTATCATTGTGAGAATTTGTGTAATAGATTGGCGATTGATACATCAGAGCTGGTTCACGTGTTACCTGCCGTTAGAAACTTGCATCATGATTTTGACTCAAACCTGATAATTTAGTGTAATCCATGTCTCCTTCCAGCTGAGTTGCTATAGCCTTAGCTGCATCTTCCACTTGTGGTGTTGTCTCTTTTCCCAGTATTTGCACCGGTGGTCTCTTGGGTGGCTTTGTGGACGATGCATGCGCATTGACTGGTTTCTTTAATCGCCCCCAGACTCCCTTTATATCTATCACTTGCCATTGTTTTTGGCCTGGAACTTAAAACATACAGTTGGTTCTAAACATACCTTATGACGTATTTGTGAGATTTCTTAAGGTCTTGCATGCAGAAAGAAGTGAGATATTGTCCGCACTGGCCAAACAGAGCAATGGGAAATATTCAAAGAGAAATAGGAGAAAACAGGAACCAACAAGGAGTGCATCTGAACATGATTGGCTGAAATGGTAGCATTATTTTTTTTAGACCAATCAAAGAGCGAAGTAAAAGAAAACCAAAAGAATTCCGGATACTTTTTGATACCCCAATGCAAACTCCAGTGGGAACAATATATTTTTTCGAGGAATGGTTTGATCCGTTTTCAGATCAAGCAAGATGGAAGTGTATGAGACACTAATTAAAATGGGTTACCGCATGGTTGGTCGCGATGTCTAGGTATCAGCTTAATTTCCCGTTTTGTGACTTGAATAACTAATCTTCATAGTGAAGCCTCGACAACCTAAAAAATGTCATTCGGACCAAATTGCTGCACTGAAAAAAGGCCTCAAAACTGCCTCGATTTTCCATTTCCAATTGGAAATTAGATGTTCGTGATTAGTAATGATCCAATGGGAGAATTATAATACTTACCACAGTACTGGCAAGTTTTGTTACAAACGTGCTGCATTTGTCGACGATATTTGAAGCAGAAACCCATATCTTTCCACACGTGACATCTTGTCAGCACCCCATTAAAGTCTCGACAGTTATTATTCACCGTAGCAATGAATTGTCTCGTGTTTCCTGGAATATCTGCAATGTAGAAAAAAAATGAATGTTTCTGGCACGAGTTCCGCTCTTCTAGGATCGTTCGGTGGTTACCAAGAAAAAGGAATATAGTTAAGTGGAGATTGGGGCACATTCCCATGTGTATAGCACTATTAGACACTATGAGCAAAGTCCTTCCCTTTTTAAATCAGAGCGCATTTCGACTAAAGCCAGTTGAAAATAAAACATTACATATGGGGAGAATATCATTGGATTGATTGTTTAGAGGAATTCTCACTTTTGTTCTTTGAATTCATTTTAACTGATTCATTCTTAACAGATTAGGACGGCACTTGTCTTGTAGCCTTCTTTGCGTTTAGAATGATCGCATTTTCCATAGAATTTAAAAATGCTCCCAAGAAAATCTTAAGCGAGAAAAAATGTGCCTTTTCTCTAAATTCCAGAAAAAAACAACATGATCATAGCCGGAATCAAGAATTATTGGCATAATTCGAGCTAGTGTTCGTGGGAAAATGATGAATATGTGGAAGTATAAAAAAAGATGTTTTTCGTCTTGTCACGAGCGTGGGACAAAGAAAAAATTCTGAGTCCCCATGAGGAATCGAACCTCAGACCTTCGGATTCCGCGCTCCGATGCTCTACCAATGTGGAAGTATGTTTCACTTTATCATCAAATTAACATTTTTATTCCCCAGATCTCATTAGTAATTCTCCTTACTGTTGTTATATAATGCTTATGATGTTAGTTTGGAGAATTGGTATCGGATCAACTTAAAATATCCTAATTGATATTTTTCTTTATTCTCATCACTTGTCTGCTTGACATTGTAATGATATTGTAAGGAGAAACTGTGTTGTGGTCACTCGAGAGAGTTACGGGGGTAATGAGGAAAGCAGGTAGTGTAATGAGGAAAGTCAGTTCTGAAGCCGGCAATTGATGTGGGTATCAAGTGGAGCCGATGTGAACTTGATCCATTCAAATCTTAATTGACCTGGAACATCGCTTATGGCTTATAGGACCTCCTCGTTACAATATGAACGATATGAAGTGTAACAAAGTAATTACCTAATTCCTTGAAGGCCAGGACAGTACAAGCCGTCAAAACAACCATCGCCCATATTTTGCAAAGAAGGATTCTTATTGATTCCATTGCGTTCTTTAAAACAACCACATCACTTCGATACCTCTGATTTCTTCTTGTAAATCGCGAAAAATTAATGTTTTGTGTGTGTGTCGAGATTTCAATTATAACTTGTCAAGTGTGATTCGACGTTTCCGAGTATTCCATAACGCCGTTGTCACACATGTAGCAGATTCTCGTACTTTACAGCACGCACCATCGATAGAAAACCCGTCACTATTCTGAAATTTCACCATATTTTTGACTAAAGGGTATCTCTATCATTGTGACGCCAGATTATTCACTTGGTTTTTCAATTAAATTTTCATCCCTGCCAGACCCGAGTCGCAACACTGGTGAAATGTTCTTGACAGTAAATTCAAATGTCAAGGAGAGTGACATCATTGGTTGTTTCAAAAGAAGGGATAAAACACTCGACAAGTAAACGCCCCTTGAACATGTTCCGCTTTTGAAGTTGACGTCGTGTAAACAGGTCTCCACTGGGAACGGTACCAGAAACTATTGAAATTAAGGTATACCAAAAGATGACCCATTTTTTTATTTTGTCACTAAACAAAAAAATAAATATTATTTCTATTTGTTACATGATCGAGCCTCGAGTATTCACCTTCCAAGTCCATTGCTCAGCATGATGGCGAAACTACTTTTGGAGTTCTGTCCAGTGCTTGCAATAATCACTCCAAACAAGAGGGTACTGGAAACAAGTGGCACTTCATGTTCTTTCAGCGACTGAAAGCCTCTCGACTAAATCCTACCATTGGAACACTTAAATTTATCACCCAACTTACTTCTGAGATCAGTTCGTTTCAGCACGTCACTCTGCCTAATAACATTCGTAATGGGCAGAGAAAGTTAATTAAATTATAAAAACAATTTAAAGCAATCAAACAAATGAGTCGTTCGAAGTTTCCGTTGCAGATGTTCTCTTAACCTCACTTGATCGCCTGACTTTCTTTTCATTTCCTTTTTGTCATTTCATTATCAGTTTTTATCGAAATTGTTTTAGTCGGCGTCGATGAAACTTCATAAAGAAAAGATGAAAAAGGAATATGTTCATCCGACAACATTGGTCTAATCCTTTTTCTCCTCGAGGCAAAGCGTTTGTCAGTAAGCCTCGATTTCGTGTACCAGACCCAGTTTTCCTGGCTGACTCTCAATCTGTCGAACATGGATAATGGCTGCGAACGTTATTTGTTAATAAGACTTGATAAAAGGTGAGAATTATGACAGTGTGCAAAGACTACTCGGTCATGCAACCCAACACTTATCACCTAGTTAGTGACTGGTTTAGCAAAACGGCTGTGAACCTTTTCAGGACCTGACCTGTTGGTTATGAATTAATAATGACTGGCAATTACTGAACTGGAAACAGGGCTTTTTCTTTTAAGGAAGACCTTGTTTGCTGTTACAAGAAGAAAAATTGACTGGAATCGTTTTGTTGTTACCGTCCTGTAATGCATTCACCTCGTAAGAACAGCACTGGTTTCTAAAAGAGAGTACATCAGAAAAAATGGTAAGTAAGTGTGAAAACGCTTTAACTCTTCAATGCTAACTGACTTAAATCACAGACAAAATGTTTGTCCGCTAAGTTCTCAAACGTAGCATCAAAACTGCTTCGAGGATATATCATATACCGATTACCTCTTTATGCTCTGTTTCACAGGTTTAGGATGTTAATTGGATGCTTCTCTGGTAGACATGATGTCAAAGATTGTCTCGTCCGCCCTGCTTTACCTTATGATACAGCACGCTACCACAACAGGTATCTGCGACTCTATGATAGTCACAACAAAATAATCCGCGCACTAATTAACTTTTTTGTATTTCCTTTTGCTTGCACTTCTGTAACTCCCACTTAGCTTGTGTTCACGGCCGGAGGGCGATTGGAAATATGCCAAATTGTTATAACGAAAGAACTTGAATTTAAAATAAAGCCACAATCAGCTTCATCGAGTATTCATGAACATCCGATTATAGTGTTGGACTTCTTTTATCTCTCTCTTAGTTAGCACACTTGCATCAGCACTTTAATGAGTCTCATGGTAAAACTTAGGGCGCGTAAATTGCGTGGATATTCCATACTAAAAATGCTATAACTATTTACATCATGCCAATTTAGCTTTTTTAAACAGTTGGACAAACGTTCTGATCATTGTGACTGTTAATTAGTTGTATAGATAAATCAAATATACCACGCGTGAAGGCTATTATTGAGTTTTTTTTTTATTGTTGTTGTTATTATTTAGATGATGAACCATATGGCTCAACTAGAGGTGAGTTTCACTTGGGCAACTTGAAGACATTGCATACGTTTGGAAATCATATACATTGTCTTGTATGATCCAAGGAAAATTTTGGTACTTCCTTAATTCAGTGTTAGCGGAAATCTCTTTGCTTGCATGGCAAGTATCACCATCATTTTCGTCAAAATCACAGATATCATTTGGGGCTGAGGCAACAAACTCGTAAAGATAAATCGTTTTGGAACCGTGGCTCCTTCATCGTATCTCTTTTGTAATTTTTTTAAGGGGCTCTCACGAATAATGTTTCTACAAAATCGTTGCACTGCGTCTAAAATGTGACTACCATAAAATTTCCTCTTGTAATATTGCCCCTGAGTCAAGCATTACTGTCATGAGAGTAAAGGAGACTATCGCCAACTTATGAAGCTCTTGATTATTAAACAAATTCTCCTTTTCAGTATGATAGCAGTGTAGAGAGAACAGTAGGGAGAATATGTATTCTAATGTTAGGGTGTAAAGGGTTAAGACAAGTTTCTCTTCTAATGCTGTAGGTTGTAATTCAGCTTGCCAGAGAGAGTGCATCGAGGTTATCAACAAATACCGATTGAACCATAATGCAAAGGGAGTAAAGTTCTCCCAGTTTCTTGCTAACAAGGCTCAGAGATGGGCAGACGGAGGAAAATTCGGGTATGACATGAAATCTCGCAGGAAATACGGGCAGCTTATCGAGTGGGACGTAAAAGATGAACTTCAGAATTTTACAAACGTGATCAAACATTGGCACGATAAGGAAAGAGATTTTGACTTTGCTTCTGGTCGATCAAAGACCGGAAAAACCCTTCACGATTTTACGCAAATCGTTTGGAAGAAGGCCAAAAAGGCCGGCTGTGGTCAGAGCGAAATATTCGGCTCAAAGTATTATGTGGTGTGGATGGATTCTGATGGTGTTGTGAGTCCGAATATAGAAGTTGATGAAACAAATATTGGATCTCCCAAGATGGTACGTCGGGTCTTCTATTAAAAAAAAAAGATTCTATGTTAGCGTGCGTTTGTTTAGTGGATCACAGATGACGTCAAAATATGGTAAGAACAAGAAAGTGGCGCACGAGGCGCAGCCGAGTGTGTCACTGATGATCTTACCACATTTTGAGGTCATCTGTGACCTATTGCTAAACCGATCCACGGAAATGCGGAATCTATCTGTTATATATGATAAAAAAAGCGAACTGCTGCTGATGGTTACGTCATCTATGCGTTTGTACTTTAATAGATCATGAATAAGAATGAATCAGAATGCGTATACAATTCAGCTTATCGCATAAATCGTCCTTTTCGACCCAAAACGATGACTTCCGTCGTTTTAGTACTATTTGCAAAAAGGTGTTCGCAATGTATACAATCCTTTACATAATATCTTGAGAGAACTTAAAAAAATGAGATTATTCCGAAGATTATAATGAAAATAAGTGTACCTCATAACTTACGAAGTTTAAATTGAATTATTTGTGTTTCACGTGCAAACCTTGTCCATAATTAATCTGTTTTAGAACGATCTTCACTGGTTCGAACGAGCTAATCAGTCGACTAAAAGGAAATCTACTCATGTAGTGCCATTAAGACCACAGGACGCAGATTCCTCAACAAGGGGTCGTGTGGAGCCTGAATCGCCAATAAATGCTTTGAGGGGTGGTGGTGAGCAAGGCAAACCTGCTGGTCACCCTGATTTGAATGAAGTTCGAGAAGAGCAAAAGGTGTTGAATAACAATGCTCTTTTGAAACAATATCTATTTCATGACACCCTTAACAATGTGGTATTGAATGAAAATAAGGAAACTGCTAGTTACCACGTAGTTCCTGGAGCAGAAGACGGCGCCAACTGGCAAAAAGGAGCAGAAAGCCTAATACAGCTAGATCATGACAAGGGGAATACGAACCATACCTCACCCACTCATGGCATGACGTCGCTAGACAATACACCGACGTCATCTAGTAATGGTATGACCTCTCCGATTAGAGATGGGGAAGACGATGATAGTAAACAGGCGGCTAGGTTCCAATCCCTGGTGATCCAGGACGATGACATGCTGACAAAAAGTGAAGAAGACGGCAACGGAACAGTCTCCACGGAAGCCAGCGATAGCGACGATATCGCGGAAGGGGATGAGTATCAGCAGGCAGCAATCCAGTCTATGATGAAGCAAGAAGACGATATGATACAGAATGAAGAGCCTGCAGATGACGAAGAGTTGTCAGGAGGGACTCCTCCACCAGGCAAGGCAACATTTGGAACCTCAAACAAAGTGGCACCAAACGATGTCAATGGCAAAAGTTATTCAAAACCCTCTACAAAATCAAATGAAGCTTTTGTAATCAATATAACCGAGGATCATCAGGGAGAAGACGGAAAATCGTTCTATACATCAGGTGTGGCCCTCAATAATAATCCCAACGAGACGAACACATTTACTGCATCAAATAACAAACCTGCTCTTGATTTATTTAAGGGTAGCGCTAATTCGTCTCTTCGCAATGATGAAATAAGGAACCAGTCAACGGCAAGCATCCGGCCAGGGACTCCTCCTGGTTCGCTTTCGAAAGAAAGGCATGGCAGTGATGAGAATGAAGATCAAACAAAAGGTAGAATGCAAACATCAGGAAATTCCTTATTGAAGAATAACAAAACAATAAACCAGATAAAGGTAAATTCTTCACAATCTGCCATATTAAATTATCACAACCTGTCAAATCAAGAGAAAACAATGCAACAATCTAAATCAAAAGAGAATTCTCCGACAAGCTCGGTCAGCATAAGCTCTAATTCAAGCAATGATATGGAGCAAGTTGTAAATATGGCTTCCACTCCAAAGGCATCAAGCTCTCAGGGGAAACTAATACCTGGTGAGATTCAAGCTGAGAAAAAGCCCTTTTCGTCGAATATGCGACCGCGACTAACTTTAACAGAAATGATTACACCTGGGGTGAAAATTAATCCTGTCGAGAATTCCCCATCTATCCCTCAAACACATTACACACCCGGACCTTTAGAACAAACAGTAACAGCATTAGTCAGCCACCTTCCAACATCTGCGGCCTCAGGAAGTCAGAAAACTGAACAATCGATGCTTACATCGGGCACAAAACCACACAATGGTCAGTCAACTGAGTCAAATACTGCGATTCAGTCACCTGTTGCCAACAGCCTCGATGCCAGCTCACATGACTCTGATCTTCATCACGTGAATTCACCAGCTCTGATCACTTTGCCGAATTCCAGTAGCCGGCCCATAAAGCTCGTTTTCCATGTTCAAGATATGAAGTCAAAAGGGGTGTCGCCAAACACTCAGATTAGTGGGTCCCAGGGCAGCGATGACAACCAGTCAGCATCTGTGTTGAATGTTGCCGCAGATATGGTGAACAATGAAGGTAAGTAAGTTTCTAAGTACGTATTAAGAAATAAAAGTGGGGCTAAAGAGTGATTCCAATCAATGTGATCCTGTCTTTGTGAAAAATATGTAATGATTTGTAATAATTAAGTGATCCGGCATCCTTCCGATTGCCAATATGACCTTGGTATAGGACCCACTCTCTCCCAACTAGAAATATCTTCCACGACGTCTGCGACAGACAATGGCGGGGCAGTTATCTTTTATCAAAAAAAAAATCGAAGACGACGAAGATATTTACAAAAGAAGTAAAGTTTTATGCAATTATTTATTATCTAGCAAAACCTTGGTTTGCACTCGAAGTTGTTGGCGTTCAAACTGGTGCACATTAATATCAATGACTATTAACAATTACATTCTAGCACCTAAAAAGAACATGACTAACCAGCGATTTATCTGTCCATCGTATCTTCAGAATGTCACGATGACACCTTACAATGTCACCTTTGGGCTCACCATGGACACTGTAGAGGAACTGCATACGCAGAATTTATGAGAAGACATTGTAAAGCTACCTGTGGATATTGTGGTAATTCTAAAAGCATTATTTTAATAATAAGAGCAAATTTCAACCGTACAACTACTTACAATCTACTTACACAATACTTAGCTTCACAGCTTTGATTTAACGGCCTTAGAATAAACACGCTATGTAACCTGTTACTTACCCGCTTCATAGCTTTTAGCTTGTGTGAACTTAACAGAACGACACAACTCTTTCCTTTGTCACTGCCATTCTCACCTTGAACTAGATTTTCCAACTTTTCACTTGACACCCTTGCCCATCCTGGCTTCAATCCTCTTCAAACTGTCTCAGGCGTTTCCTATTTTCTTCACCCTTTGGTGCTCAGGCCATAGCGAAGTGACGAAGGTTACTATAGCTAAGAAATATGATTATACGGATAGGAATCGAACTCTTTGCTGGGAATCTTACCCATATATGTTGATATTTCATGAAGCTGTTGCCAAATGTGATAAAAAGACAAAGAAACTCACGAGACACTTTTCATGGCAAGGCTTTGATAAATGCTGCAGAATGTTCTTTCTGGTTGTAGGTCTTCCTTCGGTCATCAAAGAAAGTGAAAATCACAAAAAAGCCCAAAGTGTGGCCCAAGATGGTAAGTGTTGGTTAATTCATGATGAATTAAGGGTAACAGTGCTTGATATCACTCATTCATTACCCACTGAACGAGAGGTATTTCTGTGTTCGCAACGTGTAACTGTAACTTCAGTTGTACCACGTAAACTCTATTACAAAATGATGAAGGTCACCGCACCTTTAAAGGGTGACCTTACCAGGTACCAAGTAGCGTATTATGAACTGGTCTCAGATTCATCATCACCTCTAAGAGGCACCAACTCCTGAACAGCTAATAATGCCTCTCATACGTGTGTGGGATCACGAATCACTACTCCTGAAGTTGCAAAGCATCCTTAGTGACATATAACCGGTGATTCTATTTCAAAGAAGGTACTTCGATCACTCCAATCACAATATTTTGGAATTACTATCCCTCGGGACTTTATCTCTGCTCAGGTTACTCACTACTTCTTGAAAAGATGCAGCGTACTGATTTATCACTAATTGTAGATTATTTTCTTAAGAACCCTGCCAAGATATGCCTAAATATCAATTTAGCTGTCCTAGATGGCAAGCTCAAGGCTATTGTGAAAAGAAAGAAAATGAAATGAAAATGGTTTGTAAAAGGACATGCGGTTTCTGTGGTAAGTAAATGGTTCGTTAAAAGCGAGACCCTTACAATCGAGAATAGGAAAAGTAGGTTACCCTCGCAAACTAAAATTTCCCAGTAATCATGCATCTCATTTCATGAAACACTCGGCCACATTACGCACTTGCAAAACCAAAAATAGGTCTTAGTCTGCCACCTACCTAAAACTGTAACTTTCAAATACTTTATAATAATTGTTGTACCAGAAGAATGCTTCCTATTGTCTTTAATGATTCTAATGCGATAATGGATCTGTACAACTAATTGATCGCAGGACGTTACTTATGATGAGATGAATCAGAAATATCCCTCCGCCCTTTTCCTTGACAACCGCGTTTGACAAGTACGCTTTGAAAGAAAAAAAAAGGCACTGGTGAAAATGCGCCTTTAGAGTCATAAAAAGCCGAGAAACGAATGTACTATAAATCATCTATGCAAATATTTCAATTTCAAAACGATGAGTTTGTCATTCATAAATACCTTTTGTTTTGCTTTCATTGCAGTAGCCGATCCAGTACACGCACCTAATGAAGCGGTGGTATCTCAACATTCTCCTCTACAGGCTAACACGGGTAACACTAACACTGCTAATGTTAAAGCTCCACAATTGTCAAAGCCGCCGGCATCATTACCAGAAAAGCCCACTGAAAATAACATATCAAATGATCAACTGCATTTAACACCACAGTTTGATGATCAAACTATAAACATAACACCCCTGAAAGCAAAAGTGTCACTGACAACGTTATCAGAAAAGGCAAATGAAAATAACATACTAAATGATCAACCTCGCTTAACACCACAGTTTGATATGCAAACAATAAACATAACACCCCTGAAAGCAAGGATTTCATTGACATCATTACCAGCAAAGTTTGATAAAAGTAACAAATTAAATGACCAACCTAAGCTAAAACAACAGTTTGACATGCAAAACATAGAAATTACACCCCTAAAACCGAAGATTTCGTTGATTAAAGTCTTCGAGCCATTTGTAGGATCACTTACTAAATCCAACTCTACGAATACCACAGAGGCTTCAAAGACATCATCTAAGTCTTCCCAAGACAAGCATCTTACTAAAGAAACAGAAAGCTCACCCTCCAAGAATCAGGATGACCAAATTCTTACAGTTGGCGCAAAAAATATTCACAATTTTACTCTAAAATCCGTTGGTCAGACCCTCGTCCAAAAAAATAGAACCTCACTTTTGGATCAGAGTGGTCCTAACACACCAAGTTCTTTGCCTCGTGAGCAGGGCGTGCCCATCGAGCTTAACAACTTTATAAAAAGACCCATTAAATTTGGTTTGTCTCATTTAAATGGAGCAGAACTTCAGTCAAGTCTATTTCCTGCTGGAAACAGAGTTAACAGCCAAAACTATCGATCACAGGGAGAAGACAACTTGATTATGGAAGGTATCGAGGCACTAAAACACAGGCTGCAAGCTCCGGTGCACATAAGTGCTGTGGCAAGGAGTAACCCAGCGTGTGGGCAAAGACTCTGCAAGGAAAAAGTAAAAACCCAAGAAGCAAAAACTAGAGAAACCATAGGAGATCAAGGTGGAAAATAAATATTTACTTGATGACTGGGTGTGGTGAACTGGGTGGGAAAATATTCGGCTCAAAGTCGTGACGTAAGGACCGAGCGCAGTTAGCTCCTTTAAACTGAATATTTTCCAGTCCAACCCGACAAAATTAATCAATAAGCATTTTATCATATGACCTTCGCTCAAGCCATCGCGTACGACAGGGATTTTTTAAAAATATTTTTCAATTTAAGCTCTCGAGGGGCCTTATAGGTCACAAGTGATACTCTTAAAAATTGGAAAGATGTTTGAAAAAATCTTCTTTATAGCCAATGTGGTCTGCAAACAGTTATGGATAATTTCAGAATAATCCTAATTATTGATGTGAAAAGTCGTCGGAAAAAGTGATTATTTATATTCAAATGGTTCGCCTTATAGTTAGTTTCATCAAGATTGAAGAAGTAGAAAACTTCCATTTAAGACGCTATTTTAAAAAAATTCAACAATCACTGAAACTTAATCTGTACTTAAAGTTGAGGAAATATTTATTAAACTTATTTTCCTTGTATTATTTAGCACTGGCTGACGTTGCAGCTGCTCGCAAGACTGAAGAGAAACCCGTCTCAACAACTGGTAATGGTTGATTTGAAAGGAATTTTGTTATTATTTTTTCTTATCCTTGGTAAATCCAATAAAAAAAAGTGATTCTTTTGAATTGTTGGATATCAACAGTGGCTATATCATATGATTTTGAAATGTTCTTGCTAAGTGTTAAAAGGATTATTTAACTTATGCATAGTAAACTATTAGTTTTGTAGTCATTACCAAAGAGACACTCTTACGCTTTATGACGTATTTCTTCAAATCACCTCCAAAAACATCCGTCAAGAACAAATTCAAGAGAGGATTTTGAAGAGCAGAAATGCAAAATTAATATTTTTATTTTTCATTATCATAACCGTATCCGTGAAAAGGTTTGTTTGTTGGGTTAAAATTAATCAGTCATTAAAGAAAGATAATAAGAGAACCGTCAAATCGCCCAAATGGTTTGGTTTCGAATTCTCATTCAAAAATAAAGTCGCGATTTTCCTAGTAAAATACTAAGTGTCTTGGTCTATGCCAGAATAAAAGTTTAAAATTACGTACGTAGGTCACAACCTCAGCCATTGTTTATTTAAGGTTGTAACAGCTCGTGTCAACAAGAATGTCTGGCGGCTCACAACAGATATCGTTTAAACCATGGCGCATCACCCTTGATATTGGACCAAACATTAGCTGATCAGGCTCAACAGTGGGCTGATAAAAAAGTGTTTAAACATTCCCCCTGGGCAGGGGGGCAGGGTGGGGAGACAATCGCGCTGGGTAGCCTTTACCCTTCGTTCACTGCTGCAGTTAAAGCTTGGCACGACGAAGAGAAGGATTTTGATTGGTCAACTGGAACTGCCATCGGAGATATGAAAGTCAATCACTTTACTCAGGTGTGGATGTGAATGTTTTCTATTTCTACAATTTTCAAGCTTAAGATATTTGAATGAAGCCAAAAAGAGACAGCAGTTTATCGTTTTGTCGGTCTTTCCGTGTGGCATTTTTATTCATTGTTTCGCGTACAGTCAAACCTGTATACTAATCGGCTAACCACGGGGAATGGCGGTAATGTACAAAAAAGGGTGATGTAAAAAACGATAAAAAACTGCTTTTTTACGCCATAATTGACCACTTATACAACAAAGACTCACTCAAAAATACTACTGACGTTGATTTCGGGGAGGGATGCATGGGTTAAATTTACGTCAAATATTATTATTAGTTTTATTTGAGTGGTTCCGGTTTAAGTGACCGTTAACTACGGGTGGAGGATAACACGCTTAATAGAGATGACCGTTTAATAGAGGCAAAAATGACAGTGATTGAAGGGAAAGGAAATTGGGGACTTTGACAACCGACCGCTTAGAACAGGGTGGCCGCTTAATACCGTGCTGCTTTGTACAAGTTGGACTGTATTTCCCCGCGTGACTGTCTTTACCGCCGAGGCTCGCCAGTCATTTTCATGTAAAATGATGTGGACAAGTTTTTACTTCAAGATATAAATTATTGTCATAAAGGTTGATGTAATGGGAATTCGTAGCTATCATCATTAACTAGTGTGGTGACCCCATTTTTATATTAACCTTCGAATTTCAATAAAACGATAAAAAGCCATAAGGTAAAGCCTAACGATAACTTCATTCCTCGATTCTATTTCAGAGATTAAATCCGAATGATGTAGCATGAATTAAATTCCTCAATGGGAGAAATAAGAGGTCAATGTTTCGTTTGATTTTGTAGGTTTATTATTCGGGTTTTTTAATTTCTAGGTGGTTTGGAAGGGAGCACATCTACTTGGATGTGGCAAAACTATTGTGAATGGCGAACCATATTACATTGCACAAATGGATACCCCAGGGGTCATAGCGGGCGTACCAGGTTTTGACAAGTCCAACGTAGGTGAACCAAAGGAGGTAAGCAGTGAATCATAGGGGAGGGGAGAGGAGAAGGTCTTGCATAAACCTCAAATGAAATGATTTTGTAGATGCGACACACGAAGCTTAGCCGACAGCACCAAAAATGCAACAGGACACGAAAGGCTAAGTAATATTATAAGTGCTAATACTTTTCAAATCTCCATTGTAAATTCTAGTTTTTGTCATCATTATGGTAATCGTAATTGTCACCGTTACTTTTATCGCTAGTAGTGTCATTATCGTTGTATTTTTCGTCTTTCTTGTTGACGTCGTCACAATCAGTGTTATCGTCTTAACTTTAACTTTATTGCGATTATAGCCATCGTATTTTCTGTCGTTACCGTCAACCTTCTAAGTAATGACGTCCTCATAGTTATAAAAATAACAGTAACAAAAGAAACCATTATGGCAGTGTTTTACAGCTATAGCGACGATGTTTAACTATGACGAAGCAATTACGGTTTACAACGTCTTTATCGATAACGGCGTCGCTTACTATAATAGAAAGAAATCAACGTCGTAGTATCTATTTACGATTCCGTGTAATGGATCAATATCAGTATCTGGGAAATTGCCCACTTACCCCTCCCCTAACTCAACAACAGTCAACTGATAACAAGCTAGGGTTAATGTTGGGTTAGGGGAGGGGTAGGTGGGCAGTTGCCCAGATATTGATATTGATCCCGCGTAATTCTAACTCTCCTTGATCATGAAGTCGTTTTTGTTAACAGCATCAATGTACTTTACGTTATCGTTGTCATCGTTCTCGGCGTTCTTTTCATTGGTATTATTGTTTAGTAGGAAAATATGATTGTGTTGAAGTCTAGGTTTCTTCATTCAACTGATTAACTTGGGTAATAATCATTCCTTCTTCGTCTAGCCTGATCTAAACTGGTTCATGGACAGTTCGCCTTACTGGAAAGAAATGCAAACTAAGGATGCCATCCCCAAGAACATCGAGCATCGAATATTGTGATCGCAGTAACTTTCCCGAAATATGCAACGTGTGGGAAAGAACTTGTGTTTTTAAGCAACCGAGAAGCGGAGTAAGCGTATTAACGTTGTGTGTTACTACTGACGCATCTGCGTGAACAATTGACACAGTGATGAGGCGAATGGCGAGGACAATAATGATCTAGACATGAACTTGCAGTAGTCTTAAGAATTTTCGGGAGAAGCTCGATGTTTTGCGCTCCTTAGTGGTGCCAGATCTCCTCTTCAGCGTCACACGTTAAGACGTTGCCCAGTCCAAGTAGAAAAGTCTACATTTGTTTTTGAAGTTCCTGCTCTCAGACTACACAAAATTTAAACAATACCACGTTGTTTTGAGGAGGACAGCTAACAAGGAAATTTACAAAGTTTTAATACACACTTGAGAATTCTTCTTGATCTAAATCGGATCTTTTGTTTCATCGCGAGTTGTTGTTGACGTCCTGTTTTGCGAGAGGTTCCTATTGCCCTGGAATGACGTATCCTGGTCATCGAAAAACGGATATTACCATGGACATCGTAAACTTAGAAACAAACGATATATGGTGATTTGTAGAAATTATTCGACTGTAATTCAGTAATTTGAACGGGGGCGGGGTAAAATTTGAACGTGTGATCTGATCATAAGGGTGAAGGTATTCCTGAGAAGGACTGATGCCGATTGTAGCGATTGACGTTTCGAGAATGTTAGAGTCGCAGTTGAGTGACATCCGCTGAGGTTTTTACTCTCTTTTCTTTTGAGGTTTTCCAAACGTCAGTCAACTACTATAGACAACAGTAGTTCCCAGGACTTTCCTCACCTGGACGATCAGACGACACGATCAGAAATTACACTCTTGCACGAATTTTATGATGAGGAAATATATTTATTTCCACTGAAATGTGATTACCATATATACATTTCAATTAAGGAATGCGTTTCTTTTCATAATCGCTTTCTTTCAGCAAGTGATGGTCCTCTGATGACTAGAAAAAAACTGATTTGTTTTGACTAAGATATAATTCCCATGTATCCACGAAAAGAGAACTTCATTACATTTGTATGACATATCCTCGTAATTACAACAAATAAGATGTAGGACGATGTCGGACGATTGGTGCAAATCAAGAGAACATGCTGCTCTCCGCCGTAAATCCTACGGTTGAAAAAATACTGAATTTGATTGACATATAGTTTCTTGTTTTTTGTTTCAAAGTTCAAAAGATTCATCGTCCGTGGTGATCAGTCTGGAGAAGCAAATTCTTGTCTTAGACATGTTGCATGTTAGACAGCTCCTCAGAGAATGGCGAATCATCTTTGAACCACTCACTGTCATCCTGTTGAGTAAATAAATAGTGATATGACCAAAAGTCTCGCTCACTACCCCCCTGTTTCTCTTTCCCTCCGGTCCCAGGACAGCGCAATGCACGGGGTTTTGTTGCTGGTCCGCGCAATAGGTGCTGTGTCCTAACTAACTTATCTCCGTAACGTGCTGATTCCACCGTCACTTTGCGGAATTTTTCCACCACAATAACATGAAAAATAGAGAGTAAGAGTCGAGGATATCGATCAGTAATAATTTTTCATTACCTGTTTTGGTCTTTCAATGTTCTCCTCAGTGTTTTGCTTTTGAGAGATTGGAGCCTGATCATAGTGAGCCACATACCAAGGTTCACCATACAAACCGCCTCGCGCACAGCCGATTTTACGAGCCTTCTTCCATATCATTTGCATAAAGTGATCCACCACCTAAATCAAGCAAGAAAGCGAATGTTAAACAGACATTTCGGAGCCTTTGTAGGTCCGAGGTCTAAGCTGGATGAACTTGAAATGCTAAATAGAAAAAAAATGAGTACATTGACGAAAAACCAAAGTAATTCCGTATTTCGTTCAAGCGACACTGCTTAGTCACTTCGTACAAATAAAATTTTTTACTTTAACGCAACCTGTGAGTTTTTCTTTGGTGCGCCAGTCTGATAATCATAATATGCTCCTTCGTCGTGCCAGTTCTTGATAACAGCAGTGAATGATGGGAAAAGAGAACCCCACGCAAACGCAGCGCCTTTATTTTTTAACTCCACCCACTCAGAATGTTTAAAAACTCCCTTGTCAATCAAAGCTTGTGCTTCGTCTGCCAGCTTCTGGTCAAAAGCCAGCGGTGGTGCATCATGGTTAGCTCTGTATTTGTTGTGCACTTGAATGCATTCCTTCTGGCAAACTTTATCGCATCCTATGAAATAAGTACACCCGTGTCTAGGTTCAGTCTCTGGTACTTGATGTTTTAGTGCGCCTGCAATCCTCTTCTTACAGAAGTTCGCGGGTACACCTGGACTACCACTAAGAGAGACTTAGACTAAAGTGTTTGGTAAATCTGATTAGCCAATCAGGAACTAGACAATTTGTTTAGTATGTTATAAAATTTACTGAAGAACTTTGAATAGTTCAACATCTAATGAGAAGTTGGTGTATCTATCCCTAGTGAAAAATAATTCATGGTTACCTGCAGTGCCTAAATCACGCGATAAAAATTAGTGCAATCGACTGACTTTGATGAAATGAATATTATGTTGCCGGTGTAGACTAACTTTTGGGCTTTATTACCTTTGGTTTCCCCGATATATGAACGACGGAAGAGCTTGCTTTTTGTCAGTGATATCTTGCCGTCTGAGAGACATAATGTAAGAAAGAACTAAGTAACTTATTGAGAAAGATGCAAAGCAAATAAGAAAAGCGAAAACAAAAATAAAACAATTACGCTAACTCATTGTCGCCTGTATAACTCACCTGTTCGTGATAGAAAGGCGCAGCACGTGAACAACAAGGCAGCTATTATCATCTTGGGAACATAGATGTCAGTGACCTCCTGAAGAAAACTGTTGTAGATTTAGCTCAAACAGTTTTTCACTTAGTGTCAATCAAAAAGCCAAACGTGATTGAGTTTTCATTTTACGTGATTTTTTTTTACATATAGTGACAATGAGGGCAACGGCACGAGATTAACAAGTGTTTTAAAAAAACAACAAAAACAAAAACAACAAGCTTAGATTTAGCTAAGCAGTCCTTTCTTTAAAAGCTACATTGAATATGTGGTTTCTTGATGACTGAATGAACGAGTCAGTGAAGAAAACTTCATTTCCGATCAGTTTCGGCAAGCTTATGAATTCTCCATGTTAAGTTTCTATCCTTTACGCTTACGCATTACTTCGCAACCGGTAAAAAACCCGAGCTATCCATAATGAAGCGATCCCGGATGACTCAAATACACTCTCAACTGGTATTGAACTTTTTCTAGTCGTCAATAAAAATGTCGTCGCATGTTATTTGACAAAATTCCGGGTTAGTCGCAATGAATAACTGCAGTCTGTTTGATTGATTTTGATCCCGTTGAGTAAGCAGTGGGTAAATACTTCAAAGCAGTCCATCTGTTAATATCCTGGACAACTCTATAGCTGAGTTTGTTCATTATTTTTCTCACTCAAGCTCGAAAATCAAACTTTTATGGCACAAATTCTATCGCGAGGACTGTTAAGATTTCCCAGTCAGGTAATAGCCATTTGATGTTTACTCTCTGCCTCTTGAATACCTGTTGCTAATCTTCCAACCTGGTTTAACACTTCTTGTCCCTGGTTGCGATAATGAAAAGGTCCACTTACCCTTAAGAGCTTTCAAGAGGCGCTTTTGAGTGTGGTTACGTTTAGTATCGTAAGCCTGTGTGATATCTTTGATAAAAACAAATAAATATAAATCACAAAAACACGTCTTTTACCTGCACTGGTCAAATAAACAAATTGATTCCTTCGAATTTTAAGTAAGGTCTCTATGAGGAAGCAAAGTGGTTAATTTTTTATGTGATTTTTTAATATCAACCGCTTAACTGACAACAAAACTCAACATCTCAGGGTTTTTTTTGACAAGCTTTAAAGGCCACTTATTCAATCATTTGTAAGTGACAGGTCAGATTGTGTTGTGTCAGCGAAACCCACTTCAGTGCATTTTAACCTTAAAAAAATGGAAACAACATTTTTCCCCTCAATTTGTAAATTAAAATTAGTGTGCTTTCCTTTGTTTCAAGGGTGAAATTCTTTTTGAGTTTTTAGACGTGGTCGTGACACAGAACCTATGTAAAATGACAAAAAATAAATCGTCACAATTTTTGAGTAAGGTCCATCGCAATTTGTAAACCACACAAAAACCTTTAAAGAGATTTTCAAGTATTGTATGAAACAGTTATGCAACATTTTCTTAACAGCTTTGTCAAGCGTCCTCATTTGATACAACCCTCACAAGTAGACTAGAATAATATTCACTGGTTGTTTTACAGGTAGCACATTCAACTTAAAGACACAAGCTTTTTTCCACCGGTAACTGCTGGCCAATCCGATGGAGTCTGAAAATTAAGTCGAACCATCAATACAAAACCAAAGATGCCCAGTTACTCAGTTTACACCACTTCAGTTTGGCTGACCGCTGATCAACGGGAGCGAGTATGTCGGGGGGGGGGGGAACAGCTAGACGGTACAGCAGTGAGCCAAAACTTTTGATCGGTTTATCATTTTTTTTAATTCTGAGTAATTTTTGATGAGATGACATTTTTCAAACTTGAACGTGGACAAAAGTATCTTCATAAGACTTATGTCACAGCGACAGGCCGACGGTCACATAAATTTTGGAAGGTACCCATTTATTGCAAGGTCTTCAGTTTATAAACAAGAATTTTGATCAACGCATCTTTCATCCAATCAATAGATTACACCATATTTGCTTGCACAGCAGCCATACAGTTGATCAGTAACTACAAAGTGTTGGCAGAAATCGAGTTTCTTCCAAAAGAGCTATCTTTCCTCCACAAGAGCGTATCATCGTATGTTATTTCACTAACAACTCATCACAGTGTTAAATACCTAGCTCTTAAGATTCTACAGAGTTAGTAAATCAAAGGGAACATAGTTTCCATCAATGTTTCGGGTTGTTGTGTGTCACACGCTTCTTATCCTTTATGTTAGATTTCTTCAGAACCTTAAAGACTTCCTTTTCTTCTTTTACTTCCGGTTTCTTTGATTTCCGGCTAAGAGATGGTGATGGGGAAACACCGTTGGAGCTCATCCATTCCTCTCTCTGCGCAGCCGCCACATAGGGGTCTGGGGAATAGTGCTCGGTGTAGTATTCAAACTTGTCACTGGTCTTAGCAGGAGTGAAGTACGTACCGTCCTCAAGAGGACGCTTTACAGCACCTTAAATGAAAGGTTCTAGTCAGTATACGATTGTACTAGATAGTGCAGATGTAATCTCCCGTGATTTTGTTCGATCTGATCGTCAAGTAAGCCTCGTTAATTTAAACGGCAAGATGACACTGAAAAATAGGCTACAATTTCAAACTCTGTATTAACCTGGGGTCTAGAAGTGTGTACCCACCCGATGATTGTGTAACATGTAATTTTTTTTTCCCCTCTGGTTTTTTAACAGCTTTTAAAAGTTGTTTTCATGATCAACATAGTGCGTGTTATCTTCTTTACATTTCCAGGTCGATGAAGTTTTGTTTTAAGACAAAAAGCTATTACACTGTAACCAAGAGTAAGGTTAAGGACAACCCAGTAGAAATGCTAAAACAAGGAATGGGTTTTTAATAATCCCGTACCTTATAAACAACATGACATCAGTATAACAACACTCCTGTCATTGATACCTGTGTCGGGTGCTGAATTGATTGTCGTTGAAGTATAGCTCTCCTTTTCCAAACGCTGTATCTGGGGGAAGGGTTTTACTCTGGAGGATTTTTGTCGTGTCCTGATAAAATTAACCTGATCCCCCAATAAGGTTCTTTGTGACTCCCACTCTGATTTGTAGTAAACTGGCAGTCAATATTCTATGCCCCCCCCCCTCCCCTTACTTTATACTCTGTTGGCGACGACTGATCCCCACTCCGTTGCCCCTGAAAACCAAATGATCCCCCCAAAATTCTTCTCCCCCCGGGCGCTAAGCAATGACTTGTCTCTTGAAGAATGGTAAAAGACAGAATTTTCTTAAACTGAAGCTTTTGTCATAAAGGAAAAGTGAGAGAGGCTGGGTCTCATTCTACCCTATTCCAGCCATCATAACGTGGATTCGGTATTTGATATTGGTTCTCCGTTAATGCGCTCACCTCCTTCCATGTCGTCATACTGTTGAGGCTGCGGTAGGGAGATCCGTGTGTCTGCGTTCACTGACCACAATGGCGAGTTCCTCTCCGGGACCATAGGCAAATCTCTCTTGGAATTTATGTTTCCTGTCTCAGCAAATTGAGTTGGCTGAGTACTGGAGAATTTTTTTGTCGGCTGTACTGCGTCACTAGCCTTACTAGCTGCTGTACTGTTTGGATTGGTTGTGGAATTCTGGGAAGGTGTAGTTACATTCTGGGAAGGCGTTGTTGAAGTCTCCACGTATTCTGCGTCTTCATGAGAAATGAAACAGTTTGTTGTCTATTTAAGTCGTTAAAGAATATAAATATGAAAGCTGTCAGAGGTTTCACCTATTTGACAAGTTGAATAAAAACAAAGGTCTTTATCACTTCAAACTAACATATCAGGAACCAGGAACTGATAATTGTTTACCAAAGTTTTGCTCGTCTTCAAAATTTTGACTGATTTTTCCTTTAAAAAATTCCGCCGTATTTATAATTTTACAAGGCAAAAAAGAAATATTTGTGACAACTCCCGCATTCAACCTGATGCAAATTTTTACTTACTGATACAAAAGCCACATGTCTTGGGACAATATGTTTCCAACTGTTCTTTGTAGGTTTCGCAGAATCCTCTGGTTTTCCATTCGTTGCAATATGGATTTTCCCTGTAAGTATCACGGCAATCTGACAGAAAAGGTATTTCATGCCACGGTTCAGAACATTGTAACTAAATAGCACTGATGCATTTACTAATTCGGTACTAATCAGTTAGTGCGATGGCTGAAAATGAGGCATTTAATGATCTTTATGAACGTCAGCCTCACTTTAACCTTTCCACCAATAAAGACAGAATCTCTATAAAGTAACGAAAAGTGTCACGTCTTCCTGGGCACTTGTAGACTCTCTGGTCAAAATCCCGAATATCTTCGGTTGAAAATAACTCGTTCACCTTACAGAATATATATTTGGTCCTTGTAGCAGTTATATCAACATAAATGTCTCTTTGGTGCATCATCAGTCGTCTCTTGGTCTCGATCACAATCAAAATCATCCACAGTATGGTTTAATGACGGAATGAAGGACTTGTTACTAATCGTCGTTTATCATGTATACCCTACTCTATCATGTAATACCTTTGAAGAAGACTAATTATGATTGAAACAGTAATGAAACGTCGAACTGCGTCCATTTACTGAAACTACTCCAGTTTTCACAGATCTTCCAAGGATCTCAATAAAATAAATCGATCTTATGTCTCAAAATTTTACCTCTGGTTGGATGCGTTCTTCTAAGGAGACCTGATGGCTTGAGTATGACTTAAACAAATTTTGAGTGATTAATTACCTTTGGAATAAAAGCTTTATGTGGATTCAGTTTCTTTGTCCGATTCAGATGATTCAACGCAGAAGATGTAAATATGAGTATCCTTTTAGATTTGTGCATGGGAATTCTGCATAATTTTTCACTCTTGGCCTTGACAAACTAACAAAATACTGCTGTTTCTGCTACTTAATGTTTTGATATGATTGAGGCACTTACTGCAGAAGCGACATGTCATAGAACAGCCGTAAGTCAAGTATTGCCTGTAGCGATCGTCCATGCAAATATCAGCATCCTTCCATTTCTGACACGTCTGAGGCACAAATCTGTCCCTGCATTCTTTGAAGAGCAGGCAATGAAAATAAAAACTAATGAATCATTACAAATGGGAAAGCGGAGTGACAGTAGTTATTTTGTCAGCGTTCTCTCACTGATCCAGGAGAGAATCTTCAGGGAGGGCCCGGGATCCAGACTTGCCTCCCTTTTCTCATCAGACTGAAAAGTTTTTAAACTAATTTTCTGGCACCAAAATTCTCTCAACTACAGCATCGCTGATTGATTTCCTCTTTCTTGCTAACAAAATACGCATCAACAGAAGGAACTTGGCGCGAAAAAATTCTTTGATTTCTGAATAAAAGCTGAAACGTCCCTCAAAAATATGATTGTTTAACTGAGATAGCTTAAGTAATCGAAAGTCTGTAATAGCCAAGAAATGTTAGCGTCGATGGTTTCCGTTAAGTCAGTTCTTTAGCGATGAAAAGCTGCGAAGACTTCAATTCAAAACAAACTCAAGCGGTACGCTAACTACACTAGAAGTAAAAAGTGCAACCGATGACACGAGCAGGTCGATTTAAAATTCTAACCAATAGGATTTACAATAGGCTGTGAACATTTGGTAAGATATTTCACAACTCCGACAAATCAGCGTCATCTTATCCCAACCAACCCACAAGATTTTCCCCAAAAGATTCCTTCCTTTCACTTACCGGGCTTTTCTTGTTGTGGCTCATTAAGAGTGTTGTGATACTGGGGGAGCTGTGGCGTGGTAGGAAGTTTATGATGATGAAGGACTCCCACCGAATTACCTGGATTCACTTTAGGGACTGTTACAACAGCTCCGTTATGTCGTTTTTGTGAGCCTTTGTATACGACACGAAGAGCATCTTGAACAGCATGCAAATTTGGATTCAGTAGAGTGTTACCTAGGAAACAAAAACGAATTAGGCATCCTTAAACATTTAACAAGAATAATATGAGACAAATAAAATGTGTTCGCTTCCAGCAGGACTTCTTGCCTCTTTCATGATTACATGATAAGCAAGGTCAAATCAAGCGTGAGTGTGCCGAGTGACCAATGCCGTAAAGGGGGTAAGTTTCTAAAGAAACTGTGGTTCTGCGTCAGTGGGAGAGTATAACAGGTAATCCCTTTGACTTCTTGCCTTAGAATTTTTTCAATCCACAGATCTCACAACGCGGACCATGCCAAGCCTGAAGAAACTTACCAAGGAGCTACGCTAAGAAATCGTATTCTTGTTTTCTCGTCATCGTATTCACCGATAGCGTAGCTCCATTTTCTGTATTTCAACTCACACACAACCCACAATTCCTCCAATCACTCTGACGAAGGGCTGACGCTCGAAACATCTAACTTTTACCTCTTTTAACGCTAAACTACCCTGTGAGTGTGACCAGCCGACTTAAGTAACGCTATTCGAGGGGCCATGACCCACAATTATTAAAGAAACAATAAATTAATCTTCAGAGCATATAAAAGCCTTTGTGAAGACACGCGCACAATACTTTTTATTTCAGTTAGTGGACACAGCTTACTTTTACAGAAGCCACAGGTCTTTGCACAACCATTCCTCAAGTAGAATGCATGTGACCTGAAGCTGCAAAAACCAGACCTCTTCCACGTTTCACAGTTTTGAAATCTGTCGTGACAATCTACGATAGGAAAAAGAATATCACTTTAGAGGCGACAACTACTCGGCCTTAATCGGTTCAAGGGTCTGACTGAGGAGGCGGGGGGGTTCCAGCGTGCATGTGATGTCACTTCTTTCCAAAGAATTGAAAGCCATAACGTGGAACATGTACTTTTATAGCAATGATTAACAATTAGGTTTACAAACTGAGAACATTGCTTCGTATTTTTCGTTTTCTTTGCGGTCAATTTTTGACTTACCTCTCGGTAGTGCATGGCAGTCTGAAAAGAAATAATAAATCAGTACAACATCAAATAATGAAAATATTCATTTAAACCTATCTAAAACCACCATTTCTTTTTGTAACATAATGATCCACCGCTACAAAGTTTCTTGTGTTTTAAGTCGGTAGATGGGGGACATATCTATCATATATATCATTGTCATATCTTTCTCTCCAACCTACTCGGTTTAGAAACCACACGACTTAGCTTGCTCACCTCACGACTATTTAGATAACTGAATACTTGTATGTGCTTCGCTTGATACGCAACGGAGAGTCTCCCCACGTCTCAAACTTCTCCACCGCCTCCGTTTGACGATTTAAGAATAAGCTCCCTTTCTTAAGCTTTATTACTGTTCACTCAATAAGAGAGGGTCGCCCCATGAAAGTTTAATTCACATACAGTATCTTAACCCTAACATGTATATAAAAGGAGTAGAAGTGAAAAATATCTCTTGTTTACTGCTACAAGATTTGTTGCTGCCTATTTATGTACTGCCCACTAACCAAAGCCGATAGTTTAATTACTGTGGTTATACTTGATATACGTACGAATCGTTGAAAACAAAGCTACCTGTTATAGTTTTATAGCATCTCCGCGGCATCTGAATTCATCGCTGCGGATATAACCCTCATCAAAAGAAGAACTGAAATACTCTCAATTTTGACATAAGGGTTCGAGTCGCTGGTTAAAACCTCAATCATTATTTTCCATCTCTGCGTCTTTTCACTGTTGAATTTTCGAAAGCAGTTGCTACGTTCACCCCTAATTTTGCATCAATTTTACAATTTGTTCTGTATTGTAATTTTCAAACCATCATATCAGAAGATTAGGAGTCGTTTCCTGGCGGTCACTACCAATAATTCGAGTGTGTCTTGTCATAACTAGCAATTTGTCAATTTATATTTTAACCGCACAGAAATCAATATTTAAACACAGTCAATACATTCTTTAAATCTACGGCTCACCTATTAAGACAAGAAACGAAGACAAAATGATACAAAAGAAACACAAGTAAACCATGTTTGTTTGGGCCAACTTTAGCACAGCTATGAAAAGAAAACAAAACAATTAAATGAAAACAAAAGAAATAAAAACATCTGAAACATTCGAACAAAGAAACTAAACGGTAGCTAGTCTTTTAAAAGGTACATGTTGTTCACTTAATGGACTAATTATGATAAAAAGGACAAAGCAATTTGACTCTCAAGGCCTTTACCTTAGCTCCCGTAGCTGAATTTTGTCATTCGATGAGGCTGGTGTTAATAAGTTCTTTGTTTGCGCGCAACCAAGTCTTTTCCGTCAAAATAAACTTATTCCCCTCTCAGTCGACAGTCAAAAGAACGAGTCCTGATCAGAATTCTTGTCCTTGGGGGCAGTTTGACTGGTGACCCGAAGTGACCAGTTCTGTCAAAAGACAATCTGAACACAAGGAAACCTCGTGGTTTGAAACTGTTGCGATGTCATATCAATAGGAATTTCCTCTTGGGACAATGTTTTCATCTTAGAACTCTGAAGTTTGGAGTGGTAGAAGTCTTTACATCCTGCCCCTAGCACAGTAATAGACGTAAAAGTAAGTAAAAACGTAAAAATCGCAAGTGCACACTACCAAAGAATGTGTAATGAGTAACACTAACAATTCCAAAGTGGCTGGGGTTTGCAGCGAGTGTACAACCGCAAGGGCCACCCGAGCACTTTTAAAGGAACTCCTGAAAAGGAAACTCCAAATGTGCTACATGCCCCTTAAGTTCATTTCTTGGATATCCACTGTGCATTTTCTCTGCGCAAGCCCTTACAAGAGGCGGATTATTATCCTTGGCTGTCTGAAGCTCACGAGGGAAATACGAGGGCATTTTCTCGTAACCTGAGATTTGATATTCGTTTGCACCGTAAGCTGAGCTGCAAGTATAAATGAAGCCTGCGGAAAGGTGACAGCAATATGCTGTTCATTCCTTGGTTTTGCAATGCGTATCCTTGCTGAAGTTGCTATAACTTGACTCATGCGCGCACATTGAAGAAATGACGGGTTTTATCCTGCATTCAGATTGCTTGTCAGAGAATTCAATATGTGATCTATAACTGAACAGACACACTATGTCTGTTCCCGTTTTCGGGGAAAAATAGATCCTGTCTCTTTCGTACAACGTACAAGGAAGTATTTCAGTCTTGCATCGTACCGCTTGACTGTTCGAACTTCATGTTCTGTCTTAGGTATTTTTAGTGAAGTATTCAGTGGCAGGTATAAGGGTAAATGTACGGGATGTAAACGCTTCTAATCGAGAATGGATAACGGATGTTTTTATTCCAAAATGTAAGTTGTTATTAGATGAAATTTTGACAAGATCTAAGAGCAGGTTACATGTAGTAACTTGACCTTATTTACTAGTTTCCGGGCATTATTATTGTGATATCCGTTGCATAACCAGTTGAACAGAGGTTAGAGTTTGTCGCTGATGGCTGAGATTCCAAACATGCAAAAGGCATCGATCAACTGTTTCCATCACCATACAGTTATCACGAAGCCTTATAGATTTACTACGGTATCGAATTCTTATCGTTGAAGAAAGATTATTTACGTTCCCGCACTTTTTCAATACAATAACAATACAGCAGTCTCGTTGTAAGGGTCACTTCTGCTCTTTTATAGCCCAGCGTGGTTGTAAACACATTTTGAGTGATTACAGGTCCGTTGTAGGACTTGCAATCTTCAAGCTTCATTAACAATCAATGCGCATGTCATTGAAAGTACTGGGGACATTAGCCTTCTCGGAGTCAACATCGACGAACACCTTGTATTTAGCAAATACCTTCGTGAACTGTGTAAAAAAGCTAGCCAGAGAGTGAGCGTCCTCTCTAGATTAAGAAATCTGATCCCTACGGAAGCAAAAATTGCTTTTATATAAATCCTCAATATTGCCATATTTAATATATTGTTACCTTATATGGCACTTCTGTAAAGCCCCCGTCGCCAGAAACTGTTGAAAGAGTACAGAAACGGCCCTTAGGATTGTGTAAAACACACATTCAGTAGAGTACACTAATCTTCTTAACCGTGTCAATCTACCTAGCCTACGAAATAGGCATTTACAAGATCTTGCTACCTTAATGTATAAAGCTAAATATGGTTTGGTACCTAGTAATGTCGTTGACATTTTTAGTATTAAGTCATCCAAATATCAAGTAAGAAATATGGATTTTCATTTACCCAGATTAAATAGTGTACATTACGGGAAACATTCTTTATGGTACTTTGGTCCATATATATATGGTCTAGACTGGACAGCAAAATCAAGAACAAACCTACCTTACAATCCTTTGAGTCCAACATACGGCATATTAACCTTGTAGATCTTAAAAGTGACCATTGTGGCTCCTGTCTTATTTGTAGCTCTTGAGAATGTTTAGAAGTTTTTTTAGCATTTTTCTGTACATTTTTGTGGGGACAACTCCGTAATTTTAAACTTTTAACTTTTTATAAATTTTAGATTTCGTGAATTATGAATTTACCTAATGATATCATCTATTAACTCATTTTATAATCTTTCTCCTATTGTTTTAGTGTCTCCAATTAGCTTTTTAAGTTAAAGACATCGACACTTAAATAAAGTTGTTATGTTTTCTGTTTATATGTTTTTATGTTATATGTTATTGAAAAGAGGTCATATAAGTTAAATTAAGACGATATTCATTTGTGACCAGTACAGGATAATGATAAATATGGTTTCCTCCAACGTTTTGAGCCTCAAATCTTCGGAATTTGGTCCCGTCTCGATGCTCTACCACTGGGCTTCAGAAAGCTCACTGATAAGCGACGCTGTATGCTACTTCCACACAAGCGTTCCTTTATGTTGATAGGATCGAGTAAGAGACAATTTTACGAAATGGAGCATTCTTGGACCAAATCAGTATTCATTCGTCAAATGTTTGGGACAATGAAAAATCCAAGTCCTATCAGAGTACTCGTGCCTCTGCGTGACTCCCGGATTTTGAAATCGTAGGCAGTTATTTTCACGGGTATTAAGTTATTTGCTACACCAGTCTTGTTTTTTTCATCATGAAAATACTTTTTATTAACATACGACAAGTTATGCAAAATAAATTAATTTGTAATAACCGTGCTGCAAACAGCAGTTTTGCGGTAGACCTATAGCTTACCTTCTGTAAGTCTGTGTGTTCAGATAATAATATATACGTATTCGCCTCTTAAATATTTCTTATTCGCTCTTTTCTAGATTTTATTACGCCCCTGAGCTGTCAACATTTTCAATATGCCAACAAAATAGGTAAAATTTGCGCTAAACGCCGAAAAGCGCTAGTTATATGCGTTTACTCAATGTCTTTGTTTTTTCTTTCCAAAGTCCAGTCCAGCAGTGCCAAATAGAATTCATCTGTTAATCCTGATGACGGTGAAAACGATGATGCTTTTTATCCTTAGACTTGTCCTTCAGTTTCTTCACAGACTCGTCTTTAACTTTATTTTTAGACTTATCCCCGATTGCCTTTTCGGATTTGTCCTCTGCCTCCTTCTCCGTTTTATGTTTGCTATCACTGTCGGACTCTTTACCTTCTTCCTGAGATTTGTCATTCCTTTCGTCGATTTTATCTTCCTTCCTGAAATGTGCCTTTGAGGACGACTCTCCTTCTGTCTTCGTTTCTTTATCTTTGGCGGGTAAGGCGCTTGGCGCAAATTGTAGTGGACCTGTAGTTGTCATTGATAAAAGTATCATCGGTTAATCTACCATCGAAGAGACAACGATAACAACAACAAAAATAGCAATATAAACTTACCGGTTGGAGCGGCGGTGGCAGGCTTAGCTGTAACTGGCGCTCCAGGCGCAGGCTTGGCTCCAGCGGCAGCGGGTGGCAATGATGCTGGTCTAGTTGTAGGTGCACTACCTGCTGCGGGAGCCGCTGGGGTAGGTGTTGCCACAATTGGAGCTTTTCCTGGTGCAGCCACGGGTGTAGTTTCAGGCTTCGCAGTTGATGCACCTGGTGCCACGGTGGCTGTTACAGGGCCAGGAACGGTGGCAGTTACAGGCTTTGCGGTTGATGCAGCAGGTGGCACAGTGGTTGCCGCAGCGGCAGGTGCACCGGTGGCAGCTGCGGGCTTCGCTGTGGATTCCCCTGGCGCCACAGTTGTTGCTACCGCTGCACCAGCTGCGGGTGCGACACTAGTAGTTGCCGGTTTTGCAGTGGGAGCTGCTGCTGCTCCGGCAGCCGCGGGTATCGCACTTGTAGTTGCTGGTACCTTAGTTGTTCCTACTGCACCAGCGGCTGCTGGTGTACTACCAGGAGGTGCTACGGTGGTCTTTACTCCTGCAGCAGGGGCTGGTCCTGGAGCTACGGGAGTTGATGCTCCAGCAGCAGGCACAGTGGTTGGTGCTACAGTGGTTGGTGCTCCAGCCGCAGTCGGTTGCGCAGGTGGAACCACAGCTTGTCGTTGATGGCTTTGGTCATGGTGCTGCTTCCTCTCTGACTTGTGATGTTTTGGATTTTTAATGCTTTTAGCAGTGATATCCGATACAGTCACTGAATTCACAAAAAAGAAAAAGTTAGTCCAAAACAATTCAAACGAAACAACAGATGTGTCTTCAACACCGCTGGTCTCTATTTAGGATTTCCTCCAAATGGCTGCGAGCATTCAGACCTGATAAATATATAGCGTTCATCAAAACAAAGCAGTGAACTCAGTGTTTACCTAGTAAAATAGTCGCCAGAAAAAGAGTAGACCTCATGTTACTTTCTCAGAAACAACCTTTAAAGAGAGGATCACAAAATATAATTGTTAGCTAATGTGTGATAGTATAATCTTAGTATGAGCAAGCACCACTTCTTGACATTCTGATTCGCATCTTACGACGAGGAAACATTATCTCGGACGTGAAAGAAGCCACAAATACCAAATCTAAATGAATTAATGGTAGATAAAAATTTGTTTGAGAAGATGGTAACAGGTTACAAATGACTGAAAAAAATTGGGCTTAAATTTGAGAGTTAAACAACCGTGTTGAAGCTTTTTTGATCGGTCAGTCGATTCACCTCCAAAGTACTTGACCTTTCCTTAAGGCAAGGGAAAATACATACGTTAAAGAAGGTCTCGTATAACTTTTTTCTTGACTAGCGAAGGATCGAACGTTTTTCATACTCTTGGAATTGTAAGCAGACATATATTAATATACGTGTGGTAAGGCCCTCGACACTTTGGTATCCTCTTGTCAATCAGTTTTTACTATCATCGGAAACTCTCAGAAGAAGATAGTGCGCTAACTTCCTGAACTAAGAACTTAGACTAACCTAAGCTGAGAACTAATGAGTCTGCGAGTTACGATCCCCCGCAGAGGTAAGATTTGATTTCTTTGATTACGCTAATTTATGGTGTCGTTTCTGGGTTCTGTATCACAAAAGATCACGTTTCTATTCAGTTCGAAGTAACGGTCTTTGGAATATCCCTAGATCGAACAATCAAGTTGTAAAAATTATGAATGGAATCAAAGTCTTTGTCAAGTATATCAAGGACAATAAAGAAGATTAAAAGTTATTACACGTTTTGTGGTGATCCTTCGAGCTACCTGTCTCCAAATCTCTTACTTAACTCTAAAACACTAACTGAAACCAAAACAGTGTAAAGGAACTCCACCGCGCGTACGTGGAATGGGAAGTTTCCTTTAGGTCGCAAAAGTTCTCGAACATAGTTTAGGCTAAACCTGCGTATTCCTTTGCCTCTGGAAACAGGTAAGATTTTTTTTCTTTTATGTCGCTAACTCTTTACGTCTAATTACACTGATTAAGTCTACGTAACCATTTAATGAGCTACAGCAAGATAAAATGGAATGAGATATTTTACTGTTGCATTTGTTTCAAAATGGTGAAATTTGAATCGAGTTCATAAATAAATGCAAACAGCGATCTATTATTATAATTTTTTCCACCCTTCGACTCCACATCCTCCTTCGTGATAAACTGACAGAAAAAGTTGGGGCGAATCAAGTGTAAGAAATGCGAATACGAAAGAGAAATCAAACCATAAAAATTGAAAAAGAAAAAAAACTATTAAGAGGTGAGATACATCAGAGGTCCTCCCGCGAACGAATGAAATCAAAACTTTTATTTGATTCCTTGTAGATGATTCTACAGAGTGTTCAATAATAGAGCTAACTCTTGCTATCATTTTGAAAACCGAAATATTAACATCTTTGCTATAACAATATGGTCTGTTTCTCATGTAACCCTACATAAGGGCCTTGAACTCAGACGAGTTCCTGAATGCCCAGGTGATCAAGCCCCTTACTGCGAATCTCACTGAAATAGCTTTATCTATAGGGTTTTTTTTTGGAAAATTTTATAATGATGTCATTGTTTGCTTTGTTTACAAGCTCAAGTTCAAAGCTGAGTGAGACTCTACGACAAAAAATGAACTTAAATAATAAAAATAGAGAACTTACCTTCCTCGCCGGCTACTGATGATGTCGCGAAGTTTCATATGATGTTAAGGTTGAGTGGTATGTCTTGGAATAATGTTCGTCGGGCTAAGGTGAAAAATCGCCAATACTTGAGGTCATCTTGACTCACCACTGAATTCTTAATTTGAATACTTTTCTGTGATTGCATCACAAAGTTTTTAATTACATCAAAATTGAAATAACAGGCCGTTGGTGAATACATAGCTCTAGCTGAAGATCTGTTTTTCATTCGACAAAGATCGTCAGTTATCCGATGATATATCAGAGATGTTTCAAAGTGAAAAATCAATTTGTTCTGGCAGGCTAATCCACTCACCCTCGTCGATAAAAACCTCTATTAAAAATAAATAACATTTGTCAGGATTATGAAAGGTCTTTTGACACCTGCCCATTATATTTTCTATTCCTGTCTTAAGTAGACGTTTCTAGAAAGAGAGATAAATTAAGGGCGTATTTTTTACGGTACTAAATCTATTTTTGTTCCATTGTTTTATTTTTAAGACAAAACACACCTTGTTAGAATGAAATGAGGGACCTTTTTTGTGGTAATGGTCACCGGAGAGGGGTTTCACGCTCAACCCGTGGCACTGATTCACCTGCTGACACCTTCCATCCGGCATCCTCAAGCTAGTCCTCCATGGATCGCGTGGTAAACCGAAAAGTTTTCACTCTGATGGCACAGTTAATACTGAGCAATTTAACATCATCGATGGAAATGCGAGCAATAAATCTGTCTGTCAGACGCCCTTATCAGTTTGTCTAAACCACATTGACCAGCTGAAAAACCTTTCAGAGTTTGCTTAATCTAAAAACTGTTAGAGTAGCAACTACCCTATCTGGAGGAAATAGATGTCACAACATAGCACACGTGCAAGTCCTACTTAATTCCTAATGAGCCCCCCCACTGGGGTGAATGCAACTAATAGATTCTATGACAAGGTAATTTAGTATAAATACACTGAGTTGATAACGTAAATTGGCCATAGTAAACAGTTTAGTTAAAAGCTGACGTTTCGAGCGTTTGCCATTCGCTCTGACGAAGGGCTAACGCTTGAAACGTCAGCTTTTAAACCCCTTACGGAGGCCAATTTACGTTATAAACTCAGTTGATAACACTAAATTACACTGTTATACTCTCCCACCGACCCTGCACCACAGTTTCTCTAGAAACTTACCCCCTTTATTCAAATAGATTATATGTTGCCTTGAGTGTGTTCAGCAAAAGATCACAGATGGCGTCAAAATATTATAGAAACAAAAAAGTGGCGAACTAAGGCGCAATACTTTTTATTCAGCTGCAAAGTTCCCGTCCATTTTAGCTACGAGGTTTCAAAACTTCAAAATCGTTTTCATCCCGATGGAGCTCAAAATGCAAAGTAATCCTAATAACAATACTCTATTCGAAAATTAAAGAACATATAGTTCTATATACAAACAAAATAACTAAATAATAAAAAGATTACTCGACCCGACTTCCAAATACATTGTCTGTATCTTTAATAGTCATTTAGTCTCCCTTGCTGAGAGGATGTATGTCTCTTTATGCCTGCTGTGTTTCGGCGTGAAACTGTAAAACGTCAGATAAGTGTTGCTTCACACTCACCACCAGAAACCTGAATATAGTGAGAAAATTACACCCTGCTGCCGTACATCAAATGAATGATCAACGGGCTTACGATAGGGAATTAAAAGATGAGCGATTGGGTAAGTAACTTGCAGGGCGATAACTGCTTGTGGAAGTTTACGCGCTGCACTAGTGCAAGTCATGGGACCTGGGACCGAAACCGAGTATGGCCGATAGGAATAAAGGGGTAAGTTTCTAAAGAAACTGTGGTGCTGCGTCGGTGGGAGAGTATAGCAGGTAATTTAGTGTTAACAACTGGGTTGAAAACGTAAATTAGCCACCGTAAAGGGCAAAAAAGCTGACGTTTCGAGCGTTAGCCCTTCGTCAGAGCGATTGACGAAGGGTTAACGCTCGAAACGTCAGCTTTTTTACCCTTTACGGTGGCTAATTTACGTTTTCAACCCAGTTGTTAACACTAAATTACCTGCTATGGCCGATAGGAATCTAGGACCGAAACTAACGCCAGGAATGGTTACTAAGGAGAGCAACATGGCGGATGAGTGAACACTTCAGTAGCGTCAAATTCGCTGCAAATATGACTTATAAAACCAAGTAAATGGTAACGAGATGGATTTACCTCTTCCATGCAAAGAAACAAGAAACTTAGTGGGCCACCAGGGAGCCGTACGAGCCGTCAGATTCAATTACGACGGTAACTACTGCCTGACATGTGGCAGCGATAAACTTTTAAAACTGTGGAACCCTCACAAGGGAGGTCTCCTAAAGACATACAGTGGACATGGATATGAAGTACTTGATGCTGTAGGATCCAGTGATAATGGTCGGGTGGCGAGCTGTGGAGCTGATAAAACTGTTATACTATGGGATGTGGCAACTGGACAAATTATACGCCGCTTTAGAGGACATACCAGTGTAGGTGACAGAAATTATTCGTTCGCTTCCATTTCACCCTTTGTCTCAATTTTTGTTTCCCTTGTCTCATACTAATAAAAAATCACGGCAAGATTTCCACACAGCCCTATACTCCATTATGCATACAGTTCTTGGATAAAAAAAAAATAGTGGCAAAAACAATGCAATGGATCGCCTTTGGGACAATGGCTCTTGATTGTGTATTTTGAAAACAGAAAAATAATTTTGATGTAATACTTTGAACACAAGACAAGCTTTTCATTACAAAAAATGATCAAAGGATATGATAACTGTTATTATGTGTAATCATGCAAAATGCTGTCTGATTGTAGCCATATGGAGACCAGAGGCTTTTTTATTTTTATTTATCTTGCAATCATTCATCATCACAATTGTCTACTGATGATAATGATGTCTATGATAACTCTACATGTGGGCAGTTTGTCAATTAGTGACTGTCAATTTTCTAATTAACCTGTTATCTCCCAAGATCTCATAAGTTATTCTTCTTATTGACTCCCTTAAATGTACATTTCCTTGTAAATTGGACAGGAGAATGTGTTCTTTCTCAAAGTAACATCCGTTAGTTACTAAGCTTAATAAGTTTGCCATAACCTGTTTGCGAGATTTTATATTGGAATTACAAGGAGAATTTACATTTTGATCATTTCTGGGAGATGTGAGGTTTATGCTAACAGTGATGTTTTTATTTCTAGAAAGTGAACTGCGTGAAGTTTAACCAACCAGACAGCACAGTATTAATATCTGGCTCATATGATGCCAGTGTACGGTGCTGGGATTGTAAATCGCGCAGTCCTGAGCCAATACAGATTCTTGATGATGCTAAAGACAGTGTGCCTTCCCTATGTGTGTCTCAACATGAAATTCTGTCTGGGTAGGTTTGCAAGTGCTATAGGTTACTACATGTAGCTGAAGCAGTATCCCTGTCAACTCTCTTGCCTTGGGCATGAGCACTGTGCCTGTGGAGAGAACATTTGGATCTCATGCTAGCGCATTCCTGGTGACCAATTTCTTGTACATGAAGGGAAAGAGGAGGCTGGCAAAGCCCTGAATGGCACTTGATAAAAATGTATGGTCTAAAAATCATTATATGCCCTAAGAGAAAACTAGGCTGTGTAAATTATCATCTTTCTGCCTAGACCTTTGAATGTGGAAGGAAAGCTCTGGAGACAGATTTGTGTCAAATCTCCTGTGCATCCTCCCTAATTTTGGATTTTAGAGTTAGTCCTATGATATAATCTAATTCTCCATGAAAATTTGGCTTTTCTGAGGAATAAATTCTCACATTGACTCAAAACATGTAAGCAAGTATATTAATTTGTGGGCTGCTAGAACTGTGCAATTGTTAATATTATCAAAAAATTATTTCTTGAATGTAACTTATTTTTATGAAAAAGTCAACTAGGAATTTTAGAAAAGTGTCTTGAATTTTTTTTATAAATGCATTGCTTAGTGCAATAACTATTATGAACTTAAAACTCAGTATTGATATCATTTTTTTGGTAGAATGTCTAGAGAGAGAAAAAAGAAATAGATATGACAACCATTTTTTCTTCTAAAAACTACTCTTTTTGTTATGTACAATTCTTCCTTATAAGATCTGTTGATGGCAAAGTCCGTAACTATGATATCCGTATGGGTCAGTTGCGAGTAGATTGTATTGGCCAGCCAGTCACCAGTGTGAATTTTACGAGGGATGGTCAGTGTGTGCTGGCATCAACATTAGATGACACCATTCGTCTGATGGATAAAGACACTGGGGAGTTACTGAATGAGTGAGTCAGAATTTCTACTCTCAGAAAAGTCATCAGGGGAAGTACACTTCATACAAGTTTTATTAGCCAAACTGCAGAAACTTCTGAATTTAATATACTTTGGACAGAATAGATCTTTAAATCATTCATGCTTATTGGCTATGAGAAACTGTTTTCATTGGGTGACTAACCCAAATTTTTGTCTGTGAGTTTTCCTTTTATTCCTTTAACCCCTAAGAGTGACTAGCATCTAATTTCTCCCTATAATATCACCTCTGAACCATACATTAAAGTCATGAGAATAAAAGAAAGGATCACCAACTAAAGAACCTCTTTATTTTTAAACAAATTTTCCTTGTTAGCACCTTAAGAATTGTATCAAGAATATGCAAAATGGTGTTATGGTGTACAGGGTAAATTAATACTACCTTACTGCTACCAAAACTATCACTGCTCTCTTTCTTACCTAGTGTAATGTTGGCTCATTGCCCTTCTCATTTCAGATTTAAACTACTCAGGCAAGACACTTAAATGATTAAGAGAAGAATTAATGATTAAGAGAATTAGAGAGAAGAAAGGCTTTGAATTAATATAACTTCTAAAAATCACTCCTTTGCTCTCAGAATTGATGTACTTGTAACTTCTCCTTACAATTTTAGTATATTTTAAATTAGACAGGTTAGTGAGAATTAAGAGTACCATCATCAAAGGATGGTATTTTGATAAAACACACATAAAAATGTGTTGTAGCCAGAAAGGAGTAGTTATGATCATTTTGAGGTAGTTTAAAGGTAACACTGATGAAATGTTCCATAAAAAGTTTTGGATTAATGTAAATCATTTTGGGAGAATTGTAGTACTAATGGATCATTGTTGTATTCAGGTTTACAGGTCATATAAACAAAGACTATAAAGTGGACAGCTGCCTGAGTAGCAGTGACGCACAAGTTGTTAGTGGCTCAGAGGATGGCAGGATTTGTTTTTGGGATCTGGTTGAAGCCAAGATAGTACACACCCTGGATAAAGCTCATAAATCTGTTGTTTACTCTTTGTCTTATCACCCTACAGAAAATTACCTTCTGTCAGCATCTTCGGATGGAGAAGTCAAAGTTTGGCATGATTCAAATTGGACACCAGAGTAAATAACTTGGCTATGAGAAACAGGAACCTATGTGACTGAAAACCATAATTTGGTTTTGTGCATGTATGATTTAATAATTTATGATTGTAAATAAATAGTTGTCTATATTTTAATTGCTTAGAGAAAGATAGAGTGAAAGATAGGTTTCTTTTTCCTTACTACCTGTACACAATACATAATAAGTACAAATTATCAACAGTCAAAAGGGGACAGGAAGTAACAAAGAAGAGTAGTGTAAGAATTGGTTTCGACCAGCAATCCCTATCTTTGCTCCTCCCAGGAGGGGTAACAATAAAAAAGGGTTTTGTGTTTACTAAGTATCCTATATTCTGATAGGATTGATAATTTTGAAAGCAATGTGTGAGGAAAAAGAGTAAAAAAGATGTTGAAATTTAAATTCCATCACTAAGGTTTTTAGTTTCAGATTTTTAGTTGTTGAAGCTGTCTCAATCGTTTGGTGGATGATTAATAAATTAGAGATTGAATATTTCAAAGCAATCCACTCTTCTCAACAGAGGTCATATGCAACACCCACAGTGGTTGGCTGAAGGAGTTTACCTTAAAGTTTCCCAAGAACATTCCAATACTTTTCAGAATAGAACCCCTGCTCAACCTGAACCTAAGCATTCTTTGGTAATTTGCACCAAAAATAATGAAAGTCAATTATGAGTATGGTTCCATATGTCCTGTTTAATCCTTGACCATGAGATACAGTGCTTCAGTTCAAATTAAATTAAAAGTACAGTTTGCCTGTGCCAGGCTCTCAGTTGACCCAAGCGAAAAGGAAAAAGCAGCAAAAAAGTATTGCTACAATTTGGATGTGATGTCGCTTTGTTTCCCTTGGCAATAACTGGTTTTTGTTTGAACATTTTGTCTCTTCATGACCTTGAGATTGGAACAGTCAAAACTAATGCAAATATCCAAAGATGCCCCTTGAAATTGAAATAACTCCTTCTCCTAAAATATATTAAAGTTTACACGGCAACCAGGTGGACAATCAGATTTAGTTTGACGCTACTCTGGTTTGCAGATTTAATGAATGTAACCGAAGAAGTTACGATTCATAGACCCAACGTTTCGACAGTCCTGTCTAGTGCCTTCATCAAGAGGTCCTTTTATATGATCACTAATTAGCGGCCTTTTTTCTGACGAGGTGTAAATAGGCGTCAGGAAGCAAACCGCCATCGTCACGATTTAAAGGAGCGTGGGCGGAGTTAATATTTCTGGCATAATCTTAATCTGGCATATTTTCGCCAAACCTAAGGATCCTGTCACGAAAGAACAACGAACCGACGCCATTTATTCTATTCCTTGCAACGACTGTGACAACGAATACATCGGACAGACCAAACGTCAGTTTGGTACACGGTTAAAAGAGCACCAAAAAGCGGTTTTTCTTTGCAAAAAGGAAAATTCAGCTTTATCGGAGCATACATGCCTAACCAACAATACAATTGGGTGGGATAATTCTAAAATTATCACCACTAATCGGCGTTACCATCAGCGCCTTTGTTTGGAGGCTTGGCATATTAACTCCGCCCACGCTCCTTTAAATCGTGACGATGGCGGTTTGCTTCCTGACGCCTATTTACACCTCGTCAGAAAAAAGGCTGCTAATTAGTGATCATATAAAAGGACCTCTTGTTGCAGCGTTTAGATCACCCCTGATAAAGGCACTAGACAGGAGTGTCGAAACGTTGGGTCTATGAATCGCAACTTCTTCGGTTACATTCATTAAATCTGCAAACCAGAGTAACTCCTTCTCCTCTCCAGAAAATCTCAGAAAAAAACAAGCACACACAAGGCAAAAATTACTGCATTTTCAGTGCTACATTCAAGAAAGTTTTGAATCTATATGTTAGATGCTTTTTCCCTTGACACTCAGCCTTGATCAATTTTGTGGCTTCGGCAACGAATGACGTAAGCAAGGCCAAACGTCAGTCACGTGTTACAACTCGCATTCTGTCGACGGAGGAAGGAGGAGTAGATGTCCGCATACGAACTTCTTCCGACCATTACTTTTTTTTGAGCCAGGTATGAACATTTTATTGTTAAGGTAACCCGTCGATTCTTCTTTTCTTCCATTTTTTATTTCTTACAGAGCGACATTTCATTCGCCTAGTGTCTCGGTGAACTGTTGTTTGTTTATGCGTGGCCGGTAGTAGTTGCAGCACCGACCATCGCTCTGTTTGTTCATTCCATTCTATCCTACAAGTTTTTATATAACTGCTACTTCGTCTATAGGAATAATATTGTTTGTAATTTGGCAGTCTTTAAACCTTACGATGCCTATCGAGGATTGATTAATTTGTGCAAAACTGAGAGTATTATTTAAATTAATTCTAGTTGCTATACCGGAAGCAGGTTATGTGGCAAAAATGTTTGCTTCTAAACAGGGTTACGGCCATTTAATGGTGTTCTTTTGGTTTTAATTACACGGCAGAAGCTGAATTTCTCTTTTTTGGGGTTAGGATGCAAAAATTTTACAACTGACTATCTTTTTCATCACGGCTTCAGGTTTTAAGATCAAAATAGTTTCATTAACTCTGATCTTAGATTTGGCCTTTGTTGAGGGCATAGCATGGCTATGAAGTTCACTCTAAAAGCACTGTGAGTGTTCACAATGCCATTTTAAATTTCCGATAGTGACATGTACTCGTTACATACCCATCAATAATCTCTGTGTAGCGAGTGCTGTACAATACAGAGCTTCCAAATTAAATGAAGCAGCAATATTATAAGTCATTTAACTTGGAGAATATGTTTTCCTTATTAATAAATTGCCCATTCAATTTTTTACTTCAGGTATGGCTGAGATGGTGAGGTAATATATCCTCGTAAAACTCAAGGAATGGCAACAGCTGCCTCAACAGGGTAAGTTCTACATTCTTTCTCAGTTGTCCATTCACCCTTAAACTCCCATAAGTGAAAAGGGTAGAGTTTTTCCTTAAAATATCAGTACAATATCATTCAGAAGAATGATGGAAATATAGAATAATATCAAATAGGGGATTATTAGTGGATCCATTACCAAATTCTCTGGACTAACATCAAAATTGTCACTGGTCATATTCTTTCCAGAGAGGTGCCAGAAACATTTTGTAGTTGCATCGGTACATATGTGGAGTTGAAATTGTCATTGCAATGAAAAAAAAATTTGAGAGCATGTTTTTTAAAATTAACCCTGTAACTCCCAAGATCTGATTGTTGATTCTCCCCTTAAGGTGCTACACATTTCCTTGTTAATAAGGTATGAGAATTTGGTGTCAGATTGAGATAGAGACTTCAACCTGAAAAATTTGAATATTCTCATAACCTGTTTCCTGGATAATGTTTAGATATTATAGGGAGAAGTTACATGTTAATCACTTTTGGGAGTTAAAGGGTTAAGCAGTGCAGTAGCTGCAGAGGTAGCAGAGCATTTTCAAATGTGGAGGGCTCATCCTTCACCCAATCATGCTAATACCTGTTTCTCCAATCCAATACCCCAACTCAATTTTTCAAAAATGCCCTTTGCATTCATTTGGTAATTGGCAGTTTACAGTTTTGAATGTTGTTTATGACTTACTTTCATTGTTTCTGGCACATTATACTGTGAATTTTTCAGCTTAGCATTTAATTGGGTTAATTCCCATAAATAAAATTATATCATGTCTTTTTTCCTAGACATGCTGTCTAATTTAATTGAGAATTGCTACAGTTTGTGAGCTTCTTGAACACAGGCTGGAACTGTTAAAAAAAGTTTCACAACATATTATTTCACCAAGAGCCATGCTGATGAAAGTATTTGTGAAAAGATTAAGGGATTGAATATTTTGCCAATTTTTTTGCTGCCCTAGCAATATTTTCTGGCACCAAATTGTGTGTGTGGATGTGTGTGTGGGGGCTGTGCACCCCAAAATGTTTGCTTGTGGGAGCTCCAGCTTCAGTTTCACCTGAACATTTTATGCTTACAACCAGGAAATGTACACAAGTGCTTGTCAACATGTGAATACATGTCTGTCAATGAATGTTCTCTCACTCTAGAGGAAAAATGGCCAATGGCCTGAATTTAAAGGAAGCATTGTTCATTGGCTGCTTGCAACCTGAACTGAATGCACTGATTTCACATGACAGTGATTGTTTATTTTCCTGGATTAACCTTCCAGATGTTACACTTGAGCATGCATGTCTAATTTAAATACTTAACAGTACTGTAATTTCAAATATTGTCATTTGGTTAACACAGTATTGGTAATGTAATTTTAATTTTAAGTGTTGAAACAAAATAAATGGGTAAAATGCAGTAAACTGATTATGACATGAGCCATGTGGAAATATGTCTTATGAGAGTGTTATTGTGACTTTAAATTTATTTTGATATACTCTTTCATTCTCATGAACAGTAATAGTTTTTTATGTAAGCTTGATGCAAAGAAATGACAATGTGTTTCTGTCAGTTACTCAGTCAGCTTTGTTCAAAGCTCTTTATTAAGTTTACTCATGTAATCATCAGGTCAAGCCACCTTGGTGTGACTGATAATCAAAAACGATGGCTTGTGGTGGGAATTGCACTCAACAAGATCCTCATACCACAGATACGTCCATTTGTACAACAAGGAATCAACACTGAATACCATAAACTAAAGACCAGCTGCAATATCCATGGACAGACTACATCTGGTCGTCTTCGGAAGTGGCCTCCAGGAAAGTTGTTGAAATACGAGAACATCAATGGAAATGATGTTCATCGCAGACGTTCCGATGGGCGATTAAATTACTCTTTGTTTGATTGTCGAGTGGCATCTGATGTAGACTTTGCTAGGCTATATGTTGAGAACTACATGGCAAAATTTACTGCCTTTGATGATCACTGTGATGCATCTGCTGTATTGTCTTTGCTTGGTTGGGTTCCTGTATTCTCTCATGCAGTTCAAAGTGCAGCGGGTGTTGTCAGAAAGGCACGAAATGATTGGGCACATTGTGTCTTCAGTAAATGGGATCTAGCCAAGTTTCAGCAAAGTTTTATTGAGATGGATCAACTAGTAAGGAGTATGAATCTGCCACATTCAGATGAAAGTAAAATTTGTGGAGAATTGAAGGATTGGGAAATGAAAGGTAATTAAAACAATAATTATTATTGCATATGGGCGGTATGGATTGACTGTAATTTTATACCAGATCATGTGACTGAATCAATGTTTAAACTGACGCTAATGGGCTTTCATCAGTTGGGGGTACCGTAAACGTCCATGTATAAGCTGCACTTTTCACAAAATTGAAGCCAAAAATCAAGGGTGTGGCTTATCCATGGATACATCTGTGTTTGGAGTTCTCAAAAACCTAATTAATATTCATAAAACTTCTTAAGATGCCAACAAATAAACATAAAAGAAACTGAGAGCATGTTGCTGTAGTTGTTGCTCCTAAAGGAGCCGTTTGTGTCTTCGAGTGTTTATCGGTGAATCTTGCTCTCCAAGAGTTCTTTCAAGCAATCAATTTTTGCTTTACTAATCAATCTAGAGAAAGATACTAATCAATCTCATTAACAAGCATATTGAATGGACCAAGGGAAGACATGGTTAATAAGCTAGGAAGTAGTGATGTCCTATCTTGTGGCCCACTTTCCATCTATATTATGTTATATAATAAGCTCAGTTATGCATGCATTCTGATTGGTTCTCACTTATGATCTATTGGAGGACAGACGTATAGATGACGTCATCATTAAAACTTTTTTTAATTCTTTATCATATAAAACAAATAGATTCCAAGTTACCGTGCATCTGTTCAGTAATAGATCTCAGAGGATGTCAAAATGTGGTGAGAACATCAGTGACACACTCGATGCACCTCATGAGCCACTTTTTTGTTCTTACCACATTTTGACATCATCTGTGGTCTATTACTGAACAGAAGCACGGCAACTTGGAATCTTTTAGTTAACTAGAGTACATTTGAGTTTTCCTTCAGTTACAAGGAAGCAGACATATCATAATTTTGACCTTCTTTCTTTGATAATTCAATGATGTGTCCCAGTTTGGAAAAAGGGCATTCACCTGATTAGTATGGGATGATTTCAGCTCATCTTGATTTGTTTTGTCATGTGGACCCAATCTCTAGTGTGGAAATTTGTATGTTGGGGAATAGAATGTTAATTGTCATCATTGTTGTACCAAGCCAATCAATTAGGATTCAAACATTTATTGTCTTTGTTTTATATGTAAATACCTTCTTTAATGCCAGTGATTTTTTTTTAGATTATAATCACCAGGAGAGTCAGAACTCTACATTTGTCATTAAATTTAGTATGATCAACTGAGTTGATAACACAAACTTTTCACTGTAAAGAGTTTTAAAGATGGTGTTTTCAATGTTAGCCCCTTGTCAGAGAAAATGATGCAGCACCACAGTTTCTTTAGAAACATAGTACCCCCTTTATTCAACTGTCATTAAATGTCTATTTGTTATCATAAGTTCTATTATTTACTTCTAAACTTACTCAGACTGCTTGTTTCTTCTTGCATTTGATGTTGTTGCTGCAGGGACACAGCTCTGCATGAATTCTCCAGTAGACCCTGCATTGCTACAACTGGTTCAACAGGAGGTTAAATCACTCCAAGATAGTTTTGACAACATGAGTTTGGCATGTGAGGCAGAAAAAGTAAAAATAAACCAGGAATTGGAAAAATTGCAGTTTCTTTGGAAGAGATGAAACAGAGACTGCATAGGTTAGAGACCGGACAACGGACCTTGGAGCATCGTGCTGATCTTGCTGATGGCAGAATGGATGATTTTGAAGGTGTGCCCTGGTGAAATGAACCAGTTGACTATTGCTAATGTTATAATGTGACTGAACAGTCTGTTTTGACTGTTTATTCTGAATGATAGATATATCCTGCTGGAACAATTTCCAGCATATTCTTTTGGCATATTCATTTATTTTGATCTTCTTCAACCAGGACAAAAAACACCCAAAAACTTGTAATCAAAGTTACATGATTGATTAAAAATTTTAGGAAAATGATGTCATCACCTGCAAACTGAACTTTGAAGGAAAATTTTGTAACCTTACAAACTAAAAAAAAAAAAAAATTAAAAAACCCAGGAATGCCTCCAGTAGAGATTGTTGATCAAAACATATATACAATTTTTTTGCATCCTTTCCTACAAAAAAAAACTATTGATAAAAATGATTGTTTGGCTCCACCATGAATACCCATGAATACATACCAAAATACCAGCCCTCAAGTGCAATAATCAATCAATAACTGTTGAATAGAAAAGATGTGATGGAAAATACCCACTAATTTTATCCCTGATGTCATCAGATAAGCTGTCAGGTTCTTTCATTTTTTCCTCTAATGAAAAATAAGATCATTCTGCTGAGCAATCTTTTTCCCAATGATATTTTGACATGACACATTCTTTTCCTGATTTTTGACATGACATATTCTTGTTGCAGGACAAGTACACAAGAGATTGAAGAAGCTTGAAAACATCCAGCAAAGCAAAGATAGAGTCAATGTTCTGGTTGAGGAGAGAGTGAATGTTGTTGAAGACAATGTGCATCGTCTGCAAGGTTATTGATTGCTATGAATGAAACAAAAACTTCCTAATACATGACTTTTCTTTGATTGCAGGTGATTTTGTACATTGATTCAATTCAGTTGGTGTGTTTTGTAAGCTTCTAGTACAACTAGTATATATTCAAGATGGGACAAGTCCCCAAGGATTATTTCAGTGTGAATGACCAGTTCCTTTAACACGTACTTCATAGACAAGGCTAATCTTAAAATTGAGGGTTGTTTCAGACCAAATTTTGGTCCTCTTGAGTGTATTGAATGTATGTGTTATGGATAGTTCATATGAAGGAGCTAATTGCAATTAATTCTACAAGTCCTGGCAGCATACCATGCTGAGAATGCTAATATGAATTTGCAGAGTTGCAAACAGTTATTCTTGAGAAGATGTCACAACTAAATTATGGTTTGATAAACACTTTTGATTCTCTGGATGACTTGTGAAATGTTGCACTCTGATGAATAGATTTTACTGAATTATTTTCTTGTCAAATATAGAAAAAATGGAGGACCTGACAACTTCCAAAGGATCAGACATAACCATGTCATGTCAAGAAATTCCCATTGAGACACCTGGTAAGTTTTCTGCATGTACAATGATGATTCCCATCGACCAGTTTAAGCAGTTTTTAGCCTGATAATATCGAAGAGATGAGTAGAATTTTGTTGCTGTGGAATCTTCCTGTTGTGTTCAATAAAACTTTAAATTTCTGGTTGTAACCTTATTTTCCTATTTCAATTAATTTTTTGGGATGGCAAAATTATGATAATTATAAATACAGATAGACTACATTACTATTGTAGACTACATAAAATAAGAATGTTTCATGCATTTAAAGTCAAACTGTTGAGATTGCATGCTTGTGTGCTGAAATCAAATCAGGCTATTATTGAAGGAGACCCTGATCCCTTTTGCCTTGCTCAGTTTTAGCTGTCTCAATTTTAGCTTTTTTGAATACACTTTCCATATCCATGTTTCTCATGGGTTCCGTTTGCAATTATCTGGGTCTAGTGTATGGCTCTTTTATTTGTGAGTTTATTGTGCAAGGTGACAGATTTCTACCCACTAAAAATAGTAATGGAATATTAGAAATCACAGTAGCTGCTATATGTTTTAATTAAGGTTGATTAATTTGTTTGTTTGTTTGTTTTCTTTTGTTTTGTTCTCAGTCTTTCCTAAGCAACTGGCAGATATCATTGGACGAAATTACAAAGGTAAAGGTGCTGTACTGTGTCCATTCCCATGGTGTGAAGATGATCTGCAGCTGAAATTGTCCAAGATCTTTACAAGACTACAGATATTCAGCAAAGAGAAAGAACGAGCAAGGCTGACAGATAAAGTTGTCCAAATGACAGATGCATTCATGCCACATGAAGAATGCGAGGAACCAAGAGTTGTGCTGATTGAGGGGCAACCTGGGATGGGAAAAACCACTTATTGTCAGAAGCTTGCATATGATTGGTCTGTGGAGTACATATCAGCCGAGGCCTGTTTTCCTCAAGTGAAGATGCTACTTCTGTTGAAGTGTCGTGACATGAAGACTGCTAACATCGAAGAAGCTATTGACGATCAACTGTTGCCACTTGATGCTGACAAGAAGGAAAAAGAAGACTTCTTTCATTTCATTCGCTGCAACCAATCCAAAATCTTATTGGTTCTTGATGGACTGGACGAATTACCGGAGAATCTCTTAAAAGGCCTCTTTCCCTTGATTCAAAGAAAAATACTTTCTAATACTTACCTCATGTTAACAGCTCGTCATGAGGCAGGCATGAGAGTCCGACGCCACTGTGACACCCTTCTCGAGATTGTTGGCTTCACCAAGGAGGATGCCGACAGTTACATTACGAAGTATTTCAGTAATCACGAGGACCCGAGCCTTGCTGCCACATTGATTGAAAAATTAGGTCGTGAAAAACAGCTTAGAGAGTTGAGTTCAAATCCACTGAACACAGCCTTGTTGTGTTTGCTTTGTGAAGATACAAAAGGAGTATTTCCTTCAAATCAAACCAAACTGTACGATCAACTTGTATCATGTGCTGTTAGAAGATATTTTGCAAGGAAAGGTATTCCCATGGACTCAAAGGATCCCCTTCAAACTTTTTCAGTTAACCTGAATCATTTAGGAAAGATGGCCTTTGAAGCCCTGAAAGTGGACCGAATGTATTTCAGCAAAGATGAGATGGATTATCAGTCTGTCGATTTCCTTCCGCTGTGCTTTCTTTCTCAGGAAGCTAGTGTCAGCAAACTCAGACCCATTCCTTGCTTTTCCTTTACACACAAGACCTTTCAAGAATATTTTGCTGCATATCACTTGGCCCAGGAGATTCTTTCGGGTGATAAAGACACAGCTGTGGTTCTGTTAGCACACCTTAATCCTGTCTTCAAGTACTGGCAACTATGGAAGTTTCTCTTGACAATGGTGGTAAGCAAGAGTGAAGACGGTGCGGGTTTGGTTATTTCAGGTTTGTGTGATGCTTTCCGAAGTCAGCAAATTGAAGAGGAGGATGAGGAAGAAAGCGACGATGATTTTGATGATTACGTTGATGATGACCGAAACTTTGACATTTGCGACGACTTTTTGGATGTTTTTCCTAGTATTCATCAGTTATTCCGCTGGCCTTTAACTGAAGATGAAAGAACGAGAGCTGACACTTTAAAATCCGTTTTGAATCTCATTTCAGAATGTGAAAGTGGTGACAATGAACTGACTGATGCTCAGAAGAAAATGGTCCAAACTTTAGCTGTGTCCTTTCCAATACAAAAATTAGTCACCTTTATTGGTGGCTCGGGTATGCCCAGAAATATGCCGACTCTCTTTGAGTACTTAAAATCTAATTCTACATTGACTCTCTTTTCTTGGCATCATGCCTGTACCGAGGCATTACAGGAAGCAATTGAACATGTTCTCCAGTCTAAGTGCACACTGAAATTTTTAGATCTAATGTCTATTTCGTCGGAGGGCATGGTTTGGGACACAAGAAACAAGCATGCTCATCTAACCGCAATACTTGCACGAGCTCTTCGTTCAAACTGCACTCTAACGCACATCAATTTGCGGTGTCGTACCATCTGCGGTCCTGGAGCAAGTGAAATTGCAAAAGCCCTTCAATCAAATCTTACTCTGACTCACTTAAACTTACACGGAAATACTATTGACAACTGTGGAGCTGAGGATCTTGCACAAGCTTTGCAGTCTAGCTGTGCACTAAAGTATTTAGATCTCAGCCATAACGAGATTGGCGACCAAGGCGCTGTTGCCCTTGCGAAGGCTTTGGAGTCCAACCGTACCCTAACCTATTTGGATTTAGAACATTGGGATTTTGTTGGATTCAGCCCCATGGAACTGCTTTTTTCATTAGGAGGTTCAGACCCTAAAAGAAACAGAATTGGCGACGCAGGAGCAGCAGCATTTGCGGAAACTCTTCGTTCAAATTCTGTGCTTGCACGTTTAAATCTCCAGAACCATAGGATCGGCAACGCAGGAGCAGCAGCAATTGGCCAATCACTTAAATCAAACTGCACCCTAACACACCTTTGTTTGAGAGGAAACAGAATCGAAGGTGTCGGAGTTGCCACCCTCGGGGACGCTATTCGGGTTAACTGTGGGCTTGTAAATTTAGATCTAAGATCTAACAGTCTCATCGAGAGTAGAGCCCAAGCAGCATCTTTAGCACAAGGGTTACGACTGAACTCTGTGCTAACACATTTGGACATGAGACACAGCTTAATAGGAACTCGTTTTGTAACTGTACTTGCAGAAAGTCTCAAGTCGAATAGTACTCTTACTCACGTAGATTTGTATGGGAACAGGATTAACTCTTCTGGCGCAGTAGCTCTTGCAAAAACACTGAAAACAAATCCCACCTTGAGTCATTTGAATTTGCGGTGCAATCGCATTGGTGATTCAGGAGCAGCTGAGTTTGTGGAAACTCTGCAAACTAATGATACGTTAATCTTTTTGCAGACCTTTCTTGCGGAACAACATAGAATTCATATTTTGTATAGGCATGGTGTTTGCCAATTTTATGAAAATTCATAGTTTCTTGTGTACTACAAGCAACCACGAATATTTTGTTTATCATCTAAATAGGTCTCGGTCTCGAAAAACAATCGTCGTCGCACTATTTTTGTATAACTGGAGCGCGCCCATGATTTTTTTTGTAGTGTTTTTTGCTTTTTCTAAGTCTTTTATTTAATTGATGTTCGTTTTTTTCAGTGTAATTTACCTCAAATGTATGTGTGTGTGGCACATGGCTCCTACATGGCCATTGAGGAGAGTGAATGAGATTGCAAACATTCAATATCTAATTAACCATCCACCAAATAAGACAGCCTCACTGGCTAAAAATCTGGTGCTCCCTCTTTCTTCATTTTGCCATCGCACTCAAATTTCAACATCATTTTCATTGCTTTTCTGCGCACGTTGCTTTCAACATTACCAATCCTAGCTGACTGCATAGTGATTGTCACATATAAAAACCTTTACTTTTTGTATTCCCTCCTGGGAGGGGTAGAGAAAGGGGTTGATAGCAGAATGCACTGCTCACACTACTCTTCCTTGTTACAGATAGTTTTATAAAAAGGAAGGTTTTCATTTACCTCCTTTCCCCTCTTAACTATTGATGATATGTACTTCCTGTGAATTGTAAACTGGCGGTAAACAGGAAGAAAAGAAAAATAAAACTTTCTATGGTTTTAAAGAATTAGTACGTCAGTCAGTGCTAAATCTTTCATGTATAACATTAATTCAACGAATGGTATTGATATCATTTGGCAGTCTCGAAACCTCACGATGCCCAGTTAGGGAGTTTAATCTATGCTCAAAACTGAAAGTATTATTTGTATCAATATCAATTGGTACCCGGAAGTATTTCGCTTCTGCGTAATTCATGTTGTGGCGAAATGTACTACTTGTGCTTCTCAACTGGCATCATACGGCTATTAAATTATGGTTTTTTATAACAAGATTAAAACTGCTATATATGTGTAATTTTTTAGGTTTCATTTTTTTCACAATTGGCCATCTTTTTGAGCTCTAGGTTATAAGATCGAAATAGTTTCAATAACTTATATCAATCTCTTAATAGTAAAACTATAAGTTTTTCTTTATTGATGGCTCGGTTTTTTGTCCTTTAGGTATCGATGAAGGTGGTTAGTGGGGTGGTGAACTGATATATCCTCATAAAACTCAGGGAATGGCAAAAGCTTCCTCAACAGGGTAAGTTCTACATTCTCACCCAGTTTGCGTTTAACTGGTGTCAGTGCATGGTCATGCACCACACTCAAAATCATCAGTGACTATTTTCTTTCCGGAGAGGTGCAGGTTAAGTTGCTAAGAAACATGTTGTGGCTGTACATGTGTGAAGTTGAAATTGTCACTGTAAAAAAAAATTAAAATTAAGCAACCCTAGCTGCACGAGTCTAGAGTGTTAAAGTATTCAGCCCTACATTTTTGCTTTCAACTAGCAAATGTTCACTAGTGCTTCTGTCAATAGAAGTTCTTTCACCCTAGAGGAAAAATGGCCAGTTGCTTTAAATTAATGAAGGCATTGTACTTTGGATAGTTGCAACCTGAACTGAATCACAAATACAACATAACAGTAATAATTAATTAGCATAGATGAACCTTCCAAATCTTACACTCTCACATGTCTTGTTTAACTATTTGTCAGGAATAGTACTGTAATTTCATTTCTTGCCATTGGATTTAAATTGACAATGTAATTTTAATGTAGTGTGTAAAAACAGATATAATACAATACACTGATTATGGCAATTGGGTCATGCCCAAACATGTCTTAAAAAGTTTATTGTGAGTTTGAAATTTATTTTTACCTTTTTGTTGATTCCTATGAGTATAATTATTCATAAAAGCTTAATATAAGGAAATGGCATTGTGTTTCTGTCAGTTACCAGAAGCTTGTAATCTAGAAGGGATTTAGTATGTCCAAGAGCTGGGGTTTATTAGAGCACAAGAGTAGCCAGTCAGAATTTACTCCCTGACATGGAGTTGTTTATCTATAATGACTGGACGATGGGTAATAAATGAAACTATTTATCGAGATACTAATCAGGAATATGAAATGAAATTGCAGTTTTCAGACTGCAAACTCAACCATAGTTCAGAGAGCCAACCACACTCATCTTTACTAAAGGATACAAGCTGCAAAGTTACTATGTGAATTGCTGTGCTTGCTTTGCAAGTTCCATTTACAGCCAAGTTTATTGTAATTCCTCAACGCTTGAAAATATTATAATTTTCAAACCAAGGGTTAGTCACTTTGCCTGGGATGCAGAGCAGAGCTTAACAGCTTACATTCAGCCAACTATGTGAAATTTTAAATTTTAGAGCTCTTTTAATTAATTGCTGAAAACCAGCGGAGATGCAATCAACAGTCAATAAGTAAACCATTCCTTTTGTAGCAAACAAGGACACTAACCACTGAATTTTCAGTAAATAAAGAGACAGTTTTCTCCATAAAAGTACAATTCTACTTCGATTTTTCAGAAATGGAAGCCAGCTTGCTAATTAGTTTACTCATGTAATCCTCAGTTCAAGCTACCTTGCTGTGACTGATGATCAGAAACGATGGCTTGTGGTAGGAATTGCACTCAACAAGATCCTTATACCACAGATACGTCCATTTGTAGAAAAAGGAGTTAATGTTGAGTACGACAACCTAAAGATCAGCCACAGAATACATGTTCAGGGCCCACATGGTCGTCTTCAGAGGTGGCCTGCCTCCTCCAAAAACTTGTTGAAATATGAGAACATCAATGGAAATGTTTCTCGTCCAAGGCTTCATGGTGGAAAATTCAATTATTCTTCGTTTGATTGTCAGGTAAAGTCCCATGTGGACTTTGCCAAGCTGTATGTCCAGGGGTACATGGCGAAGTTCACTGCCTTTGATGATCACTGTGATGCATCAGCTGTGTTGTCTTTGCTTGGTGGGGTTCCTATATTCTCTGCTGCTGCAAGCTCTGCAGGTGATGTCAGAATAGCAAGGAATGATTGGGCTCACTGTGCCTTTGGAAAATGGAATCCAGTCAAATTTCAGAAAAGTTTCACTGATATGGAACAACTGGTCAAGAACATGGTCCTGCCTCCTGTAAATGAAAGAGAGCTTCTTGTAGAACTAAAAGACTGGGAAACAAAAGGTAATCTGTTAATTATCTTTATATATTGACAGAAGATATTTTTTATGTAAACTCTGTTTTTTAAGGTTTAAGAGGGAGGTGCATTGTGGACTGTTCATGATTTATGGCAGATTGTGGTATTATCTCTGTGTCTAAACTCTGATATGTTTTCACTTGACAGTCAAGAAATGATAAAAAAATGAAATTTTGCATTCACTTAGTAAATTTTTTTTGTGGCTAATGTTGAGCAGGTCATTGTCTGATATATTGATGGAACTGACTTAGGAACTGATAACATCCTTTTTGGTGCACTTTCCATCCAGATATTGGGCTGGAAATAAAGAACCTATTTTTCAGTATTTGGAGGCAGACATATATTTAGTACATTTGTATTTCATGATATCTTTGTTACTATTCAGCGTTCTGAGTTGGGAAAAGGGTGTCACAGGATTGTTATAGATCAATCAATATCAGTCAATCAATATTTTTTATTTTACCACCGGCAATTCATCAGTTATTCAAAATGATTTTGTCATTCTTGCCCTGTTAAGGACCATTAATCTCCAGTGTTTACACTTACATTAATCTCCAATTGTTTACACTGTTAAGTGTACCAAAACAATACAGTGAAAGTGATGACAGTAATGTGCTCCTTACATGTACATAAATATCTTCCTGTGCACCAATAAATTTGGTGTGTTTCATTTTATGTGTGGCATAATGCTCTATAATTGTCTTTAAATGTCAGCATGAGGTATAAGTGTACCATTTTAGTTTTAATTTACTTAGACTGCCTTGTCCTCTTTGCATTTATTAATTTTGCTGTAGGAGTACATCTTTGCATGAATTCTCCGGTAGACCCTGCATTGCTGCAAGTGGTTCAGCAGGAGCTTAAGTCACTTCAAGATGTGGTGGATAACATGTGCTTAGAATTAAACCAAAAGAAGACTAAGATTCAACATGAGCTGCGAAGTATTGCAGTTACCTTGAATTATATGGAAAAGAGACTTCAGAGGTTAGAGATAGGACAACGGAATCTGGAGAGCCATGTTGATCAAACTGACAGCAGACTGGATAAAATAGAAGGTGCTTTTAAATAATCTAAATATGAAATGAAATGAGTTGTTCCAATTGTGATTAAATTATGAATATGTTATTGCACTGAAGAGTTTTAAATTAAGAATGGAAGAATTTTCAAAAACAGCAAATCAATGCAAGCAGAGTCCTCAATTAAGGGTTTTTAATGTTGGATATTTCTTATTTATGCATAAAACAAAACCACTGATGTGTACTCAACTGGATGTAACAATCAAATGTACTTTCTCTTGGTTTACTTGTCAGCTTATGAATTTGTATCTTCTCAAAAACAGTTTATTGATGAATTGTAATTCATCATGCTCAAACTCATCTGATAATTGCTTTATCAACTCTGTTAAAAACAAAATTACTGGTATTTATTATTTATGAATGAGGGGTTACATGGAATTGAAGCTTTCTAGTTTTTAAGATTTAATGTTTTAATCTGGACTACTATTCTCTTTTCCTCATCTTTTGACATTTTCTTGGTGTTGCAGAGCGCATACATGAGAAGATGGAGAAGCTTGAGAGTGGTCAGCAGACTACAGAGAGTCGCACTGTCCAAATTGAGGATAACATTTACCAACTCCGAGGTGTCTAATTTGGTTTTGCATTATATTGTGAATTATCAATTAAACCTTGTGTCTGTATTATCTGCCTCAGCCAAACTATGGAATGGCAGCTGTCTCATTTTTTAAATTTTATCATTTAATCTGGACATTATTCTGTTTTCCTCATCTTTTGACATTTTCCTGGTGTTGTAGGGCACATACAAGAGAGAATGGAGAAGCTTGAGAGTGGTCAGCAGACCACAGAGAGTCACACTTTCCATATTGAAGATAATATTCACCAACTGCAAGGTGAATTTTTTGATTTAAAACAAACAGGTCTTCCATTTCTTCGTTTCCTGACAACAAAACAAAAACATTGAGTGCTCAATACCTTAACCAATCAAATGTCCATGAAAGAATTAAGTAAATAAACTACTGCTTCTTTAATTGATACTGGTTTGAGTTGAGTGACCTCTGAATGCTTATATTGTAATAAATATGAACAAGCATATTGTCTTCCTTAATACAGAACAAATGGATGACTTGGTTAAATCAAAAGAAGCAGATTTAAAAAGATCATGCCAGGAAAGTCCAGAGACAGCTGGTAGGTTATCCACAATAAGTACAATCATTATTCTTACTGACCTAATTGAGAGTATTTGGTCCATCATGGAAGTCTAACAGTGTCATCAGGATGGGTACATGATTGTTTTGTTGAGAAATCATCTTTTTGTTTATGAGAAAATAATAAATTATCTTGGTCTTCTTGTATCCACTTTTTTCCTTTTTCATTTCATTTCCTTGGATGTCAAGATGCCTATGATGAAAACTGACATGCCACACCTGTATTTTTGACTGAATTAAATAATTTTTATTGCCTTTCTTTATTTAAAGTGAAACTGTGAAATTGCATGCTTGCCTACTGAAAATATCATTGACAAATTACCTTTTTATGAAACATAAAAGGTATTATTTATATTGATACTGAAGTCTTTAACCTAACAATTTCATTGACTTCATTATTTTGAAGTCTTCTTTTAAAGAATTTCCGTATTAGAATGTAATCGCTCGTGACTTGCTTGTTTTGTGTCAACGGTACATATTTGCTTTTTACCTCGGTGTGGTGTAGAAGGTGATTGACTTTTACTAAGCAGTAGTTGTTTGTTTTCCCAGTCTTTCCACAGAAATTTGTAGAGCTCATTAAACGAAAATACAAAGGTGCTGTACTGTGTCCCTTTCCTTGGTGTGAAGATGAACTACAACTGCAACTTTCCAAGGTTTTTACAAGAGTGAAGATAGTTGAAAAGAAGAAAGAACGAGCCAGAAGAACAAAGGAAATCGTCCCAATGACAGATGCGTTTCGATCACATGAAGAATGTAAAGAGCCCAGAGTGGTGCTGATTGAAGGGGAACCTGGAATAGGAAAAACCACTTGCTGTCAGAAGCTTGCATATGATTGGTCTGTGGAGAGTATATCAGCCGAGGCCCGTTTTCCTAAAGTGAAGATGCTACTTCTGTTGAAGTGCCGAGACATGAAGACTGCTGACATTGAAGAAGCTATTGATGATCAGCTGTTGCCACTTGATGCCGAAGAGAAGGAGAAGGAAAACTTCTTCCGTTTTATCCGCCAAAATCAATCGAGGATCCTACTGGTTCTTGACGGACTGGATGAATTAAGTGAGACTGTATATGAAGGATTGTTACCTTTGATTCAAGGGAGAATCTTTCCTAGTACTTACCTCATGCTAACAGCCCGCCATGAATTAGGAATGAAGGTGCGACGTGAATGTGATACGCTTCTTGAGGTTGTTGGTTACACCGAGGAGGATGCTGACACCTACATTGAGAAGTACTTCAGAGATCACGATGATCCAAGTCTTGCGAAGAAACTCATTAAGAATTTAAGGAAGAATCCTCAGCTAAGGGAATTAACTGCCAATCCACTTAACACTGCTCTTCTGTGCCTAATTTTTGAAGATGCGCAGGGAAAACTCCCTTACAATAAAACCATGTTGTATTATGAAATTGTTTCATGTGCCCTAATGAGAAATTTTCAAAAAAAGGGGATCCCTTTGGTGAACGCAGATCCAATCGAGGTATGTTCAGAGCAGCTGAATCAGTTGGGTGAGTTGGCGCTTGAAGCCTTGGTTAGAGATCAGTTGTATTTTACCACAGAAAAGCTGCGAGGTCATTCAACTGAATTTCTCGACTTCGGTCTTCTTTCTCGAGAAGCCAGTGCAAGTAAAATCAGACCGAAGCCAAGTTATGCATTTACCCACAAGACCTTTCAGGAATATTTCGCAGCATTTCACGTAGCCCATGAACTGCTGACTGGTGGTAAGGACAAGGCTGCCTTGCTTACTCACCTCACTCCTCCGGATAAGTACTGGCCGGTGTGGGAATTCCTGATCACAATGGTATCAAAGAAAAGTGATGATGTGGCTGTTTTTTTGGTGTCAAGTTTGTGTGCTTCATTCCAGAACAAAATGCCAGAGCACTTTGGCCTCCATTATTACTACGAACCGGAGGAGGAAGCTAGCGATGACGAAGATGATTCGGCGGACAGTTATCCTGGTCAACAGTACGACAACGAAATTTATTCGGGCGACTGGGATTCCGATGACGACCTTGATGATGATCTTACCGCATCCGATGTCGACATTGACAACCGTCACGATTACGGGTTTGATGCTAACGTTTGCAGAGACGATTCATTTGACTGGCCTACAAAGTTGATAGAATGGTCAAAACCAATTGAGGAAGATGTCGTCACCAACACAATTTTTGTCATTGCTCAATGCGAACAACCTGAAGGTGAGCTAAAGGATTACCAGAAGAAAATGGCATCTGAACTGGCACGCTGCTTTCCGCTGGATAAATTAACAGTTAGCCATTGGCATACTCATGATGGCTCGTTCTTCGCCCGTCGTTATTTTCAAGTTTTCTCTGAATATCTTAAGGTCCATTGCCAGTTGACAGGTTTACTTTGGATTGCTGAGTTAAATGAAGTAGCATTAGCAACCATTGAACACATCCTTCGATCAAGTAATACGCTGACTTACTTACATTTGTGTGATGATTTACGCAGCACGTCACTCACACCGGCTCTTCAAGCAAATCGCACATTGACGCATCTCAACCTTCGCAATGCCAGGATCCGTATTGCAGGAGCTAAAGCACTTGGAGAGGTTCTTCGACTGAATTGCACTCTGACACATGTGAGTTTACCTGGTAACGCTATAAGTCATATTGGAGCAGAAGCTATCGCGAAAGGCCTCGAGTTTAATAACGTGTTGGTGCATTTGGATATAAGAGATAACTGGATCGGTGATCAAGGTGCTGTGGCATTTGCTAAAGCTTTTGAGTCAAATTCTACTTTGAAGTATTTTGATGTAGGTATAGTTATAGAACAGCAATCCAAACCTGATATGTATCGCCCAAAGTCTGACTTTGATGACGTAAAAACTGACTGGATTCGTGATTCAGGAATAAAAGCAATTGCAAAGTCTCTTCGATCAAATTGTTCGCTGACTTATTTAGATGTTCAAGGAAATCCCTTTTGTGACTCAACAGCAGCAGCTCTTGGAGAAGCCCTACGATCAAATTGTACTCTCAGTCGTTTGTATTTGAAAGGCTCACGGATGTTCCCCCTAATAGGAAGATTGGAAAGTCAGTTCGGCAAGTTAGCAGCAGCAGCCTTTAAAAGAGCACTTCAGTCACGTGTTACCAAGGTTACCCATTTAGACTTGTGTCGAACTTCGATAACGTCTTCATGTGTGATAATGCTTGCAGAGGCTCTCCAGTCCAATACAACTCTTGTCTGTTTGGATTTGAGTTGGAACAACATTGATTCATTTGGTGCCGCAGCCATTGCGAACGGACTGAAGTCAAATCGGACCTTGACACATTTGCAGCTGAGAGGAAACCATATCAGTGATGCAGGTGCTGCTCAATTTGCACAGTGTCTACGGTCTAATGGTTCTCTCGTGTATTTGGATTTGATTAGCAACAGCATTAAGTATTTAGGCGCCGCAGCCATTGCGAAGGCGCTGAAATCAAATACGACTTTGACACATTTGCAGCTGGGATGGAACGAAGTGGGCGATATGGGAGCAATGGAATTTGCGGACACTCTTCAATGTAACAAAGCTTTGGTCTTCCTCAGCCTTAAATGTAACCAGTTTAGTAAATCAGGCAGAAATATGCTTAAACAGATCAAACCGCTCATTAGCTGCGCGTTGAGGATTTAATTGAAAGACTGTCCGAGGAGTTTGTCAGAAGTCAATCTGTTAGTAAAAAACCACATGTATGAACATGTGGCAGATGCCAATCTGTTAGTCAAAAATCACATGTGCAAACATTTATGCACCATTTATGCACCATAGGAGACGGGATGCTATCAAATCAACAGGAACTCATTTTAGGTTATAGATAAGGTTGAAGTGTGAACTTTCAATCAAAAAAAGGAAAAATTGAAGCAGTGATTGATGATGAAGTAGTGACCGGTTTTCGTTTACTCCGGAAGTTTGCACAGAAAGTGAGGGACTTTTTTTTATCCTTTTGGTCAAATATAGTTTTTCGATGGAGGAAGGAATTTTAAACTTGGCCGCTAGATTGCCATACACACTGTAGCGTAACAATTAATGGCGAATGTCACCTTGGTTCTGAATATTATCTGTGGTATGTCTTAACACCGAAAGTAGTTTAATCTCCCTCTCGGGATCATGACTCATCTAATAAAATTAAATATCCAATTGCATTTGGTATCTCCATTTTGGGCGGATATATATAATTTGGTTGGTTGGCGCAAATTTCGAGACTTTTTTATTTGAAAGGTTTCAGTGTTAAATTATAATTCAGTCATATTGCATAGCTTACCGAGAAACTTTCTTAATGCGCTCTCATCTAACTTTGGCAGATACCTTTTTGTTGTCCGTTCGCCGTAACACGTACAGAACTATATTGTAGTGAAGCTCGGTCAAAGTTAGAAATCTAATTTGAAACTCCACTTACGAACATAATGTACTAAAACCATCAATACTAGTTAACCTTAAAGGTGGATTGTTTAAGCGAATAGTATTTGAATCATAAAAAAAGTCTCTGATTAACGGTTTCCAAGGAATGCTACGGATAATAGTTTTGCGGTATGATCTTGAGACTTGCACAGCCAAGTCAAGCTGCGCAAGAACAAGCGATATTTTCTGCGTGAAAGCTTAAGAGTGGGGAAGCCGGGCTATTCCCACCCATATTTTCGTCCGGAGGGGAGAGTTAATGGCCCCTCTGCCCTCTCGTTCTCCTCTACATGAAGCACGAAAATCCGGGGAAGAAGTGGAAACAAGGGGCCTTAGAGCCAAGATTTCATACCTCATTATCAAAAAATTGAACGACTTGTATCCGGGGCTTATGTCAAGAGTTTTTCTGTTATGATACGGCTACATTTCCGTCTGAGTTTACATTTTAGGCAGGGAGACAGATATTAAGAGGGCTTTCCTTTAGAAGCGATCTGTCGACATTCAGTGTTATCGACACAATTCTTAGCCAAATTCGAATTTAGATGTTTATATTTCTTAACTACCGTGATAAGTGAGATTTATACTTAAATTAAACGATACCTCAATTAGATTAAAACTACAAATTAAGAAAATATTGACCTTTTCAACTTTTGGGTGCTCTTTAGACCAATTTTGAAGCACAGATACGCTTCTCTTTATATTGAAGCAACAATTTAACAATTGCTCTTGCCCTCTTTTGTTTGAAATGCTCCTCTTTGCTTTAAGAAAGTAAAGAGATATCTTCATTTAACCCATGATAACTGTGGCAGAATACTGTCAAAGAATGTTGGATTCGCCGTAGAACAAGAAAATCGGATCACCAAAAACATGTTTTTCTCCATGCTACTAAAACACAGATTTGGATACAAGGCACCTAGCCATGAGCGTGCTACTTTTACATGCACTGTTTATAAACAGCCATAAGGTCAACCTGTTTTTAGCAGTCACCCCGCCGTATCCCTAGGTGACCGCTTAATACAGGTATGACTGTACCTATATTCATGTGGTTTCAAGTGGCAATGTACAGGTGTATTTTGTCGGGGTAAAAGGTTTCAATACTTCACGATCACCAGCATGGCCGAAAAAAATTTGCAATAACCTCATCTGTTTTTTGTTTTGTTCACTGTCACGACTGCCTTACAAATAATTATCAGAGAACTGAGTTAAGAAACTCGAAAGACGGTGAGCTGTTTGCTCCATCATTCTATAATTCCACCGTATGAGACGACGAGCAACTTGTTTTTAAGGGTTTTGCCACTTAAAAAGACATACTGACAGCAACACACTACAGAGAGTTTTCTAAAATTGTTAGTATAAAGGGAGTGGTCCACGAATAACTGCAATTTACTACGTCAGGGAATGGTAACTAGCTAACCAAAAAGCATTATGGGTTGTTGAATCGACCGCCATTTTAGCTTCTTAAGGAGAATGGTAGACTTTGTTAAGCGTTGTCACAATTTTCAACTAAGGGTGTAAAACTTGCTCTCGACGTTCTTATACTTACAAATTTGCAATATGGACGTGGAAGAATCACGAACCCAAGGTCAAAAAAAGCAAAACAACGTTCTCCCTCATTGGGGAAACGAAAAAACCATGAATCTGAACAGTATGATTCTAACAAATGTGCTGTCGTCGCCGTACTTCAAGAACGAACTTTTCCAGCTGAAAACCTATCATGAAGTGGTTGATGAAATTTACTACAAGGTAAGAACGGAGAAAGGTCGACGGAGAATTGAAGGACACAATTGCAACCGTGGACTCGTCACTCTCGACACGTAAGAATATAGTGGAAGCTATGAGCTACAGTACATAATTTTACTGTGTTTTACTAGAATTACGGCTTTTAATACTCCTGTACTCTAGCTGTAGTTTTTCATTTATTTTTAAGGAATTTCACCCAATGAATCCTCCCAAAGGCGACTTATTTTATCATGGCTTTTGACATTTTTTCGCGATCTCTCCAATTCAGATGCCTTGGTTTTTTTTGTCGCAGACAGGCACATCTGTCTACTGTTTTGTGGGTTAGTTAAAGTCGTTTTAGCATTGATTAATAAAGTTCAACATACAGATAGAGAAAAGAACCTTTCATAATGAAAGAATCCCATGCTAAACAGAAATCGGGATCTGTGATTAAAATCAGGTTTATTTCATAGCACCAAGTCTGCATATTTGGCATGGGTAGACACTAGTTTTTCCCTACTGTTCATTGCAGCCAAAAATGAAGATGCTGAGGTCATTTCATCTACATCTGTTTTTGTGCAAACCTTTTTCCATTACCCTCTGTTAACTGTTTAGAGACCAGCAGAGGTGAATTGTCCTCCCTAGTTAGCCAGCTTTGAATATTACAATGTACATGTGAAGAGCATTGTGTTGCTACAAGGATGATTTTGAGGCACTAGTATTAAGCAATTGTTACATTCTTTTCCTTTTCCTGCACAAGGCGATGTTTTAAGTCTGGTTTACTGAAAGATACTGGGAGAAATACAAGCACAATTATACCAGCATAGCATTTTGTCATAGGCTTGCAATCTTTAAACATATATTTAAAATGATACGGTTTGTTGTTTCATGTGTGCTTGAAAACTGTAGCTTCTTCCAAGTTGATATATGTTTGTGAGCTTAAATATGTGTCATTTTGGTAAAATAAGAGGAGGAAAATACTTCATCCTTGTGCTTGAGCTTGTATTCAATTGTACCTTGTTTTCATGCTTAAATAGGAGCCGTTATTGTTGAGCTTGAGTCAATGCTCCTTTAAGCTTTGCAGCAGCAATGTTAATTTCCACATCATTTGATGAGGAATGATAAGCAAATGGGTTTGTATGATATTTCAACTCTTTGGAAACCAGTGCTATTTGTAAAACTTTTGTGTATTATTTGTGAAACTTTTGCATATTATTTCTAAAGGTGGACCACCTGGAACCATGGGAGAAAGGCAGCAGAAAAACATCTGGACAAGTTGGAATGTGTGGAGGGGTTAGATCATAAATACACTTGTATCATACATTTTCATGCTTGTAATCCCTTTAACTCCCAAGATCTGAGTGTTAACCCTTTAACTCCCTAAAACATGTAACTTCTCCCTATAATATACATATATTATCATTATCCCACAAGCAGGTAATGAGAATACCTAAACTTATCAGGTGCAAGTTTTTGTCTTGATCTAAAACCAAACACTTGTCACTAATTTACAAGGAAATCTGTAGAAAGTGTAGGGAGAATTAAGAATTACATCTTGGGAGTTAAAGGATTAACTCTCTCCCCTTGCTGCTACACATTTCCTAACAATAAGTTATGAGAATTTGGCATTGAATCAAAGTAGCAACTTTTACATGATAAGTTAGAGTATTCTCATCACCAGTGTGCTTGATAATCTGTGGATGCTATAGGGTGAAGATACATGTTTTTCACTTCAGGGAGTGAAAGGATTAAGGAAGTTGGATAATGTCACAGACCTGTGTATTTTCATTTTTATCTATATAGTTTTTATTTGAACAGGAAGCAAATCTGGCAGCATAAAATGATTATTTAAGGAAGTTGTCTTTTTTCAAGTAGATATGTTTTTCACCCCCTGATATTTCCTGGTATTTACAGGCTTGATGTTTGTATGCAAAACAAAGATGATATAATATTTGGGCCAAAAATGTTATGTTGTAGGAAAAGTTGATGATTTACTTGGGGACTTCAGCTTTGGTATTAAGTTGTCTTTTTCTTTGAAAAAAGTTAAACATTCAAGTATTTGTTGTATGCACAGATTTTAGTTTTTAATTATTTTCTGCTTCATTTCTTTGCTCTTTTAGGTTCGAGGAGTTGGTGCTGGTGGGATTGTATCAACATCATTCTGTCTCCTGTACAAGTTGTTCACATTAAAACTAACTCGCAAACAGCTCAATGGTTTGATAACACATGTGGACTCACCTTACATCAGAGCATTGGGTTTCATGTTTATCAGGTAGGTGAAACCTGTTAGTATGCCTCCACATAGGTATCATATTCACTCTTTGTGGTTTATTTTATGATCAGCTTTCCTATTTAGACTGTACATTACCACATTTAACCCTTTAACCCCTAAGAGTGACTAGCATATAATTTCTCCTTACAATATCACTCCTGAATCAAACCTTCTGGAGATGAGAATAAAGGAAATGGTCACCAACTAGAGAAGCTCTGGATTATGAAACAAATTCTCCTCAACAGCACCTTAGGGAATGTATAGGGAACAGTATGGAGAATATGCATACTGATGTTACGGTGGAAATGGTCAAAGAGGACAAATTATGACTTGCACAATCCTAGAACTACAGCTGAGAGTATGAAATCCAGCTTGGCTTTTAGCAATGAATTAAACTGTAGCTTATAGCTTGTTTAGGGGCTTTGCTTAGGGAATGGTTCTTGTCTTGGATTAATGTGCAAGATTTTTTTCATCCTGGAAAGCACAACTTTTTTAATTATGTACAGAAAACAAGGAAAGTACAATATGGCCAAATTTCACTTAGATACTTTTCTCTGTTATGTAATCATACACTACAACTCACAGGTGCAGGGACAGGTGGGCTTTATTTTTTCCTCTCATATCCTTGTATCAGTTTTATACCAGTTGTATATTGTTACAATCTTTTAGATACTGCCAACCTCCTGCCAAGCTTTGGGAATGGATGGAACCATACCTAGAAGATGAGGAGGTTAGTTACTGGTAACTAAATATTTGAGAAGTTCTGATTTGCTTTATTTTGCCAATCCAACAGCTAAAAAATTAATGCCTGAATGTCTAGCTTTCTCTGAAAATTATGCAAGTTATCATTTCTAAATATTTTTTGGTTGTTTCTTATGCTTTTCTACTTCCAAAATAATTTTTTAAATTATAATTTTGGAAAATATATATCATTTTAGTGTACTTTTTCTCTTTTTTTTTCTCTTTCTTTTCTTTTTGTTTTGCCATTAAACTTTTTTATCCTAGTCATATAATTTTTTTAATACATTGTTAATATTTACATATCAATTAAGTGATAGTCCTGCCAATGACATACTTTAAATTATAAAGATGCATGCACATGTAGCTACGCTGTTTATAACATGGACTGTTACACACACAGCGATGAGCCTTTTCAGCTTTTTGGCTGTGGAGCTACCTTACCTTGTGAATGTTTTGTTAATATGGTATTTGTATGTGATTAAGAGTGAGGCAATATCACTGAAAATGAAACTTTCTATAATGTAAGAGCAAAGTTTTCATTAGGTAGCACAAACAGATTTAGCCATGTGAAATGTCATCACACTCATAGCACAATACAGCAAATTGTAAGAAAACAACATTTCTTTTAAATTAACATCATCTTGGGAAGGGAATTCATCCTTAATTCTTATACATAACTAACCAGATCTCTTCCTTGCCTTATTAAATGTAAATACCAGCAGTTGATGTGTAGGCATGAAATATATAAGATTATATCATTGAACACTGTTTGTGTTGAATACAGAAAACATAAAGGTACACTATGCATGTCAGACATTGTTTAAGGGGGCAACATATGAGAGGACAATGCTGTGTTTAAGTAGGTAATCAAGCAGGCAGGTGTTTCATGAATTGTAACACCCATCCCCCCCCCCTCCACCCTAAAAAAAAAAGAAAAAGAAAAAAAGGCCATTGTGGGCTGTTATAAACATTTCTTATGCTACTCTAGCATTCCACAACTAAGTTTAAAGAGTTCTGTTGAATACAGTGGTGAGATTTTGCTTATTTATGTGTAAACAAAAGAAAACCATCTAATCGAGCCATTGGACAATTTATTTTGCAACTCTCAGTTTTATGTGGTGAGTTTGAACAAAATTTCTCTGCCTGATTTTCTGATTGTTATCACATTTTACCTGTTGGAAGTAAGTTGTTGACATGTGGTGTTGATGTGTTTGTAGGTTGTTCTGTAATGTACCTCTCTTAGGCAGCTCATGACAGCTGTTGTTTCCATACCAACTGCTGGCCTTCAGATATGGAACTGCTCCGAGCTGCCTGACAAGAGGTTAACATGACACAATAGTAGCTATGGCCAACCTTGTGCTTTGTAGTTGGCAGTGTAGTCCATATTCATGACACCAGACTTGAGTTCTAACTTTGGAGGAATGCTCACTCCAAATTGGGTTCCTTAGAAAAAATGAATGGGAAAAAAAAAAGAGAGAGAGAAAGAAGGAAAAATAATACATTTCAGTTTTGAAGGAAAATGAGAAGGAAATTGTTGGTCGGTTTGAGTCCTCGTAAGTCATGTTATCTTAGGTTCGTTGGATAAACGTCCTCTTTGTTTAAGTTTTTTGCCATCTTTAATATAGCAGTCTAAATCCTCTATGTTTGGCTGTACTAGAAGTCAATTGAATCAAGGGGGTAAGTTTGTGAAAAAACTGTGGTGCTGTGTTGGTGGGAGAGTATAACAAAGTAATTTAGTGAGTTTATAACGTTAATTGGTCACCGTAAGGGGTTTCAAAGCTGACGTTTCGAGCGTCAGCCCTTCGTCAGAGCTAATGGCGAAGGGCTAACGCTCGAAACGTCTGCTTTGAATTTCTTAATGGTGGCCAATTACGTTATCAACTCAGTTGATAATACCAAACTGCCTTGAACTAGAAGCCCTTATGTTAGAGGCACAGCATCTGCCAAAGTCTTCTGAAACCAAGTTCGTCTTTTGGCGAGAAAATGATGTAGTATGGTTACATCTTAACAAAGCATAAGCGCTTGACCCAATTTGCTAGTACACCTCGTATGTAGAGCGTCAGTCACTTGGCAGGCGTTTGAGGGTTAGAGTGACCAGGTCAAGGTTCTTTGATTTGATACCGCTAATTTTGTTTAAACAGTTGTTTTCATTTAGCACCTCAGACCTTGCTGTAAATCACACTCAATCATAAATGTTCTCTTCTGTGTATTGTATTTTTCAGGAAATTGACCCTAAAGCTGGTGGAGGCTGCACTATGACTATTGGACAGATGGTCAGGAGTTTCTTGCTAAAGTTGGAATGGTATGGAACTTTGTTTCCTCGCATTCCTGTTCCCGTTCAAAAGGATATCGAGATAAAGCTGCGGGGGAAAGGACTGTGCGATGACCACAAACGTACCGCGCAAGACGGCTGGGGTGAGGCGGAGGAGTTTGCTCGGCGCGCTCGCGGTGAAAGGTGGGTGAGTTTGCGAGATATCAACACAAATAGCACTGATAGCATTGTTTCCTACTGCCATAGAACTACTGCGAAATAGTGATATTACGTGAACATTCCATCGTAGTGCACGTAACTGAAAGAAGGTTGGATGCAGTTGAAACAGTAGTTCCACTTGTGATCTTCGCGATTGCAAAACTTCTGTTTTGTGACTTTTCTACAAATTAAGGGGAAAAAACTTCTTTTCCGTGTTTGTGTATCTTGAAAAAGATAGGGAGTCGAATAAGCTTTTCCTTCTAGCAGAGTGTGTTGTGTTTATTTGATATGTTACCGGAGAGTGGACAACTTCCTCTACGCAAGTATAGCTAATCCTTCTGCTGGCTATTTTTTCCGCAGCCCCCCAAAGAGTCGACAAGACGAAGAGGAAGATCTTCAACGAAAATCACGTCGAAGTCGAAGTCGAAGTCGAAGTCGCGATCGTGATCGTGATCGCGAACGGGAAAAAAGACGAAGTCGAAGTCGCGATCGTCACAGTTCGCGAAGACGAAGCAAGGAACGCCGAAGTCACGAACGAAGACGCGATGAAAGTAAAGAACGTGATAGAAAAAAGAGGCGGAGTCGGAGCCCGAGTAGGCGAAGTAGGGACGACGACAGAAAAAGAAGAAGCCGAAGTCGGGATAGAAACCGAGAGAAGAGACGAAGTACTGATCGTGAAGAATCGCGAGGAAGGAGTAGTAAGGAAGAGAAAAGGAGCCGAGAAAGGTCGCGCAGCAGATGAAGTACATGCTAAACTTTTAATCAATATAACTCATATGCCCCATGTTACTGCCATATATTTCCAAATGTACAGATCATGGAATACCTAATGCATGTTTTTATACTTACTTCGTGGCTATGTGTAAATTGCTCCAGTGATGTGCGCTTGTCGATCAAATATATTTTTTTTTTTCCATAACCATCCCATGGCTTATAGGGCGTGGCTTTTTTGAGAGACATCTCAAGAGGTTTGCAGTTGGCTCCTTGCTGCTAGCTCACTTGAGATTAACAGAGCCAAGCAGCAGTCGCGAACGCTATTCATGGAAGCGTTGAGATTTTTGGTGCCTTTTTTACGTTTTAGTATAGAAGAAACTGGCTCTCCGCCTTATTTAAATAATAATTAAAAACTTTTATCAGCAGCATAATACCGTTTTCTTCGAACTTAGTCTATTCGTATTACTCTTTAACTTTTTAAACGACCGTTGTCTTCTGTATACGTTCATGGTAAGAATGTGGGTGGTTTCAAACCTAGTCACATCCAGGGGTGTTTTCATTTTCAACTGTAAAGATGATCAGAAGAAAGAAAAGGATCTTTTAGCTGGATATTGTTTGAATTGACACCAGGTACTCCGGGCTAAAATTCTAAGAAATATTTGTTAGACAGTGCATCGACTTTTATTAAGGTCGTGGAAGTGATGGAGGTAATAAATTTCGCAGTGAACTGCATCGAAATGATTTCTTCCCTTCTTAACGAACTTACTCCCGTAACCGTTTTTAGAAAGCCCGAATTTCAGAATGTACTCAGTTTTACTCGCCTATGGTGGAACCTAGTACCTCTTGCCGTAGATATCTTTAGAAACGTTTTTACAGGACTACGACGTTAGTGGTGTTTAATTGTGTGCATAACTCTGTTCATTGATATCTGATTATGATGAGATATACTTAGCGAAACTTGCTTGAAATCTGTTATTTGTCTTCTTTTTTTTTTAATAAAAGAACAGCAAGAACTTTGCCACCTTTGATCATAGCGTCCACTTATATTGCACTGGAGAAAGTTGGTTTCCCCCCCTCCCTCAGATGAAAGGCCTGAATTACCGAACTAGGAACACGAGTATTTCAACATGATGAGCAGCCTGTGTCTTTGCATTCGGTTTATCGGGCGATTGTAGATCCCCTCGGGGACAAGAGTAATGAGTAACGATTGTGTCCGCTAGCTAACTCAAATTATTAAATTTCGGCTCTGAATATTACACTTCTAGTGTTCTGATTGATTGATTCAACTCCGGTCATCAGCTTATTTTCCAAGTCACCTTAAATGGAAATGCATTGCGCTTACTGTTAAGAGGAATAACGGCTCCAATTATCCAAATGTTCCGGATAAGATGAAGTGAAGTAAATATTTAATAAATTCATTTTTCCATTCGCGCTTGTGGGGTACGAAATTGATTATAGACCCCCATTATGGCCAATTCGGCCCTAAGCATCTCGTTGGCTATTTACCATCTCGTATTCAACGCGCGCTCATGGAGTAATTGAGATGTGGCCTAATGTCAGGCCGAAAGAGTTATTCAGTGATCATTGGATGGGTGAGTAAGGGTACTTGTGACACACTCTGGGGGGTGTCAAGGAGCTGACAATCGTACTAGACCCTGTATGAAAACTGAAACTTCTAGGATTTCCCTAGGAAAAGGCCTGGTGTTCATCAAATGCACATGGTAATGACCAAGGATGAAATTCAGGGCTGCCGGTTAACTTTACACGCACAACACTGGACGAAGACAAACAGTCAAATATCCGGAATATCACACCAATATCGTGATAAGCTGCGGGCTAGGAAAATCCGTCCTGCAGATGGTATGGCCAACTCTAAGTATAACGTGTCTGAGAGGAAGCGCTTTAAGAATTTTCTCGCTCTTGAAAAGCTGCCATATCTTAGCCAGTAATAGTGCAAACACGATCGAAATGTTTGGGTTGCTCACGTGCTGCAAGTGAAAATTTCACTTTTCAAGTTCATTACTTTGTCCTTTTTCCTCTCCGTGACCACTTCAACATGAAGATGCTGATCGTGACACATTCGTAAAAGGGATGTCCGGGAATCTCTCCTATAGTTATCCCTAGTCCCCGCTCTAATTTTCAGCGACTTAGCCCAAGTTTGATTCTTGCGTGTGAGCCATTGGGTCACGGTTAAATTTTCTCCGCACTGGATAACACCTTTTTTACTTATTTCTACGAAGGACTAATCTGGGGTCTGTGTCCTCAAACGGATCATCTTTAAAGGTTACTGTGCTATTAAAGATTTCAGTTTTCATTGCTATTCAATTAATGTCGAAGCCAGCTAAGTTCATTTTGATCAGATTGTTGTCAGAACATTGTGATGTTGAATTCGAAGGACCTGAACCAATTTTTCTACTGTTATAATATCTGAATTTAAGAATGGTTGATCAATTATAGTTTCTCTTAATTAATGGTAATTTTTTCACGTCTCGCTTAATTCCTGTTTAATGTATCTTTTTAATATGTGATGTTATTTCCTGTTGACTGAAAGAGAAGCGCAGGCGCATTCAAGTATGAAATACTTCTAAATGACTTTCTTGAAACTTTTCCTGTTTGTACAGTTAATTGGGTCGTCATGAGTTCGTCCGTAGTGAAACGCGAATGGCTTGGCTTGGAGGGGCACATACAAGCTCTGAACAGCAACTGTGGTACGTATTTAAATTTGAGTGCTCAACAGACCAGAGCGTCTCTTGGCTAAATTCGATATTTTCATTTCCTATCAATTAGCGGTATCGATATCATTCAGTTCTTTCGATGATGGTTTATAGTACTCTCTCGTGTAAACTAAATGTAATCAGGTGTATTCTTGGTAATCCTTTAAAGCCTCTGAACACTTAAACTCTTACAAGTAATAAACATAAAATTTAAATATATTGTCAAGCTTTAAATATATTGTCAAGCAAGCGGGTGATAAGAAGAATCACAATTACTCACTACGAGAGAGAATTTTTCCGAGTGGCACAGTATTGCCACTCTCCAGTTTCCCTGAGAGTGTCCTATATATTTACATATGAGACAAAGAATGCTGAGAATTGAATAACTTGCTTCTTAACCCTTTAACTCCCAGATCAAATTTGTAATTCTCCTTTTGTTACACACTTTAAATTCAATTTTGGACTTAATATTATTCAGAACTGAAGATGACAGAAGAACTGTTGAAACATGTTTTTAAATTTAAAAAGTGTTATTCATTTTCTTATTTCTCCTTACTGTCAACCATGCAATTCTTATGATGTTAGTTTGCAGAATTTAGTATTGGATCAACTAATTATCCCCAAATTGATATTTTTCTTTATTCTCATCACTCTTATCTGGTTGATATTGTATTGATATTGTAAGGAGAAATTCTGTCTTGGTCACTCATGGGAGTTAAAGGGTTAACACATCAACATTCGGAAAATTCATCAGTAGGTTTGGATCAATGTCATTATCAGACAACTGCACACCTTCCCCTCTCATAACCCTTTAACTCCCAGAAGTGATTAACATCTACCTTCTCCCTACAATATTCATACATTATCCAGAAAACAGGTGATGAGAAAGCTCAAACATATCAAATAGAAGTTGTTGTCTTGATCTAACACCAAATTCTTGTAACTAATTTAAAAGGAAATATGTAGTAGCTGGAGGGGAGAATTAATAATCAGATCTGGGAGTTAAAGTGTTAACCAAATAATAGTGAACTGATAACAACTCAGGGTTAAAGTTGGGTTAGGTGGTGGGGGGAAGGGTATGTTTGGTAGGTGTACAACTCCTGAGATGCTTACATTGATCCAGAGGTTTCATAGGAGACACTAGTTTCAAGTGTCCATGAGAGATGGGTGATTTTTGTCCTTTTCAGTAATTTTTGTCCTTTTCAGCTATACAAATGCTGAAATCAAACCATATTTTTAATTTCCATACTCTTAATTCATGTGTACCTGAAGTATCGAAAGGATGATAATCTATAATGCATGCATTGTACTGAAAAATGGACCCCTTGTAACATGGAAACTTTTTGTGCTGCTCTGGGTTTCCTTTACCTTCAATGGAAGTTTACTTAAATTTGTGTTCTAATCAAGTTTAGCTCCCTTCTCAGCCACACAGGAGACAAGCTACTGTAACAATTCGTAATATGCAAAATAGTGAATTAAGCTCAAGTCTGGTGGTAGGGGTCACTGTGATATGTTCTTAAGCACAACTTTTTACGTCACAGTGTGGATTTGGTTTTTAAATTGAAAAAGGCTTTTTGATTGTCATAGCTGATGCTGACAGTTAAATTTGCACTTCTGTAATTTGTTCCCCTCTGCATTCCATCATATTAGGGCTTTCCAAGCTAAAAGAACAAGATAAAGGGGACAGACACTGGTAAGTCTTTCAACAATCATGTAATCTCACTAAAAATTCAGTTAAACTTGTTTTTTAAGCATACCCCTATATTAAGTCCCTGTAAATCTGGACTATCAATAAAAGGATATACAGACAATCTTCCTAGCAGAAGTTTCATTAGTGGAATAATTTGTTTTTTATTTTAGAGAGCAGTTAAGTTACTTAAAATCAGTAGTTAGACACCCCAGAGAACAGTAACTTTGCTTACTCTTAATAGAAATAATTATTTTAAGGTAATATTAAACCAGTTTTTTTCAAATATTTCAATTTGGTTTGCTTCCATTTAAATATAATTAATGCAGGTTTTTTTTGTCAACTTAGCCAATTTTTCATCCTTCAGTGATATATTTTACTATGAATACTCTTACCACTCCTTGGTGGTTGAAAATCTTTTAATTTGCCTTTGTGGCTTACAGGTTCATTATGCAGGATTCCAACCTCTTGTTTTATGACCAAAAAGCTAGCCAGGCTCCACCAGATACCAAACCAACAGGGTGGGTATTTGATCCTGATCTAAAAGGATTGTCATTTGCTATGTTGTTGTGTTTTTTTAAACACTTTTTATGATAATAGCCCCACTATACATTCAAAGAAGTTGCACAAAAATCTAGCTAGTGATGTGAATGGGTGGGAGGGAAGGTTGTTAACAAGGCTTGTGTGGCAACACTGTGTGAGAATGTTATACTGCTGGTGAAAAAAATAGTTCTTAGATTTCAATTATTGATCAGTTATGGCAGGGTGGGCTCTTGCTTTCTCAAACTGCACAGGAATTGAGGACAGTGGGGTTAAGATTTTAGAGGTCTGATATACAAAGATAGTACATTATCTCAAGTCTGAACCTGGGGAGGCAGTGGGAGTTGACAATAATAGGAAGCTTGAGATATAAAGGGTCCAAGATATTGTAACTTCACTCTACCACATAAGTAAAATTTAAAACATTTATTTAATCTTTGATACTATATGTATGTAAAGCCAAAGGTGGAAATATTAGAAATAGGAGGTGGCATAGTGGCTTAACTTTTAGTTAGCACTTTAATTCATGGAAAGACAGGTCTGGGTTACAGATCTGGTATGGTTCTTGTGTTGTGTTACTGGGCAAGATTAATCCTTATGGTGACTCTCTCCATGACAGGGTATAAATGGCTAGTCTTGTGAAGTGTCAGAAAATCTGAAAAAATTCTGGTGTGGGAGGGATACCTGTAAAGAACTGGAATTGCATTAAGGAAAAACCTCCTAGCCACCTTAAATGTTGTAGGAAACAGGAATGAGAGGCAGCAGTTATGGTCCTCTCAGCTCTATGACTTTACTTTCCTAGTCACACATCTTGTTGAGACAAAGGAGGTAATTTAGGGTAGTTTTTTGCAAGGTGCTTGAATTCACCTTTGGATCCCTCTACTTTATTAGCTAGTGTGTGGTACTTTCATTGGTTCCTGTCTTTTTTTTTTTTGTATTCTCTTTGGTACCTAATGGCATGAATCCCAATCCCATTGCCATACTTTAAGCCTGTAAAGGTGGCTTGATCTTTTTAGTAGAGAATCCCTGTATAGCACATTGTAGAAAATTCCCCTCCCCCCCCGCCTTCATATGTTACAAGCACTGTTAGCACTGTTATCACTTACTTAGATGCATATATTTGATGGAAGTGTTTAAAACTTTTGGTTTTAAAATGGGCATGTGTTTATGCATTTTTCAATGAGTACAAATTTAAGATAAACCTTCAAGCTAAAGGTAAATTAAACTGCTTTATCAAACTTGCGATCTTCTTTTATTGTTATCAGATCTATAAATGTTGGTTCATCGGTGGTAGATGTAATCGTTGTTATTTCAAGGTAAGATTTAATGTTCAATACTTGTCATATAGACCCTATTGGTTAACACTTCGGCCCCTAAGAGTGATTAGCATCTAATTTCTCCTCACAATATCACCCCTGAAACACACATTAAGCTCACGAGAATAAAGAAAATGATCACTATCTAAAAAGGGTCTTGGTTGTTAAACAAATTCTCCTTGTCAGCACCTTAAGTAATGTATAGAGAACAGTATTGAGAATATGCATACTGATGTTAGGGTGCAAAGGAAGAAGGTCTTAATTATTAAACAAATTCTCCTTGTCAGCACCTTAGGAAATGTATGGAGAATACACATACTGATGTTGGGGCGTGAAGGGTTAATAGAAGGAAATCAGTCAGAACTACTAACCAGACCAAATGAAACTAACACAAATACGTGTAATACCAGCAATCATCGGGATCAGATACGCGCGGAAAAACGCTTTTTTAAAATGTGCGTCTTGTTATTATCCTACATCTAGCTGGGGATGAGTCGACTACCCCTTTTTTTCTTTCAATTTTGAATCTTAATTAACCAAATATATGGTGAAATTTTTTTCTAGGTAGCTCTTTGTTGCTAATCTTGAAAATCTGATTTTCTGACCGCCATGCGCGCGCACGAGTTAAACGGACGAGTTCGACGTCAGCGTTGTGATGCACTACGTGATAATGAAGTTCCCATGGTGATAGAAAAAACTACTGAGACTCACGGCGAGGCGGGCCATCCGCGCAAACTGCCTGGTTTACAACTCTGCATTGCCTTGTCAGTGCATTGTAGGCAGTGCATACTATCGCACTGCTGAACGTCAAAATTTCGATGTTGCGGAAACTTTTTTTTGTCGCATTTTGTTCAACTCTCACTGCTATTTTTATTCCCTTTTACAATCCTTTTTAGATACCTTCCAGCGTTCTCAGAGTTTTCGTTATTTTCATTTTCAGCAAAGAGGGAAAAGACTATCAGCTGTTCCCTCCACGGGATGTGTGTGTATTTGATTGGGTTGCAAGTCTCAAGGTGAATTCCTACAGAAATACAATCAAACAAATCTTCTTACACTTTTACCGTACGATTGTCCAGGCCATGATAGCTGGAGAAAGGCATCCAGACACAGTCCGCATGCTTCCTTTGTCACGATTTTAACTTTGGAAGATTATTTCATTCTGACAAACAGCCTTCCCAGTTTATTTGTTTTGATTTTATTTCTAACCAGGCTTTTGTTTTTGTTTTGTGTTTTCTAGGAAGCAACAAGATTGGCGAGTAAACAACATTCGGAGGCATCTTTTGAACGTGGGGCAGGAGGTGGGAGTATCATGGGCAGGGTGAGAGAATTGACGCGTTTACTGATGTTCGTGCGTGAAAAGATGTCATTCGTCTCATCACGAGTGTGTGACTGAATTCCTGTTTCTTTGACTGGCTGGCTGACTGACTGACTTACTGACTGACTGACCGATGGGTGTCCTAGATGCCCTACTTGGCATGTTGTCTATCTGCAGAGGTTGAATTGAAACTAAGGATTTTCCGTTCAAACTGTTTAAGAAGTTGTTAATCTTAGTTTTGGTCACAGATCGATAACATGGTGAGTTTTTTTTCTCTTTTCCTTTAGTTGCGGAACAGTCTGCGCCGAAAGAAAAAAGTGACTCGAGCCTTGTCAGATACTAGTAAAGGTTAGGATGATGTCTTTTAATTATAACGTTATTTTATTTTGTCGACTCCTATGTCTACTGCTGGTGACTAATTGTTTTTATCCTTCTTATACTCATGGATAGTTGGATCCAATGTAAACGGTTCTGCATCAAGTGACACAACCGGGGACCATGCTGAGTACCCCTCCTTGAAACTGGAGACAAAGTTGAAAACCCGCGTTCAGCGTTCCAAGTCCTTTCCACACGAAGAATCACAGATTGTCGAACTTAAACTAATGCCATCGTTTAATGAACAGGAAAAGGAACCGGCAGTGAAGGTATGCGTGAGTTTACATTGTTTCACTTTGTTGTGCCGTTCCTTTTGACCGTATGCCGCTAACTTGGATCTATTCCAGAGTGTTTCCCGTCAAATGGAATAATTTTTAATTAGATGTCTGGAGTGATCTAGGTTTGCACTTGCCTGCTTTACTTTGCTCTGTGATTGGTTTACGAAATTCGAGCCACCACCAATCAGAAGCCGAACTGAAATCAATCGCGACCTAGTCACTAGTGTTTTCCCGCGCTTAAAGTGGTTCGCTCTCTCGCTTTGAACTTTTATTGGCTTCCTCCATGTGATGTTTTCCTTCCTTCTGATTGGCCATGATGAACCTCAATCGAAAATGAATCTAAAGCCACCCTCCACTGGCTCAATGTTTTCTTTGATTTTTTTTCCTTTTCGCGGCAGGCAGAAGAAGCAGTTTCGTGTGACCCTGTATGCGAAAATAGTTGCGAAAAGATATCAGTACAAATACCACCTAAAGATGGTAAAATTGCAGAGAACGAAGAAGAACGAAAACGACAACCAATTGTAACTGAGTCCATTGAAGTGCAAACTGAACCAATTACAGTCGAAGAGCTACTTTCGTTTCAACAACAGAAATTGTAAGTGTATCATAAATTTACTTTTACATAATATGTCAATCAAATCACGATGGGAAAATTTGTGCTGCGTCGCTGATAGCAATGGCCATGTTCTTGCTGTAGCATGAAAAAATTGAAGCCATGGCCGAGTAAAAGATAGTACATAACAAGAAAAACAAACCTTTGACTTTGTTTTACAGAATGTTTTCTCCTTTTAGGGAAATCAATCATTAATGCTCAGAAGGCATGGCGATGTATCATTCATTTGTTTCGCAGTGACAATCGTTATTTTTCTAGTACTCTGCTTGAGCTTCTAATACGTTGTTTTAGTTGTCAGTACTCTGATGGGATTTTTATGAGAAAGAAAACTGACTTCAGGAAGAATTTATTGGTTATCAGCTTTATGTGTTTCATTTCCATTTAGAATAAAAGAACTTGAAATAGAGGTTTGCAAGCTGAAATGTGAAGTTATAAGTTTGATTCAAGGAAGTATAAAGATTCCTTTAAAAGGTCAGTTTTCCATTATTGTTATACGGTCATTACTTATGCTGCTAGCAGTTGTTTTTCTCATTGCCTGACTCACGTCACGAACCTCGTTATTCATGATGTGAAATGCATGTCGGTCTCACGGCCTTTTACAGACATCTTTATATTAAATAACGATTTCCCGCGAAATCGATTTAAGTTAACAGATGTGCTGGAGAGAAACAGTGAAATGATTTAGGAAAAAGTGTTCCTGGACAGAGAAACTATCATTTGAGGAAGAATTGTTTAGTCATTTCGTAATTGCTGTACTCTCGCGGTTAAGGTTAGCAAGGTTCTAAGTTGCCAAGGACACCAAAGTTGCGCGCTCCCTTGGTAATTATCTCTTCTAGTTGGAGCCCTGACACGGTTACCATAGTTAGCTGTGTTATCAATTGCAAAATAATCAGTTACCTCTTTACATAGTTGTTGTGCTGGGGATTTGCTACTTCGGATTTCAATGTTTCTCCACATGTACAAGTTCTACCAGGCGTTTACCACTCCCTGTAGCCCGGCTGAGTTATGCACCCAAGTAATTTACACTGTTCGTTTGATTTCTTTTCTTTGTTAAAGATGACGACTTGGCTGACTGGCAACTTATAGAAGACATCAGGGTAAGTCAGTAAGTCAGTTCTGTGTGCATTAGATTAAAAAAGAAAAAGGACGGTAACAACAACGAGGGCAAAAAATATGTGCATGCTAGAGCTCTGACACCTGAAGCAATTTCATTTGAGTGTTAAAAGGAAGTCAAAGGGTGCATTTGGTTTTCCTCACTATGCTCCGTGATTGGCCCAGAAAATTCGCACCAATTTCTCAACCAATCAAATACAAAATTAAAACCTAAAAAACTCCGACTTGTTCACTCGCTTTCTCCCACGCCTTAGGTACTTTGCCTGTCTCAACGTTTAAGTTTTCATTGGCTAATGATGTTGTTAACCGATGTTCTAATGGGTTGTTGTGGTAACGTTGGTTGTGGTTTTTCGACAATCGGTTGAAAATCGCCCTAGAAGTACGGTTGAGCAACTGTTGAGCATTCACAGACGTAAGAAAAGCAGACGGTTTCTTTGCCAAACGAAGCAAAAAACCTATCATGATTTTTTTGGGTCAAAGAATAATTGTTGCGCCTTCACGCCGGGAATCCCATAGTGTTGCAAAGAACGCCTGATCGCTGGTTAAGCGGCCTGATCTAACACGTACATGCATTGTGGTTGGCTGTACCACCGGGTAATATTATTTTATTTTGTGATATCGGGAGATTTAAGCCTGAAAGTGCGCAATGACTGGCTTTTACAATGTCGTTACAATCACGTGGCACAGTCAATCGTGATGATAAAGGGGTTAATACATATTGCTTTGCGCGTGTTTTTCTTTTTCAGTATAAGGACCGTATTTATCAGTTGTTGAGAGAGGCTCGGCTTTACAACCCAAGTTTGCCAAATTTTGACAGGTGAGTACTGCGTGGTAGCTTGATCACAGAACAACTGAGGTACATTACTTAAAAGTTAACTCTGAAGATAACTTGCAAAATGATTTGACTTAGCTCAGGCGATAACTTGAGAGTAGAGTCTGGGCCCTAATCAGGGGTGAGGTCTCTGAGAATAGGAAGGATTGAGTTATATTGAATTTCGTTGCGGGCTCTAGACACCATTTAATGCGGAACATTTGTTTTTGGAAACAACAAGCTACATTATTTGATTCAGCTTCTGGGTTCTCGTCAGGGTTAAGACTTCAAATAAATGGCAAGGGCTTCATTACAGAGGTCTTGAGAGATACTCAATCTTAACCTTGGGTGTGCATTGCTAGTCTCTGAGTAGCCTGAAGAACCAGCGTAATTTTTTCATTATACAGGCGAACGGAGACAAGCGCTGGGTGAGCGCGGGTTACGCGCGAGGGGAGGAGCTCATCCCCTCGCGCGTAACTCGCACTTCGTGCTCGCCTCGCGCTTGCCTCCCTTTGACTGAAAAACGCAGAAAAAGTGACGCCTGTTCTGCAGGCTAGGATTTGAGAATCAAGCGAAGCTTTGTAACCATGGTTGCACCATTGTTTATTGAGATTTAATCTAACTATGACTTTTAGACTGTGTACTAAACCACGAGTAAGAAAAACAATTCGTTTTGGTTGGGATTGTTTTAGGCCTATAAACCCCGCTAAAACATTGTATTTACAGTTTGTCTGTAAAATGAACGGTTACGTGACAATTCTTCACTACTACCATCAGAGTTTAATTCATGCAATTTCGTCTTTTGCGATGAGTCTATAGACGCTATAGTTCCGTCCCTTTTTTGTTTGGCCAGTTAAGTTTTTAGTTTCTTTGTAAACTTCGCCCGATGTTCCTGGCGTTTTTTGGCTAGTATTCTTCCGGAAGTTTTCTCACTTTTCGTCGGTGATTTTTTTTTCGGTTCGCGTTCGATTTTTTATTTCCTCACAGAAGGTGATGTACTAACAAAAGTTTGTGAGGTAAAAATGTTTTTAAACTCTCTGTAACTTATTCCACGTTTGAGATCGTCATTTCTTGCGGAGATGTTTGTGGAACCTTTGCAGTGCTCCTTCTTACGTAGAAAATGCTTTTCGTCACAAAGCTTCGAGCTGAGGGAAAAATTTTACGTTTGGAAGACGCCTTTGTATTCATGAGTAAGATTACAATGCAGATGGTGGTTTCAAGAAGGCGATTAAATGATTGGAAGATCCACCAAGGCCAGGGTTCGACATACTGCACATCTGAGTATACTCCAAAAACGCCAGCAGCCCCGTATATTGTCAGTACGCTTATCAAACCGCTCACAACTGCACACGCCGCAATGAGATACTGTAGACGCCGCATGCTGTTGTCGACTGCACTTTTGCTGTTGATATTAGCTTTGATGTTTACGTGAATTTTCCAGCCAACACGGACATATCCCGCCGCTAGCAGAAACCCTAATGATAGGAAATACAGTTGACACACCAGGAGGAGAACCTTAGCTTCTAGGAAGTAAACCACCACAAAATCTGTCACTATCACCAGGACCACGTGGAAAACTACCACGGGGATGATGAACTGTATGCGTTGAAATTTAGGCGGGGCAACGTTCATTTTTGTTGTGTCAATAAGTACCAGGAGTAGAAGGCTTAAAGCGGAAATGATGCATGGATGACCGAGAGAAAACAAGAGCTGAGATACGATGAGGTGAAATCGTTTGGTCGAGCCGTACGGGTCCACAAAAAGCGCCATCGCCCGAGTTGAACTGAAGATGAAGATAATGACGAGCAAGCTGGACTTAAGGGCGGACATTTTGCCCTTATCGACGTGCATTCTCAGTAGCTCGAGCGTTGGAATCAACGCGATGATTGTGAAGATCACGCCGAAGCCGTACGTGTGTAGTGGCCAGGCAGCTTGCCATTTTCCGAAAGCTTGATCCCAATCTGGCTCTGGTTCTGGCCAGGACATTTCAGGCTCTGCTGTAGGGTCTGTTGCTCCTGTGTATCCTGTATGCGATCCCTCGGGTTCTCCCGTGGGTTCTGCTCCGGGTTCTGCTTCGGGCTGTCCTTCGGGTGTTCCCTCAGAACCTGGTTCTCGTTTGCTTCTTTTGAGAAATTTGTATTTTCTGTGGTCATTTAAAAGAACTAGTTTATCATTTAGGTTCGCCTCACTTTGTGATTCTCCATTTTTTTTATCCATTTTCTTGCTGTCATCTTCGTACTCGCATTCAACATTCACACTCGAGTTTATGTCTCCACTATCAAGTGTTTCTCTCTGTTTCGCTGTGTGATGCGCTTGAATAGTTTCGTGACTTGTACTACTTTCATCAGCAGCTCTTACAGGAAATAGTTCCGTTTCCAAATCGTTCTTCGTCTGGCGAAGTTCTTTGTCGATGTAGATTCTCTTGCTGTTGATTCGTGCATTTGATTGTACATGCTTTGGATGGGCAACACGTCCGCTCTCAACAGAAATTTCCCACAGGCAAAAGATGAGAATCAAAATTATGGAACAGGTGCGCCTACAGCTTATCATCGCTGCCTTGAGTAGATATTCGCTGTATTCCCGTCAAGCTCCCTGAAAAGAACCGCACCTGAATTAGAAATTCGAAGATTTATCCCTTGAAGAAGGATTGTAACTCAAATAGTGCTCTAAGATTGTTTAAATGGAAATTTCGTTAGACAAATATAGACACAGTGGCCAACTCTCGATGGATATAGTCACCAAGACAATTGAGTTACGTTATGACAGCATTCATGCTTGCTACAACATTACCTTGAAGTGAACCTGTGTAAATATTAAGTTCTGCTGTATAAATGACAGCTAAAGATCAAATGACTGTGCCAGTGAGCTGCGTGTCATGATCATCTGAAAGTTATATTTCTATACTCAAAGAAAACTGGAATTTATTCCGGCTGCGCTGACCTCATCCAGTAATTTGAATAACTTGAATAACAAAGAACCCCTACTGCTTCATTGCAATTCAGCCTTGTTCTCTCATCGCAATAATTATAACTTGCTCAAGTAACCAGAAACAAATATGCATAACGATTAAAGCAGCACTATGCTTTTGAGGTTGCACTGATCTTTTATGCCGAAATTTGGAGACCAAGTCTGTCTCGTCAGCGCGTTCGTGAGATTCTTGAGTTTGGACTATACGCCCTTTATGATTAGAACATACTCCAAGCTGTGTTTTTTATCTGATTGGAAAAAAAAATGGGAAACTTTAATTATTTGTCTACTCCGGTGTTTGTGAAGATTTAAATAGTGATATTGTTTGTCGCCTCACAGTTGTTAACCTGGCAAGCAGCTCACTCACTAATAAGGGGGGGTGTACACCACCTATTCTATCAATCCAACGGGTTATGATGTTTTTCGGGGTCCTAAGTCTTCGCAATAAATGTGAAAGACATGCCTGGATGGGGTCAACATTTCACACTCTAGTTAATTTTCTATTATGAACAGGGTGGCTTAATGAGGATTTTTGTCTTAAACAGGCTCGAAGTTTTATGGCCACAATGGCACAGCTCTACTAAGACCTCCCTGAGATGCCCTCCGGACATGCTTATCCACGGTCGATCGAGTGATTGACGTTTTGACAACCCGAGCGGACGTCATTATCTGAACCGCTTCTTATGATGACGTTCGTTGTGATTGTTACAACGTTAGTCACTGTCCTCGACAACAGTCTATTTTAGGTCTAAACTCATAGGAACGTTTTCACTCCACGATCTTCTATTTTTCGTGAGTCTAAACCAGTATTTCTTATCAAGGATTCATATAGTTCTTCAATCATTTGACCTTCTCTCCCTGGAAACCACTTGAAGCCTTTGTTATTCTTATCTTCGTCGAATGATAATGGATTTCATCTTGTGCCTCAAATCAACGAATCGTGCATAATTATTGATCATGAGCGAACTATTAATCATCTTTGGAACTTGTGTATAACTCATTATTTAACAATTATGAGCTGACAAATGAGGTTGAGTGAACTAATCGGAACACAAGAAAAGCAATATCCGAGGTGGAAAGTTTACTAGTTTAATCCCTTCAGTAATTTACTGAATCGCTTTCTATTCTATGTATGAGCTGAACGTAATCTTTAAATCTTATTGGTCTTAAGAAGGCTTAACGTTAGAAACGTGAGCTTTAAAACCTAGTTACGGTGGTTAATTTACACTGTCAAGTCAGGTGTTAAAACTAAAGTACCTGAAAATCGGTTTTATTCCTTCAAAGTGCAAAATGGGTCTTACGAGGCTGTTTTTCTTAGTTGCAGTCATCGCTCTTTTATTCTCAGTGTATGATATCGAGTGAATTTATGGACAGTTTGCTATGTATAATTTTAAGTATTGTAAAGTATCCGTAGATCTAAAGAAACCCGGTTCTATGAGTGCTTGTCAGGCTAACAGTTTTGTTAAAAGATAAGCAACAAACGCTACGATAGAGGGACCTAATGAGGAAAGTGAGTGCAATTTAGAGAATCTGTTGGAAAAGCGTCCAGATTCTCTGACATTTCATATCATTGATGTTTTCCGAAAAAACTCTTTTTAATACCCCAAAGGGTTTTTGTCTACCATTAATGTTTTTCAAGAATGGTAAATTGAGTTTTAGCGAAGAAGTTGAAAGAAGATAGTTCAATTGAGTGTCCTCAAAACGTTTTTCATATTACCAAGTTGCTAATTGGGAAAATTTTTCCGTTTCCCGCGACAAATCGTTTGAGGTGTTCCGTTTTATTTCGAGCTCCTTAAAATAAAGAGAACAACAGTGTGAGTTGGAGCCTCCTTGGCATCATAGCTTTTCTTTTGTCTTGTTTGCTATTGAGCAGAAATTGTCTTCTGTCTCGGGTAGAATGGCATTGTGCCTGCTAATTGACAGGGAACCCGCCGTGAGAAATCGTTTGGGAAAATGTTTTGTACCAGATTTTGGATTGATAAATTATAAAGGAGAACTGTGGAAGGAGAGAGAATAGCTTCTCTATCAAATGGAAGAAAGAAAGATAATGCGGCCTTTGTTTTGCAATCTTGGCCACCATCATCGAGTTTTTCCAATCATCTCTGCGCAAGCCTCCAAGGAAAAAAACATACGTGTGTAACATACGATGTGGCCATGCAACATAACAACGGATTGGCATTTGTTTTTCACAAAGACTAAATGTTTATCGGAAATAAAGATAAATACAAAAGCTTTAATGGTTTACTTTCGGTTTAGTTCAAGGTAGAGATCCAATCTAGCACTCTTACTGACTTCGTATTAGTGTCGAATTTTTTTTTTTAGTTTTCAAGTGCAACTTTCTAGTAGGTATTCCAGAGAATTATTTTCCTGTTAGATATGAGATTAGGGAAACTTGACTTTGCTCCATACCGTTGAATATTGAGTTCCTATGGCTTTGAATGAAAAAATTAAGTGGAGTATTTCTTCCATTAAGTCCCATCAAGGAGGAATCAAGTACAGAATAACATTTTCAAGACTTACCTCTATTGAAATCACTTAAGTGGGAATGGATTTCTACTAACGGAGGTTTCTGTTGCTCTACATTCGAGAGCTAAGCTACTGAATGGCTGAATTGCGACGTCAAGCAGAAGAGATGAATTAAAAAAGTAATTCTCGTAGGAGGTTATTCAGCTCTTCACTTTCAACTATTTTTTTCCGTGCGTTGTTTTCATGATAACGATATAAAACAAATATGAACACCTGCACCGGATTTGACAGATGTGTATGAGAATTGTGCAAATACTGGGGATATTTTGCAAATACTGGGGATATTTTGCATGATAGCTTAAATGTTTTTGAACTTATAAATATTTTACGTTCAGTTTCTTTGTGAATTTTTCAAGAAGGAAAGAAACATTTCATGACGCGTGCCGACTTGCGCGTTCAATTTGAGCCTGGTCTCCTTAGATGATCTCTGAGATAGCAAGCTACTGAATGCGTTGTCGAAGGGACTTTTTTTCCCTTTGAATAATCCTTTACTTACAAAGTAAGGCAGGGTTATTTAAACAAAGTTCACCTGTTGTTTACTAGAACTGCGTTCTAAACCATATTCAATTCAGCCAAACTTTTTGAGTGAAAGTTATTTTTTGTGAGCATTTTTTAAAAGCTGCATTCAGCTGACACTCAAAAGAAAACTTTTTCCTTAAAACAAACCGCTTGCAAAGGTCAGTTGATCGCCTAAAATCGCCACTTTGGTTAGGTTACGTTTGAATAACCGGCCTGAATGGTCTAGTTTTTCACAGCTTCATCTCGAATTTCTGCAACCTCTGAAAACCTGAAACGCGTGATATTTATCCTTAATTTTTACTCGGCCCCATGCGATTACCCGTGGTAGTTGAGCGATCAAATAGTATGGAAAATGTCAGGTAAGTCAACGTAGAACAAATGCCTTGCGAACTACTTCATCTCTTACCCACATTTAAAAATGATTTCTTCTTAAAGGAACCACTTAGGAGCGTGAGATTCATGTTTAACTTTAAAACGAACGTGAATCTCGCATTTCATATGATGATCTCAAAAAAGGGAGAAAAAAAAAATTAAAAGAGTAACCTGTTGAGACGAATTGAATCTTTCTCTCTTTTGTAAGCATTTTACTTCTCCTTATTGAGTTTTGTTGCCATAAATGCGAAATGCGCCGACAGGTGCAGAAAAAGCCAGCAACAACGCTGAGAAGAGGGGGGAGAAGAGGAAAAGTGAGACTCGCCCAATGAGAAATTCAAAACTGTTGTCATAAAAGTTTTCATGCTATGGCAGGCTAGATGTTATCGCGAAAATGCATATTTTTTTCCTTTAGTGAAATTAAACATCTTCACATCGTTAATCGCAATTTAAATTCAAGGCGAGTGATGCCAGCTGATGCTAATCACATATTGACTGCTAGGTTATATAGCCCACCTGTCACTTGCATGCCATTTAAGTCATCTTTTGACATGAATGACGGAAATTTAAGAGTGCCATCTTAGTTTAATTTCTTTCGTTTTTTTTTTTTGTCAAAATCCAGCGCTTTGTGTCGTACATAGCTTTAATCTCTCTTTTTTATCTCTCGACAATAAATCCGTTTTGCGTTTTTTCTGCTATTATAAACTTCTGGCCTCGTCTGCGCATTGTCAATCGACTGACTTTTGCTACCACCAATATCGGTGGGTAATAACATGCAATTACTAAATATTCAAATATCGTTGGCAAATTTTCTGGTGGTTGGACCATTTCTCCGAGTTGTTTTGATGTTAAAGAGGAGTATTAACTGAACTTTTCAGAACTGATGATCAAGGAAAGCTTATGAATTTTTTTTAAACTTACAATCGGACTAGATGCAAGAGAATCTTAAAAAAATGAAAATTTTTGAAGAATCAGTTTTCAGTCCTCTCTGCCCAAGACAATGCGAAATTCGATGCAAGAGATGAAGAGAGGACTAACCTCCTTCACTCCCTTTGCACTTTTCCATCTGGGGCTTATGTTTTGAGGAAAGTAAGAGGTTGTTGCTAGGCAGACTCCACTAGATAGACTCGACTGCCAACCGCTGTTCGGGAAATGAGTCCGCGATTCGCCCTCAAGGATCGAACACTGGACTCGAGAAAACGGCGGAAATTGAGCCAAGCCTTTAGGGGCATTTCAACCCAGAAAGATGTTAAACTTTTGTCGCAAGCGTAGGACAATGAAAAATTTGTGTCCACCTTGGTTAAGGATTGGAATGCTAACTAGTTTCAATGATTTTTTTTGCTCAAACGCTTTGCTAATTGCGCCGCAACAGTGCGAAGTTCTTGGCAGTGACCAAGGCCGCATGGTACATTCACATGTGACAAGCGTCCCGCTTGTTGCTAGTTTATTTTTATTAACGTTAGAGGAGAATGTAGCTTATTTTGTAAAAATTACTGATCTTGGGGGGCAATTGTGTCATGGATTTCATGTTTTAGGAGTTCTTTATTGGATGACCTTTTTTTCTTATCTTTTGAAGCACATCAGCTTCAAGTAGTTTTAGAGACAGTTATGGTTTTATCCGTGGAGCCAGAGAGAGCGAAAGTGAACTGTTTCACTTCCTTTGTCGCGAGCTGAAACAACATTACTCGAGCTTTTATCAGGTGAAATATACCAACCTTTGTGGCTGTTTTTGTTCAGTTTAGTGCCGACGTTATCTCGTGGAAAGTTTGCATTGTTCACAAAAGTATAACGCCCTTTTACTGGTCTTAGACGTGTTCAATAATTGTTTCATTTCCCTAGAACAGAGATGGTCATGCCCGTTTGTGGTCACAGTATGTGAAAGCTAGGCAACAAGAAAGCAAAGACGTGGTTTTTAACGAGGTAAGTGAAGCTTACAATAGGTCAGTTGTAGCAAGTTGTAGAATGGTGAAGGTGGAGGAAGGTGACATCATTGTTATCTAGAATGCTTTAAGCAGCTTCGTCTATTGTCACTGCGTTTAGCATCACTGCGTCTTGTGAAGGAAAATCCGAAAATATAGAGTACGTGGCGTTCAAAGAACACTTGTTATGACGTCATAGTGATCGAGAAACGATGAAATTAAAACTTATAATAAAGAAATAAAAAACGCGCCGAGTGCATTGTTGAGTTATATAGGCACGCGGGAATTTTTAAGAACACGAGAGAAGTGCGGAGAAGCACGAGTCGAAGGCACCTCTCGAGGAACAAGTTTTTTATTTCTTTTGTATCGTGAATTGCGCGCGCTCGTACCGATGATGTAGGCTGCGTGCATTATATCTCAACAGTGCACTCGTGTGACGGAATGCGCGTACTTTATGGAAATATAATGAACTCGTTCTGACCAATCACGGCGCGCGCATTTCTCTGAACATTTTATAATTTGAGATATAGAATGAGTATACAGCAAACTGCAGTCAGCGTCTTTATCTTGGGAAACACGCAATATTATAGTTTTTTTTTTGTTTTAACTTATTGAGAGATGGTTGAAGATGTAAAAAAGGATAAGCAGAGTCATTATTTAGTTTGGCACCATTCTTGAACTCCTCCTTATTTTTGTCCACAGCAAGGAATGAAAGCATTGTTAAGAGAAGGTATCCCCAGAAGCTGCAGAAGCGAAGTGTGGAGAAGGTAATGTAAAACTCACAGAGTCCTAATTGTTTCGCACACATTTTAATCATTGAAACCAAGTTCTGACTCTTCTCTTATTACTTTGTTACCTTGAATCTCCCTCGTATGTGGGGTTGTTAAAGTAATTTTACCAGTTTGACGTTCTTTCACTGTTTCTAAAGGAGTTGCAAGTGATTCTCTTTAGGAGCCATTCCGTATCGCGCCCTGAGTGAACGAAGGACTCAAAAACCAAGATATATGAACAGCTTAATACATCAGAAACAACGTCTCCACTGCCTCGACAAACCGGAAAAAATCGATCAGATATGAGAAAGAGTGTGCCATGGAGAACGTTTTAAGCAACTGCAGTAATTTAAGCCAGTAATCTGAGCATAACTGTTTGGGTTTTAATTAATGTTGTATTTCTCTGTTTAGTGCAATGGCGCAAAAGGTAGAACATTTAAAGAAAGAGAAGGTAATTGTCTTCCAGTTCTTTTCTGATTACAATCTTCGTTAACGGTCACAACATGCTTAGATGTTCTACAGGAGTTCTTGGGAGGGGAACGCACTTTTTGAAGTGTCTAGAATGTAATTAACATTAAGTCTTATCTTTCCTTTATTTTTCAGGGGAGAGATTATTATCAAAAGCTTCTTCTCCAAGTGGAGAGACGCAAGGTATATATTTGAGAAAGTGACCATTCCTTCTGATTGTTCTACTCATCCACTCACTCAGTCACCCAGCCTAGTTGCCCGCGTGGCCTCAATAAGGTCTCACCACTCTGTTTTAGCTCCTCTTACTGCTTCCTTTCACTCTAAATTACCGCTTCTAAATGACTTTGCGCTGTCGCCTTATTCAGCCTACTACCTTTCGCATTGCATTCGTCGATTGAGAAAGAAAGGCCTGTAAGAAGAGGCCCAGTTGCAGTCGCGTCGACAAATTTTATCCGACGTTTTGCACAATAGCTCAGACAAAAACCTGTTCAACTTCTAACTTGTCCTGTAACAAAAACGGTCTGATATCCTTACTGGAAAGCTGCTGTGAAACAGAATAGTGTCATTGTCATTGCGGCTTAGCTGGCAAAGCTGTGAGAGACGCGCAATCTGGCGGGCGATACGAAGTTGTTACGCTCTTTGGTGACGATGGTTTCTGCCGTTTCTGCCTTCGGGCATAAAAGATCCCACCCGCACGCTCGACACTGAATTTCCACTTAAATCTTATCCTTGTGAAATAATTTCCAAGAAGTTCATATACGCAGTAATATAAACACAGTACCATTACTTTTTTTATTATCACATACGAACCTTGCGTATGGCTCGGCGAATGAATTCTCCGTGGCTGACTGCGAAGTCGAAGCAAATAGGCTTGAATTCGAATCTTTACAGGAACTCGGAATATTTCTTCGTCTCACTGTTTATGCATTTTGTTAATATTGCAAGCTGTGCCGATGCTCTATGGTTTTTCAGTGGGTTAGTTTTTTGAGTTGCGCGTGACTTTTTACACAGGTTTCAAGGACAGGTCATATGTTATACATCCTTCGAACTAATACGATGCTTATTTTCAAATTTTAGAATCTCTCTGCCAATCACCCGCTTGGTGTTACTGAGAATCAGATCAAGTGCGATCTGCTACGAACCCTGCCGAACAACGAACGGTTCCGATCAGCAGACTCTGAGGAGGTAAGATTGTGACTTATTTAACTGAGATTAGGGCGAAAATGTTCCTATTGGAAATTTCAGGGTTACGGTTTCTGGAGATCCAGATTTCTGATTCGCAAATGAACTTATTTCCCAATTTCAAAGATATTTTTTTTATACACAATTAAGAAATGTCGTTCAATTTTACAAAACCTGAATTTACTCAGATTGTTTACTTTCTGGGGCAAAAATGAATATTCGTGCTTTGTAATAGTGAAATATAGGTTCCGTGAAAGAAAGTTCACAGAATTAGAAAGATGGTAAGTTTTGAGCTCGTGAAAGAAATAGAAGCAGATTTTGCTATCTTTTGTCCCTCGCCAGTGACAAGCAAAAAAAACATCTATCTCGAAGGCCCTTTTAATTCTCCAGAGGAAGAGAAGAGGCTCTATTGTGACTAGGTTTTTAGAAGACGCTATATTTAGAATTAGTAATGGTTCGCTCATCATTTGTTTATCATTAGCTCTCGCTGGCTAAGTGGTGAGGCATTAAACCGCGAGGTCAAGGGTTTGATCCCTCAATGGGAAACGCATTTTTTCTTTTCACCATGCTCATGGAAAAAAAACATATAACATGTTTCTTTACTACGTTTGGTAGTGTCCATTGATCAAAACTGAAAATTATTCACCACATCTGTACGTCTATCACAGTTTCTTTATGATGAACGTTTGGGAAATTAAAGTTGGCCTCGACGCCTCGAGGCCTCTCGCCCAAATTTCTTCCATCAAACGAACGAAGATGAAATTCTTTATCTCCTTACGTAATACTGTGAATAACAACTTGGGAATTTCCTTAGTCAAGTAGTAGACTTGCTATTTAGTTCATTGAAAGGTAGAAAGTTTGAGTCGAAACTCACCTTGATGAGGATACAATCTTGACAAATTCAAGACAAAGCAAAATGCCGTGAATGTTTCCAAACATTCAGTGAAGCAGTAATTACTTAGCTGGAAAGCTACAACTCTTTGACAGATAATTTGTTGTTTGTTGCTAAGTGACGTGACAACCTGCAAATTGTCCTGAAAGTTCTGCGGTTTTTGAGGTTTTTGGAAGTTTTAATGCTACAGCCATGTTAATCCCTCATTAAATTGTTTTTATTTTATTTGACTTACAACTGAAGTTTGTTAATTTGCAGGTTAAAAAACTGTCAAGGATTCTCCACGCGTTTTGTGTCCATCGTCCAGATATAAACTATCTTCAGGTAAGATATCAGTATTTGTCTACTCTTAATAAACACATCCTTGATCTCAAGTATCATTAACTAGTCTGCAATCGACGATTCCGTGCGAGAATCCTGTGTCTGGTGTAATAAAATATTTATATCAACGTTTGCAAGGCACCCTGATTGCAGGTGGAAAACATTGTTTATTATGAATTTTTTTTAAGGGCTTAGGTCACGTAATTTTTAAGACTTTTCAAGTGAGAATTCACTTAAATACCACATTGACTCTGGGTAACTTCTCGCGGTAGTTAACGCGAAAATTTTCCTTACAATATTGGTAAATTACCCCCTGAGAGAAAGGAAAAATTCATCACGAAATGCATGGCAACTAGAATAGATAATTAATGATCAGATCTTAAGAGTTAGTGGGTTAAAAGTTCAGAGGAATTTACTAATGAGAAGGCGGCAGGGGCTAAAAAAATGACCCCTGATTTATCTTGATTTTTCGGAAGATGTGATATTTAGTATGCTTTACTACGTTGTTTTTTGTTTTTTTGACGTGGCTTTTTTTTTAAGAACGTTTTCCCGCATGTTAAGTTAAAAATTTAGAGCTTGTTATTTACACGAATAAGCATATGTGTTTCAATTCTTATCACTTAGCTTCTGCAATTACTTCGATCATCAGAAGTTATCTTTTGTTTGCCATTTACTCTTTGTTCAAACTAAGGCTGCAACGCCGGATCATCTCATTTTGTTTGTAGGCGTATTTTTAATCCACTAGATGGTTTTCGACTTTAATGGAGTTGATCTCTACTAGGTCAAACTAAATTCCTGTACCTCAGAAACTGAGAGGGTGAACATAATAGGAACCGTTAGGTTCGGCTGTTTCATCTTAAAAAAAACATTGGTTATTTTTTTGAGAAAGCTCAACTTATTTTCCTTTCTCAAGTAACAGCTTTTTTTCTGCCTAAAGGCTTTTTTTTCTATTAGCTTAGAATTTGCTGGTTAGGTAAAGGTTGTCATTAGCACTGTTTACATACAACTTTGTTTGTAGACGAACTGACTTATAATTATGAATGTTTCGATTGAACGAGTCTTCTAGAAGAACTGATTAATTCACTGTTTACTTTTCTGCACGTATTTCATGAGCCATCTGAAATTAAAAAATTTCTGATTGGCAAAAGCAGACATCAATACGGTTTAACATCGCTTCAGTTGGTCTGTTACGTAACGAAAGAGAAAGGCTCATCTCTAGTAGGCAAGTGAGTCACTGCGGGAGATAAGGCGCACGTGCTACCACTTCTCTTTTTTTTTATAGTTTTGTCTTCAGAGATACACCTGTTTCCAGCTTTAGGTAGAATGGAAGAATATTGCATTCATATTTTGTTTTTCTAAACGTAATCGAAGTACAACTGTAACGAGGATATTTCACTTAACTCGGCATTTTACTATCTTTGATTTTTCTACATAAGTTATCCAACCCTTTTTTTTTTTTAGGGGATGAATTTTATTGTGGCCATGTGTCTTCTTTTTATGGACGAGGAAGACGCTTTTTGGTAATTGATATTTTTGTATTTTGTGTTTGGTTTCAAAAACTAATGCCGTTTTAGTAGATGTTGGTACAAATCGATCCTTACTGGGAAAAAATTACGTTAATTACTGAAAGTAAAACCTGATAGAGGAATTACCTTGTTGCTCCGTGTGCTTAATCTTTGGGACATGTGATCAATCGAATAACATGACCGAAGTCAGGCCAGGTTTCGCCGGATGGCTTCACAAAACAGTAACAGAAGACGCATTTGCGCAATGTTTAACGCATTGGACTCTAAAGTTTCGAGTTCTGGCTGGGTGATCATGTTGTGGTCCTGGGAACGACTCTACGTCAAGAGGAGTATCAATACTGCCAGTTGCTGACGTTTAGAAACTAGAATTAGCTCTCACGGAACCGTTTTTTTTGTGACAAAACAGAAGTCAAGTTTATTTTGATTGCTCTACAGGTCTTTTGTCGCTGTTTCAGAAGTTTATCTTAAAAACTATTTTGATAAAGCATTGAGTGGAGCTCTGGCTGATCAGGTAAGATATCTTTTCTATGGTTGTTATCAACTGAAAATTAAAGTTCTTGGAAGAATCTTACTTATACGTACGATCACAATAAATCAATCAGCAATCAGAGGTCATCGAAACTAATGTGTTTTTGTTCGACTAACCAACATTTGATTCTTCTAATGTAGTAAAATGGAAACTTGGGTTTAGTAATGTTAGTTTATTTATTTATTTATTTATTTATGTATCTATTTATCGATTACACTGTTTGAGCCGTGATAAGGTTGTTTTTGCATCATGAAATAGGATTTGACAACTTGGAGAAAAAGATTGAGATTGGTAGTTTTTAATGCACTTTATATGAAAGGGACTTTTCAGGGGATTTTAATTGACGGAATCTTTATTCAGTGTTTGGAAAAACTACATTTCTACGCGAAGGAGACTTAAAATGATTGTGTGATTGGTAACCATTAAAGAAGGGGTAGTAAAGCAGAAAGGAGCAATGATGATTCTGTAAATTAAATTTTTCAACGTAGCCCCCCAAAAAGCTGATCCTTAAAGACCTTTAAGACATTTCACTTACTTTATTCTTGTAGTCTGTTTTGAATGAACTCCTGAGTGACTTGTTACCAGCTTTACACGCGCACCTCAAGTACTATGGAGTAGACATCTCCACTGTCACATTCAATTGGTTTATTACAATCTTCATTGATGCTGTTCCATTTGAGGTAAGGAAAGAAAAACAAAATATTATTTTGTGATAAATCGGTTTTGTATTTACTTAGGTTTTCGCATGGTAAACTCCCTTACGGGTTCGATCTTCAATCCTCCCACTCGTTAGATCAAAGATCACTTTAACCCAACTGACGATGATACAATTGCTTGAGGACAATTCTTGAGAATTTAGTTTGGTAATTGGAATAATATCCTTCTGTTGATAATTTCCCTGATTCTCATTGCATGTACGTTTGATTACCTCTTGATATGGGTAGGTGAGCTTACACCCTGACCACCCCCAGGAGTGTAAGAAAGGGTTCTGGAGTTTAGACAGTCTCTCTTTTAAGATAATTATCTTAACACATCAAAACAGTCATTACTATTGCATTGTGAATTAAGCCAGAAAAAACGCTCCAACCCCTTCCAACTCTTTGTGAAATAAGTAGGGAAGCTGCTCATCATGCTGAAGAAAGTGGGATATTGCATCAAGGAGCTTTGTACCATTTTATCATCAGAGTCAACAAACCCCTAACGATCTCGTGACGGAAATAGTAACATTGCCAGTTAGACCAATTTTTCAATGGAGTGTCGAAGGTAGTTCGGTGTTTTTGTTGGCTTAGAAATTCGCCCTATCCTGTCAACCAATCAGATGCACAAATTAAAGCTAATCAGGACTTGTTCACTTGTGTTTTTCCGCTCTCAGTGAGGCGGGTTAAATATGTTTAGATTGAGTCTCATCGACATCTTGTGATATTTCCTTTGTTTATCCTGGTTTGCGTTTCACCACATTCAAGCAAAAAGCGACTTGTTACTCTTCATCTTTCATTTCCTTTTCTTTTAATCGAGCTCATTTTTAAAAGTTATCATTTAGATCACAGATGTTATAAAAGAATATAGATTGAGCGGAGCTAAGGTTCTTCAACGGATGCACTCTATTTTGTTCTTCATATTTTCTTTATCCGCAGTTTATTGTTGTTTTCTTCTTCTGAGTTATCAACGTTTTTCCTCTCAATTTTGCAGACCGCTATGAGAATTTGGGATTGTTTTGTCTTTGAAGGAAGAGAGGTTGGTTTATTTAAAAGAGGAAATTTACTTCACACGTTTTGCATAACACAATCGACCTGCCAATAATTGAACAAGTTTAGTTGCCAACAGTAACAAGGAATTGTTTTTCGTGGGGTTCTTTCTCTCGGTTCTGGTTCCCGTCGAAAATATATCTTTGTTGTAAATGATTTAAACCACTTTGATGTGGAATTCAGCCGTAGAAGTAATCTATGATAAGTGTGACTAAGGCTTGCTTTCCTACTTCGAAAAATTTTTCAGGCCCTATTTCGGATCGCCGTTGGCTTAATGAAAGTCCAGCAGCCGGCACTGCTGCAGTTGTCATGTCCGCTGGAGATCATGCAGTACATGAAGAGAGCTGCAAGGGTCACTTACGACAAAGATCAGCTTTTCAAGGTACAATTATACCGCGCATGCTTAGGTCAGCAAAGAGGCCTTGATCCGAACTTAACCGAACAGGAAACCGCTAGAATCGTATTTTAGCTGTCTCATCTCTCTTTAAGTCGTTTTTGCTGGAATTAAAATATTATGTGCATATATTATGAATAGGAACGGATCTCTTCTGTTTTTCAAGTTCGTCATTTTTTCTTTATCTTTAATATGGTCCATCCTCAGCCATTCCTTGTCTTCCTTGGTTTCTTGTAGCTCCTTTTGCGTTTTACTGCTAATCTGATATTTTTCAGTCCTCCGCAAGTTGCAGGTAGTTTTACACAGACGGAGCAAATGATCACTTGGTTGTATTGAATGTCCGTTAAGTGTCTAATGACACAAGTTTCGAGACTTTTTCGGAAGTTTTTTAAGTGTGGCAGAGTGTTTATTGATGCAAAATTATTCAAAACCTTTTTTTTCCATTCAGTCGTCGTATGAAGACGTAAAGGTCTTCCCAACTATAGAAACTCTGGACGAGAAGCAAGCAAAGTATTTAGGTGGTGCTGATACTAGACTCGACGAGAGGTCGATTACAAGGGATGAACGAACGGTATGTTACTCCAGTTATTTGGTTTGATTCTCCGTTTGTTTTTTCAAGTGCAGTCATTTTAATGTAAAAACTCTAGCAGGCCATCATCAACATCATTGTTATTATTATCGTTATTATCATTGTCTTTCTACGCCTCCTTATCATCATTATCATTCTCACTGTCTTCTTTATCATCAATGATTACGGCAATGAACACCTGTATCGGATAAGTGCACCAACGGATTTTTGTCACCATTTACATATTCGTGTTGCATCAGTTTTTGGCCAGCCAAACGCGCGTGATGTAGTAAAAGTTGACGTACTTTCGTAACAGGTTGCAACTTTGTCGGTTTTTTTCCGCGCAGAATAAAGGACATTTTTACGTGGTTAAAAATGAACGGGAGTGTTTTTTTTATCCATTCTGCTTGATGCTTTCCCTTTGAGTTCTTTTCTTTTGTTTTCACTCCAACATATTCTCTTCTTGTTTTTCGGAAGGTAAAATGATTGATTCAACTCTACTTGAAAAATTCACCGTCAATGAATCGAGATCTCATTAAGCTAATAAGTTAAAACTAGATGCGGTTCTTTTCTACTGAATTAGAGAGAAATTTCGACGAGAGTAATTCAATTTGAAGGCTTTTTCCTACGAAAACAATGAAGACTAACAGCAAACCTTACCTTACCCCTATTTCAGAGCTCGCTCTCACCGAAAAATCAATGTTGCTTAAAGCTTAGCGATTCGAAATTGCACAACCGTAATATTCAGGTTAGCGTAATTATGAACGAGTACTTATAGGGATTATGGATAATCTCAAGATGTGGCGTGAATGAATTACGTAAAGTTGGTAGACTTATGTTTGGCACACGACCTCTTTCGTTTAAAACGTGCAATGCTGACCTTTTTTTTTGTATCTCATCTGTAATACTTGCCTTGACAGAAAATTTTGTGTTTTGTTTCACTCTCAGTATATTGACGCAAATAACAGAAATTCCGCGATTCTCCGTTGTTTTAAGTATCAGATTACAAGTCGTTGAAAATGATGATTGTGATAGCATCAAGTTCAATATGACGATCGAAGAGTCGGCCACGAAACTTTGTAGAAGTTTCACTCGAAGAACTAACCTTTTGTGAGATGGTGAGGTTTTATCCTGCAATCAGGAATGCAAAGAGTTTTAACGAGGCTTAGTCAAGTGCAAACAACGAAGGAATATTAAATTGCGTTTTTCAGTTGTTAATTTGTTTTTTTTGTTGATTAAGAATCCAGCTTATTTTTGCCTTTCTCAATTTTTTCATAAGGTGCAATCTAAGTACTATGGTCTTTCGTTTATTGATATTTTTTTTACAATTTTTTTTGTTTTTTGTTTCCTTTTGACGCGATTCTGAGTGGAATTTTAACTGTACACAGTTTCTTCCGCAGAGAAAGCTCACAATTTATACCGCGAATGGTGCATAAATTTTCATTGCATTGAACGCAAAAAAAACAAACAAACAAAACATTGATTTCAGAAAATCATAGAAACACCTTACTCCATGCCCCGTTTCCGTCCGAAAGAAGTGGCTTAAAAAGACATCTTCCTTAATTCATACACATTTTTCATTAAGTTGACAGCTTATTTACCGAGTTGAACACACAAACTCAGCTTTTAATAACACATAATGCGAGGTAGCTCTTCTTATAGGTTTGTTAAACCTTGTTGTAAATAATCAGCTGACCTTGAGTTCTGACATTAATGAGAAAATTTGAAGGTCGTCGCATAAAATTTTGACATTGACCTTGGAAACTTTTGGAAACAATTCCATTCGGCCTTGAACGAGAACCCTTGAAACCTGATGGGACCAAAGTTCGTATGTCAGGCTTGGAAATAACAGAATTATCATATACTATGGTCATGAAAATGAATTGTGAATCGAATGATAAACTGTACATACATCACTGAAAATCGATGAAAGTTATTGGATTAGAAATGGGACTGAACACGACTCTTTGCCTTCCAATCTCTTCTTGAGCGACCTGAAGACCTTACTCTCGACGAGTGAGTTTAACCCTTTCACTCCCAAGATGTCATTAGTAATTCTCCTTACTGTCTGTTATACGATTCTTACGATGTTAATTCAGAGAATTTGGTATTAGATCGACTAATAATTCCCTACTGGATATTTTTGTTTATTCTCATCACTTGTTTGCTTGATGTTGTATTGATATTGTAAGGAAAAATTCTCTCTCGGTCACTCATGGGAGTTTAAGGGTTAAAAATGCCCTATACGATTAATTTTTCAATTAGCGACATTCTCCGCTCTTAGATTCTGGCGATAATTTTGAAGAATCATCAGTGCATGTACAGGCATTATATGTCCCATGTTTCTGACTCAGAACTGAAATAAGTCTTGTGAAATATAGTCTCCGAGAAACTTCGGAAACGATTTTTCCGGTGTTAGGTAACTTTGCTTGTGGGGAATTTTTTGAGAGTTAAAGGGGAATTTCCAGTCTAGTGAATTGCTGAATTTCTATCTCATTTGCATATCTAGTTCAACTGGTTCAACTAGTTTTCTTCGTTTACAGCGCTCCCGTGTCAGTTCTTTCACTGTGGAAATCCCCAACCAGGAGAAGCTTGAAAAACCGGATCAACACGAAATTCTGGAATGCGCTTTGGCAACAAGTCGAGGTAGGATTGCATGAGTTAAGCAGGACAACAGTATTGTATGTTATGTTATGAGTTTCTTGTCCGTTTGGTGTAATCGCTTCTTTTGGTAGTCACGTTGAGTGATATAAAATGCTAAGTCGAGATGAGTTCAAGTTGACTAATACTGATTGAGTTGATGTTGAGTTTTATTGAAGCTGCCCTAAGAAGTGGTCTTCCTTTACCCACTGGTTGTTTGTATTTTTTACACACGAATAGAGAATCATTGGAAAAAAGTGAAAGGGCACCATACTCGTTTACGAGAGATGGACTAAAATCTTTCTGGCGAGCTGCAGCCATAACAAAAAACAACTGTTTCATTTTCGATGTTCGCGCGTTAACATCTTAGATTTAGTTCAGTTTTGTGATTGGAACTACGAAGGTGAAGCCTGACGAGTCCTGACGGTATTCAACAAAGATAGGAATGAAATGTAAATAAACATAGCGCAAACGAAACTGTATGGAAAATGGATCCGATTTCAGATGGTGAAGTAAGAGTAATTTCAAAACATGTTTGAAGACAAAGATTTTAAAACGGGCGTAATGTGTGATTTTCGGCCTCTCAATGCTTTTTTGCCACTATTGTACCTTGAAGAAATATTTGAAAGACGCGATGAAATAATTTTTTACTCACCAGCACATGGAGATCGACCACACTGGCACGAGTTAGAGCACTGTGAGTTAGTTTTTGATTACACTATTCTGCGAAAAAATGCATTTGTATCAGATAATAGTCATGAACGATTTTAATATTTCGATCTTTTCGTTTTGATTTAAAAAGCCAAGGGCAGGTTGTTTTAGTTTTGTTCTCTGCATGTGAAAGGAAAAAGGGGTTCCTAAATTTTAAGATCGTGTTCTAAAGTAATATGTTACGATAGTTTGTTTTGACTTTCGGAATTATGTTGCTTTCCAAGTCAGGAAATCAAGCCCGAGATTTTGAATTTGAACTTTTGAATTTGAACTTCTGCAAGAAATAAAGGGGATATCAGAAATGTATTCCGGAAGGAAATATTTTTTATGTTATTGTACACTTTCGCCGAGTACTTTTTTTTTATGTTGTGAGAGTTCCTCTTGTATTCTGGAGGATTTTCCTCACGGTTTGTCCCTCTTGAAAAAAATAGCATTCAATTTTTAAGGCTTTCGTTTGGAATCCTTTTAGCATTTTTGCCTCCTTGGTGTTTCTCTACCATTACAGGGCTTGTTTTCTAACTCAATACATTTTGAACGATCCAAAAAACAGCTTTAGGTATCGTGACATCGCTTCCATATGTTATGAAAAAAAATTAGGGTTGTTTGAAGAAATGACGTTACTTAGGAAGGAAGTTTTAAATTCTGGATTTCTTTATAAAAGTACTTTCTTTGCGAGCTTATGTACGAAATCAATCATCAAGTTGTAGTGTTACTAACTATAGTGCAGGCACCATTTCCATATTTTGTCTTAAGAGATTTCCTGGTGTCTGAGAGAGGAAATGGGTCGTAGAATCTTCATGTGCAGCAGTTTTGCATTGGTTCTTCTGCAAGTAAATATCTGTGTTTCCGCAGGTTATGACGTTAAGTTTTATGTTCCTATCTTAGAATCGTCTCCGCGTAACTGCACGGTTTGATTAGTATCAGTCATGTGCGTCGATATATACCGATTATGTTATTCCATAACTGGCTGTATTTTTTCCGCGTGGGATAAATATTAATATACGTAATTGAGGGAAATGATATCTTCAATGAAAGCTATTTCATTGAAGGGAATTTTGACACGAATTTGATTATTTGCTCTAACTCTTCAAGACACACAAACTGCGAACATCATAACGAAACCTTTACGTCTGTGTACTTTTATACGAATTGAAAAAACAAGTTTGCTATACAAACTATATAGTAATGTGAGAGGAACAGTTTAACTCTTTCACTACCAAAATCTGAAAGCTGCCTTTCCTGACTGATGATCTTACATTTCTTCGTCGGCTAGTCTGGAAAATTTGGAATTTGACACAAACAGTTTCCCTGTTACGAAAAATTGTCTAAGTTAAATCCTAGAACATTCTATAGAACAGTCTAGAACTCGAAGTCATCCAGACGTGACCTTCTCGTATAAGAACATTCTGGAACATTCCATTTCTTCTGCAGTTACTCAGATTTAGAAATCGTGTTAATCTAGTAAATTTAGTTCTTTAGAGAAGTTTCTAGATCCTTGTACTTTATGTATATAAGAGCGATAGTTTCGCCAAAAAAAACAGAGAGAATTGTGAAGAAGCTTAGTGCTGTAAAGTCGAGAAGTCAACTACGTGGAAATTAATCAGTTTGTTGCTGTTACCAACGATCCTGAATTTTGTCTGGGAACAACCCTGCTCTACATCGACACTCGTAACAATCCCGTAGTTTATAAATATCTTCATTTTTATCACCTCTTCGTTTGACACTGTGTTAGAATTTAAAACGAAAAATCTATCTCGTTGTCACTCCTGTGATTTACCAGATTAAGGAGGACGCCTAGGGAAGTAAGGATATTCCTGTCCCTTACGACTGCGCACCCGCGCTGTGCATACTATTCAGTTGGCAAGCGTGTGCTAATTAAGTCATACACCAAAGTCGTACACCGCGTAAGAAGCTCAGTAAATGTACTGGTGGCTGGTGATAGAATCTTTAAGTTTAGAGTGGTTTCACGGCAACTGCCTCTTTTTTTTACTGCCTCTTTTTTTTAGTTGCTCAATCCCTTTCCTGTTTCTTCCAATGAAACATAAATGAACAACCAAACAGACAAGCAAAACGAAAAACGCGCAAAAACTCCGCAGGTGCGAACTTAGCTATTGTTTAGTCTCAGTGTTGAAGTGCGCTGGACATGAACTGAGGATTAATTGACCTCAGCAAAAAAAAACTGATAATTATACTTATTTGCGCTGAAATAGCTGCACGATCCAAGATCGATTTTCTTCCATCAACTTCCACTGCCGGCAGTCGAAGTTTAATAGAAATCTTTCAAAAGATACTTTTTGCGCAAACTTTTTTTTTAAAACATTATTAGTTAAGAAAATTCTGCCTTGAACCACTAAAGAACTTTGAAGGTTGACTCGTCTCAGCATGAGAAATTTTACTATCGAATACGTCAGAGCCTAACCTCTTTATATCAGAATCGTACGCGGTTAAATTGTTAAGTTTTCATTGATACAATTGCTCTCTCTGAGGTTTGGGGTTCTTCTTTGATTTGTGTAAATTAGGGTTCTTATTGTATGACATGTACCTTTTAAATGAACTTCAAACCATCCATTTCATTGAAAATTTCACCCACAGTCTAACTCAGTTTTAACTGCGTCAAATTCAACTGACTTGTGTTATATTTACCCTTCTACTTTTCTTTTGATCAGAAATTGACAATTGAAAATTGATTGTCGTATACACAAAGTGAAATTTGAAATTACTAATATCTTTCGTGATCTTCTACAGTTTTTTATTGCACTGCAATAAATTTCTGTCAAAGGAAACGAAAATCTCATCTCCCCTGTCTCAGCATGCTTCCAATGTAAAACACTAGCTTTTTATCTTAAGAATTTTCTCGAAGAAAAGGCATCGAAATAAACAGAAAGTGCATGAGTCAGAGTCGGAATGAGTCAGTAGATAATGAAAAGGTTTTGAAGCTGTTTACGGTTTTACATACAGCAAGCATGTGAGCAGAATCACATAACTTTTCTGCAATGCAATTTTCAACACACCTTGTTAAAAAAATGTGATAAACAAAAGTTAAACAAAAACGTTCAAAGTCAAACGCTCAGGGCTAACCCCTTCCTCTAAGGATAAAGTAACGAAACCATTTTATCAGATTCGGTGTAACAATCTGTGTAAAAGACGAAATTATGTTGTCTTCAATATCATTCCTCGTGTGATTTTTGCTCAATTTTGTTGGGTTTTGTTTTTGGTGTTTATCGACAGCTCAGTGTGGTATATCCTGTTGTATAATGAGTGCAAAGCCATCATGTCATTGACCATCGGCTGCAGTGCATATATATAGAAAATACGAATAATTATAAAAGATTGTTTCCTAACTCACGGAGACGTTGTCCTGTGCGACGCCTACCATAACCTCGCTGAATAAAACAAACTGCATCTAATCATTTCAATTTTTTCTTCTTATGATCATTCTTGATTCACCTCACTTGTTCTTGTTTGCTCCCTGCAGTGATACGAGTCTTGTAAATCAAAAAGTCAACCATAAACATTTCCAACAAAAGAATTATTGCGTTGCGCTGTGAGGTTAAGCAAGTGGCGTGCAGAGAACATTTGCGACTAGAACTGAATATTTCATGATGATTTTATCTTGGATCCACCTTGAAACGTGATCTGGTTTGCATTAATTTTGTATCGACCCCGACACCTTGGTTACCACAGATCAGGAAATTATTGAAATTGAAAAGCCCTCTAGGGTTAGGGAAAATTATATAGTTCAAATTTGAGTCGCTGAAAGAGATGTTTGAGAAAAATTCAAGGAAAATTGAAACTCCATCTCAATGTATAACGTCATGGCTAATATATTTTGCCCTGTCTGTCATATTGTTAGCATTAGCCAAATGCGTTGATATAATTTGCAAAAAGGACGGTTGTTATACTTTATCTTAACTGGCGAAAAGTTAGGATATTTTGAAAACTGACCACTTTCAGTGAAATAATAACACTTCGAGTGGAACACTTTGTCGGCTCAGATTCCAATAATTGTTACTGTTTATAATAAACTCCGTAGGTGAGAACTTAGCGATTCTCCAATCTACAATAACAGCTCAGATTCGAATGACGCTCCGTGTGATTTTTATTTGAGTAACATTTGCTGTACCTACTGGTGAGACAGTTCATCCAACAAATGTTAATTTGCTCTTCTACAGTGAGTGATTCGGCGAATTCAAATTTTTTTACGAGTAGTTCGCGAAATGTGTTTCGTCTCAGCATGTTTCTTGTGTTCGAATTTAGCGTATTTTGTGAATTAAAAAAATGCATAAAAGATAGTAGAGGACTGTCCCGCCGAGGTTGTTGTTTATTTACAATGTTGAAAGTTAATTTTAGGGAGATAAAACGCAAAAAACTTCTAATTGTAAAACGGAGATAACAATGCTTCGTTATTACAATTAAAAATGGAAATTTAACCTGCCGCCTAAAATGATTAAACTCAGTATTTTTTCAACTTTCCGTTTTTAGTTTTAGTTTTTTCATCTGTGTGTAGTTAATTTTTTTGTGGATATTGTCGTTGCAGGATTTTCTCCCGTAATGGAAGACAAAACGTTTGTTTTTCCTCACTTCTGCCAAATTGTCAATAGATATCCTTTGTATAATGCGTGTGTCGGTAAAGATTGCAAATTTTTAGACGCATCAACTAATCTTTATCCAATAGTCTCTTCTTAACAAGGTACTCTTTCTACCACAGAGAGATTTTTTCAGTAGATTGTGTTTCAATTTTCGCATAACTGTCCTAGCTACAGCGTGTGTTGATCCACGTTTCCTTCAACAGAGCTTCCTTGTCAAGGCCACCTGTGAACGTTTCCACGTTCGTTTTACCATAGCAAAGAAAAAAATATCAGTAGTATGCCTTTTGTTAAGAAAAATTGACCGTATTGTAGTCGTTCTTAAAGTAGCTCTTTATCTTTTTTCTATAAGTGCCCTTTTGGGTCAATAGCAGATTTGGTCCTTAAGAGAGTGGCTTGTCATTTTCTTCACAAGAGATTTGTTACAGAAAAAATTGTCACATTTTTAACACACGCACCGTTATAGAATGCTTGATTAAGTTAAAAAAAACAACAACAGCATTAAACAAAATTTTTGTAAGGTACAAATTGATTGTATAAATGCTTTCAAAGTTATCTCACCAACCTGTAGCTTATGTATTTCCACCCCTTGAAATTCTAGCCCGCGAATACTACAGTTTCGTAGCGGCAAATAACAGTCAGCGAGGGCGGTTGGCATGGAATTAATGAATTTTATGATTTAATTGACTAACTCTGTAAGTTGTGCGAGTACAGGCGCTTATCTTTTTTTGAAGCCGGCCCCTTTGATTTGAGATGCGAGGCCGCCAACAAAATTGTTAATTTATGCGGCCCAAGGAGGAACACAGACAGTACTTTGTCACCTTACCCAATACCTTTTCATCAAGGTTAGCACGAATTACAGTCACACTTGTTTCGTAGTCACTAGATATGAATACATGGATCAAACCGTGTAAAAAACAACTCGTTACACTATTCGATGAGATAGTCAAATTAGAACATACCCTCTCGATTGCAAGATGAGGGCCTTCAGCAAACCATGACAGTAACGAATAGGTGGCAAGACAAAAGATCCAAGGGACAAAGCAATGGCTTAACACGTGCGTTTTAAACTTTGCACATTTCTTAAGCAAGCCACAACGGTAACGAGGAAATGGCAAGACAAAAGATCTAAGGGGCAGAGAAATAGCTCAGCACGTGCGTTTTAAACTTTACACATTTCTTAGCCGTCCTCTGCTAAAAAAAAAAACCAAACCATAATACCAAGATGTTTGTGGTCTGATAACGGTAACCCCGACTGAAAGTTATTTAAGTTTCCATTTGGAAGTCAACACTACAAAACTACGTCATGCCGAAGCGGAGGTGTGGCGCCGTAACAAATCTAGCTTTTCGCAAAATTCTAACAAAAAATATACATTAAGTTTGCAATCGATATCTTCATCGGCGTTGCCGTCCTGACTCCCTAATGTCCCTGTTTGATAAAGAAAGCGAATATTCGAGCATGCATTTGCTATATTTTTTAAGGGAGCTTACATGACGCACCTTCTTTGTTAAACCAGCTTTGTGGGGTTTCTTGGGTTGAAGTTCTTCTCAATGACTGCTGTGTCAGCCGGGTTTGAATCTTTTTCAGTCGCCTGTTTATGTAACCAGGGGGTTTGGTGTCGCCCAGTGGTATGTGTTTTATTATGAAGTATTGAGTGTCTTTAAAAAGAAACGTAATTTGCATGTCAAGTATGGAAGCATCTGCAGGTAATTTTCTATTAAAAATATTCATGTATTGAAACTTTGAATCTCTCCTTTATGTTATTGCTACATGTGGCCTTAGTTAAGCTTGCTTTACAATTCACCCCCAACAAGGCTTAGAAATTGTTTCTTTGAATTATTAACTGACTGATATGAAACTAATCAGAACACAATGTGAAGACACGTTTCAACATAATCTTGTAAATTTACACTTCACTTCGGACAGCAACGAGCAAACAAGCGCTAATCGAAGACCAATATAATCAAATTAGGGGAAGCTATGACAACACAAATAAAGCCGGAGTTATCAGTTAAAATTGTCTGCCTTTTTTAGCACAAATTATTTTACCTTGCTTTTAAATCTTGATGTTTAGTGTATGGCAATGGTCTCCAAGGGTTTTGTGTTGTTTTCTTCAATTTCAATTTTTTTGTGCCTAAGATTAACAAGTACTCTTACACTAGTGGTCTTCAGTGTTTCATACTGGTTTACCTATTTAGTTTTGACTAAGTATTTAGTGTGTATCCATAACTAACCAGGTTGTGGATAAAGTGGGCTGAAGACTGACATGCCAAATTTACATCGTGGCTAATAAAACATCCACACCGTGAACCAACTATAACAACAGTCGTTAGCGTTTGCCTGCGCTTAGAGCCAATGACGTCAATGGCCTTTTTGTACTCTGATTGGTTCATATTAGTATTTTCATTTTGCCCTGGTTTTCTGCTGCTGTCGTCAGTTTACAAGTTCTAGTTTTACCACACTAAGCCGTAAACTGAATATCTATGTATCTTAGAATGAAATGATTCTGCTCTGTTTTCGAGATTTAGTTTGGAAAATCCGCTCTAGACTAAAACAAATAATCAATCTTTTCAATTTGTAACTTCTGTTCTATGCTTTTCAATGCAAGATTTGTCAAGCCCCGTGTGTCTATTCTGTAGCAGTAGGCTGACAGCAAAATTTTATCTCCTGGACATCAACAAGAAGGAAATGAAGGCGCTTGACGTAGATGTAAGTGCGTTTGTGATGTGCTGTAGCTTACCATTACCAATTGCATGGAAATGCTGCCGTTCATTGTCATCATTTGTTCACAACATTAACAAAAAATGTGGAAATTTTCTTCTTCTACTCCAAGCAAAAAAAAAATGAGAATATTTATGGATTGCATTTTTAATTGGTCTCCAGAGTGGTTTCAATTTTTACCAATATTCCGCACGAGGCACTTGGTACGTAGGCACCTCTGCCACCAATGCAACAACTGCTAGATGTTCTAACCATTCAAATTTCCTCAATTTTATTGGCAGACGAAATCACGTGTTCTATGTTGTGATATGTTGGACGATGGCACTATCTTAGTGGGGACGGTGTCGTGGTACATACATGCGTTCGTTTTGGAGCTCAGGTGTGAATATATTTTGATAATTTTGGTTGAGAAACTATTGCTTTCATTTCACTTTTGCTTTATGAATTAAACACACAATCTGATTTATTACTATCCACAGTAATCGATAGGTACACCTCCCTAACTGTGTGTGCAATTGCCGTCCATTACAGCTGAAAATTTACAACAGAACCGTCAAAAGTCATTGATTCATTTTATTTTGTAGATTGATAATTCTGGTTATATGCAGTTAGTTGTTACCTTTTTCTCTCTGTGAAGTGACGTACTTCTGTGTCTCTTTTAGTTCGGAAGTATGGTGCATCCAGCTTAATGATTCAGTCATCGATATTGCTCATTTACCAGAAGGAAAAGTTTTTGCAGCCTTGGCCGATGGATCGATTGCCGTGTTACAGGTATGAAAAATATCATTTTTGATCAGCTGATTTTAATAGGGACAAACAAACGGCCTCACGATTGTTAAAAGAACTCTGGCCGGGTTTTACGAACCAGCGGTCCCATGTCCTACCCGGTGATAACTCTTACAAAGAGTGTAATGGGTCGAGCAAACGAAGAGACGAAGAAACGAACGAGCAACGAACGACACAGCGACCGGTTAAGCGAATCAGCGATCAAACTGAACGAACGAGCGAATGATTGAGCGAACGGTGCAATAACCTACCGGAAACTAACTTTACTAAGTATACGATCGATCGAGTAAGTGAGGGAAAAGACAGACGAGTAAAAGTCGAGCAGTACAACGACTTACCATTCGTACTCCGACGAAGTAAACAAGCGAGCAAATGAATTGACCGTCGCCGGGTCCAACAAGCTACCAATCTGTCTCCGACAGAGTGAGCGAACGAATCAGCGTAAAAGATCTTACTTTGCCTAAAGAATAAAAGGGGTAAGTTTCTAGAGAAACTGGGTTGCTGCGTCGGTGAGGGGTATTCCAAGATAAGCTGGTTTTATCATCTGAGTTGATGATGAAAAAAAAAAGATTTCAAAAGCTGACTATTCGAGCGATAACCTTTCTTTACAGCGAAAGATTCGACCGATTCGGTTCTGTTTATAAAACCAAATGATCTTACTCTGACGTCTTTGACCAAGGTTACTCTGAGCGATACTGAAATTAGTCTAACTGCTTGTGATTAATATTTTTCCTAGAATGCTAGTGGGCAGGAGGTTCCATCAGAAGGCTCTCACATCCGCGTCGGTGGATCACCTGTCACGTGCATTACTCTCGTGAATGAAAACGTGTGGTGCGGCTGCGGAAACAATGTGGTGATTCTCGATGGAAGGTCAGTGAATAACTCTCGTGCTTAAGTTCAGAGTTCATTCCGCGTTCTAGCTGATGTTGCCTTAATTGTGATGTTAGATTTTATTTTTTTTTTCTTCTTTTTTTAATTTTCAGTCGCGTCTCTTTTTCAACAAACCAAGAATAGGACGAAGTTGAATTGATTAAGATTTAAGAGCTGTGTTTTTTTGCCTCACAAATTTCAGAATGCTGTCTCGTGACTTCATAACAACAACAAAATAAGAACAAAGAAGATTAGAAACCATTATCTACGGCGTTAATCGCTTGCATGATTCCAGCCTGTAAACAACATGGTATCTTTATTTCCCTCTTTGCCATGTCTATTCCCTAAATTATATTATTCCTATGGCCTTATCTGAATATTTCTCTTTTGTACGGCGAACAGACAAAAACTGATTTGTTGTAAACAATCATTGTAGCCATGTTTTACTGTCAAATTGGGGCATTAAAAAGCCCTTATTTTCCAGCGGTTTTGAGAGCAGTAGCTCATGTGAAATTCTTTCATTCTTTATCTAATTATCTACGTTAAATAAGTGATGTATGTTTCTGTTTGTTAGTATTAGAACACTTTGTCGTAACAGAAAATGGGGCATAATAATATCGATGAAATTGCCCGTACATACTCTTTCTAGAAAGAAAAAGACTTAAAAGATTGCTCCACGAAAAGAACATATCGTTTTTTTTTTTTTTTGGAATTAAGGGCTGACCCAATCTTGTTAATTCAATTTGGACACCTACCTTAATAAGCGTACCTGCCCTAGAAGCGCTGCAGTGTAGACCCCTCAACTCCTGCGTTAGTATCGGTGATGCGGGGAATCTTTCTGAATAGTTTGTTTGTAGGTACATGTGTTTTTATTGTGACACCCACTGCTTTTACTGAATTATTAAACAACTGTTTTGCAAAATAGATAACCGCTTTGATCGATTGCATTGTCTTGGTGCCGCTTAACCAAGGCATTTGCTAATTGTTTTGGTCGATAAACAGAAGATAGTGATGTGCGTGGTGTTTACGCGTACCTAACAAAATCTTTCAATATTTTTGGTTGTCGTTGCCCTTATTTTCTTTTGCGTGGTATTTCTGATTTCATTGTACCTATGAATCAATATGTTATCCCCAATAACCATACAGTATGTTTACATTAAGATAATAGGTTTTTATTCAGCCTTTACCGGATATTTCTTTCAAGTATTTACGCAGAGTCAATAGGTAATCAAATCACAAATATCGCAATTTTTTTTGTAGTTTTTTTAAAATCAATCGTATTAACTAACGTGAACTAATCGAATTAACACTTATTTAGAAAGAAAAGCCTTAGACCGTATCAGCAGGTGTTGAGTTATTCGTAGGCTAAATAGATTTCTCCCAACAACTTTTGTTCTGGATCATTTATCTGAACACTTCATGGAACATAAACAGACCCCCCGTTCGCAACCACGAACAATCTGTTGACAGTATACAGTATCGTACAAGACACTTACGCAACATCTTTTTAAACGCGTCCAAAATTTCCCTTTGACGCGACTGCGAAACATTTGCCATGGGGAAGACAACTTTTTTTCAGAAGGTTCAGAATCATAATATTTGATGGATATTTCTGCCTTCTGGTTGCTCTTCAATTCGTTTTAAAATAAGGATAACGCCCTCAGGTGACGAGTTTGTCTTTTCTCCTATCCTGTTTACTGGATATGGCCTTGAAATTGCACGGGAAAGTTACATTTGCATCACATGTGGGAAGTAGTGGTTTAACTCCTTCGTTGTTCAAGAAAGAGCAATTTTCGTTTTCTTTTGAATTTTGGAGGCTCAAATGAAACACAGACATCAGTGATGAATTATTTTTCATGGGAGTGCAAGTTACCGCCTTACCTTTACGCTAAACTTGTTTTTTTACAGTTCGTGCTGTTTTTGTTTCTCTTCACCAGTTCCCTTGGTGAGCTCGGTTCACTGGTTGTATCAAACTCGCGTCGCCATCAGGTTTCCAAGTTAACGCACGGTAAACATGGCGTCTGGTGCAGCGTGAGAGGGTAAGACGCACTGTCTTTTAAATTGAAAACAAATTACCATTTTCATCTGTCTTTCATCCTCTTTACCACGCCCAAGTTGCAAAGAAGAGACACTTGTTCTCTTTGACTTTGTACAAATCATATTTACCATTTGATTGCAGGTCTTCCTGCATTCTCTTGTTGGATCACGCCACTTTTGACGTGCTTCTCAAGGTCGATGACGTCACAAGCCTCGACACCAGCTCTGACTCAAGGGTAGGAAAGCTATTCTGTAACTTTCCAGTGGTAAAATTATTCGACGAGACATTTATCTTCATGTCGGTCTTCCTCTCTTTTCAGGTAGTAGCATTCTGCGAATCTCGGGTCACAACAATGATGGCTCTAGGTGAAGAATTATGGGTAGGGCTTGGTAACGGACAAGTTTTAATATTTGACGTCACTAGAAATGACGAATTCGAAGACGAAGGTTATGTGGTCCTTGACGAACACAAAGGTGAGTAACAGTTTCTGTTTGTTTGTTTTTCCCATGAAAACAGGCCTTCCTTTGCTCCAGTAAGCGCCACGTAAAGGAAATATGTTCAGCTATGTTGGCAATGGACTAGCATTCCATCCGGGAAGGGGTAGGAATTCTTCTAGCTGCTTTTCGCTTCGGAACGCGCATGAGCAATACGTGTCAGTCTTTTATACAAATACGTTATCGGTGACAATGTTTTCTTAGTCTTCAATTTTCAATCACACAGCATTTTGCACCACAGGTGCAGCGAGTACTCGCATCTGTCAAAGACATATGTGACGAGTTAATCGAGTTGCGTTGTTTCATTGTAGGATACAAAGAAAAGCGCAAGGAGAGTTCGACCAAATTTTTGCCAACGATATCGGAAACAGAGAAAAAAATAAAAGAACCGGAACTGACGCCAAGCATCGAGGATTCCACGACGCAATCAGAAGTAAATTCCTCTCCACAGAGAGTGAATACTTGTACCGACGAAGAAATTTCATCGATTGACGAATTTAGTGAGAGTGAATTGAGAGAGTCTCTTGAAATTTCCAAGAAAATTGTAGACAGTCAGAACGTGGTTAACGCCCAAGAGCACGAAAGTCGGGCACAAAACCCGTCCGGCGAACAAATTAAACAGGACACCGATATGTACTACAGTGATTACAGATTTAGACTGAGGCTCAGAGTTCATTTCCGCATCAATGAAGAAGCCATTCGTTGTCTACTGCTAGTAAGGTAAGAGAAATGGGCATGAAACTTTCTATCCGTTTGTGTTACTGTTTGTTCATTATTGAGTTCGTTTCTTTGCTTATTCTTTTTTTTAATTGGCCCGGGTTTATTCTTCGCTTGTTCCTTAACCCTTTAACTCCAATGAGTGACCAAGAAATAATTTCTCCTTACAGTGTCAACACAATATCAAACAGACAAGTGATGAGAATAAACAAAAATATTAATTAGGGGATTATTTAGTTGATCCAATACCAAACTCTCCAAACTAACATAGTGAGAATCGTATGGCACACCGTAAGGAGAATTACTACTGAGATCTTGGAAGTTAAAAGGTTAATCCATGTATTCGTTCAATCACTCGTCCATTTAAAGTCTCTCTACAACTGCTACTCGTTCGAGTAATCTCGGTTACTGTTATTGAACAATTATTTACCAATGTTGCCCTTGACGTTCAAAAGCTATTTCCAATGCCCTTCTCAGCCCTTACTATGTCAAAGTCACTCAAAGTTGATCTGCTTCGGCCCGGAATCTTTGCCCTCGCTTTGCCTAAAAAGTGTCTGTGTACGGCCTCGTTTTTGCTTTTGTAGCATGGCCTTTGTTACTTAGTCTTCTTCCCTAATGCCACTTGAATGAAAGAAGCTACCGCTCATAAAAAGGTTACTAGCATTTTATATATCCTTACAATATCACCCCCGAATCAAACATTAAACGAGAATAAGGGAAATGATCGCCAACTTAAGAAGCGCGTGATTGTCAAACAAATTCTCCTTGCCAGCACCGTAGGAAATGTATCGAGAGTAATGAGGAGAATATGCACACTGAAGTTAAGATGTAAAGGGTTTACTCGAGACGTTTTGATGTCCTCCGCTCCCCCGCACCACAGAAAACACAAGCTAGATTTTCCCCGGCATACACAGGTCACAAGAAGAGAGCCACGCCTCGTGTTAACCCGGTGCACTTTTTAGTGAACGAGGGAAAATAGGACACTGTCTATGGTTTCTGATTGTGAAACAGTAAGGCAAATTTTCAGAATCATTTAATGGCATTTTTGTTTGTCACAGAGAACAAGATCCACTGGTCCTCAGCTGTGCGAGTAATTTCAACGAAGAAGGAGCTTTGTCACTATGGCAACAACAAAGAGGAGAGGTGGGTAGCTTCACAAGAATGTGAACCGTAGTTCACATGTGTTGTTTATGACAGTGCTTTTGTTAAACCTGGTTTCTGGCGGTCTACAGCTGTCTTTAACCCTTTCACTCCCAATATCTTATCAGTAATTTTCCTGACTATCTGCCGTGCAATTCTTATGATGTTAGTTTGCAGAATTTGGCATTGGATCGACTAAAAATCCCCTAATCGCTATTTTTCTTTATTCTCATCACTTGTCTGCTTAATAGTGCACTGACACTGTAGGGAGAAATTCTCTTTTGGTCACTCATGGGAGTTAAAGGGTTAAGACCTCTTACTGACGCGTATTTAGCTTACGAACAAGCTCTCTTGTTTGAGTTTCGCCTTACGCCCACTTTTCTGGGCACATCTGCCTGTTACACCATCGGCAGTAGAAGAAGTCATTTAGACCCCTGTTCTGGAAGTAGCCAGTCGAGGCCTCTGTTATGCCTCTGCTTGGACAAAATTGACAGTAAACCTGTTTTACGTCACTCATTTAACGGCGCGTAACTCTCCGCTTTTCGAAATTTTATAAGATAGGAAACTTTCTTTCTTTTCATTATTCGACAGGAAACGAATGAATGGCTCCCATTTTCAATAAAACATCGCTTCACCGAGACCGCTGATCTATTTTTGAGGGGCGAGAATACACCGAGTGATTGACAACCCAACTCCTTGATCTCACGCTTTGTTGGTTCATTCTCCGAAGGCAAGACTGCTCAATGATACTGAACAATTTCCACATATTTTCGGGCCGTAATACATGGCTTGCACGACCTTCTTTTTCCATGAATTTGTCGCTGGCTCAGAAATGTGTGAATGAAAGAAGCCGTCATTATCCTTAGACACTTAATAAGTCGTTCATGCTCACTAAAATGTTTTTTGCTCTAGTACCATGTAGGTGGGTGAAAGATAGACTGTAATACTCTTTTTCTAACATGCACGTTTATGTGTGTCACAGACGGGCGTATTTCATTGATTTGGTCGCTGGATCGCAATGCTGCCGTTGGGCAAACGTGAGAGGTTACGTTATAACGTGTTGGCGTGTGCGTGATATGTCCAACTCGGTTAGTGGGCTTAGGATCTTTTTTTTTTTTGGTTACTTCAGCCAACCGACAGTAGGTTTTGCCATGAAAGGAATATCAATACAATATATTAATGAGAGTGCATAGCTAGGAGTATTTAAATATATAATTACAGAGAGATGGTTATCAAAATTATGTCCTTGAATCAATAATATATTCCTGTTTACGGTAAAAAAATTAAGCAAAAAGAACAAAAACTGATGAAATTGAAATATTTTTTGTTATTTTTGTATGAATCAAAATGTTTTTTAAGAAGTATATTTTATCGGAGCCTCAATTGAAATAAACTTGCTATTTTTGACTTAAAGTTCCTGACTTTGTTTCCAATAGAAACTGGTAACTACTGAACATTGTGCGGAATTCGCCTCAGATCCCGGTCTCTCTTTTAATTTTCGCAGTCAAGTTCATAGGCGTATATAAATAAACCAGTGTATTGCTAGATTGTCAACAAACACTAGCTTATTGGGGATTGATTAACATTTAATTTTTAAGTTATATGATACACATATCCCTATAAAAGGGATAAATGTTGTTTTTATTTGGTATCATTATACGAGCGCGGGATATTTAGCCTCCGTCAATGAGACCAATGCACTCTACTGTTGCGCACAGAAACGAGTGAAGTCTTTCCTTCGTCGTATTTACCAGCCACAATCTGTTGTAGTCAAACCATCGAAGGAAATACGCCATTGAATATCTCTTTTCAATGCATTTAAATGTTTCACTGATATCAACCTGTCCAAAAAAGGAAAGAGCATCACTTATTAAATGTCAGAGTAAGACTGAAATTTTTCGCAGATCATAAGGTTGATTTATTTCGGAGTTCTTTGCTTGGGCTTTGGCCGGAAGAGAAATAATGCTAAGATCTAAATACTATTTTTATTACGTGAGAGTATAATTTTTTTCCAATTCGTCTTTCATTGCATATGAGCGAACGCAAGAGGTTATGACTGACAAAATCAGGGCACTTTTCTTTTCTTTAACCCCTTAACCCCAAAGAGTGACTAGCATCTAGTTTCTCCTTTCTATATATCACCACTGAATCACACATTTAAGTCATGAGAATAAAGTAAATGATCATCAACTCAAAAAGTTTTTGATTATTCGACAAATTCTCCTTGTCAGCACTTTAGAAGTTTACATAGAGCAGTATGGAGAATATGCATGCTAATGTTAGAATTTAAGCGTAAAACCAACGAAACATCAAAAGTGATCTTTGCTGAAAATCATTCCAGTCGAAATATGATGATTTATGCAAATATGTCAGAGCTGTATTCTTCCGGCTACACGATTACCGTATCGACTGCCTCTATTGTTTTCAACGACGTTTTGCTGTCTCAGAATACAATTATCAATTTTTCCACCTTTGATATCAGTTCCCGGATTGGTTTGAATATTTAAAGTTAATTTTCTCAGCTCGTATTTGAATATTTAGCTTTTTCATTAAATGAGAGTAACCTAAATAAATGGTTAATTTTCAGATAGGTAAGAGAGCAATCGATTTATAGACTCTCTATTTTTCTGGCGCGATGATTGAACTTTGTCAGAGAATATCTGGAAATTTTCCCAGAAATTATTATACCGAAAAATTGAAAAAAATAAATGTATCTTAAAAATCGCATTAATTAAGTCATCCTCGCTTTCAGCTATTCAAAATGCCTTTTTGTCTTTACATAATGTGCATCAAGTTGTTTTCACTAAAATATTTTTTTGTAGTTCATCATTCGTTTTATTTTTGATTCGGCAATGGCCGTACTAAAACTTTCTTTTTTGGTGTAGAAAACAAGTGTGTAACTAAGATTAAAAACGTCTATGTTAATTGGTTATCTTCATCACGAACACTGATTATACAGAGATATCAACAATATATTGCTCACCCATCCGCCTTGGCTCCTTATCCAAACCGCCAAGTGATCCAAAACATAGAGCCTGACGCAACTAAGTACATTTTTCACGAGTTCTGGTCGTCCCTGTGTTATGCAGTCGGCACTGATAGCAGCTGCAAACGCGAATAGGGCTACAATTCGTCCCCAAGTGACACCTTCCCGAAACAGCTCGCGTCCAAAGTTTCTGAAAATATCGCCGACTATTACCTCGCTCCGTAATTTTACCTTGAGCTGTTTTGAAACATTGTTATAAAGATGGGGATAAGATGTTTCCAGAAGCTCGCCGACTTCGATTATTTTTAAAGAAATTGATAGAGTGCTCTCAGACACAGCTTTGGGTCGGATAAATTCAAGATTTGAATCGATATTGGAGCGTTTCAGTCGCTCTTCAATGTAGTCCAAACAGTACAAATTCGCATCGTTCGCTATAGACACATATTCCTCATTAAGTTTTGCTTCAATGAACGGTTTCAACTTTTTAGTGACGGATTTGAGCATGATCGCGGAAAAGTAATTTCTTCGTTCACTCAGTTCTGCATTTTAAGTAAAACATTAAGCTCAGAACAAACTGACGAATTAGATTGAAGATTTAGATGACAGGTGGAAAAGAAACTTAGTGCAGGTGGCATGTTCAAGGGGTTCCTAAGGCTATACAACATTTGAATAGGGTCGATCATTAAAACAAACAAAATTAGCGAAAGTTTACAGATAAACGGTCATAGAAAGAAAGAAATTAACAAGCGTTTGACGAGCACTGTGGGGTCGGACGCATAACAACACCTTTTTTTAAATGATCTTGACCTGACTCCTGACAAAATGATTACAGATGTAGTCCAACTTTTTTAATTTGATTTGCGACTCAGACAAGGAATATTCCTGACTACTACATTGTAATATCTCAATTCTATTTTTGTGCTGAGCCAAACCACAATCACCCAGCGAGTAGAGTTCCCGTCGATCCGACTGTCTAAGATGATCAAAGGCTAATTCGCTCGAAGAGTAAACCACCTTAAACTTGAAGAGAAGTGAAAAATATTTGTTTGGGAGAAGATCCAAAAATATCTCCGTGACATGGACACAAGGTCATGATGTATTACTGATTTTCATTTGTCAACTTCCAATTAATGACTAGCTAAAATTTTCAGTCTTTGTGAAGAACGGGTTTAGGAAAATACCTGAATAAAGGAGGTAAGTTTCTAAGGAAATTGTGATACTTCGTCGGTGGGGGAGTATAACAAGATAGTTTGATTTTTCCAACTGGGTTGATAATGTGAATTGGTCGCAGTAAAGAGATCGACAAAGCTGACGTCTCGAGCGTTAGCCCTTCGTTAGAGCGTTCGCTCTGAACGAAGGCGTACCTGGATGTTTTGTGCCCACATCGAGACTCAATATGACCATGGGATTTTTGACCTGATTGAAATAAAAATATCAGATAATAGCATACATTCAAAAAGGGAAGACGACAAAAATTAAGAAAAGAAAATACCGTATTTTGCTCGAATAAGCGCCCTCAATCTAATAAGAAGCGCCCTCGTTCTAATAAGAAGCGCCCTCGTTCTAATAAGCGTCCCCCCCCCCCCGACTGAGCGCTCACCCCTTGGCCATAACATTAAACAAGCGCCCCTCTCGAATAAGCCGCCCCCCCCCTCCCCATCACTCCTCCTCCCTCATTTTCTTAAGTAATAATGAGGATGCAAGGAAAACCTATTTCTGTTGCTACTTGTTTTATTATTTCTTAACAACCATCCTCCTTCCAATAAGCGCCCCTCCTTTTAGATGGAATTTAAACTAGCGCCTGGGCGCTTATTCCAAGGAATACGGTATGTTATAAAAAAAATTAAATACGATGTCACGCAGTAGTATGATAAATACATAAAGAGGGTAAATTTCAAAAGAAACTGCCAACCTATGCTTTCGAACCTTCCTTATTGACGGGTATCGTGTATATCAATAGTCCGAAACTAGCTCTGCCGCAAAGGCCTGGTAACGAAACCTCCACCATCACTTTGAAGATCTCTTTCTCGCTCTCCATGAACAAGGTGAGCCCAATTTGTGATTGTCTCGTCTGAAGTAATCGATTTCATCATCAACTAAATCAAGCCCTTAAAAATGGAAAAAGATTGTTGTGCAATTGTGTTCAATTTTGCTGAAATCGAAAGTGAAATTGCTTACAGAAGCAGAAAACATAGATTACAACTTGATGATGAAATGTATGGTGTATAGGGTCCAGTCTACCCAAGAGGTTTCTTATCACGGCCAGTCTTCCAAATCTTTTCGCGTTTTTTCAAATTTTTGCAACAGCAAGATAATTTTTTTGAAAAATTGTGGATCAAGGCGTTAAAGAATGCCAACTTAGCAATTTTTTAAGAGGATCGGGTAGAAAATTTATCTGGAAAAGAATGGACCGTTCTTTCTAAGGGAGAGGAGTCTGGGTTAAACTCACTCAGCCCCGTTGCCGCGTCAGCCATTACACCTTGCTGAGTCAAAGATCTTTACGTCTAAAAGAAAGAAAATATACCTCTCTAGACACTTTAAGACCGATAGCAGAGTGAAAAAACATACGTAAGCTCGGTCCGTGTGCATTTCGTGAACGAAAGTGAATTAAAAGGCTCGTAAAACTGAGTACTTGACGAATAAAGGAACAAAGGCGGAAGTATTAGATTCATGGCTGAACAACAAGCTCCTCAGGATGTGGAAATGGCGAATGACCCCTCAGATACGCCACAATCGCAGCCGATAGCAGCAAACCAAGTACAGAATGAAGCTGGTGGTTTTGTATGGCAAGTGGATGACTTAGAGCGGTTTCGACGCTTCCTCGTGCTTGGAAGTGAAGGCGGAACGTACTACGCGTCGCAGCAACAACTTGGGCAAGAGAACGCTCAAGCTTTAATGCGACTTATCGCCCAAGGTAGGGGACCCGAAGCCGTAAAAATTATAGTCGAATACAGCACAGGGGGTCGTACGGCCAAGCAAGACCCGATAATTCTATCTTTGGCTTTGTGTGCTCGATCGAAGCACATGGAAACCAAACGCGCTGCTTATGCCGCCCTCGGCGAAGTATTGCGAATTCCAACGCACCTCTTTAACTTCGTGGAGATCTGCGAGACCCTAAGCAAACCATCGACTGGCTGGGGCAGAGCACATCGAAAAGCAATTCAAAAATGGTACACTGGGAAGAAGCCACGCGGTCTTGCAATAGCCGTAACCAAGTACAAACAGCGCAATGGCTGGTCACACCGGGACCTGTTTAGACTTTGCCACGTAAAACCGACCGATCCAGCTATTCAATTTGTTGTGAAGTATGTGATTAAAGGATTTGATGCTGTTAAACAAGATGCTGGGAAGGCTGGAGTTAGTCAGGAAGTTACCTCTGTGTACACCTTTTTAGAAGGGGTAGAACAAGCCAAGACAATGAGTGAAGACGAGTTGGTCAGCGCCATTCCAAGGCATGGGCTGGTGAGGGAACATATTCCCACAAACCATCTTAGCTCCAAAAAGGTAACGAATTTATTAGTTTAAACGCAATAAAAGAAAGTTATTGAAAAAAATTCTTGTAATACCAAATATCTATGAACTGAGATTGATAAGGTGTTTCACTGAGGTTGAAGGCAATTGATGCTTGTTAATTGATGTCAAAAGTACTGCCTGAAATCAGTTTGTGGTTTATAATACCCAATCATTTGTGGATTTGTTAAAATTATGATCCAAGCTTAAAAAGTTACCTCAGCAACAATACAACATCTCTCTGACACTTTTCCTTTAAACATGTAGTCTGATTGTTGTAGCAAATGTGTGTATGGAAGGGGCTGGTGTTAATGACGTTAGGTGATGTTTTGACAAGTTGAGTAGAATGGTCATTGGAGTGAAGTCAAGTGATTATGCATGGATAGGACTCCTATTCAGATTGAGGAAATGTCAGTAATTGTCACAGACAATGGTTTCCTTGAAGACTACTCACCTGCAAAATTGCACTACACAACACTTGTTACCTTCTTGTTGAAACCATGTACTTAACTTTTCATTTTGTTAAATTCAAAGGGTTGTATATAATGGCCTTAGAATTATTCTTGGTAATTAAAACAGTTCCTTTTTGTCATGAACAGATCTGGGAAGCACTCCTTGAAAAAATGCCTATGACAGCCATGATCAGAAATCTTGGGAAAATGACGAGTGTTGGTGTATTAGCCCCCTTGACAGATGGAATGACCAAAGTCTGTGATAAGTTGAGGGATCAAGAGAGCCTCAAGAGTGCGCGCGTTCACCCATTCTCCATCCTTCTGGCTCTGAAGCAGTACCAAGCAGGTCAAGGAGACAAAGGGAAGCTTACATGGCAACCAAATCAAGCAATTGTTTCAGCTTTGGATGAAGCATTTTACATTGCATTTAAGGTTTGTGAAAGAGAGGGTTTCCTGTTTTTGTACCTGACTTTTGTGTTAGTCATAAGAAAGACCAATCATATTAAGTGTGTATAACCCCATAAGCTTTAAGGTTAAGTTTATAAGAACTCAGTTCTGTGCTGTTAAGTTATATTACAGGTCTAAGATCAAAGAATTGAGTAATGCAGGAAAATTGTAATCTATATTGTCTGAAAGAAAACCTATCAAAAATTTAAAAATGGTTCAGATATGATTTCAAGACAGTGATCACCTTAAATTATTTTTATTCTGGAGTGTCCATCCAGAGCTACTCTATTCAGAAGAATATAAAAAGATAGGAATATTACTTGACAAAGTTAAAAGATCATTCCACTAACCACTTTCCACATCATTAATAGTTATCATTTAAGCCTGAAAGTTTTATCACCTGGGGCCCATTTTGTGAAGGTCCCAGTAACTTAATCAGCCAATAAAGCTGTTTCACTCAACTAACCCTAAGCAAAAGGTTGGAAAATTATGAAATAAGACTATAAGCTAAAGAAACAAGATGGATTGGTTAGGGTACCAGAACCTACCTTTCTGTTCTTAAAATTTTGGTTTTGAAATATGGCTTTGGGATCTTTTAGTTACCAGGACTCTAAAGGAACAGACTCCTGGTCATAATTGTAACTTTTAAATAATTTCATAGAAATTCCATTTTTTTGTTTTCAGACTGTTCAACCCACCAACAAGAGATATCTTCTGGCTATTGATGTCAGTGGCTCCATGTCTTGGGGGAACTGTAATGGTACAACCATCACCCCAAGGGTTGCATCTGCTGCCATGGCAATGCTAACAGCCCACACAGAGCCACAGTATCATTTTGTAGGCTTTTCACATCGTTTGGTGCCTCTTAATATTAACTCCACTCAGAGACTTGACACAGTTTTAAGAACCATTGAACAGGTGAGTTGAGAAATGACTTAAGCTTAATTCAGATTTTGTTTCTTTTACAAAGTAAGTCTTGACTGCTTAGTTGGGATCTCAAGTTCCCAAATGAACATTTGTATGCATCTTTGGATAGCTTGGACTTTTCAAGTTATTTTATTTGCTGTCACATATTTTTAGTCTTCAGGGTTTATGCTGTTGTGGGGTAAAACTTGAAGGGTTCTATACAATGTATCTAAACATAATTTAAGAATGTAATCTTTTACTTACAGGCTATATGCACCAATTTGAAAGACCTACCACATCATGCTTTCAGTTTAACTGTCCACAGCAAATCTTGCCCTGCTTTTAATTGAAATAATATTTGTCACTTTTTATAGTAATTTTAACAGTTTGAAATTATCTATTCTTTGTGTCAGGGAGAGCAACAAGTTATTTTTACAACTTTTTAGTCATACAATCAGTTTTTATGTGTCCACCAGTTTCCTAGTGCTAATATTTGACATGTCTTACAGGTTCCTATGGGAGGTACTGACTGTGCACAGCCTATGTTGTATGCCAAGGAAAATAACCTTAAGGTTGATGTGTTTATTATTTACACCGACTGTGAAACATGGGCAGGACCAGTGCATCCCAGTGAGGCTCTCAAGCAATACAGGGCTCAGTCTGGTATTGATGCTAAGCTCATTGTCTGTGCAATGACATCCAGTGGATTTACTTTGGCTGATCCAGATGACAGAGGAATGCTCGACATGGCTGGGTTTGACTCTGCTGCCCCCGACATCATCAGAGAGTTTGTGCTGGGTCTCTAAACACTAATGTGTAGCCAGACTTATTGCCTCTATATTTAATAAAACATTTTAGATTTAGACTTTTCAGGCCCACTTTCAACATGGTACAGGCTAGTTTTATTTTAAGCAATGTACCTGTTTTGAATTGTTTTCTCAAGACTTTAGATTGCACTACCATAGTGGTAAATACATGTAAAGTTGTTTTTCATATGCATTCAACATATCCATGGAACTCGTATACATAATTTGGTATTGTATGGTTTTTCCTTGCATTATATTCGTTGGTATAATTAGCAGTGATCTGTGGTAACAATGATAGTCACCTTGATCTTAATCCCAAGATCAAGAGCCTTTATCTTATATTAACTCCATATGTAGTCGAACACTTAAATGTCACTATTCCCTTCACTTGTTTTCTTAGTAATGAGCACTAAACAAGGCTTTATGAGATTGTTAGTTATTGGAATCCCCTTGGAGTTACAGAGCTGCAGCTGATTAATAATTTATCTCACCTTTAGTGTTCTTTATTTTTGCTTGGAATAGGGCATGATGGCCATGAAATAAAGGAAAGAAATTAACCCAAGTAATGTTGATAAGAAAAGTTGATACTTTTTGTCTATATTTTCTCCCTTGTTGGGAAATTTTATAGCAAAATTAATTATTGTGGGACTATTTTTAGGATCACCTTAAGTTAATGTTTAAAGGTAATAGTACTTGTCAAGAGGATTGAACATTGCATCAAAGTGATGCAGCTGCTTTACATTGATTTTTTAACTAGTCGCAAGAATATGGTGGTTAGATCAGGATAATAAACTTTTTTTGGATATGTATGAGTATTCTTGTTACCTGTTTGGTGGATAAGTGTTGGAAATAAAATGATTTCATTTGTAATTTGGTGTAAACAAGTACCTGTAGGGCTAGTGCAATATGTAGTATTTGAAAACTTTCCAAGACAGTGCTTGCAGAGCCCTGCAACTTTGTAGTCCTCTCATATTCATCAAGGGCACCTCATCAAAATTATATCTAGCAATGATTGAATAAAAGCTTTGGAGATTTTTGTTTTTACTGCAAGTCTTTATTGACAACAACTTTAAATTTTCTGGATACATTCATCTGAAATTGTACAATTATAATTTCAATTGCCAACAGATTTTCTGTAAATCAGTAACTCTCAAAAATAAGTAATGAATATCTCTCTTCCAATGCAAAACATTCACTTCTATTTAGCTCATTGCATGTCAATCCTCAACATCAAATTACATCATGCATGCACATTTGTGGCTAGAAACAGTTATTGCAGATTTACTGGTAGCAATTGTTGCTTATAAGTTCTATATTAGTAGTTCACATGTACTACTGAATAACATTGCATGATTTCCTATTCATGTCTCAGGAATTAAATGTGTCAAAATACAACAATATTTGCGACATCTAGGTATTTTGTTGAGTTGTGTGGGTATTATTTTAAGGATTTAACTCAAGTTGTAATTATGACACACTAAACTTATTCCATTATGATCATAAGCACAATTTGTACCCTGCAAATCCCTCTAAAGAAATTGTCCGAGATTTAATTCACTCCTGTAGTAGATAAAAAAATGTAACTGCTCCTCACAAGTATAAAATTGATAAGAGTAAGGCCTGATTTCTACTTGATGGCCCAATCATCCTGATCTCCCACATTTCTTGAGCCAAAAAGGATGATCCAAGTGATACAAAAACCAGGTTAACCCCTTAACTCCCAAGTTGTGATTTTTAATTCTCCCATCTTGCTACAACTCATTTCCTTGTAAATTAGTTACAAGCATTTTTTGTTAGATCAGGATAATAACTTAAACCTGATAAGTTTAATTAGTATTTACTGAAACAATGGATAGCACTAGACAAGTGCTCTGATTGGCTACTCATACTGAATATCCTTTGCTATTCACATCAAAGCATTCACATGCAGGATTTATGCCTGAAAATTTTGTAATTGTTGCAGGAATAAATGTTAAAATCATCTTTTTTTTTTTTTTTGCTTCATTATCTCACTGTTTAAGTGAATACTAAAACAACAATTCACCTCAGTGTTGGTGGGCAGTGCTAGATATTTACCTTACTGCTTCAAGACTCATTAACTATCCTCCACAAGCCCCCTCCACTTTGGAGAATGGTTGTTAAGTATTTACATTACCTGTTGAAAGGGAGCAGTTGCATTTTAATCACTGGTGGGAATTACAGGTTTAATGTAAAAGCACACTGGTCATCTGGATCACATGACACCTTTTTGCACTAGACCCAGTTTCCATACAATCATTCTAATCCACTGCACAGTGTTCAGTGTTCAGAATGATCAGAGTAGTCCAGGCAATCTTGGGCAGAAAAAACCAGGCTTGAAAGAAGTGGGTATTGTTTTGATAATGCATAAAATTATCTCGAGAAAGATGGAGAGGATCGACACCCAAAGAAAACATTTATCAAAACTTAAGAACAATAAATAGAAGAACCACTATGTGCAAACCAAACGTTCGAGTATTAAAAAAAAAAATGGAAAAATAGCAGATAAAAAGTAAAAGGCAGATGGGAATAAGTACAAATACATGTAAAAATGTATGCACGTTAATATATAAATATTAGCATTTCATTTAAAAACTAGCTTTGGTATGTTGAAATTGCTGAGTTTTAAGCTTGTCTCTGTTAAAAAAACCACTGCAAAAAAAAAAAGTTGCATTCAATTTGCACATCTACTACACTCTGTCTCTGAATACTTCCTTCAAAGTGATAACAAATTTCAAGTGTTTCAATTCAATTAAGAGTTATTTGCTCTTTTTTGGGGGAATTTATAGTATTGTCTAAAAATAATTCCTCTATCATTGTAAAGTTGTAATGAGCAATCAAGTTTACAGCTTATTGCCCTTCTCTTAACCCAAATGCAAAAATTATGACCCATTATTCCTACAACATTTGAGATATGAAATATAATTCCTTCTAATTACTTGCCCAAACAATGAGCAGAAAAAAGAAGGGGGCTTTGCATCCTTAGCTCTTCTAGTTATTTCACATAATCAATTCAACATTGATCCTTTGCAAATTTCTGGTATGTGTTGTTTCATATAAGAACAATGCAAGTTACAATAGGTACCTTTCTTCCAAACATATATTTGAAGGTATAAAAAGGGAAGGCAAGTAAAAAGCAAGAACTCCTCCTTGGGAGGGTAAAGAAATTCTGCTGGGCTGGAAAAACACCTTAAATTGTCTAGGGTTTGACACCTGTAACAGTTTTGATTCTACATGTTTTAATAATTTGGGAAAAGGTGCTTCTGAACCCGACAGGTGTAGCTTCACATTGACAAAGAGATATTTTTGATTCATGTAAATCACAAACTGTCTGTGTAAATTAACAGCCTGGCAAAAAATGAAATTTAAAACTACCCATATTTACACATTAACGCTTCCTAGATTGTGTTTCATGGGTAAAAATTTTTCCCAAATCTTGCACAACTTGACGATTGCTGCTAATCACAAGTGTGCAAGTAATGAATCAAAAGCCAGCCTTCTTTCTACTGGTATTGCAAAATAAAAAAATATTGAAAAATGCAAGAGCCTTTTTGGATGACTTTCCCTACATTTGAACAAAAGAAATCATTAAGGAAAATCAGAACAAAGGCTATTAATATCACCAGATGTCAAGGAGAATTAAAAGTAAAAATTGGAAACTAGCCTCAAGCACTAGAAAATGAGAGTGACCAGGTCTTGCATCTGATTGGTTAAGAGGGAAGTCCAAGTTTTTCTGTGACCAATTTCAGAGCACGGAAAAACAGAACTGAAGCAATTCAAGGTTACTCTTGAGTCTCATTTCAAAATTCCTCTAAGACTTTCCAAGTATCCACAATGCAGATAAAATATCAGGAGGCAGTAGCTCTTACAGTGAAACACACATTTTCTAGTGCCTCAGAAAAACTGATCACTGCTTTTCCAATCCTTTCCATATCAACAGCATTAGGATTAGGTCCCACAGTTTCCACTACACCCTCCATGTCACTGTATTTACCCTCCAGATCTGTAACTGTTCGACGGACTTTAAACCGTGCCTGTGGTTCTAGAGAGTCAGTTAAGCTTGATGATGTCTCTAGAACTTCAAGAGAGATTCCTTTGAGCTCATCAATAGCCTGAAGAAGATTATTATGTGAATCATCCATTACTCTAGCATCAGTAAGAGAGAGAATTGCCTTCATCCTTGATTGGCATTGGTCAGAAAGGTGCAAAAGTTCATTTACTTTGGGTGGTAGATTAGAATCAGCTCCTGAACTGGGAGGGGTAATTTTAGGTTTCCTGGGAATGTTTGGTTTAACTGGAGGTTTTGGTTTAGAAGGAGCTGGTTTGGGCCCAGATGACTTTGGCTTCACTACCGAAGAACTGACTTGCTGCTGGCTTGAACTTGAATTATTTCTGGTTAAAGGTCTTTTGGAAATGTCCGGGATTGATGGAGGTGGATGCATTGGTTTTGATTTCGTGGGTGGTTGTCTGAGAGGTTCAATTTTAGAACCTCTATCACTCTGTTCTGATGGTTGTTCTCCCCTCAGCCTTGGCCGGGGTACTGGGCGAGGTTTGGGAGATGCCAGCCCATCATTTGGAAATTCTGAAAGGTTTGTATCCCCAGATGACAAACTTGAATTCGAGGTGGATTTTCCACTTTCTTGTAATGAGATTGGAGGTGGAGGTGGAGGGGGTCTGTTCCGTGGTCTTGGAACTGGACTTTTTGGCTTGCCCACTTCTGAATTCAGATGATCAGAGGGTTTACTTCCTGCAGCACTTGTCTTCCTGGCAGAGTTACTTGGTTTATCTTTATTTGACACCTGGGCATCCAGTTCTTTGGTTTTCTCCTCTAGCAAAGGTGACTTTGTGCTCTTATTCATTTGAGGAGGAGGGGAAAGTGGTGCTTGACTGGATGGACTGGACAAAGATTTCTGTAGAGACTGTCGGGGTGGTGGCAAAAGTGGCTTGCTGAGAGGTTGCGGGTGTGTGATTTTACGGGATCCTTGAGAGGGTGGAGCAGGCTTATTTCCATTTTCTTGCTGTTTTGGGTTTGAGAAATGAGGTGCTCCTCTCTGCTCCTGAGGTTGGTATTCTGGAGGTAAAGGTGCAGGTGGTCTTTTGTGCAGGTTATCAGCAGTAAATCTTGAAGGAAGATCCTCTTTTTGCTCTCTGCTATTTGAAACAATTCCTTTATCAGATCCTTTTTTCAGTGTCCCAGACCTGTTACCCAATTCCTTCATCAAATTGGACATCACAGGGTCATTTGGTAAAGGAGGTAATGAGGGACGTGCCTCCTTTTCTTTCTCCCAGTTTTGATCTTTAAGCATTGGCCGAGCTGGTGGTTCTGGAGGAGGCCCTGATGGATTCAGTGAGCTGGTAATTTTTTTCATATTGGACATTTTTGACTTTGAGCCACGAGGATCATCTTTCTTTTTTCTACTTGTGTTCTCGTCTTTTGCTGACAAAGAATCATTGGCTTCACCTCTTTTCTTGCTTTTCTTTCCTTTATCTTTTTTTGATTTATTCTTTTCCAAAGCTTTCTCCACTTCTGTTTTAAAAAAATCAAAACAGCTACTTAAAAAATCCTGATCTAAAATGTATGTGACTGTTCAATTTAGATTAGCTTGGGTTAAATTGCTCTGACTTAGCTCTTAGGTTTAAATCATTTGTTATAACATTATGCCATTTTATTATGTCTGAATCTGTTTTAGAAAATCTTCCCTGCTGGAGGTCAATGTATTGTTTTTTTGGATTGAACAAAACACTCTCTCACAGCAAGCCCCACAAAGATGCACAGGTATGAATGGGAAGAGGAAAATTAGCAGAAAATCACAAAATGCTACATGGTCCCAGAATGGGATGAAAGGTTCTGTGAAATAACCCTCACACCCCTAAAGGTGACTAGCATCTAATTCCTCACCCCTGAGTCAAACATTGAGGTCACAACACTAAAAGAAATGATCTCTAACAAAATAAAAGAACCTCCTGATTGTTAAACAAATTCTCCAAGTCAGCACCTTGGGAGATATATAGAGAACAATACAGAGAATATGCATACTGATGTTAGGGTGCAAAGGGATTGGAGACTTATGATGTGGACTAGTTAGCAAGACTTCTCTCCTAACATGTGTTCAATTACCATTATGTGTGAAAAAAAAAAAATAAGAAGCAGGTCTTTAATGGACAAAATACCTTCATCAACACTGGTTGTTGAGAAGACTGTGTTCAACCATTTGTGGATTTCAGAAAATGTTGGTCGATCTTGTGGATCCCAGCTCCAACCTAAATACAAGTATTTCAATTGCTAATTTAAGTTACTTACATAAATTCCAACAACTACCTAGTTCAAATTAAAATTAATACTTCATTGGTGTCACAATTTTCCCACAGTTTACAGGGGGCACTTATTCAGCAAATGAAAACATTTTATTAACTAATACCTAATAAACAAAATATCATTTACCAGCTCTCCTGCACACAGGATATTATTAATAGCAATATGCTAAATGCTTATCACATGATAACCTACACTAAGTATTTTGCTAAGTGCAATTAACTGAGCCACCAATCACAACATTCAAACTGGTTGAGGAGAACTTATTCAGGAGTTGAGGGGAACTTATTCAGCCAATAAAAACATTTTTTTAACTAATACCTAATAAGCAAAATATCATTTACCAGCTCTCCTGCACACAGGATACTGTTAATAGCAATGTGCTAAATGCTTATCACATGGTAACCTACACTAAGTATTTTGCTAAGCGCAGTTAACTGAGCCACCAATCACAACATCCAAACTGGTTGAGGAGTACTCAAGACAGATCAATCTCCCCTCCCCCACCCCTACCCTCCCCCCCCCATTCATGACAAATTATAATATCTTTTAATAAGATGCAACACAGATGACTCACATTTCATCATCATTTCATAGACCTCTTGAGGGCAGCCCTCTGGGGAAGGCATTCTGTATCCACTCTCCAACATTTCATACACTTGTGACAAGTCAATTCCTGGATAGGGTGACATACCATATGTTGCAAGCTCCCATAAGAGTATTCCAAATGCTGTAAACAAAAACAAAAACAAAAACAAAAACCTATCAACCCATCTGCCAATCTTGAAATAGATGCAAACCAATCACTATCCATGGATCCTTAAATGGATGGGTTGAAATGATTGACAGTAGTCACAATAAGACAATCTGTCTTCCTGATACAGTGCCTATAACAGTTTTGACAGGATAAAAACATTGCGTTCTTTGAAACCCAGTAAACATTTTTTCTTCAATTATTCTAGGTCCTGATTAAGGTACATGCAGTGGTCCAATAACTTCATTCTTATATCAAGAATTTTTTGTACTTGGAATACTAGTCATTGTCGTAATTACCTTCAAAGAACCCTCTCCTACACTGTACCTTTTTGAGCCTCTGCCTTAAGGGAAGCTACTGAGGTTTTCTCGCCATTTAGAAAATGATCTGATTGTTAAGTATCTTTTTTTTTGGCCAAAATTCCAATCACCACAGAATTGTTATTTATTGGACCAAAAAATAACAGGGACTAATCTAAATTCTAAAGGGGTATAACATACCCCAAACATCAGATTTAATCGAAAATGTGTTGTAGGCCAGAGCTTCGGGAGCTGTCCATTTGATTGGAAACTTTGCACCTTCATGAGCTGTGTAGATGTCATATGTCACTAGTCTCGACAAACCAAAGTCTGCAACCTTTACAAGATTGTTCTCCCCCACAAGACAGTTTCTAGCTGCAAGATCCCTTCAATAACAGACACAAAGATGGAAAAAGAGTTCATATTTATGTAAAAAAAGACTTACATTAAGTCTAGAAGGGGAAATGCCCAAAGTTTTCCCAGGAGAGGACACTAAATGGATGTTTTGATGAGAAAAATCTCTCAATACCTGTAAGCTACTGAAAACTTGACTTTCACTCTGCAAGTGTCCATGCCTACTTGTAAATAACGTTTCTGATTGCTTGATTCTACAAATTTTTTCTGGTTTCAGAACAGAAACTTAGAGCAAATTGATAGAAACTGTGGACTGAAACAACTTGAATTGTACTTTCTGGCTCAAATCATTATCCTCAGTTTCTTAATTGAATATATAACTTTCACCTTCAACATTTTGGTTATCTTTTTTCAAGCACAGCTAAGGAAGTTTTAGAATATTTAGCAACTGTACGAGAGTACTTTAGTTGGACCACAACAATCTATAGTTCAGCTCTTTTCATTGTATTTAACAATGTCAAATTCCTACCTGTGAATAAAATTCATTGATTCCAAATATGACATAGCATGGGCCACTTGTGTTGCCATGTACATCAGTGTGACAGCATTCAAATCCTTGCTTGCAGTGCTTCGTAAATAGTCCAACAAATTGCCATTGGTCATGAACTCTGTTATGATGTAAAATGGTGGTTCCCTTGTACAGACACCTAAGAGCTGTACCAGTCGTGGGTGTTTTATTTCTTTCATGACTGATGCTTCTTTCAAGAATTCATCCACCTCCATTGTCTCTTCCTAGATCAGATGATTCATAATTCAGTGAGTAAAGAACCCTTCCAAACTGTGCTGTTATCAGACATTTCATAGAACTGTTCTCTCATCTCCTCACCGTTGCAGGCCACACCAATGAACTTAATGCCATTCTTACTGACCTGACTGAATTTGGTGTAATATCAAGATAAAAATTTCTTCCTGATAAGTTTTAGTATCCTAGTTAAACCATTTGCTAGGAAACATATGGATATCATAGGCAGAAGTTACACGTTAGCCACATCTGGAAGTTAAGGGTTAATGCTAGTTACTATCATGCAAGAATTCCAAGGTGGTGTTTATACCATGAGGTGTTGTACCAATGAACTGTCAGAGGCTTAGGGTCAGGTTAACAGTTTCATGACATTGTAAAGACATAAGTGTGAACCATTGAATGTACCATACAGAAATCAAAGAAGCCCAGTTTTCTCTGAATGATGACTTCGTTATTTTCCTTAAGGATAGATATGATTTTAAAAGTCCTTTTATTGCTAAACTCAGAGGATTCTGTCTTTCCACCATTTCAAACTGGAGATTATAATGCTCTGACTATTTTAAATAAACAGTATCTTGAAATCAATGATTTTTAAACATCTATTTTCAAGTTGGTTTTGAAATCAAACATTGTTCTTTCTATGCCTTTTCATTGAGGGAAATTTCTCATTAAAAGTCTGTTAGAGGTCATCCCCCTTCCCAAAAAAAAAAAAATGCATGACAATTTTAGGATATATTGCACCAACCTTTTACCTGTCTATAAGACAAGTAAAAAAGGCAAAATTAATAATTAAAAAGATACTTTTTTAACAAAATGTGAGAAAGCACATGAGCTACCCACCCTTAAAGTCTTCACAGCCACTGGTCTGTTGTACTTCTTCCACACTCCTTCATAAACCTCTCCATACTGCCCCCCACCAAGACGATGTTTCATGGCAATTTCTGATCTGGGTATTTCCCATTCATCTGGTTCAGGTGAAAAACTGTACACAGTGGGTTTATCAGTCTTTGCCGCAGGATAATGAAGAGTTGTTACAAGTCCATCTGCATGCTTAGAATGATGATGAATAAGCTCCGCAATTGATGTAAATCTATTATCAGTAGAGACATACATTTTGCCATCAGGAGCATGGCTGACTCTATAGTGATACACTCTTGAATCAAACCGCAATGAGATAGATAACTGTCCAGGATTACTTTCACTTTCACGAACCAGAAAACTTCCATTGATTCCACTGCTGAGTAAATATTCTGCTGCATTACGCGAAATAGGCCCATGATACCAAGAATGCTTTTCCAAGCTGTTCACAGGTTTCACATAACTACTCGGTAACCAGCCAATATTTCCATTTCTAGCTTGACCTTCACACCATTCTTCAGTGTCATTGAAACGCAAGATAGCCAATTCTTCTCCTGTTCGAATAGTCAACTGATTGCTGCCAGCAGCTTGAAAGTCATGTATTGCAATAAATATTGATTTATCGCAATGGTCATCTGTAAGTAGGTCATCCTTAGAGTCCCATTCTGCAACAGACTTCTCCAATGGTGTTTCAGGCAAAGGTCGCTTTGTAAGATCAACTTTAAAAGTAAATGAAAAGCAAAGTCATTCATTAAGAGCACAATTATTACACAAGTTGATTCTTGTTTCTAATTACAAGCAGATTTGATGTACAGATGGACACTAGAAAAAGCTGCAAGGGGATTTAAAGAAACCCTGTTTTCCCAGTTTTATTAAAGGCGATTGCTGACAAATACTATACATATTTACGATCATGAGAGTAAAGTAAATGTCAATCAGTTACAAAAAGAAAAAAACACTCAGCCCAAACAGAATGAAGACTTCTAGCTAATAAAATGATCCTTTGTAACTTCCCTTCTAACAGAGTACCTGAAAAAAATTGCTGTAAATAATTGATCTTTCTTCCAAAGCAAGTCATAACTAGTAATGCTGAAAGAATCTAAAATTATCACATGTTTAGGGAAGTGAAAATGTGACAGCTTTGTACTCTCATCCACTAAACAGAGTACTCAAAAAACCATACAAGTGTTGTGATTAGCTATTACTAAGTGGCTTGAAACAATAGGTAACAGTTACGATATTACAGGTTTCACAGGACAGCTTAAAACCCACAAACTGTCTTCCAGACTTGAAATATTTGAAGGTTGAAAAATCTCTCTCAATCTCGCTTTATATTGCTCACTGAAAAAAATAGTCTAACGCTAATTGAACAGATTAGTAATAAGGAAATATTTTATCTGGGCTGTCATACATTCTATATATATAAATAACAAACGATAAATCAATGCACACATGGAAAAGGAAGTATTCGATTAAAGCTTGAGAAATGTACGCTTTCACTCTGGGGGCCAGTATTCAAACAACAATAAATACTAGCTTATATGCTAACTTTTGACGTATGCACCCTGCTTAGCACGCTTTAAGATGCTGATTAATGTTCAACCTTCAACTGTAGTTTGTTTTCACAACACGCTTACAAGAGTGATCAATACCTTAAGGGCAGAGTGACGGAAGGTAAATCATACAAATCGTAGTCAATTGGCGAATTTTTCGCTTGAATTGGCGAACTTTTCGCTTGAATTAACGTTGTGTGGAGCTATTTATTTCTACAGACCACGAAAGGGATTGGTTAACCATTTAAAATGTGATGTACATTTTGCGTGCGAAATTACAAGCCGCTGCCGGACATAATTTTTCCAAGTGCATTACGCTTTTAATTTCTTTTTCTGCAAATTAGACGGAAGGTAAAGATCACACTGTGCGGAGAGTCAAAGCTTTCCTTGTACGTCATTAGACGTAGAGACATGTATTTGCTTGACATACCTACGGTCAGCAGATATTTGATCAAATTCCACAACAAAATTTCAAGCTTTACATATTCAAACACATTATCACATTAGTGTTTGAGGTTGATCAGATTCCAAAAACATCCGATTCGGAATTGAAAGAGATCTTCAAATCTATTTTCAATCTTACCTGTAGCAGTATGAAATTCTGACTTTTCAGCCTCTTTGCTCTTCCCAGATGCCTTGATCGTTTTCCCAGATTTTGATCGTTCCGTTAACGCTTTAACTGGCTGCTGACCCATACTAGCTTAGCACAGTTGGGTCTTAAGTTCTCGACGTCTCGCCACAAGTGCCATATTACAGCCCGAGTTGTCAACGTGATCTTCTCGCACAGATTACCCACAACTCACATAAAACCAAGCCATTGGATTCGATCAGTTGTCAGCTCAAGGCTACCCTTTTGACGGAAATGAGAAACCAAAACGCTTTGCTGTACGTCCGTCCAAACACTTTTTCGATGTCATGCGACCCGGAAACTAAGCTGGCTCCCAGTCCCCTCACTTACAAGCTCCAAGGGAAAATTTCATAAGAACATGCGCAAAACGCAATTCGCGCCAAGGCGCTAAATTCAAGATGGCGACTGTAAGGTCATCATCTACGAGGTGAGTTTCCATATTTCTTTGGTTTGTTTTAGCTGTATATGAGATTGGTGACTGTAAAAAGCTCACAAATGGACCTACTACTTACTAGGGTCCCTTCATACGCCTCTAGTTTGACGTTCGAAATGAATATTTGATATGGTAGTGTCACAAGTATGTTTCGAAGATCAGAGAGTATGATATTATGTAGATGTCTTAGGCCAGCACCGCTTGCAGACTGTGTAGAAGTTACTCAGTGATCGCTTCTGGGAGTTAAAGGGTTAAGAAAAATTTCAACCAAGGATGTCGATACTTTCTTTTAGTTTGAATATTTTGTTATTACCCTAAGATGAATGATGATAAAAACCAGCAAACAATAATACCCCATTGAACACTTGCTCAACTATGGTTTCTTTGGCTTTAGGAAAAGAACCAAACGCACAGAAGAAATACCAGAGGTAGGGGAATTTACCTATTGTGCATTTAAATGATATTAATCACTTGTACCTTGAATAACTATGTTGAATTTTTAGTGGATAGTTTCTCATTTCACATCTGTAGCCAGGCTGTGACTAGACAGATTCCTTTTTATTTCAAGGAGAGCATAGATTCATGGAAACCTCCCACTATCTCTGTCTGTTTTGGGCCACATGTTTCTTCTCAAGCTACCTTCAGCTGTAACCTGCCTTGCTGTAAACCAGTTGGAAGACATAGAGGACTCAGATTTCTTGGCTAAACTTTAGAATACCCAGTCACTTTGGTCTGCCTCACTTACATGTGTTGGGAGGCTTTGAAGATCAAGGCATGACACAATAGATGCTATTCTTATTCAATGACATGTAAATGAGTGGCCGGGTATTCTAACATTGCTCCAATTTCTCTCTTTCTTCATTGCTCTTGACAAATATTGAACATCTTTCTACATTTAACTAGCAATCACAGAATTAACATTAACATCTTTCTCAAGATACATGTGTTTTCAAAATAGTTTCATTGAATTTATTTTAATGGCTGGTAAGATTGTTCTCTTAACCATCAACTGCAATAAGAAAAATTGTTACTTTATTTTAAAGGATGTAGGCTTACAAGCAAGTGGATTCAAGTTCTCGCGCCAGAGTCGCTACCGAAAGGTAGAATGCTGTTAGCTCTTTATTTTGTAAGATTTTATCTGCATCAAGGAAATTTATATATCATTTTGTTCAGATCACTTGGAACCTAACCATAGCAAGGTCATTGTGGTGTGTTTGTGGACAAAGACTCTTAAATATTGCAGTGCCTCTCTTGATCTAGGAAGATGATTGGGAATCACCAATTGTGAAGGAAACCTGACTGAAAAGGTTGGGAATGACTTGTAATTCCCCAACATTCCATAATTTGGAAGGAGATACTCCCTGTTATGAAGTTATACACAGACTGGTAAAAGCTTTGGTAGTTTTGAGCCATTTGGTTTAAAGAGGTACAGTAATCTTTTTCTTTTTAAGGCTCCCCAGAAAAAAGGAACTGCAAAGAAAAGTGAACAGAAGAAAAGAAGATCAAGCTTTGTTAGAGGGAGGAAGGAACGCAAGTCTCTTGTGTTTTCATCTGCAACGTCTGGTTTGTGATATATAATTGTTTGTCTAATTACTAGTATTTTGAATAAATCAAGTAATGCTGTAATAGCCTGCATAAAGGTATCTCTTATTTCCTGTTACTTGTGCATCATGCATCCAAGCAAAGGAGGTGGAGATGCCTCTGTCATGGTGAAATCTTGGCTATGAATGATTTCTTATCAAATTTTTTTCTTAGCAATGGTAAATTCTTTGAGCATGCTGGACTACAAATGAGGAAGGATACACTTAGGCTTGATAAATGATACCAATAATCTGTTGTGATCTTAGGCAAGACTCTAAGCCTTGACAGTGCCTTTCTCACCACTTAAAAGAGTAAATGGGTATCACCAATCTATTGGAAAACTTGACCAAATGCTTGAGGATTGTTTTTTAATGGGAACAGCATACCATCTGTTGCATATTCATTTATATTCTATCTTTAATATTCATTGATCAAGTATCTAATAAGCTGGTACAATCTTGTTACTTAATCACAATACTTTCACATCATTCAGTATTCCCACAGTGATAATACTAGCATTGGTACGAGTGCTTTTACTATGTTCTCAATACACTACACCATCCCATAAAATTAATGGTGTACTTCAAGGAGCTTAATGCTATAAAAAGAGAGACAAGCACCAGCACTTAAAGGGCACTGCTCTCTTTAGATTTCCAACAAACTTTTTTACATCATGTTGTGCTGCAGAGCTTTATAAAGAGATTCCTACTGATTTGACACCTGAGGAAAGACTGAAAAAGTTATTTGAAGCCTGTCTTAAGGTAAACTTTTCAACTGTCAAGTATGCTAAAATGTTACCTACTGATCCTATCTAGACTCTTATCAGAGGGGGATAAATGTAGGCTGTATTGAAGACCTGATATTTTGGACAGTCTCTTCAGGAACAGCTTGTAAATTTCATAATGAACCAGAAATGAATAGGTGTTTTTAGATTTTAGAGTAGGCCTCTTTGTTTCCAAATCATGACTGATTTGCTGATTAGCAAAAAGTTGACCTGTCTAGAAACCTTTCTCAGTACAGAACTTACAGAATTGTATATTCTACTGTGGATGACAGAAACAGAACTTTTCACTAACCCATATAAACACTAATTGAACACCTTATGAATTATATTTCATGAAATATAATTGAGCCCTTAAAGTTGCACTTATTCAAAATACGAGTTTCATTATGACCAAGTTTGTTTGCAAGCTATTTGAAATGATATTCTTACCAGCAAGTACATGTAGCAACCATTATGGAATGGATGCTTGATATGAAGCCTCTAGTTACTCTTAATGTAAACTCTTCCTGTGTTTCACACGAAAATACATGGCAATTTGGAAACAAAATCTATCAGTTTGTCATAGGTCACAGTGAGCTTTTCCATTCTCCCCTCCAAATCATAGTTAGTAGAAACTAATTCTGAAAGGGAAGACAGATGGCTTTCCCAATGATATTTTGTAAACAAAAGAAAGCAATGCTCATTTGTCCATCAAGATTCAAAAAAGCTCAGCCCAAGCTTATCTTTATGTCATGTTTTCAGGGAGCATTGGAGAAACTGGAGAACAATCCATTGCAATATGAAGTTGATGGTATACCAAACTTTAATGCAGAAGGTATAGAATTTAGTGAATAAATTGGGTTATTTAATGAAATAATTAAGCATTGCAGTGGTGGTGCTCATCTCCTTCACTCTCCACTCTCCACTGGCTTTTAGTGGTACAGTATAAAAAAATCTTGGGTTTAAAGGGCTATATCACAGGTAACTCTATTAAAATTATTGGGGTTGAAATTTTCAACTGAAGTTCATCATTTGCTATCCACCTTCACCTTTACCTTCCTTGACCATCATCTTTTCATGGGAGTTTATTCTTACCTCTTAGTGTTTGTCAAACCAAGTAAATGATTTCTTAAATTTCATGGAGACTACACATATCTGAGAAAATTTCATTGCTGCTGAAATTATTTAAAATAATGTGGCATTAAGCTACAAGTGAATTATTTTCCCCATAGCAAAGGCACGTACTGTACAAGACTTTATAAAACAAGTTTGAACTGTTGCTCTTTGTTCATTTTCCTAGCAAAAGAAGTGTTCAGCCATTTGCAAACAGTGATATCAGACAGCAATATTGTGAATGAAGCTTTTAAATCTGCCACCAGCAAAATAAAGTAAGTAGAAAATTAGTGAAGTGTCAAGAAACAAAATTTATTATTGCTGCTTTAATTAAATTAGCTTTACAATATTAAATTAGCCATAAGAGTTATTTTTATGTGTTGAACATTATACTCAACAGTAATCCAAGCTGCGACCATTTAGGAAGCCATAGTGGGAAAAAAGGCCATGACATTCAGCAAAAGTTACCAAATTGGTGATCTGTGTTTGACAGACAAGGCACTGGCTGCATTGTTTTTATTCATTAATTTTCTTGATCGACATTTGCATGAAATTATTTAAGTGCTCCATCATTGCTTCTTTCTCCTCACTTGGGCAAGTGTTGAAACTAGAAATGTCTCATACATGCAAGTCTTTAAAAATGATTGCAAGCTACTGTCAATTAAAAATTTTATCAACCATTTTCTGATTTTCCGTGGCCAAATGGTGACTGATCTCTGTTTCCTAATTACCTAATGATTTTTTTCTTTCCCACAGGCAGATACCCAACCCTAAAAATGAAGAACTGGAGGCTAAAGCGGCATCAAGGCTGGCTGTTACTGAAAGGTACAACAGTATCATAATATATGTGTTTAAAACACTTACCGGTAATGTAAGTAATGTTCTTGCATTCCTCACTTTTAAGGTAGCAGTAAAATTTACTATTGTGGCATCTAGTGCAGCAGTGATATTTTTTTGACTGGAAATTTTTTGTACTCTTTAAACTTTTTCTGCTCAAGTTGACCAAAAAAATATCTGCTGGGAGCAATTTTTTGCATTTTTTTTTTCACTACCATAACTGTCAAATAGTCCCAACCTAACCAAAGCTACCTAGTTAACTCTAACTGCAGGGGAATTCGAGCAAGAGACTGCAGGCCATCTTAGACTCAAGGTGCTGTTCAAGCACCAGAAATAAATGAAGAAAACATACTTAGTCTTTTCAAATCCTTTTAAATATTGAGTTATTCAGAGAAATCACACCAGATGATTCAAAGATTAATATTTTGAGTCACTCCAAAGTATAGCGTAACTGTAAAACGTGCATAAGAGCTCTGGTTGGACTGAAGATAGCAAATTCTTGTGGCAGAATTCTTTTCTTTTGGAGAACTAACTGATGACTCATTTTTTCCAATCAAAGACATTAACCCTTTCACTCCCAAGATCTGATTAGTAATTCTCCTTACTATCTGCCATACAATTCTTATGATGTTAGCTCAGAGAATTTGGCATTGAATCAACTAATCATCCCATGATTGATATTCTTCTCTATCTTATCATTTTTGATATTGCTAAGGAGAAATTCATCTTGGCTGAAGGCAAAGAGAAGGCAAGAACAAGAAGTGGGATGAATTATTGTCCTCCCATAAAAGCAATATGGAAAAAAAAGATAGGTACAAAAAGTAAAAACACTATTCTTAACAAATTTGTATTCTTTCATTCTATCATTTTGTTCTATCATTTTTTCATTCATTCATTTATTCATTCACTCATTCATTCATTCCTCAGCCCAGCCATTTTGAGGCAATATTACCATATTCTCTCTCATGGCAATTAGTACAATTCCTGGCACAGAAAGACATGCAGTGTAGTGGTCCATGGGGTAAATTTCAGATTAAGGAGGGTGGGTTTGAGTCATGGGTGGGTCATCAAGTTGTGTTTGTAGACAACACACTAAGAACCAGTTTCCCTTTCTTTCAACCAAGTACAAAACATCAAAAAACTGAAACTTGAAAGGTTTGTTGGAGGATTAGTTATGGTGTACTCTGTAGTATTCTGACCAGGTTTAGAGGCAATACACATAGTCACTTTATTTCATAGAAACTGGAGTAAATTGCAAAAAGCAGTGATCCACTAAGGTTATAGTGATAAACCAGCACAACCTGAGGATCCACAAGCATATAAAATAGCCATGTACTGGTTTCTTGTTTTTTGTTTTTTTTTGTTTTCAATCCATCCCATCTTGGATAATCTTTAAAACTTGTACCTGACTGCCATCTTGTTATTCTTGCATGCTAATGATCATTGTCACTAACCAGCACATGACAGTTGGAATGCACAAGTACTTTTTATTTGACAGAGAAAACCAAGAAGATGATGTGAAATCCACAGATCAGTGTCCAGACTTCCTGTCCCCTGAACAGCACCAGCTGCTCTCTGGAAAGCCATCATTGAAAGGGGTAATGGACAGACTTCATGAAACAAAATTCAAAATGATATTACAGGTAAAGAAATTTATTTAGAAACAATAACATTAATTAATTTTTTTTTACATTGGAAATCATAGAGAGTATCAGATTTGAACTGAGTGTCAAGATTGCTGTGGATTTGATTCATTACATTTTGTGATGGGTCTAACAAACTTGCACAGTGTAAAATTGAAATCAATCCCTGTTTGGTTACACACTTTGTCCCTTGAATGAGATATAAATATTTGCTTTGAGTTTTCAATGGCCTCTCTTATTTATTTACTTTTGTTTTGATCAACATTTGGGATTACTTTGGTTTTGATTCAAATTAATTTGAATGTTCTTCAATTTGAGAATTCCCCTTGCCTTTGCCTATAAATATATGATCCAAGAGTGGATCCAGATGAATTTAAAAAGGAATGCTGAAATAGCCAAAACATTTGTGAAAAACATTGACTCCTGAGAAGGTGTGTGTGTGTGTAGAGGGGGGTGGGGGGCATGACCCTTTAACTCTGCCCATGCAATCATATAATACAGTAGCCAATAGCCTTTGGTCCCTAAGTCCAATATCTACTTTGTTGTTGTAACTGCTTGATTACAGATATTCCTTTTTCTTGTTTGCAGGCAGATGCAATTGCCACATCTATAAATACCAGTAAGGAGTATGAAGCAGTAAGTAGCAGCTTCATAAGCGAGCAAGTGAAATCGTTTGGTAAGTTGAAGAAGCTCTCATCTTTCAACTACATTGAAACCTCCAACTATGGGGACACCCATGGGGGTAGAAAAAGAATCCCCTCTATTGAAGAAATCCTAGGATGGGCTGGTGTTTGCTGAATACAGGGTCTGCTTGATATGGTGGCTGGGAAGGGGGGGGGGCTGCTAACCACAGATATCACTGTATTGTGCTCAAGTAAAAAGGAAAATTTGTAGAGGGAAACTTAGGACTTGGGTTGGTGTTTGCAAAGGACAGTGTGCTTGATATGGTGGAGAGGGGGGGAGGTCCACTTACCTCAAGTACCACTGTATTGTGCTCAAGCATAACGACGTTTTTTAGGCTGAGCATACGACTGGCCACGATGGTATTTTGAGTTTCCCAAGTGTTACAATTTCCCTTTTGAATCCCTATTTACTTATGTGACATTTGGCGCGAGTTTTCTTCTTCTGATTTTCAGCCGGCACAACGTTTGAGGCAGTTAAAGAGACAGGGACACCTCGAACAGTGATTCCTCGGTTACTTAAAAAGCTGTTTTAGACGTCAATCCACCGTTGGAAATCTTCATTTTTTTCACACACCTTATTTTATATTCGTATCTATGTTACTGAATCACTGTGAACATTTCTGACTAATAACCGATAGTTCTTAGCTTATTGAAGATAAACATATTTTGTTTTAGTCATCTAACTTATATATTATCACCTTTAGCTCATCGCCCTAACGAAGGGCTAACGCCAAGGTGGCCAATTTACATTATCTACTCAGTTGAAAGACCAACTATCTTGTCAATCCACCGTTGGTATTGTATATATTTTGCTTTAGCTTCGTTAGTCTATACTGTAAATCGGCCAAGGTTGTCAAGGTTGTAGATTAGAGAGGTCAACTGCAACCTAAGCGGGGCAACAGGATTCTTGAATTATTGAGGAGTATGTAAAACCTCCTAATTCAAGTGAGGGGAAAGTACGGATCCGAAGAATCAACACGGCATGTGTTTCTTTGAGCTTAACCAACAAAATATATTTTTCAATAAAACAGCGTGAATGTCAACATGACTGTCAGGTTAGCCTGGGAGAAGGCTGTCATTATTGCCCCCGCATGTGGGCGAATGCTTGCTCGATACGATCCGACGCGCAAGGCGATTATGTGAGAGGGACCAAAAATTAGAGCCCTTACAGACATCTTCGGGCTCCTATCGCTCCACCCTTGTGTCCCGCGTCAGTGAGAAACCGCACAAGGCTACGGTTAGGCAGATACCCATTGTGCGACGTCCCTTAGTAGATGCCATCTACTAAATACACAACAGAAAGACAGAAATAAAAAAGGAACCAATGTCATAAATTTGTGTTCTATATTTAATCTAACGTAGCTTTCTGTGCTACAGAGCCCAGTACGGTTACCCACTGGGTGTCAAAGATGAAAAGTTTTTGCAAATAACTACCACTAGTTCAGTTGTACGTCAATGTCAGCATACTTACTAATTTAAAAGGTAAAACATCCTTCCACGATCCTTCAAGTTTAAGCCAAAATCTAAACTTTGCAACGCACTTTAGAAACATTGATAGATTTACAATGAGAAAAAGTGAAACAAGGAAATTGAAAACACAAGCGAAAGAAGAAATGCGTAAAAATGGACAAGGGAAATGTAAAAGTTACAGAGTGTGATCGAATGAATAATTTTGGTTTTAATTTAGCGATGGCTTACGTGTAGAAAAATCTTCGTCTATTTGTTGGCCCTGTCCACATTTAAACGGATAAATCTGAAATGAACATTTTTTTACCAACACTTTTGTCTCCGATTATAGCAACGATCTTAAAAGGATCTACGTTCCGAGATCGTGAATAAATTTGAAGGCCTGCCAAACTACCTTTAAAGACAGTTATAAAAAGGCTGCGACATATTTGTCTGGAAAGATTAAAAATACAAAAGAGGAACAAAGAAACCAAACACAAAAAAAGACCGCTAAGGATGGAGAGAATGCTGAATGATTTTATACAACAAACCGCTCAAAATTTTAAGAGATAACTTTTCCAAGACCCTAAAACAGAGACGCCATTCCTTCAGCTAGATCGTCTCCGGAATGGAGAAGGACGGGGAAAGGTGGAACGTACTCTCTCGTTTAACTTTAATTGATGTGCAGTTTTGACCTGGTTTTTCAAATTTACAAGAGAATATGGATATTTTTAATCTCTTAAAAGTTCCTAATCATCCCCTAGAACAGGCCTTCTTTCTGAGACAGATTTGTAAACCTTGGTGGAGACATTTGAATAGGTATGGCAGTGGGGAGTCCACACTTCTTTGACCCAGTGCTCTTTCGATCTTTTTGTTCATTTTCAAATTTATCTAGATTTTGATGGATGGGAACCTTTATCATTTCTGACTCGTTCAAACTTTGGTTATTGTATGAGAATAAAAAACATTGCACCCATGTGCACATATCATGATCAAGATCATTTCATGATCAAGATGTTCAATTTTGCTGTTAAGCGATGAATTATAAAAATATTCTACAACAAAATTAAAAACCCCAAGGTTCGTGGATTAAACCGCTTTGCCCTCATGAGTAGCGCCGGCGCTAATTATCCACAATGCATTATGGGTTTGTTTGGTTCCAGTCGCCTTGCAGCATGCAGCAGCAAGTTCACAGACTTATTACCGTGCGATGTGCGTAGGATTTCAGATAATTTCCGCAAATGGATCTAAGTGTGTTTCAGTATGGTTGGTATCTGAGTGTGTCTTGTGTTCGCTGTCCTCCGTCTGGTATTTTTTCGTTTGTAATTGTCGTGCAAAGTAATCAGCAAACTCCTGTAAAGTGAATAGATTACATGTCAGTAACCGTCTGTTGCAATGTCCACAATAAAGTGTCCTCTACCTGCTGTTTTCAGCACAAGCATAAAATTCCTTTCGTAAGAGCCCATGCTCAAGCTAGATCTCGCTAATTTACAGTATCCAACGCCAACAGGAAGAAAGTCATCAATCCAGTGTCATATTCTTTAATTCGTTGCAACAATTTACTCTTAAAGGTGTCTTAATTCACGTGTGAACATGATCAAATAAAATCAGCAGTGCTAGCTGCCTGTCTAGGCTGATTGACTGATTTCAGTGTTGGTAAAATCACAGAGAATAGTGCTTTAAAACGCGATTATCTTTTTGCCTTGTAAGATTTAAAATTTAAGACGATAAAGTAGAATAAAATTGAATTCAATCTAAAACTCTATCCATTAATATATCATTATGTACATTGGAAATTTTATAACAATTCAATATCATGTAAACTTTAAGACGTTCCACTTTCTCCAACTAATAATATAACTCTAAAATGCTTCCTTGCTGGAGGAGCTACAAAGGAAAGGTCAGTAGTGCTAATAAAACTCTACAATACTTCGCGCCACACCTTATGGGAACTTCTTTTCTTTTTTAAACTCAACATTCAAATCTTACTTGATGAAAATTTATGAGGAGATCAAAGTTTTTTTTCCGCTCCGATTTTAAACCAAGTTAGTTTTCATACATCTTTCAACAGAAAAAGAGAATCTTGTGATGGAAATACGTTTGTTAGTTTTTTTTTAATTTCTTTGCTTTTAAATTTTAAATTTAATTGCAAAAATACATCGTGTTAAATTTTCACTTCCGATTTGCGATTACTTTATCTAGTAAAATCAAAAATAACTCGAATGAATTTAGTCTTGGGAATAGTGTGCCCTTTAGCGGCTTTCATATAAATAAATAAATATTAATAGTAAAATAGACTGAGAGAATTTTAAACAAGTTTTAGCCGGCAATGAAAGCTTCTGACCCTGTTACTTGCTATGATTAAAAAGAAAACCGAACGAATTTCCATTGATCAAGGGCGAAGCATGAAACGACCAGAACATTGACTTTTTTAAACAATTTGTGTTCAAGTGAACTTAACTCTCTCGAATCAACAAGTGCCTAGACACGACGCATCACATGAGAATTTTTCTGTTAAGATTAAGGTGTGTGAACGTGAAGCCTTACGATTCTCCGGCGCCTTCGTATGAAATAGATGTACAAGGCGATAACTGCAAAAGCTATGGCTGAATATAAAATCAGACACATGCTGGCGTCAATGGAACTCAGACCGATTATACTGAGATGAGAAACAGAATGACGCTTGGAATGTTTGCTTACAATGTCAGTGTCCTCTAACTCTGGAGCTGATCGCGCTGGCGGTTTCTTAATCCTGATATTGTCTACCCCATAATGGTTCTTCAAAAATTCCAAGACGACCGCCTCATTCCACTGAACGTTGTGATCATCAGAGCCAGGAACCCGACACTCCTCACAAAGGTCCTTAGACGGAAATTGGATCTTGGGGTGCTTCGGATCTTCACTTTGGTCGCCAGCCAGTCGATCATTCACCTTGTTGTGACCCCGCCACAGCCATAGGATTGCCTCGTTGTGCGAATGGACTTCGTTACTAAGATTTGAAGACATCGCCGTGAAGTGTTTCCTACATTCTTCGCAGCTAAAGAAGTAGCGGATGAATTCTCTGATACGAGAGAGAACATCCAGACCTGTTAGCTGGTGGCTCGAGCCGCAGTTCACGGTGAGTGTGTGGAATAAAGTCCATAAACTACACGGGTAGCCTCGGTACTCTGGCTTGCTACCAGAACAAGCCACCCACTTAACCTTTTTGGGTAGAGGATGAGCGTTTGGGCCACCGTCCAGTTTCACGTTCGCCTGCAAATAAATTGTGGAGACACTGTACAATCAGCCACTATGTCACATGATTAACGGCAGTGACGTAATTCATGCCATACAGCCACTAGGAGTAACACTTCTTTCCCTTGATGGAGTGCTAGTCACAACAGACTACCTCATTCACAGTAGTCTTGCAGTTGTTGGTGTCCACACTGATCGAGTTCACCAAAAAATTTCCTGGGCCATTCTTTTAACATCAATTTTTTGACTTGAATAAAACCCGCAAAATGTCTACCCTTGTATATGCGTTCACAAAATTGAAATCAATACTAACTTTAAATGCTTTATTCGGGCTGACCACCTTTGAAGCGAGCGCTCCCTGGGCTGTATTGCTAACTACAATGAAAACTTAACCCTGGCTTAGTGTCCACCGTGGTTAGAACACTAACCTGAGATCAGAGACAGGCAAACTCAGAGGTAGTGTGGAAGAGTTTGTTAGCCCACCAATACCGGGATAGACTGGGGTGTTCTCCAATTCTATGAGTTTACTTGCCAATTACTGTCGATACGAAACGACTGGAAAGATTGCTACCCAGCCAGGACAAGACGCTAGTCAAAAGCCGATAACCTCCCAGAGATTAGTCAAAGTTTCCTTGGAAGTTCGCAGCGACCCACGAATATTCCTGAGAGGGGATAAGTCCTGTGAGAGTGGGATGTCTTGCCCACACGGCTAGAGCTCGAACCCAAACCTCTCGATCGGCAGTCCAGCGCAAGAATCAATCGGCTATCACCTCTGGCATAGCCGATCCATTAGTTTACCGCTTCAGTCACACACGACAAGTCATTCATCGATGCGAACTTCACCAGGAAAAAAACACGGCTTTTTTCTGTAATCACACGAAGCTGAAATCCCACCATAGCGGCAGAAACGACCCAAGTAAATCAGGCCATGCATTTATGTTTTTGGGAACGAGCTGAAGGAAAAAGTTCACCTGTACGAACTTACCTGAGATCGCTGCACATTGTACAAATATTCCGACCTGAAAATGTTTGTCCGCGTGAGAGGCAACTTGGCGTGTAAGTTGTTTAACATCTGGCCCAAGGATGGTCTTCCAGGAAAACACTGAAAATATACATTTTTTTTTAATGGAGTTAGTCGTTATCTCTGACTGACGTGCACTCTACTTATGTACTCTAATTATCTACTATGAATATTGGAGACTAATAAAGTTTAAGCATGCATTGTTAACAAATGTCGTCATCGTTATCATCACAGTCATTGACGTTATCATTAACTGAATAAAAAAGAGACTAAATTAACCATTCAATAGAAGTGATTTTGTCATAAGATAGAGATACACAATGTATCACACACATGTAGCGTACTTCTGAAAACGGATGAAATCTCTAGGTTACCTTTGCCAGCATTCCTATAAAGTTCCTCAGCGCCAAGTACTCATCTCCCTGGATGATCGGCTTGGTAGCCACTTCAACGTTCAGCATAAAAGATAAACCACTTTCTAAGTCTTGCATATATACCTCGGAACTGTTTCAAAAAGAGGGAAAAAATGCCTTCATAACGTAAATCTTACCAAATCAGTTATTCGGGGAACAACAAGTACATATTATATGATTCAAATGGAGATTAACGGACCAACCAAATGAAACTGACACACTGAACTGACTGGCTTGTGGGTAGAATGACTGGTAAGCTGACTGACTGACTAACTGGCTGGCTGGTCGGCTGGCGGACAAAATGACTGACTGACTGATAGACAGACTGAGCAACTGACTAACTGGCTGGCTGAGTGACTTACTGGCTTGCTGGTCAGCTGGCTGACAAAATGACTGACTGACAGACTGAGCAACCGACTAACTGACTGACAGACTGAGCAACTGACTGAGTGACTGATTGGCTTGCTAGTCAGCTGGCTGATGAAATGATTGACTGACTGACAGACTAAGCAACTGACTGACTGACTGACTGACTGACAGACTGAGCAACTGACTGACTGACTGACTGACTGACAGACTGAGCAACTGACTGACTGACTGACAGACTGAGCAACTGACTGACTGACTCACTAGTTGACTAGGTACACCTGACTGACTGGCTGGCTGATGGAATGAATAACTAACTGACTAACTGATTTATGCACAGACTAGGTCACACAGATTAACTTAACTGAACAAACAATTGAGAACTAACTGATTGGCTCAACTGATTTGAGAGAAAATCAGTAAACAGTCAATTTCTTTATTCACATAGTCATTTGATAAGAAAGGTATTGCCACAATGTTCCCACCTGCTTCCAGCTTCTTGCTTTCTTTTCTCTGCTTTTCCATGCAATCTCTTGTACAGAGTCATAGCTTCAGTGATTTCTGGGAGCTCCACAGAAGGCTTCACTCCTAAACAAAGATCTTCAAGGGATTTTTTGTAGCTAGCATGCGTCTTTTCATCACTGCACAAATGAGAAAAAAAAAATTGTAGCAAAAAGGTCTCTGGTTATTCTAATCCTATGCAGTTACAAATTGTATCAAAAAAGTTTTCACTTACTGTGAAAGTTCTTTAAATGTGCCTCTTCGATGGACCACAATAAGAGAAGGGAATTTCTTTATTGCATATTTCTCCACCAAAAATTTCTGTGTAGAAGAGTAAAATGATTGATCAGTATTTTCTAAAAATTTGGAATTGGAAGACCATCAAGTTACTTGATTAAAAGGGGGTGACCAGTTATTTCACCCAGAGCTGAGTAGCCTACGGCATTGTAAGAGACTGAGAAGCCTTAAAAAAATGCTTTTTCTGATTGTTTCTTTACTTACTGGTACATGTTGTGACATAGATAGAGTGTTCACCTCCTATGCCCTAATAACAGCTAAGTTTTCCATACTGTATTTGTTTCACAATCAAGAGCTTCTTTTGTAGGTGATCATGTACTTCATTCTTGTGACCTTAATGTTTGATTGAGGGGTGATATTGTAAAGAGAAATTTGATGCTAGTCAATCATAGGGGTTACAGAATTAATGAGTCCCTCTACATTGATGGGACATCATTTGATTAGTGAATCTTAGCCACTTGGAGTTTTTGCTGTAAAGATATCTAGCTAGATGCCAAATTGTGCTGAGCAAGGGAATGGAACCAAATGTGTAATGACAACAGACACCAAATGAGGTCTCAAGACAACAAATATTTAAAAGTGAGTTAAATAAAAAATAAAAAAAAGAAGTACAAAGAGTGACAATGTTATAGGAAAATGATGGCCAATTCAAGCTGTATAAGAGCAAGGAATATGTTTCAAACCAGTAAGATTCATGCTCTAGGAGCAAAATAAGCTCACAAGGTGATTGTCTGACCAAAAAAAGAGTCAAATCAAATAAAATCTGTAAAAAACTTCAAAATATAGTGAATAAGCTGACAAATACATGTCACATTTAACCATATTGGCTGCCAAATATTCACGCAAAAATCAAATTGAAGACAAGAATTAAAATTGCTCATATCTATTTTTGAACTGTTTTCATCATTGATTTCAAGACTTTGAAGCCTTTTTCCAGTGGAGCATTCTTCTGTATGTTTGCTCTTTGTTTGTGAGGTCTAAAAGGTGTATTTTGATCAAGAATGGAGCAAAAGAAGGAAAAACCACCTTGATGATTTTAAGGAACAGTCCAACAATATATTTCCATATTGAACATTGGGACTGTTGTCATTGTCGATATTAAGACTCTGAAGCCCTTTTTTCCCAATTGAGTATCCTGCACACATTTCCTGTTGATTTGTAAGGTCTACACAGGTGTATTTTGACCAAGGATGGAGTGAAAAAAAAAAAGGAAAAAACCCACCAGATCATTTTAGCCTACAGGCCTGACAGCAGATGCCAATTTGAATTATGTTGATAAATCCATGTACTCAGGCAACTATTTCAGCCTTTGTACCACCCCAGCTATTTTAACAGAAATCAAATGCATGATATAGGGAAAAGAGGAAAATCTAAAAAGGGAAGCAGGGAATAACCCATTTAATCCAAGTTTTAATGAATAAAATTAATTGTCTGACAGAACAGAGAATGGAGGGAGGGAATGAAGGAGTAATTATAAGTAAATTTCTGACTGACGTTATACCATGAGATAAAATGTCGACATAATATCTGTAGAGGATGCAACTTATTGCAATGGTGCAACAATTGTGTTTTCCAAGATTAAGATATAGGCAAGACACTCACATTTCGACTCAGGACTCTTCTGACACCCAACCCTGGGCATTTCATCATGTCTAACATGACCTGAAAAAATATATAATCATGGTTATATTCAGTTCAATAGTGAAAGCATACAATGCAATTTACAATGACTTTCAACTACTAATTTGATTTTTTATTGTTAATAATTGATTTACAAAGAGTATACAAATCACAGTAGTTTAATCAAAATCATTTTCAGCTACAACAGATATAGGATTTAATTTTGTGCAGTCAAAATTTAACGACAGGCTACTAAAAATATCTAATCATTGGGGCCTGCTTTAGAAAAAACTCACCTCACGACCAATGTATGAAGTTGGTACCTCAAAAATTAATGCCAACTCATCATACGATGTTTTACCCTCCACAAAACTGGATACAAATTCTTTCCTGCAGGAAAAATTTAAATTTAGGTAATAATGAAACTGAATTCAATGCCAACAAAACTTTATAAAACATTAATTAATTAAAAGACACAGCAAATGTGTGGGAAGGGTGGCAATTTTTTACATCAAAATCATATCTCTTTATTATATAAACTGCGGTGTTTACAGCCCTGAGAAAAGCCTTAATTAATGCAAAATTCAATATATTTTTGTGAAATGGGTTTGATATTCCCATCATCTACTGACAGGTAATTCGCCTACTGACAGGTAACTTGCCTTTCTCACCATTCTATTAGGCAGATGAATGAATAACAAAGTGTTCACCAGTCGACTTTTCTTGTCAGTAAAGACTTATAGTGTTTATTTCACCAAACAAGGTAATACGTGGTTGCCTGTAGTTATGACATTTCTCTTCCTGTGTTCAACTTGATATCTCTTGAGTTAGCACAGAGAACTATCGAGATATGAAGTTGAATGCTTGAAGATATCAACACCCACCCATACGTCATTCTTTATTTCTCAATTAGCTTACCCTATGGGTACAAAATCCAAATCTGTACGAATTAACCCAAGCGTTTTTTGTAGCTCAGCAACCTTGACCATTTCATGGATAATACCTAGAAGTGTTCTTTCTCCTAATTGAAATGAAGAAAATTAATAAATTTCAATCCCAACTATTAACCAAAATCTCACACAAACTGAGCAATAAAAGATAATTATGACAAAATCCTCAATTGTGATTGGTCATTAGCCACTTTTATCTGAGCATTTGTAGGACAGTATACATATATGGTTGTGTACAAAAGCATAATAGGACAGTTTAGAAATCATGCCATACATGTAACTGACATTCAAGTGAAGGCAGATCTGATCGGTGGTCAACTTTGGTTTTTTTTCAGTGAAGTCTTTCTCAAACATATTCCTACTTTCTTGTAACAAAACTGATCTTAAAAACATCTTTTTATCTTGTTATGGATGATCTTAGCAAAATTGAAAGGTTAAATTCTACACATAATCTATTAATTGACTTAGCACTAACTCAAGAGTGCAAAAAATTTTAAGCATGCCATCTTTAATTACTGTTAATCATTTTGAGATTATTTACAAATCACCAAAATAGTGAAAATAATAAAAATCAATTATTAAATAATAACATCCAAAAATAAAAAAATCAAAGTTAATGCTTCATGGGAATATTTAATATCCTAACTGTATGTGACAAGAAAGGTACCTACATCATATCCTAACATCATACCTGTAAATGTTTTGCCTAGATTAGAGCTTGGAGCAGATGCATTAAAAAACTATTGGAGAGAAAACATCAGCAGAAGGGTAAATATAGTGTGTTGAAACAAAAGCGCCTGGATGTACACAGTAAATCTTTTCTATTAATTATTAAGACTCAACATAAATAATAATGTCAAGACACTTTATAAGTAAATCAATAGCATTATTTCATGAGAAAAAAGCTTCCATGCACTAGTTTATACAGCTGTATATTTCATCAAGCAAACAAATTCCATCTGAAATGACATATGATTTAAACTGTGTTGTTGGTTTTTATGGTGCTTCATTCTCGAAAGGGACCAATGGCAATACTTCATGTGTGTTTGTAGAGAAAGGAGACCTCCGATGACATGAAAGCCCCTTTTTTGTGTAATATAATCTGAGAAACTCAAGTGGTGTGCTGTTTGATTTCACATGGTCTTGGACCAAGAAAATTTTGCTGATCTCTTCTTGCCTAAATCTTCTCTACATTCTCTGATATCAAGAATGTAGATTACTAGTCATATAATATTATAAAATTGTCTTCATACAAAACATCCCTAAATGTGGTCCATAAGAAAATTTTGATAATTTTGTAATAAAAGCCTGTTTGTGTATTATCTCCAGAAGTGTCACAGCCCACAGAAAATGCACAGATACAATTGACAGTTTGTTGCAAAGCTCCTTTTTTTCCAGGCTTCCCAGAACACCTTCAAATTCAGAATTAAAGCCAAATCCTACATCACACAGCACCTGACCCCTTGAGTCTCTAATTCCACATTAAGATAAGATTGACAGTGGAGACACACAAAGTTTAGCAGTCATTGTGACTCATTGCAGGTCATAAATCGCAGAAAAAATTCAATTTAATTGCTATGCATAATTTTGTAAAATAAAAAATTATCTTAAAGCACAGACTTTTGACCCAAAGACAAATTGTATTATCATAAAATAACGAGTCATGACACATTGTGTAACCTTCCAACCTCTAACAGTGGCTAGCTACTTAGTTTTGGCTTATAGTATTACCACTGAAAGAGAAAAACAAAAATGATGGCCAGCTAAAAAGCTTTTGATTGTTATCAAAATTCTCCTTGTCACTACCACAGGCAATTTATAAATTATAATGTGGAGAATATGCATACTGATGTAAATTGTTAAGAGTTAACAATAAACAGATTGTGTGACTCGTTGTATGGACCTGCCACAGTGACCTGTTGCCTTGTGTTTCATGACCTCTGTTACAATGCCATGCTAAACTGAGCACCAACAAATGACTAGTGTGTCACACTCACCTTTACAGAAGGATAACCTTCTATTTGATAATGTACACATGTTGCTAGATTACGTTCTTCAGCACAATCGATAGCAGCAACATGTATAAGCTGCTTCCAGTCTATAAATTAAAGAATGTAGGTAACAGTGAGAACTCAATGGAAAAAAGGCAAATTCTAAAATTAAGAGGAGATTCACAATGTGGCTACACAATATCCTCTGTTTGAACTTTTCCTTGTTTGTTTTAATTATTGTTCATATTTAAGGCAAGATGTGTAACAATGAAAAATTCAAAAAATTGATTTCAAGACAGATATGATTTCATAAATGAACTTATAAAAATAGTTCATTATAATTCCTGTCATAATCCATCTGATATTTTTGCTTGCTAGTAATTGATATAATTGCATCACATGATGGAGCATGCCCCAGCTACAACTAGGGAATATCTGGGGATATAACCCAAGTGATATTTGCCAATTTGCAAACTGTACATCAACTGCAATAAAAACGATTGTTTAAAGTTCAATTCAAGATGAAAGAGCATTTAGCTGTTGTTACAGAGAAAGGGATGTTTTTTGGTTCATTAAGTCATTCCAGAGATTACTGAAAAGTAAATATCCCATGTGCAGCAAACAGTCAATTGTTTTAAACACCAATTCATTGCAACTATCAATACATACTATCAAACCAAATAGAGGCTACTGCTTAATATATAATTCTTGACCCTTTAACTCCCAAGATCTGATTGTTAATTCTCCCTTCCTGTCAATTTTGTTTTCTTCTTTTCCTCTACAAGTGAATTTTGCATTTAAAAGAAAACCAAGTGCTTGTGGAAGACAGGGGAAGGAAACAAAATTTTGCATGAAGCCAAGATGGACACTGCACATTTTAAAGGCAAAAAGACCAAAAAATTAAATTTTTCCACAGATTTTGTTTGAAATTGTACTTTAAGATGGTTCTGATCAGAAATCTGATTTAAACTAAAGTAGATATAAAGTACCTTCTAAAAATAATCAATAAAAACCATTCATCAAAGAAATAGGAGGCATCTGCATACAGGCTATCATGCTTAGACTCAATATTAAATTCTATATATATCATACATTTCAGCTGTTCATTAAAACTGGCACAGGTAAAATTTATCTCTGTTTTAAAACAGATTTTAGTGCAAAACAAAGCAATGAGAAAATCATTATTTCATTTCATGCAAAAAGATACCTTATTTTCACAAGAAAGGTGTAGCACTTAGACTTATTTCTTCAGTGAAGCTTTCTCTTTGACAAATAGCTTTTTGTTCAAAAAGAAAGTTCTTGTGCCTGTCTAAATTAGACATAATGAATATACTTGTTATTCTGAATAAATTTGCCTCAATAATCATGGCTGGTTTCCTTTCCGAGCTTAATGTTTTGATTGAAACAAGCAAACAGCTTCCACATGTATCCCTTGTGTCTAAGTCTTGTTTTCTCACTCCATCATTTGGTTTTAGTATTAGATCACGACTTTAAAGCAAATCAAAATAAAGGATATAAAAGAGCTGGAAAGGATCAGCAAGTAAAATAAAATGAAAACCAATGGGGTTTTGTCGCGAATAGGTTCTCAAAAAACCAGCTGTTTACTTATAATTTACATTTAAATAGACTTCCTCTTCGAAACTTCATTCCGTGGGCCAATACAAGAAATATAATGGTTTTCGTTCTTTCAGCTCAAGCTTTAAGTTCGTTTCAGCCTTATTTCTGCAGCAGGCACCGAAGAAGGAATGACGATTTAAAAAATTCCCCATAATTGTGTGGTGTTAAGTTCCCTTTCCTCTGTGACAGATAAATAATTTATCAGGATAAAGAAAATGAACTTGCGACGGCAGCTGACTTTTGTCGCCAATCTTAGATTCGACAGATTGGCCCTGACAAAACATATTATTCGCTTCTTAGCAAATAAAAGGGAAGGGTTGGGAAAATAGTTCGCCCTGAAACAATTATTATAGAGATCTCATTCCCTCTTATTTCATGTCATTAAAAATAGATCACATCCAAACAAAGAACATTCGATCGCGAGCAGATTGATAGAGTTTTAGTTATCCACTCTTGTAGTTCTTTCCCAATTTCCTCAGTCATATCACATCATAAATAAATTTCTACCGCAAGATACATTCTATTCGTTAGGACTCACCTTTTGCCATTTTTGCCAGCTTCTTCCATGTAGGAGCAAACGCATGACAATGTCCGCAAAAACTGGAATAAAATTCTACTACCCAAGCCGATGGGCTATTATGAATTACACTGGAGATTGTATCGTTTTCTAAAAGAACCATTTGATCGGCTGACGAATATAAAACGCCATAAGAAAGTCTAAAAGAAAGGAAAAAAACAAAACAAACTACAAAACAACAGCGTATGTTTCCTCTGTGTTCGGCCATCTTTCATGACGACCGCGATTTACCGCTGGTTGTATTGAAGGCTCATAAAATTTGACTAACGACCGAGAGCGATTGCTGGCCTGTCAAGAGGCTTCTAAAAGAACAAATACTTTTATAAAGGTCCGACATCGGCTATTATCTGATAAAGATTCGGTTTCTGATTGCATGGAAATTGACCAAGTGAGGGCAAGAACAGGTCCCCCTGATCGCCTAAATTATTCGATTGTCTACAGCTTTCCTATGTGAATTTTTTCACACCTGCGTAACTTTTTAAATCAACAGTATTATTTATTAGGACATAATCGCAAACCGTATTGACTCGTGCTGCTTTGTGACCTGCCGAAAACTGTTTCAAATGACCAATTTCTTCAGCCGGGTCTTTGAAATATTCCAGATCGGATGCTTTGGTCGAGTTCACGAATCAGGTGAAGCATGGGATGCTGGGCGAGAACTGCGTAAGCGATTTAGAAGTCAAAGGCATGACGCTTTCCGCTAATATTACTCCAATTTCCAAAAATGTTCCCAATACTAACGAATATTGCTGAAGCTTCATTTTGGAATCCACGTCCACAAGATGCAAGTCCAATTTATAGTCGATATGGGAGAGTAAGGCTTATGGTTACACATCCCTTTGACCCCTAGAAGTGACTAGCATCTATATTCTCCATACAATGTCTCCAAAGAATCAAACATTAAGGTAACGAGAATAAAGGAAAAGATCACGAACTAAACAAGCTCTTGATTTTTAAACAAATAATTCTTGTCGACACCACAGAAAATGTGTAGAGAACGGTATGAAGAGTATTTATTCTGATCAGTGTTGGGATGTAAATGGTTCAAATGAAGTGCACGTGATAACGGGTACATTTGACATAAGTGCACGTGATACCTTTTTTACACATATTTCACCGTGTTAGCAAATGCAACAGCCGGGAAAAGCACTGAGATGAAAAATCAAAAACTGCTGACAAAATGACAGTTCCAAAAATGACAGTCTATTTATAAGTTTATTCCTAAATATTTCTTCGAAAAAGCAGGAAAGGCTGACTGAAAGACTGAGAGGATAATTTACTGTAATCTCCCTAGAATCTACAGGCAGCTAGGGTAGGAGCCGGCAACCAGGTTTCCAACAATGGCGCGTGAAGGTGGCTCTAACTCCAGGCTCCCTCAACGGCCAGACTCGGTTGCTGTACGGTTGCTGATTGAGAGTTTTGCTTTGGTGTTGCTCTCTTCAAGCTGAGAAAACGATTGCGATTTAGAGCGAAAAGAGAGGAGCGATTCGTGAACAAATCGCACTGCTGAGAGCCCATCAGATTGCAAAGATCATCTATGATTTAAAAATAGATGCAATAAATCGAGATACCACTCAATCATTTAATCGCTGATAATTTTTTTTTTCTATATTATTATCGTAACCTGTTGGCTGGATAATGTACATTCATATCACAACATGAAGCTAATTGTTAAGCATTTCCAGGACTTACTGATTAATATGAGTTTTTTGTACAATCGATCAGTTGGAAGTTCCTGCCACGCATCTTTACGCCATTTTGAACAAGAAAATCACGAATAATCCGGCCACTCACTATAATATACCAACAGCCTTCGTGTTCTTGACAGATAAGTTTTATAACTCCCAGCTGAACAAAACCTTCCAAACTTTCGGCAATTTCTAGTATTGAAACGTCGGGAAAGTTCTTCTTTCTTTCACTACGTTGTGCTGTGAAACCAAGCTTGTATAAACTCTCATCTTTTGTGTTCATTTCGTCGTGGGAATGCTCAATCACAAGAACCGAAGATTGACGATCATCTTCCGAAGCTGAAAACCCTTTGTCTTTCGAAGATATATTTTTTAAGTCTTTTTCCTTGTTTCTGTATTTTTCGTTAGGTCTCTGAGGTAAATTTGATGTGCTTTCCTCTTGGCTGTTTCTCGCTGTCTTAAAGTTTCTGTTGCCGCCTCTCGTGGTTTTCCTACCTTCAATTTGAGGAAATATCTCTTCCTCTTTTACTCCGGATTTCAAAACTTTTTTCACCCACTTAGACTTCTTTTTGCTTTTCATTGACTTGATGTCAAATATTCCTACACTGCTGTTATGAAGCATTTTCAAGAAATTCGTTTTCGGTGCTGGCATTAAAGGGTAAGATCGCGATCTCAAGTGATGATTACTGGTTTGCAGCGGAGCAGTCGATTGTTTACGGTTCTTCGTATGTTCTTGGCTCTTTTCTGTTATTCCTTTCTCGCCATTTATAAGAGTGGACGTCCCCTGCCTGACTTTCAAGAAATTTGTGTCTGGTTCCGCTATCGAGAGGTGAGACCGAGATCTCCAGTGATGACCATTGGTTTGCAGAGGAGCAGTCGATTGTTTTCGTTTATTTCTACGTTCTTGACTCGTTTCTGATTTTCCAGTTTCACTAACTTCAAGAGTAAACGTACCCTGCCTAACAAGAGGGGCCGAAAAAGATACAGTTTTATTTCTTATTGTTTTGTGATTTGACTGAGCCGAAGTCTTCACAATTTTTCCGTAACAACGTCTATTAGTATCTGTGTTATGATCAACAGCTAATGACTCTGGCCTACTCATTTTATTTTTAGCGGACTGAAAATCTCTTTCTTTAACTTTTACACCATCCTTGGTAATATTTCGCTCTTGCACTCGAAGTTTCGATCTGCTGAGAAGTTTTCCCTTCTTTGTTTTAGCTCGCATCAATGCGGTGTTTCCATGCCGACCGTCATTGTGTTTGTCGTAGTTATGTGAAAATCCTCTTGCACAGGTAGAAGTCGGTAAAAACCGAGGCTCTTGTTTGTCAAAATCCACCAAATCGACCTCGCCTAAAATTTCCGACAAGTCCTGATCACCAGTCTGAAACTTTCTATCACAGCCAATACAGCCTTTCCCAGTACACAGAATATTCCCTATTTTCGTTTGGTGGACCCGATCTCTTGTGTACAATGGAGCTGTCGATATAAGCTCGCTCATTGTTTTCTTACTTGAAACAGAACACTGTGAATACGAAGGTGACGAAGGTCGCTGAAGCGAGAATCCTCACTTCGTCTGGACACCGTCAAAGAGTAGAAAAATAAACCTTTTTTCGTAAAACATGTCTACCAGTCTTAAAGTGCGACTGAAAACTCGTAAGAATTCATAGATATACTCCTTTAGTCGAAAACAATGTATTTAAAATTCATTTTCAATCCTTTTTGATTGGTGAACGCGGACACCTGCCGTTTACCATCGCGATCAATTAGCGCTTTGATTGGACAAAATGTTTATTTTATGCAGTGCTTTGATGAAAGGGGTGAAAACTCGGCACAGCAAGTAAGATATTACAATGAAGTGACAACTTGCTATTTGCACAAAATATGTACTCGATCACTTTTGTGAATTATGCATGTGGGGCGACGTCCAAAGAATTAATGCACACGACGGTGACAAACTATCGTGATTAACCAGAAGCTGACCACATAATATAAAATGGCTTTTTGCGTTTGGAGTGTTACAGTTGAAACTGTAATACTTTTAATTTTAAAGATTTCAAACATATGTTTTTGAGAGCTTCGGTAAGGAACTTATTAAAGTGTATCTTTTCCGCCAGAAAAATTCCCGGCTATTGCATGTCTTCCCCAAAAAATGATAAATATAGAGTGTAAAATTCTACACAAAAGCTGTCGGAAAGACAGTCATAAATAACAAAACCACGTCTAAACGTCTGAGAATGAAAATAAGTGAAAACCAATTGTCATGGAAATCAGATACATTTTGTCGATCTGAAAATGTACCAGTGATCAAAAACAATTCAGGAATAAAATATGAGGCACGAAAGATGACAACCCAATTTACTAAACTCCAACAATTTTTATCGAGGGGGGCATTGGGGCCTATTAGAAACCGCAAAACCGTAGAAAAAAACCGAAAAAAATTCGACCAAAACCGAAAACCGCATGCAAAACTGTCAAAACCGATACATTTTCACATCCCAGTTATTAAAACTCTGATCGATCCGATACAGTGGTGACAAGTGGAACATACAGAGTAAACTACATTAATTCCATTCAAGACGCGTGAACCCCCTAGGGATCCCTTCGATATTTCAATTTGTTTGTCACGCATTCCTCTCAATAACATTTGCGTTTAGCGTTTATTCAATAGGAAAAACCAAAAACTGCATCGGATATCAAATTCGAAAACCCGTCGGTATTTTTCATGAAAACCGAAAACCAAATGCTAAAAAACGGGAAATCCGTAAACTGCAATAATCCGTGTACCTTAGTGCCAACCGATTTTCAATTGTATAGGGAAATGCAACTCAAATTTTATTTTCGTTTTTCGTTTGTCTTTGCAGTAAAAAAACGATAATGGACTTCCATTTTGGTTTTTTATTTTTCCCCGTCGGGAAGGAAACGGAATTCTAATTCACTTAATGCTCTCCGTTTTTCTTTTTCTGTAGCTCAAAAAAAAAAAAAAGGATTTTAATTTTCTTTTTCGTTTAAAAGTTAAAGGTAAAACATATTGCTCATATCATGCGATCCAAGAATAAAATATCTAAAAAAGGAGTAAAAATATTATCCCTAAGCTGACTTAATTTAAAATGTTTATACAAAGCATTCTTCAAAGTATTTACAGATTGAGAAGCGCGTAGCTTAAGGGGGAGGTGATTCCAACATCTTGAGGTTGTTGCAGAAAACGTGCGGCCTTCCTCTTTCTCTCTAATGTATCTTCAAGGTAAAATTGTTAAATTAGCACCTCGTGTATTTCTGCTGTGCTGGCTGTTTGTTTAGTTCTAACAGTTCGTTTATATAGGCAGGGCAAGTACCCATAATCTTCTTGTAGACCATTAAGCATCTTTTGATGTCAGACTCGATGTTATATGGCACCTACCCTAAAGTACTATTAAATAGATCCACAGTGCCATGGCGTTGTTGGGCGTCAAGGACGATTCGAGCACAGCGTTTCTGCAGCTTAAATATCTTATTTATATCATCATGACTACAGCAGCTTGTCCATGTTACACTGCAACATAATATCAGTGGATTAATAAAAGAATTATAAAGTGTACGCTCTGCTCATGGTAAGTAAGCCTTAATTTTGTTAAGTATGCCGATACGCTTTGAAAACTTCTTACATGAACATCGAAACTGAGCTGTTCATCAAGTTCAAGGCTTAGCAGCTTGACATTCTCGACCTGTTCTAATGTGCTTCCCTTAAGCTCTATCTTGAGCTTGCGATCTTCATTACTCAGTTAAACGTTTTCGTAGGCGCAGTCCATCAGTTCGTATTGTCTTCGTCTCGGAACAATTTGGCACAAAACAGGGGCAGTTTGTTGTTTGTTGCCCACTCATCGACGAGGGAGAGTGTTCTTGAGCTCTTCTACATTTATATAATAAGAAGAAGCGAGGAGGGTGGTGTCGTCAGCAAACATGCCGTCGTTTCGCGTGTAAACATTTAAGGGCAAGTCATTTATGAACAACACAAAAAGTAAGGGACCCAATATGGAACGGTCGATGTCTGTCCTTTGAATGAAACCAGTTGAATACAATTGTTTATATATGACTTGAACCAAAGTAAAGTGCTCCTATCCAGTTTATTGGCCTTAAGCTTGCTAAGTAGAGTCACGTGATCTACCATGTCAAAGGCCTTCTTATAATCAACTAGAACCATACAATTGATATGGTTTTTGTCCAGATTGAATAGCAGAGTATCAACTATATAGGCAAGCGCTGTCTCTGTGCTGTACTGCTTTCTAAATCCGGACTGGTTCTTATAGATGAGGTCGTGCACATTTAGATATTCAGACAAATGGTCATGCACATGACGTTCGATGATTTTAGACAGCACGGGAAGTACTGAAATAGGCCTATAGTTATTTACATCATCCATGGATGGCAGTCACTCTGGCTCTTTTCCAATGACAAGGAAAAGTCCCCGATGAAAGCGATAGGTTGATTAGCTTTGCTATTGACGGCGCTAGTTCTGTGATGCCTAGGCGCAAAAGAGCACAACTGATTCCGTCAACTTCAGTTGCTTTGTTGGCTGGAATTTTTAGTAAATATGCCTTCACCATATCAGCTGTGACCAGAGGTATAGTGAATTGTGATTCTACAGGTAGCCTTTCGCTAACAAACTGTCTGAGTTTGTCAAGATTGCAGCCGTTTGTGGTCAGGAGAGATCGTTTCGCTTTATCTGCAACAGCTGTAAAGTGCAGATTGAAATAATCCGCTATATTTGCCGCTATTGAGATTATCTTTTCTTTGGTAACTTTAAGAAATTCTGGTTGACGGGTTGGTCTCCTCCAAGGGATCTTATTAACTTCCAAATACATTTAGAGTTCCCTTTGCTATTCTGAAACGACGCCTTGAAGTAGTTTCCTTTTGCTTGTGATCATATTGGTGGCCGGATTTCGCGCACCGCGAAACCTTGCCCATGCGTCAGCGGTGTTATATGCCCTGGCTAATTTCAATTGGGTGTCTTTTTTTGACAGCTGATCTAAAATGTCTCTTGTTAACCGTCGCGGTTGCTTAACTTTACGAACCCGCTTATGCATGATAGGCGCGTGCATATCAATTGCCTGAAATATTTCCTGCCCCGGCAGATGGTCTGAAAGAGCATATTTTCGCACCAGTACATCTACAATACTCTTGCTCCTATTTGTATAAATATGATCCAAACAAGTTCCTCTCGCGAGTCTTGTTACGTAAATTATTAGCTGGTCAAAGCGCATGGGCTTGAGACCTTTTGTTATGTATACAGTTCTTGGATCAAGGTAACAATGGTGAAAACAAAAGATTGCCTGTGCGACTACAGACTTTGGACAAAATTTTAAATACTTAAGAAGTTGAATAACATCAAAGCGCTACTCTTGAAGCCAAAGCTTTTTCTCCCTTGTACTCTACAAGTTAGGCTGCGTGGAAGATGTTTCATTAGAGAGTTTGATTAGCAGAACTGAATATCTTCCAATGGTTGATCCAGGTAAGTTACCTTTTGGGTTATCGATTAAGCAGCAATGGTGCAACATAACCGTACATTTCGCAAAGCGCGATTTCTTACCGATTCACGCAACTGTGTCCAACAAGTTTTGTAAAGCTTAGTGTTTAAATAGTATATCGAACGAAGAAATAATTTGAGATGGTTCGGCAGGTCGAATTTAACACTTTTGCCTGAAGTTTTTAAGTCTCTAATACAGAATCTTGAAGTGAAATGTTCAGTGAACTTAGCCGAATTATGGCTCATAAAACAACACGCGAGTTTTTTCACATGACAAGGTAGAAAACAAACTGTTCAAGGCGAGTGTTTTTTGAATGAACGACAGCCGAATTCACCGGAACATGAAGATCGCTAGGGATGACAGCGCGGCAAAATTCGGCTGCAGTAACAGATGTGACTTTCCACTCAACGCATCGGAAAGGATATCAGAGCAAGCTCTTATTTTTTCACTCGAAGGGTGGCCCATGTAGTTTCTGAGGCTTGCTTTACTGTGATGACCGGAGATCGCCATGATGAGCGAGCCGCTATGGACTTCAGCATGATCATATTCGCTCAGACACCTTCATGATTAGAATGAATTTTAACAGTTATGCCAGTTTGGTTATATTTTTCATCATTTCTGTTTTGTTCTGTTTTGTTTTTGAAGACTGAACTTTATATACTGTATGAGTGTTAGCTGTGTTTGATTTTTATTTCCGTACGTAAGCTTGCAATCTAACTGAAAGTGAATTAATCTTTAAAACTCGGAATGTCTATTTTGTCTTTCCTTTGAGGATTTTCGTATCTGCTCACGTTTTAATAACGTAAATTACGGCGCCTGGTATGTTTACAAACCTTTGTTTGGTTTTTCTGTTGCTTCTTGCCGGCTCGCTTGTTCCGTAATTTCACTTTCAATTATCGGAAAAAAAGCTAAAAAGAAGTCCCGGAAAGGTCAAACATAGTACAATTTGGCAGATGGCGCGACAGCTTTAGCTCAGCTCTACGCTCTATATTCTCATAGGACACACTATTTCAACCAATGACAGCGCGCGTTATATCCGAACTTTATTATAATAAAAGGTAGCGCGCGTAGGACGATTTTCCGTAAGGCACCTTATTTTGTCGACAATAACCATGGCATAAAATGACGTTTTTCATCGTTTCTTTGAAGTACCCCTATTTTGTGGTCCCTGTATTAAGCGATCAACCTGTATTAAGCGCTATTACCCGTGGTTTCGTTATATTTTGAGAACGCTCTGTTTTTAATTGGCGGTCATGACAGCTTTCAAACGTTGATGGGATGGAATGATTGCGTGACGTGCAAGTCTGACAAGGTCAGCATTAGATTCCATCCACCAAAACCACCTCGGTCGAGAGGGACTGAGATGGAATATTTAATGACTTGCAAAACATAACCGAAGATTCTCGGAAATCCGCAAGTGATGTAGCCGAACATCAAAAGCTGTAAATCCCATGATTCTTGAGGAACAAACAGAAACAGCATCGCGAGAATTTTAAGTCGCGAACCATTGATGGTAGACATGGAGATAATTTAGGATACGTAAATTCTGTTGATGAGGCGCATAAACTTATTGCGAAATTTGAAACAGGATTGACGACGAAGTTTTCTTTCTTTAAAGCTGTCAAAGGTTTCGGGAACACATATATATATATTGATATAGCTCTTTAGCATTACAAAGCTTTGCTATCGCTATTGTGCATTCTCACTAGTTTATCTAGTTCAAGTCCTCTGGCATGGCTTGGATGATACCACAATTGTGGAATCATTCGGGTTAATTTAATGCTTACACCTCCTTCCTCGGACAGAAGTCACAAAATACTGGGGGAAGATGCATGAGATATTTAAGGAGCAAAAATTCGTTTTTTACTGGTGTGCCTTTCCTAATTTTGGGAAGGAAAGTGTTCAATTGCCAGCACGGCATAGATAGAACAGCTGGAGAGCAAAGGAAACGAAAAGATGCAGAAGAAGTACTGTATATAATAATTTCTTTTTATCCTCAACCTTTGTGTTTCTGTCAACTATGGCTTGCTAATTCGAAAGGTCAAATACTTGAATGGGTCATATGATATTGATCTCAGAATACTTTTATGACAAACGTGATAACAGTTCAATCTTGGCTAAATTGAAGATGGTTTAGAAGATAACAATTATAAGAACTTTTCACTAACATATGCTGCTGACAAAGGAGAAAATATATGCAATTCTGCATTTTTTGCTTTCTATCAAGCAATCATATGTTTGCTCCTTATCACGCTATGACACTTCCGTTTTGTCACATTCCAAAAAATAACTTGAGAAATACACTGTCACTCATCTTACACTGTTATATTTACCTATTACAGAAGGCTGGAAACAAATATTTTGTTTTCAAGAAAATAAGATTTCTTGTCCAAGACACAAGGAAGTTTGACTGCAAAGCACAGATAAAAATGCGAGAGTTTTTATTTTTTTCAGAGAACAAGGTAGTTCTACTCATGTATAAACAGAACAAATGCGATTTAATAAATCAGATATGCGGCATGACTCCTTTTCTTCCATCCCCACTCAAAACAAGCAAACACACCTATAGAGGTTCCAGTCTGGTCTGCAAATGAAAAGGAGGAAGGTGATCACTGCAAAATTAAGCATTAGGGTTCTTATTTATAACATATTGATTATTGTAAACTGATATCTAGAAATTAAGGTTGCAAGTAGCAGCCAGCTGAGTTATAGTTTGAGTTTTATCAAGTCCATTACTTTGTTAAATTTAGAGTAACCTTGTCTTGAGAGAGGAAAATTGAGGAGCTGTAATATACCTATCATCAATTAGGGACCACAAAGAAAAATTTATTTATAGAGACTTTTGAAGGAGAGGGGTAAGACTTGTGACAAGCTGGCAGATATATAGATAAACTTTACTGCTAAATGGGTTACAATACAAAGTGCTCAGTATTTGGATCAGCTATGGCTCAACTTAAACTTTGCTTTAGCTTCAAGTTTAATCCTTTGTGGTTTCCTTTCTCTGTGTTTATTTTTCACGTTATGTACACAGAAGAACAATGACAAGGAATGCTTTTGAATATTAAGAGGCTGGAATAAGCAAGAAACCAAAACTGAATTTTAAACAGTGCAAAGTTAATTAGATCTTCCAATGTTATTTTAATTAATTTTAACCATTAATAGAATTTGCTATTTAAATTTATCCCCTCCATTTTTCTGGATATTGTGAGCAAAAACAAACAATTATCACAAAATGCATGGTATACAATGGTTTGATTCACCAATGTGGCAAAGGCCTTTCACTGTCTATCCATAAAAAGGGAAATAGTTTGTAAAATGTAAGACATTCTGCATCTTGAGCGTATACTTATTCATCCATGTGAAATTAAAGGTTACTTGAAATAAATGTGAAAAATTTATAGGATTTTCAGACCCCTGATAACAATTACTAATGTGCTGATTTGTTGTACTTAAAGGTTATGATTTTAGCGGAAATAGTGGAAGAAATTTCTGGACCTGGAATTTTGTTGCAAATGTCTGTTTAAATCAGTTTAAGTCAGTTAAAAACTCTCCTGTTTCAAGATTACATGATTACCACACCAGAACCTTTTGTATTCTATATTGTGCACCATGTTATGATTATGGTTTCAATAATAAAAGGTGCTGACTCAAGAACTTTGCAAAATATCTCTACATACAAAGAAATAGATTGTGGTTATGTACTCCAAATAGCAGGTCACATCAGTCTTCTGTAAGGAAGTAGCAGAAATTGCTATGGTGGTTTTGGTGGATGGAGAGAAACATCCACCAAAACCACTTTATTCTATGTGTTAAGAGTTATGATAATCATTATGAACGTTGGTCGGTCAGCAATTGTGCACCATAAAAAATAATTAGCCAGAGCACTAACTGCTAATTAGTGGTATAAATCTTTTGTATCCCTGAACATCTAACAGTGGCTATAGATAAAATTTAAAAAATATATTGTTGATGGTTTTGGTCAAAGTTTTGGTGGATGTTCCCTAATGACATCCACCAAAACTACGTAACATCTGGGCACCTTTTAAATACGTGAAATATCTGCATAAAATTGCGTAAAATGTTTTATAATACTACAATCGAACAATAAATTAATACTTACCATTTCTTGAGTAAAAAGTTTTGACGCAATTTCCCAAACAAATGATACACTTAGGTCATCGGGATAAGTCGGCATGTTGTCGTAGCTTCGTAATTTTCATTTAGTATAACAAGTCATGATTTGTCCATCATTCCATCTCAGTCCCTCTCGACCAAGGTGGTTTTGGTGGATGGAATTTAATGCTGACCGTCTGACAACGTCTGCGTTCTCATAGAAAATCGTCACGTCTACTGACCCAACGTGCTCTTACATGAGGCGAGTTCGCATCGCGTTGAAGCCGTTAGAATGTGAGAAAAAACGTTTGGATGAAACGGTATAACGCCGTTTCGTCAAAAAGAAAACAGAGGCTTTTGCACTGGGCCTGGACCAAGGACGCAATCATTGCTGTGAGTAGGACTTTCAGTCGCCTTTAGATGATCAAGTTACCAGACAGTCGAACTGGTTGTTTTGAATTTTCATCTTCCTTCCCACCAATTATCATTTAGAATTCTTCAGTATCCTTGATGTGGGACAGCTTTTGAATCAGGGTAAATGCAGCTGATGTTGATTTTAAAGCTGTAAATACTTTCGTGAATAAACTCATCGGTCTTCGTTGATTAAACTTTGCATAATAGTGTATTCATCGATCCACATTGTGAAAAATAATTTATGCTTTCGGAGAATCCTATGCTTAAGTTACAGAACACATAAATATAATTGTTGTGACCAACCCTTTCGATCTTAGGCTAAACAGCGAATAGTTTTATTTAAAAAAACTGCGAGGATATGGCAAAATCGTTGGTATATTTGAGGCGACATAAACTAAAACTATTGATGTTATTGCTATTATGCTCGATTGTTTGCCATCTTCTAATTTTGGGATTCAGCAGTGCCAACAACTCAAATTCTGTACTTTTACAAACGTTCAGTCTCACCACACTGGACAAACGCGATGGAACTTCAGATAGTGTGGCTTCTGATTATGTGAATGATTTTCGCAGTAGTGTGGCTTCTGATTATGTGAATGGTCTTCGTAGTTGGGTGGCTTCTTTAAATGCCTTGTTATACACTGGAGAATGGCAAAATTCATTTTCTTTCATCTACTCGAACGGTGGATCAAGCCCACCAGGCGTGACGGATGAAAATAATCGCTACGTGATGGTTCTACCTTTTTCAAAAACAGAGGAGAAGGCTTTTAACGATTCGGCCGAAGACGATAAACTCTCCCTTTTGAAGCTGTATGAATTTCTCGATGTGATGGTCGATTTTGACGGCGCAACATGTTTACAGCCGTCAACTGAACACAAACGAGCGGATCACGAGTTGCACCAGGAAAAACTTTATAATCAAAGGAAGGATTCGCTGGAATCGTCCTGGTGTCGATTTATTACAAAGAAATGGAGCCTTCATATAAAGAATACAGGCCCGGTGCTAAATACACGTCTCGAAAGAAAAACGTCAACAAATGGATCCTCTTCAAACAAATTTTCGTTTCCGGACTTAGCGAACGGCATACTGATTGTGTACCAAGTTTGTAACGTTGCACAAGGTCCTTTCGTGATGAGAGGTGACGTGTTTCATCGCTATGGAGGATTGCTTAACGGATTTGGTAGAATGACTTTGTTAGAATTTTTTGTTCGATCTAAAGGCGAGCTAAAGATAGCGAAACTTTCAAATTGCAGTTGGACACACGAGATAGCGCGCGTGGATCGTGGAACATTAGAGGGTTCAAACGATGTCCCGGAGTACGCCGCTTTTGGAAATAAATTCAATATTCTTCGCATCGTCACAAGCAATCGAATTGAATGGACAACGTGTGTGTCAAACTGGAAATTATGCCCGGAGAAACCCTATGTAAAGCCAACAGAGCTGTCCAGCGTAGCAGCACCGATTTGTTGCGGGACCGTCTTATTTCAAATGCTGAAAGATATAACATGGGCACTGACCCAACTTGGTGTAGATTATCGGGTTATTTATGGTACTCTGTTAGGTGCAGTTAGAAGTCAGACTGTTATACCTTGGACGTGTGATGTTGATATCGCGCTTACGAAGGTTGACTACGGTAATTCTTCGACCTATTCATCTATTGCAGAACTTTTAAGGACAAAGGGCAGCCATTATTATTTAGGGATATCTTATATGGGTATACCAAGAGCCCATATGCTGATGGCACCTTATATAGAGGTTGACACAGCTTCCCTTTTTGATGGCCCTGATGATTTAGAAGGTAGTAATTTATTATTTAGCAGCGATATTGAGCAAGCCGTACAGGGTATGCTGCCTGTCTCATCAGGCTGGAGAGAACGTCGTTACGTCGACTTTTATATTTCCCCTTCAGTTTGGTTGAACGGATCTGCTCTTGCTGTGATTAACAATGAACAATTTGTTACTCTGAAGGACATTGACTATGAGTTAACTAATTGGTATGGCAAAGGTTATCTTCAACCAGCTCATGGAGGAGAATGGTTTGGTTGCTCAGACTAACAAACTTGCTGACCGCAAGTGTTGCAAAGTTTTGCTCCCTCCTAATTTAGACAAATGCCATTTCTCACTTTTTCATTTGTTACAGCTCACAAGAGTGTCAATTTTTCCCCCTAGATATGATAGCCTGAACATTAAGCAGCCGAATAAAACGGGTGCGCAGTAAAACAGACCCACACTCGCGCGTGGGAAGTTCGCTTTCTCCGACGCGCGTGTTAGCGCATATCGTCTCTTATGTAGATTAATTTATCTGCCTTGCAATCTGTCACGTTTCAGGTTCGCTGCAGGTTTTGTCTTTGGTAACAATCTCTGGCAGGCAGGTGCCCTTTCTAGCAATAGGAATTTTTCTTTGATTGTGGCAATTTTCTGTTTCGTCTCCTCTTAGTTGGGTATTTCTTGCTCACGATTTCGTTAGGAGTTTCGTTTTGCATGACTGTTAATAGGAACAATATAATTTGTACATGAATATGGAAGCGATCTTTGCAGTTATTAACACTACTTGTAGTGAAATAAGGCTCGAAAAAAATTCAGGCCTGTACGGGATTTGAACCGTTAATAAAATTTGGTTTTATCAACGGAGTCGATATATGTGAATCGGCCAACGAAAAGAGTTTCTAAAGTTGACGTTTCAAATATTAAGTCCGTTAGCGCTTCGCAAATGATTAAGGGATAACGCTCGAAACTTCAGCTTAAGATACCTTTTTACGGTGGCCAATTTTTCTTATCAACGCAGTTGATAAAACCAAACCGTTTTGTTTCAACCGCCAGCTTCACCGATTAAATATTTTATTCATTACGTTTATAGGAACATTTTAAAACAAAGCATTTCTGAATATTTGTTCAAGTGTCGTCAGGTGTGGAATCAGGGACTGCGAAACGAAACGCAATGTGAATTTAAATAAAATTGCAAGGCTTCCAATTTTGGTATTTACTCCATATATTCCAAAGATACTGCAAAAAATTAACTCGATATAGTTTGTAGGGCCTATTAACTTCCCAGTAAGAAAACCACGGTATTCACAATACCGTGACAACGATCAAACAATACCGTGACAACGGTCAAAATGTATTCCCCTCAAAATCGCTTGACAATCTTTTCAAATGATTTTCCAACCAAGCGTTTGCAGTTCCCATAGCCATGGTTTGTGTGTGAGTTACCGTTTCCTGAAAAGGAAAAATCAATTTAAAAATCAGTTTAAATCAAGGCACGTTTTCATACGTTTTTACCTTACAAATTTACCACCCACTGCACTCCTCCCCTCAAACTTCCCTCGTGTTGCCTGAACTCTCCCACCCCTCTCCTCCCATCGCACCAATTCGCCCTCGTCAGTTCACATGTTTTATCTAACCCCACCCCACTCCACCAACCGCACCTCTACACACCCCACTGGCCTTGGCTCAAAGCACCTCATGCAGTCCCACTTTACTTCACCCAACCCACTCATCACAATTCACCCCATCCCACCCCGAGCCGTCTCATCTTTAAACCTTCAATTTGATCACATCATGTGTTCGTCTAAAGAGATAACAATATGCTCTCCTTTCAAAATGGATTGTGGATGAAAATTCGTGATTTTTGATTTCCAAATCTCCTTCATTGCAGAGTGATTTAAACATAGCGACAAAACCGTGATATCATTAAACAGAGGCCGTCTCACCGCCCATGTATTGTTTTTGTATGGTATCATTTATGTACCCAATAGCAAATTCGCATGTGCAAGTCGGCGCATGTGCGGTTTACAGGGATCTCTGAAAATATTCCTGTTACTGTATAATCATTGGAGTTCATTTCCTGAGGATCGTTCAAAACTCATGAATGCTTTATGAACGTCATAGAGCATAAAGAGGCGCTTTTGGTACGTCCTTCTTGTCCCCAGTTTGTCCTTGACGCCATCAGGAATGGTCATGAAGAACAGTGGATCGAATAACTCTCTCCTTTCTTCTTCAGTGTAGCTAAACGGAGTCCTTGTGTGGCCATGGTCAGATAAGGTAGGTGTCAGGGTTCGGAAACGAAGTCATATCTGTGATGAACTTCGCCATGATGGCGTCCATGTTGATCATCTGTTTCCCAATCACTTCGTGTCTAGTGTTGAAATGCATGTATGGGGCCAATGGCTAAGCTTTGATATTGTTTTTTTACGGCGGTATAAACCTTTTTTATGTAGTAAAAGAAGTACCAACCGTAAAACTGCCAATTAATGCAAATTTTCCACAGATAATCGTGATGATTAGTCAGGCCAATTCTGTCCAAGGCGGTGTAGGAAAAATGTGTGATACTCGATGATCGACAAGTTTTTTTAGCCACCTTTTCTTGAACTGTTGAAAAAAAGAGTCGCTAATTATTCGGCTCAATGTTGATCCAAAAGTTGTCAGTTTTGACGGTATTGACAAAGCTTACATGTGACTCCGTGTTGAATGTGCATCTTTTCTGTTCTACTTTGCATTACTACCTGATTTAAGCAAATGGATTTGGCGTCAAACAACTCTCACAACACACCCATATCAGAGAGATGCAGAAAAAATCCCAACTAACCAAAAACTGAAGACGGGAGGTAAACTCAGCACTTGAAAAATACTTCCACATGTTAATAAAAGGCACTGAAACTAATTTGTTTTCACGGCCTCTCACACTAAAGGGATGATCAGTTGTATCCTTTGGGAAAGTTTCCACTTGCTTACAGCTTTTCCTGTTTCCGATGGCATGAAGGGAACATGACCACGACAATGATCCGTGCTGAACAGTCCAGTTTCTTTGTATTTTGTGTGACTCTGTTTGAAATGGGCCCTCCACAATGATCTCCAGATTTCATCTTTGAGACGAAAAGTAAAGATAGCAGTAGAAACTTTTTATTAAACCTTTTCAACCAAATCAAAAGCTGTTGCATTAAAGTTTTTGATGTCTAATTTTGGAGATTTAGCTTCTCAACTTCGTTTCTTCTCCTTTGATGCGCTTCTTCAACGCTAGATTTCTGTCTTTTCCCTGATGGCAGTCATATACGGCTGTTCCGACAATCATAAAAGGAATGCCGTCGAAATTTAATTTCTGTCCCTTAACAGGCTGTGAATCTTCCCAGAAAATTATGTGCGATTCGGTGCGGACCTCTATTAAAAAGTACAAATCAGATAAACTACTTGCAGTGCCAGAAGTCTCTGCTCCTGAAGCAAAGGGAGAAGTCGACGCGTACTGAAAGAAACCCTTAGCACGGTTGATAATTCGATGAGATAAGATACGACTTCATACTTTACTCTACAGCATCGCCGTATTATAAATGAATGCATCCAGATATAATGCATGGATTACGTCTTAAATATATATTTTCTTTTCTTTTTTTTAACCTTTGGACTCTGACATAAAAAAGTTCGCGTTTAATATTTGTGGTCAAGTCTTCTTCTCCTGTTTGTCAGACCTTTAACCTAAATACTTTAGTTGGATGTTAAATGAAACAGCGCCAACCCTTAGGTAGATGTTATTTTTCCAATGTTGATTTGGTCATTCATTTTTTGGAAGAACAAACCTTCCTTTCTTTGTTTGTTTGACCTTCCATGAAAAGTATTTAATTCAGTACAATTTAATTTTCTTTAACCGACTCTGAACTGCTTTATTTTCACTACAAAGTCAGGACTGCAGCTTACCTTTCCACCTGAAATCCTTTGGTCCCTTTAAATCCCTTTAATTATTTTAACGTTCTCAAAATCATAGAGGTAGCTATAATTCGCAGAAATCGTAAAATCGAAATTTACCGCTATTTTCGACAACGTGGCAGTTTTCGTCATCACATCGAGACAGTTCATTCAGTTCACGGTTGATTTTTAACGTTTCAACTTCCGTTAAATTCGTGCCGCCCGAAAATACGAAAGGTTTCGAAACGCAACATCCAAAGCCGAAGCCTCCTTAAGGTTGATGTTACTTTGACCCTTGCAAACTTTGATTTGAAGGAATGATTGCACGATGTGACAAGTCTGAGGACGTCTTTGTGGTCATAGATAAGCGTCGCATATTAGGTAAGGCGGGTGGCTCTTAATTGGTGTAGAAGACACGGTTACGTCACAATAGGATTCATCACAACCGGAAATACGAAAACAATGAAAACAATAGTGTGACGAATACTGTGTCTTCTACACCAAGTTAGAGCACAAACTGGTTGTTTTGAATTTTCATCATTTCCACCAGTTGTTATTTGGAATTCTTCAGTATCCTTGATGTGACTCCGGAAACTCTTACGAATTATTGGGACAGCTTTTGAATGAGGATAAATGCAGCTGATGTTGATTTAAAGCTGTAAATACTTTCATGAATACCGGTAACCTCATCGGTCTTCGTCCAGATTGTGTAAATAATTTTTGATTTTGGAGAATCCTATGCCTTAGTCACAGAACTCATAAGTATAGTTCTTGTCACCAATGCTTTCGATCTTCGGCTAAACAGTGGATAGTTTTGTTCAAAAAAATTTGCGAGGATATGGCAAAATTGTCGGTATATTTGACGCGACATAAACTAAAACTGTTGATGTTATTGCTATTATGCTCGGGTATTTGCCATCTTCTAATTTTGGTATTCAGTAGTACCAACAGCTCAAATTCTGTGCTTTTACAAACGTTCAGTCTCACCACACTGGACAAACGTAATGGAACTTCAGATAGTGTGGCTTCTGATTATGTGAATGATCTTCGTAGCTGGGTGGCTTCTTTAAATGCCTCGCTATACACTGGAGAATGGCAAAATACATTTTCTTTCATCTACTCGAACGGTGGATCAAGCCCACCAGGCGTGACGGATGAAAATAATAGCTACGTGATGGTCCTACCTTTTTCAAAAACAGAGGAGAAGGCTTTTAACGATTTGGCCGAAGACGATAAACTATCCCTTTTGACGCTGTATGAATTTCTCGATGTGATGGTCCGTTTCGACGGCGCAACATGTTTACAACCGTTAACTGAACACAAACGAGCGGATCATGAGTTGCACCAGGAAAAACTTTATAATCAAATGAAGGACTCGCTGGAATCGTCCTGGTGTCGATTTATTACAAAGAAATGGAGCCTTCATATAAAGAATACAGGCCCGGTGCTAAATACACGTCTCGAAAGTAAAACGTCAACAAATGGATCCTCTCCAAACAAATTTTCGTTTTCAGACTTCGCGAACGGCATACTGATTGTGTACCAAGTTTGTAATATTGCACAAGGTCCTTTCGTAATGAGAGGTGACGTGTTTCATCGCATCGGAGGATTGCATAACGGATTTGGTAGAATGGCTTTGCTAGAATTTTTTGTTCGATCGAAAGGCGAGCTGAAGATAGCGAAACTTTCAAATTGCAGTTGGACACACGAGATAGCGCGCGTGGATCGTGGAACGTTAGAGGGTTCAAACGATGTCACGGAGTACGCCGCTTTTGGAAATAAATTCAATATTCTTCGCATCGTCACAAACAATCGAATTGAATGGACAACTTGTGTTTCAAACTGGAAATTATGCCCGGAGAAACCCTATGTTAAGCCAACAGAGCTGTCCAGCGTGGCAGCACCGATTTGTTGCGGGATCGTCTTATTTCAAATGCTGAAAGATATCACATGGGCACTGACCCAACTTGGTGTAGATTATCGGGTTATTTATGGTACTCTGTTAGGTGCAGTTAGAAGTCAGACTGTTATACCTTGGACGTGTGATGTTGATATCGCGCTTACGAAGGCTGACTACGGTAATTCTTCGACCTATTCATCTATTGCAGAACTTTTAAGGACAAAGGGCAGCCATTATTATTTAGGGATATCTTATATGGGTATGCCAAGGGGCCATATGCTGATGGCACCTTATATAGAGGTTGACACAACTCTCTTTTTCGATGGCCCTGATGATTTAGAAGGTAATAATTTATTATTTAGCAGTGATATCGAGGAAGCCATACAGGGTATGCTTCCTGTTTCATCAGGCTGGAGAGAACGTCGTTACGTCGACTTTTATATTTCCCCTTCAGTTTGGTTGAACGGATCTGCTCTTGCTGTGATTAACAATGAACAATTTGTTACCCTGAAGGACATTGACTATGAGTTAACTAACTGGTATGGCAAAGATTATCTTCAACCAGCTCATAGAGGAGAATGGTTTGGTTGCTTAGACTAATAAATTTGCTGACCGCAAATGTTTCAAAGTTTTGCTCCCTCCTGAATTTAACAAATGCCATTTCTCTCTTTTTCATTTGTCACTGCTTATAAGAGTGTCGATTTGCCCATAGCACAATCATACAACTATGACTAAACGGTGCTAGCTTTCACAAAAATGTTACTTCAGTTTTCAACATGTGGTTTTCGAGTGCACCCTAAAAATGGCAGTTACGAGGTGGCCGTGTTCTTTCAATGTTGGCTGTACGTTAGCCAGCTGCATGAAAATGGTAGCTCTCTTGAAGGGTTAGTGTTTTGTTTATACACACAAAGCGAGCACAGGGCACTAAAAATGCATTTACATAAGCATTTACATGGAAAAACTACTCCGGCTCTCTTTGACGAGCATCGTTTTGGAGTGTCATTCGCTTAAGAATATGATAGCCTGCACATCAAGCACCCGATTAGAATGGGTGTTCGCGCGTGGGAAGTTGCGTGCATGACTGTTTATAGGAAAAATATAACTTGGACATGAATATGGAAGCGATCTTTGCAGGGGGTTAGTGTTTTGTTTATACAAACAAAGCGAGGACAGAGCACTAAAGATGCATTTACATAAACATTTAAATGGAAAAACTACTCTCTCTTTGACGAGTATCGTTTCGGAGTGTTATTCGCTCAAGAATGTGATAGCCTGCATATCAAGCACCCGATTAGAACGGGTGCTCGCGAGTGGGAAGTTGCGTGCATGACTGTTTATAGGAAAAATATAACTTGGACATGAATATGCTGTTTTTTGTTTATAGGAAAAAGCACTAAAGATAACATTTTAAATGGACATGAATATGGATAGCAAGCACCCGATTAGAACTTTTGCGTGCAGTTATAGAAAAATATAACTTGGACATGAATATGGAAGCGATCTTTGCAGTTATGAAAACTACTTAAGCAGTAGTGAAAATAAGGCCTGAAAAAATTCAGGCCTGTATAGGATTTGATCATTCGTTTCCCAGTCATTTCGTGTCCAGTGCTGAAATCCATGTATGAGACCAATGGCTTAGCTTGGATGTTGATTTTTCAGGCAGTATAAACCTTTGTTATGCAGTCAAAGAAGTACCAACTGTAAAACTGTCCATTAATGCAAATTTTCCCCAGATAAATGTGATGATTAGTCAAGCCAATTCTGTCTAAGGCGATGCAGGAAAATGTGTGATACTCGATGATCGACAAGTTTTTAGCCACCTTTTCTTGAAATGTTAAAAAAAAGACAGTCGCTAATTACTCGGCCAATATTGATCCAAAAGATGTCAGTTTTGACGGTTTCGACAAAGCTTACATGTGACTGTGTTAAATGTGCACCTTTTCTGTTCTACTTTGCATTACTACCTGATTTAAACAAATGGATTTGGCGTCAAACAACTGTTAAGCACACCCATATCAGAGAGACGCAGAAAAAATCCCAGCTAAAGGAAAACAACAAAAATTTACCTAAGTGCCTTCTGCTTTCAATTTTGTTTAAGCTAAAGTGCAAATATTTTAGTGAGTTATTTTCATCAACAATTGCAAGATTATATTGCTAAAGGAATAAGGAGTTAAACTCAGCATTCATTTTTGCCGTTTTCCTGTTGCTACATACGCTGGCCTAGCTTGGAATCACTCAGCAAAGTCGTGGTTATGCCTAGCGTTATGACCAACCTTGTGCCCACGGTACGCTGCATTGGGACATTGCAATCACCAGGTTGTACATCGTTAACGTGCAAGCACATACGATTCCTTGTTACACACGCAGCGTACATGCGAACTACCTTCTCCTTTCCCCTTCTAAATACGTAATGCCGAGATGAATGCCCGCATTGCAGTTATTCACGCATCCTTAAAGTGACACCTTGTACGGACGTTCAGTTCAATGGTCACGTAATATCTCAAATTTTCTAGGCTTTATGGTTATTAGTATCACTACCATTTTTATAGGTGTGGGGCTTCGTTGCGCGCTGCGAGCTCTGCTATAATTGATAAAACTAACTCGACCAAAGAGTCTCAACCCATTTCACAGTATTCAGAAAAACCATAATGCTGTGCACTACTTACCTTTCTTTGGTCAAGATCAGATAAACCAATCCCCCAAATATTGTACCAACAAAGGTCTTCTTGAAAGAATGTCTGGTAGCCCCACTTTTTAAAGGCCCCATATAACACCTCTACGCCTAGGGTAGCCCGTGTATTCTTCGCGGAGGCACTAACCTCGTCGTCATCTAGCGAGTGATAAAGTGTTTCTAATGAATACATCTTACATCTGGGTACGACATCACTGGGGCTTCTAAATACTTACTCCTAGTATATCCTAGGGCAGTGGAGGCTGAAACTGCAAATCCTTCCCGATGATCTGGTGGAACATGTTCTTCGCAATAGTGAATGGCATAACGAGTAAAGAGAGTTTCAACTCTTGGAGCGCTTCTCGATTGAATATTGTAAATCCAAAACCAAACTGAGTAACTACAACGTCAATCAGAGCACAGAGAAATATTATAGAGCCAATGAGATTTCAGAGCAAAAAAAAAAAAAAAGCAAGCAACCGGCTGAAGCGCGGGAAAACGCAGTTGACTAAGTCGCGATTGGTTTAGGTTTGGCATTTGATCGGTTGAGAGAGAGGCAGGAATCATCTGGACCAATTGGAGACCACAGTGAAGCAAAAACAATAAGATCCCGCATTTCTTTTGACATTCACTTAAAAACCTGTGATGAATTTCGCCATGATAGTGTTCATGTTGATCATCCGTTCGTTTTAAATAAGTTTTATTAGTAACATTTTTCATAATCGGTATGGGACTGGTAGTTGATTGACAGTATTATTTAAAACTTATCATTAAATTATTTAGAAAACCATACGATAATGTAATGACATGATTAAAGTTTAGTTGCATTTAGCTGATAAAAAGTGCCTCTTTATGCTCTATGACGTTCACAAAGCATTCATGAGTTTGAACGATCCTCAGAAATGAACTCCAATGGTTATACAATAACAGAAATATTTTCAGAGATCCCTGTAAACCGCACATGTGCCGACTTCTACATGCTTCCCTTGACTAGATGCAAGTGTGAGGGTTTTGACGCAGAGATTCCTGTAAATGACAGTGAAAATGGTCACATGGGGTTGGCCGAATTTGCTGTTGGGTACATAAATGATGCTATACAAAAACAATACATGAGTGGTGAGACTGCCTCTGTTTGTTGATATATTTTGTTGCTATGTTTAAATCACTTTGCAATGAAGGAGATTTGGAAATCCACAATCACGAATTTTAATCTTAAATCCATTTTGTAAGGAGAGCATAACTGCCTTTCATTTCTCTGACGGAATTCTGGATCGTTTTCGTTTGCGTTGGAAGTAGCAAATGTTTGTACAACTAGTACTTATAAATTTGAACTAACAGGAAATATGGATCGAAGGCTATTTTTTAAAACTCGGGAGTTAGCCTCGAGAACTTATTATTTTTTGACTTCTGTTTATAAGTACATAATTGAAGTAAATACGCCATTCGATTTGGCAGCAGTATTCAAAATTAAGAGATCCGACACGTTTAATTTTTTGGGAAACTCCAACGTTTCATGACCGTTGTCACGGTATTGTGAATACCGTGGTTCTCTTACTGAGAAGTTAATTAGTTAGTGCGAAGTCGTCGAAAGCGTATGCCTCTAAATTAAGAGTAAATAACTCTTGCATGCATAACATGCCTATTTTTGTGAAAGCTAGCACCATTTAGTCATAGTTGTGTGATTGTGCTAGGGGAAAAAATTGACACTCTTGTAAGCAGTAAAAAATGAAAAGATGAGAAATGGCATTTGTCTAAATCAACAGGGAGAAAAACTTTGAAACACTTGCAGTCAGCAAGTTTATTAGTCTAAGCAACCAAACCATTCTCCTCTCTGAGCTGGTTGAAGATAACCTTTGCCATACCAGTTAGTTAACTCATAGTCAATGTCCTTCAGAGTAACAAATTGTTCATTGTTAATCACAGCAAGAGCAGATCCGTTCAACCAAACGGAAGGGGAAATATAAAAGTCGACGTAACGGCGTTCTCTCCAGCCTGATGAAACAGGCAGCATACCCTGTATGGCTTCCTCGATATCGCTGCTAAATAATAAATTATTACCTTCTAAATCATCAGGGCCATCGAAAAAGGGAGTTGTGTCAACCTCTATATAAGGTGCCATCAGCATATGGCCCCTTGGCATACCCATATAAGATATCCCTAAATAATAATGGCTGCCCTTTGTCCTTAAAAGTTCTGCAATAGATGAATAGGTCGAAGAATTACCGTAGTCAACCTTCGTTAGCGCGATATCAACATCACACGTCCAAGGTATAACAGTCTGACTTCTAACTGCACCTAACAGAGTACCATAAATAACTCGATAATCTACACCAAGTTGGGTCAGTGCCCATGTGATATCTTTCAGCATTTGAAATAAGACGGTCCCACAACAAATCGGTGCTGCCACGCTGGACAGCTCTGTTGGCTTGACATAGGGTTTTTCTGGGCATAATTTCCAGTTTGAAACACAAGTTGTCCATTCAATTCGATTGTTTGTGACGATGCGAAGAATATTGAATTTATTTCCAAAAGCGGCGTACTCCGGGACATCGTTAGAACCTTCTAATGTTCCACGATCCACGCGCGCTATCTCGCGTGTCCACCTGCAATTTGAAAGTTTCGCTATCTTCAGCTCGCCTTTCGATCGAACAAAAAATTCTAGCAAAGCCATTCTACCAAATCCGTTAAGCAATCCTCCAGAGCGATGAAACAAGCCACTTCTCATCACGAAAGGACCTTGTGCAATATTACAAACTTGGTACACAATCAGTATGCTGTTCGCTGAAACCGAAAACGAAAATTTGTTTGAAGAGGATCCATTCGTTGAGGTTGTACTTTGGAGATGTGTTTTTAGTACTGGGCCCGTATTCTTTATATGAAGGCTCCATTTCTTTGTAATAAATCGACACCAGGACGATTCCAGTGAATCCTTCATTTGATTATATAGTTTTTCCTGGTGCAACTCCTGATCCGCCCGTTTGTGTTCAGTTAACGGCTGTAAACATGTTGCGCCGTCGAAATCGACCATCACATCGAGAAATTCATACAGCGTCAAAAGGGAGAGTTTATCGTCTTCGGCCGAATCCTTAAAAGCCTTGTCCTCCGTTTTTGAAAAAGTTAGAACCATCACGTAGCGATTATTTTCACCCGTCACAGAGTTTGAGCTGCTGGTAGTATTCAATACCAAAATTAGAAGATAGCAAACACCCGCGCATAATAGCAAAAATATCAATAGTTTTAGTTTATGTCGCCTCAAATGTACCGACGATTTTGCCATATCCTCGCAATTTTTTTTTAAACAAAACTATCCGCTGTTTGGCCGAAGATCGAAAGCGTTCCTCACGAGAACTATACTAAAATGAAAATTAAAAACAGCCAGTTTCATCTTCCCGTAACCGGATCATCTGAAGCCGATTGAAAGTCCTACCCACAGCGATGATTTCATTCAAAAGTTTTTCTTCACATGCTAACGGTTTCATTGCGATACGAACTCGCCTCACGTAAGAGAACGCAGCATCACTAGATCTGACGATTTTCTATGATCAACCCAGACGTTGTCATAATATGAGCGGCTGTCAACCACCAAAAATATAAAGTTGTCAAATACAAAGATGTTAAGATAAGCAAATACACAGCTTGTCAAAGGATCGGCTGCAGGATAGCATAGCTAGCATAATTTCGGTATGTTTGTCCTCTTTTTTCCCTGCCGATATTACATTTATTCGTTGTCGTTCATGAAAGCGTTAACTGAAATAGCAATGAGATTGAATTCTACCAACCACAGTTTGCATGCGTCGGTTAGCCTGAATTTTTTTTGCCCCCTTGCACGGCCGCAAGGTATCAACGTTTTTCCCGCAAATGGTCATAACTACACAACTGTAAACAACAAGCCCAACTCAAAAAAAAAAAAAGAAAATGGTACTGTAGGGCGGGGGCAGCTCTAGTGAGAACTATAACTAGTATAGTATTAAGAAGTATTATAACGTGCATTAAGTGTCGATTGTCGAACTCTCTTTTCTCGCGCTTACTTTTTAATAAGAGTTTAACTTGGACGGCTCTTTGAACATTGTAGTACGTGAGAAGTTGCAGGTTAGGGTCAAAGGTTGCGTGTGCCTTTGTGTGCAGAGTTGGACGCCATGATAAGAAAACTGACATCCTTGATCTGTTTTGACATTTTTCAATCAAAGTGATATCGGAATGCTTTAGTTGGTGAGACAAAAATAGTGTTTACCCTCGTCAAAATGTATTCCCCTTGAAATCGCTTGACAATCTTTTCAAATGATTTTCCAACCAAGCGTTTGCAGTTCCCATAGCCATGTTTTGTGAGTGTTACAGTTTCCTGAAAAGGAAAAAAATAAATTTAAGAATCAATATAAATTAAGGCACGTTTTTATGCCTTTTTATCTCACAACTTTTCGTTCTACTGCAGTCTTCCTCTCGAATTTCCCTCGTGTTGCCTGAACTCTCTCATCCCTCTCCACCCATCGCACTAAGTCGCCCTCATCTCACACACCCCACCCCACTCCACCAATCGCACCTCTACACACCCCACTGGCCTTGCTCAAACCACCTCATGCAGTCCCACTTCTCTCCACCCACCCCACCCATCACAATTCACCTCATCCCACCCCGAGCCGTCTCATCTTAGAACCTTTAACTGATTTGATCATATCGTGTGCTAATGGATTGTGGATGAAAATTCGTGATTGTGGATTTCCAACTCTCCTTCATTGTCCAGTGATTTAAACATAGCAACAAAATATATCAACAAACAGAGGCCGTCTCACCGCTCATATATTTTTTTCGGATAGCATCATTTATATACCCAACAGCAATTCGGCCAACCCCATGTGATCATTTGCATTGTCATTTACAGGAATCTCTGCGTCAAAACCCTCACACTTGCATCTAGTCAAGGGAAGCATGTAGAAGTCGGCGCGTGTGCTGTTTACAGCGATTTCTGAAAATATTCCTGTCACTGAATAATCGTTGGAGTTCATTTTCCGAGGATCGTTCAAACTCATGAATGCTTTCTGAACGTCATAGAGCATAAAGAGGCGCTTTTGGTACGTTATCAAGGCACTCGTCCTTCTTGTCCCCAGTTTGTCCTTGACGCCATCAGGAATGGTCATGAAGAACAGTGGATCGAATAACTCTCTCCTTTCTTCTTCAGTGTAGCTAAACCGAGTCATTGTGTGGCCATGGTCAGATAAGATGAATGTCTGAAGCCATATATGTGATGAACTTCGCCATGATGAAGTCCATGTTGATCATCCGTTTCCCAGTCACTTTAATTTGTGTCCGGTGTTGAAATGCATGTATGAAACCAATGGCTTAACTTAAATGTCGTTTTTTATGGCGGTACAAACCTTTGTTATGCAGTCAAAGAAGTACCAACTGTAAAACTGCTCATTAATGCAAATTTTCTCCGGATAATCGTAATGATTAGTCAAGCCAATTCTGTCCAAGGCGGTGCTGAAAAAATGTGTGATACCTTGATAATCGACAAGTTTTTTAGCCACCTTCTCTTGAAATTCGTTCCATCCGTTAAAAAAGACAGTCACTGATTGCTCGGCCCAATGTTGATGCAAAATATGTCAGTTTTGACGATATCGACAAAGCTCACATGTGACTCTGTGTTAAATGTGCATCTTTTCTGTTCTACTTTGTGATATTATTACCTGATTTAAACACTGAATCGATTTGGCGTTAAACAACTCTTGCAGCACACAAGTATCAGAGAGATGCAGAAAAAATCCTAGCTAAGGGAAAACAGCAAAAGTTTACTCAGGTGTCTTCTGCTTTCAGCCTTGTGTAAACTTGAGCGCAAATATTTCAGTAAGTTATATTTATCAGCAATTGCAAGATTATATTGCTAAAGGAATAAGGAGGTAAACTCAGGCTTCATTTTTACCGTTTGCCTGTTGCTACAAACGCTGGCCTGGCTTGGAATCACTCACCAAAGTCGTGGTCATGCCTAGCGTTATGACCAACCTTGTGCCCATGTACGCTGCGTTGGGACATTGCAATCGAGTATGCGCTCTTCACTTCAACGCCGATTAGTGGTGATAATTTTAGACTTATCCCACCCAATTGTATGGTTAGTTAGGTATGTGTGCTCCGATAAAGCTGAATTTTCCTTTTTACAAAAGAAAACCGCTTTTTGATGCTCTTTCAAACGTGTACCAAACTGACGTTTGGTCTGTCCGACGTATTCAATTCGTTGTCACAGTCATTGCAAGGAATGGAATAAATGGCGTCGGTTCGTTGTTCTTTCGTGACAGGATCCTTAGGTTTGGCAAAAATATGCCCTAAAGTCTGAAAAGGTTTTTGAACGACTTTAACGTTGTGGCTATTCAAAATTCTCTTGATGGGTTCCGCAACACTCTGAATGTAAACATTAACCGCAAAACCAGTCGCTGGTTCCCTTTCATCAGGAGTGCTACTAGTTGTAACTGGTTTTTGGCAGTTACGGAGGAAAGTTTTTGTATAGCTATTCGCCTTTAAGACATTAGAAACATATTTTCTCTCCTCAGCCTTCGAATCGAGTGAAGATGGTAGACAGTCAGCCCTCATGAGTAGAGTTTTGGCTACAGACTTTTTATGGCAAATAGGGTGGTGGTTATAACGAACGGACCGAGTGAAGCGATGTCCATGCATTACGACAGAGAACCAAATATTTTTCCGGCCCACCCGACAAAACTCAATCAATAAGGATTTTATCAATGATACCACTCGTTGAAAAAATTTTGACATTTTGTTTCAACCTTAATAAGATACATGAAAAATTACTCTGTCCTGATTGATTAAGATTATCAAAAATAAGTTATTCACGTAGAGTTCTCTAAAGGGGATAAATTACCATAGAAACTGTAGTACTGCGTCGGTGGGAGAGTATAACAGGGTAATTTAGTATTATCAAATGAGTTGATAACGTAAATTGGCCACCGTAAAGAGTTTAAAAGCTAAGCTTTTAAATTCTTCATGATGACCGATTTACATCATCGACTCAATTGATAATACTAAATTACCCTGTTATCCACATAGCAAGTTATTTTCAAATATGAAAATAATCAATGCTAATATATTCAAAATATTCAAAACTAAATTACCCTGTTATCCACATAGTAAGTTATTTTGAAATATGAAAATATTCGATTAAATATCAATATTTCCTAGCCGTAGAATGGTCTAAGCAAAATTTATTGAAAATGACCATCTGTCAAATATTTTTGGAAATCTGGGAAAATGTTTTACCCGTGTAAAGATGATTCGAGACTACAACTACCGGTACTCATGGCATGCGGCTTAAATACTCCGTGCGATTCATAAGAAGTTTAAGAGTTAAATTTTGGATTGTTTCACAGTTCACGGTTAATCCCTATTGAGCAGGTTTTGATGATAGATGCACCAGAACGATACAGACCAATACTGGTTGAGAATAATAGCAACAACACAAGTATCCCTAATGTGCATAACAACAAACCACGACGCAGTCATTTTTTCATGTCGAAAAAAACTGATCGGCACTAATGAATTATAAGTAATGGTAATAGAATTTAGAGGAGGTGATTCAGTAAAAATAATGAAACGTGTGAACTTAATCTTTTTTCCCCGTCATAATTCCCGCACCAGTTTGATTAGGACTTCGCAAACACCTTTAAGGGGCCACCCTAAGTATGGTCTTCGAGGAACGCACGCATCTTTACTTGCTGTCACACGCTGAACACTCTGTTGCTAGGCTACGCGTAGCAAAACTACAACAACTGTCATGGCTTCCCGGCTTTGTTGTTTCGTCGAGTTGGTCTCAACATTGTGACAGTGTTTGCGCTTAACGATGGTTTATGACGGTTCTAACAAGGGCTTTCCGAAGACTCCTGGAAAAGGAAGTGTATTAAAGAAGTCACAAAAGTCTAAGTTCGAGAAGCAACGAGAGGAAGATGTTGTTAGAAATGCTCACGAGCGAGGTTATTTGCGCACCCCGACAGCGAATGATATTTGGGACAGTATCGGCGAAAAGTGCGATCTTAATGACATAAGCTACTTGAATATGAGTAGGATATGCCTTCATACTGTTCAAACCATTGACTGGTGTACGAGGCTACGAATATGCGTTTTGCATTCCAACTACATTTCTTCATTTGATTCTCTAGCAGCCTGTAGGGATCTTGTTTTCTTGGATTTGCATAATAATCAGGTGAGCTTTTCATTCCCTGTATGCCGTGAACTTCGAAGCTTCACGTACTCTCGAGTCAATTCCTAACATTTTAGATTTTGAATGTGGCATTGTTTCATTTTAACCATAACATGAGAGAGTTTCGGTTCTCACTTTCACAAACCACAAAGAAGGTTGTCTTATTTATTGTTCATCGTCGCACCGGTAGAGCCTAGGTGGTCGTGAGATATCGGACAATCGGACATCAGAGAATGTTCCGGCTATTGGCATAAATTTCCGACCAAATTTTGATGTCTCGAAGTATTTTTTCTCACTCAGATACAGTGAATATTCAAAAGTCGCCTAAGTTTATTCAGATGATACCTCTCCTATTCCTCATTAATGAAAACCCTAAGTATTCCTGAAAGAGGGGGGAAGGAGAAGTTGCGTTATGTATTTAGTTTTCTCATTTGATCTTTTACATCACTAAGCATAAACGTTCAGAGTTCTCTAGAGGTACTAGTAGCTGGTGTTCACTTTAAAATTATTTGGGTGAATGGCCGCTGTTTGTATTTTTAATTTGAATAATTTGTCGTTAGGTATCCAAATTGATGATAAATAAGTTTATTTTGTTAATAATGAGAACGATCTTAATTCTAGGATAAGATCTTTTAATGGCATATATGAAAGCAAAAATCTGTAATCTGTACTCATCAGATAACAAAACTCCCTGGTCACAAGTTTTGGGCATCGCTCACAGAACTGAAGGTTGTTTTTCTACACAACAACAGCATTTCTAAACTTGATGATGTGAACTACATGGCTGCATCTTCCAGCATTTCTATTCTGACTCTAAATGACACTCCTCTCAGCCTAAAACCAAATTACAGACACCATTTGGTGAACAGTTTGTGGACCTTAAAGTCCCTTGACAATTATGTGATTTCTGACGAAGAAATCATAGAGGAGTCATCTTTTGGTGGTCGCTTTGCACCTTTGCAATCAAGTTTTTACATTAACTGTTCTTGTTCTCTAACAAAGGTAAGAAAAATCTTGTACTTAGTATCTGGCCTGGCTCTCAATCAAATCACCTGACCTCAGTTGCATCAAATAAATAAGATAAAATTGTTTTTTCAAAATCAATTGGTGTTAACTCTGTGAAGCTTGAAGGGGCATTTGAAATTATTTATTTCCAGTACAAAACAGAAAACCTCTTGATCAGATTTGATCAAGAGGTTTGAATCCTCACACAAGACAGATGTTACTTTGTCCCTTGTTCACAATAAATCCGTGACATATTTCTTTAAAGTAAAGCTGTTGTGAATCATTTTGATGTTCAGCATATTTCTATATTGTTTAGCATGGTAGTAAAGGTAAAGTCTTTGAGAAATTTAAAACCTGTAATTGTAATGAAGTAGCTTGTATCATACAGTGTGGCATAGTAACCTCTCTTAATAAATTGTCAGGCATCAAGTTAAGAAGATCAATTTATTTTGGTTCTTTCAGGAGAACACTTATGAGGAAGCACTGAAAGAAGTTCACAGGCTTACAGCTGAAGTGAATGGAATTCAGGCAAAATATTGCCCAGTGTTGATAATACAGAGATACATCCGTGGACACTTGACAAGATTAAGGTTTAAGTTCATTCAGGACATGAGATTATGGTGAGACTGAAGTAAATTTAAGTTAAAATGTGCCTTGACCCGAACATAGTTGGGTTAATAGTCTTAACCCATTACGCCCTAAGATTGTCATCCATATTCTCCATACTACTCTCTTTACATTTCCAAATCCAAAGAGAATTTGTTCAACAATCAATTAGGCTCTTAGGCAATCTTTTCTCTTAACCCCATTACTGCCTGCGCGAGGTACAGAGTATGTCACACAATTTGAATACTGTGTGTCTCCATGACCTACTCAGTACATCAAAAGTTAGGGTAATGGTCAAATCTCTTGCACTGGAGATGTTAAATACGCTAGCCTCTAAAACAAGTTAAAATTTTGAAAAATAATTAATACATATGCTTTGACACACCAGGACTTCTCAGTAGATTTGGTAGTTCAGTGGGTAATGAATGATTAAACAGTATTACTGTAAGGAAAAATAAGATGCTGATCACTCTCACGGTTTAATGAGTTAAAGGAAGCCTACAAACCCAGAATTTTAAGTCCAGAGTGCATTTCAATTGGGGTGTTTTAAAGCCAAATCTGATATTATCACAACTTTAAAAATTTTCAAGAGGAATTCTTGACTGCCATCATTCTGTGTCAGCAACCCTTGTTCTTGGTGTTTCTCGTATCCATTTTTGCTCCAAAGGTGTACCAAATGTTTTTTTTGGACCTCACTTATTGTTCACCCTTTTAACGCTCAGAAGCGAAAAGTGCATAACCTCTTACAGTATCAAACAAACCGGAAATGAGAATTGACAAACTTTCTCGGAAGGGTGTTATCTTGATGTAACTGGTGTACCCGTAACTTTCCCATACTTGAAAGAAAATGAAAGGAGAGACGTGTGACCATGGACGTTCTCTGTTCCTCCCGTTCGTGGGCCTCAGTAACTAACTAAGCCTGTTCCTCAAGTAGTTATTTTTCGTCTCATCATCAGGGCTGCAGTCTCCATTCAGCGGTATTACCGTCACTACAAAGGATACACAGCAGGGGGTACCCTACCACCGCCAACATCCCCAGCCCCCAGCCGTTCCAACTCGTCCTTGACTCGCTTTGATTACGAGACGTATTTGCATGGAATAAAACCCGGTTATCCGATCAGTCCAAGGGCTTCCGCTGGGAGGATTGCAAGACGCCCTCGTAGTCGTAATGTGTCCATAACCGTGGAACCTATCAGCAGCATCATTGAAGAAGGCGAAAGGAGAACAGAGGGAAGAGTTACAACTTCTCCGGTAGAAGATCTTGAGATTCCAAGAAAAGACAGCTTCCCGGTTAAAATAACTACTAGAATTTCTTTGAACCTTAGGAAGCTGGAAACTAGTACTTCTGACGTAATTAGAGCTAAAAAGGAAGCTGTAACTATTCATAAGAACCTGGGTCTGATCGATATCAAGTCCAGGAAAAGTATGATTGAAAGTCGTGAGTCGATGCGGATCAAGTTAGCCACACGAAATGACATCCGAGCGAAAAGCAGGGAACTACAGAGGGAGGAACAAAAAATAGAGGATAAAGAGGGAAAGAGGAAAAAGCCACACCGAATTGGGAAGTACACCACTGTGCGAGTTTTCCTGGGGCGAGTTGTCGACTCGCAGCCGCGCACCGAATGCGAACCGAACGACACTGAGCATGAGCCGAAGAAGCAACGATTTCGATTGTCGGGTCTTCACCCCCCGATTCAAAAAACTGACCCGCTGCGTGAGATGCTAATTTCTAAACAAGAGGCTGGAAAGGATGTTAGAGAGGCTGCAAGGGAAATAGAAAAAAGAGCGGCTGAGGAACCAAAGAAAGTTGTTACTAAACGTCAAACGGTTACCACGGATCAAAGACTATTCATCCGCACTCACGGCACGATGGGCTTGGCGTGTTTACGAGCCGTTCAGCATGCCTACAGAGAAAGGGAGCGAGCTGACACTGTCTCTTCAAAAGCCATCACAGTGGCACAGATGAGAGAAGACCGTGAACAAGCTAAAGAACGCGTCAAAATATTTAAACAGGAGTACAAGGAAGCATCGCTAAGGAGGAGAGTTCGAGATGGTGTTAGAACCGCCGAGGCTCTCAAAGAGCGGCAAGCGAAGGAAGTTATTGAACACGAACGGCTGTCGACAGCACGAGCTGTTACTGCGGAACAACTGAAATCGAGACGGGCGGATTGGGCGTTCATATCAGACTTTAACTGTCAGCACACATCCATTTCCAACGCGTTGCAGCGCCATGACCGCGCCTCACAGAGAGATGAACGTGTGCAGGAAATTGAAGATACCGTGCGCAAGGGGAAAGAAGTCTCACAAGATCAACAAGCTCTGGTACGTCGATACATGGAACACCGGCAGTTGTTACGTCAAGCAGAGACAGCCATGGCACGCGCTGAGTTGGACGCGCATTTGACGCGGGAAGCCAGTCAGCGCAAGGTGGCTGCAAAAGAGCGCGTGGCACAAATAAAGGCGCGAAACCAGGATACACAGGAGTTTTATTCTCCGCCTGTGACGCATGCGCCGGCGAGACTTCCTCCGCTGGCCGTTGTATCGCCCGTGCAAATGGACGTCTGGAATGACTTGGAAAAATTTGAATGGACTCCGGCGAGTCACGAACGCTGCTTTTCTGAGCCATACGGTAGAGTGGTGTCTTCAAGAAGACAGCGAATGTATTCATTAGAGCCCACGTACGGCATAGCATGATGCATGGGAACATAATTTTGAACGAGATGCAGTGTGTGTTTTTATGTAGCTAGCCATAGACTCGATTTTTCTTTTTTTTATTATTTATTTAAAAAACACTGCACTCGATCAATAAGAAAGCTTGAGTGCATTATGCGTTGACGATTAAAGAAGTTCTTATTTATTTTAAACCAGAATGTATAATATAAGTAGCGAAAAGGGACTTCAGTCGTTTTTTTTTTTGTGGTGATTGATAACATTGTAGATAGTGTGAGATATCAAATAGTTTTACGACTTAAAGTCTATAACACAGTGCAGAGATAGTTAATATAATATACTGTATAGATAAGATATTTGAAATTGTTTGAATGTATTTCTTTGGTTGATTAATAGTGCATATCTCATGAACCTAGTCGCCGCATTTTTTTTAGTAATGGAAAGTGTTTAACTTTGGACCATGTAAGCTTCGCGTTTTCTAAAGAGTGCATTTCGGTGAAGTGTCGTAAGACCAAATACAAAATAATCCCAACGGCCAATCAGATCAAAGGAAAATGTCACAATTAACCAATCAGACAAGCATACTGCCCGAAGCGCGGGATAACGTGGATGGTCTTGCTTTGAATCTGATTGGTTGAAAAGTAGCACGAGTTTTCTAAACCAATTACTTAGAGACACCTGACTATCTTCGCCAATCAATAGGACTTTGCTACAAATCTTCCTTGACAAATTTGGATTAAACGAGTGCCACTTACTTTTGCGCGCAAAAAATCAGAAAACAGGAAACGCCTACACGGGGGTTCTACCACCAAAGTAGATCCACAAAAAAGATGGGAAAAGATCTTTTGAAAATATTTCGCAATTAGTGCTCAAAATGAAGGCAAACAGCAAAGGTTCAACTCTTTTGGGTTACTTCTCTCGTATTAGTACTCCTAAGTCTCTTCAAATTTCGCAGAAACTGTACAGACGTGGCAAAGTTTTCGCGCTAATCCTAAAAAACGCTTTGAAAGGAACGGAAAATGGATTCAAATTATTCAGTCCAAAAACTATGGTTACGCTCGATGATTATCTAATCTATACGAAAAAACTAAAGGTCATGTCATCACTGTAACAATGGTAGGATACAGGTAAAAATTTACACAGCCTTCCTTACATCCATGGTATGCCCCATCACATCGCTATAAGCGTGCGCACATCCGGCGATCGATATTACTAGGGTCCGAGAGTAAAGCAAAATTTTATGTTCATTGTTTATCTTTTTATATTTTTATCCGTCGGAAAAGGGTCTCTTGCGATTCGTTTCACACGTACATTAGTCCTATATTTGACCGAGTCAGGGGAACACAACCTTAAATATTGGGGACCGTCACAAGAATGGGTGAAATCCGCACACGCTTGCTAGCACTCTAGCGACAGTCAGCACGTCGTGCAGGCTTGTGTCAGTCTGAATATCTTGCTAAAGGGACAATCAAGAAACGAATTATGAACCTCTATTTAAACTAGAAATTTATTATTAATTAATATGCATGTAATTTGATTACAGTGGATAAAAGTTAGAAGTAACTCATCAAGAATTTTTCTCTCTCGTCCACGTTTGCGACTAGGCATTTAAACATAATTATTACTGTGGGTATATTCATCGTTATACAAAGATACATAACCATTTTCTATAGATAAACACTATTTTTTGATCTTCCAGGCCCTCAAAACCAACCCGTCCAGAATTTTGATAAGTTCCCTAAAACCTATCAAAAAATTGTAACTACTTCACTAGTTCCTTAGATGCTAAGTTAAATTAAATGTCAGTCTTAAAAAATTATGATCATAGACGGTACGCAGCTGCGGCTTATAAACGCGCTACCTTTTTTTGGCGCTGTCTACCAAACACGCCCAACTTGAACCCTACGAGAACCAAAATTACAAATTTTTAACTTGGTGGACGAAATTACTTCGCTGCAGCCATTAAAGGTGGCCACGGAAAGTGACTTAATATTTACGGAAATAGTATTTTAAGTAGTTTTCAAAGAGGAGCAAATCTCGTGAATTGCTACCTCGAACTCTCTTTGTTATCCATTAGACTGACTTTTTTTTATATATAAAACATTTGAATGTTGATGCCCTTGTTATAATCTTGTGTGTTTTCCCCAATGACAAGCAGAAAAGACGCTCTGACCAGATAGCTCTTCAAAGAGTCATTAGGTATTAAACCTTTCGCTACTCTCAGTACTTTTTTAATCAGGTCACACTGGAGGTCCACAGAACACTTGACTTGCATTTAAATTTTATTCCGTCGCACAGCATAAATTTAAAGACCGCCATTTCCCCGGTCTTTGTTCGCAGTCACGTATTAGTAGTCCCCAAAGGGAAAGGGAATACTCAATTCCACACCAATTAACTTCAAATTAAATTATGTAGGCCTCATGAAAGCAAGACATTTAGGTATTAAATACTTTATAAATACAACACTTGTTGTCTGTGCGAACTGACTGTTTAAGGATTACCCATTTGAAAAGAAAACGAATGGCCTATACCAATATAGAATGATACATCATTTAAAACAACTCTGACATTGTCTGGGAACTATTCAAAGCATCCTCGCTTTACCACAGAGAGAGAAGGAGGGGACATTAACTCCATATGCATGAAATAAGGTTTTGTCAGACTGAGAAGTGTAAGGGCAAACAAAGCCCACCAGCAACGGTTGCAGAAAAGAGGGAGGGGGGTAGGGGCATGATACAGAGTGGAGAAACTTAAATCTTAATCCCACTACATCAACATTCTACCGGTTCCAAAAAGTCAATTAATTGACATATCTGTTCCCTTGTTAGCTTCAGTCTATTTGAGTGCTAAGTTCAACCTTCATAGGTAATATTATTTGGTGGCATTTCATATTGTTACAAGTCCGTGTGGATGACTTGCATCTGACCCTTAGACTATAACATCATCTTTTTTATGGGTCCAGCTTTAAGCAACCTTTGAAAATATGCCCACAGACTGACCCAGAAGATTGTGTGATAAATATCCTCCACACAAAGCAAAAGCTGGTGCCACATGCTGATGGAATGCAGAATTTATCATCTCTGTTGGGATCTAGTTTGTAAACTTCTAACTGTTTTTTTTTCAGGAATTTACTAGTTCAAGACTTATTCTCCAATGTATTGTCAGCTTTCAGCTTCTGAAACATAGTCTGGCCCCTTAGGAGAAAAAGGAAAAAAATATATACAATTTTCATTCTCAAAGTAAGTCACTAATTGTGTCAGTAACATTATGAGCAAAACCATACTGTCTAAACTCAACTCTCAAATTACAGAGTCCTAGCAATCTGACAGTTAAATCAAAATTTGAAACAGCCAATGCAAACAAAGCACTAAATGCTAATAGCTAATCAAATTTAGCTACCTCTTCAAAGCTACCATTAAGCATCAAGAAAATAATAAGGTTAATTAGCTTGGGGTTGACCAAATTCAGCTTGAAAATATGACTTGTGGACCATTTTAGAGAGTTGAGTTTTAGGCAGATGTATTACTTTGGATGCCTGTCCTGACACTAAATGCTTCTCCTCCAAGTTGCTCCCATTTTTTTATTGACAGAATAAGACAAAATAACTGAGAAAAATTATTAATAAAATGTTGTACAGACAACATCAGTGATTAATAAAACCTCAAACATGAATTACATTTCATTGACTGATCAACTGACTTAGTATGAAAACAAACCTCTGCAATTTTTTGATCAAGCATTTTGAAAAACTCCAGTTGAGACTTTGTCATTTGCCTAATGGAGAAAAAAAAAACAGGGATTATAAAATAACATGAAAACTCACACTCACATCAGTGATACTCTACAATGTGTCTAAGTCCTATGGGTCTAGAACCTTTGCTGTTTCTGTCCCCAAACCCTGCAACTCTTTGCCTGATATCATGCGTTTATGTGATAATTTTAATACCTTTGAATTTAAGCTTTTTACATAGCCATTTTAATTTTGTTTAAATATTGATTTAGTTTTAATTGAATTCTCAAATTTTTGAAGCACCTAATGCTGTATAGGTGCTATACAAGTATTGATTGTTATTATCATTATCATTATCATCATTATTATTTTTATTATTATTATCATTGCTTCTTTTAGATACCACATGGGCAAACAAAGGGAAAAATAAGTTATTTAGAAAACCACCCAAAAGAATCCTTATTTATGACTGACAAGAAAACACCAATTTAATCTAAACTTCTTATCAGTTAAATCATGACACAACTAGTGTCAAAACATATAATTCAAAGACACTGTTATTCAAATCATAGCACCACTAAATAAAGAAAAGCAAATCCAAACAATAACTTGGGTTTGAGCAGCTCTTGGCACAGGCATTGGTTGGTTGCACATCCACTGTTTCTAAGTCCAAATGGTATTAGAATGTTGGTGAAGGGAGGAAATCTACAGATCCTGAACAAACCCAATAGGCCATTTTCAATGTAATAAAATTAAAACTTGGCTCTGAGGCTTTGGGAATTAAAAAAAGGGATGAACAATTAATTTCTTTTGTTTTAATTCCCCCTAGTCTGGGTGCCATGTTAGAATTTTTAATATATAAAAAATGGCCTATTGGTCACAGAGGACCAAGAGTGACAACCCAAAAAGATACGATTACGCAAAGTACATGAGTCAAAGCTGGGCCATAGACCACTATCATAATGCTCCATTTCCCTAAAATAATATTATTTAAGCAGAGCTGATCTAAATACAAGGATATATGGAAAAAAAACCAGAGTGACTCTTGATGCAACCTAAAATTTTCCTTGTGTTCTACAAAGGAATGTAAGACATTTGGGGAGGAGAATCTTGCAGGCTGTCAGAATTCACTTACGGCTTTTTTCCATACACCCTTACAACTAATCAATTTGATCTACAAGTCTTACATTCTGACTTGACTGACTGGAGCAGACTTTGGGGCAGCACAGTGGTTGTCATTTGTCCTAAAAATACATCAAAATGTTTCAGGTCAAGGTCCTTTTAAGATTGTTTTCAGAACATCTTAGTTACCCCTAGTATCATAACTAATATGTACAGAAAGAGATCGTCTGTAAACTTAATCAACATCCCCTGTCAGCAAGATGGTTTAAATAAATACAGTTCAATACTGCACAACTATTTGCAAGTTAACACCAAGGACAATTTATGAATCTCATACACCTGACAATAAATTACACAGCAAAAAGCAAAAATTGTCTATCCTGAGTGTTGACTCCCTTATTTTAGAAAAAAAAAACTTTTTACATTTGAGAATATTTATCATCTGAGAGGAAAATGTAAGGAAGGTTTCCAACTGCTCTACCTTATTGGGGTAGGTTTTCTTCTAGGGATTACATCCTGATTCTGAAAATAAATTAATGAATTGATTGAGATTGGTAAAAACGGCTAATCATATAAATGTATGGCAACTATAACTAATATCTTTTTCCACCCTTATACCAGCTATAGTACTTTTCTATATCAACAAACTACCCAATTTAATTAATCACTCCATCTGTGGTCAATTCAAACTATTAAAAATGATCAACTTTCCATTGCATAAAATACAACTTTCAACAAAACGCCATGAGCCAGCTATTTACCAAAGGTCTAACCCAAACTGCAGTTTTCCCCAAGTTGTGGGCCTCAGGTATTCTCATTAGAGGGTTGATTCAATCATATAAAATGTCTCTCTACTATTAGCTTTTGGCCCTCCTAACACTGTTAACAAAATAAATGTTCAGATAACAGGTTAGTCTAAATTGAATATGGATAGAACAAGGTTTTGTTAGACATTGGCTAAACTTTGTTTAAATGACTGGCCCAACAAGTCTGTTACCTTATCCTTGATTACTGAGGACCTGTCATTTTTTGGTTCTGGAATATCAGGCTCTTTGACTGAGGTGATACTATTAGATGAATCTTTTCTGCTGTTTTTTAGTGCACTGCTTTCAAGTGAGTGTCTTGGAACATCTGTAATGAATACCAACAAACAATATGTGAAACTGAATTACCAGTACAATGGTTCAGTAAAAAATGTGTTGATGTCTTTTACACAACAGTATCTAAACCTGGATGGCAGTCTCCACTGTAAATTTACACAATTCATCTGCAATTGAATTTCCAATTGAAAACCTGGTTTATATTAATTTTTAATATAATTCTCCTCTGGCAAACACTGAACACCCTTGAGATGAAGTAAAAAGAACCTGTAATTAAAGCTGTCTTTGCTGTCAAAAAAGACACTGTATTAAACATTCCTACAATTCTCACCAGGTGTATGTACTGAGCAACCATTCTCTTTTGCTGAGTGGGAACTGGAGCTGACTTCTGGACTTGTGGTCATATGCTTACCAGCAGAACATCCCATAATATTAGCCCACAAGGGGCGAGGCTTTCGCCAAGACCACCCAATGGTGAAACAGATGAATTCTTGGTTCTTGCAAAATCAACAATCCTAAAAAATACAATACTTTGTTAATGCTGTGGAAATAAAAGGATATACATTTCAACCTGTATTAAGCGATCGTCCATGCAGAATGGTAGGGTGACTGCTTAATGCATTACAGGTTACCAGCTTAACACCAGTTCCAAAGAAAAGGAGTCAAACACAATAAAAAATGCCATTTTAGGTCATACTTAATAGATCAATCAATGTCCAGTTTATTCAAAACCTTGCTCGAAAGTGCATTGACTGCTCATAATAATCAGCACCAACGAAATGGTGGTGCGATGTAAAAACTGAGCAATAAAGTAGAATTACTTTATGTGATAAACTGTAATCAAATTTTTGAACAATCTAGGTCATTAACTAGAAAATAACTTGCACGATGTTCATGCGCAATTATTGCCCTAAGAAGAAAGATAATCTGCTATGCATTAAAGACAATTGACCTCCAAGTTGGAAGGTAAATGAAACAACGATTTAACTTGAGAGATTATTCTGACTTAGTTCTCTTTGCATGGAACCGCTTCATGTGACTGATCAAACCAGGTGACAAAAGAGAATACAAAAAAGGCCGTCAGGATGTGTGACCACCTACGGGACAGGCGACCACCATTACCAAAAGTTATGAGGGGTTAATTGATTAAAACAAGATTCACACAATCTGAAGTAATGGGATTTCCTTTTAGGTGCTGATCTGCTTATGGCAGCTTAAAAAACATGATTGTGTAACAAACACATCTGTAAAGTGTCTCTTTGAAATGGCCACTTAGAGAAATTGTTACCAAATATAGCAAGTATTCACAGGAGTTCTAGGTGGTCTTTTTTTTCTTTTAAGTAATTCTTTGAAGAGCATTCCACTTATAGGAATGTCCATGAGAATAGCTGACACTGCAGTTGGAAAGGGAAGGTGACTTGTAAAATCAACAAATGATCACTGATTGTGGCCAAGTTGAAAATAATGAATATCTTAACTGGATAAGATGACCCATCTGAGCCCACATCAATCCAATACCTAATTACTTAAGAATTAAAAGTATGGGCCACAAATAGATCACCTAAAAAAAAATCACTGTAGGAAGTAACAAAAGTCAAAGAAAATCGCAGCACTTAAAGCTAAATCAGTTGACTCTGGATCTTTCCCACATTTAGTCCTGTGCTGAAATGATATCAAATGAAAAAATGAACTATGCCAAAAATGAAGAAAGCAATCTTGCTAAAAGCTGTCATAATTATGAACTTTTCACTGAAGTGAAGGTGGCTTGTGGTATATATCAACCTAGCCACAAAGTGGTGAGGTAAAGATCCACTGCAACCCACCAACACTGAGGTAAATTGTTCACACAAAAAAGGTGAGATAATATAGCACAAAAAGATAATTTTAACCCATTTATTCCTACAACAATAATAACATTTCCAAGGAAATCCCAAGTGTGTTGCTCAGAGATGAATAGAAAAAGATATTTGGAATTTGGGTAGCCAATCAGGGTGTGCCTTCAACAATAACCACTTTTTTAGTACATACTTAAGTACTGCATGCACTACTTTCTTCATCACAAAAATGATGGCTAAAGCATTTCTGCCTCTTCTGGTAACATAAAGCAAAGTGCACCAAATGGGTGGGAGTTCCTGTGGTTTTTCTGCAAAACTTCATGGGAATTATACCTATTGATAATACAATCAGTCAAGTTTTCAATTAAAGCACTAATTTGGCAACCAAATTGAGATACATTCAATTCTGGTAAAGGGCATAATATAAAATTAATGCAGATAAGCACTCTGTCATACTTTTAATCATATGACTGCTTTCAACATCATGTGCAGAAATTCTAGCGATCTGAACTTATCAAATTTCATCTTTTAATTTTTTGGTATTAAATTTTTATGACCTTAAGTTATGCACTAATGATTAAAAAATATTTATAAAGTACATTGTCCATATAAATATCCTTTAATGCCCTTTATAACACTTTGCGGGGGACTTTGGCCTAACCACATTAAGCAGTAGTAACCAATCTTTCAAAGGAAACTTTGCAGGTGCTCCCAATTTTGGAATTTTTGGAACCAAAGCCAGACCACAACAGTGGGAAGTACATTTCCAACTCTGTGCGAGAGGCGCATGGGTTCTTTAACATTCCCTACTAACTTTTAAAGAAAAGATGTGAAAGACAGGACCTACATGTATGGTTTACTGTCCTTATCCCAGAAGACTAGAACATCAAAACTTTTAAAGATGTCATACCAAAGGCTGCAAATTTTTCTCAATTAGGTATTTTAAGATCCTGAGTGTTGGCAGGTCTACGGCTCGAACCCTTGAGCTTTTATACAGCAATCCCACGCTCTACAACCTAAGCTAACCAAGCTTGAATAAATAGCAATGCCCCCAAGTCATATGTGACACCTGTCCTGCATGATATAAGATCAGCGTCATGCATGTGAACAGAATAAGAAAAATGGATGTTCTGTACTTTTTTTGAATCAGCTCCAATTTACTACATGTTTAATTTTTCTTACACCCATTGAGCGTCTTCACCTCCTAAATTGGCTATAACATTCTCAACAATCTTGCAAAACAAGATGCTTGGTAACAAAGACAAAAACAGCTAAAAATGTTTCAGTATCAGTAGAAGATTGAATCATGATCAATGATGTTGCAATACCACTAAAAAAACTCAGACTGTCAAAAATTGTATATTTCTTGATGCCAATTCAATGTTTCCATGGTAATAAAACAAACAAAAGGTTTCAATGGTTTAATCTTGGCGGCTATCGTGACAATTGCTCGCGCTCACTTCACCAAACTATAATTAAAAAGAAATGTTCTGCTTGTTGATCCTGTGTTTGCAGTCAAACTTCAGGAGGTGTCAGATTCAAATGTTATCTCTAAGTACTGATTCCCTTAAGCAGCTTAGAGAAAATGCATGGTGAAACAGGATGAAAATTTTCAGTTTGGTTTGCTAAGTAAGTAGATTTGAGGGGAAGTTAACAACAATGCACTCGAAAATGAAATGCAAATTCAATTGGCTGTATAACTTTTCCTTTTCAGAGGGATTTAGCTATAGTGGGAAATTCTCTTAGTGTTCAAAACTGCACCACTTAAGTTTTTTCGCTGAGTAGGCATATCGTTTACCCTCTTCACACTGATTTTAATCTAAAGACTGAGGTAACTCAGTTGTGCTTAGAATTTTAAATACAAAGATATTCTTCGAATTTCAAAGAGTTTACTCACTAATAAATCCGTAGATTACTAGTGGTAAGTTCTACACTAGAGATTCATCGATAAGATAAAACCAGGTTGTCAATAAGTGAAGAAAATGTGGTGAAACGTTGATGACAGTTCTAGTTCTTGAACGTTATGAAAACATAAAAAGTGCTTCAAAAACAAAATGGAGTGCACAATGCCTCGAGAGAGGAAAGTGGGTGTGCATTATGTAAAACAAACTCCTGCCACACACTCCCTAGAAGATGAAAATTTTCGAACTCGAAAACGTAACGTCACACTTGTTCACTTTTCATAATCACTTACGGGTCCACAAACGTAACTTGACAAGTTTCGAACATCGTTCACTTTTGTTCATGAATTTCTGGCTACAAAAAGATCTATTCATGCCCACAGGGCGACTTCGCCAAACCTCGTGTCGAAAATTAAATTCTAGAGTATGAAAAACCAAGGGCTGAGAAAATAAGTTGCCCAACTATAATAGCATTAACCCAACATAGAAAAACAGCAGCTGTGCAGCTGTACACAGTGATCCAATCGAGTAAATGTTTCGTACATGATTCTCAATGATATGGTGAAGAAAAAATAGACTCAGTCAGCGCAAAGCGACAAAAGCGTTTCCCTAGCGAGATTTCGAATTCAAACTACCAATGCTCAGCAGTCTCTGATAATCTTTTCGCAAATAACGTCATAACAAAGCAAGCTCATACTGCTCTGTCGGATTAAGGACTATGCAAATGAGGAACAGTTCTCTTGCTTCAATAATACTCGCTTACAATTCCGCACAATTCACTTCAGTGTGTTAACGTTCTAGTTCATTAAGTTCAGCAGTGAATGCGGCATATCTTCGACAAAACAGAAAGAGTAATTCGGCCAACGGGACATCCATCGTGTACCGCTTGGAATCATTAAGAAATTACACAGCAGAAAAACGCACTCCATCGCAGATTCACTTAACCGATTAAAACGAATCTATTTGCCTCAAACAGCATTTTCCTAACTAACGAAACGACTGATATACCAGTCACCAGAGCAAAATAGCAGGCAACTTACCTCAGTGGCGAATCGGCATCTATTTAAAGACAATCATTTGTGGGACACCCAAGTTTAAAGTAGTATAAACAGGCGATTTGTGCATCGCTTCATGTATTATGGAGATTGAGAACGTCGCGCCAGCAGCGAGCTAGAAGCAATTAATCACATCGCCGGACACTGAAAAATAAAATTCACATCGACTTACTTCCACACGTCATGAGCCCACAAACCCACAGAGGTGCCAGGCTAGCCCGCAAACGTTCTAAGTATCGACAAGAAAACTTAATCCGTAAAACCGCGATTTAGCATGCAAAGAACAACCATAGCAGTCACTTTAATTCCCACCGATACTTATATCGTGGGTGACAGACCTCACGAACTTTATCAGCCCGTGGAAATAGTAAAAAATTCTACTTCACTCGATAAATTTCAACAAATTAAAAGCAAAACGATCGTACCTTTTGTTCTCGCACAATTTGGACGGTTGTAAAACACTACGAATAGAACACTGCCGGCCTGTTTGAGCGTGTGTTTTCGTGATACTCGCACGAAGTTTGTGACGTTGCCAGGGTGAATGACTAAACGGAAGAAGGGTGACGGGGTATAACCCTGTGTCATCACCAGTGGGGTGGGAAGTTGGCCGAAAAAAAACAGAGCAAAAAAAAACTCCCCCGCTCTCCAGATGATCGACATCGCCATTTTATTTGAATTCAAACTTTTATGAAGAGAGCTACTACGCTTAGATTGGGAGTAAAAGCGGGCATAGGAACAGAAATTAAAGGAAAAAAATTCACAAAAAATAAGGGTCAAGGGAATGGAGAAGCATACAAATTGAATGTCTACCTTCATCATTTTCGTATTTTTCTATTTAATTTAAGGAAGAAAAACAGATGTTGTTCTTTTAAAAAAAACTGTAATCTTAAAATAAATTATAACTAATGGCTTATTTTTCATACCTTTTCACAACACTCAAGAGGTGCTTTTGTCTTTTTCGCCATTCTTATGTAATCAATGTTCAAAAACGACTGCAATTTTTTTACTGGGTAACTGACAACTAAAACAAGGACACGGCATACAAGTTAAGTCTCTTTGTTGTTAACGCAGGTAAGTAACGGCCTCTAGGCATGTTACGATACAGCAATTCGGTAAAACCGAACTATATGTCAAAGTTTGAATATGAATTATCAAACGGATATAATCTCATCTTTTTGAGGACACATACTTCCTGTACTGCATTATAATATTCATTGTATACAGAAAATAAACATTGTAATATAGAAACAGAAAACAGAATATCTTAAGGACAGTTCCTATTTCTAAGTGTGTCGAAATCTTGAGTATACGGTATTAACAAGCCCGATCTTGACAAAGGAACGGCCTATTATTTTAATTATTATTGTTATCTTTATTATTATTTCATGAAGTTGAGGTAAAAGAAAAAAAAACATTATAAAATATCCAGCCATGTTGACCAAACAGGTCTAACGAATGGTCATAATTTGTCACCCGGGGGGAGGGGAAGTGGAGGATATTGGGGGATCAAAGGGTTTTCTGTGGGAACAGGAGGGGGATCAGCCGTTGCCAATAAAGTAAACAGGGGGGGAATATGGACAATTCACCGCCAAAATGACGCTGGAATCATAAGAATATCACAGAGCCTGAACAAGGATCCGGTAAAATTTCTCGTGACACAACCAAAATCCCCCATCCCACCCTCCCTCTGGGGGTGGGATTGGACTAGTCCCCTGGCCAATAAAATTTAAACCTGGGAAATCAGTATCAAAAGGGGAATTTTGAAGGAAAACATCATTCCAACAACTGATGCTATCAATCAGTCATCAATGTCCGGGGTGAAGTAGCTAACAAAACAGACCAACATAATAACCACAAATATCGGAAAGAACAAAACCACAATCATTAGATAACAAAAAATCAGCAGGATCGCTTCAAAAGGACTTTTTCCCTGCGGGCAAAACCAGCTGGAACATTTCCTCACATATTCGCTCTCTTCCATCGTGAGACTGAGGTCGTGTTCGTTGTCATCAGGTGCCAAAGTAACGATACTCGTTGCATCTGTTTCGTTGGTGACTACCTCAGTCACCTGATATGTCTGCTGAGGACTCATCCTCCCGTTGACGAGGATTGAATCGTTATCTACAGGAACACCAACACCAGTAGGAATCCCAAGTGTCAAATGGCCACCTCGTTCCAGGCTGTTTGATATTGAAGCGTTGCACACGGAAACTTTCAAATTCACAATGGTGTTGGAAGTAAGAGGAGATTTCAAATTCACCTCTTGAAAACCAACTTCATCTTCTTCGTGCTCGTGAAGAGGTTGTGTGGAGTGACTGAAATTCCTGCGCGATGAAGAATTGACGAGTGATATCAGTGTGGCTGTCTTCATAATAAATCATGTGCTATTGATCAAGCATGAAGTCAACTGAGATGGCTATATATTGGCAAAAAAAAAAAAAAAGATGGGCCCATCTTTCCCGCTCGGCTAGCCAACCAAAACTAGCACAGGATTCTCTTCATATATGCCCACGGGCACTGCCACCGATATGAAAAATAACGAGAATTGATGAATATTACCTACATATCTACGAGTAACCTGGCGAACGTATCATTTGAAATTTTTGATTGAGTGTGAAATGACTTTAAAAAGATCATGCTGAAAAGATTGATCGTCACAAAAACCTCACCCATCATTTCATACCTAGGCAAAGATTCTTCACCGACTTCTGCTGGACCCGCCGTCGATTTCCCAGGAAAGATCCTGTTTTAAACATAAAAGGCATAAATCACATGCAGTTTCCTAATTTTTCTCATACCCAATTCACACCAAAGTTTAAACATCACAATTTGGTCGCCCGCGACTTTACCGCGCTTCAAGCAGCTTGTTTTTACATCGAGATCACGTTGGCTCTTTGAGAAATTCTCTAACGCTCTGATTGGTTGAGATAATAAATTTACTTTTTACAACACTTAGTTGGAACGTGTAAAGTAGGAGGGGGGGGAAATCGGGAAAAAAAAAGACAAAAAAAACAGCACAACAAACAAACAAGTAAAATAACCAGATGATACTCTTGTGACTGGTTTTTGTCAAAGTTCTTTTTTTTTTTTTTTTTCATTCACTTCTACTTTTCCTGTTAGGACTTTCACTTGATTTCATTCTGCGAAGTTCATATTTTGCTCTTTTCACAGACAGGCGAGTCCTATTTGGGTATATCAAACAGGTCATTGCAATAATTTGCGTGTTGTTTTTCAAACTTCGGAACTGAAAGGCTCGTCGGCATCGAATGAGTATGTCGAACCTCTTCATTCTAATTTTAAAACAATGGTTATGTTTTTGTTCAAGGTTATATAACCTTAACGTGAATTATTATATTCATTCTTGATCAGTTTAAAGTCAGTTCATCACTTTGACTACGAAAGCCGTTACCATTTAATTCTGTTAAAACTAAATTTTTCAAACTGGTTAAATTTATGATGGCAAATGCTGTCAAAACCCACCAACGAAATTAAACGTTCGACTGTAATCCAAAACTTTATTTCGCTTGTTCAGAACTGTCTTGAAGTGGTGTCACACTGAAAATGGCCTTAAATATTAGGCAATCCGCTTCATTATGAAGCAACTCTCGCTATTGGCCTAAGGATGGCGTTCGGTAATTTCATAGTAAACAGTTACTCAAGATTACTATCAAGTTACCCGTACATGCTGAGCTTGATGCTTTCTTGAGCTTTGCCAGCAAGTCTTGGTTGTGTAACTTCATCGGCTGGCTGAACTGTTCCACGAAAGAGAATCTTTAGTGGAGGTGATGACATGATATTGGAGTAAAAAACTCGCAAGTAAACATCCACTTCCTCAGAGATTAAGTGATCATTCCCTTTTATTTGCGCCGAACATCAATTAGCATTTCGACTTCTTGTCGACATTTGGTACACAGTAGGTCCGACAAAGGTTGTCATGACAAATGATTGAAGTAAATATCTAGATGTCCTCAAATCTGCCAGACAATTGGTCGATAGGCATTATGGTGTAGGATTCCATAGCAAAAGCACTGGCCAATCACAAACAGTGGCATTTCCATAAAAGAAACGCAATCTCTATCGTTGGGTGTGGCACATTCATAACAAAAATTACACATAGCTTACTTCTCTGCGATCTATTACCCTGCTCCTGGTCAGCTCGTCAGTTGAGGACATTTTAATTCATGAAAAAAATGCTCTTCTGTATAAATTGAAGAAACACTTGGTACTGGGTATATTTATTTCAATGGCCATTATAATACGATAAACTTGAAAATCCGACATTTAAATATTTGAGAAAAAGAATACAAGTAATCATTCCCATGCGTTCTTTTTAAACGTCATTTTGTAGAAATTAGGCAGCTTTGCTTTTATTTGCGTCTTGTGATCGCTTTCCATTCCAGTCGTTTTCAGTTACTTCGGGCAAAGGATCTCAAACCGCCTTAGCTCTTCCCCATTTCCGTAGTGTGAAGCGACCGAACATGTGCTTCTCTATCTATGTATATATATAGAAGCACATATTATCTCATTTGGACATACACACACAGTCCTGTTTAACTGCAACATTTTTTCCGGGCAAAACTGTGCGTTGAATCGAGACCATTACAAATGGTACAGGTGGACACAACATTTTGTTCGTGAATTACATAACATTTCCTGTGAAGTTTTCACTGCTCTACCTTAATCTGATTCAAAACCACAATTTTTAAAACAATAATGATTTCCTCTGCTTCTGTTGCGAGACATACTTTGTGCTTAGTTCGATACAGGTTAGCTGCAGTTGGTACAGCGGATTTGCTTGATCCGAATCAGTAACCCAAGATGTTTTTATTGTTTGAACCTCCAACTGAAATGAGAAGGTAGTGCAGTATAGCTGCAAAGTTAATTTTTGCTAATGATGCACTTAATCCATAAACTCAATTACTCACAGGATCATTAGGCATAGACAGATTTTAGCGTTCTTTTATAAACAAAATAACTATTATTCCTTTTTCCAAGGTTAAATAGAAAGGGAGCCATGATATATGAAAATGAAGAAGAATTTACGACCACGTTAACTGTCAAAATAGGTTTGGTTGTCGCCGTATTCCTTCTCACCACCAGCCGTGTTTTACAAGCCATCGAGTTATATAAGGAAGGTTTGATTATGCTAAACAACAGGGCAATAATAGGGGACAGTGGTATCGACACCACAGTAGAGACAGCATTGAATATCATCACCGCACACGCCTACCAAGACAAGCAGCACAGTGGTACGAAAACATGGGAAAGCTGTTTCATACCCTAAACGAATGTGACGAGTACAAAAAACACCTGGAGAAAGCACTTGCAATAAGGAAAGAAACTGGTGACAAAAGAGGAGAAGCATTAGGTGACGGAAAATTAGGTTTCCTCCTCCTTTCTTTAGGTAAGTATCACTAAACTGAGAAACATCTCCAGTGGGAATCTGCTCTACTCATGGACTCTGGAGACAGAAAAGTAGAATCGAAGCAACGCTCAAAGGAAACTTAGGTGCGGTATTACAATCGCTTGGTAAATATGACAAGGCTCCAGAATACTACGTGAAAGAACTTGCTCTAAAAATTGAAATTGGTGGCAGAAAAGGAGAAAGAACGGTTAACAGAAACTTAGGAACATTTTTTCAGTTGCTCAACAATTATGACGAGGCTCAAGCATATCACGATAAAGCACTGGTGACAGTAAAGAACAACTTATTATGGAAACTTGGGCACTTGGTTCAAATCGCTTATTTATTTTATTTATTTGTTAACTTCGCCATACAACAACAATCAAAAGAAAAAGAGAATGACAAAAAACGACAATAAAAGGCAGGGACACCGCAACAACGTAGCCAATTACAGCGGGCCCAGAAATGGTAAATACGACAGGGCTCTAGAATATTACGAGAAAGCGCTTGCAAAACAAATGGAAATTGGAGACAAAAAAGGAGAAGCAGCAGTTTATAGAAATTTAGCGACACTGTTCAAAAAGCTTGATGATAAATTTGATAAGACACAAGAATATCACGAGAAAGCACTGGCGATTAGAGTGGAAATTAAAGGCAGAAGAGCAGAAGCAGCGGATTATGGAATTTAAACATAGGAACAGTATTTAAGGATTACTTGGTAAATTTGGAATGGCTCAAGAATATCTCGGGAAAGCACCCACGATTAGAATGGAAATTGGTCACAAAAGAAGGAGAAGTGACGGATAATGGAAACTTAAAAACAGTGTTTCAATTGCTTGGTAAAATTGACAAGGCTCCGTAATATGTCGAAAGAGCACTTCCGATTATAATGGAGTTCGGAGAAAGAAGAGGAGACGCCACGGATTATGCAAACTTAAGATTAGTTTTCCAATCGCTTGCTAAATACGAGAGGGCCCAAGAATATCACGAGAAAGCACTTGCGATGCGAATGGAAATTGTAGAAAGAAAAGAGAAACAGCAGTTCATAGAAAATTTAGTGTTACTGTTCAAAAAGCTAAATGATAAATGCCATATGGTGGCAAAATCTCAAGGAAAGCTTTAGGTGCCATTCTGTTTAATGATCAAATTCTAGTAAGTCTATGCAGGATGGAAAGATTTTCCACGGAGCAAAAGAAAAATGCTGTCTTCTGTATTGTTGTTTAATGCATGTATCTTCTCACTTATTAAATCATTTCACAGTTTATAACTGCTGTAAAAAGCAAGTAAATGTGTATTAATATGACTACTGAAAAGACACACCTAACTCTAGAAATACTGCACTTTTGGCCACAAATTCTTTAAATAAAGTGTAAAGATGAGTGGCTAGAAAAATTTTAATACAGTAATAGGACTTGACATTTCCTGTTTGGCATGGAGGTTTAGTTATAATACAACTCTAAGTTCATTCCATCATGGATTTCATCTAAGGTGGTGCATTAAGGAAATGCAAAAGAATGTCTCACAGTTTTTTTCAAACACAATTAACATTATTAAATTCTCTGAGTTGTTAATGATAATTATTCATACAGATGCAATACACAATTCAGTAAATAAAAAACATGAAACTAAATGTTTGAACTTTTGTTTGAACCCTTCTTGTTCAGTCTGTTTCTTGATTGGGAAAATAAAACTCTTAACCACAAGTTACTCAAGAGAGTACCTGTTGCAGCTGGTTGACGCACAGCCATTATCTGGGTTCCCATACGGGACATCTAAGTTTTTTGTGCATGCCCCAAGTTAAAACCTCTCAATATTGTTCAGTTTTTCTTGATTTTTGGTCTTGATGTTGCATTAAACACTGTGACATTTGATGTGAGTTTTCTTGAAGCCTTCATGAAGGATTTTGGATAAAAGGTTTTAGGTTTTTACATGGTTAGTCACTGTTCGCAGCAACAGTACCTTCACCCTCTATAAATTTGCTGGGAAATTTTGCTCTTGATGTAAAATTGGGAAGAATAAGAGGGGAATAGGTGTTGATTACTACCTTTGACTGACTAGGGGGTGACTTTGCAAAATGATTTTACTATTGGATTTCTAGCCCAAAGCCAACCTCAGTTGGTGGGACATAAAGCATAAATATAACAACTGTTGCTAGTTTAGATTTAAATCTGTGAAACAAAGAATTTGTATCAAAAGATACAGTCTTCAAGTGTAATGTGATCCTTAAAGATGGTATACCTGCAAGGTAATTTAGTAGAAAGTTTTCACAATATTTTACAAAAAGTTATCATATTTGTATCTTAAGCTAATCAACACAGGTTCTTGATAATAATCAAATTATAGGGAATTTTTCCAAATTCTGACTATTCAAGAAGTGGAACCATTTTACCTGCAGATTCCATGATGCCATGTGTCTGTTCAGTAATAGATCACAGATGACGTCAAAATGTCCTGAGAACAAAAAACTTGCATATAAGGTGTAACTGAGTGTGTAACTGATGTACTCACCACATTTTATGCCTTCAAAAATCTATTACTGAACAGATCCATGGCGACGTAGAATGTACTTGTTTAAATAATAAGGAGGCAAAAAATTGTTAGTGGTAAGGTCATCTTCAGTTGATGTATCTGACCTTCAAAAGATGATTAGCAAGAACCAATCAAAATATATGCATGATGCAGCTGTATAAAGAAACAGTATAAAGAGAAATAATGAGCATACTTACCACTTCTTTAGCACTATTCTGTCCCATTTGGTTCCCGTCTGTGCAGAGATTAGTTTCTTTAAATCTCCAACAGTATCATCTGGACTACACACAGACTCAAGAAAAATCCTAGCCATATGTTTGGCAATGTCATCATGTATGTAAATTAAATCATGCATGAAATTATGCTCAGTTAGACTGCATAACAAGAATGAACTTAAAACCCCATAGGACAGAGTAACTGACAGAGAAATGTTATTCTACTGCATCAAGTCCAACATAAGTCCAGACATTTTATTGGACAAAAGGATAATGCTCAAAGCATTTTTATCCAGTATCCAGGAGCCCAGCTTTCAGACTCTTGTTCTCATTAACCAGTTCTGTCATTCCTTTTTTGTAGGTTGACATTTTTGCTAGAAGTTGGTTATAATAAGAGTTCGCAGTGGCAATAGACTTCTTCACATCATCAATCAATTTGCATAGAGGCTATAAAGACTTCTCCAACAAATTCTTGAATTCTTCTGCTGTTAGATCTCTCATAATGGTTCATAGATGAATTGGGACAACTTATAATGTGAGAAAAGAAGAAAATAGAGGAAAACGCAGCTTTGATAAGCTAAATTCACTGTAAATTTATCGAAACTCAAAAATTACAGCCATCTCTCTCGTTGACCTCTGACCTTTCCAATCCAATGACTTTTTCAAATTTATTAAAAAATGTAAACTGAATAAGAATGACCAGCATCTAGTTTCTCCTCACAGTAATACTGCCGAGTCATTCAATGAGATCATGAGAACAAAGGAAATTATCACCAACCTTGGGGCTTACTGTAATTTGCAAAACAAAACAAAATGAAAATATCAATCAAATGAAATTTTCAAAATCTATTTTGCAAACCATTAGCATATTTCCATTTAGCAAATTCCAGATTTCTATTAAGCAAAATTAGCATATTTCCATTATACAAATTCCAGAATTTCATTTTGTTTTGTTTTGTTTCATTTCATTTTGCAAATTACAGTAAGCCAACCTAAGAAGCTTTAAAGTGAATTAGCTTAATTGTAAAACCAATTCTCCTTGTCAGCACCAACGGAAATATATCAAGAAAAGTATTGAGAATATGCATACTGATATTAGGAGTCAGAGTAAAAGGATTCCATTATCCTATTTATGTCTTCAAAAGGATACTTGCACTTGACCCGTACTTTTTTTCCAAGACGATCATTACATGTGACTTCAATCATTTCTGTTGGTAGAAAACAGTCCTTTAAATGCAATAGGATAGTACATATCAGGCATGTTAGCTGACTAAAGTAACCAAGCAAAACTGACAGCGGTTCTTTTCAGGGCTATCATCAAATGAACGATCAGACTACATAATGTAGTTTGCAATTATTTCTGGGTTCAAAATAGTTAATGTATTTGAACAAACAAACGGGCATTCTAAAGTTTCCAATTCAGGGCTCTGACTTTTGCTTTGCTTAAGTGGTGGGTATATACCCACCAAATAAAACTTATTGTAGAACAATTAGCGAAATAATAGGTTTACGCGGGATAATTACCATAATATTCACAAATATCTACATACAATAACGAAAGATGGAGTTGAAACTTGCACACACTACTAGGCAGACGTTGTTCCAATTTGGTCATGATTCGACATGGTACCAATTCATACTTACTCAAATGACTCTTGGGAAATATATCATTCACTCTCAATGTTTGGCTAGCTATGTTCCAGTATCTCACAGAGACCAAAAAATTATCGTCTTGCTGATAAATTTATCGCAAAACAAATCTGCAAAGAGAATCGAAGAACTTTGTAAATTTTGCGCCTGCGATCTTGGAGAAAACTTTATTATTCATTGTTGTCGTGTAAGAATGATTGTAGCGTCTCCGAAATACAATTTATCGTAAACCCATCGCGTCTCTTGAAAATTTACGTAAAAAATTTAGTAAAATTGAATTGGACCTTTTACTCAATGGATTTTGTTTATTTTTAAGCCGTAATATAGATGAAATTGACGAAATTCAGTGAAGGTGAAATTACGTAAATGTTAAATGAGATAGTCACGCATCCACTTCAGCTCAGCCGCTGAATTGAAGTAATAAGGCACAGTTAAATGTTGAATATTTGCGTCCAAAATGGCCTCTCAGGGAGCCTTACACAGTGGTTACAATCACGCTACCACAAGGAGTTGGCAAAGCACAAACACGGAAATAACATCAAAGAACTTGCTCTACCCTTTGTTCATCACGTGAGTAATACGAAAATACAAATATACGAAAACCGTTCGACGTACTGTATGTTGCGTGCGGATAGGAGGAACCGTGGTTTGAGAAAGAGGCCTTTTACGGAGCCCAGTTAGTGCCATCTGGTATTTCTCATCAACTTTTTTTCCACGACCTCAACTTTTTTTCACGACTTCAACTTTTTTTCTCGACCTCAACTTTTTTTCACGACTTCAACTTTTTTTCACGACCTCAACTTTTTTTCACGACTTCAACATTCCGACGTAACTACGTGAGGTAACCCGACTAGGTGAGGTAACCTGCCTAGGTGGGGTAACCCGCCTGTCCATATAGTTTCTTATTTTATCTTGATCATGTTTATATGATAGGCAGGGTGGCCTGCCTAGGTGGGTTGTCCAGTCTGCCAGATAGGGTAACCCTGTCAGCCGGGGTGACAATTTGCCATGTAAATGTCTCAAGGTGGGGTAACCCGCCTAGCCGGAGTCACATTCATGGCAAAAAGCTCGAAAGCGAAACATTTAAAACTTTGTACATATCCTAGCTGTCTCATGGCAGAAATCACCAGAAACCACAATGGACACACAAGGAGTGTAAAATGTTCACATTTTGGAATATTTAGCATCCTAAATTGACCATACCATAAAAGTTCAGATAGTAATGACTCCCTGTAAGTAGCGTCCCCCCTGAAATTAATGCCAATTTTTGGTGGCTGCTAGTAAATCCCACCATAAGTAGTAGCAACCTCCCAAAAGTAGTGACTAGTGACCTCCCCCCCTGAAAATAGCAAGACCGTGAAAACTGGATAAACAAATTTTGTCTCATTTGTTTATTGGTGTTGATATTGATTTATTTTAGTTCCATATTGTGGTATTTATCATTGTTACCTTCTTTTTATGAAACACAATCTATACATATGGAATGCAAATAAAATGTTGTTCTTTTTTAATTTTATGTTGTTCATTTTTATTTCAGAAAAAAAAGTTCACACCAGCTCTATTTGTAAACCATTTTTGTTCCCCAAAAGTAACGACCCCCTGAAAGTAATGACCCCCCGAAAGTAGCAACCCCTAAAGGCTGTTAATTCTGAAATTAACAAGGGTTGCTACTATCGGAACTCTACGGTATTTCGTTTCTCGAACTATTCAGTATAACATATTAAGTCAATGGTTCCTTGCATAACCTAATGCCATGTAACACAATGCATGACGCTTTTATGAATAAATACAAATGTGTCTGAGAATTAATCTTTTGTCTCCTTCTCGAGCTTGGGACACCTCTGCTCAAACTCCTTAATTGCAAGCACAACAACAACCTCAAGAAACCTCACCCCAGCACCCCAGGGTTGTAAGATTGCATGTAAATGCGTTTTATGTTTTGACCATGTCTAGACAGGTTACCTCACCTACCTGGGGTCCCCCACCAGTCTAAGGGCCTGTTTACATGGAGGTGTCCCTGTATTGCCAATGTACTGAGAAGAAGTAAATTCAGACATGGCCAACTCACTCGTCCACATCTACATGATTGGCTCATTTTCTAGTTAAACCTATTCCTACTGACTAGAATAATCTCTTTGGCTTCATTTCTTTTTTAACCATCACAAAACTGCTTTACTATGGCCTTGTGTGTTAAAACAAAAAAATTTTGATTGTTTACGTTCCACCTATTGTCCACAAAATTTGGACAAGGTGACATTCAATCTTAAGGTAAACATTTATGGGCACTGTTGAATAACAGACCAGAGAAAGTCATTCGGGGAAATTAAAGTCGTGCCAGAATGTTCATGTCATGCTGGAAAGTTAAAGTCGTGCCAGAATATTGAAGTCATGAGAAAAAGTTGAAGTCATGTGGGAAAGTTGAAGTCTTGAAAAAAGTTAAAGTCATGAAAAAAAGTTGAAGTCATGAAAAAAAGTTTAAGTCACAAAAAAAAAAATTGAAGTCATAAAAAAAAAAGTTGAAGTAGTGAAAAAAAGGTTGAAGTTGTGAAAAAAGTGGAAGTCATGGAAAAAAAATTGATGAGAAATACGAGGTGGCACTAACTGGGCTCCATAGCCTTGGGTTGAAATAATGGGAGAAATATGAATTGATTGCAATAAATTATTTCTCTGTTTGTGGATGTTTTTAATTGGAGGTTGAGCAAATCTTCTGATCTTAGGGATTTAAAAAAACTTGCTATCTTTGTAGAGATGAAGCAGATGCATTGGAGGAAGTTTCAAGTCTACCTGGACAGTTCAGGTACATGACTTTATCATCAAAGAAATATCAACCTGCAGATTATGAAGCTATGACATTTCCTGAAAAATTTTTTGCCAGTATAATTTAAAGAGAAATAATCCCAAATCAGTCATAAGCTAATGTTTCAATGCTAGGTCTATCATGCCTAGAACATTATCTTTGAAACACTAGGATTAATGGTTACTTGTACTTGTACAATGGACAAAGCTGTAGAGAGGGACTAGGGGCAGAAGTCTGGGAGAATAGGAGGCAGGAAGGGTGATGGGGGTTGAGAGAAGAGGGTCTCAATGGGGTTAATTGTTAGCCATAAAATGGCCAAAAAAAAATAGCTTTTGGGCAGGAAAAAGTTCAATTGTAAAATTTTTCCTTTCTACAGTATGTCATTTTCTGTCATTTTGGGTTGACTGTAGCTGCAAAAAAGGCCAAAATTGTAATGGTTAGCCATAAAAGCCATCACCCCTTTGAGACCCTGAGAGAAGGCTTGAAATGAAAATTTCATGAGGGTTGCACACTTGAGGAAATGAAAATATACACTCATCATTTCATCAAAATCTGCACATTTACCCGGTTAAGATTGGAAGGCAGGCAGGTAAGGAGGGAGAGGTCTTATAGCAGAATGGGAAAAATATTTGAGGGGAAATGTCAAGAATGTGTTCAGCTCTTAATGAGTTAATGATTCTTCAACTTTATTCAAAGGATGGGGATTAACAATATGGAAAAGATAGTTTCACCCTTAGTGAAGAAAGGACTCAAGTCTGTTTTGTTGTTTGGAGTTCTCTCAAGGCTAAAGAAGGTACAATCACTGATTGTTCGCTATGTATTTTAAATCAGACAACAAAATTTTGTGACATGGAAGGAGATAAAATCTTTGCAGCAGGTCTTAAGGATCATTATAGCAACCCTTAATTTTGCTAATAGTCTCACTGGATGAAATGTTTTACATGGTTTAGGTTTGGAACAAGTGATATACCCTTTCCAATTCAATTATTTTCCAGGTGGAGTTAAGCAATGCAGTAGTATAAGATAACTTAATACCAACTCATAATTCCAAGTTAATTGGGAAGGAAATCAACTTATAGGAATACATTTTATTAAACTTATTTTTTCTTAGTTTGTAAATATGTTGTCTGCTTCCTTCTGGGCACCTTATTTCATATTTTAACCCTTTACACCTATTATCAGTATGTATATTCTCCATACTGTTCCCTATACATTTCTTAAGGTGCTGACAAGGAGAATTTGTTTAACAATCAAGACCCTTTTAAGTTGGTGATCATTTACTTTATTCTCATGACCTTAATGTGTGATTTAGGCGTGATGTTGTCGGGAGAAATTAGATACTAGTCACTCTAAGGGGTAAAGGGTTAAAGCAATAATGGAGATTGCTGGCAGGTTATAATAACTTTAACCCTTTAACTCCCATGAGTGACCAAGACAAAATTTCTCCTTTCAACATCAATACAATATATCAAGCTGGCAAATAATGAGAATAGCAAAAAATATTATTATTAGCTGATCTAATACCAAATTCTCCAAAATAACACGATAAGAATTGTGTAGCACACATTATGGAGAATTACTAATGAGATCTTGGGAGTGAAAGGGTTCACAAATAAACCCCTATGTATTCATATCCAGTGTGTACATATATCCTTGTGTAGACAGATGATGCTTGTAATGCAGACAGTGAAGATAACCCTGCGATCTTAGCAATAAAGAAGATATCATCCTTGTTTCCTGACCTACTGATCTGCTGCGATGTTTGTATTTGTCCATATGCAACTCATGGCCACTGTGGTATGTGATATCCTCTGCAGTTTTCATTAAATTTTTTTGTTCTCATGAACTAAACCTTTTAAGACTTCAAATCAATAATACTAATAATAATAATAATAATAATAATAGGCTTTCTTTAGAGAGGGTGAAAACACTTAATAGTAGCCCTAAGATACTGATGACTCTGTGGCCCTCAAAACAATTACAAAATATAGATGCTACAACTAATAACTATAAAATATACCGTATTAAAAAGATAAAATATAATGAATAATTCACATATACAAAATTACAGTCTAAGGTGCATTGGGTACTAAGTTAATTTTTGGGCTGCTTAGGTACAGTAATGCCTTGATTTATTTTTTCATTTACTTTCTTTAACACCTTTAATTGGTTAATCACCAATTTTAAGTTTTGAATATTAAATCAATATACCACTTACAGTTTAAAAGTGTATGAGGTTGTAATTAAATTTACCAATTTGATTAAAAGCTAGATAGTAGGGTTTACGGTCAACTCGCCGACGGACCAACTCGCCGACACTAACTCGCCGACGTATAAAATCGAGTAGAGACGTCGGCGAGTTGGTCGTCAATCCAATACAACTTATTAGAAGCTAAACATACAGAAAATTAAACGATATTTAGTAAAAAAACATTGGACATTGGTGAACATCAAACAGAAGCTTAAACATCGGTGAACATTGGTGAACATCACCAATGACTATAACAGCTTAAGACGCGAACGAGTTATTGTGCGACAACAACACCGTAAAGACTCATCATGTCAATCGCTCAGATTTTTTAACGAAAACGTGGCTTTCTAGACGAGATCTTTAGTAAAAAACATTTCTTTTTATTTGCAACAAAGTTTATAAGGATCTTAAGGCGAATAAAGCGAAGTAAACATCACCAACGACTCCAACAGCTTAAGACGCGAACGAGTTATTGTGTGACAACAACACCGTAAAGACTCATCATGACAATCGGTCAGATTTTAAAGGAAACTTGGCTTTCTAGTCAAGATCTTTAGTAAAAAGCAATTCTTTTTATTTGCAACGAAGTTTATAAGGATCTCAAGGCGAATAAAGTAAAGTAAACATCACCAATGACTCCAACAGCTTCAAACACGAACGAGTTATTGTATGACAACAACACTGTAAAGACTCATCATGACAATCGGTCAGATTTTTTAACGAAAACTTGGCTTTCTAGACAAGATCTTTGGTAAAAAGTATTTCTTTTTATTTGCAACAAAGTTTATAAGGATCTTAAGGCGAATAAAGCGAAGTAAACCTCGCCAACGACTCTAACAGCTTCAGACGCGAACGAGTTATTGTGTGACAACAACACCGTAAAGACTCATCATGTCAATCGCTCAGTTTTTTTTAACGAAAACTTGGCTTTCTAGACAAGATCTTTAGTAAAAAGCATTTCTTTTTATTTGCAACAAAGTTTATAAGGATCTTAAGGCGAATAAAGCGAAGTAAACCTCACCAATGACTCTAACAGCTTCAGACGCGAACGAGTTATTGTGTGACAACCATAGCAACCACGCGGAACCACATTTTTTTTTTTAACTTTAAAGAAAGATTTATTCATGATCGAGAACGTTTGATTTACGATAAAAACGATAAAATTCCATTTATTATAAAGATCAGATGAACATGTGAAAGTAATGTATATCATGCAATAACTCTGCTCTTGTAGGTCCGTTTAATCTCGACATCGATTTCAATAATTGGGCCGCTGTTCTTTCACCATTTTCATATTTCTCCCATAATCCAAACACCTTACTCTGTAATTGCCTAATAAAAAGAAATGCTTTTTACTAAAGATCTTGTCTAGAAAGCCAAGTTGTCGTTAAAAAAACTGAGCGATTGACATGCTGAGTCTTAACGGTGTTGTTGTCACACAATAACTCGTTCGCGTCTGAAGCTGTTAGAGTCGTTGGTGAGGTTTACTTCGCTTTATTCGCCTTAAGATCCTTATAAACTTTGTTGCAAATAGAAATAATTGCATTTTACTAAAGATCTCGTCTAGAAAGCCACGTTTTCGTTAAAAAATCTGAGCGATTGACAAGATGAGTCTTTACGGTGTTGTTGTCGCACAATAACTCGTTCGTTATAGTCATTGGTGACGTTCACCAATGTTCACCGATGTTTAAGCTTCTGTTTGATGTTCACCAATGTTCGCCAGTGTTTTTTTACTAAATATCGTTTACTTCTCTGTATGTTTAACTTCTAATAAGTTGTATTGGATTGACGACCAACTCGCCGACGTCTCTACTCGATTTTATACGTCGGCGAGTTGGCGTCGGCGAGTTGGTCCGTCGGCGAGTTGACTGGTTACCAGATAGTAGCCAGTATCAGTGAAAGAGAACTTTGAAATTTAGTTACTTAGAAACACCTTTTGTACCAGGTACACCTGTTATAGATACACCTTTCCAAACAGATTAGACTAATTTGTTTCAGAAGAACTCAATGGGACTTCAGTGCATTAGTATATTAAGGAGGTGGCATGGGTGAGTGGTTAGGGCACTGGACTTGTAAATCTGATGGTCCCAGGTTCAAATCCTCCTCCCTGCTTTTCCTTGGATTTGTTTGCAGTTTCCTAAAGTTCAACTCATCAGCTGGGCTGTGTAATTAGCCAACTGGTCTGCCTCCTACCAGTTGGGATTTTAAAACACTTTATGTTTATTTGAAAAATTTGTTTGTTTGCACACATATAAGCATATGTAAATGGATATATATGCATATTAACTGACTACAGGTACCAAGATTAATTTTCCCTTTCCTCAATAACATAAGGCAGAGTCAAATTCTTAACTGAAAGTCTTACTTACAGGTATCCTAAATGAGGATGGTTCCATCAATAATGCAGCAAGTATCAAAAGGATTGCTGAAATATCTTTGTCCTATGCCAAGGCAGGTATGAAAATAGAAATGGTATATTTTCCTCGTTGAGGTGATTTAATTTGTTGAAGAAACTATTTTTTTATATAAAAGGGGGTAAGTTTCTAAAGAAATTGTGGTGCAGCATTAGAGGGAGTGTATAACAGGGTGATTTGTATCTGAGTTGATAATATCAACTGGGAACTCATTACCATGTTTCCACCAATAGCATAGCTCCATTTTCTGCATTCAAACATACAGACACAACCCACAATTCCTCCATTTGCTCTGACAAAGGGCTAACGTCAGAGCAAATGGAGAAATGTCAGCTTTGAAACTCTTAACGGGGACCAATTTATGTTACTACCTGATGGACTAACATCCCACATAGAAGAGGAATCTGAGTAGCCTTTTAAAATTGTTTCTTTGTCCATCAGTGATAAAAAAAGTGAAGTCAGCTAATAAGTCAAGAGACCATTCTGCCAAGCTTTTTCCACTTTCAGTAGATTTTAAGGCAACTTGGATTATTGTAGCTGCACCTCTACAGATGGGATGCACAAAAGCTTAACAGGGTTGCCTTCAGCATTTCCTCCGATTTCCCTCACCATTTGTTTGTATTCATGTGTAATCATGGGTGGAGAGAAACACATAGAGACCAACTATTTTTGCAGAAGAACTCAATAAAATGGTGCAGCTGGGGCTGAGATACCTTTCAATCCAGAGAACAGCACAATAACCTGTAAACCACCTTAGTTCCCTACTCTTTTGTGATAATCATAATTTCTGTCCAATAGCTTGTGGGTTATCTGTAAATTTAGCAGTGAAAAAAAAACTGTTGCTGAGCAAGCTATGTTCATTCAGAGGATCAGTCTTTTCTACTGCTAACATGATTGAACAACCTACATTTTTCCAACAACCATTCTTTGCATACCCCATTCTTAGATTAATGCGCATATCCAGTAGTTGTCAGTTGTTATTTACCCACAATTGTGTATAGCTCACCCATTAATTCTCTTGTAGGTTGTCATGTTGTAGCCCCTTCAGACATGATGGACAATAGAATAGCAGCTATTAAAGATATATTACACAAGAATGGTTATGGAGGAAAGGTATTGATATAATTGTAATACACAATGCCCATATAATTTGTGTTTAAGGTAGCTCAATGATACAGCATTAATAAATATTTCAAGATTTATTCTTGCCGCATGTGTTCTAATGTAATAATATCTTCATTAGGTTGCAGTTATGAGCTACAGTGCAAAGTTTGCCTCTAGTTTTTATGGTCCATTCAGGTAATCTGTAAGTTATAAAAGACACCTCTTGCTACTAATAATCAAACCATCCAGTGATTTCCATACCTTGCTGTATTCAAATTTATTTATATAATAAGCTCAGTTATGCACGCATTCTGATTGGTTCTCACTTATGATCTATTGGAGGACAGACGTATAGATGACGTCATCGTCAAAACTTTTTTTAATTCTTTATTATATAAAACAAGTAGATTCCAAGTTGCCATGCATCTGTTCAGTAATAGATCATGTGATCATAGATCATGTGATAAGGACATCAGTGACACACTCGGCTGCGCCTTGTGTGCCACTTTTTTGTTCTTACCATATTTTGATGTCCTCTGTCATCTATTACTGAACAGACGCACAGCAACTTGGAATCTATTTATTAAATATACTACAGCTGTCATATCACTTTCGTATTGCATATTGTTGTAGTTTGTTTGCATTTCTTTTATAGAGATGCAGCAAAAAGTGCACCAGCCTTTGGTGATAGAAGATGTTATCAGTTGCCATCAGGATCTAAAGGTCTTGCTGCCAGAGCTGTGGTAAGATTTGGTCTTTAGCATTCTTTGCTTGTTGTAGGTGGCTTTATTTTAAGCAATTTGGGTTTATCAACTGAGTCAGTAAGGTGATTTGGCCATTGCCATGAGATTCTCAAGCTGTTATGTTGAGCATTAGCCTTTTATCAGCCCCTTTGCTTGGACAAAATTGAAATTCGCTCGATAAGCCCCAAGAATTTGGTGCTTCAGCAGGTAAAAGCCTCTTGCTGATGAGTTTGTATAGTTTCATCACCTGTTTGTTGGTTAAATGGTAATAATAAAAGGGAGTTAAAAGGGAAAGCATTATTTTAAAGTTTGCTTCTTTTTCCAGGGGTGTGAGGCATTCTGGCCTCATTATTGACATCTGGGGATCTGACCTCAAAGCTCAGCAGGAGTCATTGTCTAGAGCTCTTGGGCAGGGAACTTCTCAAACCAAAGGGTGTGAATGGGTATTGGGGAACTGTTTGCTAGGAAAACTAACAACAATTTTTGTTGGGGGGGGGGGGGCAGGGGTATGGTAATTGGGAGAAGGTCTGACAGCCTGGACCACTTGGTCTGCAATAAAACCTTACCAGTAAATCCAAGATAAAAGTGTTTCTTGTAAATTTTTCCTTCTAACCAATTAACAGGAAAGGGATGTCAGGGAAGGAGCAGATTTTCTTATGGTCAAACCTGGGATGGCTTACCTTGATATTGTGAGGCAAACTAAGGATAAGGTACACAATGGATTGTTTACTTTTGGTAACTTTCACTCACAAGACTTAGCATTTTTGATAGAAAATGTACATATCATTCCATGCTCATTAGCTTAGAGAATTTTGTCAAGTATGTCCCCTCCATAATTGAGCCAGGTTTCTGAAAATGCTTGGACAACTTCTGAAATTATCATAAAAGAGCTGTCAATGAGAGACTAGCAACTAACAGGCCTGCTAGTATCTCAAAAGACTCAACTCTCTTCCATGCCATATAACATGGTTTACTTTGTTAAATTTCCCTGTTAATTGGAAAATGATGAATTTTCAGAGTTATTTACTCAGACCAGATATAAAAGTCAGGCAGAATGGATATTTTGGATAAGAAGAATGTTTTCAATGGACAACCATAAGACACGCACATAATAGTTAAATACAGGGATCATACCAATTACCTTCAGCAATGGGTTTATCAAACTGAACATATTTGTATAATTGTAGCAATTTACAAAGTCACAGTTTTTCACTATAAAATTAATTAACATGAAGTCATCACTATGATAATTTTAAATTGTCATTAACACTTTTTGAGACTTTTTATTTATTTCACTAGTTCCCTGATTTGCCACTGGCAATTTACCAGGTTTGTATCAAAACACTTCTTTGAATTTTACTCAAATTCTATTAAACCTTTTATTTAAGGACACATCAGTTAGAACCATGTTAGTTCACAAGTTAATTCTCACAGACCACCTGAATCTGAGTCGGAAGGAGGGGAACAGACATGAAGATCAACATCAAGAAAACCAAAAATATAATTTATATTACTGCTGTTGCAAGAAAGTCCCTTTTGTTGTCAAGTCTCACAAATCAGTTCATTCCTCTTTCCTAAGGTGTCAGGGGAATTTGCAATGTTGTATCATGGAAGTAAGGCAGGAGCATTTGACTTAAAGAAAATTGTTCTAGAATGCTTAACCTCTATGAGAAGGGCAGGTAATAATAATTTTGTATTATTAAGAAAAAATTCTTATTATATTATTATACTTTTGAATGCCAGTACTGATATTTTTTTCATTGTTTTATACACATGACTTGTGTGAGCCCTTCTCTTCCAAAGACATGGAAGCTGATTAGCCAAGAAATAAACAGATTTTGATTTTGATGGATCCTTAATTGTTGGTTAATGTTCTGTTCATTAACTTACTGTTGTTAACCTCAGTTAGCTGTAGTAACAGGCAGGTGTAGCTCATGGTTTAGATCTCACACAAGGATACTGTTTAGTAGTAATTACAAACTAATTCCCACGAATAAAGTTATTTCCAAGAAATCAAAATTATGATCAATTAATTGTTCTCTAGTAACCTTCTAAATGAAAGTTAACTTGTCTTATGTGGTTTTTCAGGTGCTGACATCATCATAACATATTTTGTTCCACAACTATTGGACTGGCTGAATGAAAACAACTGATCACCGTGTTCTCCTTTTCAGGCCATAATAATGTTTAACACTCTTTCTTAACTGTATTATTATCACATCCTTTTTTTTTTATTTTTTAGCATGTCACACACAGTACATGCTAGTTTAATACATTTAAGTCCCCTACACCTTCGTAACACAAAATGACCTCATGAAAGTTTATGACATTGGAAACAGTCAAACTACATCATTTAAATTAACGATGTCCTCAAGATAGTGGCACTTTAATCAACTTAATGATGTCTTAACATTAACAACGTCACAAGCAAATTTAAATCAAAATAAATGACATTGTAAACAAATTTAAAAACATCATTAATAGTAATGACTTAACATGTCAAGAACTAACATGGTTAGTAAAATCAACAACGTCATTAAAATTTATGACCTCTGACTTTACTTCATGGAAAAATGTTGATGCCACAAGACTTCAGAAGGTTATTAAGTTGGTACATAGTGCCTCTTATTACTGCCTAAAATCACTTGAAATTCTTTAAATTAAGGCGAAAGTTTTGCTCTACCAGTCTGAAAATTTCTTTTACATGTTGTTCTTAAAGTAAGGGAGAACACTGGATCAGGAGTTGAGTGACAGTATGCAGCACTACTTTAAGGCATCAATTAATTCAATTAAAATTGTTAGCTTTTGCAGTAATTTTATCGAGAAATGCAATGAACACAAAGCAACATTGCATCACTAGTATTTTAGGGTTCTAGTAAGTTATAATAATTATTTCAAACATGATACTCATTGAGTTACATATTAATTGCATTTTTGAGGAAATAAGGCTGTGTCATATTGTAAAATAAGAGAACTAGACATTTATTAGCAATTCTGGTTGATCCCTGTGACATCCAGGGCCAGGTTGTTCAAAGCTGAGTTAAGATAACCCAGGGTTAGTGTGAAATCTGATTTCTGATCTAAAAGCTTAAAACAAGATCAATTATAAGAAATTTTGTCTATAATTTGATTATTGGATACTCTAAAAAGAATCAATAAAATTATCCTGAAAAGGCTTGTAAGACCCACATTAAATTTCAGCCTTGGATTAGTGCTAATTAGTCTTCCAACAATTTGGCCCAGGAAAGTAAGTGTAAGTGTTGAACTAGGAGTAACCATTAAGGGGAGTGTACAATTCTAGATTCTGTTTGACTATTTATTTCATTGCATTAGAGGCTATTTTTCCAATAAATTCATAGAAGGTTGAGCCTCAAAAATTCCAATTTCTCTTGTTTCTGAAAATTTTCAGAAAATATTTATTAATAACAAACACATTGCTTCATGTTTCTGAACCTTCAAAATAAATATAAATAATAGCAAAATCATGTAAGTAATGCCAAAGATATGATACTCTTTCACCTTGCTTCATGTTGGAATTATCATGATATCACATATATATACTTAACATTTTTGTAGTAAAAATAATTTTGAAAATGTTTTTTTCAATGCATTTCAAGCCATTAGTTTGACTCGATAAATATATTCCCAGCTTTAGAAGCAAAACATTCAAATATTTTTTTAAACTGCAGTTAAAAACTTGCATTTTTTAAATATTCAGAAGTTCTTTTAATTCTGAATTTTCTGCAACATCAGCTGGGCGACAGCCATCACTGTCGATAATTGTAGAATCTCCTCCACATTGTAAGAGTTCTTTTACTATTGACAGAAAATCACAGGTGGCAGCTGCAATTTGGAACAAAGACAACACTTCAACACTTAAAAATGCTAAGACTAAAATTAGCTTTTCCATATAAAGATTATTTTGTCTTCTTCTAAGTCCTCATTTTGATCTGGATAGAGCTATTTAAGGTACACTTTGTTTTATTAACTGAGTTGACAATGTAATTTGGGCACTGAAGAGCTTCTAAAGCTGACCTTTCAAGTGATAGTCATACGTCAGAAACCTTACTCAATAAACACAGCTTTGTGATCTTTGTGTCCCTTTTTTTTCTTGCTTGCTGTTCAATTGATATTTTTTTCCCAAAAAAAAAAGTTAGAGTTATTTACCATAGTGTAGAGGTGTCTGACCATCAGCATCCTAAAAAAGTAATTATATCATATTTAGGATCCACCCATGCATGCTTGACTTGGTTAAAATAGTTTTATTCTTAAAAACCAGAGAATAGCATTAAGTGCCTACCTGTATATTAACCTCAGCCTTGTTTTTTATTAGATATGTTACAACCTCCTCATGGCCTCTGTCACAGGCCCAGTGGAGTAAAGTCATACCCTAGGAGAAAGCATATTATCCATATACCACAGTAAACGTAATCTCTTAAGAATGCCCGGTCTCTTACATTACATACACTGGGAAAAAACCATACGTTTCAACCATGTCACAAGCCAAATTCCACTGAAAAATGCTGATATTTGCCCTACTCATTGGCAGGTGTGATCTGCACAACCAGAATGCATATTTTTAACTCCTGTAAGTCGCTACCCATATTATATTTCTGAACAGAGAGAAAAAAAGTTGTGGTTTAGTTGTGTTCCTCACTAAAATACAATAATCTGATAGCACACATTCCTGTCTTCATTAATTTAAAGTCAAACTAGAATCCTCTAATAACTGAAACACTAATGATGCAGCTTTGCTTGGGCTAGTCATGCATGGTGATTCCCAGTAACACTGGCTGCAAAGGAGCCAACTGAGTTTGCAGCTCAGAAATTATATTTTGAAACAGTCAAAATTGCTTACCTGCTCATCCTTTGCGTTAATGTTCTCCCCTTTGTTCAGAAGAACATCCATCCTTTTAACGTTACCCTCCTTGCACCAATCAAACACTGACTTGTTAGCATCACTACCATTTCAAGAATAACATTTTCAATAAAAAATCTCATCTGGTCAGACTAAAATCAATGCAATGCATGAGCATGAATATCATGCTTGGGAATAAAAATAATTCAACCTTGTTGTAATCATAATTTAAAGTAAATGGTTCAAATACAGTTAACTCTTAACACCCTAATGTTTGCCTACCATCCTGACACTGATATTCTCACAACATTTTCTATGGCACTAATATGGAGAATTTGTTTGATAATCACGAGCTTGTGCTTGCACAATTGGTGATCATTTCCTTTATTCTCATGTCATTTATATGATACTGTAGGAGGAAATTAGAAGCTAGTCACTCTTAGGGAATAAAGGGTTGTTGGTGTGGTCTGATTGTCTGCATGATAGCAGACCAGAAGGAACTGCTGTTTCCTCAATGTGATCAGGAAGAGTTGTCAGTCAGTTGAGTGTTACAATGCTGACCCATGAAAACCAAAAGGTCAGTTTTGCCATGATATTATTGGCTGTTTGTGGTTAGTGTAGGCAAATATCCCAGAAAATATCTAAAATAAATAAATGTTCCATGTTATAAAACACATATCATACTTAAATACAGACCTAATGACATCATCCTCATTTCCTCTGAGTGTGCTAACAGCAAGACCCATTGTCTGTTTGTGAACTGGTTTTTCAGTTTCCTTTGGGGTCTACATGAAAAATTCCGAAAAAAGAATTTCAGTCTTATGACTGGTGGTCACAAGACTGAAATTCTTGAATTGGTGACAGACAGGTGATTAAACTTCATTGACCTAAGATTCATTTGTAGCCTACCAAGTCATCAGTGACAGCATATTTTGCTTCCCATTCAGGGTCTGTTTCAAAAAGTTCCTGTATATAACGTTCTAGTGCTTCTTGCTTTGACATGTCTCCAAGTTTTTTCCAAGAGTCCCTTTAATGATAGAAGACATAATCCATTATCAATGGTTACTTTGCCTTCAAATCTCCATAAAAACTTTGAGTCAATTTTTGGTTGGCAAAATATGTTAAGTTTCTGAGCAGGTTTGAAACAAAAAATATGCAAGGAATTTATCCTCACTGCATGTGATTACAATCAACTAGAAGGGAATGATGGCACCTTGGTCAATTCCTTCACTTGCAACTGTAAGTGATACTGGTACCTTTGGAATCTAAAATTGTTTTAGACCAAATCTGCAATTATAGGGTCATCCAGGTAATAAGCAAACCTGTCTTTTATGAAATCTTATTCTTAACATGATTATTTTGCTGTGTAAGAGAAATATCTGAAGATGGCCAGATTGCTCCTGGGTTTGAAAAGTGCCACTTCCCAACATGTTTTTTCTAGGGTTACACTTCACTAAGTCAAAGCAAACAGGGCATGTCTGGGAAACATTTACGAAAAAAAGGAGGAAATTAGGATTACCACTTGGCTTTTCCTATCATATCCCAAAACCCTGGTCTTGATGTATTGCATGGTCCTTCTTTAGCCTGAGACAAAAAAAGAAACCGGAAAAAAATTGGATTTGAATTTCCACAGTATGTAAAACCCAAACAAACTTAACCTCTTGTAATCATTGTCTCCATCAGTTAATTTTGCATTTATTGGAACTGATATCCTTCCTCTATTTTCCTCTTTTCTCTCCTCATATCTTGTTCAGTGTTGCTTGTGTAAGGCTCCATGTTTTGGTAAAATTTCCGCACAGCCCCATACTATTGTAAAACAAATCTGTTTTCCCAATGACAATGTATTGTTTTTGTCATTGTTTTCTCTATTCAAGAACTGAATGCATAATGTAGTATGGGGCTGTACGGAAATTTTACCCATGTTTTTTGGCTTTAATAGTTACCATTATAACTCCATCGTAACAGCAGAATATAAGGCCACTACAGGCTAGCTTCCAAGAACGAGTCATGTAAGATGAATCCACATGTTTCGATAAGGCTTACAGCTTGAAAGAAAATGTTCACGTCTCAAATTTGTCTCTAAACAGATAAATGATCTATTTAATTAGTGATTTAGTGCGGTGAGTATTTTAAAGGACTGTGCAGTTAACGGAAATTACGTATAGATATAATACACACCTGTTTGTAAAGAGCATAAAAAGTCAATTTTTTCTCATCGCTTAAATTCTTTATAGTTCGAACAAATTCTGTTGCAGCTTCAAAGAGTTTTTCCAAGTCCTCCGCATCAAGCACAACTTCATCAAAGTACTCCGCCATCTTGATTTTTTTCAAAACACGTACACTGCTGACGTATGGTGGGCTCGCGTGATATTTTGTCACGCCACTTCACGAGATCACGCGACAGATGGCGTAAAAGATCAGTGTCCTGGGAAAATGGCTCCGAGACCTTAAGTCTCACCTAGCTATAATTTCTTTCACATGAAACATGACAAAAGTGCAAAAAGATTTGCACCTGCTTGATGTAAACTTCATAACTCGATTCTTGGGGATCAAGGCATGTTGTGTATTTTAAAATGAGGTTTTGTTATTGACAAGGCTTGTCAAATGTGACAACATCAATGCCAAAGACAAATTATCATTCATGCAGCCTTTTAAGATGAATTATTTTTAATGCTATATGCCCATGTATATTCAAAGAAGCTTTTGTTCTGCCAAACACACCTCTGTAACATGTCTAATTTATGCAACTATCAGATCTATCAAAGACAAATTATCACTCATGCAGCCTTTTAAGATGCGTTATTTTTAATGCTTTATGCCCATTTATATTCAAAGAAGCTTTTGTTCTACCATACACACCTCTGTAAGATGTCTAATTTATGCAACTATTGGATCTATCAATCAAGATGGTTCAATTCTAAAGGAAATGTAACTAGTACATTCTACTTACAGAAGCAACTTGCATTTCTAATTACAGAGTGTTGAAAAACCCAACTTATAAATAATACAAAAGTAAATAAATACCAGAGATCTGAATTAAAAATTTTCATTTTACTTCTTTTTGTCTCTAGAAGAAAAAAATAATTAGTGCAGGCTTTAAAAGCCTAAAACTGGCATTTCTTGGTGAGCTCAGGTTTGCCCTCATGGGACGCCATGATGCACAGGTACACGCCCATGTTTGTTGTAGAAACACATAAACTGTAAGTCAAGAGCACAAGGAACATCAGTTTTAACACTTGTTTACCATACGTTACCTTTAAAGTAATACAGGATTACTAGAGTGTCAAATAACTACTGTTTATAAGGGGGGGGGGAGATTGTTCAGTGTACATTTTACATAAGTTGATGTTTTTAAGATTATAAGATAAATTTTTTCATCCGTAATTTGAAAGATAAGTTTGCTAAGAACTGAGAGTTTAGATTGTGTTAGTGAAATAGTGGACAAATACTGTTTAGAACTGTTCACTATCCCACCTATTAAAATTTTTTCTGAGGCCATTCTGACTAGTTTGTGATCAAAACTTAAAGTAGTCAAGATGGCAAAATTGATTACACTTTGTAGAAATATAATTGATCAATCTATCATAAATAACTAATAATCAATGAAATTCTCACCTTCCATCATCCCACACACAAAGATCAGTCAGGGGACCAGCTCCAGAAAAATCAAGAGTTGTGAGGCATTCTGTTAATTTTTAAAACAAACAATTCCTTTCAACACTAACCATTATTCCTTCAATATTTCACATACTCAAAAGAGCTTCGTGAGTTAGTGAAAGTCCTAAATTTATGGTAAAAGTAATTATTTTTTAAATTTATTTAGTTGGGTTTAAATGCCTTGCAGATCTGAGAGGAACCACATTAAGAAAAAAAAGTTAATGCCAAATTTGTAATGTTGATTCATATAATAAATAAGAAGGGTTACAAGCCACAATTTTAAAAGGGTCACTCTCTCCAATAAGCTACCCTTAACAATACATTGGCATCTTGTTTTACCTGTGCTGTCTCTCTCCCAAATTTTCACAGTGGAATCATGCGAGGCAGTAGCAATTCTAATAAACAACAAAAAATCAGCATTAAGTTTAATTCTATTTTAAATATGACATGAAGTCACTTAAATATCCAGGCACACAATTTGCTATTTTTTCCTTCTTCTGAAGAGAGACTGCATTGTGTGACAAGCATAAATAATTGCTACCAAAGAGTCTAACTACTTACAGATCTTTCGACCAAACATGTTCCAGACGAGGAAGAAAAACACATGCTGATGTAGTCTGCTGATGGCCAATGTATCTACATATCATTTTCTGTTCCCTCACATCCCAGAGCTGTTGATCAAAAAAACTTGTTAGCAAATTTCATTTTTAACATAATTTCACTGGGCTGGCTTCAAAGAGTTTTAATCAACAAAAGGTGTCTGCAAAAGGAGACTTGAAGTGTAGGTTGTAATTTACAGTCTAAAAAAGGAAAAAGCCCATTGCATTTGGTGAACATGTGATATTTGACAACAGGCATCACATTACAGAGCACAACCTGCAAAGGTGAGACTTCCTGTGCGACAGATGCATTATTAACAAAGGTTTGATGTCAAGACATTGAGATATGGCCTAGTTTTTTTTTGTGTGTGTTTTTTTTGCATTTCAACCCTTTACACTCTAACACCAGTATGCATATTCTCCACACCATTCTATGTACATTTCCTAAGGTGCTGACAAGGAGAATTTACCTAACAATCAAGAGCTTGTTTACGGTACTTTAGTAACCTTGATTGTTGATTCATAGGTGATATTTTATGGAGAAATTTGATGCTAGTCACTCTTAGGAGTTAGACTTAATGCTGTTGTTTTGTAGGAACAAAGCATGCAACATTGGCCTTTATCTGCCTGTTTGGCAAATAAGAACAAAGGTTAATTTCATCTTGCTTTCTGACTAAGCCAATCATATATCAAAAGCGACTTTCAACTTGTAATGCAGTTTGTAGCACCATATGAATATTTTCAGAACATCAAACATGGGAAGAAGGAGAAAAGAGAAATTAGTAAAAAAAAGTATGTTAAAAAACATAACTCACTGTAGCTTCACAGCCTTTTCCATTGAAACCATTACTACATGTCAAAATAAACTGCCCATTTCTTGAACAATCACAGCAGGTCTTCAAAACAAAAATGATTTACTGGTAATTAATTACTACAATCTGACACTTATAGCCTTGGAGGAATCTCTGAAGGTATTAACATGACAGAGGAGGCACAAAGACGTATTTTACTTGACATTAATAATCCAAATTTTACTTAACGGATAAAGATTTTTTTCATTTGACAAATTTTTTAGTTTTATACCACAAGTCAAAATCAAAAGCAGGTGCTATTGAGTGAAAAACAACATGTCAAAATTATATTTTCCAAAGTAGTGAATACCTGAAAATACTGCTGAGCAGGAAATGTGAATGAAGGTTGCATGTTTCTTGTATCCCAAATTCTGATGCAAAAAATACATAATATATTGATATAGAAAAGATTGTTGTGCCAACATATTACAATTAAAGTAAACAACTCTTGCAGGGACACTAGATACCAATAAATTGAAACATGTCTAATGTTGCCGGGTTATTCCCCAAGGAAGGCTTTCTTACAACTAAGAAAATTCAGTAAGCTGAATTTAGTTAGTAGCACACAAAGTATGTGCAGAAATTGAAAAAAGATGCAAATAAAAGAGAGACAAGGGACAGGAAGAGTGATGAAAGTAGACACATATAAAATGGCTGCAACATCTTCTCTTTGGATACCTACTTAACAGCTGCTTGCTTTCTCATAGTTTATTTGTTCTGTTTGTCTCAAAAAGGATGGTAGGATATTCACATGACATGTTGCTCCCACCAACCAGTGTATGATATCACCATCAGATAAGATAAAAAAGACCATCTGCCATTCTTTACCTCACCATTTTGTCTTCTCCAGTTTGAGCAACTCGAGTCTGTGTTCCAGGTATCCATTTCACACAACTTACCTACAAACAAATGAGTAGGGAGTATTAATTTATACATTCATTAGCAGTTAATTATCAATTATACAGCAAGTGTACTTCTATGTTGTACTGCACCTCTTTTTTCAGAACTAAATATAGCAACATCAAAAAATGACCATCACAAAATGACCATCAGACTGACTAAAGGCAGTCTTAATCAAGACTGTCAATAAATTCAGCATTAAAACTTACCAGATTTCTGGATACTTCTTTTTCACTGATACTTGTGTTCTTTGTAGTGTCCCACAGTCTTACACAGTTGTCTCGTGATCCAGAAAATAACAAAGTTCCATCTACAACAGTACAAAAAAAGAAGAGGCATTACCTGTACCTCATTGTCACCAGCACTTTATTATAATAAGGTAACTACAAATTAGATTTACAGCCCTTTTGAGGAAAGAACAAGTTGTTCTGGGTCAAGTTAATCAGTTGATGTACAAGGACCAATGACTGACAGCAGCAGTTGGCAAAACCTTGTAAACTAACTGTCCAAGTTCACTCGCTGCCCACTATTCTTTTAGTAATACAGCTTAGCAACAAGAGAGTGAAAATACTTCCATAGGTTTGTATTTGTGAGAAACATTTGGTTCAACTTCCACCTTTACTGGAATTACTGCTAGATAAAATGTCAAACTCACTTCAGCTATCAATCAATTTATTTTGTGTCACTTATTTTACTCTGAAAAATGACAACCCCTCTTGGAAGGTGAAAGAAAATTAAGAGCACTAGATGACCAAATTGTTTAACTCATAATATTTTTCAACAAATAAACAAAAATTGTGTTCTTCTGTATTACCTTCATTAAGATCAATAGCTGTCACCACCAGTCTGTGACCCTCAAAGGTTGAAATGGGTTCATTTCCTGCTTTACTGGCCTGCCAAACCTTAATTGTCTTGTCTCTTGAGGAACTGAAAATAGTTTCTCCTACATGTTTTACCTGTTGAGAAACCCAGAGGCCAAAACTCAAGGCTTTAAGTCTAAATGTCAGGATCAAATTCTCTTTTCCAAAGTTTTTCTATATGTTAATACCATAGCAGTTTGCAGAAACACAGCAGTCAAAAGTCTATCCATGTGCAAACTCTGTAATGACTAGGTGGCGTGTTTTTCAGCTGTCTAAACCAAGTTGTCTCACAAATATTACAACTAACCATGCCAGCCAGTAGGTCACAGAATTTTGGAAGAGTATAACTTTGGGAAAAGGTCAAAACAGGATGGTAAATAAACAGGATGTTTGTTATGTTTTCCTTAGATATTTTGTAGGGGGAAATTGGCACAGTTGTCCAAAACGGATCTCCTTGGGCATTAACCCTACGCTTGACAGCTATGTTGTCTGCAGAGTATGGGGGAAGTTGATGAGATCTTGTATGTGGAAAGGTGATTCTGTTGTGTGAAATGTATGTATGATAAGAAAGGAAAAAACCTGTACATGCTTCTTCCACCATACTTTGCCAAAAGGATACCAGAAAATGAGTTTGAAACAGGAGAGTCAATATCATGCATGACAATGAAAAAACAGCATAAATACTTACTTTAGTGACGTCTCTTGAGTGACCAGTCCATTGACGAAGAGTAACACCTTGTTTCCAGTTAAATAAAACAACTGACTGTTCAATGAATAATGGACACACAGAGTTTTAGTTCAATTGTAAAGATTATTGCTTAGGAGGCTGTATAGATGCCTGTACCCTGCCCTCTGATGAGAATCCTGGAAGTTTTTGAGGTTCACTTCCCTTTAAAAACGTTTTGTCCATAAGTAAGAAGGCTGTAAATTGGTAGTACATGTTAGGAAGGTTTCAGATTACAGGTAGTTAATAAGAGTGAAAGACGCGTTTGCCATAGCAATGGGACAGAGTACACGTGGTGTTTGTCCAACGAGTTATTGCATGTTAGGTAGTCTGCAGTGATTGTTGAGCTTGACCTAATTAATTAATGTTTTGAACTCCGGAAAATGTCACAAATGTACTCACGTTGTCTTTACCCCCGGTCAGAGAGGTTCCTGGAGCGTATGCATCGATACAAGTGACAGCATCCCCGTGAATTGAGCCATGCTCCACTACTGACTGAACTGTCTTGCTTTCCACTCCACTCGATGACACACCGTCATATCCTTGGAAACGACGAGGCTTTGACTTCCTCAGCCCCATGCACAGCGTGTTAAAACACTCGAAGCATCCAGGCTGCATGTGAAATGCAATTAATTTATCTTTTTATGTTCTAAACTTTTAGGACTTATGCAGCTTTCCTTGCGGAATGACATGCAATAATATCGTATTGTTTACATTACAAACCACACCTGGAAGACCAGGTGAAAATTTCATACAGTGGCTTAAAAATGGCGGTTTTGCTTTCTAACTGAATATGCACGCTTTTCTTTCAGCGGCTCTAAAAAAATAGTATGTGGTATAAACATCATGTAGTGTATCTGTAGCTAGGTAAGCAATTGCAAAGCGCAATGATTTTTCGACCAACTTCCAAAATAAGATGATCCGTCCTTGGCAATGTATAGCGCTTCACTAACTCAGGCCTAAGCGAGAAGTCAAAAAAAATTAAAAAAGAGACTACTTGAGATAGAATAATAAATTGTCTTTTAATTGGTTTCAATGAAATTAAAATACTATTTTGGCGTCCTCCAAGCGTTATTTACATAGTTATATTTTTCTATGTGATAAAAATATCTCATCAGTTCTTTTTTTTTTAGTTTATTTACTTATAATACGTTACACAGTTATTGAAGGCCAAGTATATATAAATTCGTGATTTGTGAGACACAAAAAATTGAAAAAAAAATTGAAATTCAAAAACGATAAATAAACTATAGGCGAACACATAAAATGATTTCTGCGATTGTCCAGAAAGCTTTAGACAAGAAGTTTGCTGTACTTTGTTCTCATATATAATTCATATATTTAATTGATTTACAACTGATGTCCAAATCACAACACTCCTAGATTCTCCTGGAAACGAGTCTGAGATGGCGTTGAGGTTTTTTCTTTTTTCCTCAATAAGATGTGCAGTTCATTAGAGGACTAATTTGACCCATAAATTAGAATATTTATCCCGACATATCGCAGATCCCACAGTGAACTGCCGGTCGATCTTTATGCTTTCGTACGTCGCTTTAAAATGATTTCCCTTTCTTCTTGATAGTTTGCATTTAAGATGTTTATCCTTTGAGTGATTTCTGCAAATCCTTTCTTTAAACTGTTTGTGTCTTCTTGAATTAGTTCAACCTGCACTCGAACATTCGCCAGTCTTGCAAGAGTTGTTGCAAGTGAACTTTCAGCATTAATAACTTGAGAGTTTGTTTGAGCTCCCTCCATGCTGGGCTTAGTCAGGGTGAGATTAACTTCTTCGCTTTTCGTCCGGTTCGGCAGTTAGGTAAGTCTTAACATGGCAGAATCACAGATAAGTCTTTTCGCCGGATTATTTCAGTTCTCCGCTGGCGACGAGTCAAGTATCTCCCACACGGAAATTCAATCAGGAAAACGAACGTTCAGACAGAACGTAGCGGACCAAACAACATCCCTTGCTTTCAAAATGACAAATTATTGTCAGAATGAAAACCATTTGACTGCGTCGTGTGCATATAAAATAGCGTCATATAGCGCCGGGACGATAAACAATTTATTGAATGAAAGCTGCTCAAAGACCTCAAAGCTTCAAATTAGGACTCGCACCTGCCGGAAACTGCTTTGCATTTAATCAATTTGCATAGTTATTACTGAGGAAGTTTCTACACATTCTAATGAGATGGTACAATTGATATCCTGTCTTATATTTCATTCTTCGCGTCATTTTTTCATTTGATTGGCTTTATCATGGTGGATTACGAATGCTTAACACTGAAAGTACAGTTAATTTTGTAAGAGAACTTAATTAAATGAAATCCACTGAATTTAAGACACACAGATTCAAAATCATCACCTTAAAAGAGTGGCAAATGAAAGAATAAGCTTCCCTTTTGAACAAAATGAAAACTTCATATCCTGATCTGATAAAAGTTTCCGGATCAGAAGAACTAATAAAGCGATGTCTTGTTGATTTTTGCGCCTAAGTTCATTATTAAAGATTCGATTCACTTAACTTTAAAGTAATTTTCCTAGGCACATACCGGCAATCAGCATCTTGAGTCGAGTACTAATTACAAAGAGACGAAACATTCTAGCAAAAATCAATACCCAAACAGACAAAAACACATACTATACGCACAAAACAAACATTTTTTATCGTATCTAAGGTCAAGATAATCTTACACTTCTTTTGACTACCTCGTTAGTTCTGAGGCTACTTCTACATCAAACTTAAGTGTTGAATGTTGTGTACTCGCTATGTGGACCTTCTTCAGTTTGTACTGTGGTGAAAAGACAAAACACAAATATTTTAACCACATCCGGACACATAAAAAAAAAAATTCTTTCACGCTGATTTGCCAAAACCAATTTTTCTTGCGTAACATAATCCTTGCTAAAGTTTCTTGACTGACACAAGAGATAAAAATTCTTGTTCCATGGATTGAAGCTGTTTCACGTTACAACTTATTCTGACGTATGGCTTAAAGAGTATACTTATTCTATGTAGATAGTTGTGAACCAATCATTAAACAGCATTTAAACTGCGGTGTAATAACTTAGCCATAACTTAAGTTATAAATACAAACCCAGTAAGATATGTTAGCTTTACTTTGGTAATTTATTTCGCATGACTGAATGTACGCTTCATATCGTATACACTTATTTTAGATCACTAAATGTACTGAGACCGTCGTCGACTTCTTCTGCTTTGATAAGCAGGAACGACTTTCCCGTTTAATGATTAATTCTTCACTCGACGGGAGCTACAGGTATTTAACAATCGTTCCAATACAAGCTTCCAGATGTGAATATTTTATCTAAACTACAACAACTAGAACGAAGCAGCCTTAAAGGTAAGTAGAAGAAAAAAGAGACAGCCTTTTTGCCTCTTTTTCGTATCAAGAAATTTTTCTTGCAATTTCAAAAAACAAAAGCTGTAAAGAACTTGAATTTTACCCACAATTTAAATACCAGACTGTAATTAGAAAAGCTAGTAGATAAAAAAACTAGTTTAAACCCAGAAAACCAACAAGTAAGATTTGAAATAGTTTACCAGGAAGAGATAAGATGTCCGTAGAATTTTATTAGCAATTAGTTATAAGCACAGTCTCACAGACGTGATTGTTTTATATCATCCACTACCTTCATGATTCGTTTTGTTCTTGTAAGTTAAGTCTACTACCTTTTAAACAATCTACAACATGATCGCCAGATCTAGTTTAATTTTTGAAAATATAATTCAAATAGCAGGTGACAAAGCCGCCAGAGTAATAATAGTAAGTGACTGTATAACTCTTTAGACAAGAAACACGAGCTAGCGACTCTTGTTTACTCAAAATAATAATTGCCTTTCTGAGGACATTCAACAACAAAAAAAAATTAAAACGAGAAATTTAAACGCGACTAAATTATTTCGCTGTTGATTTCAACTCAAATGCAAAGATTCTATGTATTCGCTTTTGTTTTTCTTTCAGGAATGCAACCTTGAAAATTATCTTTTATTTGGGATTTGTTTAAGAAAGAGACGTTATAAGCAAATGGGACTACGGAATATCATTTTCACCGTGTTATGGATGACGCTCGACACGCAGGGTTCTTCAGGTAAGGTTGAATATTTCTCAAAATATAATATTTCCTCTGAAGATTCAGTTTTCACGCCGTTTCCACCAGACATAGATGAAACATCCAAAAAGTACGTTTTCCTTTTCATTTTTATTTTTAAGCTGTTCTTATTCAGAAGACATAATAAATATATTATGATTTCTTTCACCCAAACAGCTCTCGCTCTTCGTTTTGATTTGCATGATTACATCATCACATTGGGCGAGTGTTTAACTAACTCAATTCAGCAATACAAGCTCAGTCTATTTTCAATAACAAAGAAAGCCGCTAAGCGCTAAGAGGTAACAATTTACAATTCTGTTGACCAATGCTGGTCAGCTGGGAAAAATTTGCGCGAAAAAAATCCACAAAATTCTCACCCGAAAACCAGTGTCGATGATAATTTGGAGTTTGTTTACAAGTCTTTGGGTTTATGACTCTCCTTTTAGAACTACCATTGTAAAGGGAAATATGGTAAATGATAGCTTGTTTGTGGAATTTCATACCTGCCAAATAACGTGATTTAAGAGCTCATCAATGCCCTGCATTTTTCATGTTCCTTCTTAATAGACTGCCAATTCACGTGATCGCAACTCTATATTAACAAATGTTCAGCCAAAACAGCAAAAATAAGAGAACGAAGTTGGTGCTGATGTTCTCAAACCCATAATAGTCAAAGAAAAGCGAAGCTTTTGCTGATGAAAGCTATTCTAACGCGAGAGATCAGGATTTGTTGTGATTATCAATTTGGCTGGACTCCGCACAAAAGCTTAAGCTCGCGTCCTTCTATAACCGGAAGCCATAGAGTAGCAGAGGTAACAGGAGGGGAGGGGTGGAAAGAGTACCGTTATGCCTGGGAGTAAAATGAATAGTAAAGATTAACTTTATAGAGACCGGAAGTCATTTAACATACAAAACATGCGCAGCACCTTTTCCAGAATGTAAAAGAGATCTGCAATAAAGAGTGATGTTTTCTACAAAGATAAATTATCGTTTTCTTCTCCTTTACAGGTTCTCTACAATGCAGCTCTGAAGAACCCCGGTTGAACTCAAATTTCAAGGAAAAAATGGCCGGGGTCGGGCGATTCAAATTTTTAGCCGAAGTCAATGACATTGATAACTGCACTAAACTTGCTTGTAAATACAAGGAACGCGGAGACTTTGCCTACCTGTTAGATGGCCAATGCTTCAATGTGAAATGTTTCAGTAAGAAATCATGCGAAATTGCAAGTCAGCCTCCTATCGTCCCAACAGCGTTGGCGAAGCTGGTGTGGTCAGGTAGGACTGGTAACTAACAAATACAACGATTGCTCAAACTGACCGCTACATCCTTTGCTTGAAGTTTCCTATCTCGGGTCAAAACGGTGTTCAAATGTTCTACTAAAACCCTTTTAGCCATTTTCCTCACATCCCTGAAAGATATTCATAAGCAAATGTTTTTTATTCTTTTTCTTCTAAGCCACCTTTAAAAGAAGCAAATAGCTTTTGAAATAACCCTTTTCCAGCCATAATTCCACACAGTAACAAGGCTTAGATCAACTCCAGATCAAGGACACTTGTTTGCCACACCTTCTCCCCCTGGGAGAAAGTTCGCCACACCCCCTGGGGGAAACTTTTGCCGCCCTGGGGAGGTGCTGATGCATCTATTTAATTGATACATAGGTGAGAACAACATTTAGCTTTTTAAACCCCCTCTAGACACTTAAAATGATAAGCAAATTTTCATGAAGTTGCTAATTTTTAGATAGTAATGAGAGAAATAAGGACTTTTATTTTATATTTTTTCTTGATAATAACCAGACTACGATCAGTCCCTCCTTTTCGGCGAAGCCCGTAGCGTGAGTCTAAAAAAAAATCAGCGAATAAGATTGATGTCACCCATCACGTGGAACTCTGAGGTGAAGGTTATTAGTGCGTGTCACTCCCAGAGTTCTGCGTGGCGCGCTAACATCAATTTATTTCTTCGCTGATTTTTTCAGAATCACGCTACTGACTTCGTCGAAAAAGGAGGAACCTCTTTTAATTCATAACCACTAATGCGAGATTAAGTTCCACAAATTTGCTTGAATAAATCCCAATCTAAGGCGAAGCTTAATCATTTCCCTTACAGAAGCGCCTGTAAAAATTCCTTCATCTCACGGGATCGTTTCGACAACTTCAGTTTCCACGACGCCCACAAAGAAACCAGGCACAAATTCTACCAAAGGACCTCAAAGAAGTATGACATTACGAGTGCATGATTGAATATGCCTAAAGCAACCAGGATAGAATAGAGTTCTTACTCAGTAACAGGGTTTTAAGTAGCTGAACATTACAATATGAAAGGTGATTTTTCATCTCGAGTAATTTCAAAATGGTCACTTAGTGTAAGATCTTGCGCTATTGTCCGACCGAAAAAGCGTTACGGCAACATAAATAGGTTGGAACCAGTCTTCATACGGTCAAGGAAGCTCGAGAGGGCTTTTGTGGTGGGACTGATGACGAGATACGCTTCTATTATGAAAAAATAAATGCTATCAAAATTAACGTGACATTAGTCTCTGAAACATTTCAGCAAAAAAAAAAACAAAAACTAAAGCAAATATTTCTCTGCAATTTTGAAAAACCATTTGGACCTAAAACCTTCAAAATGTGTTTTGTCATGCACATTCGCATGTCAACAGTCTATGCCGCGCCGTAAAAAGTAAAACTGCGTCACATAGAAAGCGTTTTGTAAACTTTGAATAGAAGTTGAGGTAGGAAAAAAAGGCATCGGGAGCAGTTCATTTGAAATCCAAGACAAAAGAAGCTCTTAACTTTGCCACGTTCTTTTTTTCTCTCTTTTTTCATTTCACATACAATTGTATGTCGTGTTTCAGCTGCACCGGGACAGCGTGGTCCAGATAAAAAAATCGCGAAGATCGCAGAGCACAGGCTTCTCCAGGATATAATTTACACCGACAGTTACAATAGAGAGGTCCGACCAGCGCTTCGTGATAGCGATGTCGTCACTGTCCTTTTCGAAGTGAAACTTGTCCAGATCGTGGACGTGGTAAGTGACGTCATGGAATTATATATGTGTAAAGTGTATATTCCAGTAGAGGTTACAACAGCTGCTTTCGACGGGCATTTAAAGGTACACAAAGTTGTTGTATTATTGAAAATAATCGCTTCTCCTTGGTTGATAAGGGAACTCATTGCCATGCCCATGTAGTAGAGGAACCTCTCCTTTGAATGACTACAAGTATGACACTTAAAGTTTCGGTCTGAGTGAAAAACGCATTAAAATTTGAATTTTTGTTTGCGTCTGTCATTTGATTCCCAGACTACCGCATTTTCGGTTCCAGGCTCGCGTATTAAAAAACGAACACCACGTAAACAAAACTTATCATAACGCATGCAACATTGCTATTTCAAATAAGAAACCGACCTTACTTTAAAAATACTTAACATAGAAAACATGCTCTTTTAGTATGGGTACGAAACTATTCAACTGACTGGGTATGAATCGACCTGACTGCGTACGAACGACTGGTAACCTATTTGTACATCCATTTAATTTTGTCTTTTGTCCCTGATAGGATGAGAAGGCGGAGACTTTGAAGGTGAACGTCTGGACTACACAAGTAAGAAGAGTGTGGTTTTATTTGATGTTAGGGCGCTTCTTGACTGACTGCTTTTCAGCTAATATTTTTCTCTTTCATGTTTCTTAGAAATGGAAGGATCCCTTTCTTAAATGGAACCCTGATGATTACGATGGAATTAGCACAATCAACGTTGAACCAAATTTAGTGTGGCTGCCCGTCATAATACTTTACAACAAGTAAGGCTGTACTTCCCTTGGAACCGGTCAATAGTTATTGCCTGGGGGGGAGGGGGAGGGGGGTTTTGGAAGATTTTGGATGTGTCTCGATTAAAATTCACCTGATTCCCACCCCCCAGGGCCCTGTCATATTCTTATCACCCCCTCAGCCAATTTTCGGTAGCCCTTCTTAATACTCCGTTTGTGACAGCTCATCCTCCTCAGTTTCCCCTGAAAGCCATGTGATCTCCACCCCAAAATCCTCCAGAAGATTTTTTTCTGCAAATTAAATTCAAGGCAGATCCGACCACTCAGAAGGTTGACTTAGGTACCGTTGAGCTGCAAGGACTGGAAGGCTGTTAAAGTTCTTTTCCATGAATTAGCGTAACGCACGGTGAGGAATTTTTTCTTGGTACATTTTCAGCGCTGCCAAAGGTTTCACTGGTGGACTAGAAAAATACAAGACAAAAGTACTAATTGGCAGCAATGGTACAGTCACGTGGTTTTCCGCGACACAGTTCATTTCGTCCTGTAAACAGAATATCCGCTTCTTTCCATTCGACGAGCAGTTCTGTTATTTAAAATTTGGGTGAGTATGAGTGCGAGTTTTCTAAATATTTCTCTATCTGGTCTTTGACAGCTAAATCGCAGTTTATCAAAATCCTCCCTTACACTTGTATTTTCTTATATAGATCTTGGACCTACAATGTGAAGTATCTTGACATGACAACGGACCAGACAACTGCTGATATGTCGGCTTGGATAAAAAATGGCGAATGGGAAGTAATAGATGTTCCAGTAGAGAAGAATAAGCTCTATTATGCATGCTGCCCTCATCCGTACGCTGACATCACCTACACCATCCACATGAAGAGGAAGGTACTTTACTACATATTCAACCTGATCATCCCCACAACAATCATCGTCTTCTTTATTCTAGTCGGCTTCTGTCTTCCCCCTGACACCGGGGAGAGGATCACTCTAAACATCACTGTCCTGCTAACAATGACAGTTTTTTTGAACATTGCGTCCAACACGCTTCCCTCCACCTCGGACAGCATCCCACTACTGGGGGACTATTACCTGATTCTTATGATAATGGTTTGCTTTGCAATTCTCTCAACTTGTGTCGTCCTTAGGTATTACTATGCAACTCCAACGCGCATGCCCGAGCGTTTGCGCGTGATAATAAATGAATGGATTGCGTCGCTTCTCTTTTTCGTCATCACAAAGAAACCTAAGAACAAAGGTGTCAGTCAGTGGTGTGGAAAACGAACCGAAGAGGCGTGTTACGACTGCAATGAGTCTCACAACTTTATGGCTGCGCAGAGTTTTATTGTCCAAAACGAAAGCAACACGGCCGAGGAACGAATAGCTCTTATCGAGATAAGGCCAAAGAATCACCTCCCGCGAGCCAATGGGGTGCAAAATGAACACCGAAAGACGCCGTCGAGTGCATCACATAAAAAATCCAAGAGTGAGCCAGCCATCAATCTGAGCGGTGGGGCGTCAACAGCTTCAGAAAAGCGGTTGAGAAGGCGAAAGATGTCCGTACTTCCCAAACGCGGTAATGCCTTAAATACCCTACAAAACAGAGTTATGGAGGGACTTGGAGTCCTGACTCGCCGTGTTAAAGAAGACAACGAGACAGAAGAGATCGTTTTGGAATGGCAATTCGCAGCCATTGTCCTCGATCGTTTGTTTTTTATCCTGTACTCACTGACTTTTATCATTCCTTTGTTTGTTTTCTTCTATGCGTCACCAACTCCACCGGTCAGCAAAGTGGAACCACAGTAAGCACTAAAGTAAATAGCTAATTGAGTAACTAGCCTTCTGAAAGGAAGATCAGATATGACATGAATTGATTGGGTTCATATCAATTTGATTGTTGAGTATTAGCATGATTGACTTTACAACTAAATGCCTGCACTCCAGGCTCTGACTCATTCCCAGACGTCTTCATTAAAGGCGCGCCAAGAGATAAGAGGAGAATGATGGGAAGGGGAATTACCATCTCTCGTAATTTTCCTAACCATTACACCTCGCGCTCCCAAGCCGTGTTGGGCCCCGCGTTATTTAGTTGATCAGGACGAGTCATCTCCAAGCTTAAGTACGTGACAAAGAATGAAGGCTTAGGGTGGAGAACCTGCATGAAAGAAAACCATGAAAATAAACCAAGAAGAATCATTTCTTTGAAGCTCCATCCACAGAACCGACATGGCACGACAATAAAAGCTGTATGCTAAGTAGAGGCTATGAGTTAAAAATTAGACAGAGAAGATTAAAATAACATCAGCTGGTGTCTTTTATTATTTCAAATATGGTACAAAACTGTAAGACATTAAAAATTACTATAAAAATAATTCACATAAAAAATAAGAAGTAAACAGTACATTAGATAAAATAACTTTAATTTCCTCTCATGGGAAAGAAAATATGAAACTGCGAACACAAATACAATTGTGAAGAGCGTTTGCAATTGAAAAATATTTGGACGATAATTTCAAAATTAATTTCATTTTGTGACTTCGTAAGAACACAGTCTGGCTTTAAAGATTTCAGAATTTCACGTAAGAGAGTCGTTGAGCTTTGATATATCATAATACTATAAACAATACTATTTACAGTAATCAAGGCTGTCATTAATCAATGCATAAATTTTGGGAATAACTATACAGTTGATGTACATTACACCACACCTATCTTCAATAAAAATTACGCAAATAATTCTTCTGTTATTTACAGTTTCATATCTTTTCAAAAACTAGGTACATTTCCACGTAGCTAGATAAGTCGTTCATCTTTCTCAAGTTGTCCCATGGGATATGCCCCGCCCTTGTACTCCTCATCAGATGGGTAATACCTGCCGCTCATTTTACTCATCTGCTTCTTACGATAAAAGAATAACAAAACAGCGGCTATTAACACCAGAAGAAGCACGAATCCTATAGACAAACCCAGCTCCATTTGCCTGTTTTGCTGGCGAGCAGCTGGCGTAGGTTCTATTGTGATCCCTAGTTCGTTCTCGCATAAAACACCCGTAAAACCGGACGCACACGCGCAGGTGTAATTACCATAAGTATCCACACATTGTGCGTCATTTTGACACTCGTGTTCAGCGGTTGCGCATTCGTCCACGTTAATGTCACAACGAAATCCTCGAAAACCTGTTCCAGTACAACTGCAGTAGAAGCCATTTACAAGATCGACGCATTGTCCATTATGGATGCACGGGTCACTAGCGCATTCATCGATGTTCACGTTGCAGGTTTTGCCACTGTAACCCGCCTTGCACGTGCATTGGTAAGAACCGTCGTTGTTCCGACATTTTCCGCTGTTTAAACATGGTGTTAATGTCACACATTCGTTCACATCATCCTCACAATACGTTCCCTGGTATCCAGACCCCAAGCAATTACACCAATACGAGCCCACGGTATTGTTACATGCGCCGTGAACACACGGGGACGAGGTGCATTCATCTATGTCTTCCTGACATTGGGAACCATTGAACCCAGTGCCTGTGCAGTCACAGTGAAAGCTGTTGACGCCATCAGAACAAATTCCGCCATTCTGACAAGGAGGAGGAGAACAATCATCAACATTGATTTCACATCGCCTTCCAGTGAATCCAGGAACACAACTACAGTTATATTCGTTAATTAAATCGACGCAAGTTGCATCGTTCACACATGGATTAGAGCTGCACTCATCTATATTACCTCGGCAGCTTTTACCAGTGTAACCCGGCAAACAGTTGCAAGAGAAATCCCCAACAAGATCCATGCAGGTAGCCCCATTTTGGCAAGGCTGCGATGTGCATTCATTTATATCTACCTCGCAGTTTCTTCCCGTGAAACCACGCGCACAGACACACGTATAATTCGCTATAGCATCTACGCACGTGGCACCGTGTTTGCACGGATTTGATGCACATTCATTCATATTAGTCTCGCAGTTTCTTCCAGTGTATCCCGACAGACACGCACAACTATAGCTCGCGATCAGGTCTGAACAGGTCCCGCCGTGTTTACATGGGTTTAGGGAGCAGTCATTGATGTTGACTTCACAATCCCTCCCTGTGAAACCCACAACACACTGACAGCTGTAACCAGCTACAAGGTCGGAACACGTTGCATTGTTCTTGCAAGGATCAGAAGCACATTCATCAACATTTATCTCACAGTTTATACCAGTGAATCCCGCTAGACATTTGCAGCTGTAGTTACCAATGTGATCGGAACATGTTGCACCATTTTGACAAGGATCGGGAGAGCAATCGTTGATGTTATTTTGACAGTTTACACCAGTAAAACCACCGAAGCAGGTACACTTATACTTTCCTACAAGATCAATACAAGTTCCTTGGTTTTTACACGGGCTCGACGCACATTCGTCAATCTCCACTTCACAGTTTCTGCCCATGAAACCCAAGGAACATCTGCAACTATAGTTTCCTAACAAGTCTAAACATGTAGCATTGTTCAAGCACTGGTTAGGAGAGCATTCATCGATGTCCACGTTGCAATTTCTACCGCTGTAACCCGCCACACAGTTACAGGTGTAATTGCCTACAAGATCGGAACATTTACCGTGATCTCCACATGGATTGGAAGAGCATTCGTCTATGTCGACTTCGCAGTCCCTGCCAGTGTAACCAGAAATACAATTACAGCTGTAATTCCCAATCAGATCTAAACATGTACCATTATGTGCACAAGGATTTGAAGAGCATTCATTTATATCGACCTCACAGTTTCTCCCACTGAAACCCGAATTACAACTACATGTGTAATTACCAATAAGATCTAAACATGTGCCGTGGCGTCCGCAAGGATTTGAAGAACATTCATTGATGTCTATCTCACAATTTCTACCAGTGAAACCTTCCAAACAGTCACAACTGTAATTCCCTTGCAGATCAAAACATGAAGCATTATTCGCGCAAGGATCAGAAGCACACTCGTCAATGTTTGTCTCGCAATTTCTCCCAGTAAAACCTACAGGACACCGACAACTGTAATCGGCTATAAGATCGGTACAGGTTGCATTGTTCTGGCAAGGGCCTTGTATACAGTCATCTACATTTATTTCGCAATTTCGTCCAGTAAATCCACGCAAGCATACACAGCTGAAGTTTCCTATTAGATCATAACACGTTCCTTGATTGAAACAAGGATCTGGGGCACATTCATTGATGTCAGAGGCACAATTGCTTCCCGTAAATCCGACGGGACACTGACAACTGTACCTGCCCACTAGATCGTTGCAAGTAGCGTTGTTAAGGCACGGATTTGACGAACACTCGTCGACATCTACGCTACAATTACTTCCTGTAAATCCTCTGAAACAGTTACAGCTGTAACTACCAATCAGATCCACGCAGGTTCCCTGATTTAAGCACGGGTTCGGAGAGCAGTCATCAACGTTTGTTTCACAGTTTCTACCAGAAAAACCCATGGGACAGTTGCAGGTGTAGGCAGCAATTTGATCGATGCATGTTGCATTATTTTGACAAGGGTGAGGGGCGCATTCGTCGATGTCGAATGTACAATTCCCGCCAGAGAAACCCGGGGAACAAACACAACTGTAGTTTCCGACGCCATCAATGCAGATACCCTGATTCCGGCAGGGATTGGGGAAGCAATGGTCTATGTCGGTTTCACAATTCCTTCCAGTATAACCTAAGGGACAACTACAACTGTAATTTCCAACATGGTTGGTGCACGTCGCATTGTGTTGGCAAAGGTTTGGAGAACATTCGTCGATGTCAACACCGCAGTTCTTTCCTGTAAAACCAATTAAACACTGACAACTGTAGCCGTCGACTAAGTCTACACAAGAAGCATTGTTCAAGCACGGATTTGAAACACATTCATCGACGTCTACTTCACAATTTATGCCGGTAAAACCTGATACACAGCTACAACTGTAGTTACCCACTGTGTCGAGGCAGGTCGCGCCATACCTGCATGGATTTGGAGAACACTCATCAATATCTATGTCACAATTTCCACCAGTGTAACCCACGGAGCATCGACAACTGTAGTTGGTTATTAAATCAGTACATGTTCCCTGGTTCGCACAGGGATTAGGCGAACAATCATCTATATTCAACTCGCAGTCTCTTCCAGCAAAACCCGTAGAACACTGACAGGAATAATTGCCTAGTAGATCTATACACGATCCATTGTTCTTACAAGGTGTACTCGCACATTCATCGATATCACTCTCACAGTCCTTTCCCGTGTATCCTACGGTGCAATCACATCGGTAACCTCCCGATATTTCATAGCAGGTCGCATTATTACTGCAAGGTTCGGAATGGCAGTGAGTTATCTGGGTCTCACAGTAAAGGCCAGTATATCCCTGCGCGCACACGCAGTCAAAACCGCGCGTGACATTAACGCACGTGGCGCCATTAGTGCAGTTATTTAGCGAGCAGTCCGGTATGCGAATATCACATTTATCACCCATCCAACCTGGATCACAAGTGCAGTTGAAGCCATCCCAAGATGGAACACAAACACTGTGAGCTGGGCAGGGATTGGGCAAGCAGGTAGAGTTTCTCTGGCAACCCGTTGTTACTTGTTTCTTATTAACGCCCAGGCCTCTCTGAGAGTGAGGCGAAAGATAATGGACACGTCGGGAGTTGAACATGATGTCCTTTATGCATCCCTTGAAATTTTTGAGCGCTATTAGACCTGCAATGAAACATTCAAATTGGATTACTCTTCATAATCGACCCTGGGAATAAGATAAATATCGGCATTAGGAGCAAAAATGGAACGGGTCACGAAAAAATAGAGCCAAATTAAGTTCAAAACAAAACAAAACAGGCTTTTGATTATCTCTAAATACCTTTAGGTTGTGTTACACCAGCCGGTACTCCACCAATATCCACAGACACCACAGGGTCGTGAGCGGTATCAAACTGTCCGTCTGCTCCAGGCAGGTCTCCCTGTGCTCTCATCCTGTCATCCAAGTCCAGTGTTATGCGCTTATATCTTCTGGTCCAAGTCACGTGATGCCAGTCACCGTCAGACACGACTTTGTTGATCAAAAGCGAACTTGATCCTGAAATCCAGGTGAAGGTCGATAAAAAACTGACGCTTTTATTTTAAAAATCCGAAAAAAAGACTAACACCAATTCCATGAACATTAAGCTACGTTCGATTAACACAGATTATATAAAAACGTCCATCTTCTCAACCAAAATTTTTATTATCAATCAACTTGAAATAAAATAAACCAAGAAAAAGGAAATAAACAAATTTACATAGAAATAACACAGGATAGACGGCACCTTTACCATACCTGAACCAAGATCAGCAGTAAATCTAGCCTGACCGGAAAAGACCTCAAGAAGCATGAATTCTGTATTTCCTCCTCCAGGCCTCCGCCCGGCGTACATTAGTAACCCGTCCATTTGACGAGTCCTGAACCACACTGACCCACTCTGACCAAAACTCCACTCAGAAGAGTTTAATGTTAGCTCCACTCGACTGTCATTCGATAAGAACGAAGTCTCGGAAACTGCAATAAGCAAGAAAAAAAATTCACAAAAAAAAACTGATATCTATGAGTAAAATTACAGCAGATTAAGACGGAGAGCGCTCGGTTCACCCAGTTAACATAAGATTGTCCCCCCATTTTCTCTCAATCTTCATGTGATATTATTTGTTATGCAACCTGTTACGTAGAATAATGAGTGGAGAAAAGATATAAATTTTTAGAAAAACAAGAGTCAGAGGAAAATCAGGGTTTCATGTGAGCCACTTGTAATTGGGCGACCTGATTTTCCACCACAGCGACCTACTCAGAAAGTTAGACTTCACTATTTTGCCCATATTTTGCCCATATTTTGCCCATATTTTGCCCATACTGTTATGGCTGAAATAAAGATGACCACAGTGTTACAAGAGTACTTAGTCACGAAGATCTGAAAAATTAATTTCTCGTTTTCCTGCACACACTTAAGGGCGTAATAATGGGGGTTGGGGTCCCCGTGACCACCACTCCCCTCTAAGATATGAATTTTTCAAGTCATCAAAATGCCGACCCCATAACGGTTGTGGTGAGGATGCGCGAATCTGAAGAAATCTCTTCCGGTACAAGACACTCCATTTGTGGGTCCTTCTCGTCTGTTGAGAAAAGCTACTTCATCAGAGGTGCGCGGAAATTCGTATCCGTAACCCCACCCTTGCCGTAACATCGTCAGTACAAAAATATCTTACTGGCGCATGGCAAAACGAAGTAATAATTATGTAAATAGAAAAGCGTTCTCACCATTTTGACACCGACTCCCGACAAAATCGTCTAAACAGTGACACTCGAACCCAGTCCAGGTGGCATCGCACGCACCTCCGTTTTTACAGGAGTCTGGTGCACAATTATCGTCCTTCTTACAGCTCGACTTCGGCATAGAATACCCACCATTCGTCTGCGCGGTCTCAAACGTCGTCAAATTTCCATTCATAATCACGTTTCTTGAACAACCACTAAACGTTGACTGCTTATTATTTAGATGAATGAGCAAATCGTTAAACCCGCTCAAAAGACCTCCCATATATAGAGTGTTCTCGAGATCCGCGATTGGCTGAGAAATTCGGGGCGGAGTAAGAACAGCGTGATATGTGTCCACGTCAATCGTAACACTACCGGAAGTGACGTTGATATGCAATCTATGCCATTTGCCGTCAGAGAGATTTCGACCGATATCGAGGTAGTTTCTTTCGAATAACGTCCTCACGTACGCCACCCGCAAACGTCCATTGTTCAAGGCTACACCAAAATCTCCTTGGCCTGACTGAAAACGAAATCAAATTTAACTTTGACTACACTGATCTCGAGAGATTTTCTGTAAAACTAGTTGGGTTAATACCTCTATGTCATATGTCATTTGTGTGAACTGAGCTGTAATCATCGAGAAAGGCATGTCGAGGGCGGAGTCGACTCTGATAATGACTTCCGCTCGGTTTTTAGAAACGTTATTCAATACTACCGACAAAAGACTTCTCAGGACCACACGTCCAAATGATACTCCTCGATTTAAACAAATTGCTTCAAAACTACACCAATCACAATATATGCTGACGACACACACACACAAAAAGGGAACTCACGAAAACTGTAACTAATGCGCGCAAAGCACAAGTAGAGAAAGCGATTAAGTTGTGATAGGTTTTGGTTTTCAATTTGGAGAAGACTGCGCAAGTTTTGTTTCAAAACTCGCAAACAGCGCCGGAAACAAAGCCATTAATTCCTCGTTAGTTTCAAAGCTTAACCCTCCCACTTTCAAGCTCTAGATTCCTATTCTCTGCCCTGTCTTCCAAACATTTCTCATAACTTCAGCTCCCAGGACTTGGCGTAAAGCCAATATTGATCCTTTTTTCTTTTTTCTCTTGTCACTCTACTTGAAAATGTATTGATATTGTAAGGAGAAGTTCGCAAAGTTTTTGCTCATTCCTGAACGTGTATTAGTTAATTTACCCTGCTCTACTCACAATTCCCTCGGTAAAGTCAACTTACCCCAGTGTAAGCGAGCACTCCACTTGGAAGAGTTGGATCAATTGAAAACTCCAAAGAAAACGAATTAATTGGAGCAGCTGAATCAAATTTTAAACCAGAGTTGTCATCACTATCAAAAGTAGCTGTGACTTGATGCTCGCAAAACAATCCCACGAATCCTTGGAGACAATCACAGTGGTACTGCACCCACTCATCTACACATGCGCCACCATGTTTGCATCCATGATTGCTACAGACGTCCCTTCGCTGACAACCGGTGGAGACTAGGTGCGCTTGCGCCAATACGTTCTGTAGACCCACTTCGTTTCTATTAAACAGAAAGTCCTAAAAAGATCCAAACAGGAAGATTAGATTTTTGCTTCTCAGCCTGACAAGGGAAGGGGCTGGAAGAGTGCCTGGAATCTTGGTCGGTGGTTGAGTCCTCTTCCTAGCATTTCAGGTTAGAGGTTTTATTGGGTTTCCATGGCTTGAAGCGACAAGGAGTATTGTTATTCTTCCTGGGCGGGATTCAAGCCTTACGCAAGCTACCTTCACCCCAACCACCCCCGGCATTAAGGTTTGTATAACTCCTGAGGAGAGAGAGAAATCCTACGAGATCTAAATGGCAAAATAACAAAGTCTGGGTTCGAGGGCGGCCTTCTCGATACAAAGCCGATTGCGCCACAAAGCAATCACATCTCCGACAACATTGATTATAGAGCGAATACGAAGAGAACAATGAACGCCAACTAAAAGGCAATGAGAGAACAAAGGTTTCTGCCTAAGAAACCTTAACTTTTTTCTTCCCCCTGCTACTCAATCTCGGAATTAGTGCCTAAAAAATACCTTGATGCATCCCACAAATGAGCCATCAGTCGTGAGTTGTTGTCTTATCTGCGGGACCAGCTGTCTCACTCCTCCGAAATAAGGAAGACCAGCGTACTGCGAGCTACTATCGGAGGTGGTTGAAACAGACGCTGATGAACAGTCTGCGCTGCACGTGTCCTTGTCGATAGATATAGTGGCCTGGGGACCAGTTAACTGCAGAGTTATTTGGTGCCAGGCCCCATCGTTGAGTCCCCTGCCTACCTTAGCCGTTGCTGTGTCCAGGCCGGTATTGAGTGACAGGCGGAGAGAGCCATTTGTTAGCTCTACAATCACGTGATCTGTGTGCTCTTTTATGAGGTCCTGGAAGAAATATAAATTTTTTCATCATAAATCTTTCCAACGAAGAGCATACAATTCTTGATGCCACCTGGATTAAAAAAATAGTTGAGTTGGTTTCCGATTTCAGTGTCAAAAGTAACTCGAAATGAAGTGCCATGATTTAATTTTGATACGCCCTATGATTGGTTAAAAAATAAACTAGCACGCACTTCATAACGGGTCATAGACAGTCCAATTTTTTAACTAATAGCGACACCACCACTCGCCTTTTCCCGCGCTTTCGACAATTTTCTTGTTTCCTCGAGTTCTCAGCTACCCATTATGAAATTTTCCTTTTTGCATTTGTGATTAATTTTGTCTTATTTCACTACGCTCAAACCAAGAGCGCGATAAACAGTTTGTTTTCAACTCTACTTACCGCTCCTTGATAGAACAAAAGTCCAGATGGCAGTGTAGTTCGGAATCGAAATGACATCAGATCCGATGAGAACAATTTAAATCCTAAAGCAGGAAGATACGAGCCTTGTTGGAAGCTCACTGAAAACAGAACTTCACATGATCTCCCTCGATAACCATCAGCACACTGACATTCATAGCGATTGACATTATTTACACACGTGCCGCCATTATTACACGGATTAGAAGCGCATTCGTTGATATCCACTTCACAGGTAAAACCGGTATAACCCGGCTGACAATCACAATAAAAGCCACTTCCACCAAGTCTGCAAGTTCCTCCATTCTTACACGGCTGCGCAGAACAGTTGTTCAAGGGAATCTCGCAGTTTTTCCCAGAAAAGCTTGCGGTGCACGTGCATCGGTAGCCATTCACATAATCCTCGCACGTGCCTTGATTCTGGCATGGATCATCAAGACACTCGTCCACGTGTTTGTCACAATTTGCGCCTGTGAAGCCCGCTAAGCAAGTGCAGTTATACCCGCCAGGTGCGTTATGGCACGTGCCCAGATTTCCACAGGGTGATGTAAGGCACTCGTCCACATCAAGGCTGCAGTAAGGACCGGTCCAACCGGCTGGACACGTGCAATTCAACTTGTTACCATGAAGTGTACACGTGCCATTGTTCTGACATGGATTAGGTTGACAAGAAGAACTACTAAATTCACAATGGTGTCCTAAAGAACACAGAAATAAATTCGTTTTAAATTTGATGATGGCTTGGAACTAAATTTGATACTGTTAAAAGCTATGTACATCACCTGAAGGAAATAGAATGGGCCAGCAACTAACTTACAAACCAACAAACAAATAGAAAAACAATAACAAAGTGAAACAAATTCATGTGCCAGGGCAAAAACGAACTTAATAATTCACAACATGAACAGGTTTCTCAAGACAAAATAGTCTGTACCTGTTTACCAGGTGAAAATATCTGATTTGGACTTCAACATACCTTGAAATCCTGCTGGACAGGTACAGTAATAACCTGCCAGTCCAACACTCTCCACACAAGTGCCACCATTTTTGCATGGATTGGACAGACACTCAATGATGTTTGCTTCACACTGTCTCCCAATGAAACCAGCTGGGCAGTTGCAAGCAAAACCATTCATTTTATCTGTACACGTGCCACCATTAAAACAAGGTTGAGACGCACACTCATCTGTGTTATTTTCACAGCGACGCCCTTCAAAGCCTGGAGCACAGGTGCAGTTGAAGTCACCTTGAATTTTAGGAGCTTGATCAGTGTCCATTAATCATATGAGACTTTCATAAGGGTCAATGATCTAAATTAACCCTGCTGATTCTTAGTCACATGCAAAAAAAAGGACTGAATATTCAAACAGACTCCTAGTTGTAACAATAAAAGTATTGTTGTAAGAGACACCGCTCAGATTTGAGTCAGTTATTTCAAGCTTAATGAACATGCACAACATCAGAAGGTATTTTTTGCAGATTCAAACCTGGGAAGAGGTAGGGGATGGATGAGTGGAATTGAATGTGTAAATATTGTAACTGATGATCACAACTCCACTGTTATGCACCATAAGAGATGGAAAGAATTATTACCTACTTGTTACTTAAAAAGCAAATTACTGCTCTCGTTGTTTGTTTATGAATATTATTAATTTTTTCCTTAATACTTGCTTAAGTGCAAGTTACATGTGTATGTTAAATATTTTGAGTTAACTTCCCTTTAATTCAAGTGTTAATGATATCAGGGCCACACCTATAATTTCTCCTTAACTGACAATTAAAATCTCACCTTGAAAGCTCTTACAAGTCGCTCCATTTAAACATGCTTGCCCAGAACAATAATCAATATCAACGTTACAAGTTTGACCAGTTTTGCTGACAGGACAAATGCACTGATAACTGTTCACTCCATCCACACACTGTTGAAAAGGTAGACATCTGTTTGGAAGACAGTCATCAATATTCTCTTCACAATTAGGACCACTGAAGCCTGAGGTACAGGTGCAGTTGTAACTAAAAGATATTCAATGCATGAAAGAAAGTGTTAATTCACCATAACAGCACTGTAACAGTTGTATTTACAGGAGCAGATTTGCTTTGTTACTTAGATGTCAGCTTAAACAGACAGCTTTGGGAAATGCACCTAAAGTCAGGCAGAAGTTGCCTCAGCCTAATAGGGGCAAGTTTACCTTTATTATGATAATTTAAGGAGAATACTACGAATTAAAATGATCAATAAATAAAGTGGGTAAGTTTCTAAATAAACTGTGGTGCAAGTTGTTGTCTGTACCACTCAAATAACTTACCCAAAAACATTTTCTGTACAAGTTCCATCATTCTGACAAGGACTTCCATCACACTTTGTAACAGTTACATTACAGAAAGGTCCAGAGAAACGTGCTGGACACTGACATGTGTAGCCATTCACCCCATCAACACAAGTTCCACCATTATGACATGCAAGATTTGTCTGATTACATTCATTCATGTTGGTCTCACAATGTAATCCTAAGAGTAAATTAAGTCAAACAGAATATTATTGGGAAAAAATTACAACAATGATTATTAATATTTATGGTGATGAAATTTTTTGACATTTTTGCATATACATGGTATTTGGTTTAATCTTCAATTACCAGTAAATCCAGTGTGACAAATACACTGATAACCTCCAGTCTGAAATCTCTGACACACAGCATTGTTCTGGCACAGGTTAAAATGACACATGTTGATCACAGCTTCACATCTTTCCCCTAAAAATAATAGTATACATTGACAGTATTAACAAGGAAGGCAACCTAACTGTGAGCATGTGATACAATATAGAAGTTACCAAAACAAGATAAAACTTTTAAAGCCATGGCTCTCAATACCCTTTTATTCCAATTCTCAGCTTTAACTTTCATTGGAGGAACTGGGGCTTAATGGCTGGTGATTTGAATTCTCAAAGGTTGCCCCTAGCAGTAATGAAATATAATTCTACCTGTAAAACCAGGTGGACAGCTACAAGTGTAGTTATTAATGCCAATGTCAGTACAAGTTCCATTAAAGTAACAAGGATTGGAGGCACATTGCTGACCACAGGCAATATGCCAACCTGCAGAGTGAAATTCAACACAACACTTTAAACAGTTTAATTCTACAAAGGAGATATGATGTCATATTGAAAATGTACAGTGTAATGGTGTTCGAGAACCAACCGCAGATAGTTAGACTGACCACTATGTCAAATTTTTTCAAAGTTTTCCTACATCCTGAAAATGATTAGAATATGGAAATTGAGGGTTGCATCCTTAACCCTCTAAATTCTGGCTTCTATTTTCTCATTACAGTATTGCCCTTGAGAAGAGAGGTAATGATCAACCATTTAAGAAGCATCTGATTGTCAGATGAGTTCTCCTAGTCAGTAACAAAGGAAATGTAAAGAGAACAGTGTAGAGAATATGAATACTTATGTTAGAGTGTGAAGGATTAACCTATCAGCCTTGCTTAATAGATCACCTTGCACTGCATCAGCAGGATTCCATGAAGATAAAGAATTTGAATCCTGAACATGTCAAGGCTTCGCTTTAAATCAGCTTTGTTTCGTTAATTTTCGACGATAACTTCATTGTTTCACTGAAATATAAATTCCCTATGATCTCTTGGAAACATCCGAATGACTCCGAACATATCACCATAAATAATTTATAGAGTAAATTAAACCGAACATACCAGTTGTGACAACCGTCAGCCAGAGGATCGAAGGTAAGTTACGTGTTCTGCTCTTGTTTTTAATCATGTCTCCATCGAGTCTCTATATTTCAGAATACATGTACGGTAAGCATATGAAATAAAAGTCGTCAAGTTACTTATCTGTATCACTTTCTTGCGTTGAAGCGTTCCTTCGAAACACTGATAACAGAACACAATTAACGAGAAACATATCCTCAGACATTTCTGATGGATAGGTTATAGATCACTAGAATCGTTCCTCGAATCTTATAGATGATTAAGAAAGAAGATGTTTGTCAAAGAATATCGCTATTATGTTTGGCAATAATGGTCTGGTTTTACAACTATAAACTATCCAATGAATCCAAAATTTTGAAAAATACGATCTGTTTTGTTATTCTACAACATACTGTAATATTATCTTCCTTATCAAGTTTTGTGCTTTGATCGACGCGGAAGCATTTTTTCTTTACAAACGACACCTACCGACAAATTTTGGAAAAGCTTCCTGAGCTACCAACTTATTTACCAAAATCCCCCTGTCAAATAGTCTAAGGGTTTTAAAGGCATAAACACTTTCATTAACTCTGCTCTGATTCCGTTTGCAAAGGTCACCGATAGAATAACACGATCGCATACTTTTTCACACTTACCCCGTCAAAATCCACACGCTCAAAACATTCGCACCACTGCCAACCTTGCCAAAGCAACGGCACCGAAAAGCTCTGTTAAGTGGTTTTGTAACATACTAATTTTCGCGACCAATATAAATCAAACAGCTGCTCTAAAAGTTTCAAACAACGATTGAGTGTTCGAATATTTGACAATCAAGCGTAAGCGTGTTTCTATGCCAGCACAAAGTCGAGGCGACCTCATCGTTATTTATGGACTTATTTGCATATGCGAGAGCCAATCAGATGTCAATTTGCCGGCCCGCTTCCGTTTAAAAAGTGAACAAAAAAGTAAGCTTTTTGCGTAAGTTAGTAGAAACTTCGTACACAGACGGGTTTTGCACCAAAAGACTTTTGACGAGGCCGCATAAAAAGGCTGAAGCAATGTTACCCACCATTTTCCTGTTCGGCGAGTTTCTCATAGAATTGGTTTGAGCTCCGAAAGGTTTGAATTATGCTCACAAGGAATTACGTATTTCATGTTGGGCGTAAAAACTTCTTCAAGATTCAGTCTATTAGTTTGGTCGTCCTTTCACTTTGTCCAGTTCCTGTTATGAAAATCAATGTCAGATCGGAGGATGATGGGGTGGGGGGGCAAGGTGGGATTTAACAAAATTTGGGAGGAAGTATGCCGCCGAAACCCTGTCCCTTTTGTCGATGAGGTTGCAGCTCCCATCTAAGTTAAATCCTACCACATTCGCAATCTTTTAGCGTTCTACGCATGTAATTAAACGACACAGACAAAGTGAAACGAGGAATCGAAATATCTCTAAACAGAAGTGTCTGTTTATTCCATCAATATCATCTTACCCCTTGTATTTCATCAACATTTCTTATATGATATCCCGACTATTTAGTAAGTTATTGATGTCAAGTGATACATTATTTTCCGAGTTAAGTTACGAAGCAAAAGACTTACAGAAATAACTGAAGAAAGAACTGAAAAAAGCTTTAAAATACTAAACTGATGTCGCTAATATCGTTTATGTACATAATTTTCGCAACAACATTCAGATAATCGTATTCATCTAACATAAAGAAAAAATAAAATGTAATTTCTTTTCCATAAACAGTACAACAACAAAAAATACTGTTAGCTTCTTCATTTCAAAAGCCGTTTTCGAGGGAGGAAAGTATTATTTTAGTAACATCTTTTTTAAGCTGGTAAATTAACACAAATCAACTTAATTTTTGGGTGTCGGGCAACCAAAAGGGAAGACAATACTACAACTACTGTCCCTGAGTTAATTTTAAGAATAGACCTTCCAGGAAGAAAACGAACGACAAAGCTTTCTATGCAAACCTCGTTTTCATGGTCTTTCCGGAACCTAGAGGTCCGCGAGATGAAGTGGGTCTTGGGAACGAGTTGCAAAATATTTTGAAACCAAATGTCTTAGTGTCTAATGTCTAAGATTCCTCCACTGGCGGAATTTACACCGTTAAGTTACGAAATAACAGAAGAGCTATTTCTTTCACGGAGACGGTAGAGACTCTCGTAACAAAAAAAAACAACAACAAAAAAACCGAAAAGTTCTACCTCTTCAATACCACTTCTTATGCTCTGTTGAAGCACATCATTCGAAATTAACAAAAGCTCTTGATGTACCCAAAAATTCAGTCATACAGTAAAAAAGCTGTTATCTTTTTAACAGAAAACGAGCTTAATTCATCATCACACGACCATCAATCACTTCCCGGCATCCTTTACCAAACTTATTCGTTTGAACCAAGGTTTGCTTTCACCAGTCGCCGCCTCAATGGCCGCCAGCCTATGTTCTAACTCCTGAGAACGACATTCCGCCTCCACTAGAGAAAGCTTGGTCTGCGCAAGCTCCAGTTCCAGTTCCCTCAGGCGCTGCTCGGAGTCTACCAGCTTCACACTTGTCTTGAATGCGGCGATTCCGCCTCCACCCTCCAATGTAACATGACCTTCCTCAGAGAAGACAGCGGCGCAGTTTTCACATGATCCTATTCGTCTCTAGAAAAGAAAACAATTCGCGAGAGGTTTTTAAGCAATTCTGAACAGTTAACGCCTAAAGGCGACTAAAAGAAGCTCAAACCAAATCAGAAGTTAATGAAGCGTCAGAGGAGGTACACGAAAATGATAGTGCAAAGCGGTATTTTTTTCAGGAGTTGCAAGTTCTCTCGAGATATCGATTACAAGTCTCTGCAGATGAACCCAAAGTAGACGACAAAATGGTAAGAAGTGATTTTTATCTCCCTCAGCTATGAACCTCTTCTCTTCTGTCGTCCACTTGCACCCTATTTTTACAAACATGAAAGAGGTCTATTGGAGAAGAACAAATACCTTGACCTCCAAGAGTTCCAGCCGCAGATCTTCCTTCAGCTCCTCGCTTCTTTCCTCCTTTTCTTTGCAAATCTACAATGAAGAACAAGTACGAGACAGTTATTGATCACTAATTCAGCAGCAATGTACCCAAAGAAACTATGTCCCTCCCAATATGCCTACTGACCTTTTTGTATTGTTCAACAACAGTAGTATGTCGCTTCTTGTCCTCTTCAGCCTGTTCAATAGTCTGCCGATACATTTCTTTGACCTGAAGAATTACAAGAGCGTATTAGTTTGTCGTGTCTGAAGCGTTTGTTCATAAACATATTTTCATTTCGTATACCTGAGAGCCCTCGACTTTCAGTTTTTCGCGTTGATCCTCTGATTCAGCCAGTGATATGGTTGTGTTGCTCAACGCCTTGGACAACTCTTCCACTTTTTCTTCTGCCTAGTAAACAAAAGAGCAAAAGAAAAACGTCATTTGACAGGACTAAGAGTCTCAGGAAATCGTACTTTTTTACATCTGCTACTAAAAAGCCGTTTTAAAAGCAACCCCGTAACCTGCTTACGCACACACGGCTTTGTAAAGGTAAACCGAAATAGCGGAGACCACAATTCGCAGTTAACCGGCATTCTGCGATGTAAAGTTTCTAATATTTTCAAATAGATCGCCAATAGATTGCAAAAGGACGTGTGAGACTCTGTTAGGTCAAACCAAAGAAGCCGTGTTGCTGAACAAGATTTCAGTAGCGAAAAACATCAGATTATAAAAGCAAAAAATAACCGGTCGAGATAAAGGACAAATACCTCTGCCAGCTTGCCGTGAAGTTCTACTTTATTACTGACCAACTCGTGGGCAAGGCTATCGTTTTCTCGTTCAAGTCTCATGTTATCTTCAAAAAACCTCTTGTTTTCACGCTGTAGAAAAGCATCGAAAGAAAGAGAAACGATCAGTTAGGCAACAAGCCAACAATAAATCCGAAAGAAAACACAACAATCAAACTAGAAGAATTATTCCTGTGACTCACCGTTAGCCTCTCGACCGGGTCTTCAAGCTGTGCCTCTTGTTCTTTTTGCAGCAAGTACTCCTTTTCGTATTTCTTCATCTTTTTCTCTGTCACCTGAAATTTAAACCGGATTATATTTTCAGAGAGAAAACCTTTAAAAGAAACATTAAGGACTATCATCTCTGAACAATGGCAGAAATTTTCAAACAAGTGTCAAAAATTGGTCCCAAATGCACACCGAAGTATCAACTTATATAAAAAATAAAACAAATTGAATTTAAGGCGCAAAAATCCATACCCGAAAGCTCAGAGCAGAGGTTATGAGCTTCTTGTACTCATCTTCGTCAAGGTATTTTTTAGGCATAGACACTCTGAAGTACTTTAGTATGGCCTCAAAATCCATTTGGATGAGCTCCCTACGAGAAGCCTGTTTAAGACAAGAATAAGACAAAAGAAGCATAATTCATAGATGATATATAGTATCTTGAGGTAGTCAAATGGTTTCGATGTTTTAAAACACCAGTTCTACGATGGAACGTAGCTTTCACACTTTTTGGTTAGTTTCAGTGGAAATGGTATCCAAAAATGACTAACCATGTCTCGACAAGTTGTAATAATTTTTCCAAACATATCAGGATATCATAGCAACAACAGAGGCAATGAGAACTTAAACCTTAAATTTCAACTTAATATTTCAGTAACTGGAAAACAAGGAGATAGGCCCCCGTTTATCAATATTATCCAATTTACCACATCATAATTTATCTTTCTACAAAGTTTTTAAAAGTTTGTGCATACGGTTCAGAGCCACCTTATTTTTTGATAGTTTGAAGTAGCTCATATTAAAACAGTTTAAAAATTCAAAACAGCTTAATATTCCCAAAGATCTTCAAGACTAGAATAAACATGTCACTCAAGGTAAAAGTTAGCTGAGACTCGACCGTGAAATCGCCTCACCAGCTTAATACCCTGCTAAGATAACATAACTTATCTCGTTAAATAGACTTAGTAAAAAGAAGCATGCACAGAGACTTCATACCTTGAGAAGGCCTAAAGCAACTTGAAAAATAACTCTCATTCCCTGGAACATTAAAAAAAGACAGTGATCAGTATGAAATATTACACTGACCAACAAACAAGAACGATCTATACTCGTTCTTTGCAGGGTATATTTAAAAATGTTGCCTGAGATTAACAGAATGATACTATTAGTTGGTATCTAAATAGGTTCGACTATAAATGTCCGACCAGAAAAAGAGTAACGGCTCCGCAAATGCTGTTATGCCTACTAAATGCTTTCAGGCTGCTTAGAAACGTTTCAACCAAAAGCCGCAGACTCAATCCATTCCTCAATCAATTCCTAAATAAATTTTCGCTATTCTTAGCCGGTTCCTCTTTGACCTTACTGGAGTTAATGTCAATTGAGGGTCGAAAGTATCCGACATTGTATGGACTTTGCTTTACTTTTTGGTGTCACAAACCTGACCATCCTCTCAACCAATAAGATATACAACTGAAACCTATCACACCTCGGTATCTTGCGTTTTCTCGCTCCCAGTCTACTAGTTTTAACTTTCAGTTGTAATGTAAGGGCGCTTTTCTGTAGAGTTTAAAAAAGCTAACACAGAAGTAATCTCAAGAGCCAATCAAAACAAAGGAAACTCTCTGAGAGCGAGCCGCGATTGGTTTTAGTTTTGTATTACTGGTTGAGTGGTGGCACCAATTCTCTGCACCAATCACAAAGTGAAGAAAAGCAAAAGCGAAACAATCTGATTAGTCACTCTGCTTACTGAGGTTGCGAGTTTAGGACACTCAATTGAAAGGCACTCTATCCCACACCACATTCTGACTTACATGACATAGAAAGAGATCCATAATACAGTACACCATTGATAATGGAAACCTGGCTGTAAACAAAGTCAGGAACCACTGAGAGGCGTACATGTGAGTCTCTATACTATTGTACTGAAAATGGCTGTGGAGGTCTGGCATCGAGTCCTGTGAAACAAAATGGTGTCAACCCAATGTCAATCTCCAACACCCTAACATCAGTATGCATCTTCTCCCCACTGTTCTCTTTACATTACCTTAAGTGCTGACAAAGAGAATTTATTTAACAATCGAGAGCTGCTTTAGTTGGTGATCATTTCTTTTATTCACGTAACCTTAATGTTTGATTCAAAGGGAATATTGTGAGGAGAAATTAGATGCCAGTCAGTCTTATGGATTCAAAGGGGTCTCTATAAAACATTACTGATTTCTTCTGCTTTAATTATACAACAACGTATAAAACTCTTAAGTAAAAGAAAGTTGGTATCAAGAATTTCAAAAATAGCCCCACTGGACAATATGACATCTCACCTCAATCATTCTGTCCAGCTGGAAAAACTTCAGATGCAGCTGTTCAAAATCTTGTTTGAAAATATCTCTCAGCCCATAGTCACTCATTATCTTCACCAACAGTGCAAATGCTTGCTCCTCAGGAAGCTGAGAAAGAAAAAAAGATCTCCATAGATGCTACTTAAACTCAGTTAAGCTATGACAGTATCAAGCCACTTGGCCAGGCTTTAATATTAAAATCTGGGGTTCAGTTAGGGTTTTTATAAGGCAGGAAAGAATAGAGATTTATCCAACTACTACACAGAATCCTCTAGCTAAATTTCCAAGGCTTAATTGGGCTGATTTTTATTCACAAGAGGAGCTGTTATGTAATATCCTCTCAAGATAATGATTCCCAGGATGTAATGCTTACATGTAACAGAAGCACTGCTGACAGGAATGACAGCCCTTGACAGTAGCCTACTTCCTCATCGTAAACAGAGTAGGCCTGACAGAGAATGATGACAATTGGTTAACAACAAGTTCACAGGTTATCAACAGTAATTTTACATTATATGTGTAGCTAAGTTCTAAATCATAAATGAATAAAAGCTTTTTTTCTGATTATTAAGATGCTTGGCAGCTCTTTCTCTAAGTTTGTTAACCCGTTGATAGACTAGAGGATAACAGCTGGTATTGTTCAACAACTGAAGTATATGAATAAAGATAATTTCAAGTTAGGTACATCTAGATGACACACTCCCCTTGACAAGTTACTTGTTCTGCTCACTTATGTGGTGACTAATGTACTCAAACTTTTCAATATTGGCAGGAAAAAACATTTGTCTCAAAAAAAAAAAAATTCAATGAGACATTTCTTAAAAAACTGCAAAAAAATCTACACAGCTTCATTAAACTTATTAGCCTTTTCATATGCTTTTAAGAAATTCATTGAAGTAAAATATTCACTCAATGACAATTAAATACTGCCCTCAAATAAATGCCAATCTTGATTGAATGCCTCAGATAGGGCACAATTCCCAGTAAACACTATGCTTGAATAAATGGTGCACCCAATCAGAACAATGTGGAATATATTCAAGGATTAAAGGGAAAAAACTCCTACCATAAAATTACTTTAAAATACATAATTCTGGAAAATTCATGTCCAAAAGTGAGACATTGGAACTAAAACACATTTCAAATCTACACAGAATTTTCAAATGAGTTACAATAATTGTTGTCAAGGATTTAAGAAAAATGATTTTAAAATATGCATTGCCCTTGAATAAGTGTTTGCAGTGTAAAAAAAACTGAAAATTATATAAACCCTCAATATTCATTAGAGTAAAACAGCATCAAAAACAAAAGTCTTACTTTACTGATTTTATACAATGTTTCCTGACCCTCTCCTCCAGTGCTTTTAAAATACTCATGGGCAGGGAAGGTACGGTGAATGTCCCACTTAATCACCTGTTCTGTTGGAGATTCCTGATCACAAGAAAATAAATTTCAGCATTCGAAACATGAACAGTGTGTAGAATGGAATATTTCTTTTTCATGGAAGAATTCTGTGTAACATTTCTGTCACCCTTGGTTACTTTATGCCATAAGTAAAATATCCTTCAACAGATCACTTCCACAATTCTCATAACTTACTTCTTCACTTGCTAGCGCATTGGGATAAGCTGGGAGAAATAGCCTGCTGATTGATCTACCTTCTTGATGAAATGTTTATAACCCTCAATGAGTTCATCATTTTCCTTCACACCGGCCATCATCTGCCAAACTTGTCCACGGAGAGGATCTGGTATGCCCTTAGTTAAAAAAGATAATAAAGTTAACTATGTAGCTCACTTATTATGCCATATCACTCACTTGCAATAACAAAGTCTTAAATTTAAGTTTTAAGTCTTTAATTTATTTGTTTTGGTATTACAGCAGATTCTTGCTTGACAGATAACCAATTTTTGCAAACATGCCGCTATTTGAGCAAAATGTATGTCAAATTATTTTGATGTTGCACTTGTGGCAGATGAATGCCCCTTTTCAATGTGAAATGCTGAATAGCGAGCTTCAGGGATGGAAAGAACATAAAAGATCATGTTTCAACCAATTTTTCCCTGATATTAGCCCACCTTTCTCACAAGTCCTTGCAGTTGTTTTGGTTTAATAGTAATGTCCTTCCATTTGTTTAAAAGATCTGACCAGCTGCCTAGCTCTTCCTCAGTGCAATCCTTTTGAACAGCACCTGATCCTGACAGCAGTGGCTCATCATCTTCATCATCATCTATACATGAGATTAAACAAACATACAGCTTTATACAGATTACTGTGGCTGAAACAGGAATGTTCGACTCATTATAGTCCTAAAACACCACAAACAGAGGCAAATCAAATTTTGACATGTGAGTCAACTTAAAATTTACCATTCTTGATGCTCAATCCTTAGAAATTTATTCAACACAAGATTTAATCTATTCTCCATCGCCTTCCACACATCATTTCATTCAAGACTGCAATACCATTGTACATCAGAAATCATTAAAATATGAAGTTTACAAGCTCATTGGTTCAACTTGGATGCCAACATTTGAGTACCAAGAGACCAGTAGACTTAAGGAACTATTCTCAATGCTAAGATGCTATGAAATTAATTATCTTCTGGTATAAACAAAGTAACTGAAGATCTGACATTTGTTATACAAGTAGTGCTGACCATCAGATGTCTTGTTCCCTCCAGATGATTGCCTATTCAAAGGAGGCTGCCTTTTGGTCAAAGTTTTGGAAGTTTCGTAACTAAGTTCAGTTTTGATACTTTTCACTTCACATCCTTTTTCTCCCGTGTCAGTATCAAAAACCTATCAAAAAAAAAAGATTCAATTAACATACTATATTTCTTCAAATATGTGTTCCCTTGGCTCTTTGTTCCAGTGACTTTGCTTTCATGACAAATTCAAAAAGCTGGGAGCCCAAGATGTCTAAGACAAAAGCCTTTGGGCATCAAGTGATTTGCTTTGAAGCATAGCTTTGTAAAGCTTTACTCCTTGTTTCAATGTAGCAATACTACAAACACCATTTCCCCCTTAGTGGTTTAAATATAGTTAAATGGCAGCCAAAAAGATAAGCCATAATTAAACTTGAAGACAAGAATAAATATTGCTTTTACCCTGCAAGAAATATTTTAACCTCTATTGATCAATTGGAGTAGACATTGAAGCTTTTTTCTTTCCAGTTGAGTATTCTTTCATACAATTTCTCTGTTTGAGAGGTTTACAAAGGCATTTGAATGAGAAATTTCCACCTTTGTCCCACCCCCAGATATACATAGAGAAGACAATAGCAAGCCCTTTAACTCCCAGAAGTGATTAACATGTAACTTCTCCCTATAATATTCTTACATTATCCAGCAAGCAGGTAATGAGAAAACTCAAACTTATCAGGTAGAAGTAGTTATCTCCATCTTACTCCAAGTTCTTGTATTTAATTTACAAGGAAACATGTAGCAGCCAGAAGGGAGAATTAACAATCAGATCTTGGGAGTTAAAGGGTTAAAGGACAGAACCTGACCAATCAGGAGAGGAAGGGGATACTACATTTAATCCACATTTGAAGCATAAATCAATGAGAGTGGTGAGAGTAAGTGAGTGAATTTTAGTTCCATACCAAAAACTCATAGTATGACCACCTTACCTCCTTCAGTTCCATAACATAAACTTCATGGAATTTTGGTTTACTCGGGCTCCAGAAGAATTTTTCTCCAGTGGGAAAAATTTTGGCCTTTGTCTCCAAAATGAAGCGGACTGGTTCTGTTACTCCAGTGACAACTAAGTCAACAGCTATTGTCACAAATAGTCGAGAGTCTGAAAAAATGAAATATTTTCACTCAACATTTTCATTTAAGTTAGCTTTACAATGAAACCTAAATTGAGTAGACAATAACAGCCTCAGGACCCTTGGTACTGTCTGCTCAATTACAGGGTGTCTGTCTGATATAGTTTCTAGTAAACTGCAACACAATTAGAAATGTAACTTCTCAGTTTGTTACTTAATCACTGAAAATCACTGAAAATTTAGAGCTTCTCTTTTCTTGTGTATGCTCTGTTTTGGCAGATTACCAGAGAAATCTGAATGTAAACATAGTTAGGAACTCAGTAGGTGTATTTTGGCCGGTTGTTCAACAGGCTTTGCTATTATGATGATGAATAACAGTTCTTTACCTAAGCTGAGAGGTAAATAGTACTTTTCAGCCTATTAACATAGGTTTTAGATAAAAACAGGATCCTAATGCAGACATCCATCAGACAGATTTGTTGTGTACTAAATATGAGAAAAAGGCTGGGACATAACCATTTAAACTCTAACATTGGTATGCATATTCTCCATACTGTTCTCTATACATATCCTGAAGTGCTCACAGGGAGAATTTGGTTAAAAATCAAGAGCTTTGTAAGTTGTTGATCATTTCCTTGATTCTTGTGACCTTAATGTTTGATTCAGGGGTGATATTGTAAGGAGAAATTAGAAGCTGGTCTCTCTTAGGGGTTTTAGGATTAATAGGTTGATGCTTGCTTTTATCAGAGTAAGTAATGTATACTGCTTAACCCTCTACACCCTAATATCAGTATGCATATTCTCCATACTTTTCTCTGTAAATTTCCTGTGGTGCTCATGAGGAGAATTTGTTTAATAATTGTGAGCTTCTTTCGCTGGTGATCATTACCATTATTCTCATGACCTTAATGTGTGATTAAGGAGTGATATTTTAAGGAGATGCTTGTCACTCTTTTTTGTCGAGGGTTAACCCTTTAACTCCCATGAGTGACCAAGACAGAATTTTTACTTACAATAACAATACAATAACAATACAATAACAATACAATAACAATACAATAACAATACAATAACAATACAATAACAATACAATAACACAATAACAATACAATAACACAATAACAATACAATAACACAATAACAATACAATAACACAATAACAATACAATAACACAATAACAATACAATTACAATACAATATCAACAAGATAAGTTATGAGAATAAAGAAAAATATAAATTTAGGGATAATTGGTTAATCCAATACTAAATTCGCTGAACAAACATTATAAGAAGTGTATTGTTGAAAATAAGGAGAATTAGAAATTTGATCTGGGAGTTAAAGTGTTAATACCAGTAGCACTTTAGATTCATGCAAGAAAGTTAGAATCTTGAGTCAAATTAAATTCCTCATAAACTGCCTGTTTTTCCACTGTTATTAATTCCATGCAGAAACATTTCCTATTAATATATAACATTAAAATGAAACTTGTCCAACTAAGATTTCTACCTTTAGGGGTCTCTGTGTTTAACACTAACAAGTCACGTACAGCTGGATCCCAAAAACCAGCGATGAAATATGTTTTGCCACCCTCTCCAACCTCCATTTTCACCTAAAATAGATTCACACTTATTAGAATCCATGAGTACTGAGCTTCTCAAAATCATACATGCAATTTAGTCAAAACCTTTTATATCTTAACTACCAAATGAGTTTCCTTTTTCAATTAAACTTATAAATTAAGGCAAATTGCTATATATAGCTGGAATTTTTTCCCCATCAGTGTACACACTCATTGGATACTTCAAAATTACACAATATCTAACAATGAAGCTGTTTCTGGTCAAAAGCCTTCAATTGTGTAAATTGTAAAAACCTATACAGCAAAAGAGTAACATTGCACTGATACTCACAAATGTTAACCAGTGATTGTCATCCCACACAAACAGATCATGACTGAAGGGGACATGGAGGCCATGAGACATTTCTAACATTGTAAAACTTTATGCTCTCATGGGCTTACATATAATTCATCAGTAAAATTTCTAATTTTGTTTTCACATTGTATGATCTCAAATCTTCTTTGTGTTCTATAGCAAATCATTTATGACTGGTTCCTCAGGTTCTTTTAGGAAAACACTAAGATTCACCAGTCTTGAAGTGTTACATATTATCTGATGGTTTTTGACATGTCTCATAATTTGCCAAAAGACTATAATTATCTTCCAAAAAATATTGTGTAGTCATAATGGACATGTAATCATTGTCACACTTGAGCTCATTCAAATAATACTATAGCTAACCTCATTTAATAGGTGCATGTCAGAATATCGAACATTCTTTCCTGGACAGATAAGAAGGCCAAAGCACCTGGAAGAGAAAAGGGAAAACATATTTTAGGGTTTGTGACAATGAGAGGGAGGGGGGCATGCTAGCCTTAAAGTCAAACTGCTTAGAGATAAAGATTCCAGTTTGAGTTGAAGCCTCTAAAGGGAACCAATATAGCATCATGTTAAAGAAGCTATGTCATCAGTTATCTGTGTTGAAAATTGGTTTAGCCTTTCCTCTGTGGTGGTCATCTATCTAAATTAAAGATCTCTGTACACTTCCCTTTGTATAAACTAAGCCAGTTTTCTATGTCATGAGAAAATTTTAAAAAATTGGGATATTTTGCCATGGGAAAGGTTCCTGACTACCATCAGAATTTTAAACTGTAGGGTTTTAATCAATAAGTGTCCTTAATAGAACCATTGTTACACTTCAAACCAAGTAGGACAGAGTTATTATTAGTGACATAATCATTCTTCTTTTTTCAGCAACTGGGATAGTTACAAACCTCTCTACAATAAGATGTCTGTTAGTCAACTGCTGCACTGTAATGAACACTTTCTTTCTCAAGTCTTGTCGTAATTTGAAGCAGTTTTTGTCCCTTGCTGCTGAAGAAAATCCCTTATTGTCTTCCTCAAGAATGTCAAGAGTCAGGTCAAATTTGAACACAAGGTTGCTGACACCAGTGACTGTTGTTGGGGGATCCAAGGATGACTGTTGTGACTGTTGTGACTGTTGCTTTCTCTTTGCAAGAAAGTAAATAATAAAACAAATTTTTAAGGAAACGATCACACACGTGAAAAGTTAAACATTAAACAAAGGGCAAGATGTTCTCAGAATAATGGAATTGACCTTGAAACAATCAAGCAACACTCAGTGAAGAAAATTTGTCACAGAAAAAGCATGCTGTGTAAAAAGGGGAAAATTTTTCTAATGACACCGGCGGACCAAACTGATCAACGTAATTCATTTGAACTTCAAATCTATGGAGACCAACAGCTCATGCAAGTTTATAAGTCTTCAACAAAATATAACTTGCACTCATTCAACTCAAATGAAAGAGAGATGGTTTTCAGACCTGTTCCTCTGACAAAATAACATCTTCATTAGTCCGCAAAATTCACCACTTTCCTTGTTCTATCTACTTGAATGTACAAATTAAACTCAAGATCATGGGGTTACCTCAGTCTATGTGGCACTCAAGATAAAAAGTTTTTCATATTGCAAATTCCAATTTTGAGTATCATCATAAAAACTGTCACTCAAATTTAGGAAATAACATACCTTCCTATGCCTTCTAAATGAGAGAGCAAATGTTCTCAAGATCTTTCCAGCCTAGGTAATAAATTGAATTCATATTATTACACAACCAAAGATTCCTTAGTGTTAAAGAGAAACATTTATGGGTAAATAATTTAAAGAAATACGATCCCATAAATCTTGCAATACCCATAAGTATCTACAACTTGACTTGGATTTCATTGGAATTACAAGTTCATGTCTATACCATGGTCAACTCTCAGAGGTCACAAGGTTCATAACTGCAATTGCTTTTCCTAAATTTCTGTGGCATGAAGCTGTGCAGAGTATGTCTACTCCTCTAGTACAGGATGACAGTTCAAAATGAGTAAACCCCCTACATTTTGCCAGGTTCCCCAAACAGTTTCCTGCTATCCCTGGGGGGAGAGGAGAAAGAGTAACTTTATGACCCCCCCCCTCCCCTCTTCCCCTTCTGCAAGGCTTGACTATGAACCTCCAGGTTTAGAGGCAAGTGCACTAAGCATCAGGCCACCTGTTTCCTATATTCACAAAGGGAATACTCCTGAAGCCTTTAAACCCTAGCATTGGTATGCGTTTTCTCCATACTGTTTTCTACACATTTCGTAAGGTGTTGACAAAGAGAATTTGTTTAACAATCAAGGATTTTTCAGTTGCTAATAATTTCCTTTGTTCTCCTAACTTAAGTGTTAAATTCAGAAGGGATACTGTTGGGAAAATTTGGATGCTTGTCAGGGGTTAAAACCCTTTCATGGCATGCTTGCTGATAATCCTACTTTGGAATCTACATCTTACTAATAAAGCTTAAATGTACCTTGATCAGAAACAAACTTCTTAACCCTTTCCATCCCAGAAGTGACTGACAATTGTTCATCAAATAGGAAATGAGAATTCTTAACCTTATCAGGAAGAAGTTGTTATATTGATCTAACACCAAATTCTTGTAATTAATTTACAAGAAAATATGCAACAGCTAGGGGGGGGAGAATTAGCAATCAGATCTTGGGAGTTAAAGGATTATGGAAAACTAGGAGAACATGATTGGTAGAGAGTGATACTAAAAACAGAATTTCCCAAACAAACCCATCCCGGGGAGAAATATCCAATTTTCCCAAGTAGATTTTTTTGAGACAAGAAAATGGCCTCACCTTCTCTGGATCTTTGCATCTGAATACATGGCAATGGAAGATCTCAGAATCACCATGGACAGTATTGAAGGCAAAGCAGTCACTTTCGCTTCCCTCAACATCACCACGGCCACAAAACAGGATCCTCTGTATTTTATAAGTAGCAATGTCAGCCTGTGTCTCTGGGTCTTTGAGTCTTATCATCTTGTCCGATGTGGAACCAACATACAACAAAACATCAATGGTGACCTCTGTTTGTTCTCGCAAGATAGCCATTGTCCTTTTCAATTCAATTTCACTCACTGGAGCATTCACAGTGGAGGATCCCAAGTAAGTTATCCCATCATATACAACAGCATCATCATCACTCTCTTCATCTGATTGTCCAGGATCAGTACTTGCTCTGGGTTGCGCTGACTCTCCAGCATCAAGCTCTGTACCATTTGATGCTTGAGTAGTGTTGGTGTTATCACCATGGATTCTTCCATCTACTGTTTGTGAATCACCTTCAGCAATGCACGGATTCAAAACATGACAATTTTTTTCATCAGGTATCAGTTCAATACTGCCATTTACTGCTAATGAATTGTCATTACTGAGAGGAGTGTTCTGAGAATTGCTCTCTGAACCTGGACTAAAGAATACCTCTGGAACTGATGCAGAGCTATGAGAAAAGTCCTTTTTTGCATCTTCCACCAAATGTTGCAGCTCTTCCTCTGTTGGTCCCTTCTCCAAGGTAGCCTCCATGTCAGGGATTATCACATCTGCAAAGCTACTCACACTACTCCCCTGAGATTTACAAACTGACACGCCTGAACCTGAATCAGATTCAACATCAGGCGTAGCAAGCATAATGTATTCATGATCACTGTTTAAAGACTTTGAATCTGGGCTGCGAGGTTGCTCTGGACTACTGGAATTGCTTCTGCCTTGGCCACTTTCGCTTGCTTTCTGATCAGCCATGAATAATCTTGTCACACGGTTTAGGCAAATATGTCTGAAGTCAGCTGTTCACAATTAACTAAGATCCTTAAAGATTGAAGCTGTCTTTCAACCAAAGGAAATAAATTTCGTTTTTATTGTTTAAAGGATAGGCAAATCCTCATTATAAAAGTAGAGCAGGATTTATTACAGATCAAATGAAACCCTTCGTAGTGTATCGAATCAGGTCTGAGATTCTAGATCTGACTCCGGATGGCCGTCGGTTTTGAGAGCGAAGACAAAATGAATGTTAATCCAAACTGACTGATCAATAGAGAGTTCAAATAAACGATGAACTTCTTTTTCACCAAAGATTTTTTCAATCTGACGACCCTTTTCGTCGATCTGAGAGAGAAAAAGTAAAAATTATCAGATAGCAGATGTCTTTGTTCTTAAATTTAGACGATTGAACGAGAACATGAAACTCAGATCTATTAAAAGCCAACATTTCTTACCTTTTTTTAAACGACGAGTGAAAAGGAAGCTTCTACCTTCCCAATAATTTTTGAAGTTTCAGCAATGGCTAGCGAATTAGACAACAGTCAAAAATCGATCAAGTCTTGTTCACAATATATGACGTCAAGAGACAAAAGGGGAGGAAACAGAATTATTTGTCTTTCAATACAGCCCATTAGGTGCACCTTTCATATTGCTTTACTTTCACACCAATAAATTTCCCTAAAATAGACAAAGTCGCTTCGCTGCAGCCCACACAGACGAATTAACATCGGATGGACAGATCAAAATAAAGAGCAGACAGCTTTTATCAGTGCCCGCGGTGCTTGCCGGGACTTTTTGGATACTGCAAGCCCATTACATGATGGAAGGTTGTAGAATTTCAATATGGCGGCGCGGCATGTGCTGCGAACTCCTTGGAATATCTCGCCTGTAAGAGGTACGGGTGGTTCATTCTCCCCATACATGACGTTATTTTATATTGAAATTAATTTCTATGCCATTTTATCGTAGGAAAGACAATTATCTCTTCTCTTTTGGCACCAATTACAAGGTTCAGGCAGGCTTGTTCAATACATACTCACAGTTCCATACTTTCCAGTGAACTATCATCTGCTGTAGAAACTGATAAGACTAAACCAGATGAGGGTGGTAAGTTAGATTTTTGAGTAGGGATTCGTGTCAATAGATTTAAATCTGAAAGAAGTTCACAAAAATTAGCTTACATAACTGATATCATGTGATGCTGTATTTTGACTTGAATACGTAGCTTTCGTGTCTTCCAGTCACACTTACCTTGTAAAAAAAATATTTTATTCTCTGATCAGCTCACAAGTATTTTCCCTTTCGATTTTCATTCTCGTGGTGGAGAAAGTAACTCTTACTACTACTGACTGTGAATATATGAAAATCATATATTTGTACTGAAGCAGTAGTGGAAAAAGTGTTCATCACTGCGTAGATTACTTCCACATTCATTTCTCTATCCGCAGTTCACATATATGATTTTCATTTATTTACAACCATTTACTCATCACTTCATTGGATTATTTGGAACCAATATAATGACCAGCTCCCTGTTGGCTTGTTAGCTCAGTTAATGGAGCACTGCTCTGGTATTGCTGAGGTTGTGGGTTCAAATCCTTTACAGGCCTGAATTTTTTTTCAGGCCTTATCTTCACTACTGCTTAAGCAGTGTTCATTTCTGAGGAGGTTGCTTCCATATTCAGTTTGTACTACTACTACTTTGTAACATACAGGTATTTCTTTTTCGTTTAGAAATTGTTGAAAATGATGAAGGAAAAAACATCCTGGAGCACCCAGATTACTTTGAAGTTCATAAACTTTTCACTCTGAAAGATCTTTTCAATGCAAATGTTCATCTTGGCCATAATGAAGGCTGTTGGGACCCTTTGATGAAACCTTACCTCTTCGGAGTCAGAGAAAAGCATCATATCATTGATCTCAACCAGACAGTTGTGCATTTGAGGGTATGTAAATGCATCATGCGAATAAAGGGGTTAAGTTTCCAAAGAAACTGTGGTGCTGCATGGGTGGGAGAGTATAACAGGGTAATTAAGTATTATTAACTGAGTTGATTGCATAAAGTGGCCTCCAAAAAGAGTAGCAAAGCTTGTGTTTCAAGCATTAGTCATTGCTCTGATGAAGGGCTAATGCTTGAAATGTCAGCTATGTTGTCCTTTACAGGAGCCAATTTTTGCTATTAACTCAGTTGATAATGCTAAATTATCCTACATGCATCACAATTGATAGTTTATAGATATCAAGAATGGATAAGACTGAGAGCTGGTGGGACTCTTTCTATGTGGTGTGATTTTACAAGATCACCTCTGAATCACAAAGTCACATTATAAGAATAAAGGAAATAATCACCTACTAAAGCTTGTGATTGCTAGACAAATTCTCCTTATTAGCATCATAGGAAATGTTTAGAGAAAAGTATGGAGAATGTGCCTACTGATGTTATGGTGTAAAGGGTTCACTAGTGGTTTTGTAGCTGGAGTACAGAGTTAACCTTTTACCTTCTCATTAGAAGTCTTTCTGAATCTGGTGCTAATTGCAGCATTTCTTTAGGAGAAATTGTGGTAGAGATTGTCAAAGAACTAAACACAGTGACCCTGGCTAGATCTCAAGCTAAAATTAATGGACAGATAATACAAAAGACGGAGTGAACTTCACACATGACAAACTAGAGTGTTTTTTTTGTGTCCTTTTCCGTGTTAAGTATTTTTTTGTTGATAGCATCTATCTCTTGACTTTAGTGTGAATGGCAAACAATTTCATTCCCTTTTTTGACCCTCTTAAACAATTGCTTCAGGATTTTCATCCTTCCCCAAATAAATTTTGATCAATTCTGTTTTAAAACAAAGTGTACATCACAATCCATGAGGCCCACAGAATACCTTATGTCTCGTGCTCTTTTACTTCTCACCTTAATTTAATGCTTTACCAGCTGACATCAGTATGCATGTTCTCCCAACTGTTGTTTAACAATCAGAAGCTTCCTTAGTTTACGATCATTTTCATTTTTTGCTTATTTCCTTTGTTCTTAACCCTTTCACTCCTTACAAGTGACCAAGACAGAATTTCTCCTCACAATATCAATACAGTATCAAGCAGGTAGGTTATGAGAATAGAGAAGAACATCAATTATGGGATTATTAGTTGATCCAATACCAAATTCTCTGAAATAACATCATAAGAATTGTCTGGCAGATAGTAAGGAGAATTACTAATTAGATCTTGGGAGTGAAAGGGTTAGAGTCTGATTCAGGGGTTGATGTTGTAAGAAGAAATTAGATGCTACACACTTAATATAGAGGAACTGCACCCATTTGTTACTTCCTCCTGTTCTAAGTGGTGACATTAACCTTTTTTTTTCCTTCCAGCTTGCCTTGAATGTTCTTTCACACATTGCCTATAAAAGAGGGAAAATTCTCTTTATTTCTGCCCACCCCCAGTTTGAAGAATTGACACAGCGCACTGCAAGGGAATGTGATGAGTACTTTATAACTCGCAGATGGCGTGGGGGAACTCTGACCAATTCTTACATGTTATTAGGAACAACTGAACTTGTTGATATGATTATATTTTTGCATTTGCCATCATTGGGAAAAAACACTCTGGCTGTGACAGAAGCTGCTCAGCTAAATATTCCTACTATCGGCATAGTTGACAGTGATTGCAATCCTAATATGATTATGTATCCCATACCTGGAAATGATGATACACCTTCTGCTGTCCAACTGTACTGCAATCTGTTTAAAAAAGTGATAATTAAAGCAAAAGAGGAGAGAAGAAAACTAGGCTCTGATACTGAAGAGAGTGGTGAAAATGCATAAAATTTCTGTTGGAATTTCATCTTCCAAGAAGAAAAGTTTGAAAAGAAAAACAGAAGTGCTTTAAAGTTACTGGGAGAACTGTCTGTGTATTAAATATATCAAACTTCACCCTTGATACTGTTATTGCTTTTTTTATCATTTAACTGTCACATTCCAGAAATTTTGCCCTTGAGGAAAATAATCTGAAATTCAATGAATGGTCTGCAAGTTTACAAAGTGACTATTATCTAGCCATGATCAAAGTTGGTAAAACAGGGAACTTACAGGTGGGGTAATTGTGTCAGGTGACAAAAGGTGCTTAGGGATGGTATTCAGAAAATTTCTAGGGAAAATAGGATGTTTTGAAAGATAGTTCACAATTCCTGTGAGATCCATATCTTTTCAATTTAGTATATACCAGTTCCAGGCCTATGAGATCTCTCCATGTTTTTTTCAAAGATAAGTGGAAATGGCAGAAAGTACATCTATGTATCAGTGTTGTAGCTATGGCTTTTGTTTTGTGTGCACCAATTGGCTATTTCCACAGTGAATAGAAAGTGTGGTATGCACTAAAACAGTTATTCACCTCAGTGTTTATTCACATCCACTTCAATGAATAATTGTTAATTATGGGCCATTCCAAATTCTTGTTTTATCAATGCCCAGAACCAGACACATGTGAAGCTTTCTCCATCTGGTGTTACAACATAAGTTCTCTTGAAGTCAATGTTACTTTATTTAAATGAAAACTATCAACAGAAGCCTGTGACCTGCCACCTGTGACCCGGGAACTGTGACCAGAAACCAGTGAACCATGACTTGCCATCTGTGACCAGCAACCTACAACCTGTCTGTGAGCTGCACTGTGACCAAGACTAGATATATCCATCTTATCACAGATTTTGTGCTGACAGCTTGGAAAGAGACAACTTATCTTTAAACATGAGGTGTTTAAAGGTTAATAATTCACTTTTGCAAGCAAATAGCTCAAAGGTCTATGTGATCCAGGTTTTAAAGTTTGGTCAATGTTTAGAAAGTCACAGTCACTGATCTTGCCTTCAACAAAAGTAATGGGTGGGACATTTTCCCTGAGGTTGGGAATTTAAACAAACCAAACCAATCTTCAAAAGTTCAAATGCCAGGGGAGTTGCCCAACGGGAAGGGGGAGGGGTGGAGGGGTGGAGGGAGATGTTGAAGTTTCTAATTGATTGACACATTAATACTTGTAGCTGCGAGGCTCACAAGGGCTCGAAGTCAAAGTAAGCCCAGTACCTTCCCATCCTCCATATTTCCTCCCTCTGAAAAGAAGCCTGGGAAAAAGGCTGAAGTTTTTAGATAGCACTCGTTAAGAAGAGGACATTTTCAACCCTCAGAGAATCAATTCACTGCCACCCAAATCCACTTTTTCAGACACCACATTCCTAACAGTCTTGAAGACATATCCTAATGCGTTTGAAGTGCTCCATGGATAGCAAAGAAATTTAAACGAATAATTTTGAAAAGTTTAATAAATATTTTAATTAGTATTTACAAATGCACTCAACAAGCTCAATGAGTCAATTCTCCTATCAATTGAGAGTATTAATGGAACTATATTAACATTTAAAAGTCATAACTTCAATGTAGACAATATAAATAATTTTTTTGTTTCCAAAGCAACGTCTGAAAATGTGCTGTTTGAAGCTGGTTATTAACCCTTTAACTCCCAAAAGTGATTAACACAAAACTTCTCCCTCCAATATCCATACATTCTTCAGCAAACAGGTAATGAGAATATTCAAACTTATCAGGTAGAAGCTACTATCTTGATCTAGCACCAAGTTCTCATAACTAATTTACGAGCAAATGTGTTGCAGCTACAGGGGAGAATTAACAATCAGATCTTGGGAATTAAAGGGTTAATGAAACTCCATAACACCTCTTAGGGGTTTTTTTTTTCCTTGAGCGGATGTGCGAATCACCGTCTTTCAGATAAATATCTTCACGTTTCCGTGATGCTCTGAAACGTAAAATAAATAAGAAAATGTAATATGGTAACTTGAAATAAGTAGGCACGGAAAAACTCATTTTCTTCCATTCCCTGCCTTCAGCTGATGCGAATGCTAAAAATATTTCTAGGAAATAATTAACAGGTCACGATGCTCATTCCTTTGTAGCCGTTAAAAAGGCTGAAGTACGTAATCACTAACAAATTCTGGTTTCGTGTTTTCTCTTCTTCAACAAACACATTGCCTTTGGCTGATCAAAGACAAAAATCATCCAACATCAACGGCGTTTTCAATAAGTAATCACAAGAGAGTGACTATTTCCATGAATGAAAAAAGATGTAACGTCTATTAATTACAAAATAGTATTGAATAATTCAAGTGCTTCACGCAGTGAGTATTGTTCTAAACAACAACCTCATTTGAACTGGCAAATGAAGTCAACTATTTCTAAGATAAAAATTTGTAATATCTATATATTAAGTTAGCAAGATTTGATCTTAAATTACAATTTCAGCGATGAAACAAGTTCGACAAGTGTCAATTCACTGTAGGATAGCAATTGGAATAAGATATCAATGAATACTTTGGATCTGTTCACGGCAGATCACTCAAACTCCTGCTCGCATATTTCGTTTTCTAGTGTCTATTTCATTGTTCTCAGTGCTGTGGACTGCGTAACACTGCCGGACATCATTCTAGCAAGACCCTTTAAACAGGCTACGTGCACGAAGTATACCACATCTCTATCATCGTTATCAACATCATTGATGGATGAATTCCTCTACAAGGCCAAAGTCAGTGACACACAAAGAGATCTCCCATTAGGTAGAAACATCGTCACTTGTGTCTACTTGCGGCTGCTCTCATTTCTCCCCACTGCAGGCTGTCATTCCACTCACAGAGAAGTACTTGGAATGTCGTCCACCCTTACTGAATCGGTAGGTTCCTCCTCTGTATCTGACATACTTGTGTTGCATGGACGAATCAGGTAACTGAACAAACATCAATCAAACATTTCCTCAATCAATATGACAAAATTTCTTGTGTCTTAACCGGATGCGAGTATGCTTATATAAATCATTTGATTAAACCGGCGAGACACAAAAATAACGGGACCGATCGAATCGCAGGGAAGCTGATGTCTTTATATCCTATTAACGAGTTATACCCAAGGACATAAGTAATTGCGCAAGGAAACAAGTTAAAAACAACTCAGAGATAAACTTAAGCCTAAAGTAATACGCGTGCCGCAGATAAGAATGTGTGACGTAACTGACGAGGAGTTGAGTTATTAACTAATAGTCCTTCCCTTTGGGCGAGGCCCGTCGCGCGAGTCAATAAAAACAGTAGGAAAAAACAATTGATGTTATCGCGCTGCGCGGAACTCCGGGAATGTCCCTTGAGTGAATCACACGAAAAGCAGCATCAAATTTTTTTTCGCGAATTGTTTTTGAATCGCGCGACGGTCGTCGTTAACAATAAGGATCGGGCTGTTCGTAGTCTAATCTCGAGGCTACATCTAAAGAAACCAAACAGGAAAGAGTTCTCTTGCTACTCACATGATGTCACCGATTTGTAACTGAAACTCAGGATTGGGGTTGACAACCACGTAAGAGTTACCTAACCTGTGAGTCATATCAGCTGCAAAAAAAGTATAACAATCTTTACTATGAGGTACTCACGGTGTAAATTTTTTTTAGTTATTTACTTTACGAGCTCTATCACAATGAACTGCAGGTACCAAATGACATCAGAAGCATAAAAAAATACAAGAATGTTCTTTTGCCATCCATCAGAGAAATAAAAGGAGAAGGAGGAACTATAAGCGGCTATCACAAGTTGGGGTTGACACTTGTCCGAAGGTATCTCCAATTGTCACAGTGATAAAAAAAAAAATAACACATACTAATAATTATGAAAGCCTTGATAGCTAGCTCCTATTGTGTAGAAATTTGTTAAAAAGAATAATTTCCATCCAAAGCAACACAAAAAACAATTCATCTGGATTCCACAGAGTCGCATAGATTGTAACAGACACGTCTTTCCTTGAATCTGACAACTACTTTTGCTGTGGTTGTCAGAATGTCAGAATGTCAGAAGTCCTTTTACAAATTGCCCTAACCCGGACAATGAGACCATAAGATCGCCCCCCCCCCCCCCCCCCACTCTGTATACGCCTCAACTTACGAGTTCCAGTGATGCTCAAAACTTTCATCCTGTGCTCGATGATGTCCGAGATGTCCCTAGTCTCCTTCTTTCTCATCCTTGGGAAGGCATCAACACTGTCCTCCTGAGTAACAACACAAAGATGGAAACGGTAGCATAAATTGCTGGTAGAAGAGTCAATTTTATCCAAATGCAAGCAAAGTATTTCGTCTTCGTTGCACCCGTTGTTTGGGAGAGGAAAAATAGTTATGCAAAAAGATCTATGATCTTTCAAGAATTGAGGATTTATTAAGAGACAAATACGCAAATTTTTTTCATTGTTAGCAATGGGCAAATGATCTTTCAGGTGAGGTCCTAAACCTTCACAACTAATGTGACAGCAAAGCAATGTAAGTCAACACAGGTGCTGCGTTGTGCGCCATAAGTTCTTAATTACCTCTGGAATATGTGATCGATAGAGGCCAATAGGAATGGCAAACGTTGTCGAGCAAAGTCGCTGAAAAAGCCTTCCATACGTTTCGATCCAAATGTTATCTTCAGTGACTTTCAGCTGGTGAAAAACATAAAAAGCGTGTCTCAACAGTTATAAGAAATTTGCATCGTCTGGTATGCAATGTCGATGTTACAAGGCTGGTGCTTTTAAAACACTATTTCATATTCGGCTGAGGTTAATTTCAACCATGTCATGTTTTTTAAGAGCAGTCAGTTCAGATAAAGTGGTGAATATAATCCAGGATGTCACTTGTTTTGCTTTTCATCACTCTGTGACTAGTTTAAACAAACTTAAGCAACCTCCTCGACCAGTCAAATGCGAAACTTGACTAATAGTTATTTGCTTGTTTTCCTTCGAGTTTTTCATTGGTTCATGGAATTATTCTGATCTACAGTTGGTTTTGAGCGTGGGAGACTTGAAACGAAAATCTCTTCAAAAGCGTTATGCAATGCTGACTGAAATACACTGTAATGTATGTATAACGACATAAAACTAAGAGTTCTTTCCGCTTGACGTTTCCTTACTGAAGAGAGATATCCTGATCCAGGCGATTGTTCACAGCCTAACAGAAGTCTGACCAGGTAGATCATGTATTCCTTCACAAATGCCTACAATTAACGAGTAGGCGGGTTAACATCGAGCACACATTGGTGATACAATCAGGGGTGTAACGAGGGGGGAAGGTGTTGTTTTGTTGTGCATATTACCATTTATGTCAAGACAATACTGACAGACCTGACATACCTTGAAATACTAGTAAAAGCGTAACGAGCTCTCCCCACCCCTCCACCCACAAAAGAATCCTGCCAACGCCCCCAAGAATACCTTCGGCCTCACCAGTAAGTTTATGACCTCTATTTTTCCACATATAGCTACCTAGTTCTGCTTTACTTAACTTTGCAACAGTTTTTAGATAGAAGATTTTGTCAAACTGCGAAAGTTTCTTCAGTCTCTTGTTCAACTTTCCTACATTTCCTTGATAAAAGGGTTCCCCAATGAATTTCAAACCACAAATTTTTAAAATAAAATAATAAATTTCTGTGATGTCTAATGCCTCTGTGTTTAAACAAGGGAAAGCCCAAAGCAATTGATATAAAATATTTATCTACTATAACGTAAATAAGTCTCATCTGACAAGAAAAAGTTTACACTAAGCCTCCTTATAAAATATCATTGACGTCGCCCATGGCTTATTGACAAATTGTTTCTACAATGATTGCATAAAATTCAAATGATGAAAAATAACCAAGAAAACATACAGACCTGATACAGCAGGGTATCCAGCATGCTCATGCTGAACACGTGACCGGCAGCAAAGGGTTCACGGAACATATAGTTTAAATGGTCTTTATTCTGCTGTTTGATTCTCCTCTAAAGAGAAAAGGTACATAAATGAGTTTCAGAGAAAAACTAAAACTATACTTTGTCATTTGATTGTGCTTAATACCTTAGTCAACCGTTTACTGAACTGTCTTATTTCACTTTTCGGACCTATCTTTTCACCTGTAAGAATTACTTTTAAGGGTCCCAGCATTAATCCAATCATTTCCAAGAGACCTCTTAAATTTCTAACTAATTTTTACAATGATAAACTAATGCAAATTAATGGAACAACTCGGCGAAATCTAAAACCTGGTCTGCAGACAAATGGACAAATTCTTCTCTCTCCCAAGCAAAGGTGGTCTGCATTTTGCAACAAAAACAATCACGGGGAGCTTCAAACTTCCCAAGCTTGAGCAAAGACTATAGAGTCAAAATATTCAAACAACAGAGATGAATCACGATTAGCATTTTAACTCAAGGACCTATTAAAGTACCTTGACACTCTCTCTGAAGCTCCGTGTTTTAAAACTAGCAAGTGATTCGCTTTGTAATCCAGGAGGTAGGGTTACATCGGCATTGAACTTCATGAAGCGCATGTTAGACGCATGTGTCAGCTCCACAATCAGAGTCGCTCTTGGAAAACATCTGCCAAAGGTAAAATCTGTTTCACCACAAGTTGTCGACTTACATACTTTCTCAATTATCTCAGCGTTAGCGAGAAAATTTTCTCACTCACACAAAGTCTTCTCCACTTCTGTGCAAAAGACACAAGCGCAAAGGATATCACTGAGCGCAAAGGACACAAGCGCAAAGGACAAAAAGGTTTTGGGAGCAAATTGTTTCAATGCAAGTCTTCAGCCGCTTAGCTTTTCAATCCATTAGCAAAACCAGTCGTCGATAATCTCTTAAGCCGGTAAGAAGCTTCACTGAAGTTAGAAAGTCGTGGTGCGACAACGCATAAACCACCAGCCAAGAAAAGAGAAAGTGCGATTAAGGCCTTAGGCCCGGCTAGCTGTGGAGTTCCTTGTAGCTCAGAGGTAGAGCATTAGAGAGCGAAAGGTCCAGGATGCGATTCCTCTGAGAGGAATCGGAATTTTTTTTATTTGTCCCATGCTTGTGATAGGGCATATCACATTGTTATTTCATGACCACGCTCAAAATTAACCGTCCTTATTAGCTAGGATCCATTCAGTTGCTAGAAACGCAATTAGAAAAATTCTTTGACCTTAATATTCTGTAGCAGGAGTACACAACAATGGGATCAACATCAGTATCTGGGCAACTGCCCACCTACCCCTCCCCTAACTCAACAACAGTCAATTGATAACAATTAAGGGCTAATGTTGGGTTAGGGGAGGGGTAGGTGGGCAGTTGCCCAGATACTGATATTGATCACGATGACGTACAACTGTCTCATACCTGTAGATACTCTGCACTTCTACGATGGTACTGGCATCTGCCATGTGCTCCTCGTCATACATCTGGCCCTGAGATCGATACCCTACAACTACTATACTGTCTGCATGAAGACAACCAGCCTTGAGAAGGTCGTCCAAACTGAAAGCAAATCAATCAGTAATTTTCAATACAGTAATATCAAAAGTAATTCAGGGATGCGATGGTTTTGCTTCACTACGGTCTGTGATTGGTCTACAAAACTCGCGCCATCCTCTCGACCAATCTGAGTGGCAAAACTAAATCAATCGCGAATTGTTCACTCTTGCTTTCCCACACGAAATTTTGTTTACATGAACTGTATTTGATATGAGTTCCCAGTGGCCACAAGTCATATTTTCTTTCGAATTGAGTTTTGCAACACTCAAACGGTGTTCTATCGAGTAAATTATTTATCATTAATTCAATTTAACCTTTCGCATTAAAAACAGAAAGACAGCAAATAAGTGAAACAAATAATAAGTTTCCATTTTAAGCAAATAAACGAGGTTGTGTCGACTTGCAGCTCAAAGGATTTTTCTTACCTATTTATGGTTCCTTGAATATAATACAGCATGGGAAAGTGACGCACAGCCATTAAGAAGTCTTCACTGGGCCTGTAGATTAAACGTAGGTTTCCTTCAAATAAGCTGTGAACTGTAGCTTCATGTACACTTGTAACGTATTCCAAAAAAATAGAATACGTAAAAATATAATTATCATAATTATCAATAAACATTTAATGATTTGTCAATAGACCAGGTAATAGCTCCGACTCGAATTAATTGCAGTGTCAACGAGAACTTTGTCTCAGTAGAAGTAAATGTCAAGACGACAGTTTGCTTAATGAACCTAAACAAATATTAGAGTAAACCGAAAAGGAAAGGGCAAGAATAACCCTTTCCACCCTTAAATAAGCATTCATATTCTCCACACTGTCCATTTCACATTTCCTATTGCACTAATAAGGAGAATTTGTTTGACAATCAAGAGCTTCTTAGATAGGTGATCATTTCCTTCATTCTCATAACTTCTACATTTGATTTATGGGTAATACTGTAGGGAGAATTAGAAGCCAGACACTCTTTGAGGTTAAAGGGTCAAAAGAAAGAATCTAAATAAAACCAGTCAGAAACGAATCAATCCAAAACTACAGCGGTGACAGTAAAGATAGAAAAAACAAGTTGTTTCTCGATTTCTTTTTTCTCCAATACATTCAGGCCAAAAGTCGTGGCTGCTATTGTATATTTAACAAATAGATTCCAAGTTGCCGTGCGTCTGTTCAGTAATAGATCACAGATGACGTCCAAATGTGGTAAGAACAAATAAGTGGCACACGAGGCACAGCCGAGTGTCTCACTGATGTTCTTACCACATTTTGACGTCCTCCGTGATCTATCACTGAACAGACACACGGCAACTTGGAATCTATTTGTTTTATATAATAAAGAATTTTAAAAAATTTAATGATGACGTCATCATACGTCTGTCCTCCAAAAGATCATAAGTGAGAACCAATCAGAATGCGTGCATAACTGAGCTTATTATATAAAATACCATAAACTGGTACTTACTCTTCTTTCAGGAGAAGTACTATGGGTTTAAGGGTGCACTTGGGCCGCTGATAAGCTCTGAGGGGCAAAATAAAGTTGTACAATCCAGCTTCGGCTACAGGTGACGCCACAATGATAGCTCCCTTTTGTCTCTGATGTAATCTGGCACTGTCATTCAGATCACGGTCTAAACAGGCCTGAAAGCAAATCCCAAAATCCACATGATTTTCCCGCAGAAATTTGAGTGCGGTAAGTTAAATAAGACCTGTTCCTCGAGTTACTGTTATTCTTTTATTTCCTGTTTCATTTCCCTTAAACCCTCCCGAGGAGGAATTAAAAACGAATTCCTAAAAGCAAAAATATTCATCAAGAAATAGTTTTATAATTTAAAGTATTCGAAGTTACAATAACTTTTATAGAAATAGGGCTAAATAACCCTGACACTCATTAATCACATGAAGCCCGTTCCAGAAGCATTTAGTTCAGCTAGATCATAAAGCTTACCTCATTTCTGAGCCCTAAACAGCAGACTTTTTTAGGAGTTTTCAAAAGATGACATCTGATAGGAGTGCGACCAATATACAAAGAACAAGGAGGAACTCCAGCCACATAGCTAGCAAAGGAAAACAGTCAAGTTCAATGTGAAGCTTGCCAAATGTAACGCAATTTTTTATTATCCCAAGTGGAAGACGGGTTTTCTCCCTCTCCAGTTAGATATCACAATCCAGCTTCGTCCATCCCTGATTACAAGAACTTATAAATTGTCAAGACCTTGCTTTGGGATTTGCATATCAAAAACAAAACTAAACAAAACAAACAAAATCCTCCTCAGAGAATGGCAGCTGGAAATTCAAGTAACTAAACATTACACAATACATAAGAAATTCATACCAGTATCATAACAGGAAACATATCCTCTATTTATTACCTGGGTATCCTACTGGTGTCATCCAGCAAACTAAATTCCTGTTCTTCGTGTTCTTCCTCCTCGGAATCTGATTCATTGGGTACATACACAGAATTTGATGATCGTCTTGAGTCTGCTATGTCAAAAACAACTTCTTTGAATCCTCGTGATGGTTTCATGGAAGAAGTTTCCTGTTCTAGTTTGACTGATGAAGATGATGTCACTTGATCAGTGGAGCTGGCATGTCCAACACCATTAGCAGGAGCCTCGTTTATGTACTTAAGTCCTACTAGAGAAAAATGGTAAGGCTGTGGTCAAATCTGGTCAATCTGTGGCCATTACCATAAACTTAAACCACTGGTTAGAAATTTCATCAATGAATATTTTATGGTCTAAGCTCACCCAAAGTCACCATAAAGATTAAGAAAAATAACAATTGTTTCTAAAAGATAATACTAGCAACTATCTGATTACTCAAATGGAACTGCAGTGTGCTGGTTTGCCTGTGGATGTAACAATTGGAGAGATCAATGTGTCCCCTTGCAAAATCCCCACTAATATGAAAGTAAAGCCTTCATCAGCATTGCAGACAAGACCCAAAGTCTATCCCATTTGGGCAAAAATGGTCATCAGCTCCCGAACATAAACAATATTAAATCACACTTCATGCTTGAAGAAAAAAGCATAAGGAGAAAAAAAAATGGAAAGCATCCCAAATGATAATAACTGGTATTTTTAGAGGAGATACACCAAAAAATAAAACAATAGACATCAAATGAATATCCCCAGAAACAATTGTACTATCAATTTGATGGCACAACTCCACATAGGTTTCATTTGAAAACAAAAATAATGGAATGAGTGTGTTAGCATTTGAACACCTAAATTCATACCAAAAATGGGGCATTGTCAATTGGGAAATACTCTTGACATTTCAAGGTTGAAACTCCCTGTTTACAAAAGAAGGTAATAATGCTATATTTTCATTCCTCAAAACAAAATATACTGAATGTGTATCTTGGTATGCTCATTTTGATATAAGTAATATCCTTTCTTCAGAACACCTGATCGATTATAATTTAGAACATGAACATGTTGTGACTTCTGAGTATTACCTGCTTCAACAGAGTCGGTATTCAGCTCAAGAGCCACAGAGCTTGCAGTGATAAATGAATCGTTCTTGTGCCTAAAGCTTCCCTTTAATAAACTGACTGACTTTTTTGGCTCTTTGTAGGCTTTAAATGCTGTGTCTTCTTCACTGGAGATGGCGATGTAGAAACATCTATCCTCAGTACTCATTTTGTGGTTTGGACCAGGATTTAACAGAATACGAGAACCTTTTCCAATTGAACGAACTGCAAAGAGTGTCACACCATACCTGGAAGAGAAAAGTTTGCAAATGGTGGAAACGTCCACTTCTAAAGAAATCTTCACATTCATTGATTGACTGAAACCCTGACAAAAGTTAGAATCCATTTAAACAACCAACCAAAGAGTTGTCTGGAACTTCCCTGTTTCACATGATGATAAAAATTTGAGGACTACCACTTCACAGTAATCAAAAAAAGTCATTGCTCACTTCTTGTGTGCATGAAAAGCAGCATGCATAAATGTCTTTTGTGCATATGGTCTAAAGATCTTGCTGTCCCCCAGGCGGATGTCATAAATTTCATTTCCCGCACATTTACCATACATCTCATGCCAATCTTCTGATCCACTCCTAATTGACAAAAAAATTACAGGCAGGATTAGCAATATGCATCAATCCACTCAGTGAGTAGAATAAAAACACGATGGCAATGTTGTTGAAAACTGCAAGCAGGCAACCAGAAGCTCTACACACATTCCAGGGTAAGAATAATCAATAAGAGTGCATATCTCACTTACTGTTCATGAAGGGTGTGAAGAAGTAGAGTGAAAAATGTGGAAATTCCTGGACACACACAGTTACTAGCCAAGAGGGCATGTTTCACTTCATCTTCACAGACAACATGCTCTGAAAATGACATTAACACAATAATATCAATTGAAAGAGTTACCAACTGTGAAAGGTTACAGGCACTGTGCTCTCATACCAACCGATGCTAACTGAACAATTTTCTTTGTATTTTCCAAAAACAATGGAAGCCAAATTAATGCTTTTAACCCTTTCACTCTCATGATCCCACTGATAAATTTTCTTACTGCCCTCCATACAATTCTTAACATGATGTTACTTCAGATAATTTTGTATTGAATCAACTACTAGCCTCCAATTGATATTTTTCTTTATTCCCATCATTTGTCTGCTTGATATAGTGCTGATAATGTAAGGAGAAATTGTCTCTTGGTCACTCATGGGATTTCTACAGAAATTTGATTTTAGTAACTAGCACTATAGAAACTTGAGTCAACAAAAAGTTATTGGCCTCAAATTGGCATTTTCTTAGAGATTAGGATTCTCACTAGTGATTGATCAAGTAAGGATCATCCACAAACAATGGCTTTAAATTAAATATTCAAACGATGGGAATATCCATTCTCTAACCTGCAAAGCTGACATGAAACTTGTTCTCTGGCTTGAGGATCTGTACATACAATGGAGTAGCAGGAGCAAAGTCCTGAATAGCCCATGTCCTCAAAATGGTGTGCTTGTCCTAAAAGAGATCAGATGTTTCATTCACAACATCCACATCACAGTACCTTCACATAAAAATGGGCTGATGATCTACGAGATTTCTCTATCACTTAGGAAGAAACATTCATTAATTCCTTGGAATTTTCATGACCATAAAACCAAAATATTCTGCCAAAAGGATAAAAGTATTTCTCATCACTTGCTTAACCTGCAAGTAAATTAGACAGAAAGAGAAGGACAGTAATTGACCATTCATGATCCTCATTCCAACTTACAGCAGCCTCCCTGTCATCTGCATATCTGTCAGTAAGGATGAAGCATCCTTCAGCATCCTCAACCCTAAGAATAAAGCATAAAATTAAATTAAACATTGCAATATGGCAGTAAATAGGCTCACCAGAGTATAACTGGGCACTGGGGCACTGGGGCACTGGGGCACTGGGGCACTGGGGCACTGGGGCACTGGGGCACTGGGGCACTGGGGCACTGGGGCACTGGGGCACTGGGGCACTGGGGCACTGGGGCACTGGGGCACTGGGGCACTGGACTTGTGACCAGGTGGTCCTGGGTTTCAACCCCCCAACTTGCTCTTCACTGGACTGATGATTAATTGCTGTGAGTTCAACCCTTTGTACTTTGTACACATCTAAGCAATTTTTCTTACCTAGCTCTTATAAGGTCTTCATCAATGAGTGCAGATCCCTTTAAAAACGTGACTCTCTGTGACCAATGGGGTACCTGTAGGAGAATTCTCAGTGTGCTGTCAAGCTCTGATGGACAGAGCAAAACCACATGGGCATCCTATAAGATAACAGGAAAAGCTACAATGAAGGCTTAATAGCTCATAACTTTAGTAACTTTTGGTAGCTTTCTAGTCAGAACAGTCCATCACAAGTGAACCCAGTGAATATGAAAAGTCATTAATTTCATCTATGATCCTGGACTTAATATGTATCATGACATACTGCTTACAAAAACTATAGATCACTTCAAAAAGATGTTTTCTTTCATGATGTGGTCACTTCAGATGTGGATCACGATTGAATGCTACTAATCCCCTTCAGGCAATGAGGTCAATTGGCAATTCACACATGACTTCACCCTAACAAAATCAACAAGGACAGTGAAACTAAAATCCCAGAAGCATGGATACAAACTATCTGCAAAGAGAACAGTGAGAGAGTTGTGCAGCAGCAGACCACAGAGGGAACCTGATCTATGCTTGTATTTATTTAATTTACCTGCAATTTCAGATCTTTCATTGAACATGCAGTCATTAAACTAATAAAGAAAATGAACAAACCTGCAATCTGGTATCAGCATAAAACTCATTCAAGAAGTCAATCAGCATAGTTGGCCGGAGTATTGTTGCACATAATACCACATGTTTTTCAGAACCAGCCAGCATGCGATTAAATGTACCACCCTCTTTCTGACGAGAGACCAGCAAGAAAGCCAGCTGCTCCAACTAAGAAAAGAATTCAAAATTTCAAAAAAATTAAGAAAAAAAGTAAAATTAAATTTACAGCAATCATTATAGACTGATAAGGTTACCAGTGCTCTAAATTCTCCTGAGTACCCTCAAGACGGCCAAAACTTAATTTCAGAGATAATTTACCAAATTAAATTTCACTTTAACAAAAATTGAAGTAACTCCCAAGAAGCACATCTAGGCTAAATTTCTTATTTTTTAGTAACTGCCTAGGGGCAAACTGAAAGACTTTTCCTATATGAAGCAATTTTATAAGCTTTTCTGTATTTCTTCTGACTTTGTTAGCTACTAAGGGACTGAATCAGGGAATGCATTCTATTTTGCCAAGTGTTTGTCCAGTTATAGATCACAGATCATCCTAGGTGGTGTCAAAATGTATTTAAAAAATGGATATTCAAGCCAGAGGTGACCATCTAATCAGCAAGGCTTTTCATTGCTAAATGTGGAAATATCTCATCAACATTTTCAAAACTCAGCACCAATTTGTTGCACTACAACTGCTGTGTACCCTGACATATCAAAACCAACCACCCATCAGAGGGTCTGTAATGTACAGTTTATCTAATGGACAAATTTTCAATCACAATCAGGTAATCTGCCTAAGTTTCATCTGGTATTGTTTTTGCACGCATTTTAATTGGTCTTAAAAAATGCAACATCTTGATTCAGAATTAATGCACACCATCTGTTTTCAAGGATACAGTTATCTTGTTTTAATTCATTTTCTTTTGTTCCTAATTGCCTGTTGTGAGCACTTTTGGTTTTGCAACACTTGATTGCAATGCACACCATCTGCAAGGTAATTCTCCACTTATCAGTACACAATTAAACCATACAACTTTGTGTTCCCTTACTCCCTCAACAGATCCTCACCTCAATAGGTAGCATAATGATAGCACAGGCAATCATTATCATAACAAATGTCTGTGCTGGCCAGTCACTTGGAGTGTATTCACCATAGCCTACTGTGCTAAACGTCACCATCACAAACCAGATACACACAAAAAAACTCCACTGTGAAGCAGGTCTCTCAAGGTGATGAATACCACATATTCTGTAATATGAACAGTTGAATAATTTATTTATTTGTAAAGGCAATTACAGTACAGAAAAAATTGTATCATACTTTCAATCCAGAAATATTTCAATTTCTTCCCACACCAAACTGATAACTTCTAAGGTGATAACATTCTTATCATTAAGACTTACCCAGTAAATAATATACATAACACAGTTCCAACCACTACAAGAACCTTTTGGGATACTGCTGACTGCTGACGCAGAGCTAGTCGGTGAAGATCATTCTATAAAGCAATAAAGGGTCACGAAAAAAGTCAATTCTGCATGAGCACAAACATGTACATGTAGGTGCATGTTATGAATGAACATGTGTTCATCAAGTTAAAATTAGCAAAGGATGCAAAGTTCTTCCCTATAATAATTAGTTATACTTACAAGCATTGCATCTAATGCATTCTTGGCAAGCCAAATATTCAAAAACAGAGGTACCCACAAATTTCTTAGTCTGCTATAAAATATCTGCAAAAGAATGTTAGTTAGCTTAGTAAGCAAAGTATTTCAATGAAAGACAAACACTTTAAATCTTTATGAAAAATGAACAGATTTCTTCAAATATTTTTGACAACTCTTATACATTTATAAATAATACTTACAGATATTAAGAAAGGCATTCCTAGCAAAATCTCAGCAATAACACGACTATTTACAATTTGACCAATGACAGAACCTCCCTACAAATTAGGAAAAAAGGAAATATATGATAAATAAACATTGTATGATGAGTAGAAAATCAAATGTCTTTCAAATTATGTGAATTAATATGGAGAATTACTTGACAGTACCTTGAAGGTTAAATAACTAAGTAAGATTGCTTCCAGTATACTGTACACTGCAATGATTGTCTGCAAACAAAACAAAGAAAATAATCCAGTGATGTTGACTGGCTTCAAGTTCCACCTGGCTCCTTGTGGTTTTCATGTTCACTCAAAGTCTTTAAGCCATACATTGTAAATTGGAAAGTTTGACATATGAAGAACCTCCTTATATCAGCCTGATAGACAATTGGCTTGCCTCGACTTTTCAAAATCTCAATCTTCCCTCACTGCTCTCCCGTCATTTAAATGATGAATATGTGTTTCAATGAGAATGTAGGTTGGTCCAGTAAAGTTTGAAAACAGGGAGTTTTAGGTATGGGCACTTCAGCTCCATTTCAGAAGATAAAATTTGAGAGGACATATCATCTTTCTCTTAGTAACCCAACATTAAATTTCCCCTGGCATTGTTAGTTTTCAGGCTGAAATGTCTCAATTGAAGAGTAGAAAAACTGTATTCCACCAACTAAACCAGCCTGGTTACCAATGTCATGTGACCAGATCGGAAGAATGTAACTGGTTAACATACACTTGTAGGATCAATGTCAGTATCTGAGAAACTGCACACCTTACCCTCCCCTAACCCAAAAACAGTCCACTGATAACAAGTTAGGGTTGATATTGGGTTAGGTGAGGGGTAGGTGCATAGTTGCTAAGATTTTGACACAGATTCCAGTTCTACCTGTACAATCCATAGCAAATGGGGTCTTTCAACCCATAGCAATGACCACCAATAACTGCAAGAGCGAGAAATAGTAGATGCTATCATGCCAAAGCCCTAAGATATTGATTAAGCATCAGAGATCAGAGGATCAGAGAATATTCTAGAACTCAGTGCTGCAAGCTGTCACCATTTTGATCACCATGCCAAGTGAAAAATATATTCAGGAACTAAAGTTTCAGCAAAAGCAGCCAATTGGTGACCAAAAAGTTTTAAAAAAAATGAAACATTTGAAAGTGTTGCACCTGTACCTTTCTTTTCCTCACTAGAAGTCTATGTAATACTACAAGAAGTGTCCTCCCATTGATATGATGTTTTATTCTTTAGCATCTAAACTTTTTTTTCTGGCCACCATATTACAATGACAGGCCCCGCCACAATGTGACTTTTAGAAAACATGACCTTTAAGTCCTGTAATTGCTACAATTAAATTTAGACAATAAGAGTATTCTCCTGGCTGTCCCTTAACCCCTTAACCCCTAGGAGTGACTAGCATCTAATTTCTCCTTTCAAATTACCAACTAAATCACACATTAATATCCTGAGAATAAAGTAAATGATCACCAACTAAAAAAGAAACTTTTGATTGTTAGACAAATTCTCCTTGTCAGCACCTTGGTAAATGTACAGAGAACAGTATGGAGAATATGAATACTGATGTTGGGGTGTAAAGGGTGAACCCTATTTTCCTTCAAATAAATTCTGTACTAAATGCCCTGATGTATGAAACTCAAGTAGGTTCCTTTTTAAAGCAAAATACAGAATATAAAACCTTACTTCTCTCCTTCATAATATACAGGACAAGCCCACTCACGGTTGGCAGTTCTGTTATCTGGACAACCAGATCTGTTAGTTGAGGTCAAAATAAAAAAAAAAAAAAGTATGTGCAATCATTATCACATTGGTAAAAGTTGAAGTCTTTATTGATGGTACAGTCAAACCTCAATTATACTGACCCACAGGGACTGGGCTGAGTACTCCAGGTAATTAAGAGTTTGGATGACCAGAAATATGAATATTAATGGCCAAAAATGAAAAGGAATACATTTCATTTAATCAATATTATGAAATAATTAAAGTAAATTCTCAAATCATTGTGCATTGTGCCTTCAAGTATATAAAAAAAAAACCTGTAATAAGTGACTGCTTATTAAAGGTTTGACTGTATTCCCTAGAAGCAACAGTGGGCTTTTTCCACTTTTAAACAGCTGTGTTCATGCACCCCTTTAAAGATTAGAACCTTGACTAAAGATCAAATAAGTCATTTATTCACAAGTGAAGATAATTATTGTTTGAAGCTCTTTAAGTAAAATACTAATAAATGGCCATGTACTTACCCACCAGCTCGATTTGGATCTAAATCATAGCAGCCTCGTACAACATACAATACACATGACACTATCTTCAGCATGAAGCGAAATGTCTGCCATCTTATACCTGGTTAAGCAATTGATCGAAGCTGTTAACACTGGGATAAATTTTAGGTGGACATATCAAACTAAACAGGTTGATGAAACAAGGTATAGTTTTTGTCCTTAATTAACTTGTGTTGTTAACCTTTAGTGGGTTATTTTAACCTCTTAAACTTTTAAAGAATTTTGGATTGGAACTTGTGTTAATTTATCTTTTTTTTCCATTTACATTTTTAAAGTTTCTGCAATTCTCACATAATTCAGTTTAATATTCAATCCAGTTTCAATCCAGCTAGGTTTAGTTGCTGGTAAAAGGAGTGTCAGTAGTAAAATGATGATCTGATCACATGAGAAGTGCCCTGATGACAATCTTTTTGCTTCACTTCCTATTAAGGATGAAGCCATTAAGAATTGACTGGCAATTATTTTTTTTAGGTACTTTTATTAATATCAAATTAGATTGCTTATTTAGGAATCAATATACAAGCTGGGTGAAAATATTTAAGTTAAAAAAGAGTGTAATTTATATGCAGAACTGACACAATTAATTGTCACAAGAAAGTACTGAATGAAATTAATGTTAATTTTAGTGCATGTATTAATAAGTCAAGAGTGATTTGATTTCTTGTTATTAATATCACTTACTAGATCTTTGATCAGTTACAAAATAGAATTTAACTCTTTCTTTAAATGACTTGTCATGGACATAGTGCTCTACACGAACCCTGTGAAATTGAAAAGTTATTTGAGAAATTTTGACATTTTTTAGAATTATAGCATATAATTATCTAACCCTTCATTACAACATAATGTCCTGTCACAGCAGTTATGATGTAGCAGATCTACAAACAGTAAATCAGGCAACAACAGATTCAAGGGTGAAATTCATAATTAAGTATTAATTAATTAAGTAGCAATTAGAATTGCTTTACTTTAACCCTGTAACTCCAATGAGCGACCATGACGAAGAATTTCTCCTAACAATATCAATACAATATCAAGCAGATAAGTGATGAGAATAAAGAAAAATACCAATTTGGTGATAATAAGGTGATCCAATACTAAATTCTCTACCTAACATTATAAGAATTGCATGGTGGACAGTAAGGAGAAAGACAAATTTGAACTGGGAGTTAAAGTGCTTCTCTCTTGTAATGGCTGGTCACAAAAATTTATAACTTAACCCTTGAAATCACAAGATCTGATCACTAATTCTCCATTCTAGCTGTTACACATTTCCATACAAATTGGTTATGAGAAATTGGTATTAGAGCAAGTTAACAACTTCAACCTGATAAGTTTGAGGATTCTCAGTACCTCGCTACTAAACTTGTGTATGGATTTCATAGCACAGGGAGAAGTTACAAATATAGTTTATCACTTTTAGAAGTTAAAGGGTTAAAATACTGACAAGGAAATCAGATCAATTTTTCATCTCAAATCGAACAAACAGTTAAACATGGAGGTGTTTAAAGTTGTCCATTAACCCTAGTGAACCACTAGTGCAGCACATTTCCTATATATAACCTATATCAACTGATCAGTTTTGTTGCACCCCCCCTCCCCTCTCCCTCCCCCTCTCAACCATTCCAGCAAATCATGAAGATTTCCAGATAGCTTTTCTGATACCCATTCAGACTTATGGCAGGAGAGACATTGTGTGGGCAAAAACATCTTGCCTTAGTTATGACAAACCTATAGGTGGGTCAAGGGTAATGCAATAAATTGTGCCACAGCTACACTCCCAGACATATTTGCTTTCCTCCCTGGCTCTCTTAATGTTAATTAACCCTTTAACTCCCAGAAGTGTTTAACATAAAACTTCTCCCTACAATATCCATACATTGTTCAGCAAACAGGTAATGAGAATATTCAAACTTATCGGAAGTTGCTATCTTGATCTAGCACCACATTCTCATAACTAATTTACAAGGAAATGTGTAGTAGCTAGAGGAGAGAATTAACAATCAGATCTTGGGAGTTAAAGGGTTAACAACATCGGAAACAAGAGGGACACAAGAACATCATAAGTAAGTCCCAAATAAAAATGTCTTGCTGTGTAGCTGCTGGCAATTTTTCTGTCCATGTAAGGCATAATATTGTTAATTGTATACTACCCAGTTAAACAAACATATATCCCCCAGAGACTCCTGCCACCTGTCAGAATCTAACCCTTTTTACCTGGGGCTGTACTATAGTAGGGCCTATATGCCACACATGACAAACTTTTCTCGTGGGGCACTGTGTGTTACAAAGAACTTGTCGCCCTTGATTTGTATGACAATAGACTCCTTGCACCCTGCAGTGCTTTTAGAAGCATAGCCCTACTGCAAACAGCAATTTTGTTACCATTGCATGACTTCTGATTATATGTTTCAAAAGCTGTAATTTCATTTGTTGATTTTGTACAATAATAAATTAAAGTGTTCTGTAAGTTCATGAATCATTAACAGCAAAGTGGATGTCAATTCTGACTGAAAAGACAATATATGTCATCAAAACACAATACTGCTTAAAGGCTGAAAAAGTACAAGAAATATTTTTAAAATATTTTAAGATATTACTGGATATATAATTTCAGCCTTCTTATTATTCAAAACAGCTTTCTAATGGACAGAAAAATCATTGAATGGGGATTAAATTCTATAAAGTTCACTTCAGACCACACCTATCACACCCATCACAGCCCTAAAGCCTCCTTCAATTTGCATGGAGTATATTTCCTGCTTTAAAATTTATTCAAACAAGCACACCATTAGTAAAATATCATACCACTTTATGTTGACAAATATAAGAATATTCTGTCATATTTAATTTGCAGATGAATTAACTGTGACTCAAGATTTGTGTTTGTGACTATTGTTTGGGCAAGGAAAAGCTACATCAGTCAACCAGAAAAGCTGTAAACTGAATCTTAAAACTAAAATTTTCCTATCATCCTTGAAAATGAGCTGGCACACTCACATTCTCACCCGCTTACACTCAGGTCTGTCAACCATAAATTATTGATCAAATTACAAAAAAATAATTCAACAAATATCAAAGGATATTACTTTCACAAATCAATCCACAAAGGCAAACAATTTTGTCCATACTTTACTCTAAAATTCCAAACCGTCTTCAACATGTCTTAAATAAATAAATAACTCATTATTCAAATCGGTAATTTACTAGCCAAACAAAGGGACAACTTTACTTTCAACAGTCCAATCCGCTTTCAGATAACATTTAGTAATCAATTCAGACGATTAGGCAGCCTTACCTCAAGGAGATTTTTAACAGACTACACCGGCAAAGAAGCTAATGAGATCAATTGTTTTGGGGGAAAACGGCATTAACCCAGCTGCAAATCTTTAAAAGTTTTCGTGGCGCAAAATAAATCTACACTGAAAAAATAAACAAAACCGAATACGTATATATACCCAATTTTAATTAGTATCTTTTTTTATTTCATTCATTTTTGTTTCAATTTCTTTTCCAAGAGAATTTCATAAATAAACGAAAGAACTTAATTCGGTGATCGAAAAGCGACATCTTCTTATCGTATCCGTCTCAGTAAGAGGTTCACCGAAAAATGATCCTCTCCTGAATGGTATTTGCAACAAGAGTTGAGTTCGAGAAACAATTAGCAGCATAGTGAAATTTCAACGTATTTGAACGCGAGAGAAAATAAAAAAATTATCGGATCTTATAATAAGCGAGTAGGATACGCCTTTAATAATATAAAGTCAAGATTATGAGTCAAGACAGCTTCTAAACAACTCTAAAATAAAGACATGCCACACTTCTTCGGTAGATAATTTACCACGCAACCATGCATGCATAACTAAAATTAAAATCGCTTTAACTCTATATTTTGTGCCCTTTCCAATGATTTTCGTTCATAGCAATCAACAAATAAGGAAACCTGGTCCAATGGTTTAATCAAAGCAGCTCACTTTGGCCGATAAGAAATTGGTCGTGAAAGGAGCGGGATACTGGTACATCAAAACAAATCAACATTGCGTAAATTTAATGTCAAAAAGAAACATATTTGCCGCCTACCTTTCCTTGTCTTCGCCTTTATCTGACGAGAGGAGATCTTTGAGACGGTACCTAGGGCCAAGAAGATCAGAATCGTTCATAACAGTCGTGGAAGGAACCGACTTGGTGTACTTTACTTTAGTCTGTATCCTAACTTTCTTTCCACCGGTCGCCATATTCTTTTCTTTACGAATACTATGCAGTCATGCGCAATCAATCTGTTCCAATTATTTTCGCGCGAAAATTTTACGTTACGAGAAATTATGGAACTCTTCTTTCCTTCCAAAACTGAACCTAAAAACTCCTCAAGTTTCTATCGCACCCGATAGTGCAGCAGACATCATTACTCATCTACAGCTCTCGTCAACACTTCCGAAGATTCATGAATTATTTAGATCACCACCGTCAACCACAGATGTCAAAGTCACATTCTTGGACCCATTGGCTAATGTCGACCAGGGAAGGCGACTTGAGAACAATCTTTGATATATTCTGTCGTTTTTACGATCATTATCATGTTGTTAGCTGCTCCCGAAGAGCAGCTGCTACATCTAATTATTCCTGAAAACTCTTTGTGATTTTTACACAATTTCAGAACTTTTTCCGTAATTAAGAAAATCACCCTTTTCGGCGTCAAAAAGTAGGTTCTGAATGATTCAGGCCATGGCTAATCAAGAAAAACTTAAAACAGCCATTATTTGCTTACTCAGTCACACTGTTCTAATGCATCTATAATAGATACCGATTCAAAATAATCATCATTAATAAACTCTGCATATCACTCTGTAAATTGAGATATGAAATGGTCTTTGCCTGAGAAGTAATCGTTCTCAAATGTTCGATCGCGTGACGACTTTCATTGAATAAATTGAAAAACAAATGAAAGATTTCAAAGTTAGAGAATATTTCATGCTGAGTTTAAAGAAAAATCGCAATAAAGAGAATCTGCACGAGATTAACGAACTGATAAGACCTAAAAAAGCGGTTTATTTTAGCTTTATTAACAATGAAATTTTCAACTACCGAGATAAGATTACAATTGAGCAGAAGATATGTCTTTTTAAGGCGGAGGAGATGAGCAAGTTTTTTGGTTATGAAATCTGACCAACACAATTAACCCAGCTGGAGTCAAAAGGCGGCTTCGTTTCGAAAAAACGACTCTATCGCCTTTTCTTATGGTGTGCCTTTTAAAAATTCACCTTAGGTTTAGAGAGGACTCGGAAAAGTTATGATTCTCATCTTTTTGTTATGATGAACCGACAAGTTTCCGGAAAATCTCTGATAACAAAGGTCTTCTTGTCTTTGCATCTATTAAGAATCATCGCGATGTTTTTCAAAGCCATTGTTAATTTCGCTAAACAAAAGTTTAATGAAGACATCTGCGGAAAGACATCAAAGAGGCCTGCAAAACAAAATGGCCTTAAACCCGATCTTTCCATCAACCATCCGTATATTTTCTTCGTCGGATAACACTGGAAATTGGTTTTATGTCAATGAAATATACTGTGCCTGATATAATCCTTACTTGACAATATCTTTCTTCTCTAGAATTCATGTCATGGGGTTGAGCATGGCAAAAATAAGCCTCTTGCAAATTTTGCGTCGAATTTTATATGGATACCTAGTCATTTCCCTGCATTAAGGATTCTTTTTTTTTCTTGTTTAATTTTACACAATTTTAAAGACCTCTTGACTTTTTTACGAAGATGTGTTTTTACCTAATGATCAAAGATTAAATTCAAAACAACATCACGAAAAACTGCCATATACTCATATACGCAAGAAACACCAGAAAACAAAGCTGAGGAAAATTCCTCTGAAGCTCCGAGACATCACTCATCGCGGGAGTTGCTAAGGCCCGTCAACATATTTTAGAAGCTTCCGAAGTGTCAACCTCGTTTTCGAGTAGTTATAAACAAAGACCTTTCGCTAACCCTTCGCTCTAGATAACCCTGGAAGCCAAAAAGGCTCGATGTATTTTCAAGATCGGAAAATATCTGAAGCTGCAATAATTTTATCAAAAATTATAAAAGACATTAGATTTGAAAGACGAGAAATGAAAGGCATCGAAAAACGTGACTTTGAATACGAGTAGAAATTGTTGGTTTCTTTCTTCAAATTTTTATCTGTCTGTTCTTCGCCGTCGGGAACATAGTTACACCAGACACGAAAATTCTCTTTTCCAGCTTTTTTAGACTGATCAAGAAACGAATAACTTTATTGAGGCTGGCGAGCCAGCAGATGTACTACTAAGGTAAACTCACACACTGGAAGCCGAGGAAATGAATATGAAATTCTCGTTTCCAACACTGAACGTGACTTGAAATTTCTTACAATAATAAAAATTAAACAATGAGTTTCATATTGTTTAGAAAAAAAGAAAAAGATACTAGGATACCGCTAAAGTTGCGAAAGCAGCGGGGAGCTAATTCAACAAATTCATTGGCTTTCTTTGATATTGTCACAGTTGGACGGTTTCTAAGATTCAGACAAACCTATGAAGTGAATATTTTCGTATTTTACAACTCGCAACTTTCACACTGAAAATGCACAGCCTTTACTAAATATTAAACGTCAGATTAAATCACTTAGCGTCGCATGCAGCACTCAAAAATGAATTTTATCACCAAACTTGAAAATTCGGCTGCGTAAATTTTTTTTCAGAATAAACGACCGAAAAATGGTTGGCTTAAGCAATCAATTTGGTCACAAAAATGAATTACTGATCATAGGATTCTCAACTTTTCTCTAGGCAACCGATACATTGATTCTCCGCATCAACACGATAATGTTAAGATAACATTACTCGAGGATGACTGCATACGGGTATGAGTCATAATTTATTTTAGCCCTTCAACCTTTGTTTTTAAATTGATCGATATCTAAAATTTTCGTTAGTTTGGAGAAGATCGCAAGTGGTGAGAACTACATTATTCATCATGTTGAGTCTGGGCTTTAAATGCAGTTTTCTCCTTAGTCTAGGCAAATTAAACCATCAGAGCCATTATAGAGAACTCGAATATCGAACTGTTTTTGACTTAAGCAGGTGCGAGGAAGGTGGCTCAAGATGTTAACTTATAGAATTGAGGTTTTTGCTTTCAGCTAATTTTAATTGTTTTCTTTCTCTATTTACGGTCGCCGTTCTAATGACTTGTCTTCGTTGATAAAAATAAACAAAATAAACAGCTCCGAAATTTCGTTATAATCGAAGAGGAAAGCTCCAGTCTGGGAAAAAATTATCTCAGAGTACAAGGTGCTGCCACATTCCTGTTGGAAAAAGGACAACCACGACAAAGTTTACGTCGTTCAGGCAGAACTATGAAAAGATACCTCCTTGAAAGCATTGTTGACTATGTTAATTTTGTGAAAACATTAAACTCATAATCAGATGCGAACCAATTTTGAGAAATTGCATGGCGTCGCCAAGTTATTTGAGCCTTGAAACGAGTAAAAAACTAAACCGAAGGAATAGCGTTCTGCGTTTAACAAAAAATTATCATTTCATGTTTAATTAACGTTCTCTTCATAAGCTTCTTTGTATGGTGTTACATCCGTGGCACTTGTCACAATAAATTTTCTTCTCGCGTCAATAAAACGCACACGGGATATATATTATTGGAAATTCAGAAGCAGCGAGCGCCTGGGACATTGGTTAAAAAAGAAGCTGTCGGTAGGAATTCAGGTTTATGATGATTAAGACGAAAAAAATAATAACTAAGTTGCAAGGAGGCAATTTATAGTAGCATACACGGCCATTTGATCTGTAGTTTATGGCGCCAAGTGGTGAAACCAGTTGTTCTCGAACATTATGAGATGTGCGTGTGATGAAAGAAATAAAATCAACTAGAATTTTGGGTCAAAAATTACATGCATGAATGACTAGATAACACATGGTCGTGTTGCTGCGAGACAAATCAATAATGAAATAAACTTTCGCAATGTCTTGTGCTGATCTCTGAACCCCTGGTAAGCCTATCTCTGAAAGCTGCCGTAACGTTGGAGTGAAATGGCGATATTTTGAAGTGGAATCGATCCAATTCACCGCTCGCTTGTTTTCAAAGAAGAGATTCCTGTGTTAAGTGAGAGTCAAGTTATGTTATTTTGTTATGATCCTGTTTTTCACACGAAGTACAATGCATGTTACCGATCTTACTAAAACAGCAATCCATGTACGTAGCATCCACCATCTACATACATGTTTTGTATAATCAAAATATGGATGTTGCACGAAGACTACGATACCTTGTTGAGCCAGGATGAGGAGGTGGAAGCAAAACAGGAACACCATCAGAACTTTGGCGATTCGGCGTGTTTCCGTTTGCCATTACAAATTGGTTAATATATACCGAAACAACAGGAAGACTTCCAAGCTAGCATATATTATTGATCACTGCACAGTCAATATGATATTTGAAGGGTTTACAGCGGTTGCGACGCTTCCTTTTGTCAATTCAACCAATTACAGCACTTGGGAATCGACGATAGAGCAGGTGATTGTTGTCTTTTCTTTCGTTTTAAAATGGATCATGCATTTGTTGCAATTTATAATCAAGCTTGTAAATGAAGTTTGTTCGGAAATTACTTTCTGTCTGGGTTAATTTTCGATAAGGAATGAAGGTTTTTTCGGAAGATGAAACTTAACCGATTCATCGATTGCAACCAATATTTTTTCCTTTCAAACCCTTATATCTATATGATCGTTGCGATTAGGGCAACATAAAAAACTTCCGCGATGTTAGCGGTCGTGGTGACAATCGTATCGATTCAACAAGGGAACCAGCATAGGGGCTTTTACAGAAAAAAAACTAAATGTTGTTAAGTCAAAAATTTTCCTCGCTTTTCCTCACTCTGATTGTCTAGACGTAACAGTGGAAGCGAGACAATCTTTTGAGTTAAGACAAGTGAATATTCTGAGTCCATCAAGCTTTGGTTATTGACGAAGGCGTTGGTAATTGTTTCATAATGAGACAGGTATAAAGGAGGATCAAGTGTAAAAATTATCATATCTTATTTTCATCGCTGATCGACCACAAAAGTGATATCTCCACTTCATGTACCTACAAGTTTAATGCTTTAGACAATAAAACAATAAGCGATTTTGTCTTTCGGCGTCGACAACATGCTGCAATAATAGACAAATTACCACCTCTGAATATCTTAAAATCAATTCCGATAA